GAATCTGAATCATAACAGAATTAATCTAGCAAGTTCCTCAATGCATGCAGGTCGCTCTTATGAGCCTCTTAGTGATCCTGAATGCACTAGGCGTTGCGATCAATATGCATCTCACCTAGATGAATTTATTCAGGATTTTAATGAGCCTCCTCACGCTTCTCCTTTCAGGATCAAGTTTGACAATACATTATATGAAGATGAGGACAAATATGAAGAGGAGTATGACTCTACAGCCATCAAGATGGAAGAAGCTGAAGAGCCTGACACTCTAACACGCCTCAGGTCCTTCTCAAGACCTTATGGTTAACCTCATGAGCTTGACCCTCAAGCCAAAAGAGTGTATCCCAGCTTATCTAAAGATACATTTTATTCAGAGACTAAGTTTGCCTAAGGCTCTACAATTTGTATCTGATAACAACTCACACATCCTAGTATCAACAAATCCTTGCTATACATTAGATCACAACGCGAGTACAATTGTGGCTTTGGTGGTAATATGTCTAGCCAAATGATGCACAGATGAGTCATTGTTGTAATCACATGCAGCTGCCATTTGTAAGCAGAGCCGCAGAGATTAGTCAGGCCTTTCTAACTAGTATTCTTGAGAATATTCTAGAACATTCCAAGATTAATAATCAACAGGTATATAAGGCCTCTGTTCTCCCTTAGGGGGAAATAGGGTGGCCAGGTTGGTACAGTGTGGATTATTTGCCTGGTTGAACCAGGACTATCATGCTGAGGCAGACTCCTGCAATTATTACCCTGACCACTACCACATAGACAGTCTAAAAATTGGATAACATTTAGTTATCATTTGGAGTTCGGATGGATTTGCATTCAAGGTTTGTGATTTGGAACACATTGTGAATTGGTTACAATTGGGTATGTGGGTCAGAAAAATTTGCAAAATCAATAACCATGACCTGTCCATTCTGCAGACCTAGGGCGACTTTATCTCGGGATTTAGTGGAGCACCTCAGCCAAAAACTCATCAGGGATCCGATATCTACGGTATGGACAACACACAGACCACAGCTCCTGACTGGTGTAGTCAACAGCTACTGTGGAATGCTCATGGCTTGGCATGACACTCGGACATGGAGATGAGAGTGACTGAAGGCGATTGTGGGAGACATTGAGTACTGTTCCATTGTCCACATGTAAGAAATGTCCACCTTGGGAGAAATATAAATGCCTGGGAACATGATTGAGCTCATAAGGAGGTTCCAAACTGGGTGGGGTGGTGATATCCCACAGTGTACAGTGCGATCCCCAGATCCAGATGCAAGACGGTGCCCATCTGGTGAGAAGGCCAGACATCGGACAGGCCCGGTATGTCCCGCAAGCGTCTCAAGGCTTGCACCAGTGGTCCCATCCCACAGGCGTACAGTGCGGTCCCCAGATCCAGATGCAAGACGGTGCCCATCTGGTGAGAAGGCCAGACATTCGACCCAATTGGTATGTTCCTCAAGCGTCCCAAGGCTTGCACCGGTGGTCCCATCCCACAGGCATACAGTGTGATCCCCAGATCCAGATGCAAGACGGCGCCCATCTGGCGAGAAGGCCAGGCACTGGACAGAACCGGTATGTCCCTCGAGCGTCCCAAGGCTTGCACCGGTGGTCCCATCCCACAGGCGTACAGTGCGATCCCGAGATCCAGACGCAAGACGGCGCCCATCTGGCGAGAAGGCCAGACACTGGACAGTGCGGGTATGTCCAGTCAAAATTTGGTGTGAAGGCCAGTGCGCTGATGGTTCTCCAATGATCTTTGGTAGTCTATCTGAAAACTTGCTCTTGTACATTGTCCACAGTTGCGACTTTCGAGGGAGGAATAGTAGCCCTGATGAATAGATATCCAGTGCACTCTTCTCTAATGTTTCTTGATGCCTCTGGACAAGTCTAACTGTATCATGGCATACCTATTGTCACCATGGTCAATACGCATATCATATGTAGCACGAGCTCACCTCAAGTTCATCACTGAATCTTTGGTGTGCACAACTTTGCCGTATCTCTTCGAAATTTCGAATAAGATGTATGTGACCCATCAAGCTTAACAGCTCCACGAGGTACAAAATTTGACTTTCTAAAAACATTCGCAGCGGCCGGACCACATGTTCCTCCATTACGACGGTGGATGCATGATAGCCCCAGTACTTTGCCGCATAACGTAATGCCGGGAAACTTGTCCATAATCGTTCCAGACGTTTATCCAGATCCATGACGTCCGCATTCCTTGGATAAGGTTCATTTGGCACGGAAATGCCGCAGATATCCTCCTTTAGATCCTTCTGAAGCACTGTGAGGACAGATATGGCCAAATCTGATTGTATTGATGTCGAGTCGAATGGCATATCCACGTTGTATGGACTGAGAAGGTATTCCCGAAAGGTCGGATGTAGAAACTCTACTACCCTCTCCACCCGAAATACACTCTGCATCGATCGTAAGATCAGCCTTAGCTCAGAGTCTGCAATCCCAGTCATCTCCTCCAGAGCCTTCGTTGACACCGGATCTGATCGACGAACGGATCACGGATCTGATCCATCCGCCCTCGCCCTCGCGTCAAGAGGGATTTGAGAGTCGTGCCAACAGCGGCCGGACCTTGAGCCTGTTGTAGCTCAAGATGTGCTGTCGTGATCCAGATGAAAAGTCCATTCGAGCGTTCTACAATCTGCGAGCGCTGAGGCTCGGTAAGCAGGTCGACAAGATGGACGTCGACGTAGGCCCTAATGTCATCCAAGTTGGACTGCTGCTCTTTGCCGTGCATCTTGAAATGCATTCCGCGTACAATCGCTCTACCCTGGAGTATCGCGACGATGTCTGGCTCCGGCCGGCTCGTTATAAAGAGTTTGAGTTTGGGCATCGATGAAAGCTTCTCGACCAGTAGTTCGATCAACTCTCCCCTCATCTTCTTTTTGCATTCATCCACTGCGTCAATCACGAGGACAATATCCGTGGTTGCAAGCTGCAAGGGTTCTTCGATCAGCTTGGCGAACTGATGATACAGTCCTCGCCCGAGAAGGTGAGGATCTTCTTCTTTGATCATCTTTATTTGCTTTAAGATTATCTTGTTTCGAGCACCAATATCTTCCGCGAAGACAGAGCAGAAATCATCCGTCTCCGATGTCTGTCGAGCATTCTTCGAAAAGAAGAACCGACCAGCCAGAACATCTTTGGTATTATCCCATTCCTTGCACATCGTGAGTGTGACTGTGGACTTCCCGGAACCGCCAACATCGCAGAGCCAAAAGATGCGCTTGTCTGCAATAGGGTCCAGACGCCATTGCCGAATTTCCTGCAGAATCTGGACGCGTGTGCCTGGTAGACATGTCTTGTGCTGAATCTCCATCGGACGAGGCTTCTCGGGCCCGAGTTGGGCTACTTTCCACACTGTAGGGAATCAATACGAGGTGGAGAGTGACATGAATCGAGCTAACCTTCTGCTTGCAGCTGAATTTGACAGAACTTGGTCGCATCCTATTGCAAATAGCTCAATACGAAACTGGGCTTGAAGTTGTACTCATACCTCGAATACGCGCGTAGCATGTGCGATTTCCTGTTTGTAGTCTGCAATATTTCCGATGTCGATCTTGGAATCCGTGAACTTTCTGAGAAATCCTTTGACGCCTTGATCTCTGCCGTGCTTCAACTCGTCAATTTTAGCGAGTATGCCTTTCAGAGCGCTACACAATTTCAGCCAAACATTCAAGAGCTCGACCTCAGAGCTTACCCAATGTAATCTCTCGATGCATTGTTGAAATCCTTGAGCGCTTCGGGCATCTGGTCCGTACGTCCATCCTCGACAGCTTGGAGATATCCTTCATCCAAGATGGATATATGTGCTTCAAGACTATCCCTGAGTATTTTGAGCCCTTTGGTATTCTCATTGACGGTCTACGGCGTAATCAGATCGAAACTCAGCATTGACGCTAAGCGTGTCGTACCCTGGTTGTCTCAAGGAATAGAAGGGAAATCTCGCAAACTGCTTTAAGGGGTCCCAGAAATGAAGTAGCCTCGGTCCCCGCGTTGACAAGCTTGACGGCCTCGATGAGGGTGTCCCGTGTTCGCTGATAAGCAACGTCTGGGTCTTGAGAAGGCGTATTTGCCCTTGATGAATTTGAGGGAGTCGGATTCTGATTTCCTTTGGCTTTTCGGCGCTGCATCTTGGCTATGCTCAAAGCTGGCGGATACCACGTTGATCGCGATTGTTTGCCCATAGCGCTATCCTGGTGGCTTCGGCGTCTAAACGTGGTTGCAGAGGAATGTCGGCCATCCCCTCTCATCTCTATATTTGGATCCCAGTCATCTCTCAGCGGCTGGTCGTCCAATTGTGGCTACAATGCTCGGAGGCCCAGACAAGATAAAGCGCGGCCACCCCGCCGGTATCTATGGGCCTTTGTATTCTGAGGGCGCCGCTTCTGATGTCCTTGTCCTCGTCCACACTGTCAAGTCGTCAGAAAGCGGTATTTCGGCTATGAAGAGATCAAAGGTTGTCTGAACAGAGGCATACGACCACGGGGCGGCGTCCGTGGGAAGGTCCATACGGCCCGCTTTGGACCTTGTCTTCATACCGACACGGCGACAGGTCTCAGATCGAGTTCGACACACCAAGAAAGCGTTTTCGGGCTTCCCAATGTTTTCTTTCTACACCAAGCCAAACGTTCCGCGGACTCACCCGCGTGCGTAGTCGCTGCGTGCGTTTGCCTTGATGAGCAACTGTACGACACAAGCCCTCAATTGGCCCAGCGATGCCCAACGACGCTTTTTCGAGGTGTTTTCAACCCATTGGTGGAGGAGTTTCGGCCCCATTTCCTTTGGCCGTTATCGTTGACCTCCGTTCGACGAGCCTTGGTGCATTTAGAGCCATCTGCATACGCTTATCGTGCTAAAAACAAGTTCTTTGTGCAATATAGACTCGGCCTTTTTGTCTTTACGGACCCTGCTCGTCCGACCTCGGATCATTCTCTTTAGGCCCGTCGGTCGTCGCTTTTGCCAAAGCTTGAGGTGTCCCGCGTATGTAGACCAAGTAGACTGTTCTACAGGCCCAGAGCGTGTGCGGAAACCCACGGCTCACGCTCAACGATGCCCTCTGCGGCGCGGGTCGAGTTCGGGGCCATTTGCACCGTTATACTCAAGACGTTGGAGCTTTAATCGCTCTATATATGCCTCTACGGTGTTATAGCATCGTTCAGAGTGGAGCATGACGCTGACATGAACCGGTGCTTCATCCACGAGCGACCCATCGGCTTAAAGGAGACAAAACGAGGAGACGTGTGCGATTATTGAGACGGTAAGCTTCTCTCCCTGCGCTTGCTTCTTCGTTCCTACCGCGAGACTCTGACGCCGGTTTGGTAGATGTGGGTCCAATTCCGAGAGAAGGCCGATAAGCTGCATCATCACGCACACTTGGTCGGGCTTTCCCCACAACGGCACCTCCCAAACAAGGACGACACAAGGAGGGACGTCGAACAGGCCGTCTGGTCTCACGAACGGACGACTCTCATTGTCGAAAACCTCGCCTTGCAAGGTCACAACCTCTTCCAAACACCATCGAGGTTTCTGCTCAGATATACGCGAACATAGTGCCCTTCTACCGCCAAGAATGCGGGCATTGCCTTCTAGTTCCAACAGGATAGTCAGATTTCCAGTACGCATCATCGGATTTGGACCGAAATAAGGCTCATTACCTGTAGAAGATCAGCAATTCTGGCGTTGTCGGCGCCCTTGGTGGCCGTGGCGTTGCTGCTGCCGTCACGATCGTCCCAAACACAATCCAGCCGCTAGGACGGAGGTTTCTGCAAGAAGCACGCGCACGAAAAGGTCTACTTTATCAAATTAGGGACCCGCGGGCGCCATCTCCCCTACGAGACGTTCTGCCCTCTTGCGACTATCCCCACCAAGAGATGATTTGTTCTGACTGTCGAGGATAGTCTTCGTTGAGGATTTGAACGGGCGGAACGTGATCCCGGTGCGCTCGCTTGCTTTCAGTGACGTCCGACGCTCATCCCTTTTTCTAGCCAAGGTTCGCTCGACTGTAGCAGACGCCGAGCAGGGGGCTCCGTTCTTGGTGCTCTTGACGCACCCTTTACCATCGAGACGGACACCCCAGCGACTGCCACCAGAAGCGCTGACGTCTGCTTTGAATCGCGATTCCTCTCCAACATGGACCCAGGCCTAGCAGCGACGCGTTCAAGATTGTGGCCACCGCGACTCGGCTTCCTCCCCAGACGTTGGCCATACGCACGGATGGATCTGTAAGCAGGGCATGAGCGGGACTTGTGAGGGAACAACATGGGGCGGGCCGCGTACGTCTCGTTTGCTAAGCCGCAAAACTTGTTTACTAACGCAAGCTCTAGTCCTTTCGCCGTCCCTGAGAAGGAATCCCCACACACTACGTAGTCCGCTCCGCAACCGCTTTCTACAGCCGTCAACTTCAAACCACGGATCAAAAGTAAACGACGGACTCGGACGATTCCCAAACTGGCCGCGACGTAGAAAAGGCCCAACGACGCGGCATCGTGCTCCGGAGCAAGGCAATATCTGGAGACCATCGACGCCGGCCCGCTTTGCTAAAGTGAGCTCAAAGACTTAGGATTCCGCCCAGGCTCTTCTAACATTTCTGATAAGGCCGAATCCAACCCTTTTCCGACCTACCATGCCTTTCAACTCTTTCCAACGCCGCATGCTTGCTCAGGCTCAGTACCAACGCAATCATTGACGAGTCAGACTCCGATTCCGGACCTCTCTCCCTCTTCTCCGCCACCTAAGAACGGCTCCGCCGCCCCTGGGCAGCGCTACAGGGCAGCTTCGGCGTCTCGTCCTTATCGCGTAGGTGAATGTTTTGGGACGATTTCCTCCCCATTTTTGCGGTCACCCTACGCTTCCTCTATTGGGGCCAAGAGGCAAGGCAGGCGATGGGTGGCAATGGACTTTGGTGTGTTGGCAAGCCAACGACTCCTACCGTCGCCTGCTGAGTACTTCTTAGGGTGCGGTGGGTGGGTAGTAGTTCGAGTGCTGTTCTTTAGCATGCTAGTTCTGCTAGTGAGCGACGTTCTCCCGTCGTCGGCGTGGCGGAGCCTTTCCTTGGTCTGCCACCTGCTATTTATTCGTCCCCCGTACATAGGCCCGTTAGCTCAATAAAAAGGTCATATATTCTGTTATATATGGCGCCATTTGTCCGTCGACTACCTGTCGCAGCACAGATATACCATCGGCCTCCAACCGCGACGTGTAAGGTTCCGAGACTCCCGGCTCGTCATACACGTCTTACACCTCGTGATCGCACCCGAAACACCTCCCCCTTTTTCTATAATCAATTAGTTACCTCTTTCGTGACTGCCTCTATTGTCTCGACTGTTGTAGCGATGGCGGTTGCACAGGCTTGACTCCCATCTGACCTCCCCCGCTTAATCATTTTCCCAACGTTTACCCACGGTCACTCGAACGCTATATAAGATGCTATGTACACGTCTCATCTAGCAAGCCTTCCTGTACCCCCTCTAGTCGACCCACCTTATCAATACATGGTGCTAGACTGGTGATCTCGCTCGCCCCTTCTAAGTCTGCTTATTAACTTAGTTCGCGACGACCTCGTACAGGTGAGCTTCCCGTGAACCTCACACGACGGCAAGGTGGATCGAAGTAAACGATGGAAGGGTGACAACATTAGCGCACGAGGCTCTATTACCGAACGATCGAACTCACCAGCGTGCCATAGAAAGTCAAGAATCACTCACTACCGAGTACTGCTCGAGTGCTCGCAAAGGACGACAGCTTCCCCTCATTAGAATACTCAGCCAGTGCCGCAGTTTGAAAACGTCCTGCTTCAAGCCTAGGACATGAGGTCGGGAGAGTAAAAAAGCCAGTGCTGTTCGGGAGAGCAATCTAGCATGGGACACTGCGCGTGCAATTGAGCTCTATGTTTCATTTCGGAAAAGCGGGCGGCGACCGAATATCTACGTTCATTGACGGGTGTAAGAAGCTAAATGTCGAAGGTTTACCCTTTGACTCTTAGCGCTCACTAAATAGACTTAGCCAATAGTAATAGCTCACGTCGTAACTCAATGTATTTAGGGACGCGGGACGATGCGGCCGGACCTTACTGGTCTTGCCTCTCACCTCACGCGTCCTAGAATCAACGGAATCAACCCTAAATACAGCCATTCTCAGGTTTTTGAAATACGCCATCGTCCCCGTCTGCCAATGCTCTTGCATGTTTGCGGATGTATCTCGATATCTGCCGATGTCCCTGACTGGCTAGCTGACACCAAACGATTTACAGGAGGCAAACACAAAATGAGTGGCTGTAGGCGGGTGGCCAGGCGGGTTAAATGATGTATAGCATTGAGTCTGTCAGCCAAAAATGTTGCCATATAGTTATACTATCTACATTAGTAAGCGCAGAACAATACATGTCTTTTACTAAGTGGAGCTAAGGTGTGTCTCGCTTCTAGGTATGTCTTGCTCCTAGGGGTCCGACAGTAAGCCAAGTTTTCTAGGTCAAAAAGCGATGGAATTAGGCGCTCCTTCCCCCAGAGCTGATACATTTGCCTTTTGACCAGCTCAGCGGTAGTATACACCTTGAACCATATCTTCCATCTCTCAACCAATTCTGGATCAGGCAGCCATAACGGTACTTCACCAGCGTCTAGCTTCTCGCGTATACACCGTTTCCAAATGAAGGCAATGCCTTTGTAATTGTATGTGTCAGGGATCTCAAGCGTCACCTGCTCGAGGGTCGGGCAGGCACCTGCAAGGCGGAGGATAACCGACTTCTCGAATGTGGGATTGGAATCGTCTGCTCGTAATTGGAATGTATAGATTTTGATTGCATGAAGACGCCGGAGTTTCTTTATAATGCCGATATATTCTTCAAGGATATGCTTTAGAAAACGGTGAGCTTATATCGACAACTAGGTCAAAGTGCTCACTGGGGTCATACGGAAACTCTTGTATTTGTCTCGTTTAGAATACTCGATCCCTATCGCCAGTGATTCTAGACTGGAGAGCATCGTGATAAAGTTGCGGATCGACGTGAGAGTTTTCGCTTGGCCATCTGCCTCTCCGTCGTAAAAGTGCCATCGACAGTCGAAATGTCGAAGGTTTAGCCCGAGGCCGATATTTAACACCTCGTCTCCTGAAATGTAGACCATCTTTCGGACCACCAGACTTGATATATTCCCAAGCGGACTGCGCAAGTCGGTGTTATTCTCTGGTAGGACATCTAAACATAGTGCTGTTAAAGAGCTAGGCCATTGATAGTCCTTTAGCGTCAGCGGTGAGTCGTAGTTGAAGGCCGAGGAGTCGGTATGGTGCGGGGCGTACGGTTGGTTGTATTCAAGAACCGGAAAGGTGATATGTCGAAGGCCTTGTGCGCGTGAGATGATGTCTCTAAGTATCGTATTGACGTGACGGCCATAGCCTGTCAAATACGAAGTTGGCACGTCGCATATTATGAGGTTCAGAGTGCGGCAGGGGTAAAGACACAGGAACAGTTTCATTCACGAGCAGTGGCATTTGATACGATCGTGTTACCTTTGCCTCGAGAGAACGTACTGACGGAGAAGGAGGTCAGCAAGGGATACTTTGGCACGCTACCAGCCGAGCTTGGGCAAGAGGTTCACTGTCAGCTCAAGATCAAGAATCCACAAGTACGGACCGCGACGGAACCGTCCATGCGAGCCCAAGCTAAGGAGGAGGCAGTGAGTATATTGGCGCCGGACTGGTGTGAGGAGCCTATCATCGGTGATGGGCGCCCTCTGGTGGAGCGTATGGCGGAGCTGGAGAAGAAGGCATCTCGGATTACCCCGAAGGAGCTCGAGTACGTACCTGACTCGATCGGCGACCTCATTTGCCAGATGGGAAACCTTCGATCGGCGAGGAGCGTTACGCAAAGGTGCACGCTGCGCCCATCGCGAAGCTTCTTGGTGCCTCATGGATTTTCCCGGCACCTACGTATTATTTGAAGGGGGCCGTTCGAATTCGGTACTGGTGTCGAAGGTTTTCCCTTTGTAACTAAATGTATTTAGGGACGCGTGGCGCCATGGCTGGACCTTACTGGTCTTACCTCTCGCCTCACGCGACCTAGTATTAACAGCTGGTGCAATTGGCAGGTATTCCAGAAATCTTCTTACGTACTCCTGAGTGCTATAGGCAAGACCTGTCTCGCCACACGCGTCGTAGGTGGCCCATTCCGGATGATCCGTCTCTCTCGAGTGCGCGACCTGGCGCTTATATCTTGCAGGATGGATCCAGAGGAGCAATCTAACCAGTCTCTATTCGTGTATCTTGTCTCAATTCTGTTGTTGACACGATCGTTCACAAGGCCACGACGGCATCGGACTCTAATGCGACACCAGGGAGGAAGTTAGTGGCATATTGGGACGCGTGCGGTGCAGTAGTATGCCACAATGTCACGGCCCCAGGTCCATTAGAATATCTCGAACTCCTTTGGGCATTTCGAGCGGCGGAGTATAGCATGAACGCGCCAATCATTATCGTCGGGACAAAATCAGACACGTTTCCATCGAAGAGGCGAGTCATTTATAACAATAATGGGATCAAAACTGATGGCGGTAGGCGAGAAAAACGGCAGAGCGCGTCAACGCTGTGCATCTTCTCGAGTGCTCGTCAAGGACGGGTGATGGTATCGCGCTACTCTTGGAGCTAACAGCAAAGGAGATGCTTGCGCGCAATCATGTCCACGTCCGGAAAGCACCGTGGAACAGCAAGGCATGTGTCGCAATGTGAGAATGGTCGACAGGCTTGAAATGGCGAGATATACTCCATGTAACGATGAATCCCTGTGACAATATTGGATACCCGTCTGAAAAAGCGGATGTAATGTTATATAAATATCGTTCCCGCCGAGTTACGGGGGCCGAATGGTGATTCCCTCTCATATTTTGATCCTCTGAAGGACATGCATGCTATTAACTTCATAGAACAAGTCATCTAGATAGCCGGGGTGCTCTACGACAAATAGACGCGCAACTCTTGTCCACCATGACGACTCATAAGGTTGTTCTGATCGGTAGCAGTGGAGTCGGTAAGTATTGTAACAGTGACATGGGATCTTTTCTGAGTCCCTAGGCAAATCATCCCTGGCAGCACGCGCGATGGACGAGCCATTTCAGACAGTATGTCAGTCAAAAGGACGACTTGGCCCTTATCTGTCATAGGAGTGGCATTATGGAGCTATAGAGCCGCGTTTAATTCACGTACCCTGCCTTAACACTGTGGTCGAGATGCTCGTCGAGGATGTTGCGACATGTGGACATAGAACGAGACCACTCGCATCCACCTTGAGAATCTCCTCGTCTCCGTAAATATCCGTGTCGCACAGATCCGCTTCTGGCGACGTTTCTGCCGCCTCATGTCGATGTATTGCGCTGATAACGCCATCGTTGATGAGTACATCCGCTCTCAAACGCGTTGCTCCTTCCGTTTCCTCACCATCGATGACGCTCACTTGTCGGAAGAGGATCCCATTAGGATAAGGCGTCTCTGGTGGCGAAATGCAGGGATGATGTGGTTCATCTGATCCCTGGTGGGCATCATTCTGAGTATTGGCCATCGCTAAGCACCTAGGTGTGTCAGGAGCCTGCTCAAGGCGCAGTCAACGCGAAGGCGCTCACATTCCCAATTTGCAGAATCAGAGAAGTAATTGTGGAGCGAGTTTAAAGGCAAAGTGGTGGACATTATATAGCCATCGGGCGGAGATGGATGCCAGACTCGATAGCGTGCGGTCCAACCTGGGCTTCTCACCAACGAACCCAATCACACATCCCTCGACGAGGGTGGACGCGATACCAGATAGGATAGGACGTTACGAACATGATACCTTGCAATGACTGGTCTTGGACGTCGGATGGGTATATGCTACGCCCTAGAATCCTCTGCTCAGATACGGAAAGTGGTATAGTAGTATGACGGATTGATGTTGAATATATGAATAGAATCACATGTAGAGAAATCTAAGCAGACAAGCTTCGCGCTCGATGCAGACAGTATGGAACAGTTGGGTACTTACTCGCGTGGTGAGGGATGTACAATGGCAAGAATCATGATCAATAACTCAGGCCCAAGATATGTGTCATTTTTTAAATAATTAAATAAGGAGAGTTAAGCGGTCACACAGGTCGCCTACGCAGCAGTCAATACAGCGTCAACAAGATAGACCAGATCCTGGATTATTGATGAGAGTCTATATGGTGAATGAGGCTCAAGAGAATGCCTGAGGCCTAGTTAGGACATTCGTTGAAAGCCTTGCTATGAACTCACCCTTATTTGGTGGGAATAGACAGCATCTCATTTATGCAACGACGCAACTACTGTTCCAGCCACCTGATTGTTCGAAATCTCTGGAATCTTGTTCATCGTCCTTGGTCATCTTGACAGTCAAAAGTTCGAGAATGAAGAAGGATTCCATAGGTTCAAGTTGAAGGTGAGAGTTCGGAGATGTGAGAGTTGCAGGTGAATCTGGCACTGGGCTGGAGGCGAGTGGGTGGATGGTGACAGCGAAGTTTGGGTCGCCTTTTATGCGCACAAACAATATTTTCCCATTCTAATTTCGACGCCTGATAAGTCTGAAACCCGCTGTTTGAGAAATGCACGTGCGGTGCATCAGTCAAAAGTTGGCTAGCTTGTTTGGTCGCCTCAGTTGACTCCTTGTTTTCTATTCATGAGAATACGATATTCTTTGCGCCAAACCGACTACTCTACCCGCTATTTTCAGCTTGTAAGCAAAACATCGAGCATGCATGGCATCGCTCGGCCGTTCTTAGCAATATCATAAATATATTCATCTATTTGGCTATCCTGAGACTCAAAATGCGGTACGATAATCGAAAAAGGCCTCCTAATCCGTGTTTTTCGCCTCCTTGTTGAATTTATGTTCTCACTAAGTGTGAGACGCTTCCTGTCCAGCGCAAGGGCCTAGTTCTATTCACAAAGGCGAATTCATGAATGATGAAGCATTGACAGCAACGCTTCGAATCTGGAGTGCTGAAAGTGCGTTGTTTCATTGATTCGCCAGCAGGCGTCCATATATCCACCCCTCAAGTTCTTGGTAACTGACGTATTTCCAGTCGAGACGAGATGTATTCTCTCGAAGAGCTTAGGTCGAATGTGAACCAGAGCAGGTTGTAGGGGCTAGTTCGAATCTCCTTTGTCGATCCTTCGCCTCTGTAGGCACCGCCATCCTTGAGTTCCGTTCTCACGGGGCCGCCATAGCCCCAGCCGTATGAGTGTGAGTGCACTAGCAATGCTTGCCCTGGAGACTAGCCTGTCTTTCAATGAGGTTTACGTTTGATCTCCTTGGCTCCGTCTGGGGCGGATCATGTTGCGCTCTGACGGTTAAGGAATGATACATAGTTTTATTTGGGTGCAATTTCACCCTCGCGTCATGTTAGGGCAGCACTACCGCGGTGATAGCCGGTGATTCTCCCAATTGGACCGTACTTTGAAACCAAGCATTCAGGAATATGCAATGATATTACTAGCTATGGTGAAAATTTGACATTAAAGGATCGAGTTATGATCGATCAGTTTGGAAACCAAGGACATATTTTGAACCATAGCCAACGGCTTGAGGTGCCCGTCATAGATCGTATTTCGCACTTCATTCGTCCTGCTCGCTTCCTTTGGGCTTCTCATATCTACGTTTGATTAATTCTGTCTCTGCTACATTGAGTCCCAATCAATTATATGTCCAGAGACCCCGGCCAGTTGTTTTTGGTGTACAGGCTCACGCTTTCCGATGCTTATTGAGTACATTCTACAGGTGAGAGACGTAAGATTGTTTACATTGCCCCAAATTCAGTAAACCACACATTTTGGGAAGTATAACGCAGCGTGTAGGCAAGAGGTTGCGATGCCGAGCGTGAGAGTCAGACTAGGGCAAGAAATGGACAAAACGTACTTCCATGCGCAGCTGAAACTCCCTGCCCCTTTTGTGTCGCCAACTCGGATATCCGCTGCTCACGGAATTCTCACGCCACACTGGATGCGCCGACCCTGATGATCTCCACAAGTAAACGATTCCAACGATCAATCTCTCTAATCTTGGCATACCTCCGTTCACATTGGACTATGTAGCAACGCAATTGCCGACAATAAATAGGGAGATATCGCCCATGCCACGGTGTACGTGTGGAAAGCTATGCGGACCTCGTCAATACACTGCCTTAAGATGGAGAAGCCAGGAAATGAGAAATCTGCATTCAATAGTTCGCATCTAAACTGTCATACAGCCAAAGTCGGAGAGGATGTGTAAGGATTGGCTCACCTTACAGGTCAGAGCCCGGCCGACCAGGTTAGGAATATCTGAGTAACGAGGGTCATAGGTACTGTGACGCTTTAGAGGGAAAAGAGGGACACTATAGTCTAGTGGTCTGACGGCTAAGTCGGTGCGAATGCGGCTTGTTCCATTTTCCCACGGCTAAACGTTACAGGATGCAAAAGCAGTGGACTATGGCGACCATTGCTTCGGCCGTGATCTGTAAATGTGCTAATTAGAGGGGATATGGGTGAATATAATTGCCGAAGGCGGTTGAGGGCGGCCAGACTCTACCTGACATCCGTGGCAGAGACAACGACTCCCTTTTTCTGACGCATAGTTTCAGGTTCCCAAATTTCATCGGAATGAGGTGTATTTTCTGTATAAAAGGCCACCCAAATTTCTCTCCCAACCGTCCTTCACCTCATATCCTATCCATCGCCAGATTCGCCTGCAAACTTGACAACTACACTCTATCAAAAGCGCATTAGCTCTTTTTCAACGCTATGGAATTCTTCGCTAAAATTTTAACATTCGACACTATGCCAGAGGAGCAAGATCTTGACAACGTCAAGGATATGGAGAAAGGAGATAGCAGCAATGGAGGTCAATACTGCGTCGTTGCATAGGTGGAGATACATACCTCTATCACAAGTTCTTCTCAGGTGAGTCTCATGGTAGCATTCAGTAGAGGCCCTGATGCATTATTCAGTTCAACCTAATTCAATCGAGAATGCTTCATATCTTCTAGATTCCCATAAATCCGCAGGGTGCGATACATTCCCTCGGCAAGCGGAGCAATGGAGTTTTTATGTCGGATAAATATATCAATTTCTACTTCATTAACCCAAATACCTCGCCGTTTGCGGTGAAAAATATCTTCAGATTGAGTTGAATTTGCTTGCCATGTGCGCCATTATGCCCGTCACTCATCTGTAATGTACCTCGCATGAAACCTCAAGGTACTAAATAAGGTGGATATGAATGGGTGATGGAACTCATACAAGAAAGTCTTGCAAAAGTGACGGCGAAATGGTGAGGGGAAACAGGTGTGGTGCAGCAGACGGCTTGTACAAATCATTCCTACTTCCAAACTTGTACCTTTGGTCTTTATTATACTGAGAATGGGACCTTTTTTGCCGAAACGGTGAAATGAAGGAGGTCGTGTACGATGGCGGGCTGTATCTCGTCGGGCGAGGGCCTTGTAGTCGTGCCCATGTCATACAGCACAGCAGTACACTGCGTGACATCAACTTTTTCAACTTTGGGATGTTCGCTTGGTTAGGTATCGAAGAGTGAAATTCCAAATGGATGGTCCACGGTCATCCAACAACGGAATACAAAGAGAGAGACTCTACACAGGCCTTGAGTGCCTTTCCTCTCGCTCGGGATCTCATCTCCGCTTCTCGCGGAATTCCCTTGGTAGCTGTTCCTGGATAGGTTGCTCGATGAAACAGCGTTCCTTGCTTGGCATCTGGGCATTCTACTTTCCGTCCGATGCGGATCATATTGAAATATACATCGCGCACCAGATGGTGAAGGATTCACAAAGCAAAGCTCATGTGGCACGATGCTCCTCAAGTCTAGGTACGAATGATGCTAAGATGAGGTACATCAATTGCTGAGAGCTAGTATCATGCGACATACCAAACCGGTCTTGACTCTCCCCCACGTGTCCTAGTATCAACAAATTCCGTGTCACTGCCCTGGCTATCCGCCACTCACGGAATTCTCGCATCACACTGAATGTGCTGACCCCTGGCGAGTGTGATACTGCCAAGGATGAAGAGGCGAGAGAAATATGGGCATCGGCGACCGTTGTTTAGGCTGTAATGGAGAATTGCATTGCCAGTATGTAGAGTGATGAATAGACGACGAGAGATTTGGTTAGCTGGAGGACCCGTACCTCCGTCGCACAGACAACGACCACCTTTTCTGAAACTGTGTGATACACAGTTCCAAGTGCCATGCTTGCATTGGAATGACGCGCTGTTCCTGTATATGGCCGCCCGACTTTCACCCGTTTCTGTATAAAAGGCCACCGAACATTCACCCAACCCCTCACCTCGCCTCCTATCCACCACCGGATTCACCTGCAAACGTCGTAACTACACCCCAACGCATTAGCTCTCATGGAATTCCTTGTCGTTCCTAACACTTTTGCTTTCGACACTACTCCAGAGGAACAAGATATCGATAATGTCAAGGACATGGAAAACGGATGGGGTGGCACACCTCAATACTGTGTTGTTGCCTAGAGTAAAGGTACATAGCCCCGCCACCAATTCTCCCCAGGTCAGTGTTACAGCAGCTTTGGCATAGGACCTGATGAATTATTCAGTTCAGCTACGTATTTTGCATTAGTAGTGACGTGGTATCTTCGATACTTTCACGAAACTGCGTGGTTCGATCGTTCCCTCCACAAGCTGAGCAGGAAGGAAAGTTTATGCAGGATAGATATGACAATGCTTAGCTCGTTAACTTCATATACATTGCCGTTCAGGGCGACAATGCCTTCTCAAATTGAGTTCGATTTTCTCGCTATCTGTACTACCGCGCTTGGGCAGCCATCTTTGCGGTGACTTGCCATTATACACTGTGTTATAGGCCTCAATTCGCCAACAGATTTGTCTTTGCTCTCATATGAGAGCGTGCGGGATAAGACATAACTTGTATATGAAATCCGGCCGCTTCCCGTCATAATCCGCGACGTTAATAGCGTCGACGACTGTACCCTTCTTCATCTCCTACATCTGACATTACAACTGTTCTGTAATTCGTTCGTTGAGCAAGCGACATTGACGCCTCCGCTCCTAATCGTCTTCTTCATCTGTTTCACGCACTCTTCAACGTCTACTCACTGTAGAAACCATTGCTGACTACTATGGTGCAAGGTGCCGAGCGTGGGCCTCGTCGCCCTTGCAGCCCATCTGGGAGCCGTCGTCATTACACATCAACCTCTCTCTTTTGTCTCATAGTAATCGAGATTCTCACCAAATTTCTCCTCAGATCCTTGATCCACTGTCGTCATCTACATATAGCCCCTTATTCTCATCGTTCACTCTTATCAAATCGTCACTGAAACGACATTGAAAGAACATAGACTTGACTATCTGCCTTAGACCCCCCTCGCTCCATCCATCTACTCCCCACCTTGTCAATCTAATGCAATCAGACAGGTGATCTCCTTTAGTTCTACTCACTCGGGAGCGCAGGGACCCTGGACAAGTGACTCCTCTACGGGAATATCACATAAGGCCACCATATTTACTGTTGCGGCTTATCGCTGTTACGAAGCATTGATGTTACGGGTTTGAAATGTCCAGACTTAAATAAACAATATAAATATCAAAAATGAAGTATGAAGCGATACTGTCCATACCCCCTTAGCGAGAAGGTTAAGCTCTTTTGGCATTAACAAGGGTAGAATAGATCACCGGGCTTGCTTTTCTGGGTTTTTATATCATTTATTGTCCACTCTATCAATGCACGAGGCGGCGAAGGTTCGGTGGCAATAGGTGTGGGGCTGTGCTGACCGGCGCTTGGAAGCATGCGTCCCGGGCCACCGAGAAAACTTGTATCCAAGCTCAGAGCCTGGAAACTCTCTCAAAAGTTCAGAAAAAAATATGATAGATAAAGGATAGCGACAAAATTGACTAAGTGGCATTGGAATGCCTCCAACTTGCTATAATCCTCTGTTACGTTTCCTAGCTGCCGGATTCAAAACAAAGAAGTCATCATCTTCTTCGTAAGAGATCTCGTGCATAGGATTAGGCCGTTTAAACCGCTTTCCTTGCGTCTTTTTGGCTCCTGTCATGGAAACGCCGACTGTATTAGGGGTGGCAGCATTTCCAGAGCCAATATTTGTGAGGAACCCGACTTAATACCAGTAGATAGCCTTTTTGGGCTCTCCTTCTGAGCGGTAGCTGACCGTCCGCGACGCAGGGTGACAGGGGTATCTTGTGCTGCCGCCTGGGGTGCCTTTGATGGATCTGCATGCAATCCAGTGCTGTTAGACTTTGCAGACAGTCCTGAGCGTGTGGTGCGATGGGTGGGTTGTGCATTGCTGAGCCTATCAGTGTCCGAGTCGGAGGTGGCTGCATCAGATGCCGTATCAGAGGTGTTGTCCTTGACCTGGAATCGCACTTTTTGGCCCTTCTGTCCTCCAGTACCCCTTTTACCCTTAAGTTCAGCCTTTTCTGCTCGGGCCACTGCCTTTGCTGCCTTCTCTGCTGCCTTTGCGGCTCGCCTCTCTTCGTCTGCCTTGATTTCGTCCAGGCCCTCTGGAGATGTCATAACTCGTGCCTTTGTGTTAAGGAACTTGTTTTTCTGTCGCGTGGTTTTCTTGAGCGCGATTTGACGCAGCTGACCATTCTCCAAATGGAACAGCTTGTTCCAGGTGGCGCTCACCATCAGTTGAGCAGACTGTGCTGCTATAACCTGCTCATACTCGCGAATGCGACTCCTTAGCACAGAGCTATCAACATTCTGGTCAGGCAAAGCAGGCATTGAGCAGGCTCGCAAGGCAGCCGGGACGTCATAATCTTGTAGATCTGCTGGAAGTTGCGACGGATTTGCCGCTATATGGCTTTCAAGTTTATCTGGAATTCATATTTAGCCGTTATTCACATCCAGGATCACTAGCTCACCTTGTTCAACTGGGGGGTCTGCAGCTATCAAGCTGGAAGGCGGATGAGGAGATGTGGATGACAACTAGACAATTCCAATAGCTTTGTTTGATGCCTCCAATGTCATATCCAGCAAGTCTAAGGCGCCTTTGTCTGTTGTAGAATCAGAATTGGTCAAGGCAATCATTCTTCGGTATCTTACCAGGATCTGGGAGAAGAACCGCTGTTGTTGTCGCCAGTGATAGCTCAAAATCTGAGCTCTGCAATGCATCCTTGTTTACAGGCCATATCCCTGTCTTGCGAAATGCCTTTTGAATTGTCTCCTCCTTGAATGAGGCTGCTCGTGCCTCGGCATACAGCCCGAGCATGTTGTATTTTGTCACCTGAATGCCTTTAGTAGCATTCTCACTGACCACAGAGCGCCATGATTGTGATAATGGACCAAATACACTGACATCACATGGCTGAAGGGTGTGTGTGGTGTGTGGTGGGAGGCAAAGGACAATGATATCGTATCTGTTGGCATATTCAAGAAATCGATATGCTGTATGAGAGTTATGGCCATCAACTATAAGGAGGCGCGGGGCCTGAGGGTCGCTGTGGATAGCTGTTTCTGGTTCGAAGCATCACTCCATCCACAACGCGCCCAGCTCTTGATCTGTCCATCCTTCAGATGATGTTGCTATTCTAAATAGAGTAAGTTGAAATGCTAACTTTAAGTATCTGCTTGCTCACACTGGGCTCATTCCACCAAAATTCTGGGTGAACCAAAGCTTTGACATCCGCTTCCCTTTGAATATGACCATAGGTGAAATAGCGGTTCCATCGGCGCATATGCACTCGATTACAGTTGCCATCTCGCGATGTTTGTCATGGATCATACGTGTGTTACGCTGAGTTTGCTCCACCAAGACCTTGGACCGCTCGTCCTCGCCAAACTGAACACCTTTTTCGTCTGCATTATAAATATTCTTCTGAGGAATAGCCGAGTTATTCACTTCCGCCATCAATTTTTCATAAAAGTCGTGAACCACGGCTGGGTTAACGGCTTTAGCACGGGAATGTTCAATAGGTTGTGTCCATGTCGACTTTAATCTATCTGAGTGTCGATCTTTAAAGCGGTCAATCCAATGCTTCCCCACATCCTGGCCCGAGATTGCCACGGCTTTGGCCCGAACATGATTGGGATTTAGTGGTATTCCCTTGCCACCCCAGAAGATAATCCAATCAACGAGGACGTTATCCTCCTCGGGACCAAGGGTTTGTCGGTGTACATGGGCATCTTGGCGCGTTTTGCGACCTTTTAGGCGAGCAGCCACAGTCGATGGAGGAGCACCGTGCATAATTGCGGCCTGTTTCACAGATACTTGCACTCCCTGAGCTTTTTTATGCTCTATAAAGGCTATTGCAGCCTGAATACGCTGCTCGTTTGCACGGGCCGCTTCGCGTGGGGCCAGAGATGGAGAGGGACGAGGAGCGCTCATACTAGGCAATGAGTTTAATCTAAACAGCAGACAGCTAATATAAGCCCTTATATATATCCGTGAACCCTTTGGAGAGACATGATTGATAGAACTGGCACTGAAACTGTCACCGGCAGTCAGTCATCGCCTATCTGTTGTTTTGGCAATTGGACGCACGGAGAATGGACACTCTGTGACCACCAACACGTTTAAAGTAACTTCAGACTAGAATGGTATGACCAAGAGCCCTCAAACATGCAGGACATGGCATTTAAACAGTGCCACCACAATGATCGGCAGGGCGGCGCCATAGCCATCGGGCGCACAGGTAAACCTCCCAGAAATCAATCATGACTTTTTTACATTGGTTTGTGTATGGAAATCGTGCGGTATAGGTTTAGGTGCACAGCAGCGATCTACAGGCAGCACACAACGCGGATTGGCTGTAAAGCGGGTCGTCGGGCCGGCGAAGCGAGGCATAGCATCAAGCGCCGAGGTCCAAAATATTGCCATATATCTACTTTATCTACATTAAAAGGCGCGAGACAATATGCGTGTTCTAGCTGGAGAAAAAGGAGGTTTCTCGGTAATGGGTATTTCTCGCTAAGGGGGGTCTGACAGTACATGTCCTTTGACACATCCATATGCACCATCACCACAGTGGAGGCCTTTGGACCAGTTGGTTCCTTTGCATGGAGTATTGTAATTGCAGGCACGTTTGAGGAGCTGATGCGATGTGAGGTTGGGACCAAAAGTCATGGCTTGTATACTTACGTCGATGGATCCAGCTACATCTTGCTCGCGAGCCCGAGCGATTATTGCTTCCTCGTCGGTGACTGCGACAGCAAGTACAGTGGTGACTGCGACGGCAAGGCTGGCAAAGATGGAGAACTAGGAAGTATCGTGAGCGTCAGTTAAGGTTTATAAACTCTCTCTACCTTCATTTTCAGTGTACTTTGAGCTGGAACTTGTGTCGAAACTACCTCGACTGTGGATGGTATTTATGCTCGAGCTTGTTTATTTACTTTCTTCGGTCTCCTCTCGGTCTCACAGGTATCATGATGAGCACCGGTCGATTTCTCCTCGCTGAGAGGATTCTGACCAGTCGAAAGTTGGACAGGACCTCGGGACCACATGCACAAATGCCTTCCGAAAATGTCAGCTAACAAGTATTTTAACGAGTGCGAAGAGATCCGTCGAACGTCTCAGGCTTCTTCTTGCTTCTATGTAGTCAGCAAGACGGCTCGGATCCTTGAATGCGGTTCTCTGGCAATTAAGTTGAGATCACGGACGTTAACGGAATATGTCGTGAGTTTTGTAGATCCCGGCAAGTCTATTAGCCATCAATGGCGAAGTCGCTCGGGGGGAATGATAGATGACCGGTGTGCCACAAGCCCTCACAAGAGCTGAGTATACAGGAAGCCAGAATTTCGTAACAGTATGGGATCCGTGTTATTATGCTGAACCGACACTCTGGGAATGGTGAATGAAGCAATGCTCGCCGCATGCTCCGAGGCGGCAAATTTTCTAATATATAGACTACATTTACGACAATTCGCGTCGACTGAGCCTCATTTATGATTGTGTCTCAAATGGTGGATCAGTCTGCGATGCATATAACACTTCTCTACTTGAGTAGCTAATGGGCCTTCCACTAGTTGTCGGCATCTAACGTCTGGTATCAGATGAGACACTTGGAAATTCCGGGAACCCGTACCTGGATCGATTTTTGGGGTTGGGATGTATGCTCGAGCCGCGCGATTTTGGCCAGTATTTGTAGAGAATCTTTCGTCACGATCCCTGACGAGATTTTTGAGATCGATCTGGTCGTCGGAGGTGAATGATTCCATGAGCATTGGATGACCCAGCGGAACGGTGTCTCCTCAGTCAACCTGCCAGAGATGATACCTGGCCAGCGTCAGGAAGGCATGCATTTCCTTCATCCAACTCACGTCTTTCCATACCAGTCCACGAGCATTTCCATTTCTTTATTTTCCGCCGCTTGCCATACGACGTTGGGAACAACCCCTGGCTTGGCCATGATGAGCATGCCAGATTTGACCTGCCTATGGTAAGTATGAATAAAGTGCACGAGTTTCGACGGACCTCATACGCATGAGAGTGCCACAGTTTTTTCTCTTCCTTAGGAAGTGTCTGATAGAGTCTCGGAGAGATCAGGTACTCAACTGGATCAGGATTAGATCAATTTGTTTAAAGATAAACTATACATACTCCCTATCAATCTCGCATTAATGCGAGGAGAGTCGTAAATCTGGTCATTAGCGGTGAATGTTCAGAAAATATGACTCACGATGCATTGGCGCATTTCTGGCTCGATATGAGCACAATAGTGATACGAGTCTACGGGTGGACGTGCTGTATCATCTGCATATACGTGATAGGCGTTCAGGAATGCGCAAATGCTCTTAACCGGGGTAAAGTCCTGGGTTGCTCCTGCTGTCAATTCCAGCATGGCACTGGTTGTGCCAGCTGGATCAGGCTTTGACTCGTTTTCATACTGAGACATTTTCGTTGGGTCCAAAATGTACAGAGGTTTCGATGTCATCGACGGATCATGGCAAATCGTTACATCACAGAAATGATCCGACCAACCGATACACAAAGTTCTGTCGAAATATAGAAGCGAATCCATGGTTTTCATTCACTTATCATAGAATCACACATTTTCGCGGCCGTTCTGTCCTTACTGCTGGAGGCGCCAGCGCGGCTCTCACCACAGCTTCGGCTAACTCCTTCATGTTCGTATTATTCTTCGCTGAGCACTCTACGTACTCGGTCGCCCCAATTGATTCTCGTATCGCCTCGACTTGCTCGACGCTGACCCGAGTTGGGATAGAAACAAGGTCGGCCTTGCACCCAACGAGGAGAAACGGTATTTCGGGTTCGGTGCAAAAGTATAGGAGTTCGGGAATCCACTTTTCACGAATCTTTTGAAGGCTTTCCGATCGGTCTACAGCAAAACAGAGGACAAAGACGTCGGTACAGGGATAGTATAATGGTCGCAGACGATCGTAATCATCTTGTGGAGGCGCCTCCCACATATTGAGTTGGGCTTGCTTTCCATCAAACTGTATAATGTGCGAGAATGGCTCCCGGAGTGTACAAATGAACCTCTGCCCATGTCAGGGCCGAAATCATATCGAAGTGATTCAAGTACCTCGGGAAAAAAGCCAAAGTAAAGGCGATAGATCAAGCAAGTTTTCCCTGATAAACTTTGTCAGACGCCGAGGAGAAAGGTAGAGAAAAGCAGACCAACAGCAGCGTCACCAATAAATACAACTTTGAGGTTGACAAGTTCCATCGTTTGGTGACTTAGCTTTTACGAGAAGAAATGTTGTTGATCAAGGTGCGGTCCAAGATCCGTTAGGCTTGCGTGCCAGCTCTGGGCAAGTGTGGGAATGCACAAACCCCGGAGAGTTTTTCTTATATTACTCGTTGCCATGGCTTGGACATTCATGGCCAACGCGGCTTCGGTGTGGAATGAGGCAGTGCGTCGCCACTTTTGACTGGCGTTAACTGTCGCTCCTCTGCTGTTATAACGAGAACGTCTGCCAACGCGTTTCTTGCCGTCTGACCACGCAAAATGGCAAATCGTTCGCATACCCCGCAGAAAAACCCCCAGTCACGACCACAGACTGCGCGACGGCCAGTGAAGTCCACACGTAATGCCGACAGGAATAGCGACAAACGCCCAGATCCGAGATCAAAGGTAGATGACCTCGGATTCCTGGAGCTCTCTCCCGGAACAGATCCCATTGTCGAGTAGGTCGTTCAGGAAACGCCACAGTCTCTGCCACTGAGCTTACCCTGTCAGTATTGTCGCCATCCATGGGCTAGATGGACACAGAGAAAAGTCGTGGGCCACGAAAGGGTCAATTATGTGGCTGCGCGACTTCTTGCCAACCGACTTGTCCAACGCTCGAGTCTTATCGTACGGATATGATGCCGACACCTCGAGCCGGGAGTGTGTATCCACTCAGACAATGCGTCGACATGCGGATGGATTCGCCAGAGCGCTCGCAAGGAGACGCAAGGACCATCCTCGAGTGAGTGCCGAACCGTCATTCAGAAAGTCATTTGACACGCTATTAGCGACCCTTCATCTTCGTAGCGCATGATCTAGGAGGTATCATCCTCAAATGGGTCTGTAGCCCCAGATCCGCTCTCATCGAAACAAGTCGCTGACCATCGACAGGCGCTGGTGATCTGCCATAATCAAAGACTAGAAACAAAATGCGACCTTCGCGACCTTCTGACCTCCACCCATGCGATCCTTTTCTTCGGAACTCCCCACTCTGGCACCGACACCTCTCTTCTTGAACAAGTCACCCGCGTGGCCTCGGTGTATATGGAGACGACGGACACCATCCCCAAAGATCTTCGGGTTCACTCGTCTGAACTCGAGAATATACAGAGTCTCTATGTTCAGGCAAGTACGAATATCCACACCGTCTTCTTCTCCGCAGAGTATACGAATGGACGAATGATGCGTATCTGTATCATTTGGGACTGTCGGCTCACGCAAAAATTAGAATGTTTCGTACTCCTCGGCTGTGATTGCTGGCGATCCAAACGCAACGGCGATTGTACTCCATACCGACCACCGTGATCTGGTCAGATTTGCTGTTCAAGATCAGGACAACTATCAAACAGTTCTCCACTATCTCAGAGAGTACGTCGACGACGCGGCTGTACAGGTGAAGGAGAAGTGGGTCAAGGAGGATGCTCACCGTGGTTGGTATTAGTTCAGGCTCAGTGCTCGTCTGACTGATGTGCAGGTGTTTCGAAGGGAGAGTCCATTCCTGAGGAGGTGATCATGCCGAAACCCCGTCCACCTGTATCAAGAGGCTACATCGAGCGAATTCATTTCCAGTCTCTTATCACGCGGAAGCTTCTGCCGGATGGCCCAGTGAAGCACCAGCCACGGTGTATACTACACGGGCTTGGAGGTGCGGGAAAGACGCAGCTCGCAACAAACTGGATTCAAGAGAATGAGAGCCGGTATGTGTTCGCTATTGTGTCTGCGCAATATCTAATCGTTGATTAGCTTCAATCGGGTGATATTCGTCGACGCCACGAGCGAGGCCCAGCTGGAAGCAGACCTACAACGTTCAATCCGGTGCTTGGGTTCTGAGTACAGCAAGATGACGTGAAAAGACGCAGTCGAACATCTTGGTTACAAGGAAAAGAAGTGGCTGCTCTTTATCGACAATGCCGACTCGCCAGACCTCGATCTCCGCCCATATCTCCCTAGATCGGTTGATGGCGCGATTCTCATCACTACGAGAAACAGACAGTGCACCAAATACGCTCAAGATGGCGCAGTGCCTGTTGGTGGTCGTGAGGAAAGCGAAGCGATCAACCTGCTTCACACAACTGCTGATATTGCACCTGCATCCAGCGCCGATTCGCTCGAGATTGTGAAGGAGCTAGGGATGCTGGCGCTCGCTATCACTCAGGCAGGCGTGTACATTCGCGACACAAAGCGCCTGAGTACATACCTAGACACGTTTCGGAAAAGTCGGGACCGACTTCTAAGCAAGCAGCTAGATCTCGACTCCGAATACACGTCATCGACATACACTGCATTCGACCTATCATTCCATCGATTACAGAAAACGACGCAAGAGTTCTTGAAGCTATGCGCATTCCTCCATCACTCACTCATTCCGCTGTCTCTCTTTGAGAGGTCGATAACCTCTGGCTTCACCACGCACACCGTCGAGAAAAGCTGTCCTCCGCCGGCAAGTGACAAGACTTTTAGGTCAAAGCTTGAGGAGATATTTGGCAAGACATGGGACGAGGTTTCGTTCCAGGAGATCATCAACGCGGCCTTGCGGGCATCACTTATCAACGTTACAACAGACGGCCTGTTCTACGCGGTTCATCCTCTGCTGCAGATGTACATCCAGGATTCGCTTGTCGTAGAGGACAAAAAGAATTATATTCGGATGACGGCACAATTATTGCTTGGTGCAATTCGACCAGCACCAGGGAGCAATGTGGAGCTTTGGCAACTGCTACCACATGCTAACAGCGTCCCGTTATCGACGCAATCGGAGAATCTAGCACATACATTGGTTTTCAACGATTTTTACGATTCTTTGGGAAATTGGAACACATGCTGGAAGCTGTTAGAATGCTCACTCGCACAGGTCCAGCGATGCCAAGGAGAAAGGCATATTGACACCATGTTGGTAATGAGCAGACTTGGAGAAGCGCTTTGGTGCTGTGGTGAACTCGGCAAAGCAGAGAAGATGCAGAGAGATACGCATGTTCTGCGGCTTGAGGTCTCTGGACCACGCCATCCTGACACCATCGTAGCCATGGGCAACCTTGCGCTCACCTTGGGTAGCCTTGGTCAATTTGGTGAAGCCGAGAAGATGGAGCGAGACGTGCTTGCTCTGCGGCTTGAGGTCTCTGGACCACGCCATTCTGACACCATCGTAGCCATGGGCAACCTTGCGCTCACCTTGGGTAGCCTTGGTCAATTTGGTGAAGCCGAGAAGATGGAGCGAGGCGTGCTTGCTCTGCGGCTTGAGGTCTCTGGACCACGCCATCCTGACACCATCGTAGCCATGGGCCAACTCGCGGGCACCTTGGGTAGCCTTGGTCAATTTGGTGAAGCCGAGAAGATGGAGCGAGACGTGCTTGCTCTGTGGCTTGAGGTCTCTGGACCACGCCATCCTGACACCATCCTAGCCATGGGCAACCTCGCGGGCACCTTGCGTAGGCTTGGTCAATTTGGTGAAGCCGAGAAGATGGGGCGAGACGTGCTTGCTCTGTGGCTTGAGGTCTCTGGACTACGGCACCCGGATACTCTCAATGCGACCTACAATCTTTCCCATACACTATATCTCCAGAGACGGTTCGAAGAGGCTTTGCAGCTCTTAGAAGGCACAATCGAACTACGCCGCGAGATCCTTGGTGAACATCATCGTCATACTCAATGGGCGATCCAACTTCTAGGAAAGATCAAATCTGCGCAGTCTTCTCATGGCTTGTAGTCATCTCAAATTTCACTCATCTTATGAGCCTGTCGTGTAGCATTCGATTGTATGTTGCCTGAATTAACATTTCTTGCCCTGTATGAACCCCAAACTGCGTCTAGAAATCTCCTTCTCAGTGTGACTGGAGGATATAATGTATCATTGGATTATATATGGCACTATTAGGTCACAAGTCATTCCAGTTGAACCGCAAATGAGGAACAAGTTTGCCTCCTGCCACTAGCATACCTCCTCGGTACTGAAGATCAGCTGTACTGAGAATTCAATGTATCATAAAACTCTTTATACCAAAATACTACAAAACACTAGTCGCCTCGTAAAGACACCCCTGAAAGCATGGAGAACAGAGCACGACAATCAAGAATACTGGATACAGTATCAGCATCTCGTGTCCAAGTTGATGAAAGGACATACCTTGAACGAATCTACAGCTGACCCAAGCGTGCGTTTGCCAACTGATATGACGCTAAACTTGATCCGCCAACGGCTTCAAATAACACCACTCGGGTGCACTGAGAACACTGGCGTGCGACAAACAGCGCGTCCAACCTCGAGCGTATCGTGGTCATGCGCCTTGTCGATTGCGTCGTCCAACAATGGACATGCGATGCGCGAGCTGACAAGCAAGCACTCTGAAGAGGGCTCTTGGACCCAACCACCACCAATGCCTGAACGAGCTTAGCCTCCCTGGGGCCACCTATGTGTGAGGAGTGGGCACCCTCCGTGAGCCACCAGAGATATGCAAAGTATTGGGGTAGTTGGCTGCTCAGACAGAGGTACCCGAGATATTCTCATCTTCTGAGCATACACTGCTGTCATAAATTGCTACTTGATTCGTTGGTAGCGAGATGCTATCGACTTAACTGCACGCAAGGGCAACTTGGCTGGATAAAGGAACTGGCTCTCAATTTCGTTGCATCACCAATGACTGAAATCGAGTCGAATTTTTCAAGAGAAGGTATACAAACGAGCGTATGAATGGAGAAAACCTCAGACAGCGAGCACGACTTAGAGGCACTGAGAGTACCACTGGTTCGAGTACTTGCAAGTCGAACCGCTCTGGCAGCAGGTAGGTCCACTGTATCCCTGACCACCGCACTGTCCCCACTTGGCGGCGCACTAGGTTACTGGTCAGTCCAAGTTCCTTGTCATATATGTAAACAGTCACTCACGGTTCCACCATTGTTTTGGCTGCTGGTCTGCTGCTGAGAGGTTTGTTGCTGGGATGTCTGCTGCTGGGACGTCTGCTGGCTCGAACCCTCGCTGACGGTGACAGTCGCACTACCGCTGCTGAAGTAGCCCTCGGTGGCCATGATCTGGTAGTTGTGAGTACCAATAGTCATGCCATAGCTACTCCAAGCATTGAAGTGATTGCGCATGGTGACAGAGCCGCTGGTTCGGTGAGATTGACGGACGGACCAGAACTGGGTGAAGGTCGCAGTTCCTTGGATAGAAGGTTGGTTGACACGCTGGGTCGTGAGGACATCGTAGGTTCCACCGTCAGAGCTGACCGTGCCCTTCTTCGAGGCGGCGCTTGCCGGATTATACGTGCCGTAGCTCTCAACGACGTAATACTCGATGAGTGGGCTCGTCGTCCATCCGTAAACAGCGAGGTAGCTGTTGCCGTTTGGACGATAGTCTGCCGTGTACGAGATGACACTGAAGAAAAGGTGAGTTTGGGCATGAAAGAGTGCAACGGGACTCACCGAGTGGATCCAGGATTCCATCCCTTCCCACCGACCCAGTTACCGTTTCCGGACCAGGTCACACTGTACGAACCACCAGCACCATTCGATTAGTTGACATTTCCGGCACCGTCGGTCCAGAACGAGTAGTAGTACCCGTTGTGAGTACCAGTCGAGCTCGGGGTACCAGCGCGAGCAACAAGCGTTGGCTTTTCCTCACGTTTTTCAACAGCATCTGCGGCGAAAACACCGACAGCAGCGAGGCAGACGACGGCGAACGATTTCAAGCCGAGCATGATGAGGGAGTTTGGAGAGGGGTTGGCGTTAGTCGTAAAATCCTGAAACCGGTAGACATTTTATACTCGTTGCATCAAGTATCGAGGTCACTTGAGGGGTTTCCCTGTTAATGCTAGGACGCGTGAGGTGAGAGGCAAGACCAGTATATATGGTGTAACAAACCTAGGACGCGTGAGGTGAGAGGCAAGACCAGTAAGGTCTGGCTGTGTCATCCCGCGTCCCTAAATACATTGAGTTACGACGTGAGCTATGACTATTGGCTAAGTCTATTTAGTGAGCGCTAAGAGTCAAAGGGTGAACCTTCGACATTCCCCGCACACCAGCAACGATTGTGCTTGCCAAGCAAACGCGGTCGCTTTCCGGCGAAAGGCTGTTACGGACCGCTTCCGCATGTGAAAATAGTACGAAAAGTGTTGATCCGTTTTCAATAGAGAACCACTTCGAATGGTCTTGGCGCGAGTTGTCCACAGATGTCAGTCGTCGTGGACGACGATTGCTGTGTAGTGTCCTCAATACCATTGCTATTCAGTCTAATAATACGTGACAGGTCAATTCCAGAGACTGAAACGCTACACGTGGACCTGCTGGCGATCGCCCACTTACAAAAGAAAGTTGCACCCAGCGGACAAGCGAACGCATTACACCCTTTATGAAACATTGATGCGACTACCAGTGATTCCTTCAGCTCATTGGCTCGACGGAATCTTGCAACGGTCGCGCCTGCCAGTCGTTCCGGAAATACTCGCCAGACGTACACATAATCATAAGTAATGAATCACAGCACCCACGCCAAGAAACTAGATTTACCTCACCATTCGCGTCGGATCTTCCTTCTGCCGACAATCGTGCTTCCGCAACGGGGTCAGGCGACAGTTTCCTCGAACTGCCATCATAGACCACTGGTCGCTTTTCGGATGAATTCGATCCTATCAAAATTATTCTACATTTTTCCAACATGCAAACCCGCACCTCTCTCTAGGCAACGGCTCCTTTCTTCTTTGTTACAAGCACGGAAAATCACATTTGAGAGATGGGCGGTATATTCGAAGCAAGGTTTCACCAGCTCATCCCCTGACACTTTCCTTGTCATTCACCGAAAGTCGTTCTTTCATTCTCACTGGAAGGATGGAGTATCTTACACGCCAACTTGGCCCAGATTTTGTTTTCTATGCCAAGCGAATACAGACGAATGTTTCTGACTGCGCATACTAGGCTGAGATGTGAACCAATCCGGTAAGCTTAGGATAGCAGACACCGAGGATATCGGAGTACCGACTAAATGTATGGCTTAATACCCATCTTGTGCTCATTCTTCCCTGGAGATCGAACAAGAGGGTCCCATAGCCAGATTTATGCATCCATGGCGTCGGATGGGGAGGGCCAAGCTCATCCAAGTCTACCAATGATCCTCTTAGGAGACGAACTAGATTTCTCTCGGGAAACTACAAACCACAATAGCTCGTGTGGTCTCTTATGAAGCCCGCTTGTCCATTGCTGATTTCTGCACACAATCCCATGGGGATCAGTAGTTCCCAGAGTATTCTGTATGAAGTCCTAGAAAGGAGATTCTGTGTCAAGGTCTCTTACTTTGTGAATTGAGAGCCCAGAGGCAAGCCCAGAGGACAATCTCGGAGCGGCATGCGTCGAGACTGTTTCAAACGATACTGACTAGTTTTTTTTATATGTTTTTGACGAGATAGAATAATCCTACTGAAAGCCAATGTTCTTTGACGTCTAATCGTTGGATTTGCAGCTCGCGCAGGTTGCCCAACGCAATCTGATGTGGTTCCGGACTCTAGGTGTGATTTTCATGTCATGACCGATGAACTGTGACCTAATGCAACCCATGCGTGCGCTGGTTCCGGTTGGTAACGACTTGAGATCGTCAAACGCAGAAGTCTCGCTCTCTTACTCTGCTAATAAAGTACTAATCATAACTTTGGGAATGCGGGAAATCAGCGTCGAATAGATTGCAGTGTCGCCTACAGATTAGATGGATGAGCCGTCGATTCGACTCCCATCTATGATCATTATAACCGGTTCATGACGCCAGAGATAATGAATAACGATCTTCTATATCGTGTTTGGGCCCGAAGTGACGACACTGTGATCGCAAAACCATGACTAAGGGTCGCAAATGTGGCTACGCCCATGGGCAGGCGCATGTAGAAGGGAATTTCAATGCACCCAGTAACCTTGATTCTCTCTCAATACCCGTACGGTCTCCTGTGACGGACCAAGTACCCTTGCCAACAAACAATGGCGATGAAGATCGAGTTGTAAGCGCATTTCATTGGCATACTCCAAAGAGACAACATTAACCATCAAGCCCGTGTATAGCAGCTTAATCACGCTGTTAGATTTGGTAGTACATCGACATAGCGTTGTACCACGAGCCGACGCGAGAAGCCCTGTAAGCACACATTTCGACCATCTACAAGCTCAGCCATCCAGTCATCGACCTCACCCTTCCATTTTTTCCTTGGATTCGGCTTTCCTCTCGTCTTAAAGTTCCAAAGTTGCGCACTCACTAGTAGGATTCCGTCGGCAAGGGCCTGCCCCATCACCACGCTCGCTCGCACCTCTCGCCTGTTTCGCCGCTTTTCCCTCGTCCTTTCTTGCGACTTCATCACATACGTTTTATCTATCATTCAGATACTTCCTCCTCGACTTGTCGACATTTCATTTTCATGCGTTGTTCGCCTTCCAACGAGTCTACTTTCTCCGCCATCGTTTCGTCTGTCATTATTCTGTCACAAAGCACCCCTACTTCTCATCTAAATCCCCTCGTACTTCCCTACATCTCACCGATGCGCTCTTCATAAACAGCCTGGACTCCCAGGTAAATCTTCCTATGTTATTTCGTCGCACCATCTCAAGCTTCTAAGTTTTAAGTGTTTCCTACGTGTTTCCATCATCGTACCCCTCTTACTCTCGACGTCTTTTCGTCCTCTCTTACGTTACTTACCAACTCTCAGCACCTTACCTCTGGTCTTTTCGGCTGTGTCTTGGTGTGGGCTTGGGAGATTTTCAAAGACAATCTCGGGACCGTAAGGCTGGTATATAAAGCTCACATTGATATCTGGTTCCGTCACCACCTTGATAGGGCATGGAACAGTGTTGTTTTGAGACTTGAGCACGGATCTTGACCATTTAGTCACTCTTTGACCTTCTTCTGAACTCTGCTCAATATTCACCCTGTCTTCTGGTTGGTTTAGCTCTGCAACCTCTGATTTGAACTCGCAGTCTCAGTGGAAAGTGACCTTGAGGCTCTCCGAGTCAGTTTCAACCTGCGACTATTACCGCATAAAACTGTGAAACCGTCGCAGCGAGTCCCAACGCTTAGCTATGGAACAATAACGGCGTTCTTACGTGGGTTTGGGACCGTGGATAGTTCGTCAGCGAAACGCGGTGTTACTGATGATCATTCAACGTTGGACAGAGTAAATTATAAACTGTAGATGCGATGTAGGTCTGAAGGTGATGAGCGATAATTCCGCCTGATGTGATGAGGAGTCTTGATAACCATTTGACGTTACTCCTCTAAGCGGATGATAGGCCATGCCACGCAGGATTTTACCCCTATAGATTCGCTCCTGAACTCCTGATCACCATTCAGATCTCTTTATATGCCTACTTTACTCTACCTACAGCCAAAATTCAAGTCTTACCCGTCATGAAATCCCCCACACTATCCAGTTAATGATTTTGGCCTCACCCCCAATGTAGGCTTTCCGAGTGGATGTTTAGTTATTTAAGCAAGATTCGCATGTTTTTGCACTTGAATAATGTATAAATCCATATTCAGGCCAAGCCACATATGCGCCAAAAAAGGCTACATATGCATGGCATGTGTAAGTTTTACGAGAGCTCACTGTTACGAGGCTCTTGCGAGCGAAGTATGAGGACTAAGCGGGGCGAAAGAAATTCACCAGTCTAACGATCCGTAGATTGGAAGGAAGTTGACTAGGGAGGGGTACAGGAGGCTCTTTAGATAATGCTTGTACAAAGCGATCTTATATCGCGTTCCAGTCACCATGTGGTAGAGAATAAGCGATGGGAAAGAGGGGTGGCTACTTGTGGACGATGACTGCGGCTACAAGGGCCGAAATAAAGGAGGCGGTGACAAAGGGGACGAGTTGATGGTAGTCTTGATAAGGGTAAGGATGAAACTCGTACCCAGAGAAGAGTGAGCGACGAGGCCGATGCCTCGGAACCTTACAGCATACGGCAGGATTATACCCCTCTACGGCCTTGATAGTAAACTTTAAACTTACATATTGGTATTTGAAACTCCCAAGTAATACTCGAAAGCTGTATAGAAACTTTCATAGGTACACGGCCAGTAGAAAGCTTGCAAACTACTAAGTTAGAGAAGAAGACCGGTAAGAGAGCGATAAGAGTGGCTAGATTCCACAGCGCATTCTGTTGATACTAGGACGCGTGAGGTGAGAGGCAAGACCAGTATATATGGTGTAACAAACCTAGGACGCGTGAGGTGAGAGGCAAGACCAGTACGGTCTGGCTGTGTCATCCCGCGTCCCTAAATACATTGAGTTACGACATGAGCTATTACTATTGGCTAAGTCTATTTAGTGAGCGCTAAGAGTCAAAGGGTGAACCTTCAACACATTCAAGCATACAGACCAAGATAAATAGTACACTAGTAATACAACTTGAGTGTTAAGTCCGGCTTCCGGCGCTTCGGTAACGAGGCGAGGTAGGCGGAAACGACTTTCCTCCAGATACGATACGACGAGTGCGTCAGTTAAGCCGGATACTGGTCCGTATGTGCTGGCTTAGCGCGTGGAGACCACGAGCCGCCAACTTCAGTGTCCTGGTAGTAAGTCGTAAGGCATAGAACGGCTCACGAGGACGCAGAAGCCCAGAGAGAATCGCTAGTGATGAGTGGCACGAGCAGAGAGACATGCAATGGGAGTGAAACGAGCTGAGAGACATGAGAAGGAGATGGTACAAGTCAATAATAATGAGACGAGATTAGTATGGGACGAGTGGGGAGACTCGGAGCGAGGTCCGGGACCTTGAGCTCGAGTGGTGTAACGTTTAGCCGTGGGAAAATGGAACAAGCCGGATTCACACCGACCTAGCTGTCAGACCACTAGACTATAGTGTCCCTTTTTCCCTCTAAACCGTCACAGAACCTATGACCCCCGTTACTCAGGTAATCCTAACCTGGTCGGCCGGGTTCTGACCTGTAAGGTGAACCAATCCTTACACGTGGTGATGGTGATGTAGGTAGAAAGGTGGGAGGATTAGGTGAAGAATCTTAGTCGAAATATGTTCCATGACATTTCCATCCTCAGTTAGTCCATTAGAACCAAAGTACTTCCTTTCTGTCTATTTAAGACTCGTAGTCCTGTCTCTCAAGCTGCAGACATAGAAGAGGAGTGGACTTGTACTACCCAGTCTGTCGTAGTCAATATTATGCGACTTGGACCGGTTCTCTTCGTCTGAATCGACTTTATTCATCATTCTACGAATACAAAGCCTCGATTGGACGACACATTCGTCTCCACTCCACGGAAAGGTTACACACCGATACAAGAAAATGTCAAGGCGTACGCCCTCAATACTAATTTCCGTGGCGGCATGCAGACATAAGCGCCAATGCAGTGTAGAGGTAAGGGCGAATATAGTGCAGGTATAAGCACTAATGTAATGTAGAAATCAGCGCCAATATGGTCAGATGATTCTCAATTCTGATGCTGGAGCTGCTGTATCAGCTGCTTTTCTCGTCGTCATTCTCGCTTGGTCAACGTTTCCGTTTATGTTAATGCTAGGACGCGTGAGGTGAGAGGCAAGACCAGTATATATGGTGTAACAAACCTAGGACGCGTGAGGTGAGAGGCAAGACCAGTAAGGTCTGGCTGTGTCATCCCGCGTCCCTAAATACATTGAGTTACGAATGAGCTATTACTATTGGCTAAGTCTATTTAGTGAGCGCTAAGAGTCAAAGGGTGAACCTTCAACAGTTTAATTCTCGATTGTTTTCTTGTCCGTCACGACACGTCCTAGGTTTACTCTTAAGTGGGGGGCCTTCCAGGCGAGGCAGGCGTGGGCGGGAGTGGCTCTGGGTGGGATGGTGGGCCAACATCTCACGCTCACGCTCACGCCTGCAGAGCATCACCTAGGGCGCGGTGGGTGGGTCGACGAATTTTCAGCCTTTTGGGGGCCACGCTATGCCCGTGCTGTCGGCAGCGGGCTTGCGTTGATGTTGGTTGGCAGAGCCTTTCATTTGCGGCTCTTGCCACCGCCCGCACCTCCATTTTTCGATTTCATATTTCGTCGTTTGTCAATTAATTCTTTCCAATATATTCTCTATCTATACTGTTTTCCTTCTAAGTTCTATTCCTGGAGCTCCCATTCCTCGCTCGCTCTCGCAGCATGGCGAGACCTTCTGGTCTCCAACCAAGATATAACACTGTATCTTTTTGGGATATGAATTCGAGCTGCAGAGGCAGATAGAATAGACGGATACATACCTGGATCATATCCAGGCAAACCAGGAGACAAGTGCCAGGTTTTGGAAGGATGAATGCCAGAGAGGGGTTGAACACGTGGCGACGGTCGGAGGACCGTATGGAACATAAATGAATCTGAGTTTAATAGACAAGAAAATGATTAATGATATGAAGATCTTTCCAGAGCTTGTCCGTTCCTGTAGACACGCCTAGAATGGCGCGAGATAGCCTACAACTGGCGCCTGTTTCAAAAGTAATAGGCACGTATAGTAGTGCAGTGAGGGAATGGAACAATACAATATATCACAATATGAGTCCGAGGCGGCTTCAATGTGGATGGCTCCCTATAAAGAGCACCAGCTCAGACACCATCTACTCTTCAGACTGGCTCTCACCTACTTTTATCTCAATCTCTTCTTTTTCAAGCACAGTTCTAACCGTTCACTTTCATTCCTTGATATCTTTTTTATTCTTCTTTCTCTTCTTTTGAAAATTTTCAGCATGCGTTTCACCTCCTTTGTTATGGTTCTTGCCTCTGTTACCTTCTTAGTGTCGGCTGCTCCATTCCCCAGGTACTTTGAGACGCGATCAATGTGACTGTGTGCTCACATATTCCTATTCATTCAGCCCTGCCGGCGACCACCGACTCGAGATAGCACACCATGATCAAGCGGCGGAGCACCATCGATCACAAGCAGCTTACCACGGAACCCAACTGCATGCGCACTTGAGCGCGGCCGCGGTGGAGCAATCAAGGTCTGTACACTAAACAAGCCAATGAATATGTTGGATAATTGTGTGCTGACCATGTGATAGGGGCGATTGGAAGAGCGCTGAGGCCCACACAGTACAAGCTATGAACCATAATACACTAATGACGCAGCATCGAAGCAGATACACCTACCACACGCAGCAAGCGGCACATCACCGGCAGCAACTCAATGCGGCTCGGAGCATAGAGGAGTTGGATTAGAGGATACATCTCTCAGTGTTCAGAATATAGGAAGCCAGTGGGATCTTGGCTAGATAGGGTATGGGGAAGTGTGCACGCACGCAACCAAAGGGAATTATCATCTAGGAGGATTCTCTTTGGGTATACAACCTTACCACTCTTACCGCTCTTACCTCAAGTCCTATTACTAGTGTAGTGTTTATTGTGATGACCTAGACGAATGGTACGTGTCTCAGACGGGGCAGTAAGTAACCGAATCAAATATATATACCTAGACGAACGGCACATGTCTGTCTAGGGATAAGATAATGAATAATGGAGAGAGTCCAACTTTACCTCAGACGGAGCAGTAAGCAACCGAATGAGGCGAATATCATCCAACTCCGCCCAACCTCCGACGCGTCCGACTCCATTGTGACGAGCGCATAAGACACACACGATCACAGCATCATACTGTCACTGTACTTGCGGCGATTATCAGCACTCCAAACCCGGCTAGTACTGGTAAAGCTAACGCCACTGCTAATACTGCGGCAAACACGTCGGCTAACGCCACTATGAAGGCACCTGTGTAGAATATTACGCGATACCTAACGAAAGCTGTAGGCGACACTAGCGAAAAGGAAAAGATTCGACAATTCTGGGATTGCGCTCGACCTACCATTCGTATTGAGTGGTGTAGAGAGGGATACTCGCTCGAAAATCGACATTTGATCAACTAAAGGAAGCTGCGGAGCGTATTGAGCGCAAAGAACAGCAGATGAAGATTGAAAGGGATAAAACTGAGTCCCGAACGATCAGAACCGCTTCGATCGTGAGAAAAGATATTGTTAAGCATGGAAGATTCCGCCCGAATGAAACGAGAGACCGAGAGGGAAAGACTCACGGTGACCGGAAATCGAAGCATACCAAATGAAGGACTCCAACAACTCTAGGCAGCAGACCAACCGTCGCTTGACTGCTGAAGAGATGAAAGAGCACCAAGTGAAAGGCCAATGTCTCATTTGTCATGAAACCGGCCACAGAGCGAACGATTGTCGGAAGCAAAATCAGTTCAGACCTCCAAAACTAATATCAGGGAGCATTAGCTTTGATCAGATCGACGCCCAGGTCAAATATGTGACCAAATTGACGTACGGAAGTGTTAATTCCAGCTTCCGGCGCTTCGGTAACGAGGCGAGGTAGGCGGAAATGACTTTCCTCCAGACACGATACGACGAGTGAGACAGTTAAGCCGGATACTGGTCCGTATGTGCTGGCTTAGCGCGTGGAGACCACGAGCCGCGAACTCCACTATCCTGGTAGTAAATCGTAAGGCGTGGAAGGGCTCACGAGGATGCAGAGGCGCAGAGAGAATCAAGAGCGAGAGATTTAGAGAGCACAGAGGTGAAGGGAGCAGGAAAGAGTCCGGGAGGACTAAGTCGATTTTCTAGCTGTCGTCTCTAGCAAGATGTACATCGACTTTATATAGCTAGAGACTCCGGCCATGAGGAAGGGATTAGCAGGTCATACCATCTAGTGAGGAGTGGCACGAGCAGAGAGACATGCGATGGGAGTGGAACGAGCTGAGAGACATGAGAAGGAGATGATACGAGTTAGTAGTAATGAGACAAGATTAGTCTGGGACGAGTGGGGAGACTCGGAGCGAGGTGCGGGACCTTGAGCTCGAGTGGTGATGGTGATGTAGGTAGAAAGGTGGAAGGATTAGGTGAAGAATCTTAGTCGAAATATGGTCCATGACACATATCCCTCATATCTCACTTAATTGTCTACGAGTAGTTACAAAGACGACATTTATATAAAGATAAGAAGATATTTTACTTATTATCGAAGGTCTTATGAGTTTAGTATAGCTCCTTTTTTAGTAATCGGGCCGACAAGCCGATGGTGGTCAACATTGGAACAGTTTTGGAGCCTACTGTATATTCGGTGGAAGATAAAGTCTTTAGTACATGTCTATTACATGGAAATGCACATGAAAACCGAGGTGCATTCGAGACCAGATAAGTTAGCATTGCAAATTGAGCTCCAAAGCCGACTCATGGTGACACGACTCTATTCGTTCTTGGGTCGCCGCATAGTGAGTTTTGAGAATGCAATAGCCGTCGTGCAGAGCGAAACGACGATGATATTTGGAATGATCCCAATCAAGTCGACTGAAAAGCATCGTCAGCTCGAGATTCAAAGAAGAGTGAAAAGTGACATACTGATCGCACCAAAGTCTGGTGCACCAGGCAGTATAGCTCTGACACTGGGCAGAGCAAAGAGCGCGGTGACGCACACACCAAGGATATCCGTGTCTGAGAGGATGTACGTGCGGCGCATGATGACCGATTCGCACGTAAGTAGGAAGATACCAATAGTGCTCGCCCAGTTTATGAGAGCGGCGAGAATGGCAGCAAACTTGACAAGAGGTGGGCGACGACCGGTAAAGTCGAGGTGGAGTTCACATCCGGCATCGACAGCGCTGAATTCGCATGTGTTGTTTGCGGTTAATCGAATACGCCAGTTGACTATGTCAACGTGAGTCTAAATAGGGGGCATGGGCTTTGGTAAACGTACGGGTGCTATCACTCAATATCGCCCCGTGGAGATTCAGGATGCCCGTGTTTGTTAGATTAACCGCCTCTGCGGCCACTGGAGACTGTTGAGTAACTTGTCATGAAAACAAGGTGATATATGTTTACCTCGGTCTGTGAGGGCAAATACGATGGACCCTTGCCCTGTATATCCAAATTCATGAGCGGCGATCCCAAATATGAGAAAAAGACGTACATATATCGAATGGATACGCAAAGAGAGGCTGAGCATAGGGGTCTTCCTCCCTTGCCTGGTTGAAATCGATATTGGTGTCCACGCTATCGAATGGGTGCATTCCCAGTGTGGCGAGAGGGGGCTGTGTGACATTGTCTATCCGATAGTAAGTGGACTGGATATCGGCTTGGGTGAGCCCGGCCAGCTCGAGAAGGTCCGGATCGACCAGACGGTCTTCGGGGACGGCTTTGACGTCGCGGTAGAGGTTACATTGCCACCTATCGTCCACAGTTTGACCTGAAGGGCGTACAACGTTGGTATTGTTTTCAACGTAGACGAGGGACCAGGATACGCGGAGATTGCGTTCGAGGGGATCAAACTTTTTCAGTGTACCTTTGAGAAAAAGCTAGGGTCGGTCTATGAGCGTCGAAATACCAACAACACTTGATTGAACATGCCTGAAAGTTTGCAGTCTCTCCCTCGAACCCGGACTTGGTCCCATTGAGGTCAGAGTTTCTCCTTTGGGCTCTGACTTCTTCTTTTGCAAAGGTGAGCCTGGGTTGGTCAGCTCTCGAGGTTTGAAGAAAAAAACCCGAGATCGATGCTTACATGATACCAACCCAAATTCCAAGCGCGGTGATCCCAACGAGAGCATAGGCCACCCGAGGCCATCTGCCGACCTGGACGGCTTGATCCCACGCATAGTCAAACCATTTTCTGCTATACTTTCGATGTGGGTTTGGACGTGCATCCGCCTTTTCTTCCAAGTCGAGTGTCGTGTTTTGAGCAGAAGACGACTTGACGTCTCCAAGATATGTCGAGCTGACGCCGTCGTAGCTGCCACCACCACTGATAAAGTCCCTTTGAGGGACAGAGAGTGGACGTGGTTGAGGCCTCTCTGAGACTTGCATGGTGAGAGGAGGAGGGAATGAGGAGTAGTGAGGGAGCAGAGGGAGCGGAAAGACCCATCGACTTTTATTCTGATCGGAGCGACTGGTAGCCAGGGTCCTGTATTCAGTCTACAGTAGTTGCGATGGACTTCTAATGTCCGCAAGGTCCGTCCATCAGGCGGTTGCATTAACAGTTGCGGGCCGACCGTTGTTAACTCAGTACAAAACCAGGGTAGGAGTTGAGCAATTTTGGCCATCACCGTGGAAAATACAAGCGATCGAGGGAGTTGCGAGAAGCACTCAAGCGCGCGTCTAAGTTTTATGGGCAATACATCAGGGTCAGCAGCCAAGATATAAGGTCAGCGGGAAGTATTGAAAGTGGATAGTTTGCATCTTTGAGGCAACCACGTCGAAGGATCTGGACCCGAGTCTATAGACCTTAGACTTTTGCCATGGGTATGGATACCCATCATACGGGGCCAAGCCTGTACAAATTGTGGCTGCATTGATTATACCGGAAATGTTCGTCGCAGTGTTTATTACCCACGCTGTCGGATATACAGATGGTTCGTCGGCGCGTACAAAGCAACGCTCGCACTTGGACTCCTCCACGACTAGCAGCAGCAGCAGTAGCCATCTAACAAAATGAGCGGGCTCAATATTTCTGCACTTCTTCCTCCCTATCTCAACTTGCCCGCCGCATCTCAGCGCTCACGGTCGCTGCATGGGACACGCTCGTCCTCTCCCTGCGGTCCTGGCGGCTGATGAAGACGAAAGAGTGGCCAGTCCTCAAGATTGTCTTCTAGGTCCTCCGCTATCTCATGCCCGTCGAGTTTATCATTGTCGCCGTCGCCTTTTTCGACACGAAATTCACCCGCAAAATGTGCAACAAGTTTTATCTGTTTGAGCCCATTTGCACCATGGTTCTCATCGCTCTTTGCTCTTCTGTCCATGTCAATCGTATCCACGCCATCTACGATAAGAGCAGACCCATCCTCGCTGGTCTTGCTGCTCTTTTGCTTGTCCAGGTGAGCCTTTTTCCTCCTCTTCTCCTTCATTCTGCGTCCTCTGTTTGCTACTTCTCAATTTCTCTCTGCTTTTTCGCGAGCCCCGTTGCCCTCTGGACCCATGCGACGCTCCCGGTCCACGCCGAGTTTGACGGCGTAAATGTGCAATGAACGTAACCGACACGATGCTCGGTGCCTCGAAGAGTGCCACTCCATCCTGTCGTTTAACCATTACTCCCCTCCTCGGTTTCGGTTCACGTCAATAGCAACTAGCTTTGCCTGTTCCCTGGGTCTCCGATCGCCTAAACCTTGTTCGTGCTGGCATTGGAACTATTCGTGCTAACGTAGTTCTTCTTTTCTAATCATTCTTCTAGATTGCCGTAATGACCGTATGCTCCGCCTTTTACCATGTGATCCCGCTCCTCCAAGGCCAAGGCTGTATCGCTGGTCCCACCGCCAACTGGGTCGGCATTTACTGGGCTGCTTCCACCTTTTCTATACGACCACACTCGCTCTCGCGCTCAACCGATCCATCAAGTCGCTCCAGTCCAAGCCCCTCAGCCCATGGAAGCTCATGCTCCGCGACGGTCTCAACCTCTATGGTCCCATCTGGATCGTCAACATGGTCAATGTCTGCTTCTGGTTCATCGTCAAGCCCACCGGTGAAAACGACAGCATTAAGACGACGGTTACTAGGTGAGAATGAAGCAATATATTGATAAATCAATGGGCGCTGATCTCTCATTCTTAGCATAACTGCAGTGCTCACGACCACCATGACACTTCGTATCATTCTCCCCGTCCGTGGTTCCCTTGCCCAAGGTGGCTCGTACGCCGGCTCGGCCATTTCATTGTCGAACCGTGGCAACAGCACCAACGTCCTCTCCTCGTCTGGTCGCAACCCCAACCCACCACACCCCTCGTCGTTTTGGACCCAGACACTCGTATCGCGTTCAATCCCAAAACGCTGGCAATGGGCCCAATGTCTTCAACATTGGCACCTATGGCAACCCCGAGCGTAAAGGTTCGCTCTCGGGTGGTGTGCCTGGTGTGGTTGGAGATGGCGCGTATACGTTGGATGAGATGCGTGACAAGGCTGCCAATGGAGAGTGGAATGAAGGTACGAGCGATGGTCGTTCGTCGGTCCTCGAGGGTAAAAAGGGCGAGGCCTATGGTGTGCCTGCTGCCAGAGGGTATGAGGGTGTCGAGGTGACGATTGATCGCGAGGTGGATTACCATGGCCGCAAGTAAACACCAGGCCCACACCCACTCTACAAATCCCTCGCCCCCCCCCTGCCTCGGTTTTTTATCCCACCCGGTCGGCTCGCTGCTCCAATGCTAGTGCTTAATCAACCACGTCTCTCACAAACGCTCGCTGCCTCTTCATTCTCCGGGGAGCGAATACAGTGCTCGTCTAGTGGCACTTGCTCCCACCTTTTTCCCTTTTGGCCTTGCTCTGCTTGGTCTCTATCCCGTCTCCCATTTTTGACTCTGTATAGTCTTGTGCTATAACGTGTGCAAAGCAAAGCTCTCTTTCGTTGCTGGTGGTTATTCCCACTTCATGGCTTTTTTGTTGATATCTTGGAATGAATAACGCGACGTGCCTTTTTTGTACTCGAGATTTATTTGTTGATGACACAATCACAAAGATTCAATACTACAAGTGACTTGGGCAGACCTTGCAACCAGTTTTATCACAATTCACGCATGTATTATGATCCTTCCACTGGTCTCTATATCGGCAGACGAGCAGATACTTTGTCTTTGTGCTCGTCCAACGTGAGCGATCGTTGTGGCAATTGACCTCTCCCCTACATCATGGGAATATCAAGGAGGTCAAGTGTATGTTACTGTTACGTATGCGCCATCCTATTTCACGTATCCCAGGGAAAAGAGTTTTTGTATCCCAAGGCGTCAGAATGGGGACTGCATTTATGACCATGAGAGCAGCAACAAAGAAGACGACAAGTTGAGAGAGGAATCTCACATTGGAGAGATAGGTAAAAATACACTTGCTATTCTGGTGTTGGGTTGAAAAGAGGCACCGGGCTGTTTGAAGGTATGACGTGTTTGCAATGATGAAATGAGCTGGTTTTATGCTCGAATGCGTACATTCAGTGATAGTATTCTGTACCTTGGCCATAGGATGTGCGTTGGCATAGCCAATGGTTATCCGGTTGCCTTAGCCCCACATTTAGTCGTCGAGTACAGGCATGAGGAGTAAAGTACAACTCAATTAAAGCACCGGATTGTACTCACATATCTAGTAGCATTAATCTGGTCTATTCACTGTTTGGTGACAATCACGGTCTCATCCTCCCGTTCAATATGTCATGGACCATATTTCGACTAATATTCTTCACCTAATCTTTCCACCTTTCTGCCTACATCACCATCACCACTTGAGCTCAAGGTCCTGGACCTTGCTCCGAGTCTCTCCATGTAGGCTCGCGCGCCAGCTCTGGGCCATGTACCGGGGTATGTGCTCCACCCTATCTCCTCCAGTGATACCAGCTGCTGCGAAGCACTGCTCAAGACGTGGGAAGAATGTCAAGAATGCGCAGCCATCGCTCCCAGTAAAGGTAATAGGCGCACCAACGACTTTGGGTCCGGCATGCGTATGCGGTAACTCGCTTGGCTGACAAGTGGCGAGCGGACAACGCTCCCGACGGTGGTCTTGAGCAGATTCGCGAAGAACTGGCTGCCGTATAGCGCACGTAGAACTGCGCCTAACGTAGGCCCCAATATATCTTAGTAAGGGCGTATGAGGGTGTCGCTAGGGGACCATTTGGCAACAATCTAAAGCAGAAACATACTTAGTACTGTCTAGATACATTTTGGAGGTTCAGAAGCATCTGGTGGGAGTGCCATACGAGCGGGGACGGGCCCATCGGCAGGTCATATAAGTATGGAGGTTCTGTTCATTTCTCTGTAATTTCTTATTGCTCTATCACTTTTATATTGTAACGCCCTCGTGCCCGAGTGGCACGGGCCAGCCAGAGTCCCCCAGAGCTAGACAGCCAGCCTCATACACTCTGGTTAGTCTCTCACACCCCCTAAGCGGCGCAGCAGCTCCGCTCTATCTCATCCTCCACTCTTTCGTTTCGACTCCATCCTTTCCGCGTTTCGTCTTGCGCTTTCGCGCATATATAAAGCCTCTAATAATCGATAACCATGTACATAAGAAGAATTCCAGCCATTTTCCCGTTCATTGCTCGCCTACCGAGGCCTAAGTCCCGTATTTCCCGCTCGCCCCTATTCCCTTCTTCCAATCTCTCGTTCCCCATCCTCGCCTCAGCAAGCGTTCACGCTTTTCAATATTCTGCTGTTTCGACGTGAACTGCGGGCCACCCACACTTCCGGCTCGGTTATTCTTCGGCTGTCCGCTGGGTCCGGCCGCCGCTTGGGTCGTCGTCCAAACTGACGGTCTCTCGGGCGAGGGCGGCGCTCAAATCTAATGCATGACTGATGCATATTGGGGTTGAAAATCATTTTAAGGCGCAGCTGGAGGCCATAGTGCCGGGAGACTACCTCAGGGGTCAATGGTAAAGGCCAAGCTTGGACCTCACCGCCATTCACCGCCTCGCATTTGACCCCGTTCCGAGTCGAAAATGTCACAAAGAATTCGCAAAAAGGCCGTCTTTGTGGGTGATGCAGGCGTCGGTCCGTTTTCTATGGTTGAGACGCAGACGGGGTCAAAATGACGCGTTTGGTCCAGGGAAAACGACACTCCTCCATTATATTCATTGCGGATCGTTTCTAGATGTCAGTAGGACAGTGCTCTTCTTGACCCGACTTTCATTGAAAACCTGTCAGACTTTTCTCCCCGCAATTTACGAAACTCGCGTATCTGACGTAAGCGTCGACGGGCAAGAGTTCGAGATTGCCTTCTGGGACTCCCCTGGTTCTCCCGACTACGACCGAGTGCGACCACTCGATTATGCTTCGACAGACGTCTTCGTCTTGTGCTTTTCGGTGGACCAATCAGACAGCTTGAGAAATCTTCGAGAGAAATGGCTGCCAGAAGTGCTGTACTATTGCAACTACACCTACCCGACCATTCTCATCGTGGCGTGTCGCACCGATTTGAGAACTGACCGAGTGATCACGGAAGAGTTCCGCAAAGCCGGGCTCAAGTTCGTATCCTTTGATGAGGGTGAGGCGTTTGCTCGAGGGATCGGCGCATTCAACTATGTCGAGTGCTCGTGCAAAAGAGACAAAAGCACGTTAGACATCTTCAGCGAAGTAGCTCGCGCCTCACTTGGATCAAAAAGGCGGATAGAGAAGAGGGAGTGTATTATCCTCTGAACTCTAGTCCCCCTTGTGGAGGTAATCACCCGAGCTGTAGTATATGCATCTGGTAATCTTTCCACTCGACTATTTCTGGTGTCCAGCGAGTCATGTTCTCGAACCCGCAATGCCATCAGGCCGCATGAGACTCGCGTATGAACATGGTCTAGAACAATGAGAGTTCCCAAATTCTCTCCTGATGTAATCCTGGAGTGCCTGGGTGGTCGGCGCTTTCGACTCTACTTCAAGCCCTGACCGCGCCGCCACCTTCTTGAACGCAATATGCAATTAAACGACGATATTACATATTTTACTACCTACAAGCCCTCGTATCAGTGTTATGAACATCTCTCAAACACATTTAAGACTTGGTTGCTGTCCACAGACGAGCGCGTCCGTAACATCCGGACACATCCCCGTCAAGAATGCCCAGAAAGCCGCCCAAGATAACTGTTGCTGACCTCAAGGACTTTGAAAAAGCTATCTTCCCGTCGCCCAATCATGGGCTGACCAAGGTCCCACAGTCGACCCTCGACTGCCTCTACAAGATAATCTAGAGACGGTCAATGGCACATTCTACTTCTCTTACAGCTCCGACTCGCGGCTGGCTTCGAAAAGGTGCCAGGTGCTTTCTATCTACCTCTTGAGCGGATCTTCGACCCACTCAGAGGAGAGGCGTGGCTGGATATAAGGATCGACGCGGATCAACTGAAGAGGATGCAGCGTATATCCGATGCCGACTGCTCACCAGATGACCCCTCATCCAATCGATTCTCCGAGCTGCATTCGAGTTGTTCATGTCGAAGGTTTTCCTTTGACTCCCGGCGCTTACAAATATACTTAGCCAATTATATTGTCTTTTTTTGTAACTAATTGTATTCAGCGACGCGGGACGCAATGGCTGTACCTTAGGTTCTGGTCTTACCTCTCCCATCACACGTCCTAGTATCAACAGTTCAGATGCAGAAGCGGATAGCGAGTCAGATGGAGATGATCAGCCCGGCTCTTCATCACAACAACCCTCGTCCAGCGACACAAATCAGTCCAAAAGTCGATGTCGCCGCTCGTCAGCTACCGGAAAACAATCCCGGGATGGATATGCGGAGAAGTACGCCAACTTCAATGTTAGTGTGAACGATTCGGACGAGTAACACATCCCATTATGTGTTCCCGACGATGTAAACATGCTCCATGCGCATATATGCCGCGTTGGGTCGGAATGAGCCACATATCCAACACGTAAGGAACTCGTCGCTGCAGTAAAGATGGGGAAGACCTTGGAGATCAAGATAGTGGGAGAGATCCCGAAATCCTCCTTTATCAACTCCATGGACGCCAGGAGCTCCAGGCGACTTCGGATGTGTTTGAGTACAGGGTGCGAGCGAACGAGCGGACCCGATTGGACCTTGCATTTCATGCAAGTTCTCTCTGAAACAGTTGCCGAGGCCTCGGCTACACCATTTACGACAAAGACTGTGTTGCAAGCACGGCAAATCGCTCCGCCTCTTCAATAATGGGAGAGGAACTTCCTGATGAATCAGCTACGTGGCTTGTTTGGAGGCACCATTAGTTACAGTTTTGGAATGGTAGCCAGTCACTCGTTTGACGATCCCAGCTGTCTGCTGGTGGAAGGTGAATGTTTCCGCTTGTCATTATACAGGCTCTGACCATCCACACAACGCTTATCAAAACTGACTCGCTGTGGCATGAGACACGACACCATCGATTCCTCGACTGCGACAACCAACGGAGTCAGAAGAGGAGTATCACGAATTTTCCGACTGCCAAAATAGACCCATATTATGTAGACCAGCACAAGTGTTGTATTCTAATGGCAACGGGGAAAGCGCCGCTTTACCGCATGAACGAGGTGCTCGGGTAACATTACCCACCCTCAGTGCCTTTCAAACAAAGTCGCACATGGGGTCAAGAGACCCAGTATATAAACACTATAGTTGGCCTTGTCGTCCTCGGACTCTTGAAGCATGTATGAGGTGATTCGTCCGCTTTGTGTCGTACGAACGTATCGTACATTACGCGGCCCGTTGGATAATATGCGTGTACAGATTATGTAGAGCCAATATATGCGCAGAGACTCTTTAGGCGTTGAGTCCTGGTAGGCGAATGAGAGTGGGTAGATATCTTCTATGATTAGTCAAGATGCAGTTCATAGCTTCTTATATGCATGCTCGAGCTGATGGTGACTAACTAGGGTTAACTATGAGGCTATAGTAATTAGCCCGCGGAGATCCTTGTTCCGAAGCATGTAATCCTTGATTACCCTTCGCCTAATCTCCAACATGATCGTATCCGCGACTAGCGTTTTATTTACGACTATGTGCTCACATGTCCGCTTGAGTTGGTCAGTCGGTTGACACCTGTATGGATTGGTTCACCTTACAGGTCCGAACTCAGCCGACCAGGTTGGATCCCCTGAGTAACGAGGTACATAGAGAGTGTAACGCATTAGAAGAAAAAGAGAGACACTATAGTCTAGTGGTCTAAGGCTAAGTCGGTGCGAATCCGGCTTGTTCCATTTTCCCACGGCTAAACGTTACATGCCCCTTCTACTGGCAGATCTATTGCATCCCTTAGTTCCAGTCATGTGCGAAAACGACGAATGCATGAGTAGCCCCAGGCTTGACAACGAGGGCGAGTACAACGTGGTCTATAAATATAATTTCTCATCAATCCCAAGGTGTAGGGCCATAAAAGCCACCGAAATTTACACTCTCCTTCTCGACGACAGGTTGACTCTCCATTTTTCCTGTTCACCGTTCTCTAATGTCGACCAGATATATTCTACTAGTGCGAAGGAGATGGATGGTGAGATTGTGGTGGCCTTTGCACCGACATCCATCAGCAGCAAGAGGAGTTCAGACTTGCTGCCCTCTGTGGATGAAGAGAAAGGACCGACGCAAAGGGCCTGCTGAATGAAGTAAAGGACCTCTTGAGCTACATATAACCTGGAAGAGTCCGAGGGATGAAATCCGCCGTATTTATAGGGCCCATGAGGCACATAGTAAGGGTGAAAAGAGTCTGAGACACAATTTTAGCTTCCCTTGGCCGAGTTGAATCCGAAACCGTGAGTTTACCGGTGGTTTAGGACAATCCACCATGACTACGAGATTTCTGTGCCGGATCCTTATTTCATGGTGGCGACATAATTTCGGACATTATCTATGCTGCATCGCCCAGACTTGGATGCACGAATCAAAGGCGAATCACATCTTGAAACCCATCCACTTTCACGATGTCGTCCCAAAAGTCAAAAACGGCCAAGGAACCAGATCAGATCGTAAATCTATCGGCATCTGAGCCATCTTCTCAACGATCGTCGAGTAGGAGGAGTCAGGTATACGACATGACCAATATCGGCCTTGATGTAGTGGCGAATATATCCGAAGCGTCGGATATACTTGCACCTCTCAAAGCAGCCTGTCGCACAACAAAATCGATTCTCGAGGTCAGACAGGTGGGTCCGTAATACCCCGACGGCAGTTGTTTAAGTTAATATACAGGCGGTTGACGATAACCGAGAAGAATGGACTAATCTAATGCGGCGCCTGCAAGATTATATGTCCAACATTGAAGGCCAAATCGTCTTATTCGAGGCTTATCCGCCGGAGAATAGAGCTGTCGATGAGGCATTCGCCCGACCACTCGTTCATTACGTCGAGTACGTAAACATGTCTCATTCAGTTTGACATATTTACCTGTTCCAGGCTCCTCGAGGACATTCTTAGCACTGTCAGTGTTCAAACCGAGAAACGAGGCCGTGTATTCTCTTCCTTGTTTAGGGATATACGGAAAGTCAAGGTCGATGTAGAAGTCATATTTAAGCTCAACCGGGATATCGAGGATGGTCACAGGCAGTTCATGGTACGCGTTTCGCGGGGAACGCTTAAAGCAAACTCAGTGCAAGGGTAGGAGTCGCTAAGTCTTTTCACCGCATACCGTGCTCAAGCCATCGAAACCAATACCAAGATAATCAATTCAAATATCGAAACAATACAAACAGACTGTATGTTCTAACTTGCCAACCAAAATCTCGCTAATCGACCCAAGTTGACGCTTCCACCATTCTCCAGCTGCCAATGGTGACATTCGTCGCGTCCTCCGTCCATACACCATGTATGGAAGGAACACGCAAGGAAGTCTTTGAGACGATTCGACGGTGGGCCGATGATGATAAGCGGATTAAACCCATCTTCTGGCTCTGTGATATAGCAGGATCTGGCAAGTCCACAGTCGCAATTTCCGTACTAGAAACTTGGCGGAAGGAGCGGCGGCTCGGTGGCCAGTTTTTTTTTTCCATATCAAGCAGCGAGGCGTCGACCACCGACAGGTTCTGCTCGACGGTTGCCCGAGAGCTGGCACATCACATTCCGGAGCTCGCTCCGCATATAGCTATGGCCGTAAAGCTAAATCCTGCCATCATGCGGAGCTCACTCGATGAGCAGTTTCGGATACTCATCACAGCCCCACTTCATCACTGGCGGAAGTGCGTGATTCTAGTCGTAGACGCAATCGATGAATGCAAATCCGGATCACAACGAAAAGAGCTCATCGACATACTTTCTGTCGCTGCTCGGGAGAGCGAGAACCTCAGGCTCTTCATCACAAGTCGACCAGATCCTATCATTGAATCAGCTTTGCACTCCCTCTCGATTAAAACAAAGTTGGAAGATCGCCTGCACAGCGTCAATCATCAAGACAATATTGATGATATTGCTCTTTATGTACATCGCTCGCTCCATGGAGTCTTACCAGAAGAAAAGAGGCAACGAATCGTGGAAAAGGCTAACGGACTGTTTATATGGGCAAGCACCGCATGCCGAATGCTTGATAGCGAAACCAACTTCAGCACTCCTGAGAGTGTATATGATCGCCTTATCTGCATATATCCAACTGGAGTCATAGACGGCCTGTACGACCTCGTCTTCGAGCGCATAGACGCGGAATTCTACCCAGTCATATGCGAAATGCTCACGTTACTGCTCGCTGCATTTGAACCGCTTACAGTCGATGACTTGGACGATATCCTAAGACAAGTTGGAGCCTCCGGGAGTGCCAGGGCATTAGTACGTAATCTGGGAAGTGTGCTCGTTCAGGACAGGAATACACAACAGATTGAATTTCGGCATCCCACCTTTGTCGAGTACCTTCGACGGTGCAGTATTGCTGCTACGGTCGAGAAGCGAAGACAATTGTACCTCAATACTACCAATGCACATGGTCAAGTTGCGCTGTGGTGTGTCAAGCGCCTAAAGTCGCGCACAGAGGGTCTCAAGTTCAACATATGTGATATAAAGTCGTCATTTCACCTCAATAGGGAGATACCAGATCTCGAGGCCAGGATATCGAAGTTGATTCCCAAAAGACTCCGATATGCCAGCCATCATTGGCTGTTCCATATGGCCCAAACAGATGACGAATGGAGACATAAACTCAAGAACGAGTTGATTTATATCATAAGAAGCCCACATGTGCTGTACTGGATAGAGATTTTAAGTCTCACCCGCGGATTCTCACGAGCGACAGTCGGTCTCCGGGATCTTATGTACTGTAAAGCGGTGAGTACTCATTAAAGTTCAGACCTACTGATTACTCACACTATAGATAGCTCGGGGAATGTACGAGAAGTCGTATTGTAGAGATACGACGGTTTATGATGGCATTTTCAGTACCCATCCAAGACAGCACCCCACATATTTACCTTTCAGCTCTTCCTTTCGCTCCCACAGCATCACATCTCTGCATAGAGAATGCAAAGAGTTACCCTAACACCCTTGCTGTTACACACGGTCTCGAGGAAACTTACCATGGACTTCCGGAAGCTTTACAAGGCCACGAAGGTCCAGTGACGACAGTATCATTCTCACCAGGCGGGTTGCAAATTGCCTCTGGCTCGCAAGACAAGACAATCCGACTGTGGGATGCAGATACTGGCCAACCTTTGGGTCCACCACTCCAAGGCCACTCAAAAGGAGTGAATACCATTGCGTTTTCACCAGATGGTACTAAAATTGCATCTGGTTCTTTCGACGCCACAATCCGCTTGTGGGACGTAGATAGTGGTCAAACACTGGGAGTTCCGCTCGAGGGGCACCAAGGACCTGTCTACTCTATATCTTTCTCCCCAGATGGCTCGCAGATTGCGTCTGGCTCGTGGGATGGAACAATTCGACAGTGGGATGTGGATAATGGTCAGCCACTGGGTGAACCATTAGAAGGCCATGAAGATTCGGTCTGTGCAATCGCATTCTCTCCAGATGGGTCGCAGATTATCTCAGGCTCGTTGGACTGCAAAATTCGGTTGTGGGACACTGGCACTCGCCAGCTACTGGGAGAGCCATTAGAGGGCCACGAAGACTCGGTTGACGCTGTAACCCTCTCTCCAGATGGTTCAAGGATTGTCTCCGGCTCGGCAGATAGCACTGTTCGATTATGGGACGCTGAAAATGGCCAGCCAATAGGAGAACTCCAAGGCCACGAGGGTGAAGTGCATACTGTGGCATTTTCACCAGATGGCTCATATATTGTCTCTGGCTCGGAAGATAAGACGATTAGACTGTGGGATGTAATCAGCGGTCAGCAGTTGGGAAACCCACTCCACGGGCATGAAGGTTCGGTCCAAGCCGTCGTATTTTCACCAGACGGTACACGAATTGTCTCGGGTTCATGGGATAGGAAGGTTCGCCTGTGGGACGCGAAGACTGGCAAGCCACTCGGGGAGCCACTGCGAGGCCATGAACACGATGTATATGGCGTTGCCTTATCATCTGATGGCTCACGGATCGCCTCTTGCTCGTCCGACAGCACGATTAGAATATGGGATATAAGAACTGGCCAATCACTTGGGAGTCCATTTCAAGGGCATCAAGGACCGGTCTACGCCGTGGATTTTTCTCCAGACGGGACTCGACTTGTTTCTAGCTCAGCAGACGAGACGGTTCGTCTCTGGGATGTATTCACCGGTCAACCGCATGGAGAGCCGCTTCAAGGTCATGAGAGCTTTGTGTACACCGTCGCATTCTCACCAGACGGCTCACGGATTGCCTCTGGCTCGGAGGATGGCACAATCTGTCTATGGGAAGCAAATGCGCGTCGATTACTGAGAGAGCCACTGCGAGGTCACCAAGGCTGGGTCTGCACGGTCGCATTCTCACCAGATGGCTCACAAATCGCCTCCGGCTCCACTGATAATACAGTTTGGATATGGAATGTAGAGACCGGTCAGCCATTAGGAACACCATTTAGAGGTCACAACCACTCAGTCACAGCTGTCGCCTGGTCTCCAGATGGCTTACAAATCGCCTCGAGCTCGTCGGGGGATACCATAAGGTTGTGGGATGTGACCAGTGGTCAGCTGCTGCGAGAGCCACTCCGAGGGCATGGGCACTTTGTGAACACCGTTGCCTTCTCGCCGGACGGCTTTCGAATTGCCTCTGGCTCATCTGACCACACGATCCGGTTGTGGGACATAGAAACGGGTCAGACTCTAGGAGAGCCACTTCGAGGTCACACTGGGCCAGTGCGTAGTGTTATATTCACCAAAGATGGCTCGAAAATTATATCCGGTTCATCAGACGGTACCATTTGCCTGTGGGATCCAGACACTGGTTAGTGACCGAAAGGTTTTTCTAACAGTTGTACCCGTTATAGAACTGATTATCGTTCAGTCTATTCAGACGCCTCTCGATCCCTCTGTCACTCAAATGATGATTCGGGTCAATCTTGGGACTTAGTATCCAGTAAGTATATTCCAAGGTTGTTCATGGTCTCTTGATGCGTGAAACTGACAAGTTTTGCTTGGAAAAATCGCAGATATTTCTCGAAGTCAAGTCAAGACGACAGAGGATTCACATGCTGGCGACTTGAAGTCCAACACGAGCCCTTTAGATATCGCTCTGCCATTTTCCGTGCCCGGATTCGAACAATGTGTCCTTTCACGTGATGGATGGGTTCGATCGAATGGGAAGGTTCTCTTCTGGGTGCCGCCCGAGAACCGCCATGGGCTTCAATATCCGCACCGTCTGACGCTGCCAACAAACAGTCCTCTACGTGCGACCAGGCTTGACTTTACCACTTTCAAATGTGGATCATCCTGGACAAACGTTCGAAATCTGCAGACCAAGGAGTCGCTGTAAACTTTATCAATCGTGATACACATTCTCTTTCCGTGCTTCAGCCAAAAAAACACGGGGGAAGTTCATATTTGCTAATTCAGGGCTACATACTGCGCGTAGCGTGATAAGAAAATGGATAGTGACCTCTGTCCGTGGCCTGTTTCAAATCTCAACTTGCCTCATCTTCGCGGCTGTACAGCTCGAACTTCACGTCACTGACGCATTAGGTCGCTCTGGATATATACCTCGTGGTGAAGAGAGCGATACAACTAGATTTATAACCCCAAGTCGGGAGCCTTGCGAAGGTATGGGTGGTCTTATTCGAGGACTAAGGCGTTTCAGAAGTACATGATTTAAGAGCCAAGTAATGAATAAAAAGACACCAGGTCACCTGTCTACATCTGTGCTGGAATAACCTTGACTCTGCCTCGTCTGACACCGGTCCCTCGCCCTCGGGATCGACTCTTTCCTTCGCCGTTTGGAATACCCGGAGGGCGTCCTCTACCACGTCCACGACCACGGCCTCTACCACGGCCCCTTGTTGCACCGATAGCCTCTCCTTCAAACCCACCCGGAGTGTTCATTCCACTGCCAGAGATGGCTGTTCCCATCCCGGCGCCACCAAATTCAATGTCTTCGTCTTGCTGAATCTGTTGCTGCATACGGCCTCCAGTAAAGAAACCATCGTCCTCAGTCTCCCAAATCCCGTGGACCTGAACTGGAGGTCGTCGACCACCAGATGGAGTGACCATTCCAGATCCCGGACCAGATGCAGGTACGGAGAGTGACGAGACGTCGCCACGAGCTTGTAGAGCCTCGAGTTCGTCGTCGTCGAGCAATAGCTTGACAATCTCGCTTGGTTTGTGTGATTCGACAAATGGCTTGTTGCCGACAACAATGTCCTGAACCTGGAAAGGGTCAGCGGTGCCCAAGGTTCGATAGGACACTTACATCTTTCTTGACACCAGCCATTTGAACGATACGTTGGTCGATCGTTCCTCGAGTGATCAGCCGATAGACAGTGACTTGCTTTGTCTGTCCTAGTCGGTGTGCTCGGTCCATGGCTTGAGCATCGTTGGACGGGTTCCAGTCGCACTCGTAAAAGATGACGGTGTCAGCGGCAGTAAGATTGATACCGAGACCTCCAGCGCGGGTGCTGAGGAGGAAGCAAAAGATATCGTCTCTGCTAATTGTGAGAATTCATTCGAGCCAAGAAAGAGACTATACCTTTGCTGCCAATCCATCACCATGTCACGACGATCTTCCAAACGGGTGTCTCCATCAAGTCGAAGGTACTTGTATTGGCGGAAGATCATATATTCCTCCATCAGGTCTATCATTCGCGTCATTTGGAAGTAGATAAGACAGCGATGACCGCCACTCTTGAGTTCCATGAGAAGACTGTCGAGGCGAGCGAGTTTTCCAGAGTCAAAGATGAGACGCTTTGGCTCTGGTACGTGCATCTGAGCAGCCGGAAGTTGAATCGATGGCGACGATGACACGAGACCGCCCGGAGCGACGAATGGGAGCATTTTCGAGTAGCGTAGAGTTCTCTGAGGATTTTCGCGAGACCATGGCGGCAGACCGAATAACGCAAGGTGTTCCAATGGAGCTTCGTGGATCCTCGACATGTGGTCCATAAAGATGATTGACCTACAGGTGATGTCGATCGGAGGTGCCGCGGCATGTTCAACATAGATCTGCGTTTGACGTCTAGACAACGGCGTCGCATTCCATGCCCACGATGAAATCTCGTGCAGAGGCGGAAGGCCCTCGGCGTGGTCCAGGAATCGCGTGATGGTGGGGATGAGAAGGTATTTGGACGGGAGCGTGTAACGCGCGACGAGCTCGGTATCACTAGAAAAAGGCCGTCAAATGCAAGCCTCAAATCGGCAGAGGAGCTTACCTCATCAAGGGACCAGCAGAGCGCAAGTCGTATACTTGCTGCGCAGACGCGAGCATGCGTTCGATTATGCTCGACTGGTAGGTTCTATGAACCTCGGAAGGTGTCTGGTTCAATAGCTTGATGAACGCGAATCCGTCTTGGGCTGGAATTTAACGGGTGAGTAGGCTGACATGAGGGTACGAAGTGCTTTACCGCGCTGGCTAATCCACGACGGTGTCCAAATATTCATCAAGCATCCGAGCAATCGTCGTTTGAACCCTGCTCCAGACGATTCGGATGGTACGTCCAAGAGTCCGCCCTCTGTATAGATGATTCGCGGTATCGAGTAAGAGATGGGATTCTTGGACGAGTAAGGCGCCTCGACAAAATCTCCCTCTCGAAGGATGTTGTTCGTCCCACCAAACATGGCAAAGGAGAATGGAGCCTGGACATCGGCACGTTCAAAGAGTTCTGGATGATTACAGACCTGTTCGATGTCAGCCCGGTTCAACATATTATAAGAATCGAGTACCTTGCGGAACTGCATGACGAGGTTCATGAGCGATGCAGTCGCCGCTGCGTCGGTCGCAAAGTTTGCTGCCTGCCGAAGCAGCTCTGCGACGGAACTGTTGGCTCTGAGTGCCTTGTAAAGGTATCTTTGGCGTGGCGTGAGCTCGCAGTAGAGGTCGATTTCGGTCTATAAGCCCCTCAGTAAAGAGTTTGTAAGTGTAAAGTGAACCGACCTTTTCGCCTAGCTCGTTTTGAACATGGCGCTTGACACGACGAAGCATGAATGGCTTGAGGATCATGTGTAGTCGACGTAACTGATGCTCGTTGAACCCTCCACCGCTCGAGCCAGCAGCCCCCTCAATATCCTTGGAGAACCATTCGGAAAACTCGTCGTGAGAGTCGAAGAGACTCGGCATGATAAAGTGAAGAAGCGCCCACAGTTCTATCAAGAGATAAGTTTATCAACATAGACTTGGAAGGAGTGTACCTTGCATCGAGTTCTGGATAGGTGTCCCCGTGAGGAGAAGCCGATTACGACAATGGAAATCTAGCAAGACGTTCCAGCGGGCACTGCTACTACTCTTGATAGCCTGCGCCTCGTCGAGAATCATATACTGCCATTTGAGACTTTGAGGTAGACGCTGTCCGTAACGATGAGGTTGTAGCTGGTGACGATGATATGGAACGGCGCATCGCGATCGTAGACGATAGCCTTCTTTGCCCAGAATTTACGCAGCGTCTTTCGGTCGGCAACCGTCCCCCAGTATGGTACTACCTTGAGCGCGGGAACAAACCGAGTGAGCTCTTGTTGCCAGTTGTGGAGAGTAGATGCAGGCGAGACGATGAGGAAGGGACCCCAAATGTCTTGACGCTCAGCGAGATGAGCAAGGAGAGCGATGGATTGAATTGTCTTGCCAAGACCCTGCGTGCTGGTTAGAGAAAAGTGATGAAAGAGGAATCAAACGTGCCATTTCGTCGGCGAGAATGCCGTTGATACCTTGCTCGTACAGACCAGCAAGCCAATTGAGTCCTTTGAGTTGGTAGTCTTTCAACGTCGCTTGGAGCATTGCCGGTTGAGGAAGCATTTCACGATTTTGGAGCATCGTTGGGTTTTGGAAGTTGAGCTCGTCCGAATCCACTGAACGTAATTAGAAGATGCTTCTCTCCGTGGGGCTTTCCACTTACAATCTTTGAGCCCAGTCACCTTGTCGAGGTCATCAATGTCCATCTTGTTCGCAAATGCTTCACCGCGGAGCTTGTCTCCACCAGCCGCTTCCATGCGCCTTTCGGCATCAGAGAGCGTGGCAGAGGCAGGGACATTGCCACCCTCCATCTCGAGGAGAGCCGCCGCTGCATTGGCCTCGCGACGCGCCTGGTCAAAGTCGACAGCACGGCGTCGAATGTCCAACATACGCTTGCGGGCCTGTCTCCGTGCAAGTGCCTGGAGACGCTTTGGATCGTCTGATACGAATGAGTGACCTGGCGTGATTTGGAAAGACGGAGGCTTACCTTTGTCAAAGTCGAGAGCGCCGTCGTCATCTTCAGCGAGCCCGTCGTCGATATCCAACTCGAGATCTGCGGCGTCGTTTTCATCCTCGAGCGCAGGATCAGCACCAACATCACCATCCGGATCTTCTGATTCGAGTTGGGATGCTACGACCGGTCAGCGACGTTCTTGGGCAAAGTAAGTCAACATACTTTTGAGCCTCTTGCCGACGAAATGGCTGTAAAGTTCTGTTTGCGTGATAAGAAACTCGAGCTTGCGGCGCTGGCGAAGTTCTTCCTTTTTCTCCAACTCCATACGAGCCTTTTCTACACGCTCCTTTTCGCGTCGTCGTCGTTCTTCCTTTTCCTCCTTTTCATTCTTTTTCCAAAAAGTGAGCAACTCGCGTTGAAGCTTTTTCGTCTTTGCCACAGGGTCACGTCCGAAGCGACCTCCAGCGTCTTTGTCTTTGCCCTCGCGTCGGACAAACGGGGTATACTCGCCACCCCACCCACGCTTCGCTGCTGTCGCACACCATTTGGCGACGCGCTCGTTGACAATCTTGACAGCAGCGAGATGGTTGGCTCTCGCCTTGAACGTGTACGGAACGGCGTCTTTGACAATGGTCGACCATACAGAGGCAAATTTGGCGTCATAGTCGGAAGGAGCTGTTGAGGTGGCTGGAGGCGGTACGAGCAGAGGTGGAGGTCCGATATCGGGGTAGGGTAAATTCCATTCCTTGAGACCTACGCGTCCGACACCGACATCTTTGCCTTTGGTAGACCGCCTGGGTCCCTTTTTAGCACCCTTGAGAGAAGGCATAGACGCCTTTGGAGCCAGCAGACCACCACTTCCTTTGGGAGCCGTGGTCACGTCGACCTTGCGTTTTTTCGCAGAGCGTCTGGGTGTTCCGGTAACCGAACCACCTTCGCCTGCAACCGAATCGTCGTCGTCGTCTGGATCCATGAGGGCCTTTCTACGACGACCATCGCGCTTGACGCCAGAGACAGAGTCGGCCTCGTCTGCGCTTGGCGCGGCACTGGCATCCCAATCGCGCTTGATACCTTTGGTATTTGTTAGAAGAAACCCTTGTGGAAGAGGAAAAGACAAAGACTGACCTGGGACACCGAGGAACCCGCGTCCACCTTCGTCGTCTTCATCGTCGTATCCATCGCCTGCTTCGCTTCCTGCACGCGAATGATCCGAACCGACGATGAGACTTGCATAGGGACGTGACGACCGAGACTGAGACTGTTGGACTTGCTGCCGCATTTGGATTTTGAGCATTCGAGACGCCATTTGCGACTTTACGTTTTGCGCGACAATGGCATTGGCTTGCTATGTAATAGTTAGATGCTATCTATTTTGATGTGAATTAGCACTCACTCTGTTGTGTTCGGTGAAAATACGCTCAATGTCACGCATCTTGGTACGCGTCTTGAGGGCATACTTGCCAATGGCGGCCTCCCAGACATTTTGATGATCCTCTAGATCGGAAGAATACGCGCGAGGTCGGACGAGTCCAGGAGACGTTCGTCCGGTCTATTCCAAATTATGAGCGGATACGGGTACGGGCCCAAGACGAGTGCTTACAAGATTACTCCTGCCTGTACTCCCGTATCTAGATTCATCGATTGTATTCCCATTTGGCGCATTGTCGACCTCCATCTTGTGTTCTTCATGATGAGGAGCGGGTCGTTGAGGTGAATAAAACGGCGTGTCGTGTTGACTCTTCTTTGGCGTTCTAGCAGGTGCATGGTAAGAAGATGAACCGTTGAGCTTTGCCGGGGAGGCCGTCGTAGCACGGCCATAATCGGACGTGGGAGGGATGGACGGCGTCTCTGCCGAGGATGGAAAGGGGACCGATGGGGCGGCTGGAGGAGGAGCTGGAGGGTCAGTGTTGATGATATTGCGAATAGAGGCGTTGGAAGAAGTGCCAGTACGCGGCGGAATTGGATTTTGCGGTTCGTCGTTGAGGAGCGCACGCAGCGACATGGCGAACAAGAGTTTTGGCGAGTAATAGTGTCTATAGTACGTTTAGAAGAGGATTCAGAGTTTATCTTGATCAAGAAAAGGGCGAGCGCGGCGATTCAAGTGAAACGACGTGACGAATTGGGAGACTTGGTCGGAGGAGTGGTCACAAATCCGACTCTATTCACCTTTAACAGGAATAATTAGCATAATGATCCCATAAAAGCGCCCAAAAGTGTCGACGAAAGGGCAGAAAGCGCGACTTACGAAGCTGAAGCGACGTCGGCCCAGACACAGACGCGACTCTGAGCTGCCGAGAGTCGCTGAGAAATCGTGGATATTGGTGATAAATCCTTGTGTCCAACAGGATTCTACGCAACGTTGCGCGCAGTTGGCGTGATGAAGCGGTCAGGACTTGGAAATTTCAATTTGATGGACAAAGCAAACCGACGTTGGACCGACGTAGAGGACAGCCAACGACGAATATTATGCGGATATCAGTCTCAAACAGTAGATATTAAGCAGATTTACTTTGTCATCATACCTCGACGGGCGGTCACAAATCAGGGATTACATCAAGGTGGATCCTATTATGATAGTATCCACAAGGTTGCATAGTACGTTTATATGTACATCTAGAGTGAGGAGGGACACTGGCTACCCACTTGTGCTCTGCACTTCTTGACCACGCCAACCAGAGGTAGTTCACACGGTTTTGGACCTAAACGGCGCATATTTGGAGAACAGTCACCACACCTCCCTCGTTCTCGTCATAGGCAAGATTTCGGGAGGTGCACGGCGAGTGACCTCGAGTCCAAACGTCGCAACAGAGTGTAAAGTTACCGAGCGATCACCATCATTCCATTCCAACAGTCTAGCGGCTCAATCTCTTAGAGCTTTATCCAATCCCAAAGAAAATAGTCGGGGTACAGAATAGCCTTGCACGCTTCGTCAGTCTCTTACAGGGTATTCGTCAACGACTGGGTTTCATACTTCATCACACTTGTATACCCTCAAGCTAGTGGAAGGCCATAACTCTGGCATGTAGGAGCTACAAGCTATTATTCTACCAATACTGACCTCTAGAGGGTCGGCGCACATGTCTACGAACCAACTCAAAGCGCTCAAGCCCGCATCAAAGAAGCTTTTTGACGCATTTAGAAAAAGAGGCATTTGACAGTTTGATGACAAGGACCGTGCCGATAAAGATCCTACCTTCACGGGGAGCTTCCGAGAGATACTCCTTGGGCATTCAATCCGTCTCCGCAAGGGCTTAAACAGGTTGCTTCCCCACGTCTCATGTCGGATCGTATGAGTTGACATGGGCGCACAGCTGTCTGACGGGGGAAATCGTGGATGCAGTCTGTGAGATATAAAGGACGAGGGACACGAAGCGACTCGACGAGCCCCCCTCGTCTCTCCTTTTCCTCACCATGAAACTTCTCACTATCACATTCATTGTGACGATATCCACATTAGTGTCTGCCCAGAGCGTCAAAGTCTGTACGTCGGAATCTTTTCCCCCTCTCGACTCTTCCTTGACTCTCCCAAGGCGGCGGCGCCTATTGGGATGGTACATCCAAATGTGAACCTGGGTACAGATGCGCACCTGTGATGGCTGGTAAGTCGCTGAGCGTCGTCTTTGTAGAATGGCCACTAATGGCCGCCAGGACTCTCGGTCTGTCTCCCTGCCGTGGCGGCTCCTACGCGTGACAACGTGTCTGGTCCTCCAGCGACACGTACTGCCGCGGATAGTACCTCAATTGCAACTCACGTCACTGCGTGAAAAATCGCTTCGTTTGTATGTTTCGGAAAGTCTCCACATTGATGCATGAATGTATCACATGGATATTTAAACCCTCTTTTCGTCTTGAAATCTCTTTTCGGGATCGACTAGTAGCCGAAGCCCCGGGTGCGCGTGGATATCCTTCGTCACTTGATAAACCCCGCGTCGTTTGTCGCCTACGCATCTTGAACCCGACCATCACTTGTCCTGTAGCCATGTCCGACATCAAAACACCAGGATTTCAGGTAACAGAATTCGCCCATGGTCGAAAACATGAGAAGTAGCTAACGATACTCGTACATTCCAGTCATCTGACCGCTTCGCTGCCATATACGATGCCTTTTGTGCCATGTCAGATGCAGAGAAGCAGGCGCAGATCAAGAAGGTACGCGCCCTTGTAACATGTCCTCTGGTCAAGTGCTGACTGGGCCCTCTTGCACATAGGTCAACGGTGTATTCCAGTTTCAGATCAAGAATGCACAAGGACAAGAGGAAAACTGGACGATTGACCTCAAGAAGGAGGGCACACTCTACAAGGGCCCAGCAAAAGGAAAGGCAGACGTGACCATCATCGTCTCTGGTATGTCTTCACTCTATTCTAGTGCCCTTGCACTTGTTTAAAAGATGCTCACGCTCTTCCTTCCCAACCTTCCCCAAACTCCTACGCAGACGAGACATTTACTCAGATGGCCGATGGAAAACTCGACGGTCAAAAAGCCTTCATGACTGGGAAACTCAAGACAAAGGGGAATATGATGCTAGCTACCAAACTCGGCCCCGTCTTGGCTGCAGCAAAGCCAAAGGCCAAGCTATAGGCGATTCCTCCGCTTGCTCATGTATCTTAACGTTATTTCTACAATCCTAAAGCTGTTCATCATCACGCAAACTGAGTCGAGAGAGAGGCGATGATTGGATTACATGTGAGGCATACATAAGAGTTCCAAGGACGGGGATATCGTAAAGGAGGAAACATGTCTAAATCATGCAGCAGGTTCGTTAGAAGATGCCTCCAAAGAGACCACTCTGCTTGCGTCCTTGATTCGACTGGGAATCCTTGCGCAAATTGACGAGCGATTGGAGTTGGACCATGCACTGAAAAGCGATGAGGAGCGTACATTCGAAATGCGAGGTCACTCACTTGCTCCAGCTTGTCCTTTCTATCCTGCAAATCGAGATGTCGACGGATCGCTGGGTTCTCTCGTGCAAACTTTTGAACCTCGGTCCGGTCCAGATCGTAGATGAGGCGGGAATCAATCTCCCGAGGGAACTAGAAACGATGAGCAAGAGTGAACATACGGTACTGCGTACGTGCCTGGTAGAAGAACTGGTCGAGGAGTTCAATATTGATGAATAGTGTGCTCATGTAGGCCAGCTTGTCTGCGACAACGTTGAGGAAAATCTCAGGACAAACTGTGTCCTTTTCTGGTCCAGCCTTGCACTGCTTGGACTTGAGGGCAGCCATACGTAGCTTGAGAGTGGCAAGTCTGTCGGTATAGAGGAGAGCGTGGCGAGCTATTGACGCGGTTTAGATTAAAGAGCGAGCCTTCTAGACGCAGACACGTACCTTCCAATACCTGAGCCGGGCTATATCGATAATCAATCGGCTCCTCTACGTTCTCGACCTTTCCACCCGTTCGCAAAGCCTCACGCTTCCTCTCTTCCTCTCTCTTCTCTCTTCCGCGGACGTAATCCATCAATGTGCGCAATCGTCGACCACCACCAATGCGGCCCTTGATCTCCGCAATCCGTCCCTCGAGCATCCCAATCTCCTTTTCAAAAAGCGCTACTGACTTTTCTTGGCCAATGCCCCACTCACGAAGATCGACGTCGACGTCATGCTTGAACGGTTTGATGGCATTTTCGACCTGATCGCTCGTCAATGTGAGGTACTGGCGGAGGATGCCATGTGAGAGCTGGACGATGCGCTCAGCATACGCTGGGTGATGATTCATCGGTTCCGTCGTGACGATATTGTCGATGAGAGCCCGCAAGCCATCTGCGACGAGGTTCGTGCTATCTCGACCAACCCCAGACTTGGTCAACAGACCACTGGCAGCTTCGAGCTTGTATCGCCAGTACGTTTCCACATCCTTGAGCTCACGCTGAGCAGGCAACTCTTTACCTGCACCCTTTGCCGGTTCCGGAGCTTTGCCACCAAACCAGCTCGATGATGCCGGGGAAGCTGCTTCCAACGCGAGGGCCTTTTTGAGATCTCCGACGGCGAGTGCGTTGAGCTCCCCGGAAGAAAGGCGTTTGTCAGACCAATAGATGGCCTCTAGAACGCCCATGACTTTCTCGTCCAACATCTCCTTGACGCGCTCACGGACAGCAGGCTTTGTAAACTGCGCTGCGTACGAGTTGAAGCGGGCCTATGCCAGGTGAGTAATAGGGGAAAAGAAGGGGAGGGCTATCTCACCTTGAGTGTGTCGACTGTCTCTGCGACGTAGCTCTCTGCGCTGATGCGACGGTCATTGTACATGACCTTGAACTGATAGCTTGCCTCCTCTAGCTCGAGTTGAACTGCGTTGCTGATGGTATGAAGAGATCCAGCCATACTACCTTCGAGCACCTCCATCAATCGACGACGGAGCGTACCTGTGCCGACCATTACCGACGACTTGCCCTTGCCATCCGCTGTCGGCTCTGGATTAAAATGCTCCTGGTTTGCGCCAAAGAAGCCTTCTTCGCGGCGCATAACCGCATCTGTAAGGTTCTCGTCGTCGCCTCGACGGCCCCTCTTTCGATCAGCCGGCTTTGTGACGACGCCGACGTATCCCAATCCAAGAGGATATCGATTCCCTCTCAAGATCTCCGCGCCCATTCCAGGGTCTACCAGATCCATTTTGGTGATGACACCCAGTGTGCGGAGTCCCAAAGGATCCACACGACGACTAGCTCGCAGTGCCGGAGAATTCGCCAAGTCGACGTCGGCGGCACACACCGCGAGTACAATATTGGGCTCTTTGATGTACTTTTCGCACAAGGCCTCGATACGGCCTTTTAGTTCCTCTGGCTGGTCAATGTTTGCGATCTGAATGTATCCCGGAAGGTCGATGAGCGTAAGGTCTGGGACGTTGGGCGAGTAGATGTGAAGATGAATCGGGTCGTCCGAGACGCACTTCTCGGCTGGAACCGAGAGGTTGAGATCGGTGAGAATCTTTTGGATGGAAGAAAAGGATGTTATATGGCGCATGTTGAGGTCAGGAAAGTCGCCGTAGGGCTCGGTGTGAGGCGTATGAACGAGTGTCAGTTCGATGGGCCTTCGCGTAACCATATTGTTGCCTCTGCAATACGGTAAGTCTTGTGCAGCACGACCAAGAGCACGACAAACTTTGGCAAGAATTCCTTCCCGACAATAGCTTCAAGCACGCTACTTTTCCCACTACTCTGGCTGCCAATGACGACGATGCTTGGGAGCTTGAGGGTGTCTGATTGGTCTATCGACTGTAGAATGGTGCGAATGGAGATGAGCTTCTTGGTCAACGACAAGAGGTCTGTCGGGGGGAGATTGTCGACGGTGGGTTTTTTCTCCTCTTCTTCCTCTTCATTGTCCTGAGCGGCCTTTGAACGAGCCGTAGCAGTGCCCAAAGCAGCGGCAGCGACAGCAACACCTTTGCCGTCACCTTCGGGCTCGGAGTCGCCCTTTGATTTTCCCTTGTCTCCAGACCCGTCATCTGAACCTCCTGATTTGCCTCCAGAGCCCAAGGACTTTAGCCATTCAGGAGCTTCGAGCCCTTGTACGGTTGCAGCAAGGCTGTCGTACGTGCTGGAAACGCCCTCTTTTGCGCTATCTATTGTCCCCTTTGCCGATTTTCTGAAAGAACCCAACGCCGAACCTGCTGTTGAGAGAAAGGGCGACAGTGTTTCCGATGCAGAGTCGTAAATATCTGCAGCAGTATCCTGGACGTCGGTCAGGAAAGTCGAAGTCTGACGTCGTAGTTCTGTAATAAAAACGGATTAACACCTCTTCAGACTGGATAAAGAGACTCGTCTGACCATCTAGCTTGTAGTTTGCGTATCCAAAGGCCCCTGCACCGACGCCAACACCCGCAATGGGTACTCTAAAAGCTCTCGCGACAAAACGAGGTAGAGCAGAGTAGCTGAGAGCCCGAACGTGTACACTTCGCCAGACTCGAGGAGTATTTGGAGCTCGCATCCGCGGTCGCAGCGCGTTGAGCAGCGTCGGCTTGTGCATCGTTTTGTATGAGCGTGTATACATTTGAAGAGCACTGTTTGACTGTGCTGTCGACTGCTTGAGCACCCGCCGTCGCGCAGAAGCTGCTGCGACTGAAATCATTGCGCGGGGACGCTGAATAATGTTATTTCAGAAAATTATCCGGCTCCTATTCCCGATAAACGATAGCAGAACTAGTTTTTCTGCAAGCCTTTGGGCAGGTGACGTTTGTGTTCGGCGACAAGCCTACGATACCTGAGGCTGGGGAGACAACTTGAACTCTAACTGTGTCCGTCGGAGGTCCAGGCGACGCGTCTATACGCCTCAAACTCATTATACGGGTTTATATTCTCATATAGAACATATATATCAGCCAGCGACGCGCCTTTCTACCCGAAAACACGATATTCGGCTCATCACCACCCCTTCAGTCATCTAACAGTCGACATACATGTCACAGATTCCTGTCCCAATTCCAACGCTCCCCATCGCGTCGACTACAGCTGCTCAAAATGCCCACATCGCATCCTTGAACACCCAAATCGAACAGCTAGTTCACAAGAACAATAAACTAGTCCAATCTCATGAAGAAGAACTTGCAGAGTGGGAGAAAAAGCTAGTCGAAGAACGACGACGGGGCGACAATGCCGTTCGCAAAATACAAGAAGCGAGCAAACGTGAAGTAGCATCCTGGCACGATGCTTGTGAGACGGTAATGGCTCTTGTTACTCTTCGATTCCTTGGCTCATGCGTCCCTCGTTCAACAGCTCCGCGTCGCATCGCATCATGCAATGGCATCGATGGAATATGCACATGCCGTCACAAAGCACGATTTACTAGACTTGGAGCACAAGATGGACGCGCTTTCAACCGAATTAAAGGTCAAGGACATGTATTTGCTCCGCCTAAAAGGGGCGGAAGAGGATTTAAAGGTACATTTTCGTGTCATCGAGTGCCTGCGAAAGCTAAAACGATCAGGATCGACTCGAATACGCAGAGAGAACATATGCTAGGCGGCTAGAAGCCCTCGTGTCTGAACTCGACGAGACCAAGCAAGAACTCATCAATTCCCGTAACAAGGTCGTTCTCAACGAGTCTCAGGAAACGTCTAAACTCGCAGTATGTCCGTTCTTTGCCGCAAAGTCGTGTACTGATGCTGCGTAGACCAAACTTAAAGAGGCTCAGAAAGAGTTGGACGAGACTCGTGCCGCATTAACCAAGGCAAACGCTCAGATAACCTCTTTGGAGTCTGTGGCCGAGCGTGCTCGTCTAGAGCTCAAAGATGAAAAGAGAGAACGAAAAGAGCTAGAACGGGAAATGAGAGAACTCAAGGACCAAGTATGTATATCCTTACCCTCGACAATTATTCTCATCTCGAAAAGGTTGCCGACTGGAAGCGACTGGAGACTCGAGAGGCTGAGACGGCCAAAGAGGGCAAGAAACGTGCTCGAGAGCTCGAAGTGACATTGGCGGCGGAACGAAGTCGTCTCGAGGAGCTCGAACAAGAGCGCGTACGATGGAAAAAGGAGAAATCTCAGCTTCAAAGAGAAAAGGACGAGTTGGAACAAGAGCGATGAAGCGAAGAAAGAAGCAAAGGCAGCGAGAAAGCTTCTTAAAGAGGCGAAACAAGAAGCCGCCGGAAAGGAGAATGCACCAGAGAAAGTATTTGATCCCAAGCCGAAGAAACGACAGCGAGAAGTGGAGGATGCCAGCGACGACGAGGGCAAGACGGTCAAAAAGGTGAATATCTTCCAAACCCATTTGACGTGGCTGACCCTGCCAGTCTAAACCCACTGTTGAATCGAATCCTAAACGAGCGGTTTCGCCCGGTCCCTCGAAAGACGCCGCAAAGTCGAAACCAAAGTTCAAACGACCGACCAAGAAACAGGCAGAGGAAGAGCACGACTCGGACGACACTCTCTCAAAGCGCGCCAAATTTATCTCAAAGTCACTTGCAGCGGATAATGCAGAAGGTCGACGTGTCATCAAGGGCGCTCTAGGTGATACATCCGATGAAGAACCTATCACCAAGCCCAAGACAAAGGCAAAGGCGAAGGCAGCTGCTAGCCGAAAGGATGAGGGGAGTGAAGAAGTCTTTGACGTCGATAGAATCCCAGAAGCTTCTGACTCGGACGATGAGCCACCCAAACCGGTTGGTCCCAAAGTCAAGAAGACGGCAAAGAAGAAAGAGGACAGCGAACCCTCCAAGCCCAAAGCAAAGGAGACGAAACAAGCCTCTGCTGCTCCAGAGCCTGCAAAGCCAAAGAAGAGAATGTTGAACCTACTTGGGAATACAACCGGTGCGAGTGCTGTTACCGCTTGGTGGGGCGCGGTAAGTCGTTTGCACGCGCTCAATAGTCATTTCTGACGTGTCCCAGAAGAACACCGACAACGAATTCAATATACCGACGATGCTTTCATCGCCGGAAAAGGGCGAAGTACCGAGAGCAAAGTTTGGATCTGGCCGAGGTTTCTAAATTGTATCGTATCTGTACCATGTGCTCAAATGTATACTCTTGTGTTTATTCACGCGTTTTGCGAATAGCCGGTGGGCTTGTCGAAAACTTGAACTCCTTCGACGTTGACCGGCCATGGTGACCGTGACGATTGAAGCCGCCAGCAAGAAGCTACGACTCGCTCCAGATCTCCCATACACAGTCTCGTTTCCGGATCCGGACGCGGCAACGATTGAAGATGTGAAAAAGCTCTTGCGCGTCAAGTTTCCCAAAGTACGCTGCTGTTTTTACGCCTTATAGCGCGTCTGTGCTGATAATAATACCCTCCAATAGCTTCTAATGGAACGTCAACGGCTTACGCTGCCCACAACGTCGCCTGACGCAAAGGGACGAGCCCCAAAGGATTCGGAATCACTGACGGCAGCTGGTCTCGCAAACGGAGGGACACTTATCTCAAAGACCTCGGTCCTCAAATCAGCTGGACGACCGTCTTTTTGACCGAATACGTTCGCACCCGTCTTGTCATTTGCGTATTCGTTGACGGTTTGGATAGGCTGGGCCATTGGCTATTCATTTTATAGTGTACAATTACTTTCCATGGGATGTTCCCTTCAAGAAGAGCAAGATGCAGATGTACGTCGGTGATTTATAAACTCTTGTCCAAACTGACTCTACGTTGCGTAGCTTTGCGTACTGGATGTTTATCCTTCACTTTTGAAGCGAGAACTTGAAACACTCTTGTACGTGCCGCAGTACCCTCTGGAATACGTCTAATTGTTGGACAGTGTTCACCGCTTCTCTCATGGAACGATGCCAGCCTCCTACATTATCCGAAAGTGCGTTTCTATGTTCCATCTTTACGGTCTATTAACACCTCGTAGTTCTGCTCATTATTGGCTCTTGGCCGGTCTAATGTCCGCTGTCTCCATCTACGGCCCATGGAATTCATTGCTTCGCATGCAAGATTCCGGCTCGTGGCGCGATCAAGACTGGTTCCTTTGGACATGTGCAGGCGTCTGGGCGGTGCGTCATTATAGCTTTCTAGAGGGACATGTTCTGACGCGACTTGTCAGACTTTTGAGATGATGAATCTGTCGACTCACTTGACGCTCCGTTCGCTGCGTCCAGCGGGCAGCAAGGCGCGCGGTATTCCACACAGTTGGATCTTTGACGGACTCAAGGTGAGCTACAGCCACCTACCCGCTTCATTTGATTGATCTTTTTTTTAGGTGTCCTGCGCCAACTATACGACAGAGATCCTTGGATGGATTGTCGTGTGCATCATGACCGGTGATCTATGGTGTTCGTCCGTCTCTGCACTGATAGTTTGTTGTTCACACTCTCATAGGCATGTTCTTTGTCGTCGTTGGATCGGCAACAATGGCAAAGTGGGCTCTCGCAAAGCACGCGAGGTATCGCAAAGAGTTTCCTGGATACCCAAAGTCACGCAAGGCCATTATTCCGTTTGTGCTCTAGAAGTACATTGCTTGTCGAGCATTCATAGTCCTCGTCTGCTAATGCAATTTCAACCCGTACGAGTCGACGTTTTAGTCGTTGAAAGTGCCCGAAGTGGTGTCAGTGAATTAGCAAAAGAATAACTCTATCACAAAATACAATTACGTCTATGCTTCAGACACGACGCCGACCTGAGCGGCGCGGAGACACCTGTCCTTGATCTTGTAGCCAATCTTGAGCGTGTCCACAATCATCCCAGGCTTGATCTCTTTGCCAGCCATGGCAGGGAGAGAGCTTGCGACTGCCTGAGGGACTTCGAAGAGAGCCTCGTGCCAATTGGGATCGAATGGCTCGCCCGCAGGATTGAAGGGAGTGATTCCGTGGGATGCCAAAGTCGATAGAAGCGCTCGGTGGGTGAGTGTTACTCCCTCGACGAGAGCAGACTCGCCACCTTTTGCAGCGGAAGTAGCACTTTCAGACTCGGTTTCTGATTCGCTGCTGCTGCTGCTGCTCGAGGAACTGGAGGAACTGGAGCTGGAAGAGGAAGAGGAACTCGAGGATGAAGACGAGCTTGAACTAGAGACGGATGATGACGACTCTGTCACCGTCTTGAGCGCCATTTCGAGCGTGTCGACGGTCTGTAAGAGATCATCTGGAATCGTTCAGACAAACCATCAGGAGCGTCAGGGATGGGCATTACTGGCAAACTTGGAAATGGCAAAGTCTTTCGCCTTATCTTTCTCTATTTGGGCGATTCTCTGCGCGTTGAGAAGGTCGGCTTGCAAGTACCGTAGACGCGACTGTACGTTACGTTAGTCATTATACTCATGGTGATATTTTGCAACTCTCACCATGAGGTCGTCTTTTTCCTCTTTTAGTTTTTCTATGTCTGACTTTGCCTGAGCCTGCTCGGCTTTGGCTTCGCTCGCCTTTTCTGTTGTCTCTGCTTTGCTGGATGATTCTGGAGTTGCAGAAGCAGCGTCTGTTTGCGTCTGGGCATCCGAGTGAGCATTCCGATGCTGAAGAACTGATGCCGAAAAGGTCGTCTGCCCTCGTCGGGCGGGCACCCGCATTCCACCAACTCGGAGCGCAGAGAATCCTTCATACAATGAGGATACGCGTGTTGTCGTTGAAGCCGAGGGGCTTGAGCAAAACGCTGACAAGGCCAAAAGAAAAAAACAATGTGAGCCGATTTGACACTCGACGTGTATTCTATGGCAAGAAAAGAAGAGAATAAAGGCATACCTCGTCGTGAAATTGGCATGAGACTGCTTGTTCGACCTCCAGCGCACGACTGGACAGTGCGCGACGCATTGCGCAGGAAATTCCGTGATGCCGAGGACATTTCAAGGCTTTTTAGATCAAAGTTGTGGCGAAAAGAAGATGGGCGACTGTCGACGTCGGCTCAAAAGGGTGGGGAACCTGGCTTGGAGTTGACCATCTCAAGTAACACTTTTGACATTATTCTATCGACACAAAATACGTTGAAAGACTGGATCCTTTGACATGAACATCCAATGTGGACGCTTAATAGCAGCAATCGACAGAAACTAGATGGCTTCTCCTGACACTCACAGAGCCCTTATGGATATTTGCGGACCTGTATAATCATGTATATGCAACGAGCTGCTGGATATACGAACCGAGGAGATTGCGTCCCCAGGATGCACATACATCTCCTATGACATCTGGTGGTACTCAAGGGTTCACCGCACGCCCGAGGACGCCGTTTTCCGATACAAATGGTAACTTTGTGGGCAACGTTCACCAAGAATGTAACGTGACGTGCGTGCTCTTTGTCGGCACAAGACAAATAGTTCCAAAAACCGAAAGCGATCCCTCTCCTTTCTCATAGCCTCTCTCTACACGCTAATGAGATACGGTTAGCATATGCATTGTTAAAGAGCTCGTTCTCGGTACCAATACGACAGAATTTCTCACACGAGAGGTTGAGAATGTCAACGTTGTAGGCAGAGTTCACTCCGAGTACCCCAATGGCATCTTCCCCGCAAAGAATATTTTCACTGGCTCCGGTAGAGCCGAGGGAGCGTATACGGTACCTCAGGTTACTTGGGATGGGTGGAGTCGGTATCGTCTAACCAAGGCATCGTCGGTTCGAGCAGGCTTGCTGCCGTATTCGATACCACTAGCGGCGGCTGTTGCCGGAACACCGCCTGCACTCGTCGTGCTATAATTAAACTCATTTTGCATCCCTTTCTTAACACTAGCACACGGCCTTAGGACATGCAGCTACCCATTATACCTCCTTTGTGGAGCTGACACCGTCGGCCATATCACCAGTGCGTGCGTAGGGCCCTGAATACGACGCAAGATCGGATTCGGATATGAAAAGCTTGCCAGGATGGCATCCGAGCCCCTCGATGTGGACTGACAATGCTCAGTGCTTAGCTGTCAATCTCTGACAGAAGCGAAACTGACTTCTGACATTGCAATGGCAGACCGGCTCCGCGCACGTCTTCAGATGCAGATGAAAGCCGTGGATACTCCACTACGTATAGAAGCTGTCATAAAACATGGCAATGGATATAATGCGAACGGCGATTGGTTAGCCAGGCTAGTGGATATCGAGCTCATGCCTAATAATAGTTCCCCTGCCTCCACCTCTATACCTTTACGACACGCACATGCTCTTTTACTGGCACTTACTGGCAAGGAATCTGCATCTTCTCACGTTGTCGGCTATCTGCGCATCTTAACCGGGCGATCACCAGATATAAGGAGTGTGCGCAGACATCCCACCTTGATCAATAAGACTCACTTTAAATGAGCTTCCTTTGGGCCTATTGTCTTCTGACTGCTTCCCTATGGATCGCCACCACCTTTGCTCAATCAGACGGGGGCTATGGGCCGCATATCTACCCGGGGATGCCCTCAACTCCATATGGGCCAGACTGGCAGCATTGTAAGCTTGAGATCAGGATATTCTAGATTCGCCCCTTAGTACCTCTAGACTTCAAAGTAAACACATGGCCATATGTCAACTTTTCCATGCCTGTATCATATGCCGGCAGCGTCTCTGTCAACCGAGCCGATTTTGTGAACAACACACTATTCTTTGTCGCATTCGAAAAAGGAAACTCATCACTGGTAGCAGCCGAGGGCGAGCGTTCTTCCGAGCCTTGGATGATTTGGCTGAACGGAGGGTAAGTGCATGTAAACGCAGTAAGCGTATACTGACTGTGATATAGTCCTGGATCCTCAAGCATGTATGGACTGTTTGAGGAACATGGCCCTTTACGCTACAGCCGAACGGTATTGCCAGGCGGAGGATCTTCCAATCAATTTATCGAGAACCCCTTTAGCTGGCACAGGCTAGCGGATATTTTTTACGTCGATCAGCCCGTCGGTACTGGCTATAGCACTGTCAGTCTCAATGGGGAGGTCCCAGACGAAGACGCGATGGGACAAGACTTTGTAAGATACCCAATCTCTGAGTTTATCTCACTACATCTCTCTATAGGCACACTTTCTGTCCAATCTAGTCTCGATCTTTCCCAGTCTGCGCCATCGTCCTCTCTACCTCGTAGGCGAGAGTTATGCCGGGACCTACATTGTATGCTTCATAATGAGCTATATATACATACTGACACTCGGTTTAGCCATATATTGCAAAGACGTTGTTTGGCATGACTCAGCCGCCAGTAAGATTGGCAAAGATTGCTATTGGGGACGGAAGTACGCTAGTTTTTTCGCACCCGAGATTCGCCTCTGACGCTCATGCACCACTAGCTCTGGGTAGCGAAAGCACCTGTCGGCAGCACCCTATCCCATCTATCCTACAGACATATCCACAGCTTATCAACTTTAGCTCAGTCGCATATGAATACTACGTAAAGCAATGGAGGCTGTGCAGGTACAATGCGATCCTAGAGTACCCTGCCAAATCTCTCTATCCACCATTGGGGAACCCTGATTATCCTACATATGCCCGTGCACCGTATAACTTGGACAATGTGCGAAGCAAGCTGCGTACTTTGATCAAGCTAGCATCTGCTGGCGTTGGAGAAGACGAGATCTTCCACGAGGGGAGGATCTACCGGCGACGCTCGGAAAATTCCTCTGGTTTGATACGGCGATGGGACAGTGCAGGAATAGATTCATACTTCGGTTGCGATGTATGGGAAAACATGATCCAGTACGCAACTGAACAAACACCTTTTTGTAAGCATATAATGGGCAGAATGCGTGGTACTTACCCTCTTTCAGGGGAAACTTACAGCTTTGATGTAAGTGAGGAATATGAGGTCCAGGAGATATAATGTTCACATATTACAGGTGTACCGTATCTCCGACGCATTGAACCCTCCTGTGCCATCCAATACGACCCTCTTCCTCAACGGTTGGCCTCTGCATCGTGAGATTGATACCACTGACTTTGGATAGATCCCAAAGTACGAGCAGCATTGCACGCTCCGGATCACCGGTGGCAACAAAGTCGCCCATATCCGTTCAGTGGCTCATACGTGGACCCTAGTATGGTTTCAATGGCCATAGCGATTCCTTTCTTACATTTTCCTAGGTGCTGCCCCAGACACCTTTCTTTCTGAGCTTTCCAAGAACGTCTCCATGGTATTCTTTTCCGGGAACGACGATGCACTTGTTGCACATCGTGGGACAGAGCGTACGTGACAGGTCTGTGCTAGAACAGCTCACTTAGCCTAGTAGTGACAATCCAGAATATGACGTTTGGTGGAATTCAAGGTTTCACCGCGCGTCCGAGCACGCCCTTCTCCGATACGGATGGCAATTTTGCAGGTATCATTCATCAGGAACGCAACGTGACCTATGCACTCTTCATCGGAGCAGGTCATATGGTTCCAACAGACAAGCCTAAAGCGGTCTGGTTCCTCTCATATCGCTCGATACTTGCTTATTCGACGGTATAGGCCTATGCGTTTATCCGGGAATTTGTCCTCGGGACCAACACGACTGGTTTGCTCACAAAAGACGGTGATAACGTCAACGTCGTAGGTGGCGTTCACTCTGAGTACTTGAGTGGCATCTTCCCTGCCAAGGAGATTTATACTGGTTCTGGAAGAATTGAGGGAACATATACTCTCCCGCAAGCTACCTGGGACGCGTGGAGTCAGTACATGGCTACAATGCCTGATCCCGGACTTATAGGTTATGCATCGTCAATTCGAGAAACTTCCGTATCACCCTCAATGCTACTAACGACTGTTGGAACGCTACTTGCTCTCTTCATTGTATAAGCATATCCATATTCCATCCTTTGTCACTGCTACATGAACTTGTGACGAGAAAGATTATTCAGAAGGTTACCTAGTAAATTCTCCCTCTGGGGCGGTCAACGTCCCTTGAGTTCAACCACATTCTCAGTACGAAGGGTACAGCCCGAGGTCCTGCGTTATTGACAGGCTCAGCCTGCAACCCAGGGTAAAGCTCGTCAAACGGGGCGTCGTCCCAAGGCTTGGCCCTCGAAGATTTACCGAGTGTTCTCGGCTCAGCTTCATCCACTACTGGATCCTCCTCGTACTGAAAACGCGAAAGACGTGCCCCGAGTAGGGTATCGAAATTGAACTTTGGCGAACAGAGAATTTCGGCAATGGCCTCTCGTTCCCTGGTTGAAAGAGTGTTTCTAGTGTTTTCGTGACCGAGTTGATCTTCTCGTGAGGTGGACCCTATGAGAAGGCGCTTGGCAAGCCCAGCCCACCCAAAGTTCGACTGGTGTTCGCGCTGTTGTTCTTCGTGTCTGAATAAAGCCAATCTTCTCTCCTGTTCAGCTTGTACTTTTCCAGACTCGCTGCTGCCACTCCTCCCATTCCCCGCGCCTAGGTGGTGTTACACCGTCCTCAAACCACACATGTCGAGGAGGAAGTGCGATACATAGACGATGAAGAAAGTTGAATAGTGCAGACGTCTGCTGGCATATCTGCACGAGGAGTGGGAGAGTTGAGGGTTGCACCGCCTGACGGGACCCGTCAATACCAGTAGTGAGCCTTGCGGAGGATGGTGGGCTTGGGTATCCATATGCGCCGAGAATGTACGCGTGGACATCCTCTGCCAGCTCTCTTCGTCGTCGCAGGCAGAATAGGGAGTGCAGCGTCTGAGGGTCTGACGATTCCGTCGAGTCTGTCTGCTCTGAAGGTGCAAACAGCCAGGATTCGAGTCGTTGGCCCCATGATGACGCCGTTTGATTGAGAGGGGTACAACGGTCGAGTACCCCAAGCAGACGCCCCAATTCTTCCTCTGCCGACCATGAAAGATCGAGGACGCGCAGAAGAATATCAACCTCTCGCAGGTAGCTCGTGCGATCACGGGAGCTTGGAAGGGTATTGATCGAGACGATGAGATTTGAGAGGCTTTCTCGGATGAGCCCCGCCTGCTTTATTGAAATTCTGACATTGAGCGCCATAGTGAAAGAGCGCGTTTTAGGCTCGATCTCGGTCGTATCTTGAGCGTGCTGCGTATCCAACTGACGGTTTCCCACTGGAGGTTGTGGTGCGCTTAGAATTGGTATGCCTCGCATCGTCTCGACGATTAATTGCAGCCTGAGTCGAATCCTCAACGTGTATAACTGCGTATCTTCTGTTCCTCCATGGCTCTGGTCGCTATCAGCAAAGGGGTTTGACTCGCCACAGAGGAGATGATCGTAAGAGTACGGTGGGCGATTGGAAGGAATTGAATGTATGAAGCCTCTATTTTGCGCTTCCTGTCCTAATAGCGAGGGTAAGCGCAAGAGGGAGGACCATGCCGGTGACGACTTTATATGGGGAAGGCGAGTGTCCAGCAGGTGTAGTGCAGTATTTGGCTCCCCATCAAGTACCGCATCTTGGACGTCTTGAAATCCATCAGTAAAGTCCTATCGCACGATAGGGCTAATGGACTTACCTCGTGCATGATGCAATACTTGCGCAATCGTCTGCTCATTCTGCGTCCCTTTAAAATCTTTGTGTCTTTCTGGAGCCTTGTTCTCGTCATTCAGCATCGCACTAGCCGTCTTAGCGTATCCGCCACGGACGAGGTAATCGAATACGACATCTCGCTGTCAACGGATGAGTATCCTACTCATAAAATTCACCAGAATCACCATCTCTGGACCGAATCTTGGCAGGTTCCCATACTGCGCCCGCCGTCTGCCACCCAGGAAAGCGTCGACAATCCGTCGTCCAGCATCCTCCCTCGGCATCACCTCGTCCATCGCAGACAGATCTCGTAGAGTTCAAAAGGGTAGAGAGCAACGCCGGTACTCGTCCTCTCGCGGCCAAATGCGACCACGAGCATCTCCGCCTGAGCCGTTCCGACCGGCGCGCGCGTCAAATCAGAAGCGCCCCTGTGATAAACAAGGGTAAATGGCAGATTAGAAGCTTCAAACGAAGTCTAGATCTTGAGCCTCCGCGGTCTTTGGTTGGTCAACGAGTCCAGAGATGGAAGCACGATGGCCCTAAACATCTCAGCGAAGCACGCTTAATCGCGCATCTCAATTTATCACTCGTGTTTCAAGCTCTGGCTTAGTAGCACAAGTGGATATACGGGGAAACAATTCACATTTGCTAGCGAGTCAAACGCCTAGACTAGTTCATAGGCCAGACCGCTTAGCACTTGCACTCGCCCGGCTTGCATTGGCTGCCAAAGTGCCTCAGTAAATATCGAATACGTGCATAGGAGCGGACATACCACGAATCGCCGCAGCTGCACGAAGAGTTTCCGCAGTTCTGGTTTACGGGGACAATGGTTTCCTACATGCTCGTGTCAGTACGAATAGTACTAGTATCCTATGGCAGGTAATGCAAGGAAGGAGGAGACGTACAGAGATCATGGCAACGTTCGATGGGGTTCTGGAGTCAAAGTCCTGTCCAAGACCAGCGGGCTTATATGCACCTCTCGAGGCACTTTCTGAACTGGCCCCACCTGATCAAACTATGACCGAACCCCGCCTCGCCCATCTAGCCGAACTGTCGTCCAGTAATTACCGCATCCACAAAATGCCTCGCCCTCCTCGCCGAGTTTAGTAGCGAATGACACGACGGCCCCGTCTCTTGCAGGAAACCGGCTTACGATATCCAAGGCTACTTTTTGGGGATGATTGGACGCCGCAGCGTAATTGCCTCATCCAAGCGCCTCTACCGAGTGGAGCCACTGAAGCGGCTAGAGGAGAAAAGGGGGGTGCCTTCTAGCTCATGGTCGAGCAAAGGCATTGTTCTCAAGATTATCCGAAGGCGTAGGCGATCCACCTAGAGCCACCCCGTACACAATGTACGTGGGCGTTATACTATTGCGCACCCTATCTACCTCGTGGGTGCTCTCATGGAAGTCCTCTTGGAGCTGCCTGGATGACTTGGAGCGGTCCTGCACGTCCCACGGCTGACTGTCCACGTCGATCACGTCGATCACGCGCTTGTCAGAAATGGCAGCTGCCGTGATTGCCAAAGTCTGAGCAGAAACTTCTGGAAGTGGGGGAGGAGAATGTCTTTGAATATGCGGCATCATGGGGTGTAGTCCAGCGCTAGCTGAGCGGCGGCGGTAGTGATATTGATGGGTTATTCGGCCCCCTATTCTGGAGTCTGTTATAGGAACTGGAGGATCAGATGTGGAGAATGGGCGCAGTGGGCGCTGAGAAGCGTGGTCGACTCGTTCCTGCGGCGTGGGTGGGAGGGGTTGGAGATAATATGGATGGAATAATGCAGTCGGTGAGATAGGGGTGGGGAGAGAGGTATTATGTGGAAAGGACTGTGGGAACTGTGTTCGACGTTTTGCTATCCGCAGGTTGTTGATGCCTTGGAGAGTACCCTCCGCCGAGGAAGCTGAGAGGAAGACGTAAACGATGGGGTCCTTTCCAACTGAAAGGAGGCTGCGGATAAGCCAAACGGATGTGCTGTACTTGACGAAAGCCCATTTCTCATTGGGAGCGACTGGATGAGTGACTCGGGCTCAATCAACTCTGTGCTCATCGCCGGTGGAGGAGAGACGCTGTCAACCGCACGCACCCATTCAGGTACCATGGTGGGCGATTGGCGCGTTGGCAGACGAGGTTCGAATCGAGAGGCTAGCGGCCTAGAGCCAACTTCGTCGTGGTTACTTGAATGATGTATAGGTGCACTTGGGGGAGTTGATAGTACAAATGGAGGTGGAGGTCGTGTGATCCACACTCCGATGAGACTCTGGAAACCGATCGAGGCCGACCCGTACATGAGCCACGCCCAGGCGTATTCATAGTTGTGAAGGATCAAAAGTGCACCGACGTTGAGTCCAGACACCACCAGACAGAGAACAGTCGCGCTATGATCATGTTAGCAAGCGAAGTCATGAATCGAAGAAGACTCGCATCAGGCCCGTCCGCGCGACATAATGAATGGTCTTTGAGACAGATGCGTATTGTATAAGAGGAATGAGAAACATAAACGAGAGGAAGAGGGTCGTGATAAGGTCGGTCACTAGCACGGCGATGGTGACGCGAAGATCGGCGCCGACTCTACAATGTCGATCAACGCCGAGTGTTGACTTTCGCCCTGAAAAACCGGAGGCGAAAGTGAGCTCTCGGCGCGGCCAATACAAGTCCGCGCTCAACTGACCCAGTGCACTGGCCACCACCATCCCACTCAACGCGAGAAGCGAAACGAGTCCGGCTCTATACGCGTTGGACGAGAGACGTGATCCATGACTTGGCCAGGCGATGTAGACCTTTTCGACTGGTTCTAAAGGTGAGTTGATGTTTGGGCTGTTTGCGGTGACGTACGGAGAAGGAGATATATCATGCCTTTACCGAGTGAGAGAAACACAATTGATCCTATCATCGTTGCTGAACAGGCCGCACGATTGAGGGATGTTCCAACTCCGAGTACAAGGGCGCCGCCTTGGTCGAGTGAGTACACGGTGTACTCGATAGCTATTGCATACCAACGCAAAGAAGGTACAACTGGGGAGATGAGCACAAGGAGACGCCAACGGACGAATTGACCTACGACACGGACAAGAGGAGGACAACCAACACTGAAGCAAGGTGGAGGGATTGAAATTCTGTCGAGAGTTAGATAGTATTCCAACCGAACCAAAGACGCCCACCTCTCCACGACGGAATCTTGACTGCGCGTGAACGTCGTCCGAGCCAGTAGCTTGTAAGAGCGACCCCTAGAGAGTAAATGTTCGAAGTTAGCAATACTCTTACTAGAACGACAGAGCTACCTGTGATGGTGAAGACGATGAAGGATATCCGCAGCGAAAGTTCATGACCAGCAGGAAACACAACTGAAGAGAAAGCATTGCTGTCTGGATAGGACATTTGTTGTACAAGAATGGCGTCGACGACTGTTGTAGTTGGGACTAAGTGAGATCCGACGACGGCGTTCAAGTTGCATTTGCCAAAGGCTTGCTGGAATACCAAGTCTAATGAAAGATAATACACTCAGATTATCTGCAGAAGAATGGACTACTGAGAGTCAGAGGAAAACTTAGCAGCTGAGCAGACTCAGAGACGCGGCGAGGCTTTGAGAACGGCTTTGATTACCATGATAATGCTCAGATAGCTTCTCCATACGTTTTCAACAATATCCTGAGCTTGCGGATATCCTATTCGAACCGAACCAAACCAACAAGGTTACGGGGTTGCGTTGAAGTGGGCAATGTTGCAGATAGCCAATAAAGTGCAATTGAAGCGTGATTATCGACTCTGATCTTGAACATTATAGGAGAATTAGTCAGGTGGCGGGTGTCAACGAACAGCTTCTTAGTCAAGCACGGCTCGCTTGCACCTTGGCTATCGACTCTGAAATCCCATAGGAATCCACGAGAGCCCGGGACTTGTCTGCATGCAAAATGTCCCTATATTGTTCATCTAAAGCTGCCAGAGATGATTGAGAGTGAAACCTGGGGTGGCTACACACGAGCCTGGGTTTTGGCTTGTTGGACAGCCGTTACGGAGGCCCCAAACTCTAATATCGCATCGTAACCACTCTCCTCATCTCCAGAATACCAATAGCGAGTCTCGAAAGGCTGCAAGTGCCCTCATTTTCGTCGAAAAGCATAAGAGCCAGGTCCCTTGGCTTCCAATATCCGATATGCGCATAGCCTATCTCGGTTGGAGATCCGAGATATCGACTGTCGTACATTCTCGGCCCCGACAGCGACGCCCAGGTTCGAGACTGTAAATTGTGCTGACTTTGATACAGAACATGTTATCTGCCATCTCAGTTGGACCTTGGCATTTTTGGAGGCAACCTCTGCTGCGCGAGTTATCCTCAAGATGGCTGCTCTGTCCCCAGAGACGTCGAAATCACGGCATTGTATTACGAGATGATCTGGTTCGCCGTTTCATTGTGTCCTCGCGGGCCCATCGTGCTGTTCGAGTCTTGCCCCGCCGTTGGACGACCAAAGTATACCTGACCAGACTCATCGAGATTTGATGAAGAGTTCAAGGAGAATCAAAAGTCATCGTCCACGTCACCAGGGCAGCAGTCTCTCGAATCGCACTAGATCCATCTGGTCGCCGACAGAAACGCAGACCTTCTCAGAACGCATGTTTATCAAATCTCGTCTGAGCCGGCGGTGGAGGCTCGTCGACCATGATCACTTCTAGCCAGGGTCGCGTTCCCCCACGAGCGCTTGGTGTGTCATCGATAGATCAATCTTTTTTTATTTTCTGGAAATTCCGGGTGCAAACAGACTAGACCAGTCCATGGGTCAGCGGGCCTCTAGTGATCGACGGCATGGGAAAGTATATCAGTTCTTTGGCCCAGGGTTGCCGAGCTCTTTGGTCTTCGCCCCGTTGGCGACCACAATCCTGGTCAGCGTTCCAGCCAGCGACTTGAACCGGTCAAAGACGGCCGCAGATCATCGCAGCTGAATGGCAGACGCGTCTATCATCCCACCACCACCTCATTTCGACGCGCCATGGGTCAATCGGCCCATCCTCGTCACCAGTGGTCCTTTACAAGGAAAATGGATCAGGTTCGTCGTTTCCTCGTTTCATTCAATTGTTTTGTATTTAACGCGGATTTTTCTTTTCCAACGTCGCGCTCGCATCCCTTACGGCCGTTCTACGCCCACTCAACGGCTGTTTCGCTTCAACAACACGCGGCACGGTGCCCGATGGGATCTGAATCTCGGTGACGACGTGCCTCTCTCAAACGATTTCTATCACTCAGAGCCCAACTGGACGTCCAGCAGCAGCCACGACGAGGTCGAAAGTGAGGATTCGCCTCCTAATCGCTCTCAAACTACTGACCAAACGCTAATCGACCTCTTCTAGGGGTGCAATACATGATCTTCGACCTCTGCATCCACCTCCAACCGTTCGGCTTCGTCTTTTCGAGGTGGAGCATCCTGTTCCCCGCTGGATGCCCATACCCGGGTCGAGTCCTCCAGCACTCCAGTTTCAAGAAGAGCCAGAGTTACCTCCACCAGACGCGAAGGAAGTGAGCATAACCATCACCGCCAGGCTGACGACGCACTTTTTGTGCTTTGCTTCGCTCTTCAAGGTTCACCCACCAACGCGCGAGCGGGAGTATGGCAGAGTTGACCGCAAAATCCTCGTTGGACCTGTTGATGCGTCTGGTGCACCTGTCGACCCTCAGCTTGGGACGAGAAATCCAGCAACGACGGTCATCGAGCGCCCAAAGAGCGATAAGAGTCGATCATGGAGGTCCATCAGAGCACATCCAATGACGGCCATTTCCTGTCAGGATCCGAGCTGGCAGAGCGCTGTAAACGCCGCATGGGCGAGGTTTCATCAAGAGGGCAAAGTTTCCAACCCACCTCAGGCATTGGATAGTACCCAGGAACAGTCAAGAGGAACCGCCACTGTGGTAGGGGACCTCAGCTTACCGGAAATGATGGTGCTGGAAAGGTACCTACCTCGCGAGCCTCCAAAGTGGGTCATACCGTATGCAGATGTGACGTCGCAATTGTCCAAACGCGAAACGGCCGGCCACCTTATCCCTTCGTGCGAAAATGGCGAGCCCGCACTCTACTTTGTGTTCTCGGTTAGGTCTCGCCACCTTTCATCAGGATACGCTTGCTAATACATCTGGGTCTTTTGACAGGACCTCGCTATCCGGACCGAGGGCTAGTACGTAATCATGAGGCACCGTCAACTCGATGGCTCACATCGGCTTTTCTAGTTTTGCGCTGAGGTTTCACGTCATTAACCTGGACTGGCATGTCGACCCTCGCTTCACCCGACAAGGCCCCGCTCTTTACGCCCCGCTCGCGGACTGCGTGACGGATACGTTTGCAGTCTATTCGACGAAAGAGTACGCTAATCAGGGAGCCCATCTTGTTTGGATCAGAACTGACTTCGTTGTAGATTTCCAGGTCTTCCACCTACAACAGAGTTTACCTCCGTATGTCTACCTCGCTCCGTTGATGGTCTATTCTCATTCCCTTCTGATCAGTATCTTGTCCGGCAAGGGGTTCGTATCCGCTTCAGGGAGGACAGGCCCGCAGACACGGCCCTGGGCTCTGAAGGTCGGACTCGCCCCCCTCGAAAGAACTCCAAGTCGGCTGCCGCAACCAGTCCCGACGGAATAGACGACTTTGCGCAACAAACTCCGCCTTCACTGCCTCCGATGAACACTTACGGCGAGGAAAGTGCCAGAAACGAGTCGTGGAGCCCCCAGATACTTCAAGTTGCTGCAGAAGTGTACAAAAATAACCACCGACCCTCCATTTTCGGGCCTTTGTCTGTACACGAGGACGCAGACGAGCCCCAGGCGAGGTGCGAATCCATTATGACTAGTCAATATCTGTCTCTGATCGTCTCAGCCCTACTGCGGAGCATCACACTCAAACGGGGCATCCATATCCTCCACAAAACCCATCGCCTGTCTCCCATCAATTCGTTCCTCAAGGCCGTCGAACCTATCCTTTGGTGGCAAACATGGCTGCCGGATTGACGCTTCAGGATAGTTACCAGACATCCCCCACAGAATATTCGTCTATTCATCCGAATTCGTCGCCTTCTACGTATCCACGTGAGGCGGCAATACCCACCAACGTTTCCCCTCTCGGCTATGCGCACTATACCGAGACTGGTTACCCGCAGCTTCCTCCCATCAACATACCACCATCAAACGGGGCCCATTGGCGAGATCAAGACCGCACGGATCCGCGATCAGCAGAGGCGTTGTCCAGCCCTGTCGACCGTCCAGGACACCGATATACACCATATCCGCCTTCTGGCCATCCCTTTGATAAGATGCCATCGTATTGAAATTCTCATGCCATCTCACGTCATTTTTTTTGATCTCGAACCCCACATGCCCAAACCATAGACTCATACACGAAAGTCGGAAAAGTGGTCTTGTTGACAAACCCTCAGATGGACCCTACATCTGCATATGCTCCGATAATACATCTTGACGATGCGTGCGGACAGTCATGGTCATGATATATCTCTTTGGTCTCTCGTGTCTTTTTTTAAATAGTTCGTTGCTACGTACGTAACATGCTTATTGTACATGTACAGAGGCCTTGGGGGCGCTAAGACTGGTTAGGTAATCCTAACGGCGCTGTCAGTGATGAACCACGATGGTAGCTCGAAACGTACTTTGAGCCATTTCCTGCGCTCCTCTGGCATATAGTCGAACACAATGTACCGTTTATCCGTCCTGAGAACCTTTTCGACTTCAGAAACATCAATGCCTTTGGCGAGTCGCTGTAAATCTGCCCGGCCCCCGCCACCTTCTCCCATTTCCTCTTCTTCTTCACCCATCGGTACTGCATCCCCTCCACTTTCCGCAAATACAACTTTACCGAGCCGCTGCTTCTGTTCGTCATCAACGAGTCCCATCTTCCCCACCCGTCCCCAAAACTCGACAAATGCATTCTCAGTCAACATGGTGTCAAACGCCACTCGGGCATTTGCGTAGCGCTCTCGCTGCCATTTGTCGAATGCACGCTCCAGGTCTGGGTATTCAACTTGAGAACCCCCACCTTGCCCGTCGCCACCGAGGCGAAGGGTGTCACCGTGCCCTATTCCGCCAACACGCGAGTCATGTCCTCCTCCGTATTCGCCGCGAGAAGCAGGAACACGAATCATGGTATCGAGATCAAGCCGTTTGGCGACACTGCTATTGGCTATACTATCTTTGGCGCTTGACGACAACCCATGCCAGTGGACATCGAGGCCTGGTGCATAGCTTTCGAAGAGCGAGAACAGGGCAGCAGAGCCCTTGGCTTGAAGGTGTGATATGTGAGCTTGGAAAAAGGGATCGCAACCGCGCTTGGCTCATCGACGTCGCTTGACTGATGGACGCAAATCGCTGGTCTGCTGAGAGGTAGTTCATCGCCGACTCGAAACTGACGTTAGGCTCCCGGACATGGTCGATGAGAAGCGTTCTGTCGGGTGAAGATCGTAAGAATTGAGCGCGCGTGGCTGAGAGAGGGGAGCAGTGGCGTACTTGAAAGTCAGTTCTGCTTCTTCGAGGTTTAACCCAGCTCTACTGAGAGCATTTTGCTTCTCTAGCGCGGCTTGAACGCGCCGAACTCTTTCTTCGCGCTCCCGAACGGCCTTTTCACGCCGCTGTCTCCTGTCCACCTCGGGGGCCACCTCCATTCTCTCTGAATCTCGAGAGGTACTGGCCATCTCCAGAGAGTCCTTGGCGATCATAAACGTTTTGATGAACGTTTCAAATAATTCTTCACGTAAAGTGGAGCTGCCAACTGCATCGTATCGTGGGTCCTTTTGGAACTGCTTCTTGACGTCTGCCCATTTGACGCTCCCAGGGGACTGAAAGAGACCAGACTTGTGCCCTTCCTTGAGCATGAGAAGAAATGCCTCCTCTGCCCTTTTCCGTTCATTGCGCTTCTCCTCTCCAAGATCTTTGAGATACGAACTGTGTTTGCATCAGTGGGGATCCCCCATGTCGGAGTAATCAATGTACCGGAACATCTTTTCTCTCTCCTTTTCGTCTCGGCCGTAAGAGTAAAACCGGCGGTCCTTTTTGACTTGCTGTCTAAACTGAGTGTAGGTCATGCGCGTCGAAGTTACAGTCACTCGCAGCAGCTCGCGATACGCGTCCAGTGGTGAAAGCTCCGCTTTGGGGACTGCTGCCTGTTCCTTTCGTTCTTTAATCACTTCTTTGCAATATTCTTCAAAGATGTCGTGCTGAAGTGCAATGGGGGTCCCCGAGTTTAAAGCTGCGTATCGTTCATCTTGACTGAAAATGGCGACAGAAGACTCCCAAGGAAGCATAGGATTCACGTCCTTGTCGCGCAGAATCGACTATGCAATCTCAGAATCTGGTCAAACAGGCAATAGTTTCGTACCTTGAGTAGCGTCGTCGCTTCCTCTGTGGACAATTTCACTTCTGGCTCTTGTGGTTTCTCCTCTTCTTTAGCCGTCTCCTCTGCTGCTTGACGTTGCCATTCGTCGTCGTCTTCATCCTCTACTCCAATCGTCGTGTCGTCAACCTTGGGTCTTTTCTCGGCTCTTTCCTCCTCTTCTTCGTCATCTTCTTCGCGGTGTTTACGTTTGGTTCCAGTTTGCTCAGCGGCGGGCTCAGGACTGATGCGGATTGCATGGTCGCTCTCTTGACCGTCGTCTTCGCTGATCACCAACGCTGCGACTGCATCGGCAATCTCTTCGGGTATCTCCCATGTGCTCGTTCGCGTCTCTTTATTTGAGTAGAATATATTTCCATGATTTGTTACGACGCGGAGCCATGCTGTATCGGGTATGGGCGTCTTCTTGGCTGGCTTTTCCTTCTTCTTCTTCGGCTTCTTCAGGGTATTCGGCAGCAGAGAGGCGAGGGAGAGGGGCCGGTTATATGTCGACTCCTTTGTGACCGGGTTATAATAGTACAGATGACCAGTTGGTGCGACGTGCTGAGACCATGGTGCTGGAAGAGGAGGGAGGTTGTTTGGATCCAGTGGAGTGAGTCCATTCATCGATGGTTATCGCTGAGCAGAGATTATTAGAAAAAAAGAAGCGTAAAGAATGACCGATCCTACAATACTTTGATGGGAAGTATATAAGTTCCAACTTTTCAGCCTTTGGATCGCAATGTCCCCGACGCGCTGTTGTCTAGGTTTTCAGACCCTACTGCCACCATCATCAACAACTGGAAGACGGCATATACTGCCCAGGTTCTAGTCTCATACTCGGAGGAGCGTGCATCTTCAAATGGTTGACGGCCAAGGTCTTACTGTCGATTCCATTCTCGATAATTTCTCAATAGACGGCAGATGCCCTTCAACTGACCGGGAACAATGGATATTATTACCGTCAACTCTCTGTCAATCCATCGTCATTTGCCTGCGTGAAACTTCCCGGAATTTGCGATCATGGCCAAATCCTTTTCGCCGCTGAGTAAAGCCTCCGTCACCTCTTTGGACTCTACCACTGCTCTTCTGGCTCAACATGAGCGAGTCAAGGATTCCAGACGGCGACACCGACGCGTTTCAGGTTCTCTCCTGTTGCGTCTCATTCCTTGGTCAGGATCTGCGTGTTGTCAAGACTCTGGATGGGTTCTAACTGCCTATTCACAGGCGTGACGGTTACAGCAATTTGCCTCTTTCACCGGCTAGTAACCAGTGACATCTGCTCATTCCAAAGTATGCGCCATTCGACTCGCCGCTCCCAGCTGACGATTCCTCAGGTCTCCGCAAGATCTCCGTCTCAAAGACTCTCGTGCTATCCCTCCTCCTCGACTCGTATGTCCCTTTCTCAGCTGATTGCATCATTCATCCCTATGCAGGTGGATCTTTGTCGCAGTTGGTGGGTTCGATCTAGCGTCGCGTAGGAAGCACATTTTTCACATAGCTCCCACAGCCGGCGTGCTAACTCAAGCAGTCGGTTTCTCCAGTGTTGGCCATTGTTCAACCGCCATCTGGCTATGCATTCTTGCCTACTTCGTCACCAAGATGATGATCTACTTCCTCCTCCGTAGTTCCCTTTATTCGGTTGGAATAGGCGAACGCTTACGCTTTGGTAGTGGAAAAAGTTTACGCAGTCTGGCCAAATCGTGGCAGTCGGATGACTTCTCCCTTGTATCGGTTTGGGTTCTTGATCACCCTCGGCTTTTGTATCGTATTAGGACTCGCAATTGCTAGTGAGTATTCGTTCCTCCCTAAAGCTTTGCTCATCCTGAGCTCTAGATCGAAAAGCTTTTCATGGCCAGGCCGGCGAATGCATGATCGGATTCCGCCAAAACATACTCTATGGGGTTATATCATTTGACGTCTTTATCAACGTCGTCCTTACCGCTCTATTCTTGATCCCTCTGCGTGGAGTCGTAGGCCAGAGTGTCAGCCTACGAGAGGTGACAAAGCGGAACATGATGTCTGTACATCTTCTCTCATATTCCGTCACTACTTACCAGCACGTAGAGCTGCGGCGATATCACTAGCTAGCTCACTCGCGAACGTCATCTCGCTGACGGCCTTACGTGGGCGGGAACACGCTTGGGTTTGTCTTACGAGCTGCTCTGTCGATGCCGTCGTGAACGCACTTGTCGCCTTTTGGGTGACAAACAATTCAAACGAGGCAAACCCTTATAATCCAAAAGTCGTCCCTGTTGGATCCCCGACACGAGCCCACTCTCATTTTCACAATACGCTGGTGACTAATGGAGATACCACCCTTGTGACGATGAATGATCACGGGCAGCTGCGACCGTTCAGTATCGCTGTTACTCACAACTCGACCCATTCAGACGAGGACCCGCCACCCATTCCAAGTACCCACGCTGTCACTGCACACTCGAACAACGCCATTCCTTATCCAGACCCAGCGCAATGCAGTTCCAACAACAAGACATGCATCCCTGGCCATCTCGAGCTACCACGATTCAGCGAACCGTGGGTAGAATACCGACCAAGCTCTGCGCTTCATGGCGACGTTCTCATTGGAGAAAGATCCGAGCTATATAGGCACGAATCTGGTTCCCGCATCTCGTCTCGCTTTTCGCTTTCTTCAGGTTTTGCGTCTATCATCAATAACGGCCATTAGGATACACCCCAACATCGCTCGCGATCACTGTCATACGATAGCCACTCGCGGTTGAGCCGGACCTTTCCATCGCGAACGAGGAGCGAACGCGCGGGAGATAGTCAAGGCCCGCTCTACGCTTCTCGGGGCGACTTTGTATAATCGCATCCAAGGACTTGGTACATCACTAACTACTGCTTTGTATTAGCGCTTTGCAAATGCTTGTGGGGTAATATACATGCTTTCTTACTTGTGCGAGCTCTTCTACATCAGATACCGACCTTGACAGTTCATGTTACAACGATGTTTCATTATCGGTCAAGCGAAGCACACATTTTCCTAGTCCACTAGTTCAGAGACTATACTCTGGTGACCTCAGTTTAGGCTTGCGCGTCTACTCTGTGCGACGCTGCAACCTTGTGCGAATCAAGGATTATTCTTCACCGCTTTAGTCCTTGTCCTAGTCACAACTCTTACTTCTTACATTGATTTTCTTCTATCTCTCACGGTCCGCTGACCATCATCGCTCGTTTACCCCTATACCGCCGTCAGCGGCCCTCCCACTCGTTCCGATTTACACCTTTGTTTATTCCATTCATTTGTATCTATTTCCACGTCGTCTATATAAGCCGTAGTACCTGCCTGTTCTCCAATCTTTAGAGTAGACTTGTACTCCCTTGTAACCGTCCTCAATATACACGCGCTACACAGGTTCTATTTCGTCTAAAGTCTACTTTATTCATCATCCTTCGAGTACAAAGTCCCGACGCGACATTCACAACGTCTTCACTCTCGCCAAAAGCCTTACACCAAGGCTATTCTGTCTGTGCGAAGGACTTCATTTGCCATGCTTTCAAACAGCTGAATATTGCAGCTGACTACTGAGGCTCAAGAATGTAGTCCCCAGTCTCGTGATCCTGGTTAAGGAGCAGCGTTGTATCCTGCGGTAGCGATTCAAGACTCTGCTGCCAGATCAGCGGCCCATAGATTCTGTTTGGGAGTATCTGCGTTTCCTGGTATTCCGCAGTAAAGTAGCACTGGAGTATGGGGTGGAAGTCGGGGGAAATACAGTAGTTGGCCCTAAATTCGCATCAGTCCCAGTTGAAGCCGGATGCCATCGTACGCACGGAACGTCCTTGAAGAAGAGACTATGTGTAAATGGCTCCTCGGGAGTTGAGAACCCTAGGAAATGTTAACTCATTCCACCCGAAGGAACGATAGACTACCGAGCGAAAGTGACCGCATCTTCGCCGTTTTGTTATAGGCCGAGAAAGTTGTTTGATCCTCTTGAGGTTCTGGTGGCTAGTCTAGCTATAATTCAGTGAACTCGGGTGAGACTCATGGACAAACTGTGAATGTAAATGTGTCGCCCTTGGCTTGAACGAGTGACGTTGTTTCGCCTCGCTGGAAGAAATGAAGCCCTTTAATGAAACATTGTGACTCAGGGAAACTTACGTTGAGATCCGTAAAAGTATTCCCTTGCACCAGGTCTGCACCCTCTACCTGAGGGAAGGCAACTCCGACTCTAGGCCACATGTAAGGAGACGAGAACTAGACTTTTTTGACTCACTTGCTTGTATAGGTACATGTAAAGGCCATATTATCTGGAATATAGTTCAGAACAGTGACTGTGTAGAGTTGAACCCACGATTTTTGGGAAATTTTATGACTCTGGTGGTATTCTGTGAGCCCATATTAAGTCAAGGTTCCGTATTTCTTACTTCCAACATATGGGAAATTGATCGACTTGGAGGTGCGCTTCGATGGGTTTAAAGGCGAGCATCAGGGTCGTGTCACGCAGTATTCCACCTCTATAATGGTTTATTTGATTCATTCAGTCTAATTCAAGGCGCTTACGTCCTGGAGAAGATCGTCACAGTGCGAGTGTAAACGTCGGTCATATGTAGTGGGGACTGATGCGAGATTGGGAAATGAACACACGGTCAAGCGTAGAGATCCTCTCAGGTTATAAGCCATCATAATGGCTATCGCGGGCCACGGGGCGCCGATTGAGCAAAGGGGTCGCCTGTTCAAATGTCGGCGGCAACTCTGCTCCCCGCAATGTCGGATGTGGCTGAGATAAGAGATTGATGGATTACATATGCTCGACGAGTGAATATCCGAGTCGTGTTCGCCCGCCACAGTCGGTATGTCCGAGAACGTGGCTTCCGGCTGGCGTGCCATCGACTTGCGCATGGCCCTTGCGCAGGATTTGCCGTTTGTAAATGTCAGAAATATAAACATGATCTGATTCCGGTGCAAACATTCCCAGCTTTGTCGTCCAACGCGTGACCTCATACACTTCTTGACCTCCACCATGTCCTCCATTCGCAAACGCGCCTCGCGAGAGGCAGAAACAGACACGTCGGAACAGACTTCACAATCCTCAGCGCCAAAAGGGAAGACGTCCAAGGCGTCGCCAACGCGGTTTGCTGGAAGCCGGGACGCCCTAGCGGCTAATGTTCAAGATATCGGCGCATTCGTAATACTATTCATATTGGACATTGTAAAGACAGTTCTACAGCTCATGAAGCAGCCTATGTAAGTCTTCGTTTCTCCTTTGCGGCGCATCTTATACTCATATTCTACCCGGTTCATGAAGTGCGTTCGTATTAGTCGGATATATAATCATTGTAGTGATATCCTACACCGCATCTTATATTGCATCGCTTGTCGTCACTGGCCTCGCGCCGCTGTGTGCGCTTCCGCTCGCGACCATGGTCCCTGCTTGCCGGCATCTTTCACAGTCGACTACGACGCAGACAAGAGCACCAGAACCTCGATATCCGGATCTCGTCGCACTACAAACCCGCTTCGAAACCGTCATGGAGTCCGCTGGCTTGGGCACCAATCTGGCGATGGATATGAAGAACTCGGAGATGGCAGTCCGAGATTTGAACACCTTGGTCAGTTATGTATGATTCTTTAACCATTTTCTCACTAGCAGTGCAGGTCAAACTCTCAGACTTGGTTTCGAAGGATCTCCTCGCTTCGTCGCTCGACAAGTTTATTGTATCAGCGAAAGATGCGAGCCGACATTTGACCAGACTAGATTCTGGTGTAGGCGGTGCTGTTGACTCGTACGCTTCATCTCCACGGGACGTCCAGCGCTGACTTCCACTAGGATTCTCGCAATGGACGACTTTGCTATCAAGACGCTCGAGAGGATAGATCAACATGAAAAGTCCAGGACGATTCTAAACTCAGTTCTCTTTCCCTTTAGTTCTGGCGTGTCGACGCGGAAGCAGCTCATGGACACGTTCAATCAGGCGGCAGGATTGATGGAGTCAAATCTTCGGCGCCTGGTATGTAAATTGCTTACGCCAGTGAGCCCTACTCAACCGGTTTAGATTGAGATATCCGTTGCGACGTCAACCATATTGAATCAATTGGAGTCACAACTCGTCGTGATTCACGAAATTGTGTCTCGAGAGGAAGGAAATACCAAGATGCGAAGAGAGGAAGTGGTAAGCTTACCCTTTCATCGTGTAACAGATCATTCACCTGGCCTAGCTGGCAGATCTATGGACATACGTGGGAGCCAACCGTGCCAAACTTGCCAACTTTGCATCGCATCGGTCGTTACTCTCCCAGGTGGCGACCTATCGATCCGCTGCTGCCGTCCAGGTAGGCGGTACGCTTGTCCAGTTGGAGAAACTCGCATCGGATTTGGATGAACTACGAGAGCGTGTGAGCACGCCGTTACTTGCGGATGAAGCGAGCGTTCCAATAGAGGTGCATATCACGACGCTCCGCAAGGGCGTGCAGCGTCTGAGTGAGGGACGTGGGCGGGCAAGGAATCGGGAAGAACAGGTTCTCAAACGGATTCTAGATGGCCCACAATACCCAGAGTTGAGCTCGTAATCTCTATGGTAACGTTATCTATTATGTATTGATATCATGTAACCTGTGCGTTTTGCTGGAACTGCATGGGCTGTTCTCCAGATGTTATATAACTGTCGTAAGGAAAGCTTAATGATCATGTCCTCAAGTTGGGCCCAAATTGAGAAAGAACCAGGCAACGGACCATAATGGGACTCTTTAGCTGCGCCGTCGTAAGGGTGAAGCTGGCAAGGAAATGCAAATCTCCGGTCCTACTTTATCTTTGATGAGATTCTGAAATCGACAGCGGCTACGAACTGTAACCAGAGCCCATTCAAGTATCCAGTATCAGTATACAGCCACAGTGAGACGGCGCAACAATGGGCAAGCGTACATTAAAGCGATTCCGGCCCATCTGAGAGGTGAAAACAAACATGTCATCTGAGCCATTCCTTGTTGAAGATTATGCTCCGCTCGCAGCCTCGCAGCTATTCCCATACGTGCCACTCCTGAACGTATTCAGTCTGTTGGGCTGCATCCTAGTACTTCCAACCTTCTGGAGGACGGAATTATTTTCACTGAGATGCGGTGTGATATCTCCACTTATCTCTTTTGTCATCGATGCCATCAATATGATTATCTGGCGAGGCCATGCACGCGATATCCCAACCTACGGACGAATATGTGAGTCGGAAATCAGTGAAAAAATATTCATTATATTCATTTACGTGATGTATCCTACAGGTCTCGTGGTGGACTTCGTTTGTGGGGGCGTTACACGTTTGAACACGATAGGATGTTTCCGGTTACTATGGATCTACTCTGAACCGTATGGGGTTATCTACCTGCATGATAATGTAGGACAAGGTCCTCTTATGTTTCAGTAGCTTACTGCGGAACAAACAGAAAAGGAAACTAAACATAATCGATATGACAGTGGCTGCGTTTGCCAGTCTCCTCGGGCTGGTACTGGGCAAGTGGTCCACGCATTTATGTTATGTACTGACTAGCGTCACTAGCTCTCTTTGGAGGACAAAGTGTCTTTATTGTCGAAAATTTCGGGCCTTTGGGGTCGTCCGAGTTCTATGCAACTCTCGCGGCTTATTGGACCCTTACACTTATCGTTCCGGCCTGCTTCACTTCTATATACTCTAGTGAGTCGGTATTACAGAGATGACTGGATTGGCTATTGATATGCCCACTAAAGTCATGGCAATCGTAAACCTGTGGCGTTTTCGCAATACAAAACGCTGGATCTCGCCACTCCCTTCAGCCAGCGGACTAAAATGCGGCTCAATTGAATCATTCTCTCGTCTGCGATTCCTAAGACGGGTTCTCGCAATCGTCGTAGGCGGCCTTCTCCTAGCGAGGGCACCGTTTCTACTGCTGCTCGGCCTGACCCGAGAGCCAATATACAAGCCGCCTATATCGCTTTCAGAGATTCTAAAAATTCAAAGGACTGTGTACTCGTTATCAAGTAACGGCCTCTCCATCTATGGTGGGATACCCTCCAAGATCGATACATTACTCCCGGAGGATGTCTATTCACTACTGTTCAGACGCTCAATTGCTGGCATCTATCTACTTGTCTTTTGGGGCTTTGGACGAAAAGCGAGAGAGCCGTATGTCCGAGCTTTACGCTCCATTTCTGTGTCCCTAAGCCGCTTATGGGGCCGAGTACGATCAAGACAGAGGCCTACTCTCGATACAGAACTGGAGAACGTGATTACTCCGTACCAGGGACACGAGCTATCCTACAAGTGCGACGACCCCGGACTCACCCTCCGGTTCGAGAAGCCGTGTGAATCCCTCACCCGTCACGCCATCGAGTGCACTCTCAGCGGAGTCCAGAAAAGACCGACTGAGTTCGCCTCCTCGTTTCACGCCCCTTTGGACTATTCTACCGCCACCCTACTCCAAATTCGACTTGTCACGATCAGTGGTGTAGGCATACGCAAATTCCTCACCTCAGAAGGGCTCATATCGTAGCTCATTCAAGACTCCACTGTAAGATTACCAAAGACTTGTAGAATTAGTTTAGTGTACATTTATGAAGAAGATCTTCATCACCCAAATACTTCCAGTGAGGACTGGAGCACGGCGCGTGGGAGGCGACCGTGGCGAAATGGTAGACAACTCCAGATCACATTCCTATCAGAGAATGCATGCTTTCGACCCTTTAATAATAGGTGGTCCGATAGCGGACGAAAGCGAGCGAAGGGTCGGTGGTGCCATTGTAGTTCGATGCTACGGGCTGGGGTATGGATTTGAAGCACGGATCATATGGCCACGATATACACTTTGTGAATCTAGTGAGTAGACTCTCTTGTTGCGGGCCATCTTTACGTCTGTGGTTGCTGCTGGGTATCCGTGGGGGCCCCTCCTGTAATCCAAGAAGTAGCGTCTACGCGCCGTAATAACAACGCATTCAAGTCTCCGGTATCCACATACTGCCACAGCGATACGGCGCAACAATGAGCGAGCGCGTACATAAAAACCATTTTGGCCAATCCGGCGGGTAGAGCAAACATGTCCCTTGAGCCAATCCTCGTCGAAGATTACATTCCATTCACGGCCTCGCACTTGTTCCCGTATGTGCCACTCACGAACGCGCTCGGTCTGTTAGGCCGCATCCTGGTGCTTCCAGTGTTCTGGAGACCGGAACTGTTTGCGCTAAGATGTAGTGTGGTACCTCTGCTTATCCCACTTCTCTTCAACGCCATCAGCATGGTTGTCTGGCGAGGTCATGCACGCGATATCCCCATTTACGGACGAATATGTAAGTTGGAATTCACTTGGAAATCGTCAAAATTTATACACGATATTACATAGGTCTTATAATTCCCTATGTCTGTGGTGGTATTCGACGTTCAAATACTGTAGGATGCTTTCGGCTGCCTACGGATATTTTCCGAGCCATATGGGGTTATCTACCTACACGATAACGTAATTTTAATATGCTCGTGCGCTTATTTACTCTACTTTGGAGCAATTAGCGAAGGAAACTGAACGCCGTAGATGCGACAGTTGCGGAGTTGGTCTTACTCCTCGGGCTCTTACTAGGCAAGTGATCCGCAATTCTACTTTATGTGCTGAATGAAATAATTAGCTCTCCTTGGAGAACAACGTCTCTTCATTGTCGAAAATTTCGGGCCTATGGCGACCTCCCGATCATACATCACGTTCGTAGTACATCGGATCATTATGTTCATCATTCCAGCCTTCTTCACTTCTGTATACTCTAGTAAGTCGATATTACGGGACGACTGGCTAGGCTGTTGATGTGTCTAAAGTCCTGGTAATCGCAAACTTGCTTGTGGCGCTTTCGCCAAACAAGGCGCTGGATCTCGCCAGTCGATTCGGTCGACGGATTTAAATGTGGCTCATTAAAGCCATTCTCTCGGCGGCAGCTCCTAAGACGGGTTCTCGCAATCGTCGTTGGCGGTCTCCTCCTTGCAAGGTCCCCATCCTTAATGTTGCTCGGCTTAACCCGGAACCCAATATACAAACCACCCACGTCGCTTTTAGACATCTTGGTCATCCAAAGAACCGTGTACTCATTGTCGAAGGACTGCCTCTCCATCTTCGGTGGGATGCCCTCGGATATCAGCCCATTACGCTTGGAGGAAGTACGTTCAGAATCATTCACACGCTCACTCGCTGGTATTTATCTACTTCTGTTCTAGGGTTTCGGGCGGACAGCGAGGGAGCCGTCTGTCCGAGCGTTCCTTCGCATCTCTGGCCCATTAGGCAGCTTATGGCGCCGAGTTCGATCACGTCAGAGGCCGACCATTGATATAGATCTCGAGAATGTGATCCACCCATACTACGGACACGAGCTATGTCCTTCCACAAGTTCAATAACCACCGACTCAACCCTGGGGTCGTGAAAGGGTGTTGGACCTCCGCTGGCCATGCCATCGAGTGCACTTTCTACAGAATCGGGTAGTGACCAGCTGAGTGTGCCTCCTCGTTTCTCGTCCCTCCGGACTAGTCTCCCACCACCCTATTCAAAACTCGACTTGTCACGAGCGAGGTTGCAGGCATATGCGAACCTCTCCCCTCAGATCTCATCCAAGACTCCGCTGTAGGATTACCAAAGACCTATAGAAGCAGCTCGGCGTACACTTCTGAATAAACCCGTATAATACCCAGTCGCTTGTGAATTGAGCTGAGACCGAGCAAACGTGGCGCCGGGCAAGCTCGATATGCAATTCCAGAGAGTACTGGCGCTGAGTGAACCAGATGTATCAATGGAGGTTCTTTTGTATTGTCCTTCCATGCCAATCAGTATTGTGCGGATAGAACAGTACAATGAGATCGGTCAATTGCCCACATTGGAGCGAGGCTGGTAAGCGATCATTGTTCTCGCATGCGATATGAAATTCACAACGTGCACGAACTGTGACCACCGCCCATTCGGGTGCCCGGTATCAATAGCCACTGTGGAACAATGGGATGGTGTACATAAAAACATTCCACTCGGGGCCTGCTGACAGGTAAAATTAACCATGTCCTTTGAACCGTTCCTTGTCAAAGATTATTCTCCATTTACGGCCTCGCAGTTGTTCCCATATGTGCCACTCATGAACGCGTTTGGTCTGCTGGGCTGCATCCTGGTGCTTCCAGTATTCTGGAGAACGAAATTATTTGCACTGAGATGCGCTGTGATGCCTCTACTTATCCCTCTTGTCATCGATGCTATCAATATGATTATCTGGCGAGGCCATGCACGCGATATCCCAATCTACGGACGAGTATGTGAGTGGAAAATACTGAAAATTCGATCTTTCTGACATGCCATGTGACCCAGCCCACGTAGTTTCCCTTGCTTGTGGGTGTGCCATACGTGTGAACACTATAGGATGCTTCCGGCTTTTATGGATCTACTCCGAGCCATATGGAGTGGTCTACCTACATGACAATGTAAGATCAACATAATCTCATAATTTATTGACTTATACTGGAATATTCAGCGAAGAAGACTAAACATCATTGATGCTTCGGTCGCAGGATTTGCCTCGCTCATAGGGATGATGTTCGGCAAGTAGTCCAAGCATTCTCCTCAGGTAATAATTCGGATCCACAGCTCTCTTTGGAGGACACTGTCTCTTAATTGTCGAAAATTTTGGGCCTTTATGGTCGTCTCCGTTGTATCCAACGCTTGCGGCCTATTATATCCTCGTGTTCATCATTCCTGCATGTTTCACTTCTGTATGCGCTAGTGAGTTGATATTATGGATGCGGCTAACTGACCCATTAACGTGTACACTACAGTCATGGCAATCGCAAACGTGTGGCGCTTTCGCAACGTGAAGCAGTGGATCTCGCCCGCTTCTTCCGTTTCTTCCATCGATCGATTCAAATCCGGTTCGCTTGAACCAATGTCTCGCCTGCGACTCCTAAGACGGATCCTCGCCATTGCCATGGGCGGACTTCTCCTTGCGAGGGAACCCTTTATGCATATACAATATATGAGCCAGGACCCGATACACAAGCCACCGACATCGCTTTCAGAGGTCCTCAAAGTTCAAAAGACCGTATACTCGCTGTCCAGCAAGGGCCTCTCCATTCTCGGCGAGATCCCCTCCGAGATCAATCCATTGTCCTTAGGTTCCATTTACTCGGCCTTATTGGGCCGCTCAGTTGCTGGCGTCTATCTACTTGTCTTTTGGGGCTTTGGACGAAAAGCGAGAGAGCCGTATGTCCGAGCTTTGCGCTCCCTTTCTGCGTCCCTAAGCCGCTTATGGGGCCGAGTACGATCAAGAAAGAGGCACACTCTCGATACAGACCTGGAGAACATGATTCGTCCGTACCAGAGACACGAGCTATCCCCAACAAGTGCGACGACCACGGACTCACCCTCTCGTTCGCCAAACGACGCTGGGTCTCTGCCAGTCACACCATCGAGCGCACTATCTACAGAGTCAAGGAAAGCCCGGCTGAGTGCACCTCCTCGTTTCTCGTCCCTCCAAACCACTCTCCCCCCGCCCTACTCAAAACTCGACTTGTCGCGACCGATAAGTGGGTTACACGCATACGCATACGCAAACCTCTCTCCTCGGACCCCCTCATAGCTCATTCAAGACTCGACTGTACGAATAAGGCAGAACCAACTCGGTGTACACTTACGAAATAAAATCTTTATAACCGAAATACATAGCGGCATATGAGCTGAGGCGGGAGAAGCGTGACGTGAGCTCAATATGCAATTCCGGGTAGGACTGGCCCTGGGAGAACCAGAGGTGCCAACCAAGGTCCGTTTGTGTTCTTCTTCTTTGCCAGCCTGCATGGTACTGTCCATGCGAGACAGAGACGAGCTCTGTAGTGCCCCTACTTTGCTACTAGAACTGATGTTCAAATAGCTCGCGGTCTGCACGTTCCTTTCTCGTTGTCGCGTCTTCCGGTGCCGAGGTGCGCTGGTCGCGGTTACCGTATAAGCCGCCGACAGGATCCTCCGGTTCTTCGATATCGCTTCGAGATATGCTAGTCGTGCGCTATCAAGAGTTTAGTCGATGTGTGGACTTCTCCAAAGAATAGACTTGCCGAAACATCGTCGTCATTCCCAACACCGTCTCCACCCTTTTTGCGTCTCTTGGTCTTCTTCTTCTTCTTTGGTGGCTCGCCAACGTACTCTCCATCGGGGACACGCGCACCTCTGCGCGCATCCTCGCTCAGCTCCCAGCGATCCTTCTTCTTCTTCCCACCAAGCAATCCACCGCGCTTCTTCTTGCCACTCGCCGGCTGCTCCACTTCCGTATCTTCAAAGTTTGCCGGATAATGCCACCGTCCAGCGCGTCCGCCACTGCCCGTACTGACGCTCCCACTACCCGTACGGCGCTGACCATAAAACGACTCGTCACGATGAGAGTCCCATAATCGTTCTTCACGTGTACCATTCACGTTGGTGGAACTGCCTTGTTCGGGCTCGCGGTCGGGGATCTGCCCTTCTTCGACTTCACGGCCTTCAAGTGTTGACTGCGGCAGACGGTCATTGTACCGCCCTGCCCACTGTGAGCGCGCCTCTTTGCGTCGAATCTCCGAGTCGTCGACGAGTCCGTATCTGCGAGCCCACTTGGGTGTCCGTCGATGATTCTTATTGTTGCGGATATTCTAGACAGAGTAAGAGATAATATATAGGAGTTTATGGTGGGCGTACCTGGATGTAGAAATTGTGGCCGTGGCCTGTGGGCAGGGATGAGGAAAGAGGACGACAGAGAGAAGCGACGACTTACCGGGGATATAGCCGCAGATTGTGAGGAGCAGATTCAGCCAGAAATCCTGGCCGATACCAAAACGAGCAGCAACGGCTACACTTGCTGGTCAGCGTTTGCGCACACACGAATTATCAGCCGAGACGTCGGATGCTGACATACCGAGCGGGGGGAAGAATGTGCCAAATATGAATAAAAGAACGTTGTAGAAGTGGTATCTGCGTGGTTTGAGGTCGAGCTTTGTAAACGTATTCGGTCGGTTTGTGCTAAACGACTGGGACGGCTCTTGCGGCCGTGGTTGAGACGACATGATCTACGCTCTCAATCGGAGAGCGATCAAAAAGCAATCCAAGACTGCCTGGCAAGTGTAACAGTGGCTGGGAGATGGCCCAGCGGGGGTTCGGTCGGTGACGGTGGAGGACAAGAAGGCCAAACTGCGTCTTCCGAGCAGATTATTCGCAACCCTCTGCTGTTTGACTGATTTGCCGTGTATTTTTAGGGACAAGCCGAGCGCTGCGGCCTCAATGCCGCGCTAAGTCTGGATCCAAGCGGCAGTAGCACAGGTTGATCCCTCCTGCGACGACGGTCAGCGGAAACATTCACTCATTTCACGCAAATACTGCACTAGAAAGTGTTGGAAGACTCTAGAAAGTAGTATTATCCACAAAAAAGACTGGCATAAACCATGGGCATCGGTCCAAAGCCTCGGCCTGGGCTTCCAGCGCACTCTACCCTCTACTATCTCATCGTCCATCTCGGCATCTTCCTCGCAGAGAGCGCTGTTATGGGCCTTATGGGATGGGTCATGTCGCCCGTCACCCAAGGTCAGCTCACCGGAGGCGACGATGCGACTGGAAACATGCCTGGATTCGTCTTTTTGATGGTATGCTGGTTTGGAAACCCCCAAGGCGCTGAGCTCACGCCAGTCTTGTCCGTCTCGGCCTAGGCCTTCTTCTCGTGGCTCAACAGCGCCGCCATTATCGGTCTCTGGCTTGTCGAAGTCTACAATCCACCTCTTGTCCGTGCCGCGGTACAGCTCTTCCTTCTCCTCCCGGCCAATGCTATTGTTGGATTCTTCCTAGGTAAACCGAATAGGATCTTGCTAAGATTTCTTTCTGACAGTTTATAGCTTGGCAGAACAACTGGACAGTCTTCCTTGGTCAATGCAAGTATGGCTCCATCCTCTGCAAGTCGGTCTGGAAGTTGCTTGTGCGGATTGAGGGCGTCTCCGCTTTTCTGATTGGCCTCGTAGTGTATGTATCCACGAGTTGGGAAAGAGTATTGCTTACCTTTTGTTGTAGTATTCTCACCGTCATCGACATTATCGCCTGCCTATGGCTCTGGTTCCAGCAACGAAAGTCGCTCAAGCGGCTCGCGGCTAGGACAAACTCGAAGACTCAGTAGACGCTCACATGGACTCTCGATACTGCGTGGACAATACCTCGTATAATATACTGCTAAAACGTCAATCTCGATAAAGTGGAAAGAATGAGTTGATACGCGAATACTAGATGTCTACAGGACGGATAATCTGAACCAAGAAGATGAAAAAGGGTCTGACTATATCTCGCCTGACCAAGTGCCCTTGGTGTAGGTGCCGTCAGGCTGTTTGCCCCTTGACGGTTTATCAGCCAAATTTTGCGCTGAAGAAACCTTTTCGAGCTCTAACCAACAATTAGACTCGTGGAGAACGCGGAGAAGTCGCAGAAAGACCGAGTCGGTGCTGGAAAGATCTCCCGGCTTCTTCCAACCAGCGATGACCGTGTCGTTATCGCAGCGAAGGCGAATGTGCACGTTTCTCACTTTGTACTTTGTCGTGAGGACAGAGACGGCCATTTCGACTGCAACGGCCTCTCCAAGCACCATGTTCTCGCAGGGAGTCTTGGTCCACTCCCAATGAAACCACGTTTTATCGACGACGACGCCGACTCCTCCATTTCCACTTGCGTCGGAGTATATGACATTGGGACAAACTGGTTGTGCAACGACGGGAGGATACGCGAGCCTTGGTCGTGCGTTGGTGAGTGTGCCCGCCCACCAGTAAAGGTCTTCCGTCATGGATTTCGTAAGGTTGAATTCTTCTCCCGAGGAGACTCGACCCAAGTTGACTATGCCACCGCCGATCGTTGACGCAGGAGGTGAGAGGAAATGGACCAGACGGAGTCTGCCGGGCGTGAGTCGGTGAGCTGGTGTGATGAGGTCCAATGCGATGCGGTTCAGAGTCTTTTGAGACGCTCTTCCAGAGGATAGGATACGAGTAATTGTATCAAACGTCGCTGTCGGATCATATGTCGGCGCTGGTATATTTTCGATCGAAGTCGCGGGTGTCGTTGCGACGATGATAGCTTTTGAGGAGGTGGATGTGAATCTGGGAGTCGACTGCGGATGCACGCCGGAGAATTTTATCGTTCGTGAGCCAGGGCGCATCGTCAAGAGCAATGCGCCCATGTGTGGTGGCCAAGTGACCATTCTACGGCCTTTTATATGCAGTAGGTAGCAGTAGAACGTTCAAGAGCTACGACGCTGCACACCACTAGGTTGTGGGCGTGGTCAGGCTCCAGACTCTCACGGCGTGTTTCGTGGGTTGATGTGAACGAGGCGCGTGAGATACGAATTAGAATGGTTATTTTAGTCATTGAATGGACGAAACCGCTTGATGAGCGTCTGCGTTGCGCTTCTACCCTACTTGACGAGCATGATGCTCATACGAATGACATCCCTACCTCGTTTAAAATATATATGTGATTTTAGGTCGTTCTGTATTCAAATTCGCGAGCCAGCTTGACGTCTCAGCATAACATAGACAAGTATCAGGGGGTTGCGGAGAATACAATGATGTAGTCAAGAAGTTAGTTCCTAAGGGCCTCTATTATCACACAGTACCAGGCCAGTGACCTTTCGTATAGCCCCAGCCAGGTGGCTTATTTCGCGACGGGTTGTCCGCCATATTTCGACCTGACCTGACCTTTTCCAATTCCATCCAACAGTTGGAATTGTGGAGATTATGCAATATTCTCCCGAACACGGGATCAATAACTCGATGCACTGCTCCTGGCCTCCGGTGCGTCCAGAGATTGACGACCTCGTCGCAATCCGAATAGATTTTGATATACGTATTGCGTAGGCCATACTCCATCATCAAAATCTCCAGGCTCATTTCCAAACCAATGGCCTCAGCGTGGCCTGTGGTATTGCATGGCGGATTACGCCAGGGTAAGTGGTACCACTGTTTGTCCACAACGATACCAATGCCTCCCTGGGTACTTGCGTCACTGTATACTTTGTTGTCACACGTAGACAGCTCGACGGGGCTTGGATCCGTGAGCCTTGTTTGTCCGTCGGTGAGAAGCTCTGCCCATGAATGGAGATTGCTGGTAATAGATCTCGTGAGCGTGAATGCTTGATCCTTCGGAACATATGGAACATTGAGCATACCGCCACTTGCCGTTGTTGGAAGGGGTGATAAAAGGTCGACTAGAAGACTCCTTCCAGAGCTAATATAGTGCGCTGGTGTGATGAGCTCCAGCGCGAGTTGAGTGAGAGTCTGTTGGGATGCTCGGCCTGATGAGAGAATTCGATTAATATGGTCCAATAAGGGGGCCGGATCGTAGTTTGTCTTTGGTAAGGGCTCATTCGGACTATCTTGAGTCGTAACGTGGGCTATAGATCTAGATAAGGGACGTACAGGTGAGGTACCCGGCACTGTTAGCTTTGGACAGGCAAAACTAGTAGAACTGGAGCGCGCGCTCGAGTACACCGAGAAAGAAGAGAGCAACCCTGTGATCATATCGTAGCTCCAAGTCAAGATGTATGGGCAAAAAATCCAAAACCAGAGCATTTATATGCCGCGAGGGTTGTGGGGTCGTCGTCAGGCTCCGCGGTCTCATCGCACCTTGTTGCACCGCTGTACACGAGGCGAGTCAGCTGCAGGAGATGGAGGGTTGATTGGTCGGTTCAGGTACACAGAGGATGGGGATCTAGCAGGGAGTAGCACTCGCCTCCGTTCCACCAACGGGCGTACGGCAAGCGAGCCCGATTAGAAAGGTAGCGAGAACTCATCACAAAACAATGGAATTCATCAGCATTCTACAAAGACACAGGACACGAAAAGAAGGTCCAGAGTATCCGGAAACTCTGGGGAGACTCGCAATGATCCCAGACACGGAGAGAATACCTCCGACCTTCCGCTTCTGATCTTAGTCAGGGGCCCCCATACCCAGGCTACATTAACTTAACTAACGAGAACAGAGGTGCACAAGCACCTCTGGCGACGGGGGCAGTCCGTCGAGGGGGAGGTTTTAGTGGGTATATCTACCGCTGGACATGGAAACTCAGAGTCCAAAACCAGACGGTAAGAAGATTTCCACATACCCGACCGAGGCAACTCGGCCGGAATGCGTAACGCATTTCCTTACCCTTCTCCAAACCAAAAAAGGAAGGTAGCGAGAACTTCCACCAGAGGTACTCTGCCAGGTGTTCCCTGGGAACAGCCGACATGGTCGGGTCCAAACTTGCAGCGCAGTGAGTATGATTAGGAGTAGATTGGTTTAGGAAAGCTTGGGCTCGTCATCCTTCGTAGCCCGGCGAGAGTAGAGAGGGAATCTGATACTCAACTACGATGGTGTGGCCGTGATCCCCTCCAACGCACATGCCATCGTTGCCAAGGTGAGCGAGTTTGACTATGGCAACGCTGAGGACGAGCTCCGCCATCGCCCTTTGATCCAGGTTATCTCATATGTTGTAAGTGCAAGCACGGCTGACACATTGTCAGCGGAGCCAGGCTCTCCGTGGGTTAATCACTATAGCCTCATAGTTAATCCTGGTTAGTCACCATCAGTTCGAGCATGTATATAAGAAGCTATGAGCTGCGTCTTGATTAATTAGAGAAGATATACTCTCATTCGCCCGCCAGGACTCAACGCCTGAAGAGTCGCAATAGAGTCTGCCGACTCATTGCAAGAGAAGCATAGGTATCTTCGACAGGCGGACAATAGGGTCTAAGCGGCTAACAGAGAGACCAGAATGGTGTACCCAACGTCAATTCCTCTCGTAGCCACCGAAGAGAAACCCGGGATATTATTGCTCGCGATAAATTCACATCCAGACGCGAGGAGAGTCGCGCAATAGAAATAGACTTGAAGGTCTATGCACATCGACGATGTAGCAAGAGACCGAGGCGTGGTAGAGAGTTCCCTGCCGGCGAGGCAACATGATTATATATCGAGTTGTTTCGGGAGGTAGTCTACAGGCGCTCCTTGGGAATGGTCGAGGTGGTCGGGTCCAAGAGCGCAACGCAACCCGCCACCCACCCTCGGCCTCACTTGATACAATCTTATTCAAGATCACTATCATTACTTGCTCCAGTGAATGGAATAAGGTCAATCCCAGTCTTAATCCTTCCTGTATGAGTCCATCAAGCCATCTGGCTAGGCCATACTGTCTCCCAGATCCCTCTCACTCGCCTGAATACGAGGAAGAAACACTCAGTACCCTTTATCTTTATATATAGACTAGACGCGATGAGAAATATTCGATTTCGAAACATGAAAGGATGAAGTATTGTAGAGATACGGAGAGTACATGCAATCCGAGCCCTAGTGAGAAATCCTAGATATGATACAGTCTAGAATCTATCGGCCTTCTATTTGAATAAGCCGACTTGTTGAAAAGTTTCGTGTTGGTTCGTGAAGAATTGAGGGAAAGAGTCCATGATCCAGTTGAGAAAGCTGGTGCAAGGACGGTTCATCCTACCAGAAAGAGCGCTATACACCCCGAGATGCGAGAAAACAGAGGGTAAAGTCGAGCCAGAATGACTAGAACTGCCCGCGGGTCGAGAAGGGACACTCGGTGCGTTCTTTGATGTAGACGAGCGATTGTTCCTTGTTGCGGACGTGGCAATGCGGAGTTTGAAACTGGCGTACTTTCTCCATTAATGCGAGTTGAGCCGCCATTTTGCCCTGTCCGGGTACTGGGTTGGAGTTGACGTGATTTTGTCCATTCGCGTGGGTGCTAGAGTGCGTTGGAGAGGCAGATTCGGAAGTGTCGGATATCTTTCGACCCCACGCGATTCTCCAGCGGAACCAAGCGTGAAAGCCCGCGTCATTGTCAAGTTCTATAGAGTGTGTGAGTGAGAGATTGGAAGGTAAATCGCAGTTTCCGTACCTGCGATAGCTTTTGGCGCCCACTCCTCGACTTGTTCAGAGGTTAGACCGTCTTCGATCAAGAGTTGCTTGGTTGCGAGGATAAACATCTAGAAGAGCGTCATCAAGAAAGTTTCACGTAGGTACGAAACATACTTTGAGGTTTTGCTTCATCAGGACACCCGTCACCTTGTAGTGCAGAGCCTCTTCCTTCAAGCTGCCTACAAAAGATGGTTACGTGTTTGATAAAAGATAGGGAGAGCAACATACTTGTCGGCCAAGGGGACACCGGAGTGAAGATGGAGCCCGTCCCACATGACGGCTCATGGTATTCGGGGAACTGCCAGAGTCCCTGATCAAGTGTCTCTGGCGAGTCGTCGACACCAGAGAGATTGCAGCGTCGGACTTGGGCACGACGAACAGCTGAAGAGGAAACAAGTTAGATGATGATCCCCCCCGCGGAGCAGAACCACGGATACCTTGCGTCCACCGTTGCATCCACGAGCCGTTTTCATTATTGTCAGACGCGGGCTCGAGAATGGTGATCTGATCTTCCCCGAGCAAGTCAAAATCGCCCTCTATAAAGATAGCGAGTCCGCCGGGTTTGAGACAGCGGGTGGCTTCAACGAGCATGCCGCGGTACGAGGTCGTTCCGGCACCAATACAACGAACGTGAACGACGTCGTAACTATCGTAAAACGGGGCTAGACCATCATTCACGTTGTGACGGCGAAACTCGACGTTTTTGGGGGCTTTATCATGGGTCTGCTCGTCTTCGTCGATAGCAATCACGTCCGCCTTTGGATACTTTTTGGCCAGTTCTTTCGCCCTATTCGAAAAATCAGGTGGGGTTAAGCCACGAGGACGACACAAGCGTCGCACCATTGTCCGGAGCCGCATCCTATACAAAAGTCAGCCCAAAATGCGGACCATCAAAAGTCATGTGTGCGCACCAACGTCGAGGACAGTTTTCTTTTCTACCTGGGACAAGATGGAGCGGAGCGTGCTCTCGAGAACAAAGGGTTGGCCGAGGCGGAGTAGAATGTGTTGTTTGTCCCTGCGGAATGTTGAGCCATGGAGACAATTAAGCCGAAATGAAGCGCATACAGCCGTCTTATCTCCTCTTCATCTGCAGTTTGTCGCGAAATGAGGTGCGTGAGCGGGCGGACGGAGGGGCGGAAAGGGACGCACTGACCGATTGGAAGCAAGTAAGCGTCGTTGGATGCACTGAAAACGCGCTCCGAGCCGGCAAATCTGCGACCGTGGAGGTATTCGAGGACATCGGCAAGGTAGTCGTCTGGATCGAAATCTGAGACGGAGGCAATATCTCTGAGTTCTGCGATACCAGTAATATCGAGCTCAAACGCCGCTTGGTCATAGCGCGCCGTCGAGTGCGCCAAGTCCGAGGTTGTCGACGGTGTCGGTACAGTAATGTGGACGCCCTGCGCCGTCGAGAGAAACATGAACGGGCAAAGGACAAAAAACATGGACGTGGCCAGGTTCAAGGTGCCTACGAGCGCGTTGCCTGAGGCCATATAAGCTAATGACCGAGTATGGCTTCTAGTGCGGTTTGCAGTTATATGGCCTTACGTTTGATCTAGATTGGACCACTTGCCTATATATGTAATTAGAGTTATTCGCTTCTACCAGGTCTAGCCCTCATCCAGGGTGAGGTGAGGCAACGCGGCCTTTTGGCGCTTGACACCTCCGTTGGCGATCCCTTTGGCGTGTCCTTTCATCAGCAAATTCCTTTCATGATCAATACTTTCATTACTAGAAATCCTGGGATACTCGAGTCACCGCCACCTCTTCGAGCTCGGGACGGTCAATCGGACTCTAGCCCATCCATCGCTGGTGACGAGTTCATGAGTCCGTGTAGCTTCAGCAAATACAGCGTAAATGAGGATCTAGAACGCAACGCTTATTGTCTTCTAGAAATAAGAGTCCCCGTGGATGCCGCGACTTTCTGACAGTAGTTTCCCGGACTCAAACTGCGCTCTTGTTGTTGCCGTCACCTGTGTCGTTCTTTACATTTAGCCGTTACATAAGACTGTTGTCAATCTCTCTAAACGGAGTAATAATCTGGGCGGTAAAGTCCATAAACTCATTTCAGAAGATCAGAAACCCTGAAGCAACATGAATATTCGCGAAATATTCTCTGAGAGTCTGACGTACCGCCACGGGAGACACAGACGAGGAGGCGAACGTGTGGATTGAGCTTGACTCCGCGCTGAGGACGATATATGATAATTAAAGGGACAATTACATATCTGTAATCTTATCTCTAGGATTATATACGTCAGAGTCGTTGTAAAATACAGGTTAGCTCGAAGCAGCCGTGATAACGTCGGACAGTGGACCAGCGTACGTGGGTAGCTCGGGTATTAAACGAATCTATTTGAGCATTTTCCATCTGGTATGGTTCTCTCTGCACCGATCAAGTAGGGCAGGTCCAAGGTGACAAACAAACCGTTACACCTTGGACCCGACCTCGTCCGTTCCCTCTCTTCCTCAGTCCTACAGTCTCTTGGAAGATGCTTTCCTGAGGTATCTAGTATACCGTCGAGCGCACGTTAGGCCACGGCCTCTTCTTTCGCTTCGAGGCCGTGCCCCGTTTGCACTCATCGAGCGCCGTCCACCATCCATTTGGCTGGCGGGAAGCAGAGTATCCTCATATGCATAGACGCATCATGTTCTCCAAATCCAGACGTGATGGCTGCCATCGCCCCGTCGAGACGTCTTCGGCCGAGATATCTATAAAAGTTGCCCTAGTTATGGGGTGATGACCATGGCTCGGAAGAACCGTAGTAATTTCTAAATTCCTTCTCTTCTATCCTCTCTGCGGGATCTCGAGGACCTGTGCATCCGTAGCTCACAGCTTTGGAATCTCCAAGCGTCGTACAAGCCCGTATCCTGCAAGCGTGTGACTTCCGGCTCGGATAGAACGGTCCTCGCTGCACTTTCTAGGAAGAGTGCTGCCCGTACCTCTCGTTGCATCTGAGTCGGTCATCGCACCGCCGAATTGGCTCCACTTATTTGGAGCTTATGGATGGAGCGCTTTTTGAAGCGCCGGTTTTGTTCCTCCTGCCCTGCGATCAACGCAGGTGAGGGAAGGAAAGTCGTTGGCGACTCATATCGTCTGCCATCAGAATGGAGATTTCGTCCCTGTGAGCGTAATCTAAGGCCGGATCCGAAGCCGATTCGGATTGCCTCGAACAAGGATGAGGGTTCTGCGATTATTACCCTTGGTAGCTGTTTACTCTTTCCACGGCATGCGGTTGTCGTCTCTTCGTTCCATTGGAGCCCATTCTACATCGAGACCAATTCTCGGCAGCATCATCAGCCATTGGGAGAGCTGGGTGACACTATTATCTGGGTTATCCAAAGGGCTCGTGAGCTCGATGAAGGCATAGTCTAAACGTGAGTCCCCTGCTTTGAAGACTGGTTCGACGATCCTTATGGGAGGGAGCTCCGTCGTTTGCGTTCTTAGGGTATCAATATGTTGTCTAAGTTTTTGTAATGGAGTTTGGTCAGGCGTACGCAGTAGACCCTGTACAATGAGGGCAATGTATGGTTTAGCGACAGTTTTTGCAACTACCCATTGCTACAGTCACAATGGAAAATATCTGGGTTTGTTGGCAAGTCGACAAATCCTGTGCCGAGGTGTGTGAATGCGAACGATATGAAGGGCATCGATACAACCATCAGAATCCGCGCTTGTTCCGTATCTAGTTTAATAAAACCTTGGTAAAAAAAGTGCGGTCTCTACACTTTCCATCATTTGTTTGAGGTAGTTCCAAGTTGGCTGCGATTTCTGGTCGAGATAGTCTACTGGAAGGACACCAATGAATTGATGGCTCAATGTGGGATGAAGATGCCTTGCGATCATAATTCTCAGGTACATTTGGCAATCCCAAACAGCACGGCTACAAGTGCACCCTGGACGCCGACTCCAACTTGACGTGTACCAAATGTGCTCACTAATTTATCATGAAGTTGTACGAGCAAATCAGTGGTGGAGCACGACTGGGTATCAGCCTCGCCATACTCATAGGATGCATGCTTGTCATCGCCGTGTTTGCCATTGCGCTCGAAAGCTATAGACGAGAGCAAATACAATGCCAAATGGCGTTGAGGTCACGAAATCGCAAGTTGATATACGAAGCATACCCCTGATAGTCAGCCTCGCCTGTGCCTGCAAAGGATCTTGACGTATTATATTAACTAGGAGAGAGTAAATGACATTACTGTTGATACTAGGACGCGTGAGGTGAGAGTCAAGACCAGTAAGGCCCAGCCGCACTCTGTAAAAAGTGTACCCACCTGAGCGCATTGGGTTTCACAATGACACGGTGGAGTGAGATGGTAAGAACCCGTGCTACGCATTGGGTATGGAATCCGTTGAGATCAACTGCCCAAAACTCAGTGCGTTCGGCCGAGTTTAGGCTCGTTGCTGGACCATGGCCATATTCGTGCGAGACAATTGAGAAATACAGCTACTAGCACCGTGCAAAAATACGTCTATGGGAGCGGGTCGGAGCCCATGCTAGTGCACTCGGCATGAAACCGGCGCAGCGCACTGGGAAGACTCGGAGCAACGCGCCGCTTTATCAAGGGTGTGAAACCGAATATATAAGCGGTGTATTTAAATGTTCAAATACATTTGAGCGCTCTGTTTCAGTGTCAATGTGACCCAATGTGAGTTTCGAGGTCACAACCCGAGATGCCCCTGGCGTAGAACCGTATAGTCAGTGAGAAGCAGCGTACAATTAAATGCTGAAATGATGTGATATCACAACTCGACACAGTGTACAACCAGAAATCAGTGTCGCTCTGTGCCACTTCTATGCGCATACTCATAGCTTGGCTCATTGGATCACATTTAACACAAAATTCTCTTCATCGTCATTGGCATAGTCACCAAACTGAGTCCGCGAACAGTGGGGGCTGGTATCAATGATTCCCCACCGTTGGCCGCCGATCTCTACTCTCCCAGCACCGCATTGAATAGTATCAACATGAACAAATCGAGGAGGTCGGAACTTCTTGTACCATACCTTCTTCTCTGTTGCGTCCCCATCACAGTCGCAAATGCTGACGAGGGCGAGTAATTGCTCCTTATTGTTATCCAGATCCAAAGAAGAATCACCAAGGAGCGTTACGTGGGCTATATAATGAAGCTGCGCATAAAAGCATGTCGGCACCTCTTCGACACCCCCGTCTTGGCCGAGTCTTGCAACTGTAAGCTCGAGCTGGGCGATCAAAGTCAGTAAACGAAGTGTAGATGAAACTACATACTCGAACAAAGGAGGAATCATGATGTTTATCTCGCGAATACCGTGAAGCTGCCCAAGAACCACATATTGAAGGTCGTTCACCCAGGACGCGAACCTTGCCCGCCCGCATACACGTCTTTGGTAGAGCAGCCTCTATCTTGGCCATTGAAATTCTCTTGTTCAGCAACGTCCTGAGGTATGCGACCAGTGCACGACGCTCGGAGTCGTCTAGGGTGTACTTCAGCTCAAACGGAGCTCGCATGACTGCCGTGACACCTGAGGATAATAAGTAATGAGATATTTTAGGTACATGAAGACTCACTAGATGAGATAACATCCTCTCGTCTCCACTCACACTTGACCAATCCCGACCTTCTCTTCCTTCTAAATCTTTCTCAGATAGATTGTAGAGATACCGCGCCATTTTGAGCTGCTCTGTACGGAGAATGAGATTGCTGAGCTGTGAGAACGGGAATCGTCGAGACTTGATGGACCGAGCCACAAATCCCATCTTCCTCTCGCCAGCAAACTCCCACTGCGTATCGCTGGGACCAGAGTTGACGATAGACATCGGAATATGTATCAGTGCATGCATAGTCAATGGCACTGTCGATAATCGACCATACTCGTGAATTTTCTCAACACTTGGAAATGCTCAATACATAAGATAATAGGCGTAGGAATATATACCAGGAACAGAATGGCAAGATACATCTCCATTTTCCCGAGATAAAATTGCAGGAATTCTAGCGGAGCATAATTTCGGTATCTCGACTCAAAGAGATACTGGGGATACTATAATAGGGTGTCTGCGGCAGTTGTTACATTTGGTGTGCATGGCGGCGTCTATCCGTCGGTGAAGTTCTTGAGCGAATTCCATGCAGTTCCACAAGACGATGTGATATGGTGTCTTGCTGAGCTGAAGAACAAATTCGGCCACAGTCACCAGAGGCAGAGACAGGTCGACACGCCGAAATAGTCTGTCGTTTGGTAGAACCAGTGAGTGGATATCACGGGAAAAGGTTGGTATCACTTCTCCGTTGTCTTGGAATGTGCTCATGCTCTTTACGGATCGTAGGTCGCCAGTCCAGTCGATGCGAAGCCACGAGGTGTGGTTGTATATGTCGACGCGAAGGATTGTATACTCGTGCTGCAATGAAGTGCGTTCCCCAAACGTGTAAAGCTCGGATACGATCGCCGAGATTCCTTGTTCGCAAATAAATTCAAAGACTGGTTGGCCTGGAATCCATCCTAATTGGAGAAGCGTGATGGCTAGAAGTGAGCCTGCCGGTACATAGGACGTAAGTCACCGTGACACGTTATTACTACTCATGGAATGTACCTGGTCTTCCTTTCGGTATGGGCTCGCCGTTTCGACGTGAGAATAGGCGGCGACTGTGAAAATGTGGCATGCCTGTACGCACGTTAAAAAGTATCACGGCAGACAAGAAGACACTGAGGCGTACCATAAAGTGGCATTAAGCTATTAGAAAACGGGTAAGGTAGAGAGGAAAGCGCACATTGTGCTTTTTCTAGGACATCTCCGACAATGGGTACCGAGTTAACAATCCTGTTCATTGTTATGTATGATTAGAGTCGAGATTTCGCTGGAGTATGCGTGGAAGTGAGTGATGATGAGTCGATTAACAGAGGTAGAAGCTTTTATAGCGAGGCGCGAGACTATGGGCTGGCTGGGACGATAAGGACTGCCCAAATTGGTCAAAAACAAGTTCTATTAAGTAAAAGTTGTGAAAGATTATGCTTATGCCGATCAAGAAGATAGGACAGCCGTGGTTACTACGTGCCAGCAATGAGTCAAAGCGGCGATCTATCGATCATACTGCCAAGCATTTTCGCATGCTAATAAAGGACATAGTGCGCGCTTGTGTTGACTATTCATTCTCCGAGAGCCAGTACATTATGCCGATGGCAACCTTGTTGACACAAGCATCTTGACAAAACCAGTAGAGGTTCAGTCAACAAATCTGGCCAGATCCTTTGTTTAGCATCCTGCGGCGTCCTATTTGTCATACCCTGCCCCTGTTACTGTCAAGCCGAAATCATCGCCTGCATTGAGTTGTCTAAGCGTAGCCACTCAAATATTCCAATTGTGGTCGGATGGTCAAGTGCTCCGTGGCGCCTCCCGACAAGACCAGTGTTCGGGTCCTGTACGAGGCAGAAATCACAATACAGGTGGAAAAAGCGATTTGGCCTTCTGAAGTTGGCCTTCTGAAGTTGGCGTGGAAGCCGTATCCAGTGGTTGGTCATCTTCCAGGGCAGGTTGGCGATCTAACCCCTAGACCACGGTGCTTGGTTTTACAGTGGTGGCCAATAGGGTCGTAAAGTAGCCGTTTGTCATTCGTAGATAACTATTCTAGATTGCATGCAACTTACTTTTGCTTGACAAGTATTTTGTAGTGAGGCTGGTTTCGACAAGTTTGCTGAACCTGGCGTCGACTTTCGTGGCATTGAGCCCACGCTGGCTCGTTGCACGACGCTATATTCTCGCTGAATCGAGAGCTTTTCAAACGCATCTACCAACTTTTTATTCAAGCAGCATTGAAGTGCGCACTCTGGCGGATGTTTGCGTTGAACAGCGACGTTATTCCACTTGTTCGACGCGTTCACGTGGAGATAAGGAAGCAATATTCTTGATAGAGAGAAGGACGGACAAGAATAGCACGGTTGACAGCCGCGCCTTTGCTGGGAACCGAAGACTTCTGCACACAGCACATGCTCACGCTCCTTTCACTCACAAACAGCAGCTGGGTTATCGTACGACCACTTTATCTACCAGTAATCTCTCCCGCCGTCTATACACGACTTGGAACAAACCACAACACCCGCCACCCGCGCCGTCGACACCCTCAACGAGCACAGACGACCTATCTCTTGCAGAAAAGGCGTTAGACGACACAAAACAACAGTCAAAGCACGCGGCAGTACTCGCAGCAGCAGCGGCCGCACAGACAATCCAAGACGACTATCCGTTGCAGCAGTTTCAGCTCGGGTCAGAAGAAGACGCGTACGAGGGTGATCGAATCGTCGAAAAGGTTGTGCACGACATGAGCGATAGTCAGGCAAAGATCATTGATGGGACGGCGATTGCAAAGTGAGTTCGAGTCACAATCTTTTGATAGATTGCTCTCGTCCCTAGTCTCTGTTGCTGCTGATTCGTATACTATTCTGTCCGAACTCGTGCTCCGAACGCGCAGTGAGCGGTTTCGACACCCTGCCCGAGGGTTATAGGCCTCGAGGCTGAGGTAGTACTAGTTATCCCTGCTTCACTCCAACTTTCTTTTCTGAGCAAAGGTCGTCTCACTGACCCCTTCTACAGGGAGATCCGAACCTCTGTTCGAGATCGAATCGAGGCTCTCAAGAAGACGAATCCTACCTTCCCTACTCCAAAGCTCGTCATTATCCAAGCGGGTGAGCGCCCAGATTCAACCACCTATGTTAAGATGAAGGCAAAGGCATGTGCCGAGGTCGGCATAGACTATGCACACGTCGCGGTATGACCCCAAATGTGCTCTCCTTTATGAGTTAACAAATTCTCGTCAGATGCCAGCCGACGCGACCGCTGCCCAGATTATCGAAGAGGTGCAAAAGCTGAACCATGATAGCTCAGTACACGGCATCCTCGTACAGATGCCGCTTGGCGAGAATGTCGGTCTGGAAGGTGAACGTCAAGTGATGGAGAGTGTTAGTCCTATGAAGGACGTGGATGGGTATGTGCTTTACCAATCACTGCTATCGCTTCTCAACAATCTAGGTTCCACGCCTACAACATCGGACACCTTTCTTCGCGTTCGTCAGAACCACTCTTTACTCCATGCACGCCCTCTGGAGTCATTCATCTTCTCACCACCACCGGTTTCAACTTGGCGGGATCCAACGTGGTCGTACTCGGTCGTAGCGACATTGTCGGTAATCCTGTTGCTGCAATGCTTCGCAAGAAGGATGCAACTGTCACACAATGTCACAGCCGCACCCCCAGGAGACGATGATCAACGCCGTACGCTTTCTCTCTTTTCGACATTGGCGGTGCTGACTTGCATAGTTGAGAAACGCAGACGTCGTTGTATCCGCCATTGGAAAACCTGAATACGTCAAAGCCGAGTGGCTCAAACCGGGAACCATAGTCATTGATGTTGGCACGAACTATATCCCAGGTACGCATACTGCTCAAACTCGCTCCCCTTCTCATTGATATGTAGATTCGACGAAGAAGAGTGGTCAGCGACTCGTCGGCGACGTCGAATTTTCGCAAGCATCGGGCGTTGCGTCTCATATCACCCCCGTCCCAGGTGGCGTTGGACCGATGACCGTCGCAATGCTCATCTCGAACACTCTCAAGAGTTCTGAACGCCTATGGGAGAAAGAACGCGCGCGTAAACTTGTCCCCCTCAAGCTCAACGTTCTGGAAAAGGTGCCCAGGTATGCGCTAGTCGTGGATCAACGACAATTCTTGACATTTCATAGCGATATCGAGATTGCGGTCGCTCAGACACCAAAGCCTATTACTCACCTGGCGACGGAGATTGGGATCCGACCAGACGAGCTCGAGTCGTATGGAAAGTACAAAGCCAAAGTCGAGCTTTCCATCCTGGATCGTCTCGCAAAGAGAAAGGATGGCAAATATATCGTCATATCTGGGTAGATAATTACATTTTCGTCAGCTTCAGGTTCTTATCTTCGACTAGTATCACGCCCACGCCTCTCGGAGAAGGCAAATCGACGACGACAATTGGCCTGGCTCAGGCCATTGGCGCCCATCTGGGACGTCCAGCATTTGCTTGTGTCCGTCAGCCAAGTCAAGGTCCGACCTTTGGTATCAAAGGGGGTGCTGCTGGTGGAGGATACAGTCAGGTCATCCCAATGGACGAATTCAATCTTCACCTCACGGGCGATATTCACGCGGTATCTGCGGCAAACAACCTACTCGGTACGCTCTTCTTACTCAATCGTTACAGAAACTGAGACATGATTAGCCGCCGCTCTGGATGCGCGCATGTTCCACGAGTCGACACAAACAGACAAGGCTCTTTACAATCGTCTCGTCCCGACAGTCAAGGGCAAGCGTGCCTTTGCACCGCTCATGTTCAAGCGTCTGAAAAAGCTCGGGATCGACAAGACGGATCCCAACGAGCTCACGCCAGAGGAGATTAACCGCTTTGCGCGTCTCGATGTTGACCCAGCGACAATTACGTGGAATCGTGTCGTTGATACGAATGATCGGTTCTTGAGGAAGATTGTCGTTGGAAAGGGAGAGGCAGAAAAAGGCTTCGAGCGTGATACTGGGTTTGATATCTCTGTTGCGAGCGAATGTATGGCGGTCCTTGCGCTCAGCACGGACCTGAAAGACATGCGCGAGAGGTGCGTATATAGTTTGGATGTTAATTTAGCTCATCGGCTACAGACTCGGTGCCATGGTCGTCGCGACGAGCAAGCGCGGTGAACCGATTACTGCTGACGATATTGGCGTTGGAGGGGCGCTGGCGGTACTCATGAAGGATGCAATCAAACCGAATCTTATGCAGACCCTGGAGGTAGGATCTCCTCAAGTCATCTCGAGCCTGCTAACTCTCATAGGGCACACCCGTCTTCGTACATGCCGGACCGTTTGCCAATATTGCGCACGGCAACTCCTCAATCCTTGCCGATCGCATCGCACTCAAACTCGCAGGCACAGAACCCGGCGAAACCGACTCGACACGCGAAGGATACGTGCTCACCGAAGGTGGTTTCGGCGCCGACATGGGCATGGAAAAGTTTTGCAATATCAAGTGCCGCGTGAGTGGCCTGACGCCAGACGCGGTCGTCATCGTCGCAACGACGAGGGCACTCAAGATGCATGGCGGTGGGCCCGAGGTCACGCCAGGGAAACCTCTTGCGGATACGTATACGAAAGAGGATCTCGAAACACTTGGTGTGGGAATTGGAAATCTCGAGCGACATATCGAAAATGCGAAAAAGTTTGGGTTGAAAGTCATCGTTGGCGTCAACCAATTCTCGTACGTAGCTTTCTTCGATGCTTCCATTGGGTATTGAGGAGAATTAGGTCGGATTCATCCGCTGAGCTCGAATTGATCTGCTCGCGTGCCATGCAAGCTGGCGCGGACGCGGCGGTCGTCTCGAACCATTGGGCACTCGGAGGTGCTGGAGCCAAAGATCTTGCCGAGGCCGTTGTCGCTGCGTGTGAGGGCGAGTCAACATTCAAGTTTCTGTATCCGCTGGACATTCCCATCGTTGACAAAATTTCGGCGATTGCCAAGGAGATTTACCGTGCGGATGGGATTGAGCTTAGTGAACTTGCGCGGAGCCAGGTCGAGCTTTACGAGAAGCAGGGGTATGGAAACTTGCCTAGTACGTGTATCTTCTGGGTAGCTGTTGTCGTTGCTGACGAGGTTAGTCTGCATGGCGAAGACGCAGTACTCTTTCTCGCACGATCCAAAGCTCAAAGGAACCCCGACTGGTGCGTTGCTTTATTGAAATTTGGACAGTGCTAACTGGGCGCTAGGCTTTACTGTGCCGATTCGAGCCGTTCGTCTTTCTGCGGGCGCTGGATTCCTTTATCCGCTTCTTGGAGATATGCAGACGATGCCTGGTCTTTCTACAAGACCTGGATTCTGGGAGGTCGGACTGGATGAGGAGACGGGTAGAGTAGTTGGCCTGTTCTAGTGTTTGGTTCCTCTGTCGCTAGCTACGAAATACGATTTCCCCAACTCGATGATTGCAGGGCGGTTTACAGTTTGGGACATTGGTTCTACCTAGAGTACAAAAGCCGATGACATGACAGAGAAAGCGCTACCTAGCAAAGAGATTTCCCTATTCCTCGCATAGATTAGGAGATAACCAAGATCAAAGCATGCATCTTTCCGAGCCATGACGGTGGTCGACGCTTGTTGTCGATTCCAGACGATTTAACGGGTGGGTGGTGGGTACTGCGGCGGTTGATATTGTGGGTTTCGTCCCTGGGCAAAAGGCGCCATCTGCCAGGATGGCTGATGCAACGATTGCGACGGCTTCTGCGACATGGATCCAGGGGCTTCAACTGAATCAGACGGGATTGCTGGAGACCACGTTGTGTTGGGAATCGTCATCGTAGAGAGAAGACCGCCAATGATACCAACTCTGCACAGACCACTGATAATAATACCGGCCAACTCCGTGGGGAAAAATTCCGTCGGGGTGCCGAGAAATATCGGGAGGTAGGAGTCCAAGTGGAAAGTGCCCACCAAGCCGGGTATGGTGTGTGCGGTTGTCTGCCAGTGGATGGGAATGATAAGAGTTTCCAAAAAGCCGATGATCAGGAAAGGCAAGACTATTGCAAGAAGTCTTGTAGATATCTATGCGACTTTAGTGACCCTATTGTATGTTGCATCTGTCTACAAACCGCGTCGTTGAATTTCTTCTTCTTCTGGGAGACTCCCAGCCCAATTAAAGACACAATCACGTTGAGTGTTAGGATCAGCTCTATAGAGAGATCTGCCAAGTTGAGTTCACGCCAAGAGCGCGTGTAATAGAAAAAATTGGCGGGAACCAGATAATTTGAGGTGTAGAAGATGTAGCCATCCGCTATGATTCCCATCCAGCAAGTATCGATAATGAAGTTGATCGCTACGAGCGACCAGTCGACAATGCGCTTCCATAAATGTTCCATCCACGGAGTGGACGTACTACCCTCGGCTTTTCCTGCCAGATTGACACGAAGATGGATAAGCCAGAGGCAGACTGCGGGTCGGAAAGAAGCGTCAATGTTTTTCAAGAACCAATCGAACGTGTTCAAGCCTCGCATAGTCTCGATTGGATAGTCGTGGTCCGGTATACCGAGCTCGTAAGAACTGATTCTGGTAACAATTGCCGAGACAAGGTATGATAAGGCCAATGCACCCGCGACTAGCAGGTAAGAGTCAACGAAAAGCGTGCAAAGCAGCGTATACATGTCACATACCGATCGCGAGGAGGATGTATGGCGCGCGTGTATACCGGCCAGGCGGGACGAGCCGGAGACGTCGACAGATGATGATAAACTCGCCGAGGATGACGACAAAGTCTCCCAAGAGTCAGTATACCTCCCCAGGGAATAAGAGTCTAACTCACAGATGATCTCGAATGCCATAGCGGCCTTGATCGTTCCTGGCGCACTCCAACTCTGATGAAACTTAGAACTCAGTGTGAGTAGCTACGCGGGAGGGCTCACGTCGTGAATGGAACCACTCCCACTTCCACTAGAACCGCCGCCTCGGCCTTTGGCCATTGAACCCACGACGAAGAGGAGCAGCGGAAAGAAAGAAAGATGAGGATTGACCATTGTAGATTGCCTCGAAATTCAAGGGAAGGGGCCAAGGAGGATTCCAAGAGGCAATCTATCGTCGCAGAGGATATTTAGGCACTTAGAATAGTCTCACGCGATGAGTCGGCCATATCCGTAGCCAGCCCGAGATCTCTATGCAGAAGCTAACCGGGAAGATGGGAATGATCCGTGTAGAGGTGTTCTTGATTACGTCGGTGCAGTCAGGTTCGTGATGATGAGACTTTACCATCGGCGCTGTACTACGCCCGGAACGTCCAAATTTAGCAGCACAATAGCAATCAAAATGCTACATTTAATGCATTGAATAGTGCTCCCTCCGTATATCCAACAACAAGTATGTGAAAATCACGAACAATTAAGGGCCCATCCTTCGGAGGCCACAGCGCTACGACTGTAATCGAGATCTCAAAGCTTGTTATCAATTATGTACGGGCTAATGAGCCAGTGGAGATCGTTGGGAAGGTTAATATTGTGCGAGCTGAGGGTACTATCCTGGGGTGGACATAGGCTGTGGGATCTACCAGGAAGACTGATAGAAGAGCTAGTGTGGCTGTCCTGAGATGGAAATAGTTTATTATGGAGCCCAGACTACGTCGGGAATCGTCATAGTGGAGAGAAGACCACAAATGATTCCCACCTTGCATAGTCCATTGAGGATTACAGCGGCCAGGTCGAGGCGGTAGAACTCCTCTAGAGCTATCAACCGCCCATCTGTATAGACCGCCAGGACCAGCGACTGGATAAAGTAGATAGCGATGAACGGCAAGACTGCTATTAAGAGCCTTGTGGTTATCTGTTTGTGATGAGTGGGTGCATTCTTGTTGCATATGGGACTCACAGGGTCTACGAAATTCATGCGCCTCTGTACAACCTTGAGGGCAATGACAGATACAATGATGTCGATTGCAAGGAGCGAGGTGAAGCTGAGAAGAGTGAGTCTAAGCCTGCGATTCATTTCGATAAAGTCCCAGAATCTGTCGATGGTCATCTGGCCTGCATCATCTTGTACATATGCGTGTGCAGTAACCCCCATTTTCCAGGTGGCCAGAAGGAATGTAATGGCTACAAGGAACCAGTCGATTGTGCGTTTCCAAAGCCGTGATACCCAAGGCTGGGGTGCATTCTGAACCTTGCGTGCCAGATTTCCTCGGAGATGGACGAGCCAGAGGCAAACCGCCGGCCGAAAAGCGATGTCGATGTTGATCAAGAACGAGTTGAATGTGTTCAAGCCGTGGAGACCCCTGTCCGGGCCATCATACCTTGTTTTGATATCGCCCCGGCCGTCATTTATCCTAGCGTAGATTGCGGAGAGAAGGTCTCCCAAGGCCGATACTCCGGTTACTAGCAGGCAGAGATTAGTAGGCTATTCCAGGAAGCGTTCAAAAGCCACACACCAATCGCAAGGAGGATATATGGCGCGCGTGTGTGCCGACCGGACGGAACGAGGCGAAGGCATCTCCAGATGGCAATAAATGCACCGAGAGTAACGATGAAGACTGTTGACTATTAGCAGACTTTTTAAGGGGAAGGAGCTGATTCACAAATGATCTTGAACGCCATGGCGACCTTGAGAATCACTGGTGCATCCCAATTCTGATACTTTTTTAAGTATTCTACGCGGATATATGAAATTTTGCATACGTCAATTGAACCGACTCTCCCCCCCCCTCCCTCTCCCCCTCCCCCTTTGGCCGCTGAGTCTCCGACAAAGTAAAGGATCAGGAGTAAGGATAGACAAAATTGCATTGTGGCCTCCCTGAGGGTGAGCTGGACGCTAGCGAAAGAGTCGAGGGCAAGTCCAAGAAGTAACAAGTGCCATTATCGATGGAAAAGACGTCTAGGCACATGAAAAAATCAATTCTTTGCTGTCGGCTACCAGCATTATAGCTGGCATGCCCGAGCTCTATTCAGAACCCCGGCCGGAGGGGGGAGTAATCCTTGTATTTAATTCCAAGAATTAGCGACGCTAATATGAATGTATACGTAAAGTAATGCGGGCTTGGATCTATCATTAGTGGATTACGTTCCAGGGAAATTTCGGTATACTTATACATCAGAGCACTACAAACCGAGCGCGGCACCGCTATCATTAGATTCGCGACCGATGCGCCCAAGGAATGTCCAAAAATCGTAAATCGAATAGACTAACAAGGCAATTTCATTGTGGGTTTGCTGATGATATGGGCTCCCAACCCTGCGAGGTCTCGGATTGGATCCCCTTGGCCATTGAACCCACGACGAAGAGAAGCATTGGAAAGAAAGAGGCATGGGTACTGATCATTGTAGATTGTCTCGAAGTTCGAGAGATGGGGCCGATGACCATTCCAGGAGGTAGTCTATCGTCTCAGAAGATATTTAGGCATATAGAATATCTCACGCGGTGAATTGGCTATATCCGTAGCCAGCCCGAGATCTCTATGCAGAAGCAGACCGAGAAGATTGGAATGATCCGTGTAGAGGTTCTTGATTACTTGCCTTGCCACAGTGCAGTCAGGTTCGTGATGATGAGACTCACCGTCGGAGCTGTACTACGCCCGGAACGTCCAAATTTAGCAGCATAACAGCAATAAAAATGAACCCCACATTCAATGCATTGAATAATGCTCCCTCAGTATATCCAACAACAAGTATGTGACAATCACGAACAATAAAGGGTCTATCCTTCAGAGGCCATACCGCTACGACTGTGGTCGAGCATCTCAAGGCTTGTTATCAATTCCATATAGTCTAATGGGTTGGTGGAGGGTTCTGCGGAGGTTGATATTGTCCGGGCTGAGGGTACTGTCCTGGAGCGGGCATGGTGTGTGGGATTTGCCAGGACGGCTGATAGAACGGTTTTGTGGCTGCTGCGACATACTTATGTCTTCTTTATTGGGAATAGCTTGCCCTGGAGCCCAGACTGCGTCGGGAATGGTCATGGTGGAGAGAAGACCACAGATGATCCCGACTCGACAAAGTCCACTGAGGATAACACCGGCCAATTCGAGACCATAGAACTCCTCTAGGGTCATCGAACGTCCTTCGGGATAGACGGTCACGACAAGGGACTGGATAAAGTAGATAGCAACGAACGGCAAGACTGCCACCAACAGCCTTGTGGTTATCTACTTGCGGTGAGTGATCGTGTTCTTGTTTGACATGTAGACGTACAGGGTCTATGAAATTCATGCGCTTCTGCACGACCTTGAGGGCAATGAAAGATACGATGATGTCGATCGCAAGGAGCAAGATAAATGTGAGGATGGTGAACCTGAGTCCGCGATTCATATCGATATAGGCCCAAAATCGATCGGAGTTCATCTGTCCTGAATCATCCTGTGCATATGCATGTGCGGTCACCCCCATTGACCAGGTTTCTAGAAGGTAGGTAATAGCTACGAGAGACCAGTCAAGGATGCGCTTCCAAAACTGTGATACCCAAGGCTGGGGTGCATTCTGCACCTTTCGTGCCAAGTTTCCACGGAGATGGACCAGCCAGAGGCAAACTGCTGGACGAAAAGCGGTGTCGATGTTAACCACGAACCAGTTGAACGCGTTCAAGCCATGGAGCCCCCTATCTGGGCCATCATAGTATGTACTGATACTGCCCCCGCCGTCGTTTATCCTAGTGTAGATTGCGGAGAGAAGGTATGCCAAGGCTAATGTTCCAGTTACTAGCAGGCAAGGATTACTAGGTCATTCCCCAGAAAGCTCGTTCCAAAGTCACGTACCAATCGTAAGGAGGACATATGGCGCGCGCGTGTATCGACCAGGTGGGACGAGATGAAGGCGTCGCCAGATGGTAATAAATGCGCCGAGAAGAATGATAAAGTCTATCGGCTATTAGCCAGATCCTCCAGAGGAAAAGGCGCTTGATTCACAGATGATCTCAAATGCCATAGCAACCTTGATCGTCACAGGTGCGTCCCAATTCTGATAAAAATCTGAGTATTCTACGCAGAAATATCTGGATAAAAGTTGCCTACGTCGTCAATGGAACCACCTCCACCCCCTCCTCCTCGCCCTTTGGCTGTCACGCTCACGACAAAGTGAAGAACCGAAAAAAGGGATAGAAAAGTCCGCATTGTAGGCCCCATTGAGGCGGGTTGAACGCTAGGTAGGGTGTTGGGGGCGGGTCCAAGGTGACAACGGCCCCATTATCGATTAAGAAGATGTCTATGCACATGAATCTCTATTTAGTGGCAATCAATGGTGTACCTGGCAAGACCGAGGTGTCTATTCAGAAGCCCGCGGGGAAGATGGGAATAATCCGTGTGTTCGGTTCCTGGGGGAAAAGGTCTCTCACCAACGCTAAATGTAAAGTTCAATGCGATGTTATGGGTATCTTCATAAGTGACGATAATAGTAACCATACAGAATCTCCTTGTGGACGAATCACCACCGCTATCACTGAATTCGCGATCAAGTTGCCAGAACACACAACTCTACATAGAGCCAAATTCAAATAAACGTGCCATTCTGCCACCAAATCGAAAGAGGAGACACTCGGTCAAACGACATACGCCATTGCACTGGGAGGAATCCTCTCATGACGGCTGCAAAGTATGACGCAGGACCAGTGCCCCTTTTCATGTGACTGGAGGACGGAGGAGGTGCAGCCAACGTGTCAAGAAGTTGTGTCACGCCGGACGGGAGCTTAACCAATGGTACGCTCATTCAAATACTGTCTCTTGAACTATAGTAATAACATTTACACGGATTGACCATATACAGCGTAATTCATGCACTATCGTAGGCAATTTTGTTCGAAATCTGCTCCCTCTGCTCCTTGCTCTTTACTTCGGTCGCAGCTTCGAACGCCGCTCCTCTTCTGTTCCATAGCATTAGGTACACTAGCACAGGAGAAGGTTGGTCCGCAGCAAGAGGCATCAAGTGGGTCATCGAAACTGAGACGGTGACAGTGGGCTCTGTAGAGGGATTCGGATCACCATGTGGTGCGACTCGACCAAATGGCGAGCTCTGTTTGTTCTTGACCCTCATACGAGCATACGAGGCACTGTAGATTTTGCCGTGACCTGTGAATATAGTGTTGATATTTCCTCGACTTCCATCCCCCTAGGAACTCGTCGGTTTGTTCGAGGATTTCGTCGCCAATTTCCTTCACTTAGAGGGAATATCCACTCATCGGATATTCATATCCCATCCTTGTCGCAGTTTGACCAGCGCCACATCGTATTTGGTCTTCGCGACGACGCAGTCAATGCCGGGACGGATTGATCCGCTTAGCGGGTCAAACCCTTGGGGATATGGACAAGAGCGAGCAAATAGAAGGAAAGAGAGAACATATTGCAATGTATTTACTACTCCGGTCCGATTGCTTCGACCTAACGATCTAATCGGGTACCAACCTCACAGCTTGGAGCTTCGTTGTCCCCAGGATTGGGCGAGCATGAGCGTGAGCTTGCGGTCGTCTCTACAACCGCCCAGCTTTACAGAGGAGCCACGCTTATGAAACAACAAGCGCATGTCGTGAACCATAGGGGTGCCTCCATCGTGAGGAGACACCACGTCCAGCTGATCGACAAGAGACGCAGCTCGATGAAGATGGACAAGTGACTTTGCGAACTATCTAGCTCGACTAGGTGGGATGCAGAGATCACATGGATGAAACTCGGACTCCTTTTCAACGAGCAAGTGAAATTTGCTCACGACGGAGACGTCGTCATGTGTCAGTAGGCATATATGAAGGAATGTTGGCTGGCCAAAGAGGCAAGCTTGAAGTCACCGAGAGCAGATACACACGGCAAGATGGCTAGTTATGAACTATTGCCTCGGGCATATATAACTCGCTACTCAACCATCACCGACAAGGGAGGAAGTGGTCGGGTCCAAGATGGCGAAACCCATCTGCTCCTCTAGAGCAACGCCTTGTATTGGCGGAACATGACGTTACTGGTCCAAGGTGGTCTGCATCCCTGTGTAAATCCCAGCAGGTGACGAATTAGGCACCGAATTGCCGAGATCAAGGCCGAAAACGACAGACTCAGATGAGAACAAAATCATCACCGACGATCAAACATTCCGATGACTGAATGGCCTATCGCTAGTGAAAGTCTCATAAAAGTCGTCGTTGACTGGCCTATCATGGAGAATGTTGCAGTGGAACCATAATCAGCACGTGACGTAGTCGTTTTGGGAGAGATGGTGGCCGTCGATGGAAAAGGCTCGTTGAGAGCAGTCTGGTATATGCACGTGCCTCGTACAAGTGAGCAACGCTCGGACAGCGGCGCGTTGTGTGGAATGGGAGGGGAAGCGGCGAGGGGGTGTAATGTGGAGATAGTCCAAAATGACTTATAAGAGTGGATCTGCGGACTTGTGATCGTTATCGATATGCGAGCAGCAGATGCGCCGCACGAGCTTGTTATGGCAAGTGCTGATCGACAAGCAGGACCCATTCTGTCGAGCAACAGACAGTTCGGACAGCTGGCAACGACGCCACTGTGGATAATTTTGTGAGAAGAATATAAGGTATTAATGAGGAATTATGAAGGTGTATGTTTGAATGATCTGCAGAGGGGATCTACACGCATTGGGCGTCATTTGATCTGCCCGAAGCCGAACAGAAGGCTCACCCGCCTGGCCGCTCACTGGTGGCCCTGAAGGATCCCCATCACGCTCCTGTCTGACTTGTCGGAATGTTTGGCAACCACCCACTCTGGACCCGACCACATCCCCCACTACGCTCTACATCTTCTCTCCAGTTGTTCACTAGAAGTTCTGGAGACGAGGCTACGCTACACCGGCCATTCGACCGACACCGCATCTCCTCCAGCTGCGTGTGTATATTAATCAAAGTAATATCAACGAATTGCATGGAACGACCCTCTCGTTCATCTCATCCACCCACAACATCCACCATTATCCATCCCCCGCGTGACATCAACACCAACGAGCCCAGAGTGTGGATCCCCCACGACGGCGACACGTGCGAATGTTGTCAGGATTTTTGGTTAGGAGCTCAACATCCTGTACGTCCGTCCCGACCTCCGCGCCGCGAGCCGTCTGCCGTAGCCGCTAGCCGTCCTGGCGGTTAATGGGCCTAGGCGCTCGTCCTTGGTGTGTCATCAGTGCTGACACCTTTCTTCCTCTCTCTTCACAGGTCAAAGATGACAGTGACAACGACTCTGGTTATTGCTCCGTCACGCAGACGACGAAACGCGAAGAGTCTCTGGTGATCCCCGTGATCAAAGTGACACCGCTGACGAGCGACGAGATGCGCGTGCAAAACTCGTGTGTCCGGACATTGCATGATCTACGCATTGCCAATCTCATCCCATACAACTCGTCGTCATCATTGGACCCCAGTCCATATTCGGCCGCACCGACGGCGAATGATACACAGAGTGTGACCAAAGAACGACAGAGGGAGAGGAATTTCCCACAAAAGACGCTCTACATCCCACAGGAATCACACACAAAGCGTCTCAAGGATACCTGGGAGAATCGGTGCATCTGGCCATTCCTCTTTGAAGCGCCCTACACCACCACTCCCTATCTCGTCCCCTCTTCCTCTCAGGGTGTCTACGCATCGAAACGGGCCAACCTGTCGAGCACCAGCCTAGACCGCTACGGACGACGCAAGAGTCTCGGCCTCCCACTCGGTGTCGAAGTGCACCCAGCAATGATGATGGGAGGCACCATGAGACCGAGGGGATGGAGTGTAGACGGGAAGAAGACTGTCAATGGGACTTCGCTCTCGATGGCAAAGAGGCGAATGTCCGTCGACAGTTTTGCCTCTTCGACCTCGACGGTGGATCGAGCGAGTTGGAGTGGGAGCTCGAGAGCGTCTTCGCCCACCTCCGCCTCGAGCTCGAGCGACGAGTTGCCCTCGAAGAACCAACATCGCCTTTCCCTAGGGGACGTGTCAAAGATTCAGAACCGCACGCTCGGAGATGCGTCCAACCTTCAGAACCGTACGCTCGGAGACGCATCCAAACTCAAGAACCGCACCCTCTCCGTTGATGCGAATGGGATCCCGACCTGGCGCTCTACTTCCCCTTATATTTACGCTTCCTCGACCTCGTCCAGACGCGACTCGAATAGCTCGTTGAGCAGCATGTCCACCACGGACCACCACTCGCTCTCCTCCACTCGGTACACAACCTCGGCACGCGTAGGAGACGAAAATACTCGCCAACCGGTTGGAGGAGGGAGGAGACTTGTTCGTGGTGGTGCAGTCAAGAGACCTTATTCCATGGTCTCAACTCCCACGACAGGATCTTTGCCCGTATTGCCCACATCCTCTTCCTTTGGATCCCGCACGAGCTCTACAACGTCCCTTGCGTCCGTCACGACCTCTACCCACGACGCGCCTTTGACTCGGAAGAATGTAGCGACTGGGAATGCCAAGCAGTCGAACAATTCCCCCTCTTCAACGACAATGACCACGAGTGGATCAAGTGCGGGCGTTGGCAAGCGGTTCAAGAGTATTAGCACGGACCAACTCGTCGCGTCCAATACCTCGACCAGTGACGGGGAGAATAAACCGCCGGTACGAAGAAGTGGATTCGGACGGTTGAGAAACTTTGTCGGCGGGTTATACTCGACTGCGCCAAGTTCGTTCCGGTTATAATCGGCTTCTAGCCATCCTCGGATATCCGCCCTATTGGAAAAGAACTCTGCCAACCTCGACAAAACTCAAATTCACTTTACGACACGATGTGACACGATACGACACGATGCTCTTTGCGCAATTTACCAGCTTTAGTCTTCTCATCGAGCCAAGAAGACCATTGAGCTCACCTCGGCCCCCCATGGATCGTCGATAGTCCCTCTCGGGACTATGTACGATCCATTCCAGCCATTCTTCAACGCGTCCTTCGGGACATGGACGTTCACGCTCACTTTCTCTTCTACACTTTCTCGTAGATTACCCCCCTTTCTTGCATATCTTGTCATATCATCTCGTACATCTAACCCTTTCTCTTGCCCATCATGTCTCTCTCCTTCTTGTTCAAAACACAGTTTTCTTGGTCCTCTTGGTACACTAGCTTTCTTCTGATGGCCAACAGTCTTCTGTCTCGGTCCTCTGGTACAACAGCTTTCACTCATTCAATCTTTCTCGTTGGTACACTTGTGCCGTATACCCTCTCATCGTCATCTCATTTCACTTCTTGCTCACCCTCATCGCTCTCTTTCCTCCTACTCCTGCTCACCCCGCTCCTGCTATCTTACGACGGACTCTCCGCCTTGCTGCACTTCTCTTCGTGCGCATTCTCTCGTGTTTTGTCGAGAAGAGAGAAAATTAGCCGTAGACGTAGACGGTTATTTATTCCTATGTCACTTGTTGGTTGAAAACAAAAGAAATTCCCATTCGCAGCGACAACTTTGCTCTTTCTACATTTCGACGAATAGTGGTTCAAGCGCGGTTATGGCGTTGTCATCGTCGTTGGTTACTTAGGCGGTCGAAACCGGGCTCGGTGCCGTCGTAGTAGACCGTTGCAGGCATTGGAAGAAATATCTATAGCCAAATTTAGTCCTTGCTCTTCGTGTATTGCTCTCGGACGTACGGAGAGCTAGTGGCCGTGCAGACCCAACCTGCAGGACACACTCTAGGGCCCGTCCAATTGATTCCACCGCACTAAGGAGATATTTAGTATCGTATCGGTTTTCTTGTAGACATACCTGGCCCCACTCCGGGGCAGTAGTGATAGAGACTGTACTTGGAACGCTACCGGAAATCGATGTCGCAGTCGTGGACCATTGCAGGCAATACCAGAGAGATCTGTAGAGAATGTTTGTCCTTGTTTTTTTTTGTATATTGCCCTTGGACATACGGAGAGGTTGTGGGCGTGCAGATCCATCCTGCAGGACATACAGTAGGGCCATCCCACCCGGTTCCACCGCACTAAGGAGATGTTTTAGTATTGTATCGGTTCTCTTGTAGACATACCTGGCCCCACTCTGGGGCAGTAGCGATAGAGCTTGAACTTGTGACGCTCGTGGAAGTCGAGGCGGTTCTTGTAGAGGTCGAAGTGAATTTCGTGGAAGTCGACGTAACTCTCTTGGAAGTCGAGGAGGTTGAACTTGGTGCGGCAGTGGTGGTTGCCTTCTGGCATGTATAGAAATATCTATAATAAAATTCAGTTCTTGCCCTTCGTGTATTGCTCTCGGACGTACGGAGAGCTAGTGGCCGTGCAGACCCAACCTGCAGGACACACTCTAGGGCCCGTCCAATTGAGTCCACCGCACTAGGGAAATGTTGAGTATTGTATCGGTTTCTTGTAGACCTACCTGACCCCACTCCGGGGCAGTCTGCGCCGTGGCCCCGGAGACGAAAGCAGTCACCAGACAAGCAAAAACAATTGGCTTGACCATAGTAGGGGTTCAAGCGGGTATGTTCTACGTTCACTTGCTCTGAAAACCGCCTGGATATATACCAGTAGATCGTTTGAGACCCGACTATGGGGCGATTTCTCGGCGCGCTTATGCTACTCAACTCTCGGACTAGCACACTATCGCCGTGTGGGATTGAATATACCCTTCAACAGAAAATTGCTCATACCACTGAGTCTGTCCGGATCATTCGCTCCTTTCCAAGAAGAATAATGAATCTATCATATCACACCCCGTGAAATTCTGATGACCAAGGGGAAATATGATCCCAGGCAAACAGCTGCCCGCTTCTCCAATTTCACCGTTGGGTGGAACCCGGTCGGGCCGAAGCGAATCCATTCCGGTTCCTGCCACTCGATTGAAAAGATTCAATCTCTCCCATCGAGTCAGGAAGACCATTGAGCTCATCTCGGCTCTCCATGGGTCGTCGATAGTCCCCCTCGGGACTATGTACGATGCATTCCATCCATTCTTCGACGCGTCCTTCGGGACATGAACGTTCACCCTCGCTTTCTTTTCTACACTTTTCGTGTCTGTATATCCTTCCATCGTCTCATCTTATTCTTTGTTCGCCCTCATCTTACTCTTTTCCTTCTACTCCTCAACCCGCTCCTGCTATCTTACGACGGACTCTCCGCCTTGCCGCACCCTTTCGTGTGCCTTCTATCGTCTTTTGCCGAGAAGACAGAAAATTAGCCGTAGACGTAAACGGTTATTTATTTCTATGTCACTTGTTGGTTGAAAACAAAAGAGATTCTCATTCTCAGTGATACTTTGCTCTTTCTAAATTCGACGAATAGTAGTTCAAGCGCGGTTATGGCGCTGTCGTCGTCCTCATTTGTGAGGCGGTCGAAACCGGGCTCAGTGTCGTCGTAGTGGACCATTGCAGGCATTGGAAGAAATATCTATAGCAAGTTCAGTCCTTGCTCTTCGTGTATTGCTCTCGGACGTACGGAGAGCCTGTGGGCGTGCAAACCCAGCCTGCAGGACACACTGTAGGGCCCGTCCAATTGATTCCACCGCACTAAGGAGATATTGAGTATCGTATCGGTTTTTCTTGTACACATACCTGGCCCCACTCCCGGGCAGTAACGATAGAAACTGAACTCGAGACGCTGGAAGTTGTTGGTATCGCAGTCGGGGTCCATTGCAGGCAGTGCCAGAAAGATCTATAGAAAATATTAGCCCCTGTTTTTTCGTATATTGCCCTCGGACATACGGAGAGGCTGTGGGAGTGCACGTCCATCCTGTAGGACATACAGTAGGGCCAACCCACCCGGTTCCACCGCACTAAGGAGGTGTTTTAGTATTATGTCGGCTCTCTTGTAGACATGCCTGGCCCCACTCTGGGGCAGTAGCGATAGAACTTGAACTTGTGACGCTCGTGGATGTCGCGCCGATTCTTGTGGAGGTCGAGGCGAATTTCGTAGAAGTCGAGGTGACTCTCTTGGAAGTCGAGATGACGCTCGACGTCGAGGAGGTTGAACTTGGTGCGGCAGTGGTAGCTGCCTTCTGGCATGTAGAGAAAAATCTATAGAGAAGCTTGGTCCTTGCCTTTCATATATTGCTCTCCGACTTACGGAGAGGCTGTGGGCGTGCAGATCCAACCTGTAGGACACGCCGTAGGGCCGACATACCCAATTCCACCGCACTAGGCTCCACTCAGTCGTTTGTATCGAGCCCCTTGTATACATACCTGACCCCACTCCTTGGCAGTCTGCGCTGTGGCCCCGTAGACGAAAGTAGTCATCAGACCAGCAAAAACAATAGGCTTGACCATAGTAGGGGTTCAAGCGGGGTATGTTCTACGTTCACTTGCTCTGAAAACCGCCTGGATATATACCAGTAGATCGTTTGAGACCCGACTATGGGGCGATTTCTCGGTGCTCTTATGCTTCTCAACTCTCGGACTAGCACACTATCGCCGTGTTATATTAAATACACCCTTCAACAGAAAATTGCTCATGCAACTGGAGTCCGTCCGGATCATTCGCTCCTCTCCGAGAAGAGTAATGAATCTACCATATCACACCCCCTGAAATTCTGACGACCCAAAGGGGAAATATAATCCCAGGCAAAAGGCTGGGGACTACGATTGAGCGTGCCCTGCTTCTCCAATTTCACCGTTGGGTGGAACCCAGTCGGGCCGAAGCAAGTTCATTCCGGTTCCTGCCACTCGATTGAAAAGATTCAATCTCTGATACAGTGTGACACGATATAATACAATACGGTCTGCGCAATTTACTAGTTTTAGGCCTGCCATCGAGCCAGGAAGATCATTGAGCTCATGGAGGTTCCCAATGGCTCGACGATAGCCCCCTTCGGGACTATGTACGATGCATTCCATCCACTCTTCAAAGCGTCCTTCGGGACATGATCGTTCACGCTCGCTTTCTCTTCTACACTTTTTCGTAGATTACCCCCCTTCTCGCACGTCTTGTCATATCTCTTACATCTCACCCCTTCTCTAGTACAGTCGAACCTCTAGGTGTCGACAATTAGGCAGTTCCTCGGTTGTAGCGTATTTTGATTATTTTCGGAATGAGTATCTACTCACTTCCAAACACAGATTTGCCACTATAGGAGGCCTTCACGTATTCACTGGGCGTTATTTACGTGCATTGCTTAAGGCGGTGTCATGTCGGGTCATCGCTTGATGGTACGAATAATTTGACGGGTAGTTCAAACTATAAATAGTCTCGAGACACGTTGTTGCCTCGATAGGTCTCTCAGCTAGCGATCGTCAGTGGGTATCCTCGGCAGGCGCAACCCGTGCACCGCCGGATCTAAATCATAACCGCCTGAAAATGGGTTTAAATAGGCGTGATAGGCACTCACTATAACTTTCCTGATGAAATTTGTTGAAATTGGTAATGACCAGCTAGACGGTGGACGTTCACAATTGACCAACGGTCGCCTTCATGGCATATAGTCCTCGTTATCTCGACTGTCGTTGTTCCTATGAGTAATTATCACCGGGAATACTCGGTGGCGTGAGTCTTTGTTCCGAAACAACGCTCTTGCTACTAGCAGGCCTCGCCGTTCTGTGTTCACACCGTCATACGTAGCCTTCAATAGAAATGTTCAAGTACTTGTCGAGTAGGACCATGTGACTGTGAATGTTGGTTTCCAATTCAAGATATAGAGTTTGCCCACTGTTACTCTCACATGCGACTAATTCTAATGATCCTCCTCGGATTTTGTCCCACTTTTACACTCACATTCGACTAATTCTGATTATACGCCTCGGGTTTTATCAAATGAATGTCATTCACGCAAATTTTCCTGCTAAAATGAACTATGCCGTCGCGGTTGAACCAGTGTAAGCGTGAATAGTCTGGTCGCCGCATCCTGCAGGTGTATTGTACGCGTATGGGCCGAGATTGACGTAGAGATCGTCATTGCCATTGGCGTCCGGGCAAATTAACCAAGCCTATTTATTCGTCAGTGTTCGCCAATATGGGAGAAGAACGTAGAAGCTCACATTATTCTGGCTCCTGGTGACACTTGGATCGCTCCACAAGAGGGTGTCGCCACTCCAGCTGAACGTACCAAACGTTGCTGGACTCGTCGACCATGTGACTTTGAGTTTCTTATCACCGCTGACTGGTTGCGCCACTTGTGCGTACAACTTGCTCCCGGTCGGATTTTGGACGAGTTGGCCCGAGATGATTTGGAATTGGGCTGCCGTCGAGGGGGATCCCAGCACTGCGTCGGATGCAGTTCCGACGGTTTCGCTCTGGAGGTAGAGGTGGAAGAAAGGAGCCTCGACACCACGGATAAAGCTGTTGCCTGGTAGGAGTGTTCCGCCAGTTGTCGCGCCTGTTGACGTCGAAGATGGAACAGTGCTGCTTGGGTATGTCGTTGTCACGGATTCACGTGTAGAGCTGGATGAGCTTTGACGTGTCGACGAACTGGATGAGCTTTGGCGTGTCGACGAACTAGACGAGCTTTGGCGGGTTGACGAGGTCGACGTGGCGGTTCCTTGTAGACATTGGTAGTACCATCTAAGTTACTATGTAAGGACAAGCCGTATGCCCAGGCAACGTGAGACTTACGGTGGGGAAACAGCCGTGCAAACCCATCCGCTCGGGCATTGCGTGGGACCGGTGTACCCGTTTCCACCGCACTAGCCATGCTGTCAGATTAATCTAAAACCCCTTGGCGGATAAGCTCACCTGTCCCCACTGTCCAGCGGTTTGCGCGGCGGCTCCGGAGATGAAAGCGCTCAGGGCACCAGCGAGAACGAGTGTCTTGACCATAAAGAATGAGTGAGTCTGCGATATACTCAACATCTTCTCGTCTCCTGTGAACGCCATGCTTATATACGAGCAGAGAGGGATGCCGACGATAGGGCGGTTTCTCGGTGTGGAGCGTTCTCGGTGGATTTGCATACCCTCTAGTCGTTCTTCGTCGCTGTTGTGATGCTTCTGTGTACTGAAGTTGTCGTGCACCACTTTGGCTCGCGTTATTCGGGTCGGGGTCATGTCGGTGCGCGAGAACCCATCACCTGACGACAAAAAGGACATCGGAATTGTGTGCTATTTTCTCCTGGTCCTATAAATAGACCGTCCAACGACTTGGCAAGCCGAGCGACTAAGATGTCCAGGCTTTCAAGCCTAGAGCCATTGTTTCTACAGTGAATGGGGAATAGTACAAGCAAGAACGGGGATTGGTGCTTGTTTCTGCCGCTATTTCCACGTTTTGGCAGGTTCTTAGCCGGATAAATCCAGAGATGCGCGATTCGCCCGTGAGTACCGATGCAACAAAGATAGTATCCGAGCTCTTTTTCAGTTTGTGGTCTACTTGTGTGAGTTTGTCGGGTGCAACGTATTGAACACGGGTCCAAGCTTGACCCCAACTGCGACTGTGAGCACGAAAGCAAACCCCTGGACGATAGCCTACAGGTTTGCAATACCACAAAGATATAAATGCTCTCAAAATTCCTCCATCTCTTCCCTAATCACCCCGGATTTGACAGCCGCAAAGACCGCGAAGAATTGAGCCAGGGAAAGAGGCGATGCAAAGGCATGTTCTGGCGCTAGGAACTCAGTAGCGATGCATACTTGATTTGAATCCTTTAATTCATGGATTTGTCAAGGTGAGGACTGCGCAACCGGAAGCCCAACGTGGACGATTATTGGCTAAGCGCGCTTGATATAGACAAAAACAAGTCCCCACACAGCGCATGATTGCTCACTTTCCCGTTTCCACCTGGTGGAGAAGTAAACCCCTCTAGATGTATCTTCTCGATCTTGTTTGACGGAATCACCCATTAGGTCGACATCATAGTGCCATTCCTCACTAATAGAGTGCAAATATGGACGCATATGCGCTTATCTTTCTCACTTTCAAGACCGCCCTGACACTTTACATCACTATCGTCGTCGCCCGATGGACACTGTTTCTCAAACACCTCGTAGAGATGACATGGAAGTACAGAGCTGCCATGAAAGAGCATTATGCAGAAACGCGTATGCGGAGACTAGATTACGAGCAATACCCATGATTGCCATCCTGTTCGGCGTTTCCACATCCATACCTGGAGCGAAACATCTTCAGAGCGTGGCGATGATTGCCGTATTATCCATTCTTCTCCCAATACCCCACCTCAGCATCGCATAGACCAACTCAACAAGTCACCTACCCGTAGCCCCTGACGATCTATTGATTCTCTATATTACATGTCAGGTAAAATGTATATTCATTGAGAATAAACGCAACTATGTGGCCATCTACTGCGCACCCAGCGCCATGTGGATTCCGCGCCCACTTGGCGATAGTCGGCGTCTGCTCCCATTCGAAATTCGAAGCTGCGGAGAGCGTCTCGCCTTTGACATCAACCTATGTCTTCACCCACACGAGCATACTCACCAACCGACGGCCTTATTTGCCCACTCCCTACAGACGCTATCCATTGGCCTTCATGCCAACCACGTCTACTACCATTTCCATCGTCGTCGTCTCCATTTTCAATTCCTCTTCTGATAGCATCTACGTTGGGTCCCGTTCATACTTTTCAGACGAGCCACAGGAGTGGAGAAATACGACCCGCGACGAGAGCAGAGATCGAGAGAACTCAAATACGAATTGCATTTGTGAGTAGTCCCGTTTGCTACTGGACGAACTGACAAAACCTGGATAACTTGCTCGGTGGATGCGATAGCTTTCTGGATTAACCATTCGCAATAATTATCTGAACCCTGTGGAACCAATCGCGCCGGGGCTCAACGATGACCTCCTACAACCCATTCATTCTCTATTACGAAGTTTCAAGTTCTATTACCGGCTCTCTAGACGTCTTAACTACGGTGATTATTCGCAGAATCAGATAGCTGAGCCTCGTAGGTACAAAGGTAAGGTAATGATTCTCTTCTTTCTCGCCAAGGTTCATTGATTGACGCTGCCTCGGACTTTTGTCCATGAAGGACCACAGTGGAAATGAGCGAAGTCGAGTTTGGTCGGGTAGGGAGGGCTGGACGTTGGTAAGTTGAGGAGGAGTGGAGACGTTAATGAGAGCCGATTGTCTGGTGGAACCCAAAATAGAAGCTTCCCTGAGAGATGCACCCAACCGTCATCAGAGAGAGTAAATGTTCGGAGCTGGGAAAGCATAACTTTCAATAAAGCCAGGGTATTTTGATGCGAGATAAGGTCATCCTGGATTGACTGGGTCAACTGACCATTATGGTTGGATAACTCGGCTACGGGAATTTGTAAGCTTCCAGCATCACGGGGGGAAAAGGAATGAAGTGAAACGAACCAAATGCGGTGTTCCATAGTGTAATTGTGCTGCCAGCTGGAACCGACGTGATTTCCAAGCCGTCTGGTGAGAATGCAACGGCGCCTCCCCAGTCTGTGTGGCCTCGGAGTGGGTCTCCCAACGACTGGCCCGTCTCCGCATTCCATAGTCGAATCGTCTTATCATCCGAGCCAGAGACGATTCGCGAGCCGTCTGGTGAGAATGCGACGGCGGTGACCGAGTTTGTGTGGCCTCGGAGTGGGTCTCCCAACGACTGGCCCGTCTCCGCATTCCATAGTCGAATCGTCTTATCCCCCGAGCCAGAGACGATTCGCGAGCCGTCTGGTGAGAATGCGACGGCGGTGACCGAGTTTGTGTGGCCTCGGAGTGGGTCTCCCAACGACTGGCCCGTCTCCGCATTCCATAGTCGAATCGTCTTATCCCCCGAGCCAGAGACGATTCGCGAGCCGTCTGGTGAGAATGCGACGGCCCTGACCGAGTTTGTGTGGCCTCGGAGTGGGTCTCCCAACGACTGGCCCGTCTCCGCATTCCATAGTCGAATCGTCTTATCCCCCGAGCCAGAGACGATTCGCGAGCCGTCTGGTGAGAATGCGACGGCGGTGACCCAGTTTGTGTGGCCTCGGAGTGGGTCTCCCAACGACTGGCCCGTCTCCGCATTCCATAGTCGAATCGTCTTATCATCCGAGCCAGAGACGATTCGCGAGCCGTCTGGTGAGAATGCGACGGCGGTGACCCAGTTTGTGTGGCCTCGGAGTGGGTCTCCCAACGACTGGCCCGTCTCCGCATTCCATAGTCGAATGGTATGATCTGCCGAGCCAGAGACGATTCGCGAGCCGTCTGGTGAGAATGCGACGGCCCTGACCGAGTTTGTGTGGCCTCGGAGTGGGTCTCCCAACGACTGGCCCGTCTCCGCATTCCATAGTCGAATCGTGTTATCCCATGAGCCAGAGACGATTCGCGAGCCGTCTGGTGAGAATGCGACGGCGGTGACCGAGTCTGTGTGGCCTCGGAGTGGGTCTCCCAACGACTGGCCCGTCTCCGCATTCCATAGTCGAATCGTCTTATCCCATGAGCCAGAGACGATTCGCGAGCCGTCTGGTGAGAATGCGACGGCCCTGACCGAGTTTGTGTGGCCTCGGAGTGGGTCTCCCAACGACTGGCCCGTCTCCGCATTCCATAGTCGAATCGTGTTATCCCATGAGCCAGAGACGATTCGCGAGCCGTCTGGTGAGAATGCGACGGCGGTGACCGAGTCTGTGTGGCCTCGGAGTGGGTCTCCCAACGACTGGCCCGTCTCCGCATTCCATAGTCGAATCGTCTTATCCCATGAGCCAGAGACGATTCGCGAGCCGTCTGGTGAGAATGCGACGGCGGTGACCCAGTTTGTGTGGCCTCGGAGTGGGTCTCCCAACGACTGGCCCGTCTCCGCATTCCATAGTCGAATCGTGTTATCCCATGAGCCAGAGACGATTCGCGAGCCGTCTGGTGAGAATGCGACGGCGGTGACCGAGTTTGTGTGGCCTCGGAGTGGGTCTCCCAACGACTGGCCCGTCTCCGCATTCCATAGTCGAATCGTCTTATCATCCGAGCCAGAGACGATTCGCGAGCCGTCTGGTGAGAATGCGACGGCGGTGACCGAGTTTGTGTGGCCTCGGAGTGGGTCTCCCAACGACTGGCCCGTCTCCGCATTCCATAGTCGAATCGTGTTATCCCATGAGCCAGAGACGATTCGCGAGCCGTCTGGTGAGAATGCGACGGCGGTGACCGAGTTTGTGTGGCCTCGGAATGGTTCTCCCAACGACTGGCCCGTCTCCGCATCCCATAGTCGAATCGTCTCATCATCCGATCCAGAGACAATGCGTGAGCCGTCTGGTGAAAATGCGATTGCCGTGACTCTACTTGTATGTCCCCGAAGCGCTTCTGGAAGTCCCCGGTATGTCTTCTCCAGCCCTTTAGTCACTTTCAGAGTGTTCTTATACATATCTAACCCCTCAATATGCAGATGCGATTCTGTAGGTGTGAACGGAAGCGCCGAGATGTAGATGTGCGGAGCACTCTCTTGAATAGGTACTGAAAATGCCATCATAAACCGCATTACTTCACTTATGCGGCTCTTAGTCTCTTTTTCAACCTTTCCTTTGTTAAAAATGCGGATATATCGAGGCAAGCCACTCACAGTATTGCGCGTCACAGCTCGGAGCCCATCTATAGCTCGAGGCAGTCTTCCAATCAGGCTCAGGACCTCCATCCAATATAGTACATATGGAACTCGAATAATTTGTTCAACTTCATTTCTGAGCTTGCTTCTCCATTTGCTATCCGTTTTCTCCATATGAAACAGCCAATGTAAGCTCGCATATCGAATGTTCATTCCGATGCACCTTGATATTCTTGCCTCTAGATCAGGGATCTCTCTGTTTCGATAGAACGATGACTCGATTTCACATATATTGAACTTGAGGCCTCCCCCTCGTGATCGAAGGTTATCCAAACCCCAGGACGCAATTTGACCATGCGCATTGGCGATATCGATATACATTCCGCTCGAGTCTTCGAGGTCCGGGACTAGACAGCGGCGTCGCAGGTATTCCACAAGAGTAGGATGACGAAACTGAATGACCTTTGTTGCCTCATCTTCGATAAGAACACTTCTAAGGTTTCGAATCAACACCTTGGAATTTCCCCGTAGTCTACTATGCTTGAGAATATTATCAAGATCCTCGGCGGTAAGTGGTTCGAATGCAGCGAGGAGTAGTGCAAGCATGCTCCACATGATGGTATGGTATTTGGGATCTGTCCTCTCGAAGATGAGTTTGTATACCTCGTCGATCTCTCCAGGTTGGTCCACTGAGACCAACGAGCCATATATGCTCTCAGGCGTTTCCCATGTCGTCTCGTTGTTGATCATTCGACATGCGGTGCTCGCCCAGATGAACAATCCCCTCGCCTTCTCAATCAACCGCTGCCTCTGGTCTTGAGGTAGAACAGTGTAGAGGGATTGATGGACATACATCTCGATGTCATCTACGTTGTCACGATGTTTGACATCATGCAACCGGTCTTCCAATTTACATTTGATCGAGAGTGGTTGAAGAACCGATTCGATGACGGCATCTGGCCGACTCGTGATGAATACCTTGAGGTTCTTGCTTTGTCGAACGGCTTTAGCAAGCGTGTCGACAAGTTCCTTTCGCTGAGGTCCAGATTTGCATTCGTCTATGGCGTCGATGACAAGAACTACGCGTCCGTCTCGATGACGGAGTGGATCGATGATGAGTGTACGGAATTGGTCCTCCAACGAACTCCGCATGATGGATGGGTTCCGTTTGACGGCATCTGCGACGTGGGGTGCGAGCTGGGAAATGTGTTGGGCAAGGTCTCTTGCCATGGTCGAGCAGAACTTTTCTGTTGTCGATGTATCGCTATTGGCTATCGAGAAGAAGAACTGGCCTCCGAGTTTTCCCTCGACATGCCAGGACGCGGCTGCCGACATTGCAACTGTGGACTTGCCAGAGCCGGCTATGTCGCAGAGCCAGAATATTGGTTTATCAGAGGTATCGTCCTCAGCCCAATTCTGGATTGTCTGGAGGACAGCCTGTCGAGTTCCTTGTAGACAGGTTCTATGGACCGAGGATGGGGCAGATGCCACCATCGGAAGTTGGAAAATAAAGGATGCGTCGACTTGGAACTTCTTAGCAAGTTTTTCGGCTACAGCAGTCCAACTCACCCGATGGATGATGATTTCCTTTGGCAGAACCTGAATGCGAATGAGAGCCAATTATTGGGAATGAAAATTTGACGAACTGCGCAAGTTATCCTCTATATTCCAGTTGTCCTTCACTGAATCGGGGGCCGACTTGCACCACGCGTCGAGATAATACAGAACCGCCTTATAGTTTTCGCTCTTTGAATTAGAAAATCTGACCAGATTCTGATGGTCACACGAGAGGACAATCGTTGTGGCATTACGGTCGCCCGGGATGGTCGCCGAGTGGTATGGAACATTCTAGGGTCTAATCAGTACTGATTCCATCCGTGGGTAGTTCTGCTAACCATTCGTGGTCGCTTTTCATTCGTGGCGTTCGCGTAATCCGCGCAGAAGAATACGCTGGTTATCTTCTTACTCGCTTCGACATACAAACTTTGTATATTTTCGAGTTCGGACGAGTGTGCCTCGAGATCTTTTGTGATCACCTCGGTCGTTTTCATGCGCCAGGGTGCCGAGCGCTTGAGCCTTTCAAGAAAGTTGCCGTCCAGACCAGAGTGTGGTGTTCCAAAGAATAAGATGCCATGTGTGGACACCAGAATATCTCGGAGGACTCCTTCCGAATCTAGAGTCTGATTGTGGCAGATGACAAGTGCCTGGAGACTGTCAGCATCTAGTTGAATTAAAGTTCATCTGATAAACCTTTTTGAGAATGATACCTCCAAGATCGTGTGCGATGAAGATGATGGGACGCTAAGATGGATGAGAGGAAGTCACCAAACAAGTACAGCCTGCACGCACACGAGGGTCGTCTTTACGGTTCATTGAAAGGGACTGAGCTAGCTTCTGAGCATGCCGATGTATATTCTGTGTCGATACGCATGTCTCGTGTTGAGTATCGGCATCATACCCGTACGTGAGAACTCTAGCGCGGGGCAACGAGAGGGGCAAGAAATGGCTCAGCCAAAGGATTCCACCGTCCGTCCAGGTGTTCTCTCTATGACCGTCTAAACCATGGATAGCAACGACGCTGATGCAGCAAAGGTAGCGATAAGCGATCGTGGCAGCGTTGGCGGGGTCGATGGCTTACTCGACGACGGGCTCCTTTCCGGCGTATAACTCCTTGAATCCATAATGTTTGATCTCTGGTTTCGACATCGGAGAACTGTAAAATATTGGGATCTTGCTTTACAGGGTTGGATATTGGCTAACCGTTCGTGGGACGTCCGGATTGGTGGGAGCACGGGTTCGCAAGAATCGCACAACCTGAGTAGGAACGCGTGTATAACAAGGGCGCTGCAAATTCAGCCGCCTGGTAGAGGTAGAGGTCAAGCCTCGTTCTTTGCCGGACAGCCCAGGAGGCTGGCAAAAAGAGTTTGGCAACACGAGTCAATGTCTCAGAGAACGTAATTTATTTGAATAGTATTGAGAACATTGTCTTGTTAAATTCCACTGAGGCGGCAGCGGTCACAAAAGCTGAAGTGAGGAGACGGACTGGGATCTCGAAATAATTGTGAATGTGGAACGTCTGTTGGAAATTCAACAGCTAGAGACGCGACAGATTGGTGGTCGACGACGTCGGGTCCAAAGGAAGCGACACTCGAACTCTCCCGTGACAGTTTAAGACAGCCAATTACCTGGAAAAGCAGCCAGTAAAATCCTCGAACAGGAAAACAATTGCTTATGGCATTGCATGAAGAGTGAAAAAGCATGCCTAGCAGCGTCGCTTTCCATGACACAACCGTCCAGACTATTCTGAACTCGTACCACCAGCACACCTATCAGTTTTTCTTTCTTTCTCTTTGTTACACCTAGAAATCTCGACGGTGTCAATACAAATGACGTTTCTCGACCTTGAGTTCCTCACTACTTTGACCCCATCCTTTCTCTCCATCTGTATCAGGTACTCTGAACACCCTTTTCCGTTTTTGCTACCAGTGTCTTTACCCATTGGCACGAACCGGCGCACTCTGGGAAGATTGGTAGAGCAGGCCCTCCGATGAGCAGGGAAAAGGGTACGAGGACTGAAATGTGAATTCGGTACATTTATATTAATAACTGGACTCCAAAATGCTGAGCTACATAGCCAGACCAGCTTGATGGGATCTAGGCATGAACTTAACCGGCCAACGTGGGCGTCTGTTCACCGCCCCGATCTCCTAGAGAGTGTCTGTCTTCAAAAATCGTCTATATTATACTCCATGGATATACCTATCGTCAACCAGCAGACTTGACATCTTCCTCTGACGGACACTGGCCAAGTCGTGCTGAGCCCTATGCCATCTGCATCTATTGCACTTCTCATCATTATCATCGCCGTCATTTTCCTTTCTCCTGTTCTCATAGTGACTTACGTTGGGTCTCGTCCCAACCGACTTGCCAGGCGAACTCCAAAGACAGGACGACGGGTAGGACCCTATTGCGGGGAAAGGAGATACTAACATGTATAAAGGCAGAAAGAGATCGTTGGAAAAAGGAGAGGCAAACCGAACTCTCGTATGAATTATATCCGTGCGTTTTCTCAATTGTAACTGTACCGGTTGACAAGCCTTAGATGATTTGAATGAGGAATGCTATATTTCACTCAGGATTAGTCACCGATGGGATCTCCTCCTTACTTGGACCGCACAAAATCCACGTGCAGGCTGCATCCATGCCTGTATCCGCCGTTCTCCCTCTTTGAGCAGAGTAAACGGTTTACTCGTTGTAGTGATCACATTGACCGTTCATACTTGCCAATTGTCCACAGACACTAGTGAAGTCAGTCGAATCCCAGACCAAATATAGTATATTTTACATCGCCTAGCCCTATCTTATATCGTTTTGATCTTGACGGAGCCTTCAAACACAGAGAGTAAAGTAGGTGGCATTACAATGGTGGAGGTTGCGGGAACTCGGATCTGCGGGCGCGGTCCCACTTATGATGAATGAGCGCGCTCATAAGCTCCAGAGTGAATACCATATGTCGTTACCCTGGTGACCGGAAGTACCAGCAACTGCGCAGTGTAAGTACACCTCGGCCACACATCGGCCACACCGTACAAGTTGCGCTGCCCTCAGTGACTCCTATATTGGCGCCAAAGGCGCACATTTCCACGATTCGAAGGTAAAATCCCCCTCAATGAGAGTGTCCACTCATAGTATAACCCCATCTATTTCTATTTCCAGGGTGACTGGTCAAACCCAGCTACATGTCATCCCTACCTATCGCCATCATTGTCGTGATTGCCGCCATTCTTCTTGTTCCTGTCGTCTGCATATATTACGCCGGATTTCCTCCTTCCTTCAGCACAGCAAGCTCACAAGCATGATGAGATTGGAGACAAACATAGAAGCAGATATGAAATAGTAAGTGCATGTCGTAACCCTCATTCTACTTACTTCCAACTGGATTAGCTCAAAGTTCTCCCAAGATATCTAATGAGTGTCAGCACTCTCTATTCACATGCACGGCCAAATCGCACAAACCTATACACACAAACTTTCCTGCAATACATACCTCTTGCGTCTCCGGTTCCTGCTATACCAAAGGCGACAGGAGGATCAAAAAGAAATCAAGGGTCTGCCAAGCAGAAATGGACACAGGGACGGGTAATAAATGAGAAATTAGATACAAGGAGTGGTGCAGCATATGAGGAGTCAAAGGTTGAGGGAGTTTACATACTATGATCTACGACACGGCTATCCCGGCGATATTTGGTCTTCTCGACACTTTCCTACTCCCGTGGATGATATGTTATACACCGGGCAAACCCTACAGAAGAGGGAACAATCATACGATGAGTTTGAATACGACGGTTGAGATACGAGCTCCCTTCGGATTACATTAGTAGCTAGCTTGAAGTTATTGACTGGTACAAATAACCCAACCATGCTGGCATGCAAGCTTGGCACATGTGGATTCCGAACTTAGGCGTCTCCAATCCCTTTAGGTTGCGAAAATCACCATAAATTGAAGTATTTCATTTTTGTGAGTGTGTACTAGTCAAATCGTGCTGCGCCCACATGTAAAACGGCCGCCTTGTTCCCCCTCATTCTCTGCTGCCTCATGCTCGCTGCTCCTACTCTCATAATATTTTACCTATTTTATGGTCTGGGAGTCGACATACGAGCCTCGGTCAAGGCAAGAACTGCACGGCGAGAGGAGAGACTGAGAGAGCTTGCATACGAAATGTATCCGTGAATGGCCCCACTCGTTATTGAACGAGATAACGAGACATAGATAACTTTTGCCAAAAAAATTTCACATAATTGATCTTAACCACTAGACATATCGACCTCGACCGAGTGCACGTGCCGATTGGCATCACCCGCGCCTCACCAGTGCCGTAGAAGTTCCGCCCACCCGGCCACTTCACAGTTTGAAATATAAGGACACGTATTCATGACCCAAATTTGTATGTCCACCCATATGAGCGTATCCACCAATTCCCAGTTGCCCCAGACGCTAGTCCAGTCCGCTCGTCATGCCAAACGCACCTATTGCTATTCTCTCCATTATCGGTGTTCTTCTTCTTACTCCTCTTTTCTTTGTATCCTACGTTGGTTCTCGTCCGTACTTTGCCAGACGAGCGTCAAGAGGGAGAATAGTAGTGGAGAGGGAAAGTTTATGGCGAGAACAGAGACTTAAGGAACTCGCATACGAGTTGTATCCGTGAGTGGCCTGACTTGTTACAGCACTGCGACTGACAGGTACTAGATAACCATCTGTCGTAGCACAGGTTCCATACCTTGCGTGAGGTCAAAATACAAACCAATTATACCTCTTCATATTTGACTTATCTTCGATGTTATGGTTGATGCAGACACCCAAGCACTTGTATGCGAATAGTCCAGCATCACTTTTTGCAAGTAAACCTTCCGTCGCAGATAAATATATATAATCATATTCATCGACATATTCAATCTACTCAGTGCCGCACTTACTACTTCACCTCAAGCTGGAGGCCTCTGCCATCTGCTACCAAATGTTGGCGGAGATACTTCCAGTGCTTATATCAGTGTTCCTAGTAGGTAAATATAAAGAAGAAATACCTTATGACGCAGCGCACGCCCATGCACGTTCCCTCACCTAGCAGACGCCGTTCAAATTCCTCGCGCGCTCGGGCATAGTCTGCGCTACATACAGATTTCTCCGATTGCAGGTGGTATATCTAGACTCACGGATCGCTCGATCCAACTCTCGCGGTCGCAAGTCACTAGCCATGCCATTATCTATTGGTATTTTGTTGATCATTGTCGTCAATGTCCTCGTCACAGTTGGCATAATCTTCTGTATCATCTTTCACCTACACTCGGATGCCTTCAAGTCGACGAGTTGGAGAAGAAGGACGTTGCGATACACCGACGGGCCAACAATGGTTCAAGATAGGCGAGAGAGAAGATTGAGAGAACTGGCGTATGAACTCTACCCGTGAGTCCTTGCACTCATTTATGTATCCACTCATGAGGCTTAGATAGCCTGTGTTATATCTACCCAATCTGCCTAGGCGTTACACCAGTAACCTAATGGCTCTTCGACTTTACAAGCAGCAATCAACCACTGACGAGCCAGAGGAAAGCGAGATGGAGGTACCCATATACAGGAATATAGGTCATCCTCAGTGTCTCGAAATATGGTTTGATAGAAAAGGTTGCTTCTCACGGGAGGCAACAGTCAGTGCTTGACCACGTACACCTCCCGGCATATGCCAATGCTTACTCGAAGAACAGTCGATGCTGTTGCCATAGTCGTGGCAATGATGCTACTCTTCCTTGTAGTTGTTCCTGCGCTGTACATCACCTGGCTCGTGCTCATTATGCCAGGGCAGCTTTCGCGACGCCGCAACCAACAGCGCATTCGACGAATGCGACGAATGCGTAAAGAGATTACTGCTGCGAGTCTCGCATATGAGTTATATCCGTGAGTTCATCAGGAGTTATCGATTCCCGAGGCTTTGTATTCGGGATCCCCTTGTTTGGAGCTTCCTAAGGGCAATAACGCAAATTCGAATAACCGCGCAAATGTTATCGAGCCAGGTTCCACTCGTCGGTCCGATATACGCTGCCTTTTATCCACTTATTGGGAGAGTTCTCTCTGACCATATTATTAATCTTTGAGTCCAAACTAACTAGAGACAACGGATTTCTTCCAGAAGCCTCTGGTGCTCACTATAATACTACCAACTTCAACTCTTATCTCCAACCATATCTAAGCCGGGGCAGCTCATGTCGTATACCAATATTTACTCCCGCTGCCATTTATATGAATACATATGACCTAAATCCATATATCAACTGCTAACACAATGCTATTTTCGGTTTGTGAATTCATAACTTCATTCAAACTTGGATCTATCTCGGTTATATTGTTCTGCACTTTTGAACGGCACCATGGCAAGTTGAACTGGACAGGATCAACACTCCCAGTAAATGAAGTGAATGATTACAATGAGTGCGACAATACTCATTCCAATCAACTCCGACTGGAAAATTTCAATGCAAACTCGCCAGATTGTGTATTGCTTCGGACCGAAGAATTGCCATAGGTGAAATAGGCCCATACCGTGACCAAGCTGGGAGACTGTAGGTAAAAGATTTTCACAGTTGACACTTGCATCAGACGGAGCAAACAGCTCCGGACACCAGCCCTCGATTCGCCATGGTTCACGGGGCCTTGGTGCATAGCCTTGTCGGGGGAATAACGTCCCGCACTTCCAGCATCTACGACTTATGCCTGGGGTTTCTGGAGTATCCACTAGGTCTGCTGGCACAGGACGTCCCAGAATTCCACGGCGTTGAGCAAACCAATAGAGCTGAACCCAGTCCTCGGATCGATGCTTGGCACTATGGTTATCGCGCGGAGAAAACCGCACCGACTTTAGTGGATGCCCAGAGGTGGTAAGAGCGATAAATCCTGTGGGCAGGTCGTCGCAATGAACTGTGTCAAGGATGCTAAGGTAGGAGAGTGGATGGTTCGGCGGCGGTGGTGAATGGTAGACAAGGGATGAGGCCCCAATGTGCACGAGCGATGAATAGCTTTGCCAGAATGCCTCGTCTACCGTGATGTGCCGGTTGTATACAATAAGAGAGAGAATAACGCTAGGCAGAATGATAGGCTGCGTTTCAAAAAGCGTCGTTAGATCACTTTTCTCTCTATATATTAGCACAAGATGTTGCAAAGCGGGACAATACCATCCTCTCACATTGATAGTCGACGCTTTGAGCATCAATACATTCACTTTAGGGAGTTCCAAGTTCAGATTGGGTGTATTTGTCACCTCGAGGATAAGCGTCGTCAAGTTGTTAAACAGTTTGCAGACTAGGTCAAACTGGCGTAGATATGATCCGGCATACGAGAAGCACTCGAGGTTTCCCATAATCTCCGAATTATACAAAAGCGAACCAGACAATGCGATTTCTACGTCGTTTGCATTTTGAGTCAGAAGCGGCCCATAAAAGCGATTGTTTATGGCAAGAATGCGTAATCTCTTCCAGTTATTGTCCTCAGCTACATGGTGAGAGGATCTTTCATGGGATGATGCAGTTTGACGATACGCGGATTCTAACTCAAGGCGCTCAACCTTCTGGAAATTCGAATGCGAGGCTCCAAATGACCATGCAGGTTGACTCTGACGGACCATCGTATTCCACTGGGAGCACACCAGGCTAATGATCACCCTCTGTCGGATGTAGACTTCATAGGGATGGTTCGGGTCGCTAGTATACGACCCAGAAGCGGCTGTAGGCGGTTTTGTGCAGGTACGAGCCCGTATACCGGGCTGTGTATACTGTTGAAAGCGGTGGTAATACAGATATTCGAAAATATTCTCGGGGTTGCAGGTAGTCCCCAGAGCCTCTGGTATATCGAGTGTAAACTCGAGGATCTTTTCCCAGATCTCCGTGGGGAGATGCGATAGCCGATAACGGACAATCCCAGCTTTCTGTAACAGTCTATAAATCTTCATGGTTGGTGTCGTATATCGTAGCAGCCATAGACCGGACCATTTGTGGATTGTGCTTGCCTCTGACAATGGATGTGTGCGAAGATGATATACTGAGAAGGTCAGAGAGACGATTATCAGCGTCAGAGCCAGTGTTGAGATCATAAAAAGGCCGATAATTTTGAATAGAGTCAACCACGGTATCCTGCCCGTCAACAACAGCGCGGGCCCAACGAATCCCGCGGTGAGCACCAGGCAAGTTACAATGTCAACAGCGAGGTAGAGTATGAGAAAAAGTGGCAGGAATATAAACGCTCTCAGCACCACTACGACGGTTCGCTTCAACCAAGTGGTCATCGTCAGTTCCAAGTCTGCAAATCTTGACCCGCAGTAGCGCCTAGTCCAAACCGCTCGCGGCTTAGGCTCAAATATCTGTCGGAAATTACATTCAGTTTGCCTATAATCATGGAGCAAATGCATATTGCTCGTTCCCTTTGACTCTGATCACTATCCGCGGCGGAATTGCGCGACGTATATTGTCCGTGCCATTCGTATCTCACTGTGATGAAAGGAGACGATGATAATGTTAGTAGTCACAGCTAACTTTAATGCAAAGGATATTGCCACGACAAAATGGACAATAACTCGTGAGCTACCTAACTCGCGCCATTACATAGAGGCCTATCAGTTGTCTGATTGAATAGTTTTATCAAATACCGGGACAATAAACATAAAAGGCTCACCAACGTTGAGAAGCGCCGACTCGGCGCTTTCGCCACACCCACATCTCGCATTTATGCCAAAGCGTTCTCCAATAACTATCGCTGCTATCTCTCTATCTGTAGCAGTGGTTTTGCGCTTGTTTTTAACTTCTTCTTGCGATTTAAATCATTTAGAATACTTGTATTGAGCCACTACACATTTCGCGACGTCGTGCTCAGTAGATACGTCCAGATTTGGTCACTATACATCGCCCGTACGAGCTGTACCCAAAACACCTTAGTAGAGATCAATCATAGAGGCATAAAAGGTCCCAGGATCCCCTCGTCTGGAAGTCCTCGGAAGAAAACAATACAGCGAGAACCACCACTCGCTCGAAAACACTTCCTTCATGTCAGTCCCCATTCTTCAGGACGGAAAATTGTCCAGAACCCATCTAGGAGACACCCGTGAGTGCATTTCTCACTTTCCATGACCATATTCCTCGATCTTCAGGTCAATAATTGCCAACAACGTCCAGGGACAATTGATATCTCCATAAGTCTCTATTAGTGGTCCCTGTAATGCTATTAATCCCGACCATTACCTTCAACTCATTTATAAGACGGTGTCGTAAACTAGATACTACTCCTGATCTAATTCGAGGAGTTATCCAAACTCTGATGCAAGGGAAAGGAGAGCCAATGTTCGGACAAGGCACGTGGGTCAAACTTGACTTCCACCCTGACTGCATCTGCCCCAAAATCTAACACACTCGCTGTAGTTCTGACAAATGCTGAATGCGGTGACTCGCGTACGGTATCGATATACCATTCATCTGACACTGCGGTCCCGACGAGGAGGCTGCTGACTGCGGAGAAGCTGGTCCGACGCTTTTCGACGAATCACAGAAGTCTCTGGGCAAACATTGTGGATCTTGTTCCATCCTGTACGCGCAGTATCTGGACGAACGGCGTTTTCATGGCAAAGGCGCCCTGACACTCACTGCCTGACATAGCTGTTTGGCCACTTGCTGAATGAGCGAATAGATCATGTACGCCGACTACTTACCGACCTCGTGATTGGTAATCCAGCGGACCATGGCAAAGGGACTCGATGTCGTCTTCACATCCAAGCACTGATAAAGGCCCTTCACGCCGGTATCATCGTCGACGCATCGAGCTCCCCATCGTCTCCTCCCAATGGATTCACCCCATGAAGACCTTCCTCCCCATTACGACGACCTTTCGATGCACCTTCCACCGACGTTTCGCGTCTCAAACGAGGACATACCGCCATTGGTAACAATGACAGACGTTGAAGCTCATCTAATACTGCTCTCCGCGTTCGCCAAACTCAAGCAAGACGTCCAAAATGCTTGCGCCTCCCCAGCGACGTCGCATCTTCACCACCAGGATGCAGCACCTAGTTGCCCTACCGACCCCAATCGTGCATGGGTAGTATTCGTGAATAGGGCTGTCCATCGATTCGACCGGTTCATGAGTGGCAGTTGGTCAGAGGACGTACCGGTGTGGTCAGAGACCGTCATTCCCCCGCTGGACGTCATCATGGTCTGGCACACGTATCTCCTAGTATGTCCGTCTCTGGATTCATTTGCTTATGAGGCTCATTTGGCCAGAATCCGAGGATATACCATGAAGACAGTCTTAGACGTTCGACAAATTTTGCACGCAGATTAGCAGCAATGGGGTATGTCGATGCTATGCATCATTGCGCCTCTCAGCCCCTACAGATCGATGCCCCTCACCCTCGTCGCGTCCACGATTCATCCAACAACCTTTGAACCCAATCTACCCTCCCCAGAACGAGAAGCCTTTTTCGAAAGTACATCCGGACTTGCGTTCATGTACACCCTCGCAACGAGCTTCGATGAGGTTCTCAGTCTGGATTGTCCGTGCTGCAATACGACGAACAATTATGTGCGTTGGGTCACTCGAGAGGGGGAAAGTGGTGGTGGCGGAATAGGCTTTGCTGAGCCGCTGTTTCGTCATAAATGTGACTGGTGTGAGCGATCATTCACCCGTTCAATTATGGGTGTCCGAAGGTTTTGTGACGAGGTAACCGAAAGGCGTGCAGGGAGCAAAGTATTTTTTGCGTGCGTATTGCTGGGTGTGATATTCAGATTACTGACGCTTATGTGCAGGGAAACCCTGCTCCAGCCTCGATCTGGGAGGGTAGACGAGGCAAGAGGAGTTGCTCTAACCAAAAGGATAATCTCAGTACGTCTTGACCCTGAAGCATCGAATATCCTGATACTGCTCCAGGGAATATATGCGCGATACGCTCTGGAGCCCGACTGCAAAGAGGAAAACGTAATACAAGAAGCCGTTGACCTTTCCACGACGTTGAAGTGGGAGGCAAGTAACCTTTCTGATCTGATCCATCAAGGGTTGCGTCCGAGAAAGACACAATACCAGGAGAGCGAACCTTTACCACGGTTTGTTCCTCCCCTCTTATTCGTCAGTTATTGATGTTTTTTTAGAGTACAGCGAATTATAGCTGCATACAGTACGCCAGGTCATGCATCGCTCGACCTCGTTACCGCCGTACTCCGCCAAGAGGGGTTCGTTACCAAACTCAAGGAGATGGGTTGGCTATGCTCTATGGACGGTGCGATAGAGGGACGAACACCAGCACTTCTGCGCGCTATTGCGCGATATCATGCATTTCTCGACCTCATGTCATCGAAGAGTCAGAGCTTACTTGTTCCTACCCTCGTACGTCCGTCGATGTTGTCGTGGAAATTTCACTGATTCTTTTTAGGATATTGTATGTCAATTTGATGAACTATTACATTCTAACGCAAAATAGGACCTTGTTTGGCACACCCACCAGCTCGCAGCTACAGCCTACCGATCAGACACCCTCCGGCTGCTCTTGCGCGTCCCCAATCACGATGACAATGTCGAGTCTACAACACTTCAAGCTGCCTACGACACGACTGCCGCCGCATGGAGAGTGCGCTACGGTGTTCCGTACAGCGTTTGTGGATGCATGCCGGATCCGCCTACCACCGGAAAGGTCAAAGCGGACAAAGGCAAGGACAAGGCGAGTCGGTCGATCAAGACGTTTGTCCCGTGCTCTTTGATGATGGCTGCGACGATCGTTTCTGTTCGCCGCTCCTCTACTTCGGCTCTCCATGCGCCAGCCACATCAAGTCGTGACGGTGGTTCGCTTGTCAGTCTCGATATCTCTGAAGCAGATACTTCCCATCCTTCCGAACACAACTTTTATGTCAGTACCGCACCGGTTTCGACGAGACTGGATCGAGATCTCGTAACGAGAGACGTGGAAGCCAGAACACGGTCGGCTCTCATCAAGAAGATACCCAGTGACTTTTGGAGGCGCATTCAATCCGAGAGAAAGGAGCGACGGAGCGATCATCGCGAAGCGTTTACGACGCGCCAAGGGGTCGATGGTCCGTATTACGCGTATTGGGGCGTCTCGGCGAATGTACCACATGGGTATGGATCCTTTGACAGATAAAGAGTGGAACTGATCTTGTGCTCAGGTTCTACGGAGCGACCAAGTACAAAGATGCCATTGGAGGATGCGCGTCTGGGTGTGCGACATGTGGAGCGCCTGGTGGGTTGCCAGTGTGCATATACGCGTTGATTGTTCTAATCGAGTCATAGGGCTGTGAATAAGCATGAACATCCTCGATATAGGTGTACGTTTACCCTGAGTGCGCTCCGTTGCGCTTATTCTTTGAAGCAGAATAATAAATCATTCTATAAATCAAGTGCTTTTCATACCACTGCATCTCTGATGGGACATTCGCATTCAGCTGACCCGCGTAACGGGTGGAGCGTCGGGTTAAGGGAACCGACATGCTGAACGTATGGCATCTAATGGAGCCGCTGAGCATCGTCTTGTATCAAGAGAGTGTCTACCTCTCGCCTTATCTGACATATGCATATGCAGATCTGGTGTATGGGTATTGACAACCGCGAGGGGCACTCCACTTCGCTTAGGGCTATCCATTCTCACAAGAAGTTGATTGTTTCTAGGTACCAAAATAAACTGGATATGACCGCATTGTGGCCCTTGGAGGCGACATTTGGGAAGTGCAACGCTGGGGCTTCGAACGACGACAGTTCAACGCTCGCCAGAGATACTCCAACTTCTTCAACTTGATCCGTGTGGTCAATAGCGGGACCAGTCCCATGGCTCACCAGCCGTGATGCCGCACAGAGCAACGTTTGCTGGTCAACCCGAGCATGTCGCCCCGTGTCGGCCATTTTCGGTAACGTTCATACCAATTTCGATATTATCCGCAATTTACTTGAAGCCGCGAGCGTCTAAGATCTTCGCGCAGCAACCCCAGCCTCAGCCTGAACTTGACCGGACCAACGGCGTCTGCAAAATTTTGACACAGTCGCAAGGGTCGTCGAGGGTCGCGCCGTGTCGAAAAACATAGTTCGAAAAGGAAAAACGCTTAGTCGGAGACCATGTGGGTCCGTCACCAGCCCGCCTCCAATCCGAATCCGCGAGCCATTTGGGCCGGCGACTTCGAATCCATAGGCCGTGTGGCCTTTGTTGCCACTGGGAATTACGTTTCCCGTCCGGAGAACGCAGAGACCCGCATGGCAACTAACGGCCGGTGTCACATCCTGCTCATCTAGGCCGGCCCCGAAACGCGTCCATGATGGTTTCCAATTCAGTCATGAGCGAGACGACAACTACGAGTGGCCGGTAGCCACTTCTGGATCCAAACAATCTCGTGCGTATAAAACCCCACCGTTTGTCCACTCCGTCTTTCCTTACTTCTGTCCGACCACGACAACCAACCACCACTTTCGCTTTCTACAGCTTGAGAGTGCTGCTGCCCTTCTCGTAGTCGTTTGACTCGTCCGTCTGCGTGTTTTCATCCGCGACGCCCTCCTTCCTTTCAACGTTACAACTTTCCGAGCAGGCCCCCAACTTTGCGCGCGCGCCCCTCGACGAACAACCACACTCACTCGCCAAATCGACATTCTTTATCTTTGACGACCTTCATTGAACATTTCAAGATGATTAGCACAATTGTTGCCTTCCTCATTGCCTCTGGCACCGCGCTCGCACTCCCCTTCAACGAGACGAGCCTTCCCTACCGTGGATGCGCCACCCACAAGGATACCGCGGCCATTGCGGCTGCCGAATCTCGTTTCCAAATCGACTCTGCCAACATCATGTCGGTTATGGACGCCTCCACACTCGCTAGCGGCCCCATCCAGGTCTACTGGCACGTTATCCAGAAGGACAACGATCTCGCTGGCGGAAACGTCCCAGATTCGCAGATCAAGGCCAGCATTGACGCCATGAACCAGCACTATACGTAAGTGTTATTGTCTTTGTATCGGCTTCCATTTTGCTCATGTATCGGCGGCAGCGGTACTGGCATTTCGTTCGCACTCTCCAAGACGACCCGCACCACCAATGCAGATTGGTTTAGCACCGTTGGACCCGACGAGAGCAACCAAACTCAGATGAAGTCCCAGCTCCGCCAGGGCGACGAGTCGACGCTCAACATTTACACCGTCGGCTTCGAGTCTGGCTCTGGCAAGGGCCTTCTCGGATACGCAACTTTCCCATCCGACTACAAGAGCAACCCGAAGGATGACGGTGTCGTCATTCTCTACTCGAGCGTGCCAGGCGGTAGCACCACCAACTACGACGAGGGCAAGACGCTTACGCACGAAGTCGGCCACTGGCTCGGTCTCTATCACGTCTTCCAAGATGGCTGCAGTACGTTTTCCTTGGCACGATTCTGATGCCCTCGGAGCTCACGAGATGATTTCTAGCCGGTAATGGAGACTTTGTTGCCGATACTCCTCCCCAGAAGACTGCAACCAGTGGATGCCCCGCTAGCCAAGACTCTTGCCCGGGTGGTGGTGCTGACTCTATTCACAACTTTATGGACTACTCGTACGTGGATCTCCAGCACGCGTTGTCTCGTACCTGACTCGTATCTTTTTCTAGATACGACTCTTGCATGAATTCGTTCACACCCGGCCAGGTCACTCGCTTCCAGGAGCAGATCCTTACCTACCGCAAGATTCAGGCCGGCGGCTCGACTCCCGCTCCCACAGGCTCAGAAACCGTCTCTAGCTCTACGGAGACCGATACTACGGTTCCAACCGAGACTGAGACGACCGCCCCAGAGCCCACCGAAACGGAGACCGATACCGAAACCGCTACGGTCCCAAGCCCAACGGAAACCGAAACCGACACAGAGACTCTCCCCGACCCTACAAAGACAGAGACGGACATTCCCGAGCCAACAGACACAGAGATTCCAGAGCCCACGGGCACTGAAGATCCCTCCCCCTTCCCGACGAGCACCGACCCCCAAGATCCATCAGGAGAATGCCCGTGGTGGTATCCTGGATGCTGGTGGTAAATTATTTGCCACAGTCGACGAAATCTTCGATCTGTTCGGACTTTCACAGTCTAATGGACGAAGAGACGGACGATCAGCATAGAATCGGACATTTTTTATCGCTCGTTTGATCTTCAATACCCCTCTCGGCTCTCTCTCTCTCTAGAACACACGCCCTTTTGCCCGTGACAACGACTGCGCTTATCGAGCTCAAACTGGATCACCTCCTGGTCGTTGATGCCGGACATTGGCGCTCTTCTCCTGTCTTTCTCTACCCTGTGGTCCCGACGCCTTCTCTCTCTGAACTTCGCCACTCGACGTCGTTGAATGTTGGATGTAGATACCGCTGTTGCCATCGTTGATGAATGGAGTGTGTGGACGAAACTTGTCTAATCTAAGAAATTATTCTTCCTTCACGATGATTCATTAAGAAGAGCATACACGCAGACCAATAACCTAATAAGAGAAACCCTCAGAATCGTGAGCTGCGGTGATGTGTGGCGACGCAATTCTGGTCCACGCCAACATCGAGAGCATCTGGCTCGTCGGCCAAGAAAGCGCCATCCATGATGACACTCGATAAGAATCCCATATCGTCGTCCGAGATCAGCACGGCGTTTCGCCTTGATTCGACGAGGCGCTGTTCCTCTTCGCTCCGTTGGCGGGTGTGGCGACGCACCACGATGCTCTCACGGAGGACGCGCTCTACAAAGTCTTCTTCGGTGACCTCATCCTCCACCGTCCGCGTCAATGGCACTGGCGTGCTCTCCTCTTCCGGGTAAAGACTCGGTGACGACGCGTCGTCCTCCATAATTACCTGCTCGTGGTCTCGGAGAGCAGTGAGAACCATTTCCATCGTAAATCGAAATGGTCCTCTTCTTGTCTTTCCTCGGGTGACTCGACTGGTATGATGAGTGCTGTTTCCATTGTCGATGGAGAGTCACTCCCACCCTCAAAATCGGAGAGGTTCGATCCCACCGATTCTTTGCTGTTCTGTTTGTACGCCTTAAACCGCTGGTCGATCTCGCGACGTTCATCTTGAGGGAATGTATGCTCCAAGAACGAGAGCGGGCGAATCAACGAATTATCGTCTCTCGCAGACTCGTGGAGCTCGAGGTCTGCTTCGAGGATAAAACCTTCGAAGGACAGTGGCTCATCGCTAAGGGCGTCGCTGACGACACGGACCTGGCTGGCTGGAGGCGCCCCCGTTGTCGGCGTTGGGGGAAGTGCTAATAGTGAAATAATAAGTTTCAGTAGCCAAGTATAAACTATCGGACTCACGCTTCTCACTCTGCCGACGGCGCATGTCGGAGAGCGCAGTGTCCCCATAGCTTTGAACCATCATGCTCGACGTCAAAGTTGGTTTGTCGTGATCTTTGATTCCAGGAAGTGAGAGCAATGGCTCACTTCGGTTCCGCCTGTGGATCTGCTCAAAGGGCGGGCGAGGTTGCTCGTCACTCTTTCTAGCCGCCGCCTCTTTGAGCGAAATCAGGGCGTAATCGAGTTTGTGTCCAGTGCCGAAGGGAAGAATTTCTGTTGGGCGGGAGATGGTGTCCTTGCTCAGGCCACGACGATGGGTTGGTCGGCTGGTGGTCGGCTGAGAGCCTCTTCTTCGAAAGAGCATGGCCATAGTTGTGAGAGGGATTAGAATTTGATCCCTAGGTGACTATTAGCGAGTGTCTCGTGCATACACCGATCGGCTGGTACGACAGAATCGCTGCTTACTCTTGAATATCACAGGTGAGGATCCTAGAGGGGTTTATACGAGTCGTCCTCGGGAATATACGTTCCTTTGCGGAAGTTTCTGGCCTAGGAAGTTGTTAGGAGGAAGGAACTTGGAGACGAGGGGTCTTCCACCTGGCTCCGTAAAGTTTAGGATGGACGATTGCCTCGGAGCCACCACGCTTATGGAATAGCCTACTGGAGAGAACTGCATCCTATAGATTCGGGTCGACTGTTTGGAGTTTCTGGCGATCAGCATTGCAGCAAGTACTTGTTTCATGGAAGTCTTGTTTCGAATACAGTCTCTTCAGGTGTAGACGCTACGGAACTTATCATCCTGCTATTCAAACGCCGCATCCTGCGAGCATAATTAGACCAACGCATGCGTGGAGGGGAAGGAGTTACTTTACAGGTTTATGACTCGTGAGTTTTACGCTTTCCGAAGTGTTCGGTAAGATCAGGCAAGACGAGCTTGTCCCTCCTCCCAAAGTGCTCGGTGAGATCTGGCAAGACGAGCTTCTCCCGTTTTCCAAAGTGTTCAGTGAGATCTGGCAAGACAAGTTTATCGCGCTTTCCGAAATGCTCGGTGAGATCTGGCAATATGAGTTTGTCCCGTCTTCCAAAGTGCTCGGTGAGATCTGGTAGCACCAGCTTTTCGCGCTTGCCGAAATGCTCTGTAAGGTCTGGAAGAATCATTCTATGGATAAGGATGTCAGTCATGTACGATTCTGTGTGGGATACTCACTTTTCGATGGGAACAGCGCTTGCGAGGAGGAAGGGACTAGCGAAGAAAACGAAAGTTGCGGCTATTCGGAAAGAGAACATGTCGATTACGAATTGGTGAAGATTTCAAAAGGGCGATACCAGATCGGAAGGGAGAAACGGCTCGAGTTGATGCCGCCAGCTGGGTCTTATATTGTGTCCGTATAGCATAAACGCACAGATCATGATCCAAATAGCGCCTAGGGTACGTTGTCGCCTGGACTCGAATTGTTGGCGATGCAGTGAGCACCCACACTGCCTGCCACGGCGGTGGTGGCCAGATGGGAGACATCTAAACGCCCAACTGTTACCAGTCCTTTTGGGCGTTGTAAATTATAGTGAAATATCAACCTTATCCTCTAAGAAATTCCCAAGGATATCAACCGGATAACTTACCTCTATGTCACAATCCCTGAAAGCTCGCCTAAAGGACAGTCCGGATACTTGTCTGGATGCTCTTCTGGAGACCAGTCTAAAACCCCGTCTGGAGGCTCTTCTGGAGACCCGTCTGGAGATCCGTCTGGAGACCCATCTGGAGACCGGTCTAAAACCCCATCTGGGGGCTCTTCTGGAGACCCGTCTGGAGATCCGTCTGGAGGCTCATCTGGAGACCCGTCTGGAGATCCGTCTGGAGACCCATCTGGAGACCGGTCTAAAACCCCGTCTGGAGGCTCATCTGGAGACCTGTCTGGAGACCCGTCTGGAGACCCGTCTGGAGACCCGTCTGGAGATCCGTCTGGAGACCCGTCTGACAGATGCGGCGGACGACCTTCTAAACCGCCGTAAGCAGGGACGGACAGCTTTCGCAATCTTGAAACATTTACGCGTACTCTCCTGCTTATTGGTAACCGACCGGCGTCTTTATTCGATGTCTCTATTTACGTACAAGTGTTTGTTTCAGCGAGTGATCCCAAGCAAACTTTGGAAGATAGCCACCTCTTTTTGTGGCGGCATCATCTGGGTTTCATTCAGTCATTGCCTGTAGGGCTACCGTAGTAACTTACATTTTCCATTTCTGTTTGAGCCCGGTATTGTCCCAACAAGACATACGCTGACTACACAAACCATCGGCGATTGCAATCACTTTATATCACCCAACATCAAATCAAGGAGCTTTTCACTTCACTCAGGACGATATACTTTACAAGAACCCATCACAGCTTCCGGTATGCCAAAACTGAATTGGAAACCAACCCGGGAAACCAACCGGGGAGATTCTCGGCTTAGACGCACATATTTCAGCAACAAGAGGCGTCTGCGAGTTAAATGGGTCCATTTGAAACTGTAGACAAAGAAAGAGGCCTGCCCGTTGCGATCTTAGCTCACCAATTCTGTACCTACAATCTCTTCAATATGGTCCGAGCGAGCGAGAGTGTGTGTATGGATTAAATAGCCTAACCACCAGCTTTTAACCTGATAACTGTTCTCTGATGATGGGAAAAACTTTGCTGTAGGCATACGCATGCTTCGCCATACTGTGGGCATCTGGGATATAGATCAAAGAACTATCCATCGAGCTCATAAACAAGCATCTTACCATCTTGCGTCTATATTTCTAAGAAAGTGACTGTGTCTGGGGACCTGGCTCCATTCCGTAAGGAAATAACGAGACATTGTCCATTGGTCCAAATTCTTCGATCAAGTCAAGTGCGACGCAGTGGCCGAGTTGTCCTTTGTTCTGCTCTATTGTGAGCAAAGGGGAGGTAGTGAAGGGTGGAGATCCAGAACCATTTGGAATGGCCACTCTCATATCCGGTGGACTATGTCTGTCGACTTGGCACTTGACACCTTTAGAGTTTTAGATAGGCAAACAACAAATCGGAGCGCGAACCAGAAGTAGGTGCCTGGCATCCAAGTAAGGATGAAGCGCACTGACAAAGATGTCAATAAATGGTGGATGAGTATGTTATGCGACAAACAGAATGGGGAAAATTCTATGAGCCAGACAGTTGTAAACGCATCTGAGACCATTTGCATTGCCTCGAGGTTTAGCTTGGTCAACTTTGGCCCGTGGGTCTTGATAATCGTCTCGCCATAAGATAACTAAATCAACGAAAAGTCAGTGATACTACAAGAGCATTCAGAAAAGCCACTGGCCGGATGAAAAGCGCACCCATAGACAATTGGCTCTGACTGCCCTGCAAGGTTGAGAGCCGAAGGAACATTTCACGCACATTATGCCCAATCATCGTATCCTTGACCGGCACTTTGAGTGGACCAATACATCTGCGCAATAGTTTGCATCTGGCGGTATGACGTTTACATTCATGAATCCGACCTCCCACCTCCAGTCTTATTATCGCTCGTGAGTGCACCAACAGCATGTCCAGCACCGATCTTGTCTGCCGCTCTGACAACCTTGGTGATCAAAGCCTCCAAGTCTGCCACGGAGAGCTCCTCGCCGACACCAATTGCAACTTCACAGAAACGGCTCTTTCAGATAGGCACAACATGGTTGCGCGAATCGGCCGGAATACTTTGCAGTGTCGGAACCGGCGGTCGGCAGTCGGGTTGGGTTGAATCTGTACCAAGGGCTTTGTGAGCAACCTTTCAACGAGATTAGGTAGAGACGCATAGTCACTTGTACGAGCTCAAGGCGAGGTAATAGTCCTTGAACTTTCCGACTTGAGTGTCTGGCTTTCGACGAGTTGCCCAAACATGAGCAGACCCTTCAAAACCTTTGCTGCACCTACATCTCGTCCTCTTCCTTGTTGAATAGCTATGTGTACGTAGATGTAGCTAATGAAAACGATAACGGAGTCCCGATATGCCATGTAGCTATCCTCATAAGATTAGCTCCAGCTATCTCAAGAGCGAAATAAGGGACATATGCAGCATAAGTCCACCATTCGCTAAGCCATTTACTCCTCCCAGCACTCTTTTCGCTGGCTGCGCGTTCCCCGGGGGGCGTTTGTGGACGAGCGGGAACAAAATACAGTCGCTGACGGCGAGGGCTGCGTCGTCCGGAATTGAGACGGTATCAGGTATGGACAAGTCGTTTCTGGAGACTTTCTGCTGTAGACTGGATGCTCAGAATGGGGTGTCCAGGCAGCTTCGTGTGAAAGCATAGGGTAACGGATGCAATTTGCGCAATGGTCGGAATGACCTCAGTCTCTTCTGAAACCTCCATTGCTCGAACCAGCAGCCCCTTCAATGCCCTTGGGGAAATACTCGTCGAAAGACCAAGCATATTCAAATGAAGATACGCCCGCATTTCTATCATCCGATAAGTCTACGAGCATAGCCTCTCAGAAACGTACCTTGCATCGAGCTCTAGCAAGGCGTGCCGGTGTGTAGAATTCGATTACGGCAATGAAAGACCAGCAAGAGTTCCAATAATTTTGCCAAAGCCTTGCCGAGAGCGTGCGTGCTGTCCAGATGGTATAACCAAAGAGGCAATCAAACACCTAACTTTTGGCGAGAATAAAACACGTGCTGATACAATCAATCCAACAAGTCGATCGAGACTTATGGGCTGCTAATCTCCCAGATCATGACTGGTCGAGACAGCATTTCGCAACTTTGCAACATTGTTAGGATTTGGAAATGAAGTTCTTACCATTACCATGATCAACAAATGCCCCTTGTGACGAGGATCCTCATTTCCAGTCTTCGAACCTGATCACGCCCACCCCACCACCCTTATGAGGAGAGGCGAGAAGAGCGCACCGATAGTTCGATATAGGTGGACTTGTGTCATTCCTCGAGGGATGCGGACCCATTATCCAAATTTGCTCTCCAGGAGTGGTTTAGCATACTTACGAACTCTGCATTCAAGGAGGTACTTGTCTGTCCAATAATTGTCCACACTGGAGATTGCCCGTTGTCAACTGACTGAGGAACATCGCTTGACTCTGATTGTTAGAGAGACCACAACGAGTCGACAAGCTCACGTAGTTGATGTTGCGCTGAGCTCGGCTTGTCCCCTTGGGCACTAGTCTACTCGTCGTTTGAACTCTCTCCTGCTGTTGAGTCGTCCACCATCAAAAGTGAATGCAATGAGCCATCTCGGTGGTACTTCTACCCAGAGCGAATAAGCCTGGTATTCTTGATCCATTGGCAGTTTACTGGTGCCTTGTTTGGGTATATCAGTGTTGGATTGATGGTCTCAATACGAGAGCGAAATTAGATAACAACAACCAAAGAATACTGGTTGCCTTAAACAGGGCTCTGCAACATCCCCGCTATCTTAAACTCTACAATAAATTAGATTTTGAAGCTCGTTACTTTAGTATAGATCCCAGACCTTGCGCTAACATCATTGTGTGTGTCCGCCACTGGTCATCCACAAACTTTGAAGGAAGGTCCAACGGCAGAACGCGATTGCTTTCGAGAGCACGCCCACTAGTTGATGGCTTCAGATGAAGATAATGCCCTGATACTTTGCAGGCATTGATAAACCTATCCAGTTCCTGACTTCGCCAAGGTTTGATTCGACAGACCGAGCTGGTCCCTTCTTCATCACTCTCATCACTGCTACACCCATCTGCACCCATCCTGGTCAGCGCTTGTGACAGCGGTCCAGCTCCTAGAGACTGCGAGACGTCGAGAAGACGAAGCCATTTCTATGGAAACAATTATAACGAATTGTATGGTTAATTGCCACGCACCGCAATTCGCCTGGCGTCCCTTCGATTCTCAGCATCTTTAGTGTCCTTTGCATTCCTAGAAGCTTGGGCCTCGAGCTGGGCTTGTATTTGCAGCCGGAGAACATCCCTATAGGCCCCCAAAATGGCTGCCCTTTGAGTCTTGTATCGGGTAGGAAAGCGTTTCTTGCCATAGTATCCAGCGTCGAGAGCATCTTCAAAGTTGGCAGCAAAAAAGGTTCCGGCATGGCGATTGTGGTTCGAGTCGGGAGATGAGAGTTCGAGAGTAAAGGAGTCTCGATCGCACTTCTGGGGTGCCTGAACCGGCATGTACCAAACACCGCTTGCTAAATAAGTTAGACCTCGCATACCCAGCAGATGTATATGAACACGAGTCTGAAGTTTATTAGCCTATAGCCTCGTTCCAAAGAAGAGAATGACAGGTAGCGATAGCATCTGAGTGGTAGGCCGCTTGCTGCAAAGTAATTCCGTCTCCAGGGTTATCGGATCGATAATGTGCTATCATTAGCGTAAGTGGAGCAAAAACAAAGCACAGAGCACAAAAGGATGAAACTCACGCTGTACGGGGAAATTCCTGCGAATCCAACAATACTGATATCACGAAGCGAATTCTGATATCCATGTTAGAAAACTCATAAGAAAATAGATGCTGCATACCTTCATCCCCCTGCTACTGAAGTGATATAAATGGAGCTGATCACGTTAGTTGACGTTTGAGGAGAAAAGATGACTGACCATGTCAACCTCAGCCTGGCTCTTTCGAATGTAAGTAGATTACCACTAGCAATCAAATATCCACCATACCAGCTTCTCCAAGTTGAACTGAAATGGCAAGACTGCCAGCTTGAATTGAACGATGAGAGCGATTACTCCAAATGGACAATCTCGCTGACCTTAATGTCATCTAAACGATCAACATCACCCAGGTTGCCGGCTGAGTTTGCTGTCGATACCACCTGGTGCTGAGGTACCTGATAAACACAGGTCTGGACTCGAAAGGCGGAGCTCCTCTGACATACCATATCATCTTCTTCATTATAGGGTCTATTCATCATTATAGCCCACAATGGACCATACGAAGTATTGGCGTTTGGTGAGCCCAACAGTTCCACGGAAGGTTGCTGCCAGGATTGTAAGTATGAGATTAGAAAAAGACATGGTTTCTACATACTCTGAACAATTCCTCGCTGTTGTCATTAACCATGGCTTCCGAGAGGCTGGCACGTCTCGGGGGGGGTATGGTGCCATGTCGGTGTGCGTTGACCGGCCATTGGTCTTGGAGTTGAGGATCTCGATGTTGATGTGTCTTGACTTTCTATTGGTCTTGGGGTCGAGGATCTTGACGTGTTGATAGTTGGAGGTGGGTTTGCTGACGAATTTCCAAACACGCTCGAAGAAGTCGTAGATTGAGTCGACCCTGTAGTCATACTCGAGGGAGTGGTCGATCGACTGGCTGCCTGGCTGCTTGATTGGCTGTTACCACGGCTAAGCCGAGTTTCAGTTCTCCCAGCCCGGGACAGCGAGCGTCTCTGGGCTATGCCAAGATTTGTGCGCTTTAGCTTGAGGGGATCACGTAAACTCTGGATATAGACGAGTGAGTATCCTCTTTGCTCGCCTATTACCTACGTTGGAAGTCCCAATCCGTTCTTGCCTACGCTTCTTGCTTGGGTTTTGTTTAGCTATATTGCTTGTATAGTCAAACTGAACACTGAGTTGATAATATTTGTGGCCATGAAGAAACTCTGACCTTTGCGTCGGGGTTGAGCCATAATACAACATCTCGATACGCACCCTGTAGGAAATTGAGCTTGAGAAGTAGCGTAGTAAGCTTATAAGTACAAACAGAAGCAGGTTGTGAGTCCTTGTTCATTTTTTCGTTTCCAAGTTATGAGGTTGCGGTTCAAGATTGCGCCGCATCATCATCACGGAGCTTGCAACCATGAACCAAGGACTCAACCCGCCTGCCTGGTCCGACTTTATGAAGCGTGTCTATTCATTTCGAGTCGGAGGCCCTTTGGTTTTTCGCTATCCTCCGTCTCTCTCATCCCCTCCGTATATCAGCCCAGATCTGGACACAGATCCAAATGGGAGCCTAGTTTCGCTATCTAACTGTTCTCAGAATGCGGAATTTCTTTGGATTCAAACTACAGCCTGGCGTTATCGACGGCAGATCCTCCACAGTCCGCTTGAGGAACTCAGCAAGGAAGATGAATTGCGACTCCGGATGCTCGAGCGTGCCTTCAACTGGCTTGAAGAGACAAAGCGTCAAGAATGGGAGAGACAAAGATTACATGCAGGTATGATGAGGCCACTCGAAGAGCCTATAAGCTCAACTCTCAATAGTTCCAGGAAATCGACCCAGGGTCTCAATGCAAGGCCTTATGAGGCATTCTTTGGTTGTTTATATCATGTTTATCCCGGTCTATCTTCAAACTAAGCTGGGCCTCTCCCGATCACAAGTCCAATTTATCTTCGATTTACTAAAAAGGCTTGCTCTCGCTTTACTGGCTCTCACTTCGATCCAGAATCAAGTAGTCAGGAGGCAGTTGGATCTCGCCCCGGATGATGTACAGTCGATCTATCACATCCTGGAGCTTGACTCGGAGAAACAGAGATATCTCTGTTGCGCTGAATGCTATAGCCTATATACTTCGGACAAGCTTATCCCACTTTCTCCTCCGATAGATGACTCCGAACGATTGCCACTTCCGAACCCTCCACCTGCAAGACAAGGCAAACCATATGCTCCAATGCCTACAGTACCAACTAATGAATGGTCTCAATACCAGGAAAGAAGAGCAGTCCCAACGGACTCACGTTGCACCTTTCGCTCAACGCAAGAAGCGGACATTTGTGGAGCAATTCTTACTTCGAATGGTCCTAGCCTATCCCATAGCATCGAAGACACTTGTTCAAACCAGGAATTACACACTTCCCCCCTCTCAAACCCGTCATCGATTCCATTTACATATCGCAGCTTTGGATCTTGGCTCTCGGAACTCTTATTCCTCCCTAACATGTGTGAAAACCTTACATGTAGATTGCCAACGCCCGATGGAATGAACATAGATGAAGATACCATCCATGATATCATGGAGTCGGCAATGGTGCGGGGGCTCAAAGGTCAAGATGGAAAACCTTTTGCGGTACGGCTTCCAACGGAGCTGCGACTATGTCTTGGACTCTTTATAGATTGGTATAATGCTCGTCCTAGCTCCCTCAGGGGTGGGCAACATAGTACCGGAGGCATCTACATAGTGATTCTCAACCTCGATCCTGTTTTACGCTACCAACAGCAGTATATGTACCACCTTTTCATCCCTGGACCTCGAGAACCATCAACTGAGCATCTAAATAACATAATCCGCCCTCTGATCAGCGACTTGGAGTCAATATATACACATGGCCTATGTATTCCCAACAATAGCTTTACCCTATGCCGTGTTATGCTGGCAATTGTTATCGCAGATCAGCTGGCAGCTAGACGTATAGCTGGCTTTGCAGCTGTTGGTCACCGGTGGTTTTGTCCATACTGTCGACTGCCCTTGGACAAGCTCAAAGATGACTTCAACTGTGGAACGTGGCCAGAGGGAGTAACCAAGGAAGACCACAAACAGATCGTCATTGCATGGCGCGATGCCCAAACACAGGCCGATCGAGATGCAATCTTTGAGCGGTGGGGTTTTCGGTACACCGAGCTTATCCGACTTCCCTATTTCGACGTCTTCAATCAAGTTATTATTGAACCGTTTCATGCTATTCTTGCAAACATCGCCCAGCCACATTGCCGAGAGATGATAGGAGGTAAGATCAGAGGACTTCCGGATTCATCTACTTTGCTGGATGACGAGCCTGCTTATCAAGGCTCAGAGGCCTTGCTGGATTCTATCAGTGATGTTGAGAGTGGCATCGATGATATCGGTCCAGAGTCAGAGCTAGAGCATATGGTCCAACGAGGTCTTGCCCTGTTGCGGAGAGAGGGATTTGACGTCTCCATACTCAATCAATTGCACAGTCTCAAACATGGTGCACTCTTGCGGCTCTGCAAACGATGCGAGATTCCAACTTGGAAGATGAAATTCCATGGAAAGCGGCCCATAAAGTGGTCGATGGTTGTTCTTCTTGGAGAATGGGTGAGCTTCTATGGTCAATTTTGAACATTTCCATTCACAAAAGTCTAGATTACGATGCAACGGGAAGAAAGCCAGATCCAAAGGGCCGATCTCACCCATGCCAACAAAATCTTGTCAACATATACAAACCCTGAACAACTAAAGATCAAATTAGACCAGCTAACTGTCAATGTCCTATATGGCATCTGCGTCAGACTCAAGATTGATACCAGTATGTTTAAACTGCAGTCAGGAACGGTCTTTCCTCAACGAGCCTCTATGATTTCTGCAATTATCAACCGGAAAAGTCCCGTAAGTGCTGAAAACTTATGTTCAAGTTCCTTGCTCAATAAAAATTTATCAGCTTCAGGCCCCGGTACTTGATGCTGGAGACATTATTCGAGACTGGCAGGCCCGGGAGGGCTCAAATGACCTTCTGTCTCACAATGATGACAATGCTGCCTACAAGGCAAGCGTTCCATCCGTTATACTACTGTTGTCTAACATTGTTAGCTTAACCCAGTTCTGAAACTAGAAATGCGGCGGGATATTGCCCGGTGTGTCTTCCCGGAGCATCTCTCTCGTGACAAACCACCATCGAACCTCGGAAGCAAACGACATGGTAGCCTCAAGGCCGCTCAATGGAGGAGCGTCTATTGCTTTACGCTCTTGATTACACTGGGTCGCCATTGGGGTAATGAGAAGGCTGAAGAAAAATATCAAAATTTCTTCAAATGCTTTGTCCACCTGGTCGCAGTGATAAAAATAGCCTACTCACGATCAATATCATCAGAAACAATTGACCAATTTCGACAAGAGAGTATGGCATACATACATGGAGTAATGGGAATATTTCCTGAATCATTCTTGAAGCAAAGTCATCATTCCTTCCTTCACCTTGAGCGGTTCCTGCATCTCTATGGGCCTATGCCGGGCTGGTGGGCGTTTGCCTTTGAACGTCGCAACGGTTTCATTCAGAGAACGCACACAAATAGCAAGCCTGGTGCGCTTCTTATGCTCCATATTATGCGCGCTGATAGGCTATAGGTGAAATCGAGGTCACCTTTGATAATCGAATGGACCGTCTATCAAATATGGATCGGTTTCTCACAGTAGAAACCGACCCAATATTCGAAACGCTCAAAGAACAGAATATCATGTCCACTTCACATTCGCAACCAACGCTGACTCGGGCACTGCGAAAGTCTTTGAGCTTCAGCAAGGCTTTACAGCTAATACTTGAAAAGAAACAGTTTTCTACCCGCAATTGGGAACTGTTTTCTGGTATAGACTATCACGGGGTGGAGCTCAAGATTTCCCGCCGATCCTCAGAAGTTTGCAAACGGCTCGTGCTATACAGTGGCACAGACATGAACAATCAGACAATATTCTCATGTCTGGGCTATCTCACTGACATCATTCAGGAGAAATCCTTAAATGGCTCAGAGGTGCGAGTGATTGTTTGCCTCACTTGGTACAAGCCGTCCGAAACCACTAGTCAGCCATTTTATGGCGCCGAAGAAGCACAAGCCCACATATTCTCTCTGGAACTTGGTGGGTGCTATCTCTGCGAACTGTCAAAACTGTCCATGAAGCCGGTCGTATTTTATCCCTGGAGTATTACAGATCAGCTTGTCATAGTTGCATAATGTCATATTCTCTTCTGATTTTCCTAAATGATATGAAAGAACAGATGAACTTGATTCTGTGACTTTGTTCAATCAGACTATCCATTCCCGCCAGTCCTCATTGTCGCAGTCATCCTCTCTGCCCAAGAAAAGCACATCACTGACAAGAGAGTGAGCTAAATATTCACATAGACAAGTGTACAGAGCCTAATGCCTTCAAAGCCTTGATCGAAATCTCTCCCTCCCCAACATTTGCAAATCGGTATGTCCGGCTCCAACTCCAACGACTCCAACCATATCGCGATGAAAGTGGGTGTTGAAACGTCCCAATGGAAGTTGATAACCCCCTATGGATGTGATTCTCAATGTCACCCCCAGCCAGGGAGGTCGAGGTTGAATCAGAGAGGGACACGGTCCCTACGGACGTGGATGCTGTCCTCGCGGTTGCAAGGGTAAATTATGAGTCAAATCTATCATCCAAATTGAGCGGTTCATCTATTGCAAGCAAGCAGGGCAAGGTCCTCTTTATTCCAAAGGGACGCATCAGCGATGAAATGCTGTTTGAAGTCATTGCGCTGATGAGTACGGCTGTCGGCATGCATGCTAAGCGTGTGATTAGTGGCTTCGAAAGAATGAAGAGTCAGACGCTCATGACGACACGGTTGGCTAACATGACAGACGACACTCGTGCACTGTCAGACGAAATGGAGTGGTCACCCGAAGTTTCTTCGCCTCCAGTCTCTCTGTTTGAGACGGATCCAGGGTCCCCGTCCGACGCTACGGAGGTACTCGACTTTGAGGGGGATGAGGCCCCAAGCGACTCTGACAGTGCTCAGGAGGTCGCGTCTACGCCTGATTTGGCCTCTTCATATGCCTCTAGTATGTCATTCTCTTTATTACCATGCGAGGCCTTATGGTGTACCACTAGATGCCACCAGCGCCGCCAGTACTGCACCTCCTTCGACGCCTGGCTCGCCCACATACTATCCCGCCCCAGGTAAGCTAGTATCTTCAATGATATCACACCGGCTCATCGTGTATTTTAGTGTCGTCCAACGGTACCGGGACCCCGCCACCTGGGACACCCCCCACCGGTAGCCTTTCACCAGCTTCAGGTACGCTGATACTTCTGGTAATCCCTTAGTCACTGATCGAGCGTTTTTCAGAGGCGTCGAGTGAGGACGACCTAGAGGAATTTGAAGAAGACGTAGTCGGAGCCATTCATAGGCTCTCCGCCATGACCAATGCGGCTTCCGAGGACTAAGGAGACGTCTCGTGCAGAGAAATAGAAAGTTCAGGGCTTCATAAGAATTGTCCGATAAAAATTGAGAATTTACAAGCGTTTACTCCGTGAGAAGGGTTTCTTGGCCAACTACTTCAACTCGGTGCGACAGTGCATAGTAACGCGTGGCCAAGTTTTGTCGCAAAACCCAAAAGTGCCTTGTAAGGATTTGAGATTATAAGATACCTTATATAGTCCCTTACAATGACATAGTTTCATGATAGGAATTTCAAATTTGAAGCAGTCTTCTTATTCAGGTCATGGCACCTTGTCGTGGCTTGCTAACCGGATAATGTAAGGTCACTCAGACCTGGTGGGCTTATTGCTGGTTGCTAATAAGTTTGCGCCGAGCCTAATTTGGTCACAAAGTAACCTTTCGACCCTGGCCTCAACCGTTCAGGCCATTTCAGAGCACGAAACGCCACATTTAGTAGCCGCAAAGATCTAGTTTCTGAAACTAGTATTCATTTTGCACCCCATAGTCGTCTTGTGAGCTCCGTGTCTGGCTTGTTGACCGTCCTCCTGCCCTCAAAAGTGACCGTCGGCAGCGAGTACGTTCAAGGCCCTCGACTCAATCGATACGACCAACGCGACATCAACGAGGAACAGTTTAATGACATGGATCCCGCTGCACGAAGGACCGCCGAGTAAGCAATAGATAGACGTGATCCTTATGATGCTCCGATTTTTTATCTATTCACTATACATACACTCTGAGTAGCGCTCAGGGAACCGGCTGATTGAGACCAGACGATGAACCTCTGCTGCGCCTGTATGTCGCCGTTTGGAACGGTTTGAGGTTGGTCACCTGGGTAATAAACCCACGGAGCTGGGACACACCCACGAACCTTGCGGTTGCATTGGGTCAGAACTCGCCAGATGCCAGTGCCCGACGGACGCTTGGGTGAGGGATACAGAGTAAGAGCCGCCATATGGTACAAAGAAAATTCATGGAGGACCTGTTCAGAGCGGTTAGAAGAAATTAGTGGTTGCTAAACTTGAATCACCTACGCCGTTGATTGGAAATAGATTTAGAACGTCAGCCTGAGACAGCCCTTCAGTAGTTCCAGGGTCGAGAGACAGGAACCTACGACAGTAGGAGAATCAGCCAGAGCTCCAGTACACCTGATGAAAGAAGAAACGACTCAGGAAGTCACCTGGATATGAGAAGATCGATGACCAGACGACTCAGGAAGGCGCCTGGATTTGAGGAGAAGATCGACGAGTCAACTATAGAAAAAGTCAGTGAGTCAACTACCTGGGGCCTAGGATCAACCAGAAGACGCGAACGACGACTGGGATCAAGGCGACTCTAGATGAACCACCACCGGGATCAGCCAGAAGACGCGAACGACGACTGGGATCAAGGTAACTCGAGATGAACCACCACCAGGAACAGCCAGAAGACGCGAACGACGACTGGGATCAAGGTAACTCGAGATGAACCACCACCGGGATCAGCCAGAAGACGCGAACGACGACTGGGATCAAGGTAACTCGAGATGAACCACCACCGGGATCAGCCAGAAGACGCGAACGACGACTGGGATCAAGGTGACTCTAGATGAACCACCACCGGGATCAGCCAGAAGACGCGAACGAAGACTGGGATCAAGGTAACTCGAGATGAACCACCACCGGGATCAGCCAGAAGACGCGAACGACGACTGGGATCAAGGTAACTCGAGATGAACCACCACCGGGATCAGCCAGAAGACGCGAACGACGACTGGGATCAAGGTGACTCTAGATGAACCACCACCGGGATCAGCCAGAAGACGCGAACGAAGACTGGGATCAAGGTAACTCGAGATGAACCACCACCGGGATCAGCCAGAAGACGCGAACGACGACTGGGATCAAGGTAACTCGAGATGAACCACCACCGGGATCAGCCAGAAGACGCGAACGACGACTGGGATCAAGGTAACTCGAGATGAACCACCACCGGGATCAGCCAGAAGACGCGAACGACGACTGGGATCAAGGCGACTCGAGATGGACCACCGACTGAGACCAAGTGGGCTCAAGGGGGGTTTGGATGACCTGCAAACGCACGTGAGTCACTTATAGCCAAGGTTGCAGAACATACCAGTTACATAGGCCATTGCGAGCGTTGAAAAAGTACATTTGGCGGACCCAGACTTCAGCGACGCCAGCAGCACAGACGGCGCGCAGGCAGAATAGCCCGCCAACGCTGGTACAGACTATAGGAGAGTCAGTTTACAAAATGAGGGGGGTCGAAATTCACTTACTTAGAGTCTTTTTGTCCAAGTCGAATATAGACAGAGTGTCAACACTACGCACAACAAACAAGAGACAAGACTACTTCAAGGTTTCCGTCTTCAGACAGACCACCAGACGTCAGTGACACCAGGACCAAAGTTGGTTTAGCAAGATTGACGAACCTGCGATCTTGGTATATATATTATTTAAAATAACAACCCCAGAATATCGTTGCAGTCTGGTAGGAGCGGTTGATAAGCCAAACAAGAGAACACAAGAGACTGCAGACCGTTGAGTGTCGCTTTCTAAACAAGTAAGACGCGACCTGGTTGACTAGTTGGAAGGAGACGGGTCCAAGTTGTAAGATGGTCACCGACCACCAGTTCGGCAAATAAACCAATTACACCAACCTCTAGCATGCCATTCGCTTGAAAATTTGGCAACACATGCCCAGTTTCCTTGTAGAAAGTTGAGTGCCTGGCCTCGAGGCCGCCCCAACCCGACACATGCTTGATGTGAGCTACGAAGCAAACCTGGACATCTTAAAAGGCTGATTTCTGCGAGCAAACATTTGACATCCTTTCCAATGGCTCCCACTGCCTCGTCTCAAAGGCCCAAACGCGAGCAAAAGCCCAAATCTCCCTCGTCTCTGAAGCCCGAAGGCCAGCCGAAGTCGAAGCCTGCTATAGCTCAAAAGGCCAAAAACAGGCGCGCCCGCAAGACAAAGGCCAAGGCCAAGGGCAAAGGCAAGGGGAAGGAGGAGGATCCTCTCGGGAATCCTCCACCCCCCCCCCTATGCTTTAGCTGTGGATCCCCCAAACACTATTGAGGCCGTCTCTTGCGCTGAGACTTCTGAAGGCAGTCCTCGCCCCACGAAAGCCGTCTCTCCACCCAAAACGCCAACCCGTAGCCAACCGCTCTCCCCTCCCGGCCTCCCTCAGCTGATGCGTCGTACTGGGCAGCAGGTGCCCCCACCAACAATCGATCCAATGTTCGAAATCTCGCATACACGTGGCGTGGAGTGGTCACAGCTGTTGACAATGTGTGGAACATTGTCCGAATCGCTCGAACGTATGTACCGTTCATACATACCTCATCGGCCAGACAACGAGGACCCTTTCGTTCGCCTTCGAGATACCCTGCACCGCGAAAACAAACAAGGGACGCTCACCAAAGTCACGTCTGAAGCGCTGATGATTGTTGAGGAGCTTTGGAGCCGTCGTGAACGGCAATGGCTCCGCGAGGGAAAATATATACCCTGCGGCATCCGAATACAAGACAATCAGTTAAATACAAATGATGCCGACTGCTATCGAATTATCAAGCTTCTGTTCGATCAAGCACACACACCGATGGGTATCCCTGAGGTCTGGAAAGATGCCTTGCGGCTTCTCGGCAGCAGGGAGCTTCAAAATCACAAAAGTGAAGTATCCTTGATTGGTCGCGAAGAGCTGAAGCCACTTTATTGGACCTCTCCTATTGGTGCGGCTCGAGAGCCAACTCCATGGGAGATTGTCGCTCACCTGGTAGCCGCGAGCGGCCGGTCGCCGAGTTGGTTGAAGGAGCATTTGGTCCCGTTTGTTGAACGTGCACAAAGCGATCAAGAGGAACGCAGAAAGTCACACACTCTGTAAATAATGCTTTGAGTATTACATATCTTTTCCTACTATTGCTTGCATAATTCCCATAGCCTGCATTTGCACCCACTCCCACGCCATTAATTGCATCGATCGTCAGAAAATCGAAATCTAGTAGTGACCAAGTTCAGATGCCACGTCTAGTCAGGACATAAGTACGGATGTGAGGACGTATTATGACCCTGTTCTGACTCGTAATGGCCAACTGGCACATCGTTGGGACCGCTCATGGCGAGGTGACTGCCTGTCACCACTTGGTCACAATAATTGACGAGTTTGTTACGACTGATCATAACGTGCTATTGGTTTGGCATGACATAGTGACGACGCGTCGTGACCTCCATTGATATGTCGCGACAAGTTGTGATATCAAGTGGATATGCCACAACTACTCACGACTTCTAGTATGTCACCGATGACAGATCACGGAATCAAGAACCTATGCCAGAACGTATCACGACAGGGGATCCGTAGATCAAGCCCCAGAGGTTCAACATGCATATCTCTGTCCATAAAAGACGCACTTAGGCTCACTCGCTAATGAATGGGGGTCTTGCGAACGTATCAAAATCGCTCAAGTCGTGTGCATCAGCCATTCGCACCATGGACGCAGTTGGATGCGAGTTTGTAAAGCTTTTCGTGCCTTTCGTGCACTTTTACGTTATTTTGGCTGCGGTGAGAGTGCATATGTGCGATATCCCTACTTTTTGAGCAGAGGTTCAAGCCGCAGAGCTCCTCGTTGAGATATCTTGCATTAATCTATGTTTTTAAGAGTACAAATACTCATTTTAAATGTCAATAGATGCTATACTGATCGCCCAGGCAGTGACGTTGGTTGGACTTGGTGACTTTTGCCACTTGGACCCAACCGCATCCAGTGTACCTCTCCGCCGGTCCGCCACGACGAGGAAACGATCGGAAAGAACGCTTTAGACATATCAATGGTATTTTAGTGCGCCAAACCTCCGCGCACACGTGTTGCGATTCGTGTTCGGACGTCGTTCGTTTGGTTTACCATTGTGTGGTCAATCGCAGGGATCTCCCACACGACTCAAAGAGGTTCTGTGAGTAATGGACGCGTATTTCTACGCGTTTCTTGCTGATATCTGTCTTGGTTTGCCACCGAAATTGACTTTACGTCGGGACCCATGGAATTTGCACCCTCCTGCGTACTCAGATCTGGACAGACGATATTTTACCCGGATCTCGGTCATAGCAGTTGTCCTGTTATGTAAGTAACTTACGGTGGCTGCGCATGTTCGTCTCTAACAATCCACTAAGCCCTTTCCGCACGTCGGTGCGTCTGCGCCGCTGTGGCGTATTGGTGAATGAAAAGGCATGCATCCTCGCCGCCAACATCATGGCCAAACCACAATATCAAGGCATTTCAATGACTTTGCTCGGCAATCAAGCGGCACTCCGCTCCACGGAATGAAGAAGGATGCGCGGCAACGGACGTCTTTAGTTCGAGCCGCCCAGCACTGTCAACCGAGTCCCCGATCCTAAATTCTACTGTAATTAGCGGGGGGGGCTTAGGACATCAAGGAGTACCTAGGATGACTACTCTCCCTCTGTGGTAGGACCTCTCAAGCAGTTGCCCGAATTTCCTGCCAAATTGTCTGTGGATGTTTCCGTCTGTGTATGAACAAGCCGTTTCAAACGAAGACGTCGCTACGCTTCATCGTGCCGCGCTCTGACCCGAATGAAGCCCGTTCCTTTCGTCCCTAGCCTAGGAAGGTTCGTGATATGGTTGCCAAATGGATACAATTTAACCTTGAGTTCAGACGCTGCTTAATCTCGAACGCGGAGATAGTGTTTCACGCGGCGGTGGAGGGCCGACATCCAGCAAACTGCACCTAGAATTGATACAAAGAGACTTTTGCGCAGTCCGTCGAGAAGCGAGTTCTTCTTAGAATCGTTCCGAAACAAGTGATATCTCCTTATTGAATCTGCTCCTTTTAAACCCAGGCGGACCATAACTCTGGTGGTCATTTTCGAACACTTTTAATCTCCTCTCTCCGCAATGGCAAGTGCGACGAACGAACCTCTTCAAGGATTGGCAGATAATGACGGTATGATGGCGTCTTGTGAATTTCTATACTGACAAGACACTCCGCAAATTTTCAGCAATTATGGACGAGGCGATTCCATCCCTTTTCACCGATCCTCCCGCCACGGGTACGTTTTCATCGTACCTCTCGCCAAGACACTGACTCCAAATTAAAGAGGAATCCATGCAGTACAAGTTAAGTCTCAAAAGAGGCTACAAGCGCCATCAACGAGCCCAGAGGCAGCAGCTTCCGCCCTGGTTCATCCAACGGAAGGCGCAGCAGCTCCGGCTGAACGAGATGCAAATATTTCGTCTCCAAACCTGTGGATTCATCGAGGAGGTACAAAATGACTATCAAGCAAGGAATGACCCCGACAGTATCGCACTACCAGTTCAGATGGCTTCAGGGGCTCATCTCGCATTTCTTGTGCGCTTTGTCCTCTAGAATTTGGCCCAGCTGACTCAGTATTTGCAGGCTGCCATCAGGAATGAGATGCGAGGATGTCTCGACAAGTCACTCTCACGGATGAACCTCGATCTCGATAACGGAGATTTGGCTGCGAATATTGAGGACTTTGGAGGTCCCAATGCAAAGTTCACAATTCTGATGGACGAACCATTGGGATATCGGCACAACGTTCTTGCACGCATCATATTTGTGTACCACTTCCTTCAACAAAATGCGGATGGCGTCTTGAGTGGCTATGATCTCCCGCCTGATGCTTCCATACCGGACGTTGTCCTCGCGCGAGTCACTTCCCATGTCAAGGCAAGAATCGCTACCGAAAGGAAAAACGATGTGTTCCGAGCCCTGGAGGAACGTGAGCAGCTTTCAGCACTCAAGAGACGAGCTGGACGCCGTTATCAGGTATGTATTTGTTGCTTAATCGATATATCTGACGCGAATTCACCAGAAATGTAAATCCCGACAAAAAGTGGCAATGGCGGAACCCGGCCTCCAGGCCCTCCAGGCCTACGTTTCTGTCCACTCTGCCATGCATAGTGACGAGGAATCAGAAGATGAATCGACAACTGGAAACGAAGGTGGAGATCGCCCAAAAATCCTCGCTGTTAAGGAACTTCCATGGCGCAATCCACTCCTAGGTGCACTCTTCCACGCTTTGGATGTCATCGAGCCCAACCAGCGCAAGATTAAGGGAACATACCAGATCAATATTGTCCCCAAACCCTCCAAGCAATTGAGGCGGATCTTCTTGTTGGAGGACTCCCAGAGGAAGGTTCAACCCAAAATGCCTCGAAACTTTTACGAGGAAAGCTTCTTCAGGGAGCTCGAGGCAACTGGGGATTATCATCGACTTTGTCCTGCACCTTCGACTCCTGCGGCACTCCCTAGTTTCGCCGCCTATGATCGATACATCAAGGAGCATTATCCATGGGCCGTTGGGCAATGGGTCTCCCACATTTACGACTGTCTGAACTGCTCAGTCCCAACACAGGCTCTGAAGGAAACCATGTGTAGGCTTTCCGTCGACTCCGTGCGACGCGCAGCCTCATGCAAGTCTACGTCTTTTATCTCTTTCGTCGCTTTAGTCCTCGGACTAACCGTATCCATTATTTATATCCCATCACTTCTTTCCCCACGGACCTTTGACCATTGACACTCATTTGCCCCCTTATTGCAGTCGACTGCCTTCCACTCATTCTAAATTCCATTCTCATTTCCTCCTTTCCATCCGATCAATATCCTCTCCGTCTTTATCAACCGTTGTACTTGCCTGTTCTTTGATCCAGAGGGTAGGCTTGTACTCCCTAGTAACCGTTTGCAACATAAAACCGTTACAAAGGCCATATCTTGTCTGAGCCAACTCGATTCATCATTCCACAAACATAAGGTCTTGACTTGACTTTCACTTTGTCGTCTTATCTTATTTCCTATACCTCTCACATCAGAAGATAATACTCGTAACACTAATATTTCTCGTATACTGTTAAACGGTATTCCTTTATTGTTATCATCGTCCCATGGGGTTAATCATGATCGAACCTACCATGAGAAACCGAGGCAAGAGGTGGGCTGAGAGCGGGAAACAATGGCCAGGACTCAGTATTCAGATTGATTTTGTATTTATTTAACATCGGTCCGACAGGTTAGATGGTTCAAGTAGCTTGGCCAGTCGGATTAATATACTTTTGAACCCAACCGCGACCGAGGTCAGCCCCCTCAGAGCGCGTGTTTTGCTTCAAACTATCCATGACGTCTTCGAGCGGTGGAGGTTTCAGAAGAGACTGAGGTCATTCCGACCATTGCGCAAATTGCATCCGTTACCCCTATGCTTTCACACGAAGCTGCCTGGACTCCCCATTCTGAGCATCCAGTCTACAGCAAAAAGTCTCCAGAAACGACTTGTCCATACCTGATACCGTCTCAATTCCGGACGACGCAGCCCTCGCCGTCAGCGACTGTATTTTGTTCCCGCTCGTCCACAAACGCCCCCCGGGGAACGCGCAGCCAGCGAAAAGAGTGCTGGGAGGAGTAAATGGCTTAGCGAATGGTGGACTTATGCTGCGTATGTCCCTTATTTCGCTCTTGAGATAGCTGGTGCTGATCTTATGAGGATAGCTACATGGCATATCGGGACTCCGTTATCGTTTTCACTAGCTACATCTACGTACACATAGCTATTCAACAAGGAAGAGGACGAGATGTAGGTGCAGCAAAGGTTTTGAAGGGTCTGCTCATGTTTGGGCAACTCGTCGAAAGCCGAACACTCAAGTCGGAAAGTTCAAGGACTATTACCTCGCCTTGAGCTCGTACAAGTGACTATGCGTCTCTACCTAACCTCGTTGAAAGGTTGCTCACAAAGCCCTCGGTACAGATTCAACCCGACCCGACTGCCGACCGCCGGTTCCGACACTGCAAAAGTACCCGGCCGATTCGCGCAACCATGTTGTGCTCATTCGAAAGAGCCGTTTCTGTGAAGTTGCAATTGGTGTCGGCGAGGAGCTCTCCGTGGCAGACTTGGAGGCTTTGATCACCAAGGTTGTCAGAGCGGCAGACAAGATCGGTGCTGGACATGCTGTTGGTGCACTCACGAGCGATAATAAGACTGGAGGTGGGAGGTCGGATTCATGAATGTAAACGTCATACCGCCAGATGCAAACTATTGCGCAGATGTATTGGTCCACTCAAAGTGCCGGTCAAGGATACGATGATTGGGCATAATGTGCGTGAAATGTTCCTTCGGCTCTCAACCTTGCAGGGCAGTCAGAGCCAATTGTCTATGGGTGCGCTCCCTTTCTCATCCGGCCAGTGGCTTTTCTGAATGCTCTTGTAGTATCACTGACTTTTCGTTGATTTAGTTATCTTATGGCGAGACGATTATCAAGACCCACGGGCCAAAGTTGACCAAGCTAAACCTCGAGGCAATGCAAATGGTCTCAGATGCGTTTACAACTGTCTGGCTCATAGAATTTTCCCCATTCTGTTTGTCGCATAACATACTCATCCACCATTTATTGACATCTTTGTCAGTGCGCTTCATCCTTACTTGGATGCCAGGCACCTACTTCTGGTTCGCGCTCCGATTTGTTGTTTGCCTATCTAAAACTCTAAAGGTGTCAAGTGCCAAGTCGACAGACATAGTCCACCGGATATGAGAGTGGCCATTCCAAATGGTTCTGGACCTCCACCCTTCACTACCTCCCCTTTGCTCACAATAGAGCAGAACAAAGGACAACTCGGCCACTGCGTCGCACTTGACTTGATCGAAGAATTTGGACCAATGGATAATGTCTTGTTATTTCCTTACGGAATGGAGCCAGGTCCCCAGACACAGTCACTTTCTTAGAAATATAGACGCAAGATGGTAAGATGCTTGTTTATGAGCTCGATGGATAGTTCTTTGATCTATATCCCAGATGCCCACAGTATGGCGAAGCATGCGTATGCCTGCAGCAAAGTTTTTCCCATCATCAGAGAACAGTTATCAGGTTAAAAGCTGGTGGTTAGGCTATTTAATCCATACACACACTCTCGCTCGCTCGGACCATATTGAAGAGATTGTAGGTACAGAATTGGTGAGCTAAGATCGCAACGGGCAGGCCTCTTTCTTTGTCTACAGTTTCAAATGGACCCATTTAACTCGCAGACGCCCCTTGTTGCTGAAATATGTGCATCTAAGCCGAGAATCTCCCCGGTTGGTTTCCCAGGTTGGTTTCCAATTCAGTTTTGGCATACCGGAAGCTGTGATGGGTTCTTGTAAAGTATATCGTCCTGAGTGAAGTGAAAAGCTCCTTGATTTGATGTTGGGTGATATAAAGTGATTGCAATCGCCGATGGTTTGTGTAGTCAGCGTATGTCTTGTTGGGACAATACCAGCCTCAAACAGAAATGGAAAATGTAAGTTACTGTGGTAGCCCTACAGGCAATGATTGAATGAAACCCAGATGATGCCGCCACAAAAAGAGGTGGCTATCTTCCAAAGTTTGCTTGAGATCACTCGCTGAAACAAACACTTGTACGTAAATAGAGACATCGAATAAAGACGCCGGTCGGTTACCAATAAGCAGGAGAGTACGCGTAAATGTTTCAAGATTGCGAAAGCTGTCCGTCCCTGCTTACGGCGGTTTAGAAGGTCGTCTGCTGCATCTGTCAGACGGGTCTCCAGATGGGTCTCCAGACGGGTCTCCAGATGAGCCTCCAGACGGGGTTTTAGACCGGTCTCCAGACGGGTCTCCAGACGGATCTCCAGAAGGGTCTCCAGATGAGCCTCCAGATGGATCTCCAGACTGGTCTCCAGAAGAGCCCCCAGATGGGGTTTTAGACCGGTCTCCAGATGGGTCTCCAGACGGATCTCCAGACGGGTCTCCAGAAGAGCCTCCAGACGGGGTTTTAGACTGGTCTCCAGAAGATCATCCAGACAAGTATCCGGACTGTCCTTTAGGCGAGCTTTCAGGGATTGTGACATAGAGGTAAGTTATCCGGTTGATATCCTTGGGAATTTCTTAGAGGATAAGGTTGATATTTCACTATAATTTACAACGCCCAAAAGGACTGGTAACAGTTGGGCGTTTAGATGTCTCCCATCTGACCACCACCGCCGTGTGCTGAGCAAAGAGGAGCGACTGAAAGGCTCAGATAGAATGACTGCTTATGTGTATGTCATGCTACAGGTGTATTCCAAGAAGGCACTGATAGCCACTACGTGGACATGGCCGGGTCCAAGGATAGACTGTGGTCCTCTTCAGTGTCGGATAGGCCTTGTCTGTGCGTATAATCTGCGAATATAAGTTGTATAATCCCCGCTGTTCATCTGAGCGTTCCCTGTAAGTTCCGGTGGAAAGTGTCCAGATTGGGCGACGTCTAGCAAGCAAACTTGACCTCGTCCGCGTCTCTCGTGCAGCGCTGGACATCTCCTGGCCCTTTCTTCTGCCTCGATTCATCTTGCAAAGCATAGCAAACGGCGATTGACTTTACTTTAACCATCGCACACGCGCTGCGAGTCATTCTACACAGGCGGCAGCACCTCTGGGAGCGCCTCTAGAGCCCTCGGAACGCGGCTGATGCTTGATCTTGCATTTACTAGTCATGCACTAGGATATCTATCCATCCTCTGTTGGCTCGGAGCCCAGTTTCCGTGAGTCCCTCTTCCTTGCCATGGCGTGTTCTGTGATTCATGTCTACTTGTATGCTTAAATGCTAACTATTTTTCGTTTCCATCTCTTCTCTACGCTATAACACGTCTTTGTATACTGGCGTCCTTTCTCCTGAACACGCTGGACGTCCTCAAAAACCAGTCAAGTAATCGTCAACATTCAAACTCAGTCTGTTGAAGGATTGGCACTACCCTTTCTTGCAAATTGGTTGCTCGGTTAGCAAACTCTTCTATCACGCGTGCTCCATCTTCCATTTCCGCACTGCATATGGACAGTTCTTGAGCTTCTGTGTATGGTGCTCGATAACCTATCTGATTTTCCTCATCGCCTCGCTCTTACGTATTTTGCTTTTCAAGCCGATCCCCCGTTCCGGTGTGATCGAAGCCACTGACACTTTGAGCAGGCGACATTACCAACCTGGTCGGATGCATACTCACTCATCAACTCCCCTTTCAGACCTACCTGGCATCCTATTTCGTATTCGTCGACGTTACCTTGGTCGCCCAATACATCTATTACTACAAGCCTAGCCCACCAACCTCGCCCTCAGTATCGCTAACTCCTTCTCCTACACTCTCTCCAGCAGTCACTCTGACTCCCACAGGCGTGATCTACGCGCCAAGGTCTCTCACGCGACCACACTCACGCACTCCCCTTTTATCCATCGACGAACTCGAAGCAGGCCACCGGGCATACGACGGAAGGGAGCGGAGTCATCCACGTGCTGGAAGTATTCGCTTTACAGGCGTCATGGCCGCCTACCCACCTGCGGGACTGCTCCCAAGCTCGGAAGAGCTGCATGTGGCTGCGAGTGGCACCGTCAAAGCGCGCAAGAGTTTGAGCAAGCCGAGCATCAACAGCTTGCGACTCCGACTCGAGAGTATGGGCGACAAGGGCAAGGAAAAGGAAGGCGCACACCGAAAGGAGAGGACGACGGATGATGGAGAAGAAGACGACGAGGTCACTGCCTTGACAGATAGTGTTTACTCCGAGGCATCGGTTGCGACTACGTCTGGTGGACGGCGTGTCGTGGTCCCGAGGAGCGTCCCATATCACAATGCCGCGACGACTATCAGAGATTGAACATGTCGAGAGTCCCACTGGTGAAACCACACCGACTCCTGGAGATAGCGAAGCACGACAGCGCTCTCGCTCACGTGGTCGACCTTCACGTCGGTCTCGACTTGGTACCATGTCCAGCTATGAAGGACCGGCGACGGCAGAAGCCGGACGTTCGGTTGTGTTGCATGGCACAGACGGGAGGAGCTCGCATGCGATTGACATCGACTTGGAGGCGGAGCAGGCGAGGGAGCGGGAGAGGGCAAGCAAGAGTGGCTCACGCAAGCGAAGTGCCAGCATTGTCTTTCTCAGTGTTGGTATTGGCGCGCTGTTTATGGCGAGTGGCGGTGGTGGCGTCCTGTCACGTTCCACCTCGCTTTCGACTGGCGACCCAACGCCTCTTCGGGGAGAGGTGTTGACGTGGGCTGCGGATGTCGAAGAGGCTCCCCGAATACCGTCACTTGATCAGCCGGTATTCTATTCGTTTCAAGGTGACTCTGAAGAGGATGAGCAGAGAAAGGGACGACCTCGTCGAGAGCAGCCACCGCTTACCCGTGAGCAAAAGCGACGGATTATTGGACGGATTAGCGCCTGGGCTTGCACGACGCTCTATCTCACCAGTCGCTTGCCGCAGATTTGGAAGAATGTAGGTCCATTTCCCCTTATCAGAGTACCTCTTGCTAACGGCTTTACAGTATACGCGCAAGTCTGTCCAAGGACTCTCGTTGGCGCTCTTTGTCTTTGCTTTTCTTGGAAACAGCTTCTACGTCGCCAGCATTCTCAGCAATCCAATCTTATGGGAATACGCCCCCGGTGGAGAACCCATCGAGGCGGGCGTTGCCTCTTTTCTAGGACACCTATTCGGCCACGTCGATCCACCGTATCGCTCACCGCGCGCAACTGCGTTTATCCGCGAGTCGCTACCTTATCTCTTGGGGAGTGGTGGGACGCTGTGTTTTGATGTGATTATCGTTACGCAAGGTATCATTTACGGACGACGAGAGCAATTGGAGGACGAAGAAGACGAAGAGGATGAAGAGGAAGGACTGGAGGAGGAGATTGAAGAGGTTGAGCAGGATGGGTTGCGTGGACTCGCTTTGCGAAAGGAAGCTCATCCTTCTGATCAGTCACCGGACAAGCTTTTGCAGAGTGTGCATCCAATAGATGCCCATGGGTGACAATGTACACTATTTCCCGCTGATGAACAAGAGTCCACCGCGACTTGTTGATGTAGATAGAGTTGCTTCCGACCGTCGAGGAGGGTCTTACCGACCCAAATCACATCGAACACCCGGATCGGTAGACCTTACCGACGCACACGCGGGACCTCAGGCTCAGCTTTCTCCATGACGCTACCTCATCGTACTCACGCCGAAAAACCGGCTGCCTCTCAAGTCCATACACCATCTCATCAACACAACGGCAATAAGTTGAGCTGGATGTCACGGTTCGTGGTATGACCAATGAAGTATACCGGGAGATAATAGGCATCTAATGTGGTGTCACAATCTAGGCTGTTTGAGTATAGTAAATCGATTGATAGAGAGACTACAACAATTCAGTCATAGGTGTCGTTTCGAACCTTTGTCCATGAGAGACCGCATCGAAACCGAGTAAAGTCAAGCTTGGTTGCGCGCAAGGAACTCGTCGTTGGCATTGTAAGGAGGTGGGGATATTCGAGTCCATGTCTATTCTCTGGTGGTACCCAGAATAGATATTTACCAGATGATTGCACCCAGCCATCGCGCAAAAGTGAGCACTGTTCGAATCCAGGTACACGGAGTCTCAGGGAGACGCCAGAGACATTCGGAGGTCTTGAATCTTCAAGTCCTTTATCATCCTGGTTCGAGTTCCTTTGACTTGTAACTGATGATGTTATCAGCCATTCTATATAATACGGGAACTTACTTACTGGCACTCGTAGACCATAAACAGACTGTCTTATCTAATGAGCCAGATGCAATTCTGGAGCCGTCAGGTGAGAATGCCACCGCGCTGACATAACTCTGATGACCTCGCAGCGGCTGTCCCAAAGGCTGACCAGTTCCTGCATCCCACAGCCGAATTGTGTAGTCAAATGCGCCAGAGACAATTTGGGAGCCGTCTGGCGAAAATGCGACTGCCATGACATACCAGTCATGCCCCCGGAGTGGCTCCCCCAACAGCTGACCAGTTACAGTGTCCCATATCCGAATCGTCTCGTCCTCCGACCCAGAGGCAATTCTGGAGCCATCTGGCGAGAACGCAATCGCCATGACAGGCCCATCATGGCCTCGGACTGGCTCCCCCAACGGCCGACCAGTCCTTGCATCCCAGAATCGAATTGTGTGGTCGTGGGAGCCAGATACAATTCTGGAGCCATCTGGAGAGAATGCCACTGCCTTGACACACCTTACGTGACCGTAGAATGGTTCTAATGGCTGACCAGTCTCCGCATCCCATAATTGAATCGTCGTATCTTCAGAGCCAGAGACAATTCTTGAGCCATCTGGCGAGAATGCGACCACTGTGACATTGTGTCCATGACCTTGGAGTGGCTCTCCCAACATCTGACCAGTGCCAGCATCCCACATTCGAATCGTCATGTCGTTCGAGCCAGATGCGATTCTGGTGCCATCTGGTGAGAATGCCACCGTCGTGACATAGTCTTCATGACCTCGAAGTGGCTGCCCCAAGGCCTGACCAGTCCCTGCATCCCACATTCGAATCGTCATGTCGTCCGAACCAGAGATGATTTTGGAGCCATCTGGCGAGAATGCCACAGCTGTAACATAGGCTTGGTGACCTTGGAGTAGCTCCCCCAATGACTGACCAGTCCCTGAATCCCAGAATCGAATCATCCCATCATCTGAGCCAGAGACAATTCTAGAGCTGTCTGGCGAAAATTCGACTGCTCTGACAGGTCCTTCATGACCTTGCAGTGACTCTCCCAATGGCTGCCTATTTGCTGCATCCCACATTCGAATCGTGTTATCTTTCGAGCCAGACGCAATTCTTGAGCCATCTGGTGAGAATGCCACAGTTGTGACATGGTGGCTATGCCCTCGAAGTGGGTTTCCTACTGGCCGACTGGTCTGTGCCTCCCATAACTGAATTGTCATATCCTGCGAGCCAGAGACAATTTGGGAGCCATTGGGGGAGAATGCGACCGCAGTAACAGGTCCTTCATGACCTCGGAGTAGCTCTACCAGCTGACTAGTTTCAGCATCCCACACTCGAATCGTCTGGTCGGATGAGCCAGAGGCAATTCTAGAGCCATCTGGAGAGAAAGCCACTGCCCATACAAATCCGCCATGATCACGGAGAGGATCTCCCAACGGTTGACCAGTGGTCGCATCCCATAATCGAATTGTTGTATCTAATGAGCCAGATATGACTCGAGAGCCATCCGGCGAGAATGCCACACCCGTGACATAGTGTTCATGTCCTCGGAGTGGCTGCCCCGAAGGCTGGCCAGTCACCGCATTCCACATTCTAACTGTCATGTCGCTTGATCCAGAGACAATTCTGGAGCCATCTGGTGAGAATGCGACTGCCATGACAGACCCTTCGTGGCCTCGAAGCGGTTCACCCAAAGGCTGACCAGTCTCCGCGTCCCATAATTGAATTGTTGTGTCTTCCGAACCAGAGGTAAATCTAGAGCCATCCGAGGAGAATGCCAGCGCTGTGACAGGGAGGATATGGCCTCGCAGAGTTCTGGGGAGTCCAGGGTACATTTCGTCAAGTCCTTGCGTCACTTTCAAGGTATTCATATATTTATCCAAAGCTTCAAGGCGTATTTTTGACCTTTTAGGGATAAACGGAAGGGCCGAAATGTAAATGTGTGGAGCACTGTCCTGGATCGGCACTGAAAATGCCATGATAAACCGCCGGATCTCCGTTATCCTGTTGCTAGTCTCCTCATTAACCTATTTCTGTAAGCTATCGAAGTTGTTTCAGAGTTACGACTCACTCCTGTATGGTCTGCAACGGCCCGAAGCCCTGCTATCGCTCGTGGTACTCCTCCAGTGAAGCTCAGAATCTCCATCCAGGGCAGCACATATAGGGTTTGAGTCATTTGCTTTACCCCATTCTCGAGTGTGCGTCGCCAGTCGTCTCCCGTTTCCGCCAAATGGAACAACCAATGCGAACTGGCATATCGGAGTCTTCTCGAAATAAAGCGAGATATTCTAGTGTCGATGTCTGGGATCTGCCTATTTAGGTGAAAAGATGACTCGAGCTGACATATATTGAACTTGAGGCCTTCGGTCCGCGACATGAGGGATTTGAGACACCAGGATGCAGCTTGGCCGTGCATGTTGACGATATCGGGGCGGATTCTGTTACGATTATCGGGTGTTGGAGAGGCAGACGAGCGTCGTCGAAGATACTCGACCACTGTGGGGTGACGAAATTGGAGGAGATTTGTGGTGGCATCTTTGGTGAGGACGCTTCCAAGGTTTCGCACCAACGCTTCGGCGCTTCCACGTATGCTGGCGTGCTTCAGCAGATCGTCCAGATCACCGGCAGTGAGCGGTTCGAACGCAACAAGCAGCAGACCGAGCATCGCACTTATTACCGTGTAGAATTCGGGATCCACGCGCTCGAAGACCAGATCGTATACGTTCTCTATGGCTCCAGCCTGATCCATAGAGACCAGATCGTCATATATGTCTTGCGGCGAACTGAAGGTGGATTGGCTTGTAAGCATTCGACACGCTGTACTCGCCCAGATGAACAGCCTGTCGGCCTTCTCAACCAGCCTTTGCCTCTGGTCCACCGACAGCACTCCATCTAGCGATTGGTGAATATAGACCGCAATGTCATCGACATTATCGCGATGATGAACATCATGGAGGCGGTCCTCCAACTTGGTTTTGATCGCGAGTGATCCTAGGGCGCTTTCGATGATAGGGTCAGGCCGACTCGTCATGAATATCTTGAGATTCTTGCAATCTCGGACGGCGGTGAAAAGCATTTCGAGTAGCTTTCTTCTCTGTTCTGCGGATTTGCACTCGTCGAGTGCATCGAGGACAAGGATTACGCGTTTTGACCCTTGCTGAAGGGGACCAGTGACGAGGGTCTGGAACTGTTCCTCGAGAGAGCACCGCACAATAGAAGGTTTCTGCTTCACGGCCGCAGCAATGTGTGGCGCGAGTTCGGGAATGTAGTGAACGAGATCTCTCGCTACGGTAGAGCAAAATTTGTCGGTAGTTGACCCTTCGCTGCTCGCGAGGGAGAAGAAGAATTGGCCACCTAGTATCCCATCTCTCTGCCATGTTTCTGCTGCAGACATGGCCACTGTGGATTTGCCCGAGCCAGCTATGTCGCATAGCCAAAATATCGGGTTCTCTGATGCATCGTCCTTGGCCCACTCCCAGATTGTCTGAAGAACAGCCTCTCGGGTTCCATTCAGACATGTTCTATGGACAGAGGATGGAATGAATGTTGACGTTGGCAGCTGGAGGATAGCAGCGTTGTCGGCTTGAACTTCTAAGCAAGCGACTCACACCAAGCTCTAACTTACCGTCTGTGAGAATTGTTTCCACGTTTGCACTTGTAGCTTTTGTGGTCTCTTCGATGGTTCGAAGACGTAACGAGGTATAAACACTCAAGGCGTCCTGCATTTGAGGTGAGCGCTTGAATAAGACTAATAATGCTCGCACCATGAACAGCCTATGGCTGTGCTCGATATCCCTGTTGAGCTTAAGTATCTCTCCTACATCCACTTTTCCATTAATGAATGCCTTCAAGAAGCCGAGCTTGCTGCCACTGCGCTTCTTCTGCAGATTGTCGACCATATCATGCATATCCTTGAGGGATCTGACTCGATCAGCCCACAGTCTCTCTGTAGAGTGATCCACGTACTCGCCATAGTTAACGAGGGCCCGACTGATCGCGCTATCGATGGTGCCGTCCTCAAGGGGGCTTGCGGTGAACAGCGTGAGTTGCTCTTCGAGAGTAGAGCTTTGTTCCACCAGACGACGTTTGAGGTCATTCCATTCTTCTTGGTTGTTGTCTATGGCCTATCGTGCTCGTTAGATGAAGCGACCCACGCAACTATTATTCGCCAACTGACCTGGGCAGCTTCGAGGATAGACTTGGTTGCCAGACAAGCTGCCTTGAGAGGGCTCAGTATATCTGATCCTTCGGATATATTCGCCAATAGGCCCAGGCTAAAGATGGCCGTGTCTTGCACTTGGGCTCTCTTGGTTGATGATGATGCCTGGTCAACAGATGGAGGTTCCGGTCTACTAGCAGTCTTGCGTGATTTCTTGGCCTTGTCTGGCCTTTTCTCCGACATCGTGAACGTGGAGAACTCCAAGGTGTGATGGGCGTCTGCCAGTCTCTGCGTCGTGCCGTCGACCACAAGCGGGCTTGATGAATACAGAGCTCATATCACCTTTGGAAATTGGTTAGTGCATTCTTCAGACTTGCTGACACTTCGCGTACTTTCTCGGAAACACAGCAGTTATCCATCGACTTGTCCTCACTGGGTGCCTAGGCATTATTGAGCCTCGGAGTGTCTAGAGTGAGACCCTATAATTCATCTCTTACATTTAATGCTCCTTTGAATAACGTGTGGAACTGTCACGGCGAAACCAGCTCTCATGCGCTGATGAAGGCGTTTATATCGACTTGTTTATTCCTCTGTAACGATATGGATAGAGCTTGTTCTCATCCCTCTACTCACTTGCGGAATATTCTGCCGTCGCTCTAATAACTTCGACCCGACCGCCACGCTCCATTACCACGAGCTACTAGGATTACGCGCCGGTTTCTCGCTGAACAGGTTGCCGAAGAAAATATATAAGCGCTAGGGCGAAGAATAGATTTATATCTACCACAACGCGAAAATGGCGTCTCAAAAACCGGTCCGTAGGCATCGTCACGTCTAGTTCCCGATGTAAACAGCAGCTTATTTTCGTCTTTTACTTAGACAATCACGTCCTCGTCTACAATACAGCACCTCCAGACGCAGTCACTGCTCGCGATGCTAAACCTGAATGCTCCACCACCGACAATCGCACCAGAGAAATCCACCGCATTAGGTTATTTGTACAGCTATCATTTACCGTCCTCGGCTAACGTGTAGCTTTGTGTATAGGAGCTGCGAATGCGCCTAGTGGACCCACAGTATGGAAAGTCTTAATTCTGGATAACAGAAGTAAAGACGTCCTCGCGACGGTGCTACGAGTTCAAGACTTGAGAGACGTTGGTGTCACATTGCATGTGTACGTGGCCGTTTTTTACGCAACGTCGCGTCCTCGTCATGTGCTTTGGTGCGTTACCGTGGTGCTGATGATTCCATATGTTTAATATAGGCAGTTACATACCACAAGACCAGCGTTGCCTGATGTTCCTGCCATTTATTTCGTGTCTCCCACCCTCCAGAACATCAAGAGGATAGCAGAAGATCTCAACGCCGGACTGTACGAGAGTTATCACCTCTCATTTATAGAACCTCTACCTCGAGCGCTACTTGAGGAGCTTGCAAGTCTCGTTGCACGAGATGGCACCAGCGAATCTATCGAACAGGTGAGTCTCATTTTACTCTTCTAAATGATATATTCCAACGTCTATCAGGTACTAGATCAATATCTATCCTTCGTCACGCCATCACCACAACTCTTTTCTCTCCTCCCGGCATCGTCGACAGCACCAGCTCAACCAAGTGGCTCAGCCCAAGCAGGAGAAGTCTCCAACCTCACAACCGAATTAACGTCGTACTACACGCTCAACGCACCATCGGCAACAGAACAAACCATCGAAGCGGAGATTGATCGAATTGCGAGTGGCTTGTTCTCAGTGGTCGTCACGTCGGGACAAGTACCCTATATTCGTAGTCCACGACGGAATGCAGCAGAGATGGTTGCGCGAAAGCTTAATGCAAAGATTCGGGATCACATTCTCAACGCTGCACGCACGGGCAGGAGTCTGTTTGCGAGTGACGGAGGTGGTGTAGGTGCACTGGGAAGACCTGGTGCGTGGCCTCTATCTGTTCGTGGTCGTCTTTTAATCCAGACGAAAGTTCTCATTATCCTTGATCGTAATATTGACCTCGTCTCCATGATTGCGCATGGATGGACGTACCAAAGTCTTATTCACGATTGCCTCGAGATGAAGCTTGGTCGTGTCACTGTGGTACGTTGCATACTGCGATTGTTTCCCTGGTTTTGAACGTATTGGTAGGCTGAGCCACAGAAAAAGACGAAAAAGTCTTACGATCTCAACTCGTCAGACTATTTCTGGGCAAAACATGCAGCAAGCCCGTTTCCTCAAGTTGCTGAGGAAATTGATGCGGAGCTGGCCAAGTAAGTCTTGACGTTTATCGAAGCGCAGGACTGATAGGTTCCAGGTATAAGCAAGATGCAGCGGACATTACGCGATCGACTGGCGTCAAGGATGTCAACGACATTTCACAACTGTACGTCCTCTCGACTTATTCTGTCTCCAGACTGACCCGTTGCAGAGACGTATCGTCGTCGGCAGCTCACCTCAAGGCGGCAATCACGCTACTACCAGAACTCACCGCGCGAAAAGCGACATTGGATGCGCATATGAATCTCGCGACAGCATTGCTAGCCGAGATCAAAGCCCGCGGACTCGATGAACTCTTTTCGACAGAAGAGGCGATATCGCGACAGACTACGCAGCAAATGCTCGAGTTGCTACGTTCTTTCCAAACGAAAAGCGAGCCAAGTCCGACACCGCAGGATCAGCTACGACTGGTATGCGTGTACTATCTTAGTGCGCCCAACATTAGCAAAGAGGATGTCGAGGCGCTAGAAAAGGAACTTACAAAGGCGGGCGTTGAAGAGTGGGATCTTAGTAGTTTCAGGTTGGTCATATCTAAAGCGCCGTGGACGTGCTAAATTGCCCTAGGTATCTACGCAAGATGAAGGATGTCATGAAGATGAGCGTTCCAGGAGCAATAACCGGAACTGCGACACCAGTTGGAGGCGGTATGGCCGATGGATGGGGTCGTGGGTGGGGTGTATTGGGCAACAAAGTAGGTATTCAGAACCACCTTGAGCTGATACTCACCTGGATGACTCTAGCTCACGGATAGGCTGAAAGAAGGTGGTTTGGACAACCTTCTCGCGGGCGTCAAAAACTTTTTACCATCCTCCAAGCTCTTACCCGTCACCCGTATCACAGAGGCGCTCATGGACCCATCGTCCGCGAGTACGGCCTCGTTGACGGAGACGGACGACTTTATCTTCCTCGATCCGCGCGCACGCGCGACCCCCGCCGCTGGCGCAGACGGGGAACAAAAGGCGCGACGAATGACGTTCCAAGATGCTATGGTCTTTGTCGTTGGCGGTGCTGGGTATGCCGAGTATGGCAACTTGGGCGAGTGGTCGGCCAAGACGAATCGACGCGTGAGCTACGGCGGCACAGAAATTCTCGATCCATGCACGTTCTTGGACGTGCTAGGGAAACTGGGATCTATGTAGAAGTTCTCCTTTGTAACTGCATTCTACCAAAGTCTTTGGCTAATACACGTTTGGGACCATCTCGGACAGGAGAGCAATCAGCGTCTCATTCCGTTGTTTCATCAAGTGTAGGTCAAGAACGGGTACGACAATCAAGTGAGAAACTTCTCGACTGTTGTCGTGAGTGATTTCGATAGAAAAGTCTGGACGACAGTGAGAACTGTAGCGCCACCAAGCTTAACAAAAATCTCTACACACTCCTACCAAATATTGCACTGTAACTAACGTTCTCGACGGCAGCTCGCTGCCGAGCTGCCGAACGCGAAGTGTTGAGATTGTCATGGTGAGCCAATTGGAATCGCAATGGTATCAAAATATGCGTAAGTGATGTCCGCAAAGCAAAGTAGACGGCTTCGACGCCTTGCTTCATGCCAGTGCGCGACGGAATCTTGAGCAAACCACCCCGTCGCGAATACGAGTCGTGGGAGCTAGAGGCTCGTGTTGGGATTGATACGTTGTGCATCATCTTGAAGATTAATTCAAGCCTAATTTAAAGTGTCTTCGTATATGGTTGCTTATCGTCTTTCCCATCGCTTTCCGCAAAAGGGGTATGAACTGCCGCGGAGATGTGACGATTGTGGACTGACTGAAAGGAGGTGAATGTAGGAACCCTCTCTTTTGTATTCCGTGCCTAAAGGGGGGAATGTGTATGAGCAGGGTGAGGACCATACCGGTGATGACTTTATGTGAATAAAATGAGCCCAATAGGATCCAGCGCATTCTTGGTCCTCCCCCCCCATCAAGTATCGTATCTAGCAAGTCCTAAATGTCCTCAGTAAGGCCATATCGCGAGAGGGCATATGGACGTGTCCCAAGCGTGATGCGCAATTCATCTCCTCGTGAGTCGTTGCCTTCATCAATGCGTGTCTCTTCCATCCTATTGCTCCCTCGTACTTGTCCTCGACCATCCCACCAGTGGATTTCGACTCCCTCCCGTCCCCACACCCCGTCTTGTACGCACCAGGTAATCGAGGTGTCCAGAGAGGCTGATAAAACATCCTATCCACCAGGAATACCGCCTGGCTGATTTTCCAGCCTACTTTCGTCGTCTCCAGCATAGGAAAGCGTCTCCAACTCTTCGCCCGCTTGGGACAACGTCCCCGTCCCGATCATCGACGCAGTCTGGGGGCATCGTCCCTTTGGCTCCAGCATACCTGTCGTGCGTCAGTCTCTTGGAATCTGAAAGAGGAACCAACGCTCACTGGCGACACCCACCCAAATAGGCAGACGCTCAACGTGATCCACGGCTGACGAACCAACGCGCCCCAACTCAGAGGCTCTCTCATGATAAGAAAAGGCAGACTAGACTCCGAGTTTGGTCCACAGGTATCAAAGAGTCTTGTGAGTATCTCATCGGTGCACGGCCTCATCAGGAAGCTCAGTTAACTCCTCGTATTTCTCATTTCTCAGCACATCAAGTGGAAAAACGGAAGCAACTTGTATTTACTCGCTGCTACAACGGATCAACGACTTGGGGGCCGAGGCTACTCAGCACTTCAGCACTTGCACTCGCCAGTCTTGCATTGGCTACAACAAGGCTCAGAATACTGTCGAATATCAGGAGAGGGGGCATACCAGGCATCACCGCAGCCGCAAGAAGAGCCACCGCAGTTCTGGTTGACAGGGACAATGGTTTGCTGGACGGACGCTCGTATCAGTACCAGAGCCAGAGGGCCAAGGAGGGAGAGGGACGTACAGAGATCATGGTGAGTTTGATTTGTTCGAAGTGTTCGAGGTGTTCGAGGTGTTCGAGATGCTCAACTCGTGCCAGCATCCAGCCGCCTTTTATGCGTTTTCGAGGCATCCCTCCATAAATCCCCGTTATGTGAACAGCTAACCGAGGTGACATTGCTTACCCAGCTGGGGTGCGAGCATTACCAAGCTTAGCAGCGCATATTGACATGGATCAAGCTCGCTCCCTCGATCGGCGGCAAGCGGCTTACGATAGCCAGCCTCAACTGGCCTTGTGATTGGACGATAATACCATAAATTCATCATCCAAGCACAGGTAGAGCCCTAGAGGAGAGCATTATCTTAGCGTCCATCAGGGTCCGCCTGCCCCAAACTACTCAAGAGGTGCTGCGGCATCGAGAGTCATGTCGCGCACAAAAGGTACGCATTCTCATGCTTTTGCGTACCCGTAGATGCCTCTTGGCTGATTGCATGGATGATTTCAGAGGTGGCAGCCATGACACAGCAGCAAGGTCTGCATGAATGGTGGCGGCCTTCCTTAACAGCATGGCACCCGCGGGTGGAAAATCCAAATAGAATTTTGGCGCTTCAAGAGACTGCACAATCGACTCGGGCATGGAACATTCTTTCTCATCACATGCCAGAGCAGAGGTCCTGTCAATTGTATGAGCCCAATCAGTACGACACTGATGGTGGGTATCGATTGAAATCAGGGTGCAGGTGTTCACAGGCGTACTTCCTTGTGAGTCCTTGAATAGCACTTTGAGACCAACCGAATTCTATATGACATGAGACCTAAATAGACGTAGTCACACATTTGGAGGTTCCATCAGTCGCTTACTCCTCGCACAAGGCCAATTCACCGATTCTGGCTCGTCGCAGCTGTCTCAAGCAATGGAGCAAAGTTCCATCTCCCAGGCAAGCTATCCAGGCTAGGAAGTCCCGAATTTGCCATCTACCACGGGCGTCTCTTCCCCCACACCGGGTGCTACTGGCCTAAAATCGTCGCCCAGTTCCTTTCGCGATAAGACGCTCGGACCAGTTTAATGTACCTCGCAGACATTCCGCAACAAACGAAGAACCGACTTCGTCTATTTCCACCTTGAACGCTGCTGCATCGCCCTCTGGAAACGACAAAGGACGTTGCGGGATGTCTCCCTTCCTGCGTGCCCGCCTACCGAGATGAAGAAGCTCATGATGGAGTATCATCATCACCAACCGTCGTGTCTCAGCATGTATCAGACGCGCGACGGCGACGACAAGGTGCGAGCAGCCTCCTCAGACGCTCCTCGAGCTAGCGGCTGCCAAGCGTGCTGCGGCAGCCAAAGCCGAGGCGCAAAAGCAAGAGGAGCGACAGATGGAAAAGGAGTGAAAGCGAGAGGAAAGGGGAAAGAGAGAGCCGAATATGGTGGCAAGACGGAGGCGGCGTCGCGTCTAGTTCGCACAAGGATGCGGGTGCGAACATTGGCGTCGCGCTTGCGCCGCATACGCTTGGGCGGACTGTGGCTTTGGCAACGACGCCTAAGCCCTCTGTAAAACTGTTGATGCCTGGTGTTGCATCGTCAGGTGATGATACGTCGTCTCTCCCTGCTTCCCCTGCTTCCAGTCGTCCTCGTCAGCAGCCACCGCCCGTCCCTACGGATTCCAAATCGCCCTCATCGGCTACTTCGTTCAAATCCATCGCCGACTCGATCTTTCGTGGCACGTTATAACGACGTGAAGAGGGGAGTCCACCTCTATCTGCCGCGAAGAGTGCGTCCAAGTCGAACTCATCTAGCGCGCAGCTCGATAGCACGTCCCGTGCGTTTAACAGCGCCATGGCTCTCCCACCCACTGCGGACTCTCGTATGGCCATCCCAGCTGAATACTGCACGACCAACAGCACCAATGATCGAGCTTCTTTGACGCCCACGCCTGCTGCTACGTTGGGTCGTGCCATGGGTGCATCTGCGGGTACTGTTCAGGAGGAAAAGGAGTCCCGGAGGAGTAGCTTCGGCGAGGCGCAGCGTCATACACACGGCTCATCTTCGCGACGCGGTGGCAAGGTTAGAATTACGTTGGGGATTAGTATGAAGCAAGGCGCGTTGAAGTGCTTGCCCGAGGCTTTCAAAGAGTTTGCGAGTGGCGTCGAAGGTGCATCTTTCTGGCGTTGTTTGAGCATGATCTGATGTTTTGGTCCTGGTTGGAGACCAGAGTCTTCGCCGTTCTGCGAGAACAAAGGAGCAGTGGAAGCCAGCTCCTCACGAAAAGAAGTATTAAAGATATATGTATGTATTTATGTCTATACATGCGGAATAGAAAAGGCAGTGGCAAAAGTTTTGACTCACAGACCACGGCGGGGATGGTACGTGTGAGCCCGCGATCCGACCCAAGGCCACCCCTAACTCGTGCGCCTGTATGCCCCGAAACATGTATAAGAGTAAGCCTGCGACAACTTGTACAGATAAATAATGCGGAAAATGAAATTACAAATACACCTCACCTAGTGGGTATGGATAGTAAAGAGTAGCAGCCTTCCCAGGTACGCCGCATCCCTTCTTCACCTCTCTGTGAGGCATCATCAGACATCGAGAAATCTTCCACGTTTTCCTTTAACCTTTCCTCTGAAGGTTTCTTCTTTTCTCTGTCTTCCTCTTGCTTTTACGCTTGGACTTTTGCTGCTGCGGCAGTTTTGCCACCTCGAGCTCGAAGAGTATCCGAATGGTTGCTTCACCTCGTTGTCACAAATACATGTCTGTTCCGCTATGTCCAGTGACTATGATTCAAGCCTCTTCATCCCTGTAGGCGAAACAGGAATTCAGACCACGATTTCCTCCTCAGAAGGTGCAGCAGTATTTCAGGTGGAAGTAGATGAAGTCAGCTCATCACTGTTTCAGTACGTGTGCGAGGCCTGTTGGACGAGTCCGAGTATCTTGGTATGAATGAGCTGGTCAACGACTTCAGGCCAGTAGCACCCAAGTGTGGAGATGAGAGATCCATGGTCTATGGTAGATCCGAGACTTCCTAGATTGTGAAGGGCATGGATCTCTGCCTCATTCCTTGAGACAGCGCTGCGCAGCTGAGACGAGCCGGAATCGGTGGATTGACTTGTGAGGCGAGTCAGCAATTGATAGGCCCTTCAAGAGTATGAGTAGACCTATGAATGCCTCATGTCAAGTCGAACTCGGGTGGTGTTCGGACGCTCGGGATACTTGTATCCTGATTTAAAACGCCGACTTGAATCACCATCGTATCAAATAAGTTCGTATAGTTGACGGTACCTATCCTTTGCTAGCGATAAGGAGAGAATGTCCACGACTGAGTGGATTATCAGTCATTTCAAGTGCGCCATTCCGTTTGTTCCATCCGCGGATACGTTTCTGTCGGAGTACCCCATCATCTATATCTGTCTTCCTCTCGCCCCTGGGGAAAGTGCCTTCCGAGTGCACCAATAGCGTACCTTGTAGATATCAAGGCATTGAGGGTAGACTTTTGGGGGAGATAGCAAGGCGCCCGTCGATATTATTACCTCCGCTAGATCAAATGCTCCAGCCTCTTTGAGGGTCTGACGGAACTTTCTTGTCGGCCAAATCTGGGCTTGGCAGTCGCCGCTGATGGAGCACACCCATACATTATCGACATGGGAAATCAGCCGTTGTGACGTACCAGGACCTTTCTTGATCATCCAAAGTGCTTCGATAATCGTCCATGAGGCCATCCACAAGTTAGGGAAAAATGGTGCGTCTATTTTGTACAGGATGGCTCTCGAGGCCACCCTATGCCTTCTGTAATCTTCAGCACGACACGTTTGTTTTGACCCTAAGAAAATGCTCTTCTCTGGGCCCCACTCTGTAGAGGCAGTTGGATGAGGCAATTACGCTACGCCATCCAATCGTTACACCAGCCGAGGCCATTTCCCATAGACAGAATGATTATGTCAACATACCCTGCCATACTTGGCACGAACGTGGTGATGATCGCACCTCGACTCGGTATGCGATGTCACCTCGCTAGCTGTTCATACTACGGCTTTCCAGGAAGAGCCTCAAGAACAGCATAAAAGGCGGCTGGATCCTGGCAAGAGTTGGACGTCTCGAACAAGTCAAACTTACCATGATCTCTGTGTGTCCCTCTCCATACTTGTACCTCCGTGGTGAAAAACACTGGTACTGATAAAGCGTATAGGAAATCATTGTCCCTGTCAACCAGAACTGCGGTAGCTCTTCGTGCAACTGCGGCGATTCCTGGTATGATTCCTATCCTTATATATTCGACATTATTCTGAGACTTGTTCGTAGCCAATGCAAGGCCGGCGAGTGCAAGTGCTGAAGTGCTAAGCAGTCTTGCCTTTGAAGTTGCGAATTCGTTGTAAAGACTAGGAAATTCAACCTTTTCCTGTTTTTCACTTGCCGTGCTGAGAGATGAGAAAACAATTGAGATTCCTGATAACGCGTGCTCTGATGAGATCCTCACATCCCTCTTTGACTCCTGTGGACCAAATTCAAGATCTAGACCGTTGGCTGTATCACAAGGAGCCTCTGATTTGGCGCGCGCTAGTTCGTCAGCCATGGATCACGTTGAGCGTCGGTTGAGCATATGTCTCTTCGGGTGGCCGCGAGAGGAGTAGTATGGAGTATTCTAATAGCTTTGATGGGTGTATATGGTGCCTATTAGCCACTCTGCACAGCCAAACCTTTCGATTCCCTGGTCCATACGAAAGGTGGAGACCCCCTCCAAAACTGCCGGTGCGGTGCTTGAGGGCGAGCACAAGATATCGGAAAGATGCAACGGACACACGCCGATTAAGAGGATGCCTCACGAGCAGATGATTGCGCAATCATTGCATCACACTTGGGATACGCGTCCATATACAATCTGGCGATAGGGCCTTAATGAGGAGCTTCAGGATTTGCGAGATACGATATTTGATGGGGGAAACCAAGGAATGCGCTGCATCCTACTGGGCTCATTTTATTCACATAAAGTCATCACCGGTATGGTCCTCGCCCCGCTCATACGCATTTCCTCGCTCAGGTACGGAATCCAAAAGAGAAGATTCCTACATTCACTAGCTTCCAGCCAGTCACAATCGTCGTATTTCTGTGGCGGGTCAACCCGCTTCGCTGAGAGCGATGGGAAAGACGACAGCACCTCATGTACGATGGGACTTCACATTAGGCTTCAACTGATTGTTGAGATGATTCGCGGCATATCGATCTCATCATGAGCCGCTGCTCTCCCAACTCTACCTACAATGGCAAATAGAGTTCGCAGGGGATATTGCTACATACATCTCCTACGAACACGGATAATCCATTCTAGTTCTCCTGTGGCTGCCAATTCACAGGGGCCGATGCAATCAGATGTTTGCGGTCCAATCATAGGCCCTCCCACTACCCGTGCGGATGCCAACAGACTTTCACATCATTCAGCTTTCTTCTTGTTGTACTCTTACCTCAAATAGTCAGTGTGACAATGGTATGATGGCCCAGCCGTGGGAGATGGGTCCGGTGGCATCACGAGGGCTCCGCAAAGTACACACTGAACAGGAAAGGAGCTTGGATTTCTTCAGAGTTGAAGTTAGAAGGCGTAAAAACCCGGTCCTTGGGCGTGTTAAGGAGATATCGCGACAATCACGCAGCAGATGCTCGAGTCGCTACGATCATTCCAAGCACAATCAAGCCAAGTCCGACACTGCATAGGAAGGCTGGGAATCATTGGTGTAGAAATCATCGATTGGACTTTACCTTGTCAAAGTTCTTTGATTGATACACGTTCGTGCCCATCAATGATGAGAGAGCAATCAGAGTTCCATTCCATTATTTTAACAAGTACAAATACAGCAAATAGAGGGAGACTCCTCGACCATTGCCGAGAGATTCCGATAATTCAAGAAAGAAAGCGTCCGTGTTTGCCATCTGTGGGAGAGCCTTGACGCTGTCAAACGCAAGGGGCATACTATCGACCTACGTGCCAGATGAACTCGACTTAGACGCACTCGTCGCGGTGGATAGAGGCGGACGCACAATGACCTTGACGGCATGTCGCGTACTCGCACCTTTACGTTGTTGCGACGTCACACGAGATATATAGCCTGCAGTGGACTTGGACGGAGTAGCCGATGTGCGCTTTGGCTTTGGCTGCCGCAGGATGTTTGGCCAGAGGGCTCGAGGGGCGTCCGGGAAGCTGCTCGAGCCTTGTCGTCGCCGTCGCGCATGTGCTCCGTGCTGGGACGCAATTTTTGATGATATTAATGCTCCACCACGAGCCTTCATCTCCATAAGCAAAGCACGTCGAAAGGGATTCATCCTATAACGTCCTTCGTCGTTCCCAGAGGGTGGCGCAGCATTGTTGTTGGAGATTAGCCAGATGAAGTAATCAAGGATTATGCGCGGCTTTACTTTTAAGATGGATGATTACTCATGGATTAGTCATATCAATCTATATAAACTCGTGTACATAGAACTAGATTCTACACGAGCTTGCCCACCATATAGAGGGGCCTAACAGCCCGGGCTGAGTACTTATTACCAAGTGGTCGTTGTCACCCAACAATTGTTCAGGGTGGAAGTAGACGGAATCGGTCCACCGTTGTTTCGGAACGCCTGCTAGGTACATTCAACAGGTCCGAGCGTCTTGGCGCGAAAGGGACCGGGCGACGAATTCAGTCCAGTAGCACCCAGTGTGGGAGAGGAGACGCTCGTGGTAGATGGAAATTTCGGGGTCTTCTATACTGAGAAGCTTGCTTGGGAGATGGACCTTTGCTCCATCACTTGAGACAGCTACGACGAGCCAGAATCGGTGGATTGGCCTTGTGCGACGGGTCGGCGATTTAGGGAATATTCAAGAGTATGAGTGCACCTATGAAGGCCTCATGTCAAGTAGAATTCGGTTGGTCTCCGAACGCTATTCAGGGACTCACGAGGAAGTGCACCTCTCAACACTTGTATCCAAATTCAATCGATAGCCACAATCATCATCGTACGGATTGGTTTCATACAGTTGACAGCTCCTTTGCTCCGCCAATAATGACAAAAGAATGTCCCGCGCTCGAGTCAATTGTGCAGTCTCTTCAAGCGCGCCAAATTACGTTTGAATTTTCTACCCGCGAGTTCCATTCTGTCAAAGAAGGCCGCCATCATCCATACGGCCCTTTGATCAGTCTTTTGTGTCATGGCTGCCACCTCTGAAAACGTTCACAAGATCAGCAACGAGGCATTGAACGATGCGTTAAGGTACGTGCATACATACATTTTGTACACGGCATGACTCTTGATGCTGTAGTACCCCTTTGAGGAAGTCCATAGCGGGCGGACCTTGATTGACGCTAAGATAACGCCCTCCTCTGGGCCTTCACTCGCGCCTGGATAATGGATTTACGTTGTTACCATCCAATCACAAGGCCAGTTGAGGCTGGCTATCGTAAGCTGCTTGCCGCCGATCGAGGGAGCGAGCTTGATTCACGTCAATATACGCTGCTAAGCTTGGTAATGCTCGCGTCTCGGTTGAGTAGGCGATGTCACCTCGGTTAGCTGTTCACGTAACCGGGATTTAGGGAGGGGTGCCTCGAAAACGCATAAAAGGCGGCTGGATGCTGGCACGAGTTGAGCATCTCGAACACCTCGAACACCTCGAACACTTCGAACAAATCAAACTCACCATGATCTCTGTACGTCCCTCTCCCTCCTTGGCCCTCTGGCTCTGGTACTGATACGAGCGTCCGTCCAGCAAACCATTGTCCCTGTCAACCAGAACTGCGGTGGCTCTTCTTGCGGCTGCGGTGATGCCTGGTATGCCCCCTCTCCTGATATTCGACAGTATTCTGAGCCTTGTTGTAGCCAATGCAAGACTGGCGAGTGCAAGTGCTGAAGTGCTGAGTAGCCTCGGCCCCCCAAGTCGTTGATCCGTTGTAGCAGCGAGTAAATGCAAGTTGCTTCCGTTTGTCCACTTGATGTGCTGAGAAATGAGAAATACGAGGAGTTAACTGAGCTTCCTGATGAGGCCGTGCACCGATGAGATACTCACAAGACTCTTTGATGCCTGTGGACCAAACTCGGAGTCTAGTCTGCCTTTTCTTATCAAGAGAGAGCCTCTGAGTTGGGGCGCGTTGGTTCGTTAGCCGTGGATCACGTTGAGCGTCTGCCTATTTGGGTGGGTGTCGCCAGTGAGCGTTGGTTCCGCTTTCAGATTCCAAGAGACTGACGCACGGCAGGTATGCTGGAGCCAAAGGGACGATGCCCCCAGACTGCGTCGATGATCGGGACGGGGACGTTGTCCCAAGCGGGCGAAGAGTTGGAGACGCTTTCCTGTGCTGGAGACGACGAAATTAGGCTGTAATATCAGCCAGGTGGTATTCCTGGTGGATAGGATGTTTTATCAGCCTCTCTGGACACCTCGATTACTGGTGCGTACAAGACGGGGTGTGGGGACGGGAGGGAGTCGAAATCCACTGGTGGGATGGTCGAGGACAAGTACGAGGGAGCAATAGGATGGAAGAGACACGCATTGATGAAGGCAACGACTCACGAGGAGATGAATTGCGCATCACGCTTGGGACACGTCCATATTCCCTCTCGCGATATGGCCTTACTGAGGACATTTAGGACTTGCTAGATACGATACTTGATGGGGAGGGAGGACCAAGGAATGCGCTGGATCCTATTGGGCTCATTTTATTCACATAAAGTCATCACCGGTATGGTCCTCACCCTGCTCATACACATTCCCCCGCTTAGGCACGGAATACCACAGAGAGGGTTCTTAAACTCACTTCCTTCCAGCCAGTCCACAATCGTCGCATCTCCGCGGCAGTTCAGACCCCCGTTTGCGGAAAGCGATGGGAAGGACGATAAGCAGCCATATACGAAGACACTTTAAATCAGACTCCAAATGATCATCGAGATGATGCGCAACATATCAATCCCAACACGAGTCTCTAACTCTTCCATTTCTACCTACAGCGGCGAATAGCTGTTGCAGGGGATATTGGCACGTACATGTTTTATACATATGGGTAGTCTACGCTTCCCGCGGCCGCTGATTCATCACTGGTATCGACCAGCCTATGTACGAGGTACGGGTCCTATAGGCATTTTCATTCATACCATATGCCAACAGACCTTTCGTGTAACTCAGCCTTCTTCATCGTCTATACACTTCAATCCTCTCACATATCTGGTTTTGACGATGGTGTGATGACCCAACCGCGCTGTGGGAGATACCATGGGCTGAATGGCAGCACGAGGGCTATGCAAAGTACATGCTGAACAGCAAAGGAGCTTGGCATTCTTCAGAGTTGAAGATGACAGGCGTGAACGCCCAGCCCCTGGGTGTGTTAGGGAGGTATCGCGACAAATCACGCAGCAGATGTTCAAGTCGCTATGATCATCAAGTCCGACATTGCATAGGAGTGCTGGGAGTCATTAATATAGAAATTATCGATTGACATCCTGTCAAAGTTCTTTGATGAATACACGTTCGCGCCCATCATGGATGAGAGAGAAATCAGAGTTCCATTCCATTGTTTTAGCAAGTACAAGTACAGCAAATCAAGGGAGAGACTCGTCGACCATTGCCGAGAGATTCCGATAAGTCAAGAAAAGAAAGCGTCCGTGTTGCGATACATTGGTGCTACACACAGTTTAAACAGAAGAGGTGCCAAACGTAGGTGTCGGCCCGAGAGGGATAGAGTAGAGACGAGATGTAGGGATATGACGTTCCGACCCTCACGCACGACGAATCGTCGAGGTGCCGGATCCCTGCTCTCGTCGTCGTCCTTCGCTGGCGAGTGGTTGAGCGACAGGCACAGCATGGACGTTCATCGGAATGGTATTATTGGTATCGTTCTTGATTTGGCCCAGCTCTTGCAGACACTCGGAAAGCCGCGCCTTGACTTCTTTCGCATAAGCGAGCAAGGGCGCGATATTCTCCGGTGTGAGTGCAAGACGCATGGGAAGAGAGTCGAGAGAAGAAGTCGTCGTCGAAGGAGAAGGGAGAGACGGGAGATGTCGAGACGCAGACGTGTTTTTATCCCCGTCCGACTCGGCATCCCAATCCGAACCGCTGCCGTCTCCGCCAGTCTGTCCAGCAGCAGACGAGCTGCTTTCGTATGCAGAGCTGTCCTTTGACTTGGGGGCATTGGTGGGCGTAATATCGCGACTATTAGCAAACATGCCAGCGAGGCTTGGTCGACTACCCGTCGTCGACGAAGTTCCAGCCGGTGTTCCAGAGCGCACACTGTGCTTCCAGGTACCGTGATAATAAGGATAGTTGCCACCTCTCATTGACGCCGGGTCATGGCTGTCGCGCGAGTCGATACTGCTCTTGTTACCCGTCGTCGACGCCTGGTCGGACATGACGTGGTCAGAGCCAGATCCACTCAATTCGCGATAGTGACCCGGTCGTCGGGGCCTCGTCGAGTCTTCGGCAGTACTTCGACTGCTCTGCTGCGAGGAGAGTGTCGCTTGCGACGTGCTGGGGTTAATAGAGGCGACGGCTTCGTTAAAGGAACGTGGATTGGGTGTCGAGAGCATCTGGCGAAGAAGATTGAGCTGTCGGTGGCTGAGGTCGCCATGACTAGAGGTGCTGAAAAGGAGCGCTGGGTTCCTATCAAGACATGAGTATCGAACCCATATGATATGAGAATACGCACCAGAGGTACTGTAGGCGCTCGTACTCGCAGGAATATCCTCGTGAATTGGTGTCCCAGCAACCGTAGGAGGTGCAGCACCACCAAGTTCGACAAGGAGCTCTGCACACTCCCACCAAAGCGCATACTGCGAGCTCACATTCTCGACCGCAGCGAGTTGTCTCGCCGCCGAGCGCGAAGAAGTATTGCGACGAGACGCAGGCAGACTATTGAGGATGTCATGATACGTCGACTGGAACCGCTTGAGCTCTGAAAACTTATCAGATCCTGCTAGAAAAACATCCAAAAAAAACCCACCTTCGACGCTGCTCGCAAACTCTTTGACAGCCTCGAGCTCACGCTTCAACGCGCCTTGCTTCATACTAATCCTCGACGGAATCCTAAGCTCACCACCACGCCGCGAAGACGAACCGTGCGCATGCCGCTGCGCCTCGCCGACGCTACTCCTCCGGGCTCCTTTTTCTCCTGAACAGTAGCACCCATGGCACGACCCATCGTAGCAGCAGTCGTGGGCGTCAACGACGCTCGATCATCGGCGGTATTCGTCATGCGATATTCAACTGGAATGGCCGCACGAGCGTCCGCAGTGGGTGGGAGAGCCTTGACGCTGTTAAACGCACGGGGGGTGCTATCGAGCTGCGCGCCAGATGAACTCGACTTGGACGCGCTCGTCGTAGACAAAGGCGGACGCGCGGTGCCTTCGCGAGTATGTCGCGTACTCCCCTCTTCACGTCGTCGAGACGTTCCACGAGAGATCGAGTCTGCAGCGGACTTGGATGGAGTCGCAGACGAGCGTGGCTTGGAATCCGTAGGGACTGGCGGTAGCTGCTGACGAGGACGACTGGACGCGGGGGATGCAGAAAGAGACGACGTATCATCACTCGACGAGGCCACTCCAGACATCAACGACTTGACAGGAGGCTTGGGCGCCTTTGCCAACGCCGCAGTCCGTCCAAGCGTATGCGGAGCACGTGCGACACCAATATTCGCACCCGCATCCTTGTGCACATTAGACGCCACCTCTGTCTTGCCATCATTCCCACCCGACTTTGACCGAAGCCGACTGGCAAAGTTGAGCGAGTTGCGAAGATGCGACGTCGTCTTGCCGCCATGTTCCGCCTTTTCTTTCTCTTTTTCCTCTCGCTTTCGCTCCTTTTCCTTTTGTCGCTCTTCTTGCTTTTGCGCTTCAGCTTTGGCCGCCGCAGCGCGTTTAGCAGCCGCGAGCTCGAGGAGCGTCTGAGGAGGCTGCTCCGCCTCGTCATCACCATCCCGCGTTTGCTCCGTGCTGAGACGGGATGGTGGGTGATGATGATGATCCGTCACGAGTCTTTTCATCCCCGTAAGCGAAACACGCCGAAAGGGATTCATCCCACGACGGCCCTCGTCATTTCCAGAAGGTGATGCAGCAGCGTTCGAGGTCGAAGTAGATGGAGTCGGTTCATCGTTGTTACGGAACGTTTGCGAGGCGCGTCGGACGAGTCCAAGCGTTTTTGCGCGAATGGACCCACTCGACGACTTTAAGCCAGGGGTAGAGGTGACATCCGTCGTCGACGGCGACGTAGGGAAAGCAGTGGTACTCCCCAGACTAGGAAGCTTGGACGACGCCCCGAGAGATGGACTCTTACTCCATCGCTTGAGACCACTGAGACGAGCGAGAATCGGCGTACGAGCCTTGTGTGAGGACCCAGCAATCGACGATCCACAATCATTTACATGTCCATCCTCTGATCCATCATGTCGTGGCTGGGCAGCCGCCCTCAGTTCGAGGACAGAACGAGGTGGCGAAGTGGGTGGAAGACTTGGGCCACTCGTCGCACTTCTCGCAGGTGAGATTTGCATTTGAGGGACATTAGACGTAGACGAAAGTGGGATCGACGATTTGGGCTTGAGCTGCTGAGTGCCAATGACAGGCGAAGCCGTCTTGGAAAGATTCGACGATTTGCGAATCAACTTGGACGGACCACTTTGTGCACCGGAACCTGAAGGTGGCGCAGCAGGTGTCCTCGTGCCAGATGTTGAAGGTGCAGTCGACCCGCGAGGCGAGAGGACCGAAGCCAAAGTGGGCCTCGACGACGTCGGCTTGAGCTGGACTGGAGCGCGAGATGGAGTCTGGGTAGTACCAGCCGAGCTCGTGTTTGCAGCAGCAGCAGCAACGGCTTTGTTCAAGGTGGCGGGACCGGGCCCAGACGCTTCCTCTTCGAGCTCGGATAGCTCGCCGCCAGAGTCGTCTGATTCAGACGAACTATGAGCGTCCCGTCCACCTCCTACAGCGTATCGACGTGGTATCACGAGCTTTTGGCCACTGGAAGCTGGGATATCCGACGAGTCAAAGCCGTCTTCCATTTGTGTCGCACCACCCGACGGACGAGACTTTTTCCTGAGACGCCTCCGTTCGCGGTCGTGTCGGCTCTTTTCAATCTCCATAACACTTCGACGTCCGTTGTGTAAGAGGAAGTTTGTCGAAGAACCGCCAATGGACGGAGCAGCGTGGTGTCGGATGGAAGAGGTGGCGGAAAGTGGGATAGAGAATGCAGACATGGTGGGTGATGCATTTCCAGAAGGTGAAGGAGAGCGGCGACTGTTGAAATGGACGATTTGACTCTCTTGGTCCGTCGACGCACGGTTATGGGACGAATGTGATTGCGCATGCGAGGAAGCATGAGGAGCAGCAGACGTTTGAGGCTAGAAAGAGGGACATCAGTAAAGTCCCTTCGGAGGGTTGTCCGAAGTGAAACTAACCAATTGGGGAGGGGCTTTCATCGTAGTATCCGCTTCCTCCAAATCCCAATCTTCTTCGCTATTCCCACTCCATCTTGCTTTCCTATCTTTGGAGATGACGGCTAAATGCGCCGAGCTGGGTGGTGGGTGGGCAATCCTTGTCGAGGACAGGGCCGCCCGTTGGAGATTGGTGCGGCTGGCCGTTCTAAAGCCGCCTTCTCGGGATGATTGCGAATGGAGGTCCGTGTTAGATCTTGCATGATAGTTTTGGGAGCGTGTTTTGTGGACGAGATGATGGATAGGGGCCGTTGTCGGAACGGGCGAGTTGCGGGGTGAATTGCCAAATTCAAAGTCGTCATCCCAATTCTCTTCTACGACTGTAAGAATTTGGTCAGAACTGAGTTTTAAATCACAACACGCGGCGAATTGACGGGGACGCTTTGGGGGGGGGGGACGAAGAAGGCGGGGAATGTGCCCTACAGGCAGCTCGGAATGGATCCTTGACGCTCAGAGACGATTCAAGAAGGGATTAATAAGCTCTGAAAGGCGTCATATGTCGCTGAAAGTGATCCGACAGGGACGGTTGGGCGGGATCGTCTGGGGCCACTGGACGGCCAATGGCGCATCGATAACGGAATGTAGAGATGGGAATGATGATTCTAGAATTATTTCTTATTTCTGAGCTGATTTTCGACGAGATTTGCAGTCGAAAGATGAACCCCAGGCAGCATCTCCGCCGCGTGGACAGCGTGTTCTGGCTCACCTTGTTGTTTGCGACCTAGCATGGCTAAATCCTAGTCCATCTACCAGCCAAATACACTGGTGGTGGGTATATCGTCGACGGCGGCGGTGGCGACAAGGGTCAAGGCAGAGTCCAAAGTGTTTCGATGTGTCGAGGATTTATTTGGTTCAAGAGTTATTTGGGATATTCAGGTGTATTCAATCGGGGCTAACAGCTGATTGGAGGATGCTCAACCTCGTGCCGATCGAAGCCTCCCACTCGTTGCCTCGAGGTCCTTCAGGCCCACACCTTGACCGCCGAAATAATTCTCAAAATATACGCTGCGTCCTGAAATCTGCACAGAATGCCTCCGTTGGCATATCCTCAGGGACATTCGGGGATCCGCTGCGCTCAGAGGCCGTCCATGGGCCACTCGTACTTGGGTATACACTCATTGCGAGAAAACAGCTTTATTTCATCTTACTCTGTGGTGACCCCACCTTTGCTTAGCGAGAACAACGCGCTCGATTACTTGGAGCCGCACTTGCAGTTTCCGGCCTCGCATCCGCTACACCCTTTTTCAATATCATTCATACATCCATCCAGGACGTACTCACCAATTGTCACCGCAATTGCAGTTCGAGTTGCCGCAGTGGCTGTCAACGGGGACTTGGATGGACTACACCAGGTAAAATGGCCGCCTTGCAAGGTACGCGCACTCACTGATTGCATATTCGATAGAGTACTGGTTAAAATGTGATCTTGACCCCTCAACCCCCGTCCAGACCACCACCTTTTATACCGTTCCGTCGGTCACAAGCGCACATGACAAAAGCCATGACGCTGCAAATGTCCCCTAAAGCAAGCCCCACTTTTTCTATGTGAATCGACTCCAGTCCATATCTAAGAAAAGCACAGTTGCAGAGCGTATCCATTTACGTGGATTGTGACCTGGTGTGCGAGTCGAAACGGGCCAGTGGTCGACGAATAGCCTCTACGATCAGCGTAATACACATGCAGTCAAAGCATCGCAACCTCGCCCACCTCGCCCACCATCGGCGTTTAGACTACCGGCATACCCGTCCCGGAGGTCGACAATTGACCAGTAGACGTATTCACAAAGTTTGGCGGTGGATCTGTCAAGGTACATGCCATCGCTACAGTGGCACAGGGTTCTCCTTCGTCGGCAAACAATGGCGACTCGTACCGTAGGGTTCATACCCTCGCCCATGAACCAGACGGTAGATGTGGGGGTACCGTCCCGTCCAGATCAACGTCCATGTCTCCAGGCCAAGGTCCCGCCTTTTTCGACTCGCATATTCCTTCTTCAAGTGATCCGGAGCGCTTGGAACATTCACCAGGAGCGCGTCTTCTTTACTGGCCCTGTTGCGGCATACTCGGACGAGTCATCACCCCCCTAAAAGGAGCTCTCGGGCTTCTTCTCCCTCTTCTTCGTGGCTGCGTGCGCACGAAGCAGTGGACCCGACGTCAACTCATTTTTATAAAAGTGATTGGTGCGTCTAATTCGCATCATTTCATGATATACTACAGTTTTCAGTGCAGTATTCTCAGTGCGACGCCAGCCGACGACGGCGGTCGGCCCAATGTCGCTCTTTACCACACTTGGGCTCAACGGTCAATGGACGCCACTATGTCAGCGCGTTGATCTAGATATGCTATGCAATTCAAAGTGCATTATAAAGCATACTGGTTATCTCCCCAGGGTTCAAAGGCGCCTTGTAGCTGATTGTACCCTGCCGTTTCGACCGCAAGATGGACCCGAGGTCATTATTCACCCCTAAATTCTTGAAGTCTTCTAGGATGATCATGGGTGTCAAAGTCTCAACGCCGGTATGGTATTTCCGAATGCTCTGCTGACCAGCGGGGCAGCAGGGCCAGTTCAAATTACCGCCTCAGTCCGCTGCATGTAATGCATAGAGATATGAACAGATACTATGCTCTTGACAAAAATTTGGCAACCGTAAGCTCGGGATCCCAGCGCTCATTCCCATGAGTCATTTCGCGGATTATCGCCTCTGCTGATATATATGCTGCTCCATGAGCTCAGAGCGTAATTAATCCTCTTCCAAAGTCGCTCCAGTCCCCTTTGACTGTCCATCGATCACATAGACTACATCACCGAGCATCCAGCTTGGATACGCTCTCATAATCCAGATTCTTCCGCCCAATTCCACAATGAGGATCAACTCCAAGGATCCAGCGGGTACACACGCAAGCACAGGTAACGGTAAATAGGTTCAAGGATGTGGGACCGGTCGACTAATAGGATGGCAGAGCATCTCGCTGGCGTTCACCAGTCGAGAGCTTCTATTAGATCGCCAAACCTTGAACATAATTTAAACGACAGTCGCCAGGAGCGCCATAATGGATCGACACACACCCCTCGTTCTAAACCTCCTAGCTCGGCAGTGATTGAACCCCGCTCCGCTCTTCCACAACGCCGAGATAATGATAAATGCAACGTCCTAAAGAAACTTATGAATAGCTTTACATTCTTCAAGTACGCCATAGTCTCTTTGCTCAACTTTGCTCAAACTTTACTCTAGCGTATTAGTCCTTTTATTCGCCTGGTTAATTTGCTTTTTTCCTGCCGCAGAAAAGTATGTCCAAATACCACATCACGTCAACGTAACTGATGGGCCGGTTCTCTCTGATCAATAGGCCAATAGAGGAATCGCCATGGGTTGATTTTGTCCGAGCTCAGAAACAATTCGGGCTCATACCACGCTCAACAAGCATACTGAGACAGGGATATTCCGATATTCGTAAAGTTGGCGAGATTCTCGACGAACTCAGTGGATCAGTACGCCGTCAACCTCCAGACGCTAGTATTTGCTGAAACACCTAGGTACTAAACTCTACTCTCGTGTTTCGGAAGCCTATCGTATCACAGCTGCAAACGGTTCTGGATTCAGCTACTGAAGCCGACTATCGCCTACTCGAGCTAGAAGAGGCCATTCGAAGAGCATTTGATAAGTGAGTATTGGCGGTGGATGTAGATGACCATGAATCATGTTTGTCAGTGTTATCAAGGCGAGCCAGCGGAATATTCACGAGCTCGAGATACTCCTCGCGCCGCGTGATGCATTGACAGGGTTCATTCCCAAATCTATTCAAGCCTATGCGGTACGACGAAAACGCCGCCGACATTTGGTCAGCGCATGCGACGAAATGTTGACCGAGGTCAAACCCTTTGTGAGTATGTAGGTATACACTTTGCAATATCTCATAAACCACTTAGATGGAACTGATTGAGGGCTTGGAGGCGTCACTCCAGTTTCAATCCGACTCAGCCACTGCACTCAATACGTATTTTCGGCGAAATAACTTCCGTACCAGTGACCATATCGGAGAATTGGTATGTGTTTATGAAAGAAATAACTCTCTGGTGCTCATACATATACAGCTGGCAGACTTATTGTCCCGTGTAGGGCCCGGCACGCGAGGGAACAGGCATAACGCCAGGGTCCTCCTCTCTCATTTCTTCTCTCACATGGAGGAGGCAACTCGACATGTCGAGCTTATACAACTTGTCCTCGAATCGATCATGGCGACCATTCATGGTTTCGAAAGGAAGCTCGCAGATGGGACTATTTTGGATGAGGCCATCTTTCCAGTACGACGAGACATTGCTGTACTCAAGAATGGGTTCGCGGCTCTGGAGAAATACAAGGATATTCTCGGATAGAAGCGTCACTAATGTATGAGCCCCGATTACTGTATACCAAATTAATAAAGCCAGGCGCAACTATATATTTGGTATGAGAGGACCAATTTTGGGTCAGCTTACGAAAGACGAGAGCTATATATGTACGATGCACCTGTCGACACACGAGCGGCGGGTAGAGGCGATGGTATGCGTAAACTGTTGAGATCACGTCGAGACTCCCAATCTCAGGGTCAAGATGCCACGTTTTCAGTAACTCTTTCTTCGGGTTCAAACTGTGGTGATGCAGAGAACTTGGGAATCTTTACTAGCAGCGCTTCTTCTCACTGGCTATGTTGCGAATACTCGGAGGAGTTAGAAGAGCTCTCAGGATCCTCCCTCCTCTTCGTGGCTGCGTGCGCAAAGCGGTGAGCCCGACATCACCACAGTCAATTCCTCCTTAAGCGACATTATAGAGTGATTGGCACATCAATTATGAAGCCTTGAGGATGTGCTACTGTCTTAATCACAATACGCCGAGCGCTGAAATCGATAGACGGTGGTCAAAGTTGAACTTTACCACACTTGGGCTCAGATGGAGATGGTCCGGAGAATGCATCAAACTCGCTGATCTCGGGATTTAGATACGCCTATGCGATTCAAGATAACACAACGAAGCACACCAACGATCAACCCAGCATTCCAAGTCACACTGGAACAGGATGAATATCGAGAATACGATACAGCCAATACACTTTGGCTCTAGGCAACCGAAACTGCTTCCGTAAGCGCGCTGAAATCGTCCTGCCATGTTTTCATTCACCATCTTCGCCACCTAGACTGCACTTGACACCATTGTAATCCTGCTAAAATACTCCTATTCTCTCGAAATCCAGCGACCAGTAGTCGGCGCAATAGTCGCTCGCATTGACCGCAACATGCCCCCCGCATGGTCATTCGCAAAACTTGCGGACTGTCAACGTTCCAAAAGGTATAAATGAAGTCGATATCTAGTGGCAGTGAAATGTTTCGAACCAACCAGCAAGAGCAACAAAGCCAATTCAATCGCCCCACTTTCGGTATGCGTCTGCCAGCAAAAGAGCCGGCAAATGGAAATCTGCCATGGTATGTCCCTAGCGACCTTAGGTCATTCAACCTTCGGAATTTGACTGGAATTGTATGGGATCCTGACGCCTTGGTACAAATAAAGGCGCCGCTCGTTTGACGACGAACACTCAACGCCCCAATGTTGAGCACCTTGTTCAAGCGTGCTAACGAGCTCCTGGAAAATATCACAACGCACCCAGTGTTCGAGGCCGCTCAAGCTTTCATGCACCTTGCCGATCGCGCCGACGCCATCAAGCGCGTCGCACAACACGCTACGAATACACTCAGCGACGTCGCGGGTGGTACGTCTTTTAATGCGCAATTTCTACTGGCCTCACACTTCGAATAGGGGTACCAGACTTGTACAGAGAGCGGGAAAACTCAAAGAGTTGTCGAAGCGTATCAAGAGGCGGGACTGTCGTTGAAGATTACGAAAGCGACTCAGTGCATGATGATGATCTGGACGAAGCGCTCTGCGATAGTCCAAATGACAGCGCGTTAACCGACCCGACCGAGCCTGAATTGCCCAACTTGGCCAAGAGAAGAACGCTTGGTCTGAAGGAGACTCGATTCACTTATCGTCGATCCTTGGCTTCTCCTTATGGCATTCAGAATCGCCACCCTGTATGGGGTTGGCTCACGGGGGTCTTACTCTTCAGGTTCTTACACGTTCTCGATTCTTTATCACTATTGAAGCATTTTCAGTGTCATGTTCATTGCAGCTATCCAGTTGAACCCTCATTGGGTATTGCAGTAGGTGCTAGAGGCCGCTCACTTGCCATGACTAATGCATTGTTTTATAGTGCCGGAGCAGGAAATGCAACTGAAGCAGAACCAGAATCCCCGTGGGCTGCACTGGCTCGTATCCAGGACCAGTTTGCACCTATACTGCGTTCTTCAGGCACAGGGATAACAGCTTTACGTGACATGGATCAAGTCACCAAGGCCGTTCGTGACTTAAAGGCATTGGTGAGTTCCTGCGCCTCCCTTGAAACATATTATCATGGAAAACCATAGGTTGGGGAATCCGACCTTGAATCTCGTGACAGAGTCATCCCGGTTTTGCAGGCTATCGCCCAATCCGCCACCAAAACTGGAGCCGATCTATTCGAGTTGGATTCAAAGGTGGTTCGAGCCTCAGATACGTATGTGGCCATCTATTTTCGCTCGGGGAATGACTCAATAATTTGTAGAATGTCCATGATCAATAATCATGCTATTCAATCGCTCAAGGCGATTTCATTAAGTCAAAAATCGCTATCTGGAGCCATTTATCACTACTTCCACCCAAAGGACGCCCGGGAACAATTACGCGAGGAGCTCGACGCGGCGTGTGATCAAATGTTGGGTGGAGTCGATTCACTAGTGAGTGTGACGAGTTGAAGTACACGAGATCTTACAAAGGCTCAAGGTCAATCATGCGCATGGCATTTGGGGATTGCTCAAGATTCAAGAAGACAACTTTGCCTCGATTCGAAAAGAATTCAACTCAGATATAAAGAGTAATGATGCCAACGTTGGTCTATTGGTACGCACTGCGGCTAATATACTTCTCTAAACTCATACTTGCGCGTGTAGCTGGCTCAGTTGTGGACTCGTGTAGGTGGAAATAAAAACCGTCTCAAATACTACGAAGGTCACAATGAGCTTCTCAAGGAGGTCACGGTTCATGTCGAAACTGCCACCGAGAGAGTATCTTGGACAATTGATCAGCTTCTACAAATCATTTCGGCAATCAAGGACCTCCGGGAGAGACTTACCGTCTGGGTACATACGGAAAAGTTTGCGCTCCCGATTGAGCGTCACCTCGAGGTGGTAATGAGCGGCGCACTCAGGTTAAGTGGCCTTCAGGAGAATGTCAGGCAGAACCGAGAAGGAGCTGCGGATTGGGTGGCAAACGGGCACAAGTACCCAACCATTTGATCGTTCATCCTCTGTTTGTTCCAAATATAAACTACCTTGACTCATTGTAGTTGCACATCATGTGGGAAACAATAAGCTACGGCTGTGCGGTATGCATGCAGACATTCGATTCAAAGCTGGATGCAAAGTAGGCTTGCGATATTTCGGCGGCCAGATGCTGGATGATTAGCGTTATATGAGCATAAACAAAAAATACAGCTTTATTTCCTCCCATGCTCAACGGACTGCTCCAGAGCATTGACAACGCGTACAGAACCATCACACAACATCGAGCGTTTCGCTTCGCAGGGACTCTCATCCGGGTTGGAAATACGATTAGTGCCATGAAAATAGAGGCAGAATCGTTTGCCCAGTCTCTGTTGACAGACGCCAGAGGTGAGCGACCAGGCGCTTGCTGGCTGGAGGGGGACAGTCGATAGCTGACGACAACAATGAACAGACAGTCCCAAGCACCGCCAAGGTGTAATAGATCCCACGAGAGAGGCCTTCCATGTCCATGGATCCAAAGAAAGTGATTTCTCCACCGTAGCTGTCGACTCTCAGAAAAGGAGTTCCCAGCTGGGGTCGATTCTCTTTCGTCGGCTCATCGCCAGCCTGCTAAGAAGAAAAAGAATGTGCTGGGAGGCGCAATCGGCTCACCTATCAGGAAAATCGCATCTATTATCGACAAAACGGTTTGGTCACGTTCATTCTTCCTCACCGTCGCCATTCTCGTGATCGCATGCCTTCTTGAGCTTTACGTGACAGACACGGGGTCAGTCTCTCACTTGCACCACTGGAGTTGCTTCATCTCACGTTTATTACAATAGCAATTCCCATCCCAAACAAACCGACTCTCCAGTAGCGGCGATAGCTAAAATTCAAGATCAGTTTGAAGGGGTTTTGAGACACTCTGGGAGTGGCTTGATGATGAAATGGGATATAACAAAGGCCGAGCTCGCGGTGGAAGATCTCAAGTCTGTCGTATGTGCCCTTGGCTCTAGCTCTTCGATTTATATGACACTTTGAACAGGTCGAAGAGTCGGACCTCAAGTGTCGTGACAGGCTCACGCCTGTTCTGAGCGAATATGTGCTCACCTCGGCCAAAGTAGCAAAGCAACTTCCTCGCCTGGATACAGCCCTTGTTGGGGCCGTTACTCAGTATGGGATATCCATTCCACCTGATCAGATCACTCACATGCGGCCAGTATGCTGGCGACGAACAAGTACGCCGTTCAGTCTCTCGGGGAGATCAAGCAATCATCTGGGTTGAGCTCTGCACTCTCATTCCTCTGGGGAGCACGAATGACCGAGGAGAGATTTGTCGAGATCTTTTCGACTATATGCCTAGACATGATAGAAGACCTGACTGATCTGGTATGTACCCTGTTCAACCAACTAAGAATGAGTCTAACGCGTAGCAGTTGAGAATAGGAATGAGACTCTCGGATGACCTTGATAGACAACAATCGCTTCTCCGAACGACACGGCAGATTATAGGCTCAGACGAAAGAGCGAACCACATCCTCAACGAAGAGACAGTATGTAGCGTTTGACGAAAGCTGGCAAAGATACACTGACTTTATGCTGAAGCTGAGGCAATGGTGGACCAAAATAGGAGGTAACAAGGATAAGTTACATTCCTTCAAGACCAACAAAGAGCTCCTGGACCGCGCACACGAATATAGCGACGTTGCACTCAAACACGTTGTATGGACGCTTGGCCAGCTGGAGGAGATCGAGGCAACTGTGAAAGACTTGATGGCCAAGATTAAGCGGTGGCCGCTCAAGAAGGGTGTTCCTGTCCAGCTTCATATCGACATTCTCATGGGCAGCATGTTAAAATTGGCGCAGGTCAGGGACCAAGCCCAGCATAACAAGGACGTGGTGGCAGACAATGTTGCCAATGGCCACAAATATCAAGGTCTCCCAGGCCCAACGACGTAGAATTGAACACCATGCATGGAAAATTGGTATCACTACCTTTGTAATGTCAGGTTGAATCAATTTCTAGATTTGTCTGATGAAAAAGAGTGACCGTCTGGAGCGGGCTCATCTGGCCGCGATAGGCGGCATTTGCGGGCCGTCATGTAACTTGCTCCTCCCCGTAACCAGTATTTTCCCAGGATAGTCGTGCACGAGGAAACCGGAGATGTTTCAGACAATTCCATATCATGACTACGCAACCTCTCCTCTGGGGCCCTTTCTGTGCCGTTCAAACGTAGTCGGTAATGTCTGTACCTACCGGTATTTCGCCCCGTACGGTAGCGACGCCCGTGAGAATCGCTTAAATGGAGCATGAGTGCATAAAGCGGACCGCTGATAATACAGAGAGGCGGGCCGCGGAGTGGAAGAAGTCGTCCGGCAGGAAAGAAGCTCTTGTCACCACAGGATATGTATTGGTTTTACGGCGTCTCCTATTCCTCAATTCCCCGCGGACAACTTCTTAAGATGGCCCGCACTCTTCGTGTTGCCTGCCCAGGCGTGAAATCTCATTCGACGGTCCCCCACTTTCCATTCCTTATCGCTCTCGTAACCTTCGAGGATGCAATTATCTAAAAAGGTTCTCACTTCACTCCTTTTGTTCCTCGTGGTCTCGGTAGACGCGAGGAAGAATTGCTATGTACCGCATACGGACGGCGTGGACGACTCGCCGGCGATCATGGAGGTCTTTGGCCGCTGCAACGTGGACTCGAACATCATTTTCAACACAAACATTATCTACAATGCATGGTCCCCAATGAAGTGGTTCAATCTGAGTATGTGCGATATCACCGCGCCATGCTATACTTAGTTTCGTACAGCAAACGTCAATATTGAGCTCCGTGGGCAACTCCATCTCCCGACAAACATTACGGAGATTCAACAAAAGGTCGTGGCTACATACGGTGTCAGTGTTAACGCTCTATGTGCACAGGTTTCTAACCAGTTCTAGTCATCCACGGCACCTTGGTTTAATATACAGGGCACCAACGTCAATCTTCGTGGCGAGGCAGCGTACAAAGCAGGCATCATCCACGGTCACGGCCAGCACTGGTGGGACCTTGGCGTACGGGTATGCCTAATGCATTACTGCGTACAGTGCTTACTCTGGTAGACGTCGAGACCGCTGATGGTTATGTTCAACGTCTCGACTGGAACAGTGTCCAAGATCAAGATGATCCAGCAAATTGCTCACGGCTTCAACGTGCCTGGGAAGAATATAAAGATCACGGATCATTACGTCGACTCGGTACCGACGAACGGAACACGCGACTCGCCTGCCTCCTTCCCCTTTGTGCGTACCCTCTCTCACTGCGACCAGTGACGCTGATATTCCCTTGTAGAACACGGATGGTTTCAATATTGGTGGCCAGAATATCACCATTGATGGATACTACGGAAATAACGGCGACGATTGTGTCTCAATCGTCAACAAAGCCAACAACGTCGTTGCGAGGAACGGATACTGCGGATTCTCGAGCCACGGTCTATCCATTGGCTCTTTGGGCAGCAATGGCCAAAATAGTCAAGTCGCCAACATTCTATTTGAGAACTGGGTAATGGATGGTGCGGTTTACGGGGCCAGGGTACGTTTCACCACAACTTATTTGGTGGTAACTTGACGCCTGGTAGTTCAAGTCTTGGGCTGGTGGAAACGGACTGGCCGCCAATATTACCTGGAGGAATATCGTCCTCAAGAACGTGTCGACACCCATCTTCATTACACAAAAGTGCGCGTCGCCTTTTGATCCGCGAATCTTCTAACATTGGAGTAGCTACTATGACCAATCGAAAGGACCAAAGCCCAACAATACGGCTCCGACAAGTACCCACGTCCAAAACTTCCGCTTCGAAAACTTTAGTGGTTATATGAACCCAAATTGGAGTATGCATTCCATTTTCCTTATGTATGATTGCTGACATGCCGGGCAGCTGACGGGACGTGCATTTCTGATCCATGCTGGAATTATGTCGAGGGTATCAACGGCACGCAGGGGATCATATTCGATCTCTATAATGGGACCGCCACCGGCCTGCAAGTGAAGAATTTCCATGTGCGACCATACAAGGGTACAGAGAAGGATACGACGGTGATCTGCGACCCTGCGACCCTGGCACCAGGTGCGCAAGATAGCTTGGGATTCAAGTGCTGGGACGGACAGTTTGTGGCGACCCCCATCCATAAATAGTCTGATTGAATGTGTACCACATATTGCTCTCTCTCTCAAGACGTCGCCTTGATCAAGACATGGTCTCGGCCAAGACTTACGTGGCGAGCTATGAATAATCTTGTATGCCCGCCGATATGGAGTGCGATCTTCTGCTCGTTGATGTCGGCGATACTTCGCGTCTGACCGACTCGGAGCGTTAGCAGCGCTCGCCAGCTCGTTTGGGCCAGACGTGATGATCCGCTAGGACAGTTCTCTTACTTGTCCGCAAATTCCGTACCTCTCAGAAGCAGTGCGGGCTATCCATCAGCTGTCCTCTCGCTCGCGCTTGGACCAGTATATTAGATTCCATATGCACCTTCGGCGCCCAGCATTGATGTCCATGGCCGGGGGTCGGTCTGGCTATATTGACTAGACCTATATTTACCTTCATGCTCTCTGGTCGATGGCGCCAAGTTCTACATACATCCACTTTCTTCTCACTAGTTTGCATTCGCCTGGCGCGTCATGACAAGTAGACCGTCTATAGAAGGGAGAAAATACTCCATTAATACATCAAGTGGCGCAAGACGACCTACTTCCCAGTACGCCGCAAGCGAGAAGCGGGCGAGCGCGTCGGTGGCTGCTGCGACCCAGACTCTCCCTATTTATTACACCAAGAGAGGGGCACGTACTAAAATAAATCACAGGATATAAAGTAACTAGCTTGTAGGTCATGCTATCTGATCCGGTGTTATGGATTTACGACATATCACCCGAATCCAAAGAGGTGGATGACTGGGTTCACAGCCCAGACGAGAATATCGACGATACGGGCTCCATCTTCACTACTCGTGGGGCATCAGCATTAGGATGTATTGCAATCACCTTCATCGCAATCTTTGGAATCTTGTAAGTATTCCGTATACTCGTCGGTTTGACATGACTAACAGACACCATAGCTTCTTCTGGCCATTAGAGATAGGAATAAAAGAAATAGCAACGCGGAGTAGTGCAAAGAATGCAACGGAGGGTTAGATCGTTTCCGTCTATGGACTTTGTATTCAGAAACTATTGTGTATAATTACTATAGCGGTCCGAATCGTGCACGTACGTATGGACGGCAGGAGCGAGTCTTGGCCTTCGCCATCTCGCACCTTAGCCCACTAACGCCGAAGAGGCTGGCTCCTTCAATGTAAAGGAGTCGAGGGACCGAGATTGTCGGTGGATTATCCCCGTTGCTGTGTCATCTTTCTAATGGAAATCAACAAGTACTCCGGTATGCGTATCCGCCCTCTCTATATATGCACAACAGTCAGCAAATGGAGAACTCTACATAGTATCACTACGCAACCCACGAGGCGCCTTTGTTTTACAATGTTACTGCGATCTAGACCCTTCAATAAGGTTCACACACGATGTATTTCCTGCTCCGCATAATGCATTCACTCGAGGCATCTACTTTATGTCAACTGTATTCGTCAGATGTAGACGCGCGCATTTTTTTGTGTTCATAATATTGGAAGATGGATTATTTCTTCCGCGGATGAGATATATCCTGAACGCGCTGACTACATTTTCTTTGCACACCACTACCGGCCGAGCGACTTGGCTGCCCAGCTGGCCCAACTTGATTGCGCTCTCACCTAGCTAATAAATTTCTCTGTCAAATGTTCACGGGCGGAAGCGTTCCAAGTACCGAGACGATGGAGGGGGCGACTATGCACCTCTCGGTCCCCAAAGTCCCCTACCCCCTCCTCGACCCCCCGCCAAGGGCTTTATTACCAATCAGGTGAGTAAGAAAAGTACATGGGGATGTGACTGATGAGGATAGTTTGCGCTTTCGCCGGATCCAAGGCAATGGGGTTACAACACCTCACCAAAGCAGGCTGAACCCGACGACTGGTTGCACATCCCAGACAAACATCTTGATGATAATGGATCGATATTTAGCGCTCGGGGAATATCATCGCTGGGATGTATCGGCCTTGTCTTTCTGAGTATAGTTGGGGTATTGTACGTCCATTTGTTGCACTTGAACCTTTAGTATGAGTATGAATGGTACATGATACGCTAACTACGTAACAGTTTCGTTTGGCCCCTACAGAATGGCATACGCAAGATGCTCAAAGACAAGCACCTGCGTGGATTCAACCTTGGTGGGATCAACGCCACGGTACAAGTATTTGAGAGTGCCTTTGCACTCATTGACAAGGATACGCCTGCAAATGTACGCCGCAAGGCCTCGCCGGTTGACAACCGCGAAATGGTGCTGGTGTTCAGCGACGAGTTTGATTGACGGTCGCACGTTTTGGCCTGGTGATGACCATACTGGGAAGCAGTAGATATGCATTATTGGGTGCGTCTTCTCCGCATGTTAGCTACATTCGCTGATGGGTGATGGTATCTAGGGGACGGACGACCTTGAGTGGTGAGGACGTACGAGAGAAGAGAGTGTTTGACTGAGCTTAATAGGTATGACCCGCAACAAGCGTATACAAAAGACGGCCAGCTCTGGATCGAGATGGCAGAGGTAGAGAAACCGGAGGATAACCACAACCTCAAGTATGTGAGCGCAATGATAACGACATGGAACAAGCTTTGCTTTACCGGTGGATTGATTGAAGGTGCGAGTTTGGGTTGGATAATAACCACTCGAGCTGAAGGTCATAGCGAGCGTTCAACTACCCGGTTCCCCCAAAGTCCAGGGATTCTGGGTGCGCACTCTCTATTCCACAACACTTGGCTGCAACCTAACTCGTTCTAGCCAGCAGTATGGACGATGGGTAACCTCGGAAGAGCTGGCTTCGGCGCCACCACTGAGGGGCTATGACCATACAGCTACGAAGCCTGCGACCTCGGGACTCTCAAGAACCAGTCCGACGCGTCTAACCCACCACCTACAATCCCCCTCTCCTTTCAACCAGGCCAACGCCTCTCAGCATGCACCTGTCCAGGTGAGGCACATCCTGGTCCTGTTTTCGCGGATGGAAGATATGCTGGCAGAGGTGCACCAGAGATTGATATTTTCGAGGCCATCATCGATCCCATCATGAACGCGTCTGCAGTCTCGCAGTCTGCTCAATTTGCCCTATTCAATGCCGGGTATATGTGGGATCATAGCAAGTATGGACATTACTATGGAAGACTGGATGATGATCAGTATGTGAATGCGTACCCGGGTGGAGTTTGGCAGCAGACTGCGAGCGTGGTCAGCAAGACGAACCCAGGGTGCTACGAGCTCGCGGATGAAAGGTGTTTTGCTACGTACGGGTTCCAGTACAAACACGGATACGCAGAGGATGGAGCGCATATCACGTGGATCAACGACGGCAAACTGGCGTGGTGCATGGATGCGCAGGGATTCGGAGGGGAGACGACTGCAAACATTGACAAACGAGGGATTTCAAAGGAGCCGATGGTGTGTATATTCGTTGCTTTGAGAAGGCACTCATTTAGTGTGATAGTACATTATCATCAACTTGGGTATCAGCGAGGGATTTTCCCATGGGATCCCATTCGACGAGCTGACATTTCCGGCGGATATGAAAGTGGATTGGATCCGTGTGTATCAATACGAGGACGAGATGAACGTGACGTGTGACCCACCAAACTTTGCAACGAGCAACTATATCAATGCGTGCGCCCCTAGTACAACGCGTAAACCTCGTTCTCATCCCCGAATAGCTTCCCCTGAGGCGTACTCAAACCCAGAACTGACTACGTGGTCGAGACCCCGAGATAAAGGCGGATATGAACAGGCATGGCCAAGGAATTCGATGTCGGATGGATGTTGACGGTCAAGCCAAAAAAGTTGAGTTCGATCAGTGGGACAAGGTATAATCGCGAGGCACGTGCTCGAGGCTCCGCTTACCTGTCGACCCGAAAGGTGACTGATGCGAATTGTCGGGTCGCCAGGTCGAGTCTAAATTAGATATCTAGATACCGACGAGATCTGGCTCTCTCCTCTGGAGTGGGGGGTGTTTGCCTCTAGTGCCTCCTCTAGTCATCGCATTCTCGTGAGAAAATTTGTAAATAAAAATATGTTCGAGAGGCTAGTGCGGGTGCGGTTAATCTGTTCACACCGTTCCTCCGCCGTTCTCACAGACGATCGGTTCATGTTCCGTGGGTTCCGTAATGCGATGGGTGGTGCGCGAGGATGTCACTTTGGAGCTACCGGTTATGAACTTCGGATGAAACCGTGCTCTCTCTCTCTCCGGGACATCGAGCAGCCGGCTAAGTGGCAGACGCTGCCCACTCTCAGGGTCACCTCGAGCAGCCAATCTTTGATAGCTTCCGTAGAAAAGAGACGACCGAGAGATCGTGGATGTTTGGACAAGCGGAACCTGAATCGATGCCCGGCGGGGAAACGCAAACTGCTAGACGTATCAGTAGATAGATTAGTAGAGTACAGTACAGGGACACTGCGTGTGTGCCAAGGGGTTAGTTTTGACAAGGCAATGGGCCTCGAAGTCATGGGCATTGTCCGTCCCATCAACCCGATCAATCCCAGAGTATAACAACCCCTGGGCCGTGCCATCGCATACCTTCTCCCGCCCTCACTTCTTGCACCCCCTTCTTCTCTCGTCTCCTCTCCGTCTTGGACGTTTTATATTTTTCAGGAAAATATTCAGGACTGGATCATTTGGGTTGCATTCGGATACCACCTGCTTAGAACTGGGGGATGCCTCTCCCCGAGGGTGTCAATATCCCGCTCACATATTCTCACCTCCTCCTCATCGGCAAGGTTATTCTCGTCACTCGGTCCTTCAACTATGGTCTCTTCGCCGGCATGATCTGGGACATGCTCCTCACTTTCGCCGACGAGGTCCGCCGTCCCTCGCCTGTCTCGAGAGCAACGCTAATTATGGGATGTTAATGCAGGTGAAATACATATGGAAAGCACCCTGGACAGTCATTAAAGTCGTCTTCCTCTTCAACCGATACGTTACCCCCATCGTGGTCATTGGAAGCCTCTACAGTTGGTTCCGCCCTTGCGCCCGGTGGTCGTACGGTACTGACAAAAGTAGCACTCAGTGGACTGGCGACCGATCTCACAGACGAAGTGCGTCATTAAACTCCTTTCTCTGCTATCCCTGACCTCTTTGCAGGGCTGCCGCAGATGGGTCCTCGTCTCCGTCTCCATCGAGCAAGTCTCTCTTGCGCTTGTCGCGTTTATTATTATCCTCCGGTGCGTTCTACTGACAATTTTGACCGTCGACTTACGGAAAAACTCGTAGATTACATGCCGTATGGCAAGCTTCTCGTCGGACGCTCTACCTCCTCATGGGTGTCTGGATAGCCGGTACTTCGGCTTCGATTGCAATGCTCATCGAAGTCTTTTACAAGAATAAGCGATGTGAGTGGTTTCGACTCGCCTAGGCCCGTGGACTCTGCTCAACCGCCTCGGATAGTGATCTACTACGAAGATAGAGCAAACGTGTGTTTTACCCTCGTTCCAAATGTCTGGAAACTATGGCTGCCGGATATCGTCATGCATGCCTTTCTCGTCTTTTTCCTCGTCTTCAAAGCCATTGCCACGCCAAGGTTCGTCCAACATTCATCTTTCATATCCCTCCCTTGCATCATGATCATCATATCGAGGCCTGAGTTGTCTCGGCCCATCTTCGCTCCGGACGCGTCCCCGAATTATCAACCTGCCAAACGTCGACGCCACGCCAGATGCCTCATCGCCTACGATAATCCCTCGCTCGAGAACGTTCAGGGAGGGGACCTGAAAAGGGGGGGGAGAGAGGCCCAGGCTCGCCGATCCGGGCGGACTCTGGCCCACTTCCGTTCCGCCGCCCCTTTGGTCCCACCCGTGCGAAGACGACGTCTGTCCTTAATCTATCGGGGCCCGACGCGGTCGACGTCCTCTACTCCCTCGAAACAGATTCCCAATTTCCATTTTTGGGAATTTGGATAGACACAGAGGCTCGACGTGATGGCACGACGTTGATGGCTGGGACGGAGATTTACCCCTCCTCGTTTCACCCCTCCTCCACCCCCTCGGACTCGTTGATTCATGCATTGGCTCGCCTCTCCGGAGCTCAATCCATTCTTTCCTCAAACTCGTTGCGTCTTGCAAATGACTGATAATTATGTTGTGTATAGGTCTAGCCAGACGCGGATGCTTGCCGTGCTCTATTCGGATGGCATCATCTACTATTCCGTCACCTTGACGGCCATCACACTCTCCTTTATTGTGCGTCCCTTTGATTTCCGTCTCGCAAAGCGGATCATTTACTCAATTTTTCTATAGAGTTGGAAGACTGCGCACTACCTCTGGATCGGACTCCCACTCTACAGCTGCTGGATGATTCTCACCATTGCCATGTCCAGATTACTCCTCTCGCTCAAGACGACACAGGTCGTCCATTTCCACAACTCGCGACGACGAAGGCTCACCTTGCATGGACACGATGATTCCAATTTCAGCGGAGGTGGACATGGTCGAAACGAGAGTGACGAGATGGAGATGGACGAATCCCCCTCGCTCGCGTCGCCGACAGATGGCAAAAACACGAAAAAGGTGTCGTTTATGACGAGTACCGTGACAAGTGGACCCAATTCGCCAAATGCACTCGAGAGCCAGAGCAGTTTTATGGACATGCAACCTCAGCCGACCTGGGGTCGCCTCGTCGGAAAGCCCCTACAAGCGACTCATTTCCCAAGTATCCATGCGAGCCATCTTGGTGTACCCCATCATACTCCGGTTGGAGGAGGAGGGAGCATTGCAGGGGCAGCATTCGCGGTGGTCGCAGTGCGACGACAGGAGGAACAGGGGATGTTTCGTCCATTAGTTCGCGTACGGGTAATTGGTGGTGGTGGCTCTTCCCACATCGATCGCGGAGTAGGACGAGTTTCACAGACCATGACGAGGACGAGGTTATTCATGACCCGTATGATTACATGCGTGGTCATGAAAAGTATGTTTCCTGGCTCTGACCTGGCCTCTGTCCTTTCTCTGTTCCGATACATGTTTTCCCCCCCTCCCGCGCGACGACCACAGTCTTGCGAGCTGCGGTCTGTCTGGCTTCTAAAGATCCAATAATGTGTAACTTGTAATTCCTATCGCAATCCAGTCCCTCTTTTCAATCTCATCACGGCTTCTCGAGAACTTTGGTTCACAGGTAGGGTGGGGGTAAAAAGATGGCGACGCTCATTTCATCACTCGCATGGGTCCGACGGGGCGTCGCTGCTCAAAATCCACAAACGTACACCGTTGACGATGAAGAGCTCAAGCGCGTTAGTAAGCTTGCTCGAGAAGAGCTCGCAGATGCCGAGCTCGACGAGAAAGTACTGTTGGATGAGATGGGTGAAGGTGCAGATGAAGAAGATCATGAAGAAGATTGGGAAGAGTATGTTTCCTCTCTTTTCTCGTGTCAATTGATCTGACTTTTGGACTTTTCGTTGCGCCTTGTGGATATGGTGGCGATTCGTGTTTCTGGTGCATCTAGTGTGTCTGATGATGAAGATGGTATGGAAGTCGATAAAAAGGACCCAAATGACTTGTCAGAGTACAAGCTCGACGAGTACGACGACGATGTCGGTCGGCAAAAAGGTGCAACCTCTTTCTTCCCTTCTGTTTGAACCTTTCTCACAGTTTACAGGAAGTCTCTTCTCGAATATCAAGGGGTTGACATACTACAAGGATAACGAGGACGATCCTTATATTACCCTCAAAGATGTGAGCCCTGCCCAGACGATTGCACGCACCTGGTAACAGATGACTACTCCTAGGAAGAAGACGAAAAGGAGGAGCTAGAAGTGTATTCAACTGACAACTTGCTCGTTGCTGCCAAAACGGAGGACGAGATTGCGCAGCTCGAAGTATACGTATACGACGAGAGCGCGGACAATCTATATGTCCACCATGACCTTTTACTTCCCTCTTCCCCTCTGTCTCGAATGGCTCGACTTTTCGCCCGGGACATCCCTCGAGCAGCCCTCCACGACATTTGGAAACTTTATAGCCGTCGGAACATTTGAACCAGAGATCGAGATCTGGTCGCTGGACACAGTCGACGCACTTTTCCCAACTGCTCTCCTTGGCAGACCAGACAAGACGAAAGCGCACGTGCCCACACCGCTTGGGACGGGGAAGAAAAAGAAGAAGAAACAGAAACCGCGTGGAATCGACCCAGAACATCACGTAGATGCTGTCCTCTCGCTCTCATGGAACCGAACACACCGAAACCTCCTTGCAAGCGCGAGTGCGGACAAGACGGTCAAGCTGTGGGACCTGAGTCGGGAGTTGGTCGATGGGAGTGCTGGCGGTGCGATTCGGTCCTTTGAGGTTCATAGGATAAAGTCCAGGCGGTCCAGTGGAATGCAATGGATCCAAGCGTTTTGCTCACGGGGAGCTATGATCGCACGGTTAGGACATTTGATAGCCGCGCCCCAGACGTTGGTGTGGGAAGTCTCTTGGGGGCAGACGTAGAGGCTGTTCGATGGGATCCATGGCAGCCACAATGCTTCTATGTGCGTCTTCGTTCTTTCCTATGATCGAGGCCGACATATCGGTATAGGTTTCTTTGGAAAATGGTTTGGTTGTCAACTTTGATGCGCGGATGCTGTCCAACGATCCAACTGCGGTGGCACCAACGCGCTTTACCCTCGCGGCGCATGACGGCGCCGCCTCTGCTCTCGATGTCAACCCGCATATCCGTGGGTGCATCCTGACAGGTGGAACCGATAAACTCGTCAAAGTATGGAACGTGAACGAGTTAGAAGGCGGCGAGAAGCGAGATGTCTCGTTGGTTACTTCACGAGATTTAGGCGTTGTGAGTCCTTTACCCCTTTACTGTACCGTACCTGCGCACATGCTCACTGCCGATGGTTCTCAGGGCAAAGTATTCTCCGCGTCGTGGTCACCCGACGACGCGCTTACCGTTGCTGCCGCAGGATCAAAAGGAAAGCTACAGATCTGGGACATTGCTGCCAATTCTGGTGTACGCAAGTCGTTTGCGCAAAAACTCAGAGAAGCCAACCGCACCGTCAAGGAGAAGCAAGGCGACGGACTTGTCGGTGTCGCGAGTGACGACGAGGAAGACGAAGAAGATGAAGAGTAGTTAGTGCGGAATACTGAAGAGATAACTCGCTGAAAGTATGGTAGGGGTGCATGCTAATAATTACATCTCCTGATTGGCCATCTCTTGTTATATGTCCTCAATCATCTTTATTGCTTCCGAGTAATAAGGACCTGGAACGCCCATTTGGTCCCGTTGAATGGCTTCTGCTTGATGGGCCAGTACCAGGGTCCTGTTGTATATACCTCGATGGTAATAGAGTGCAGTGAGACTGTACATGCTCAATGCGGTGCTGGGACTCTTTGGACCTAGTGCCTCCTTCAACTCGACCACCTTGACATTAATCTCCTTCGCCTTGTCGAAGTCTCCTTTGCGCAAATAGGTATTTAAGATGTTTGTCAGGGCTACAAGGGCAATTTCGCTCCTCTCGCCATAGATGCGTTTATCCACCTCTAATAGTCTTTCTTCAATCTCCAATGCTTCGTCCCACCTCTTTATACTATCATATGCTCGCGCAAGGTTATACATTGGACGCGTTGTGAGCCACGATTCGATACCGAAAGCACATGGTGCACGATCAATTGTTGTACTGGGAATATCTTCCGCATCTTCTAAACGGTCTCATTCTTTGTACAACCAAGTTCGCAAGCTAACTTGAGTTGGTACCTGCTTTCCGGCCCGTGCCGTCCAGCAGCGATCATGCACCCTTCCTCGGCAATGTCAATTGCGCGCTGCAGCTCTCCCATCCGCGAATATGCGTCGCAGAGCCAGAAGAGAATCTCCGCAATTCCATCTGATTCGCCAAGCCCAGATGCAAGCACTTCCGATCGGCAATTTTGGAGTATCGAGATGGATCTATGCGGCACAGCACGCAGAATCATAGTCACATAGGAGACCCGGTCGTTGAGAAGGGGTATGAATGAAGGGGCAAAAAGTATGTGTTCGACTTGTAAAATCGCGTATTGGTGCAAATGTACGTGTGAAATGTCTACACGGCAAAGGAGAAGACCCAAGGTCGCTTCTTGGTAGGCTGAATCCTCAATATTGTCTTCACCCAGACAGTCGTGCGCCCAAGCGTATATTGGCGGGTGGAAACGTAGTAGTAGATCGTTTGGTGTAGAAATAGTGGCCAATGTCGAATAGAGTTGTAGGTTGAGAGCATATCATCAAATGCTTCTTCATCCCATAATCCATCGACCAGAAAAATGCCGTGCAGGAGATCGACTGCATTACAAAATATTGGGTGACGCTCCAGTATGTAAGGATTGGTTCACCTTACAGGTCCGAACCCGGCCGACCAGGTTGGATTACCTGAGTAACGGGGTACTGGTACAATTGAGTGATCTGCGATAGTGAGAGCTGAAAGATAGTAGTGACCAGCTTACTGAGTTGCTGTAGGGGGAGAATGCCCTTCGTCATCTGCAGCCGGTGCACGCAGTCAACTATTGCGTTGGTAGTTGAGGAAATATAGTACCGAGTCTTTGCTTCTATTTCAGAGATTTGGAGTGATCCACCACAGAGTATGGGTGAAACCCGAAAATAGAGTCCAAGATGGCCCATCTGGTGGTCGAGGTCTCGGTGAATCTTTTCCGCATCAGTAGCGACCTAGAGAGGATTTTATCCAAGGAAGCGGAGTCTTCCTTTGTGACGCATTCACCCGTACTCGATCCAAGACTTAGGATTGTCGAGACAAGGGTTTCTCCAAACTCCGCTTCTTTGAGCAGCTCGCGGCAGGGATTGGAGTACCCCATAACTCCACCAATAAACTTTTCCTTCTCGATGAAATACGATGGCATCAAGGGATCTGATGCAGAGGTGGCCGTGATAGTGTCCACGATAGTGGGTTCGCTGGGGAGGCTGCGTCGAGATGAGTACGTTCTCATTCGTATTGAAGTTGCAATATTCGCAGCAGAGAGTACAAGCAACAGCCTTGAATGAGTGGTTAGTTGAGCCGAGGATTACAGAGGGAACTTGCCCTTTGCACGTGCTCATAGGTCGCTAGCTGTCCTGTAGTAAAGAGACCTCAAGGATGCCGTGGCGCTCCAGAAGAGTCGCTATCACTGTTTTCAATCGATCTGTCCTTATTGACGGGGTCAGATCCTCAGGCAGATGGACCGTATGGAGGATTTCCGCAAGCTCTCGAATGACCTCGTCAACAGAAAGCCACAGAGCAACCAATAGAACAACAATAAAGCTTGTAAATTCTTAGTGACTTGTAATCCGGGCCAAAGATAATCTACTGACCCACCGAGCTCGGTTCCTGCCATCAGATGAAAGTAATCGCACGGCAGAATGTCTACTTCCTTTTCTGCGTCGTATTGGAGTCTGTTCATGATCTCCCGTAGGACCAACAACTGCGAGCAGCATCTTAACCCTGAACCGTCTTCACACCAGTGAGAAAGCGCGTTCCTGAATTGTTCAATGCTCACCAAAGGTAATCAGATGCAATCCTTGACGATTTAATGACTCTGTATTTGCGTCTTCGGGGAACAACCGTATTGTTGTCGGGTCAACAACGTGCAGGTGGGCCCTACAACAAGAACTATACTCCCTGAGGCCTGGGAATATGTACTCTGACTTATGATATGTGACGACAGCCGCCGAGCCTCATTTTGACGGTAGCGCCTCGGATGCCAACACTGCCTGCAATTCTGGATTTTGTTACGGGTGCTGGAAAGATTACTATACACATGTAATGGTATCTGGATGTACCGAATTCGTGTCATTCCAGTAACTTGGCGAAATTAAACTCAAGAGACCCATTTCTATATTTTGTGCGTCATAATTTTTGCTGATTGGTTACTGACAATAGGGCAGGCCATTCTGCATAACGGCCCTGCTATCGAACCTTGGCCTCAAGTTCCCTCGAGCACGGCTCGCGCACTTGGGGATCGTCGCTGGCGTCCATGGACGGCATGCTTCCCACCCATCTAACGGCCGTTCGCATCCCCACGAGGCTTGCTCTCGACGACAACCAAAGACGAGATAAAAGTCGAGAAAGAAAGCCAGGAATTAAAAAATAACTCATCTTTATTCAATGGAACCTTCAGGATACGGTTCAGCGCCGCACCGACCACGTATTTATCACGCCGCCAGTTATAACGTCCCCCCGACGTATGACTTGCCAGTTCCATCGGACTATCAAAGACACCCCAATGGTCGACTACATCGAAATTATTCGGAACCGGTCGGGTTTTCGCAGCGCAATGTCGTAGACCCACGATATGACGCTCAACCGCCATATCCATCTCAGCCGCTCCATCAAATTATGTCGCGTACGTACTTACTGTTCACTATAGATACATTTCTGACCGCCTATGAAGAATATCCTGCCCAGCCGCCCGCTGAATACGGAAGCAACGCCGTTTATCAAGCGTCCCATCGCCCAGCATATGACGAATATCATTCATCCGTTCCTCTCCACTCTAAAACGCCCCCAGCCCCGCCTATGAAGCCACAGCAAGTTCGTCGATCGATCGGGCAGGATGAGTCCACCGTCCAGGAACCGAAGCGACCAGCATTTCCCTTCAAATTTCGTCGGAAGGCCAAATCTACACCGAACGTCGAAGAGGCTACGGCATCAGCCCAGCCCCTTCCCGCCTCCAAGGGGCCCCAACTCGAGAGTCTGCCGCCGCATGGTCAGGGCCTCGACGAGACAAGTATAAAACAAGGCTCTGCTACAGAAGAGGCTACACGTCTTCGACGGCAGACCATGTTATGGTTTAAGAGCCTCATACGCTCGTCTGGACATGCGCAGTCGCGGCCCAGTGGCGGGCCCGTTGTTCTGCAGAAAGTATCTCCTGTAGAGGTAGATATCCCCAAGAAAGAGGTGGATAGTGCTAATGGGCGTGATCAGCGGCGTAGACGGGATTCTCGACCTGAGAGGGCACCAGAAGTGTACGCCAATCCACCTCGTGATTCGAGCTCTCGAAGGTTGGAAAGGAGAAACTCGGGAGGACGTAGCTCGGATGCGGATCCATCTCGACGTAGAGAGTCGTCGCAGTATCAGAGGCGGGGAAATGAGCCTGCTCACGCACAGGCGGTACCTACCCAGTCGTCGCGTCGTCGAGAACGTGGAATGTCCCAGCCACTTCCGACTCCATTGGACGCTGGCGATTCGAGGTATGGCCGAGCGCCTGCACGTCCTCGTAGTCGGTCGAGAGAGCGAGATCAAGGCCCTCGCCGATCCTCGCGGCGTTATTCGACCAGGGAAGACGGTTACACCTCAAAATCTATGGACGAAGGGTACAAGTCTCGGCGAGAAGAGTCGCATCCGATAGTCAAAGCCGACCCATCTCAAGTGGCAGTCCCACTGCAAAAGGCCAGCAGCATTATATCCAACAGAGAAAGATCACATAGTGTCCTCGAGTCGGAGCGGCCTACTACAGGCGACAGGCCGTCGACTGATGGGACAGCAGCGCCGAGCCAGCGCCCACGTGCACCGAGCCTTCGCTCCATTCTCAAGCCACCACCTTCTACGAGTGCAATTCGTCTACCATGGGAGGGCGATGACATGCCGCACTCGGGCGTTGAGCGCGGCTACGATCCACGGCATTCCGAGTATCGTCGGCGTCGAAGTGATAGCAATCGCTCGACTCAGCGACCTCCTTCCTCTTCTAGTCACTATGATCATGAACCTGCTAGATCGGTGACGTCCAAAAGCAGCATACGGTCTCACTCTCCAAGCACACGCTATTCGACAGAGTCTGGCGGTCAACGTGCGGAGCAAGTCAAGGTGAATACAAAGCACAACGCTACTAATCTAACGTATCAACCGCATCGTGACGCGGCACCAGCCCTCCAGTATGGGAGTGTGCCGGTTCAACCCATCTATTACTCGGACCAGGAGTACCCACGAACCCGTCGTCGATCGAGCACATCTGCAGCAAGGCCTGAATATGTTTATGCAGATCCTTATGGACATTATTCTGACTATGACCGGCGCGAGCCCAGAGGTCATCGTCATTATGCCGGCTATGCTTATCATGGTGCTGAATATGCTCCTAACTATTATGTACCAACCCAAGAGTATAGTCCTGCAGACTATGGACCGGTATATCCCGTGTATAGATAATACCTAGAAATGGATTAAATTGTCAATCTACGAGTCTATAATATGCTGAATCGAGGCTTGTGAATCTCATCTGAGAGCAGAAGCGGCCGAGCGAGGTGGTGACTGCCACTCAGATTTCTTTGACCTTCTCCCTCTTTCTCTGCGCGTACATCGTAATTCCCTGCAAAACATCAAGATGTCTATGCCTCATTCTACCGCAAACTGGCACTGGAAGACGAAATATGTTGGTCCCTGGGCTAAAGAATGGTTCAGCAAAGAGCTCGCTGGCGCGTCTAGCGAGCAAGGAGACAGCTCGGTGACCGTCGTTCGAGTCACAGAAGTCGAAGGAGACGTCGAGTTGGGCCAGCGGAAGAGCAAGTGCGTCCATCTTTTCTCTGGTTTCATGAACAAACGAGCTCATCGATTTCCGCACAGGCTCATCACCATCTACGACTGTCGAGTCGTCGTCGAGTGGAATGCGAGTGGGAAGGACGATACGAGCATCAAAGGAACGTGCGTGATTCCAGAAGTCTCGCACGAGAATACCCTCGACGGTGTCAGCGACTATACGGTACGTGTATTTCGCGTGCAAAGCATCGATTATGGTGTAATAATGTAATTTTATCAGTACGAGTATACAAAAACAACGTCCAAAGGCGACGGAAAGGCGGTTGACGCGCTATTCGATCATGTCCGAAAGGTTCTTCCGACGTTGCTCGAGGCAAAGTTCAAAGCATTCCCACAAGCACTACTCGAAACTCATGGAAAAGACCTTACCGTGGTAACGGACGATACACCAAACGCCAGTGGAACGGCGACACCTGTTCAACCCAAAGCTGCACCTGCGCCTTCGAGTACAAAGACTTCCGGAAAGCAGACTACTGTTTCCGTTGTCAATACGGCTACAGTCACGGTATCTGGCCGTTTTATGGCGAGCGCCGACGATCTCTATAGTCTCCTAACAGACGAGAAGAGAATACCAATGTGGAGTCGAGCACCAGCACAGGTAAGTATGTCTGTGATAGTTGCAGTCCTCGCTAATCATGAATCAGTCAAATCCTTCCCCAGGTGGAGCCTTTTCATTGTTCTCTGGCGGTGTGACTGGTACGTATTGCTGATTAGCAACAGCAACAGACTTTAAATACTTGCAGGAAAGTATGTGGAACTCGACCCACCGAAGAAGACGGTCCAGGAGTGGCGACTTACCGGTGGCGGTTGGCCAGATAGTAAGTCTATTGGGTGAACAAGTTGCGATGTTATTGACCGTCGATAGATCACTACGGAACGCTTACTACTACATTTAATCAAGAATCCGATTCGACAAATGTCGAATTCTCTCTTAAAGGGGTACCAAAAGGGAAAGAGGAAGAAGTCGAGCGAGGTTTGGAAGGATACTAGTGAGTTCCATATGAAAGATGGTCCCTTCAGGCGCTCACCATTGACAGTATTCGCGGTCTCAAGTCCATGGGGTACGTCCAGGTGTCTCATTATGAACCTTCGTCACCTCTACGCACATCGAAACCCGTTGCATCGCAACAAAAGTCCATCGACTGGAAAGGCTTTGCGGCCTTTGCCATTGCTGGGCTGGTTCTCGTGGCGAGCATCCTTCCTGCGTTCATGGGTGCCGGACGACGCTAGGTTGATCCTCTCGTCGCTCCATTATTTACCTTATTTACCTCATGTCCACGCTCTCTACACCCAATGCATTCCTTTCACCTACTATAGTTCCACCTTGCAGACATGCTGACATTTACTAATTAGGCTCGGTACCATCCTGTGATCCTAGGATGTTGTAGGAATCGGGTACGCTAGAAGGAACAAGAAGCAATTTTACATTCATTGTGCGTCCTAAGACAATTGCCGGAAGAGTCGTTCTAGGCCATCATTATATCGGCCTGTGCAAGAATTCCATTGCCCTTGGTCGCGTCGACTATTTCTCCACGTAAACGAGCCTCTTCTGCCCTTCTAAGCTGCTCTTGGGCCTTCATGCGACGCGGCACAAGGCTCTTTCTCTCTCCCGAAATCTTCCATCCTCGCAACCCATTCTTCACCTCGTCCTCAGACTGGATTCTGCCTTCTGCTTTGAGAAGTTTTGCGAGTTCCTGGAGTGTCTTTTGCTCGACGAGAGAGTACTGGGATGGGTCTGAGCGGTCGTAGTTGAATGACTCTTTGAGAGAGACTGGTGGGTTTGTGATGATGCGGTGTGTACGGAGCAGATTACGAGATGCCGAATGGAGCATCAATGGATGCATCAGGATCACGTCCCCAGCCTAGAGCCTGTGAGCGCTAGCTAATGACAGAACTAGGATAGACAAGCGTACCTTTCCGGTCATCTGCCTAAAGTCACCGCATTCTTGGATCGTTTTCAAGTACCATTCGAGCGAGTCGAAGTCTTCCTTCTCCGGAGCGTCCACGGGCCGCATCAGGGGGAAGACGCCCTGGGGATGATCCATTAGCCACTTGGCTAGCTTACCAATGCCGTCTGGACAGATCATAGTCCCACCCCCATTCTCTGGGATATCCGTATACAATGGAATCACCAACAGCCCTTGTTCCTTGGAATCCAAGAAATGGACAAAGAAGTCGCCATCGACGTGCCAATTGTCCAACTTCTTGGGATCATTGGGATTCTCACCGCGTTTGACTGCCTCATCCCACTTTGCGCTCCCAAAGTTGCAAATGAACCCATCGCTCCAGGAAGCGGCATTGGGGTCGACGCGCTCTTCGCCACCCAGCAAATCGCAAATCGCGTCCCATGCGACGGGGCAAAACGTTTGGACGTCAAAGCGCTTGTGCCATGGCATATTAACGCGGTCGGAGAGCCAAGTCGTTGGGTCTGATGGATCGTATCCTAGGCGCGACCAGACGTTTGCGATTGCATCTTGCGCTTGTTCACGTGAGAATGCAGAAGGGAGGACTACGTAGCCATGTGCGAGAAAGTGCTCGACTTGGGAGGGCGTAAGGACTTTGTACGTCGCAGGTGCCATGAGCTTTGCTCGAGTATGAGGACAGAAGGTGAGAGTGCAGACTGGGCCGAACAGTGGATGTGGGGTCTATATACCTCGTCTTTGGGCTATACCCTGTGCGTTGAGTCGTGAACCGAAGATCTTCCAGTGGCCACCACAGAGCTTACTAAAGCTAATCGATTATTTGCAAAGAATGGTTGCAGCACTTGCGAGGATATACAAGTCGGTGACTATGGTATTTGTGACAAAGAGGGACACGGGTGATAAGAACGGATGGTCCAATTTGAAGCGATGCGGGCTGGACTAGCCAACCACAAGCAGAAGGGTGAGGGAAAGGAAATATCCAAGATAAGTTATGTCGTAATAGGGAGAACTGCGGTTGTCTGCAGGATGGAATTGAATGAAGGGGGTAAGAGTATGGGATAAAAAATGGTTGAGATGATCGATTATCGACCGACAACACCAACATTTGCCGTCGAGCTTCCAGTACGCAACGCTTTGAAGCTCACGACGCCTGGTCCGCCAGCCCCCTTTCTGTCCGATGAAGACGAGGCGACGGGTCTTGGGCCAGCTACACTTCCCATACCCACGCTTCCACTCCTATCCCTCGCAGAAGCTCCACTTGCAAAGCTCGTGAATCGCTTCGTAATCGATCCCGACCGGGCGTGTGTGTTGCTCGTCGAGGGCGTCTTGCTACCCACACTAGTGCCGACGCCAGTATCCATTGCCGATGACATGGCACTTGGAAGTCCGTTTCCGTATCCGTTGGGATATCCATACGCCGCTCGACCTCCCTGGGCATTTTGGAGCTGGAACCCGTTGGCATTGGAGGAAGGAAGATCAGGAACTGGCGGGGCGGTTGCATCTGCCGATACGGTAGGCAGCTTGCGAGAGAGCGGTGGCATCGTCACCGTTCGGTCGCTTGCGCGTGGCACATCCATGATATGCCCTTTACTGGCCTCCGTATAACTCTTCATATGCTGGAGCAGCCGTGGATCAAACTCTTCCTCTGGCCCTATGTCCTCGTCATGGGCACCCGCCGTGGTCGGGAACCGCGAAAGGCGAGGCGCAAGCGGTGGTTTTGACACACGCTTGATTCCATCATCCTCTTCTTGGTCTTGTTCGGTTGGCGATGTTGCAGGTGACGCGGGCGGCGCAGCGGGCGCGGGCTGCGAGACGACGGATACTACACGACTGGTGCTTGCGCTACCGCTGTCGCTCGTGTGTGCCTGGCTTGCCGAAGACGAGGAGTTAGTCGATGAAATGGCATGTCGAGCATCTGAAGAGGAATGGAGAGTGTTCGAAGAAGCCGATGCACCAGAATGCACTGCCGTCGACGAAGCAGACGAAGAAGAGAAAGGCGGAACAGAAGAGGATGCAGACGGTGGGAGAGGCGGCGATATCGCGTTGATGTGTGTGTTCGCCTGCATTGTGCTGTAGATACCGGGCATCTTTGCAGATGAAGGGGCAATGGAAGAGCCCCAACTTGAAAACTTGGAGTCGGGAACGTCTGACGGTGTCGGAATCGCAAAGTCATTGAGACCCTTGCGTTGCTCTTGCTTCTTTGCAAGCGGCATCGTCGTTGTCGAAGGTGGATATACAGGCGCAGTCGAGTTGGGCATCATTGGCGACTTGTCCTCCAATCCGATCGGAGAGGGCAGGAACGATTGTAGAGGTTGCGTTGGAGTCTTTTCCACGATTCCCTTGTTGTTTCTACCTTCCTTTGTGGAGGCATCCTTTTGTCCCGCCAACTCGGCGTTGTGTTGCGCCTGGAGATGGCGAATAATTTCGGCAGGCAATGGCCACTCGGACACACAAAATCTGGGGACGGCACCCGAATTACCCTCCCCATCAACGGGAACAACAATCGTATCCTCCGGATCGACGAGCTCTTCTGTCGGGCTAGGAGCTTTGACGCCAGGCTTGAGGTGGACGCGCACGCGTTGGACAAAGCACCATCCGTCAATGTACTCTTCCAGCATAGATACTGTCTCTCCAATCGTGATGGGCAACTCGTCGGATAGACTGGGTGTAAACGTCGCTGTTACGACCATAGTACGGGGGAGCGGCTGGCCATCCAATCCCTTGGTAGTATCGGTCACCATTTCCTCTGAAGACGCTATGCTTGGCGGGACGATCGATTCGGGGAGAAGCGTCGAAGAGGCGGCAGTGTCGTGTGCACGATGATTGTTGGGAATCGAGGCCATAGAGTCGGTGTTCTTACTCGTACTCGCGGTGGTGCGAACAGAAGATGAACGATTAAGGGAAGTGGCAGCCTGTTGTTGCGCGAGCAAAAAGGCTGGGAGTGAGGGCATGGGCGGCACTGGTGGGTGTGGGAGATTGGGCGAGGCGAGCGCGTGCGACGACAAGCGTGAACGGTAGAGCGAGGATACACGTGGGGATGGGACGGCAGATGTACGTCGTTGGGAAAAGTCGATCGACGCGTTGGTTAGTCTCGAGCCCTTGACCGTCACTGTCGTCGCTCGCGATGCTGGTCTTGAAGATAATTCCTTGCTCATCCTTCCTTCAGATGATTCAGTCTCATCGATTGCTGGAGCAGCCTTCCGTGTTGATTTTCTTCGCAGGGGAGTAGGCGTTGCTGGAGGGAGAGGTGGGAGGGGAGGACTGATGGCGCCATTATGTCCTCGTCCGCGTGCAATTTCGACTGGAGGTGTGTTGGTAGAATCGTTGTCGATCCGCGCTTGGATTTCCCCTGGAGGTGGGCTAGTCAGGGCATCGTATGCGTCCGCCTTTCCACCACGCCCTTTGACGAATGAGAAGAAATCCCTCTTTTCCTTCCGTCTTCCTTGTTCTGCATGCGCCTGTGTCGGATAGCTCACACTGCCCGCGTCCATTGCACCGGATTCGAGCTTTGAAGGCGTCGGTGTGTTGCCGGCAGAAGAGAGTTTGGACCAAGAGTTGAGAGTAGGCGGCCTCCATTCGAGCTTAGGAGTCTTTGGACCCGTGGCAGAGAGAGGGAGAAACTGCTTTGCAGACGAAGGTGAGAATTCATTGGATTGAGCGGAGCCAAGAGCAGAGAATTGGCTATAGCTGGCGTTAGCTTCTGTGACAGATATATCTGCAATCATCGTTTGTCTGTCTTCCTGAGGGACTTTGCTCATTCGTCGAGCCGCACGCTTGTGATCGAGAAGGCGGACGGGACGACCTGTCCTCGCGAAATGGCGAGCTGCGTACCATCTCACGGCCTTGTAGAGCATGTACCCTGTTTATAGACTATGTGAGCAAGCCGTATATACGTTGCATTGGTACGTACCGACGATGATCGCGCTTAGGATGGCTATTGCCGCGACATAACCGGTATTATTAGGTTTTGAACCACCCTCTGAATCTGCTCTCTTCCATCTTGGTATACGCTTTGAGAGCGCGTTGTAGAAAATGTCGCGTATCGAGTCGTGTGAAGTCACGGGAGCCATCAGAGAGTTGCTGAAGCGCCAGGAGAGACTAGTAAAAGTCGTTAAGATAAACGAAATGACCCCAAATGTGGTGAGAGTGGGCGAGTAAACCAAGGAAAGGAAGAGGAGAGAGGAAAGGGAAGAGGTAAGGGGCAAGAGCGATGAAGGAAGATGGTGAAGACTGGTCTAATATCTGGATGAACCCAAGGCGCGGCATTATGCACATGGGAACGACGCGGCTGTGCGGTCAGTGGCGACACTGGCGGCCAATAATCCGTGTAAAATAAGGAGTGACACCTTGTTTTACACTGTAAAGATCGTCGGCGAGGTGCCTGTTTCGCGGTATGAGGAATTCCCTCGACTTGTACCTTTACTGGCCAGAGAAGCAGTAAAAGTCGATGGATATTACATTCTATACATCATCTTGCAACCCCCAAACGAGAAGAAGCTTCAGAAGCGGTCGCGGCTGCTCGCCATCAGCGATAGTAATCTCCATGGATGGCCGACGTTGCCATTCCTCAGCTCCATCGACTTTATGCGCATTATATTATTATGGTAATTCATGCGGAGTTGGCTGTTTGTCTCCGAGCGTCTCTGTTGTCGAGTCCAAGAAGGCTGTCCATTGACTGTATCGCATCCGAGTTAGTCTTCAAACAATAATTATCGAGTCTGACTAGGGTTTAGTAATCTGACTGGATTAGACTGCATTATTCTAAGTTTGCATATAACCTTGAGCGCGCCATCTTGACCTCTGCCACGACTTGTCGTTTCCATGATTGGTCGCTTTGCACAGGATACGCACTCACATACGTCAGAATCTGTCACACAACGTCTGGAGAGACTGCGGTGAGTATGACAAACACGTCCCAAATGTCTCTCTAATCAACAAATCCCCAGTCTCGAACACGCTCGACATCTACGAAACATCTCATCAACGCCCAGCACATCATCGCAGAGTCATCTCCCAAATTCTACCACCACCTCGCTCCCGAGCGGCGATCACATTGCCTTGCTCCCTCCAGAGCGTGACACTTGGAATGAGAATCCAAACGCACAAACGGCAAACAATGCTCCACGTCCGGGGCCGATGCGTCCACGGCATTGGAACCCACCTTTACAACCTCGGCCAAATGTCAGCGGTCCCGCGGCACCGAGGTCGTGGAATACACGAACGACACAGCCAGCTCAACAACCGGCAAGAGCAAACCCAAGAGATCCACCTTTGCATCCTCGCGTAGACGCCATGCCCTCTTCGAGCAGTGCAAAGGGCAAGAAACCCGGCCGAAGGAGGAGGAATAGACCCGAAGATCTGGAGTATCACATAGAGGCTGCATATGGATCCGAGTATTGGTACCGGCCGAGCTCCAATCCACGGTGGACGGAGTGGCGGACGGACGCCATCTCTCTGACACTTGCACCGACTCGCGACAACGACATATCAAATCCATTCCTACCATTCAATCCAGTGCTTCATGGAGAAAGGGTGCCAACTTTGTTCGAAACTACGCTTGCCGTCCTTTTCCAGCTCTACAGGCAGTCAGCAACCGTGGACGAGACTCCTGGTGAGGAGGGCTCGCTAGTGGCATTAATGGAATACTTTCCGCCTCATACACGAAGATGCATCCTACGATACGCCGCAGTACATCGACCATTCGATCAGCGGGACCTACAGCGCCTGTACACATCACACGACGAACCCGCATCAAGTGAAGCTCCAACAGATAACGCAAACGGGGAGATCTTAATAAGCGGGAAAGACATCGACGGGTCTGTCCTCGATCGTCTTGGCCTATCCACCCAAACGTCTCCAGAAGATGTCCAATTAATCACCCCTCAAACAATCATCCTATTCCAGACACCTCACCTACAAAAACGACATTTACTCTCGTTCCCAAAGACACTCACAACTCTCGGTCTGATTGCCCTCCCACCGCCATCTACCTACAAGCGACCATCTCACGCCGAATATCCTATTCCGCAGTGTTTGTGCCCATGGTGTACATCCGATTATCCACCCGCGGCTCTTCCCGTCCCTAGCTCGAGCACAACGAGCCATGGCAACAAGCCCTCGACCTTGAATATTCCGCTCCCATTAGCGACTACAACGTCCCTCTTGCCTATTCTCTGCACGCTTCCAGCTCTCCTTCCATCGCTCGTGACGCTAGACGTGTCGTATAATCCTTGGATGGCAGACGAAGCGATTCTCACCAATGTCAAAGTTCCTGCATCTACAGCGAGGGGTGCCGAGAAAGATAATGGTATACTTGGGCGATGGGACTTACGTCTCTGGGGACGATTGAAGACTCTTGGAGTTCGTGGGTGTCTAGCGCTCGTCAGCGGACGCGAGGTTCTACATGACAATTTACACAGAGTAGAGGATATTAGTATTGTCAGTTCGAGTATGCCCACGCTCGTCGAGCGCTGGGAGCGATCAATGTTCGCGGTTGGGCGGACTGTGGATGTGGTGTGGCGCATCAATTCAAGGAATATTGATGTCCCTGTATCTAGAATGGAACCTAGTTCCTAAGGATGGACTATTCACATCGCCTTTGTCGACCAGTCAGTTGTTGCCTCTATCCAAGGGCTCCGGAGATCGTTGAGTACGTTCGTCTAGGTACACCCAAAAGTTATAGTATGTTTTTATATACCACTATCCTGCAGTGATCTATGGAGGCCGCGCTCACTTAAAGCTGGCGGGACCTGGCTGGCAGTCGAGTGTCTCAACTTGACCCGCCCAAGACCCAGTTCCTTTACTAATCTGTCCCAAAGGCCCTCCCATCAAATCTCCTCGTATCTTTTCACCGTTCACACCGCTCCAAACATGCCTCTCAAGCGAACCCTTCCTGCTACGGCCACCACCGTTGGGAGCAGTGGACCTCAAACACGCTCACGGCATGGGAGTACCAGTTCTCGCACATCAACAGTGTCAATTGCACCCTATGTTCACTTGAACCCTGTAGAACGCCGTTCCAGTCGTAGCGCCGCGGCGAGACACAACGCCAACGACCCCCAGCTTCTCTCCTGGCTCCAAGGTTGCAACGGCGAACCCTCGTCGATTGAGATCATACGAATAGCACAGGAGATGCAGATGTAAGTGCAGTTATACCTTCCAAACCCCTGTTCAACATCGAGTGGGCTGGTACCGGTTTCTGTGGGCCCCTTCGGGACGATGGCATTCGAGTACCAGTTGCATCACCATTAATACTACCAACGAACAAGTTAGCTAACCCTTTGTCTTAGGACCCCCGCAGCCATTGAGAGGTGGATCGACGGACGTCGGGAGCGGATGGCCCTCTCTCCAGCACATAACACTACAAATTCTTCATCCAACTCAAGATCTGCATCGAGTCGCGCCATCTCGAGTGCGCGCTCAACTCCCATTGCCACCTCCAGTGGCGTGTCGGCAAGGGATCTATCCCCGGTTCTCGAGGGTGCTCAGCCTCTCGAGAGCGAGGAAATGGCCGGCGGTGCCTCTTTGCCTGCCGCCGGCCAGAAGGTAAAGGTGAGCAAGCGAGCGACAACCTTTTTCGCTACGAGATAGCTGAGCCACACCCGATTAGGCAAAGAGAATGACCACGGGTCAAACCGAGCAGCTTGGCAGGTGGTATGCCCAGATTGTCGGTGACAATGGGAGGCTGCCCTCTCCTGAGGAGTGGGCGGCGATCAGCGCGATCCTCAACAAGTGCGTACGATTTCCCCGCCAAAAGAATGAAATTTAACATGATTCTCCCTCTAGGTCCGTAGATGATGTCCAGCGCAACTGTCGGCGCAACGGACACATCTACATCCAGGAGTGGAGTCCTCCTGCGACGCTGGCGAGCCGGCGGTCGCGGAGGACCCAGGATGTAGAAGTGAAACCCGGTGCGCATGCGACAGCGGGACAGGGGAGCTCGGTGGCAACTGCTGCCACATCGTCGTCTGGGGGAGGCGGAGTGAGAGTGATGCGCAAACAAACCACACCAGCGCGCGTGTCCCCATACTCCAAGGATCCTACGACACGCAAAAAGGCGACAAAGAATCCTGCAACAAGCAAGACGAAAAAGAGCTCGACCGTCGCTGATGCGACTTCGCTCCCAAAACCAAGGAGAACCAAGGCCATTACTCTCCTTGTACACACTCCCCCGTCCCTCCTCACACCACTTACTTCATCCCTTGATCTCGTGTACGAAGAGTACCACGCCGCCGGCTTCGGCCCTCATCCAACTCCACAGTCGAATCGCAAGGCTAACCCACGTCCAACGTCCACCTATCCAGTTCCTTCTCGAATCTCATATGCTCCTATTCAGGCATCTCTCCCACCCCTACCACTTCCAGCTGCTCAGCATCTTCCGCCGCAGGCTCCTGTCGAGGACATCAGGGTCCCCTCAGCGCGACTTACCGCTCGCGAGTACGACACGGCACTCATCCTTGTGTCAATGGCCGGTCAGACGACATTCTCAACGTCGAACATTCGCGATACACCCCGTTCACCAACGTCGAACGCAAAGGGTGGCAACTCTCGGCCTATCTGCATTGCTGGCTTGATCCCCTCTGGACCTACCGTGTCCGAGGCCGACATCTGGGAATAGCGTCTCAACCACACATAGATCAGCCTGGTCTGCTAGCTCCAGTCGCTGCTCAGCGTCCCCTGCGTTCCATACGCCCATACGAAACACTCTAGGACCGCATTTCACCACTACATCAACGACAGGCAGACTCTCACCTCGTCGTCCATCACTTGCGCCTAGCGCCACGATGGATTTGACTACCGAGGAAGCCTTATTGATCTGGCGTGGATTGCACTAGCTAGTATTCAAGGCGTAGCAGGCCCACACATGACTCGCACATGAACGATCATCAACGACAGCCGCCCAATACGCAATACAACACAAACTTATTATGGCACAAGTTCGCTTGTCCGTTTTTCTCTTCTCTCCCATTGCTCTCGGATTCGGATTGGACCTATCTACTGCTAACGACTTCTAATCTCTCCCCTATGACCTATGCACTTCTCGTGGCCATCAGTCTACCATACATCTGTTTGTTTGTTAATTCTCATGTACGAGTCGACTCTTGATTATATTTCGTCACGTGCTCGCCTAAACCACAATATTGTGAATTAACCTCTGGGGAATTAGTCGTAAATGATTATATTAGAAGGGCAATATAATCTACCAAGAACAGGGGCAGACGACCACAAATGATACGACAAAGCCAACAAGATGACATCGAATGTATATCTGGTCCATAGAATCCGCCTGACCTAAAGAAGACCCTCCAGACCTAGCCGTATTATGTAGGGGACAAGTAAGAGCACGATGTCTCAGCAACCGATGGGATCATCGAGCCTGTCCGGCATCGGTCGACGATCATCTCATTTTGTCGTGAGCCAGATATTTGTGCTTTAATACACAGATCTGACCCATTCTTGGGCCTCTATTCGTCTACGCTTGACTGCCGCCGCCACCTCTGGCCCCCAGACATCCTCTGGCTTTTGGCCATTTCGATACGCCTCCTCATGCTTGGCCACCTAGAATAATATGTCGAGTTTGGTTCGGGAAAGATAAAAGACTACATACCTCTTGAGGTGACATTACAACGCAGTTTACTACACTCAATGGCTCGTTAAAGTTCCAACGAACGAGCGTCGGCCTCGAGAGTGACTCGAACGGAGGAAGCGACGATTTTGAACGATGCAGTTCTTCAAATACGAAACCGACTTCTTCATCTGTGAGTGGTATCCGCCTATAGGTCGAATTGAGTAACTTTCGCTTACGAAGATATCTGACACACTGTTGCTTCTCCAACCCGGCCCATTTTGTTTCCCTCGCGGTAAGGTCTTTGGCTAGTTTCTCCCACAGCTTTCGCCGTCCCTTGACCGCTAGTGGCTCTTCAATCTTTCTTCCACCAAGTTCGCATATCAAATAGGTAGCGATATGCATCCCAAATATTGCGGGAAGCATTCCCAGAACGGGAAGAATACGGACCCGAAAGTCGGAAAACGGCGCGAGCTCATGAACTGCGCCCTTTTGGAACTCTTCTTCTGGTAGAGGCAATAGCCCAAGTGGTTTCGCTCCGTCTGTTTTGTCAGACGGTGGGACTTCTGTTGAATAGACAACTGGAATCCCAGAGAGTACAGGATGTATGGGGTGCATACGAAGTCGGCGACGCACGGCTCGCGCTAGAGGGTCGGCTATTGTCTGAGATATATCGGCAGACTGGATATGGGATGGATCCATCTTTGCTCCTGCCCCCATCGAAGCAATGACCTTGATTCCTTTGGAGTGGCAATACGATAATAGGTCTACCTGAGTCGAAGCTTAGACGACGATGATGAATTATAAAAAGAGCTACCTTGGTCGAAATGTTGTCTATCGCATCGATTACCCAATCCGAACCGTCTAGCCACCGGTGTTCCTGCTCGTTCTCGGCGCTCCAGAGTTCTACGAGCGTTTCCACATCTATCCACGGAGCTATAGCCGCAATGTTATTCTTAAGGGATTGGACCTTGGGCGTGCCAACCTCGGCTCGAGTCGCAGACGCATGCCGGTTCAGCGAAGACAGTGTCACGTAGTCGAAGTCTAGCAGCCGAAGCTTGGCGACCCCACTATAGAGGCGTAAATCCCTTGTCAGGAAAGCTCAAGAATACGTACCTCCGCGCGAGCATCATTGCAGCCCAGCTCCCCACTCCTCCACAGCCGACAACAGTAATAGTTGCTCTTCGAATCGTATCCATACCATCCTCTCCGAAGAATGCATAGTTTCTTGCCAATTGCTCCCGGATTAACTCGTCGTCGAAACCTCCAACCACGCTCGCAGCCACTCTTGCAGCCCCTTTGAGCGCGTTTCCTATACCGTCTGCCGTTTCTGTTTCGTTGCTTTCCTTTTTCCCATCTTTTGAAGCAGACGATGCGTTTTTGTTGGAGGCATTCAACGCGTCGTTTTTGTACAACTCTTGCAATTCGCGGTTAAGACGTTCCTTTCCTCTTGATTCACGAATAGTTGTATATATTGACCGTGCTTGTAGACTTGCGAAGGACGCGACCAGCGCAACGGCGATGAACCGTGCTGCTTGAGACTCGATGACTGCATTCACACGTTCCATCCGGTAAATAGAGCGAGAGGTCCAGACTTTAAAGGCTGGTTGGCTTGGACAGTCAAAAGGGTTTATCACGGTCGGATCCAAAGTATGCCATTCGCACGGAAGATAACAGGATTGCACAATATATGATAGATCTACGATGCTGAATTCAGTCTATACATAGGTTCTGGCCGCTCGTTGCCAGCACAAAGATACGGGCCAACCAGCTCAGTCTCAACTTGACACCGCCCATACTATGCAGGACTGAGCAGGCTGGTCCTTGTAGTGCATCCAGCTTATAAAAGGAGCTCAAGGTTTCAAGATATTACTCACCAAACCATGGACAACGTCCCGGATGATATCCTAATCCTCGTCTTTGAGAAATTCACCTCTTTTTTCGAGCTAGACCAGTCACCCACTCTACTCCTGCCAATATGTAGGAGATGGAGGAACCTTATACTCGCTACGCCCTCTCTGTGGGCGAGTGTGAAGCTCAGAGTGACTTCGATGAAGGACGCGAAGAGAGTTCTGGCCAAAGCAGGACAAGGACACGGACTTGAAGCTTATCTACGACGTTCAGATCCCCAACTATCCACTTCGCAGCGTATGGGAGACAGCTTTGGCGTCGGGCTCCATATCCACCTTATCTGGACTTCGGCGACCAAAGGCCTCACAGACGAGGAACACTTGCACACCTGCAACGTATCTCCTCTCAGTCCATTCGCTTGCCCCTCTTCTATTTGCCAACTGATCCCGGAACGTCAGAGGCTATTCATCCGTCTGGTTGAAATCGTTGCTGGGAAATACCGACCTGGCTTCGAAGGGAAAGCTTCTCGACTCGCTAGATGGGAGTCACTTCGAATCGCAGCAGGCGGCATTTTCTCTCAGATATGGCCACCAAGCGAATTACATCTATTTCCGCAAACAACTCTTGCGGATAGAGTCGTCATACCGAGACTCGAACGACTATGTATGGTTTTATCGAGCGGCTTGGAGTTTAAAGCTCCAAGTCTCCGACATCTCGAGCTTCGAGGGGCCTGGATCCCGAGCACGGCAAACCTGGAAGGAGTAGAGACGCTACTGATTGTAGCGACAACCTCCCGATACTCTCTCGAGTTTCCAAGTCTGATCAACGTGACAACGTTGAAGATTCAAGGAGACTCGGTTCTAGTCAAGGCCATCACGAGAGAGATACGAAATCCAAACTTTGATCAGCACGCATTTCTTCCTCGACTCCGGCATCTCGTCTTTCTCTCGGCTCCCCCAAACGACACTCTCGTCGCCCTCCGACACATATTCGATGATCGACGCACGCTAGAGACGATGAGTGTCACGGTGGACATTGAGATAGATACCCAGTTCTTTGATGCTTTGACCGCCCGACTCCTTGATGGGACGTGTCCACGGATCCAGACGCTCGTCCTCATGTCGTGGAGGATTGTCAAAGCAAAGGAAGTAGACGGTCGCGTCGACTGGGACGGCATTCGCCAATGGACTCTGCCTAGTACCTTTTATCTTGATAAACTTGGCAAAGCCCTGGATGCCGCCGTCGCCAAAGGAATCGTGCTCAAACTACCGGAGGATCCGTACATTCAACGAGCAGTCGAGGCTGCAAAGGAGGGCGCGAAACAATAATCCACGTCGTGCCTCTCTTTCTCTACCTCGTTCAGGTGATCGTTTCGCAAATGTCAAGTATGAATTGGGCAGTCGGATGATGGTTGGAAATGACGTGGTAATATGAAGCTCGGCGGATACATGGGCATCCTCGTGCTTTTTTATAATCAGATATAAGCCAGCGATCACGGTTTGTCGACTACTTATTTTAGCTGGTACACGAAAGATAGATAAATATTCGCGATTCTGTCAATCATGTATCAATACAGTTTATTTTCCTGGATATACCTTGCTATTCGTACTGGAACCAAGTCACTCAGTTTATCTCCAGACCCAAGCGCTGGCTCTTCGTATGACGCTCGCACAGACGACCTGGCTCGCGTAGAGCTGAGTGTCTGAAGGAAAGGATCCAACTGCAACATCAGGATGCTCCCTGAGTCTCTATAAGGGGCCACTTCTGGTTGAGAAAAGAACGCCTCCTCTTCAGCCTTAACGTCCACGTCTTGGTTCATGGTTCTGCGCGCACAGACCACATGCGAGTTGTCGCCTTCAGGTCCCGGAGCGAAAAATCTGCGTAGCGCAGCATCCATCTCTTCCGTCGAGTTCCCATAGAAGCGTGGGTCAAATAGACGAGTGACGGTGTCGAAGCCGAGGATGAAGTATAGTTCGACTCTTGCCAGTGGTAAATCACCGGCACGCTGCAGACCACCAAGTCTATTATCAATGAATTCACGCAGCTTTCTAGACTTGCCGACAAACGTCGGTTCGTCAATTGCAGCAACGCAAAATGGCGCGTCTGGCTTTGCTGGATCCGTCGCTGACCGCCGACTAGCTTCATCCGCCAGAATGTACATCATTTCCAGCCGCTGTACATAAGTCGCGTCACCCGGTTTGAGCTTCTTGTCCGCGTTTGTGACGGAGAGCAAAAGCATACGGGCGTCGTATGTCCTCTTGCCGGTACTGTCAGGAAGAGGCGCCATAGCAAGTGCTAGGTGTGCCTTTGTAGGTGGATTAAAGGACGAATCGAGAATGGCGATACGTATCGGAGGATTGTATGGGTCTGGTAGGTTGACTCCAGGCGGGAGAGGCCAATTTTGAGATGAAGTATAGACAAACTCGACGTCTGTTTTGTATTTAGACGTTGAATTGTCACCCTTCAAGCGCTGAAGTGCTTCAGCAAGTCCGCCAATCGTCTCTGACGACATTTTGCGACGCTTTATAGAGCTTAGGGTCTCCGTAGCATCAATCTGTGGTCGTAGAGCAAGAAGAATACTCCTTCTTGCAGTGGATTTGCAAGCAGATAGGCAAGCCAGAATATGGCCGAGATCAGGAATCCAGAGCTAGCTTGGATTCGCCGCCGACGACAGGCTCGATAGACTTTGAATCCTCCCGGCTGCTTCTCACTCAGAAGCTAAATACAAACTCGAAGAAGTCTATATTCTTACTCCCGAGGCTTGTCTCAACATGAGCAACCCTCACAAGTCTCTTCTCAGCAAGGCTCTCACCGAGAGACCTGCATCTGCACCGCTACAAGATGGAGACGTCGCTATGAAGCATAAGAAAACGCCATCTATTCCCAACCGGCCCCTTTCGAGCACCCCATTGGCGACTCCATCATCAATATCACGTCCTATTCCGATTCCGATTCCAATCCCTCCTTCTCACTCACCAGTGAATCGACCATCTTCACATCATTCAACTCATCTTGGTGCCCTGCATAATTTGGGTGAGTGTCGCCTCGTGTCCCGATGCCACGTCTAACAATGAATCAGGAAGTCCATCTATCACTTTTGACCTCCCAAAGTTTGATAAGACATCGGAACTGTCAAAGGCATCCGTGGTGAAATCCCGCCTGGGCAGCGTCCTCACCAGAGGATTCATCCTGAAGACCGACTACTATCCCAACGGTCAGCTGAGATGTACTATTCACAACTCAATCATCTCATAAGAACATAGGCCGTGCTCTTGATCTTGATATCAACCTGGGCGGAGCTCCCAACTTTCGCTCTCCACGAGGGGTTTCTTTCAACGTTTTTGGCGTCGCTCAGCCGAGAATCGCAGGAATCAAGGCTATCTTGTCTCTGCTGGATTGCCGTCCATCTGCCCAGGGTGCCAAGGTGGTCGACAAGGAAGAAAAGGCATTTGGTCGAGAATATAGAGCTAACCACCCACGTAAATGCCTCTGGTTCAACACTAGAGAGGAACCCGTTGGTAGGAGATACGTGATTGGTGGTCTTTCGGTACTGACAGTACCTAGTATATATCGGGACGCGTCCGTTTGTGCTTCGCGATGCAACAGATCCCCGACAGAACCTCCAAGTGGCTGATAGTGCCGATATTCTTGAAGCCGTCGAACAGCGTCTTAAGGAGGACATCTTGAAGGAGGCAGCAACGTACGGGGCTCGTTGCCAATCGGCCGCTACTGACCCTCCCTAGTTTTGGTGGACTTGTGTTGACGCACAACGAACAAGGTATAATTCAAACTGCGTCCTTCCGCAAACTAACGCTCCTCTAGAGGATAGTGACGGCCGAATCCTCCCGACATGGACAGCTGCGGATCCGTCAATAGTCAAGACGTCTCGAGAGGTTTGGGAAAGTGTTAGAGAGGAAGGCTGGCCAGTCGAGTATCATCGAATTCCCATCTCGCAGTCACGACCCATCGAAGATAATTATCTTGATGCATATCTACAAGTCCTCAAGACCGTCTCACCTGTTACGACACCCATCGTCTTCCATTGTGGGATGGGTGCCGTTCGTACAACCTATGCAATGACTGCCGCCTGTATCGTCAGGCGGAAACAGTGCATTGACTTGGGGTTGGGAGATCCATTCGCCGGTCTTCGCAGTAGCTATCCTTCCATGGGCGCGATCGGGATGAGCTCCTCCCCCAGTACTCAATCTCAAGCAGCCATCGTTCTCGAACAGGGTGGGGTTTGACCAAACGGCGTGACGTATGGCTGACTTTTTCGAAGCGGAAATGCAACGCGAGCACAACGAATCTCTTCTTCGATTAGCGCATATTCTTCAACAAAGTGCGCTCCCAATCATCCAAGTATCGTCGCACTAAACCTAGAGCCAGATCTTGATACTAAATCATCGTCTGCTTCGGCGATTGAAATCCTCGTCTCGCATCCATCCTTGCAGACCAACCTTCAGAATGCTCTTAGAGGCAACTACAGTATCATTCTATCTCTGCTAGGCATCATCGATCATGGACCCTTTATCAAGAAAGTAGTCGATAGGATCATCGACTCGGCCTCTCAGATGGTGAATCTGAGGGAGGAAATACTCACTGGTCGAATACGCTACTCTGTCAGTCGAGGTGATGATGAACGACGTGCGGAATGGATAGAGAAGAGCGCAAAGGCCCTAGAGAAATAGTATGTGTTTGATCTTTGATGGCTGGTTCTTATCCGTCCTAGCTACTTTATCATAGCCTTTGCAAGCTATGTAGAAACAAGCAATAACTTTGAAGAGACCTTCGCAAGTTGGATGAAAGTATGTATTAATCACGTTAGAGCGCCTATTTTTACACAGTATACAGGCACGAATAGAAGTAACCAAGTAAGGGATGACAGGGATAGTGTCCATTCACTCACATTCTACAGCCAAGTGATGTTCCTACGACGGTCTGGATCTGCATTTAAAAGTGCGTTTCGAGGGCCCATACGAGTCGAAGATTGACGACTTCTTACAGTCTTTGCACCCATAAACGACCTGAAGGCACTTTCTCAAGCGGGATTAGAGTCTCGAGATCAGCAGCAAGTTGCTAAAAGAAACCGACCAGATCTTACCATTGCCGGAGGTCAGATTCTTGGAGACGAATGGGCGGAGCATGTCGTTCGAAACCGCGGCGGAATCATCTTGCGAACGAGGTATGGGACAACTATCGTCGTGACATTGACTGAGATTACTAGTACCTTACTTAAATCTGATCAGTGGCATCAAGAGTATGAAGAGATTCCTGGTGGTGTCCGAGGTGCTCCTTACTTCCGCAATGTGCCTGGAACAAACATCTACGCGTGTGGTCAACCGACTTCGGAAGCGATCGAAGAGGTTGTTGCACGAGTGCACCGAGACTTCCCCGAACCTGGTGATATGATTTGGATCACCCTTCGTGAGGAACCAATTATCATCATCAACGGCGCACCGTACTGTCTCAGAAGGGAGAGCTACTCGCTTCGAAACATGAAGGTGGGTGTTTATGCTCTATGCTTGGTGGGTCTGAATCATGTCTAGGATTACGGCGGTATATCAGCAACGCGCCTTGAAGTCTTGGAGGAGCGCTTAAAGGACGACGTACTGGCAGAACTGAGGACCTATGGCGGCAGAGTACTACTCCACACCGAGGCATCTGATGGACAAGTGGTCCCTGTTTGGGAAGAAGCACGCGAGTCAGATGTCGCTACTTTGAAGGAGGTGTTTGCGGCGAAGAGTCACATCAACAACGTCCGACTTCACTATTCGCGTGTTCCAATTACAAGCGAACGTCCTCCAGATTTCCATGAGTGCGTCGCTCATTTCGTTTTTGACCTGGTCTGACCAGAGATCCCTTGGCAGCATTTCTGAGTGGGACAATTAAAGATTTCTCAGGACGCTACTAACCAATAAACAGCCTTATGGAAGTCGTGATTCGAACACATACCACCCGTACGCCTATCATTGTCAACTGCCAACTTGGAAAGCGACGGTCTACCATAACTGCTGTGCGTACTCTAAGTCCACTTGAGCTTTACTAACAGAGTAATAGATTGTCATCAAGCTCATACAGGATTGGGTGCAATCGAGCAACGAACTGAGCCGAACTCCCAAGACCCCTCAGACAGGCTACGAGAGATTCCGCTTCTCTACATCCATGACTTCTATTTCCGACAGGGTGCAGACGGTGTCCAAACAGCGCCCTTCATATCAAGTCATTAATAGTACGTGAGTATACATCCACGGAAAGTCATCTAATTAGTGCTTCGAGACCTGCTACGAGTGATTCGGGGCGGACTGGAGGTCAAGTTTTCCGTCGACAATGCTGTAGAGCTGTGTTCCCAAACATTTGATTTGCACAAGGCCATCGAATCCGCCAAAATAGCTGCAGACGAAGCTGTCGACGAGCGACAGAAGCGCAAGGAGAGCGTGAAAGGGTTGCATCATCTCCGACAATACTTCGAGTTGATCATTTTCCAAGCATATCTCAATGTGACGCAACCAGATACTTGGAGGGACTTGGAAACGTTTGAAAACTTTGTCAAGGCCCGACCAGGTAAGTCTAAATCTGGCTGTATCAAATATCTAATCTCGTTATAGTGTTCAAGACGTTTGAGAAAGAGCTCGACGTCGACGATGCCAACGCCCTCAAGCCGCTTGAACGAGTCGAGGTTTCCGACGGCGTAGCGATGCCCGACGAAGTCGTAAGAATCGTCGCGAATCGTGCAGGCGCAGTGCTGTCAGCATCGACCATTCTCAAGTCGGACTTTTTCAGCAACCTCCAAAAGATGTCCCTGCCCGAGTACGTACCTAGCCATACGATACTTCTCACGACTTGCTCTTCCTATCCCCTTCATTTCGTCGCGACATGTCATCGCATAGGCTGTTATCACGTTATCTATGGCCACCCACATGGTGACCTTGCTTGCGACTTCGGGCCCGCATGGTGCATCGATGGGTCGTCATTCCTTTTGATGGCGATTCTCCCTATCTTGTGGTGGCACTTCATCTGACTACCACATCCATCAGACGAATCGAAGGCTCGCCCAACTTTAGGAGGATACCTCTGGTATTGTGGGCTGGCTCGGGTGCCGAATCCCAAAACTATACTCACGCTCGAACCGAATATGTCTGTGGGAGCGGTATGCCGACCGCAGAAGGGTGCGTCTCTTCGCTTCTCTCCATCTAGATCCCTTCTCGCGACCGCGTGCTACCAATTCGGGGCGAGGTAGCGGCTCTAATATGCGTTGAATAGATTGCGTCGTGCGCTCAAACGGGTTGGTGCGTCCCCAGAAGGACCGAACGTCGCGTTTTGGACTAGTCTTCGCGAGGAGCCGGTCCTCTATGTCAATGGACGACCTCACGTCCTTCGTCAAGTCAACCGGCCATTGCAAAACATGGAGTAAGAGTGATCTGTTTTGGAGAAATTGGCTTACGCGACGTGCCAGAGCGACCGGAATCACGACAGACGTCGTCGAGCGTATGGAGCAGACGCTCAAGCGGGATGTACAGAAGGAAGTGTTTGCTGGCCAAGGAAGAATTCTTCTCCATGACGAGGTTGAGGATTCCCCTGGTCAATTTACCATTACCCCTCAGTGGGAGACGGTTTCCGTGGAGGATATTATGACCCCGAGGGTGAGTTTACTCTTCTGACCCTTGAGACCCCAAACTAAGCTGCGATAGGACGTGTTTGAGATGGTGACCAAGGAGGGCTACAAGGTGAGCGATATTCATCCTCGGTTACCGGCTATTGACGGCTTTGGGAGGTGGACTATGCACGAGTGGCGATTGTATGTGTATCGTGGCTAAACGAGACGTTGGGCATTGATGGCGGATTGGCAGACTGATGAACAGGCGCCGCTACCCGAGAGCATGGCAATAGTAGGTCGATGCGTTAGACACTGCCTCCGCGATCTGACGAGCGTGCCTAGATTTTGGAGCGAGTAAAGGTTGGCTTAGGTTCCGCAACGGACCTCATCTTCAACTGTCAAATGGGCCGTGGTCGAACAACGACGGGTATGGTCTGCGCGAGCTTGGTGGCAACGATTCTCTATGGCGACTATCGGATGGAGAGCGCAACGACGGACGAATCAGGAACACAAGAGGCCTTTATTATGACGGACGGTGTGTCAGAGGAGGAGGCCTACCTGAACGGTGCGTAACGGTCCCGGCCATTTACGATTTCCGGTGCCGAGAAAAGAGTCTAACACGAAGCAATCTAGGCGAATACAAAATTATCCTGCAACTTGTCGGCTTGCTGTCTCATGGGAAACTCGCCAAACGGCTGGCGGACGCATCGATTGATCGCATGGAAAGCGTGCAGAATTTGAGGCGGGCGGTGTTCGAGTGCGTATAGCTCTGCTGGTATCAATGATATGATGGCACTAAACCTCTCGCTTGCTCTCGGCTATCCCACACTCCACTTTTACTTGTGGACTCCGATCCCTCGGTGTAGCTACAAGCTCAAGGTGGCGGCCATTGACCGGAGCCGGTCTCCCAGCAAGTACAATGCAATACTGGACGTGGGGATCAACTATCTATACCGGTACGGGACGTTGATTGTGTTTGCAAACTACCTGGTGGAAATGCGACTGCGTGTCGAGGAGACGATGCCTACGTTTCCATCCTGGCTGGAGCAGCGGAGGGAGATTCGGACGTTGCTTGGGCGGCGGAGTCTTGATTGACGGTTGTAACAAGTTAATAGATCGCGTATGTTCTCCATCGTTGTTGACGGCGGCCCTGAGGCGATACGACCGGCTATCCGGTCACAGGTGGTGACCGGGAATGCGCGAGAATGGGCGCCGGGGGGCTGCTGACAATTGAATTGGGGGTTGAGCGGCCGCATAAGTAACAAACTCGAACTCAAGGTTGGTCTTTCACCCACCCCTCAATCTCTTTCGCCTCCGCACATCCTCGTCCAAGGGATACCGCTTGAGTGTACGTCTCTCTTTTCTACACTATTCTCCTCCTCCCTGGCTGCTCTCCGAATTTTTGTGAATTTTCTCGGCGCCAAGGGACGCTACGCTGCACTTCCCACCGCTGATGGCTGGCTATATGCTGACGATATCCATGTTTACTAGTTTACTCGCGACCCCAAGGCATTCTTCTTCACTTTATCAAGGGACTTCGCCAACCCCTTTGTATCCCGTCGTAATTGCCTCCCTCCGAGCTCGAGTTCACTCGCTCAAAGGCCTACGCACGCCCAAACTCTACAACATTCTTCTACAACTTTAATCTTGTCCTTTATCTTTTTGATTTGACAACCATGTCGATCCCCTCCGCTAGCCCTTCTGCTGAATTAAAGGCAGATGCTACCCTTCAATCCTCCTCTGGACCCGCTTCAGCACCCACAAAGCGCGCTTCTCGTCGCGCAAACACTGCTGAACGCCGTGCCACCCACAACGCCGTCGAGCGCGCCCGCCGTGAGACGTTAAATGGCAGGTTCCTCGTGAGTATTATCTATCGGTTTATTCGTTTATAATACTAAATGTCAAATAGGACCTCGCAGCGATTCTTCCCAACCTCGCAGCCGTCCGTCGTCCATCCAAGAGCGCAATTGTCAACTCTTCCATTGCGCTTATCAACAACCAACGCCGTGCACGCATCCTTGCTGCACGCGAAGTTCGTCTCCTCAACGCCGAGAATATTGCGCTTCGCCAGGAGCTCAACGAGTGGCGCCAACGCAACTCGCTCCCGCGCGTCGAAGAGCCAATTCGCTCGTCCGAGTTTGTCACCCTTATCAATGTCCAAGTTGAGGAGGAACTCGCAGAGATGGAACTTGCAATGATGAACAACGGAGTCGGAGCTGGAAGCCGTCGGTCGTTTGATATGCCCGAGGGACAGTTTGAGGACGACGATTATAACGAGGACGGCGCAGACGAGGAAGCGCTCATCAGCCCCGACTCGGCCCACCCATATCCGACGTCGATTTCAATGGCGCTCCCGACCGTCAACCACAAGGTCAACAATGCTCTTCAGCAACAACAACAACAACAGCAGCAGCAGCAACAACAGCAACTTGTCGCTCAGCAACAGCAGCTTTACGAACAGCAAAAGGCTGTCATGGCTCGCGCTCAACAGCAGCAGCAACAACAACAGCTCGCCCGCTACGCGACGCCCCTCAACCAGCAGCAACCCTCGCCACCCCCGCACCATTTGCCACAGCAGTACATGTACCCCGAGACTGCCAATCTCTTTGGCGCAGAGATGTACGCAAACGGTGACAATAGCCTCATGTTCAACGGTCAGCAAACCTGGTCGCAAAAGGCCATTGCCGTGACGCCTCCTGGATCTGCGCACGGTATCAAGTCTACCAATGCCTATGCGACCGCCGCCAACTCTGCCTTTTTGTCCGGCTCACCTTACAACGGATCTCCGATCGGCATGTTCAAGCCGACGGCTGGAGGACGCAATGGCAGCGTAAATGGCGAAGACGACAACTCGTCTGTCAGCGAGGGCTCGTCGCATTTTTCGAGCACGACCGATTTGAACATTCTGAGCTCATCGCCCGTCGACCACCAATTCGCGTATGGTGCGAATAACATGATGGGGTTGGGTTTTGGTATGCCGATGAATATGAGCGGACTCAATATGGGCATGACGATGCCGCCTTCTCCGCCTCATAGCGTTTCGCTCTCGCCTGGGCATTCGCAGCCACAGAGCCGTAGACCGAGCGTCACCGTGCCCACGTACTAGACGCGTGCGCACACATCGCCGCTACGACCATCCCTATCTTATCTTGCCTTTCTTTCGTCGCTGCTGGCGATCATCCCGACTTTTACCTTTCTTGCTGTCGCCCTTTTTTTTGTTGACCTTGGAACAGCCGTCCCCCCTATTTCTTGTCGTCCGTCTGCTCCCCACCAACTGGTCTATCGCTCCTTACCACCACCACTACCACCTCCCTCCCTCTTCCCCCCCTGCGTCCCCCCATCGTCTCGCACGTAGTGATGTGGTCAGAGTGGCTCTTGTCCGGTGGCTGCTAATCGACTCATTGCTGTCGAGGTCGTTGTATCCCTTTTTTTTTTTTGAGATGAATACATGGCGAACTTTTGTCTCAGACTGTGTGCGTGGTGTTTCTGGATCAGTCTGGGGGTGGCGAGTCCTCTTGACGGGCGTCTAGATCGTCCAGTAGACGCTTGTAAAATTCCAATTGTCTCACGGTGTTGCCGGGTGGGACGACTTTCCGAATTGAGCCATGGCGTACTTGTCGAGTCGTTCGATGTGCTCTATAAATTTGTCCCACCGCTCCTTGGCCCCGTCCATTCCCTCTACTTTTCCTAAATACCGCGGCCAGTAATCGTATTATTATCAGAGTAGACGAATCCAGAGAGGAGACCAAAAATGACCACCACCACAAACGCGACAAAGCTCGCGCTGCCGTGGATCTCGTCCACATTCAAGTCGACCACGACACCTGCAATTCTCGAAAAGGCCATGGAGAATGTCCCCATGTGGGCTCTCCTCGTCGCTGGCTTTTTTGGCGTTCAAATCGTCGCCGTCGTCCTCAACGTCCTCCGACAACTCGTGAGTATTCGGAATTTCATTAACACTTGCTTGTTATCAATCTGTGTGCTGACGTTTTGAATTTTTGTTAGGTGCTCCCCAAGGACCCAAATCTACCGCCCGAAGTCTTTCACTTTTACCCCATCATTGGCTCTGCCATTTCGTACGGAAATGATCCCATCAACTTTTTCTTCAAGTGCCGTGAGCAGGTAGGCACGATTGGACAATTGTCGAAAACGTCTGGCTGACATTGCGTTTATAGTATGGCGAGGTCTTTACGTTTGTTCTTCTCGGTCGTAAAGTCACGGTCGCACTTGGTCCAAAGGGAAATGATATGATTCTCGGTGGAAAGCCCAACGTCGTCTCTGCAGAGGCTGCCTATACGGTACGAATCCTCTCTTGAGCCTCCAAGTCTTCTGGTCTAATAAATATCGTAGCATCTGACGACACCAGTCTTTGGCAAGCATGTCGTGTATGACTGCCCCAACGAGACGCTCATGCAGCAAAAGAAGTTTGTCAAATTCGGCCTGAACACGGACAATTTCCGCGCATACATGGGCATGATCGAAGACGAAACTTCTATGTTCATGTCGACCGATCCCAATTTCACCGCCATCCATTCCAAGACGCGCGAATGGGGTCGCTTCAATTCGTTTAAATCCATGTCCGAGCTCACCATCCTCACGGCCTCGCGCACACTCCAGGGTGCAGAGGTACGCTCCAAGCTCGACAAGACGTTTGCTCAGCGATACAATGATCTCGACGGCGGATTCACTCCACTCAACTTCCTCTTCCCGTCTCTCCCGCTCCCGAGTTATCGTCGACGTGACAAGGCTCAACGCGCCATGTCAGAGTTTTATCAGGACATTATTCGTTCGCGCAGGAATGGTGGAGGAGATCATGAACACGAACATGATATGCTTGCTGCCCTCGATCAACAGACGTACCGTGATGGCCGTGCGTTGACGGATGTTGAAAAGGCACATATTATGATTGCTCTCCTCATGGCTGGTCAACATACCTCGTCTGCCACCTCTTCCTGGACGCTCTTGCACATTGCCAACAACCAGGCGATTCAACAGGCGTTGTATGAAGAACAGGTCAAGCATTTTGGTCTTCCTGGTGGTGGATTCAAGACGATGGAGTATGAGGATCTCAAGGACTTGCCGCTCCTCGACGCCGTCATTCGCGAGACGCTCCGTATGCACCCTCCACTCCACAGCCTGATGGTTCGTTTCCTTGTTTCTTCCACTTGATATGCAACTCACGATAATTATAGCGCAAGGTCATGCAAGATTTGCCCGTCCCACAGTCGCTCGCCGCACCCTCTGAATCAGGCTCGTATGTGATCCCCAAGGGCTACTACGTCCTCGCCTCGCCCTCTGTCGCCGCAATGGACCCCAACGTATGGCGCAACCCGACCGAATGGGACCCCTACCGATGGATGCCAGGTTCGGCGTCGGCCGCGGGTAACCTCAGCGGTGCATTGATGGCGCGCAGCGATGAGGAAAAGGGTGAAAAGGTGGATTACGGATTTGGAATGGTTAGCAAGGGTACCGAGAGCCCCTATCAGCCATTTGGTGCCGGTCGTCATCGGTGTATTGGTGAAAACTTTGCGTATGTGCAGCTTGGAAGCATTATTGCGACCATGATTCGCGCACTTGAGCTCCGTTTGCCAGAGGGTATGCCGGAGCATAATTATCATGTGAGTTTTAGCTATTTGCTCGACGTTGCTCATTGCTGACTGTGTTCTCTCAGACTATGGTCGTCGTCCCCAAGTCGCCTTGCGATATTGAGTACCGAAGACGTTCGACTGCTTAATCATACATTTAACGAATGTCGTGTTTCTGGATATAGATGCAATATATTGGCAGTTGATGTGTATTTTGACTACATAAAGTCGTCTGGGTTATTCCCAAAGTCGTCATCATCGTACGTGTTCAAATCGTACCTGCAACCAACAGTCAGGCGGAAAAAGTGAGAGGAGGCAGGACGCACTTTGCTTTGCTACTCGCGGCAGTCGCTTGCGCCTTTTTCTTCGTCGCATTTGCCGCTTTACGCGCCTCTGCTGCCTTTTCTGTCGCCACTCCCGCCACGACGTTGGCGACTTTGCGCGTCTCAGTCTCCCTGAGCGTTCCACACAGTGTCCTCGCGTGCATCTCGACAAAGGCGCCATACTGCGGGCTCGAGGTGTGTGGCTTGATGAGGTGCGTGTAGATTGCCTTTGAGAGGGCTTCAAAATCGGCTTTGGTTTGAATCTTTGCGGGGAGTGTGAGGAAGGGCTTGAGATGTGCTGGGATTTCAGGTGTTGTTTTCGTACTTGATGTTGCAGTATTAGATGTATCGCGCGTTGTCAAAGTGGCCTTTTTGTCATCGAGAGACGCATCGCCAAAGAGGTCGCTCGCGTTGCGCAAGTCTGCTTCGAGTTCCTTTTCACGCATTACGCGTCGCATCTCCTTTTCGTCCATGAATTTCTCTCGTAGGTCCATGTACTCTTTTTCCTCTTGGCCACTTTCCAATCGTCTCTTTTGCGCGGCTTCCTTTTCGGCGAGCTTTTGCTTTAACGACGCTTTTTTCTTTGCATTAGAGGCCTTTGTCGAGCTGGATGCTTCTTCCACGTCGGATCCGCCTGTTGGATCAACCTGGATGTTTGTGCGGGTGGGATCATATAATTAGGGGTGGAGTATGAGTTCTGATGAATAAAAGAAACTAGTATAGAACATTGACGTACATTGGAGCCAGATCCTATACCTCCCTGTCTATTTTTCGTTTCTCGTGATTCATCGCCAGATCCATCTGAGCATTAACGCACGTCAGATACACCCATACAGTCCTAGGTAGCTATTATGGGTGCCAAGGAGGCTTCCTACTTACCCCAGTCGGACATGATAGCGGCCAAGTTTCGATGAGTGGCGACCTGTGACGCTCCGGGCCGGGTTATGGGCTGAATACTCCTTCTAAGCGCACGGATTAAGGGTATATCTCTGTCTCTCTCCCCTCTGATGGTCTTCGGGAGACTTTAACAATATTACGGATATAACGGTGATAATCGTCCTATCTGAGTAGGAATATGAACGCTGGGATGCGGCATATAGAAACGTTGAGGTGATATGCTCAGTCACATCGTGGAGTCCCCAGAAATAGAAGCCAAATAGAGCGGGATTTATGAGGAGCGATGTATTCTGGACATTCTACATTCTCAATACGAAGGCAGGCTCCTAAGAACGCAGGACACTGAAACATCTCGTATAAGATGGCTTCAGACTGACTCAAAACTATCATTGGCCAGCTACGTTGCGTCCTTAAGCTCACCATGACTATGCCGACATAGTTCGGCGGACTCAGGCCAACGGCCACCGCGTCCACATGGGGTGCCCGGCTCCGACGCAGTCGACCCACATGCTCGACCCCTCTCGTTCTATTTCGACGTTTTTTGTGCATAATCTACCGGAGAGGCGGCGCAATGACTCTGCCGAAGCTTCCCACCTGCTGTATCCAGATGTCACTAGTGTTCTGGCGCTCGGCCATCTTCCCAGTTGAAGTAACAGCTGCCTACTAAATTGAAGCAGGGAGTCGATTACTAATGCGCTCCTAATCCGACTAAGAGCAGCTATTAGAGTCATTAATTGTCAGATGGATCTGTCAGTTGGAGGGGTTCAAGCTTCGTGATTCTGAGTCAATGACCGCACCAAATTACCCAAGTGACTCGTTGAAACTGTGCTGACTGCGCCGCATCAGGTACTGGTACGCAATCATTCGTACGATCAAGACTGGCGTCTGCGCTTTGATCCAGCATCTTGTGTATATAAGTCAGAGTTATTAGATCAAAAGACTTATCAGTATCACTGGAACTTCTTCCCTCTCCTCGTCGAAAAGGCCACTCTATCTACCGCTATGAGTCAACCAAGCGCGGACCCTGCCTCTAATGGTCGATTGAACACACAGGGCTCAACCCAGGATGTACCTTCCTCCAACAGCTCGTCGCTCAGCAACACGCGCACACAACCAATCTCTCGAGCCAACGACCCTTCACTTGAGGAAGAGTTTGAAACCGAGTCAAACTCTCCTTCCACTCTCTCTCGTACTTCGACACTTGTCTCCACGTCCCGCTTTTCACTCCTTTCGCGCTCTAAAAGCGAGAAACGTCCCTCCACAGGAAGCTCGTCAAACACGGCGGCGTCTGCCTCTACTTCTGGAAAACGGAGCTTGATCAAGACTCTTTTCAAGCAACGTGACGATAAACCGCGTTCATCTGCAGACACGAATCAGACCCTTTCGAGCGGCGACTCAGGGGTAGCTTCGTCGGAGGCAGGATCCACAGACACGGCCAAGCCGGAGAAAGGCAAACCTCGCGATCCTGTAAAGACTGTTCCAAGTGGAAAGCCACCTGCTACAAACTTTGCGGATCTCGCTTACCGCTATGGATCCCCTGGAGGCCCTTCGTCAGGTAGAAGACTTTAGTATCAAAGAACAGTAGTGAAATATTGGTAAATTAGTCGAACGAATCATAGATAGCTCAAATTTATGCCATAATATTGACCAGCTCGTAAACTCATTTCCTCATTTCAACTGTTTACTAAGTCTTAGACCGCAAACGATGTATTCAAGTCAAATTTTATCTATCAGGAGGTGTGTCTGGAGCGTACTTTGCCAGTGGCTTCTAAATCCTGTTGGCTTTATCACTATGACCAGTGTCGTACCTTTGCCCGCTGAGAAGTTTATTGCCTCTTCCCATAGCAGAAGGAACCAAACAGGGAACCCTATATAAGGCGCTGTTCGAGGAGCCTCCGTGCTCGCCTTGGAACCAGATGGTCTCCGCTGCTGCCTTTGTACACCATGGCACGGAGTTCTCTGCCATCAATGGTCGAATATCTCATTTTGGATCTATTTTCGTCATTGTATAATGTGCTCTCGTACTCCCGAGGCTCTGGACAACCAGGGTTTTCGCCCAGCAGTGTCATGTACTCGACGTCTTGGGTTTGAATGCTTGTATATTGATCAACACGTGTGCTTGGAGAAGAGCTGTTCGTTGCATTCCAGTTTTCATGGATATTGGTACGCTCTTGCCAAATGCCTGTGAGCAGCCGCTGAGCTCTATCAGCGGCGAATCTGCTCTCTATTGTAGAAGAAGGTCTCAAGGTATCGACGCGGTGAAGCCTTGTATATGATGTGTCGCGCTTCGTCGAGCCCCGGGCAGTTGAACAGGGTCTGTTCGCATGTCAGTAGGGGAGGACGTCCGCTCGAGGGTGTTGAATAGTGTGTTGTATTCATCACAGTAGCCGTGCTCAGTGTATTTGTACCACAGGCTCAAGCATATTGAGGGCCAACCTGGCGGAAAGGCGAATGTCAAACTACAAACCTAGACACCGACGCGGTCATGTCATTTGATCAGCCAACGCCCGTTCAGCGATTTGAGAGAGTGTAAATAGGCTCATATATCAAATAGTTCGAACAAAAGAGAAAAAAAGTCAGTCATGCTACGCCCACATACGTGGTGGTGTTTCCCCGCGCCAGTTGCACCGCTCAGCTCAGCGGAGCTGCCTTCGCTGCACTTTTATTCGGCGGAAACGACTAAGACTCCATATGGAGCACGGACTTGGTGTGGCTACATTAATGTATCTCATTCATGCAGTCGTAGATGCGTAAAGTACAAAGAGTGGCGAAAGATTAGAGGCGCAGATCATCTATCGAAAGCGCTAAAAAATTCCAGGGAGAAGCAAGAGACCGGGAAGCTCAGGGAATCTCACCACGAGCGCGGCGCTCCTCGAGATCCTTCTCGTCTGGATCGACACCCATAGTCTCGTCGATGAGGAAGGTGGAGATGAAGCCGAGGATACAGGTCGAGAAGAAGATCCAGAGGACGGCGCTGGTGCCAATCTTTGCCTTGAGCTGGTTGAAGACGAGCGAAGACAAGATAGCACCGCACTTGCCAGCGGCAGCAGAGATACCGTGCGCAGAGGCACGAATGCGGGTCGGGAAGAGTTCAGCAGCGACGATGAACGTGGTCGTGTTGGCGCCAAAGTTGAAGAAGAATTGCATAAAGGTAAAGCATGCGAGGAGTGGGCCCTTGCCAATGTGGTCAATCTCACCTGCCAAGATGGCGAGGAAGAGACCGGACATGATGAAGCCCATAAACTGCAGCTTTTTGCGGCCGACAATGTCGATGAGGAAGAGGGTGAAGTAGTAGCCTGGGAGGAAGCCGAGAGCTGTGACGATGATGTTTCCGGTGGCGAGCTGGAAGAGTTTGTCGTAGACGTCGCCTGTCTTGCCCGCAAAGCCGATCTGGGCGAGCACGACAGATTGGTTCAACTGAGACGCTCGTTAATACAAGATTAAACCCAGTCCACAGAGACGTACGTTGATGCCGTAGAATGCAATATCGACCAAGAACCAACCGAGCATGGAACCGAGCAAGTTGCGGAAGTGGTTCCAGGTCGAGAAGTACGCAACAAACTCTTGCCAGTGTGCTTTTTTGCTCGCAATCACACCATGGCGGTCGTCGTCGATAGCGTCAGCGGGGGTGACCTTTGGCGACGATTTTTCCGACTCAGGAGCGTCCTTGACCTCGTGGGTGGCATCGTGATCCTTCTTGTCGATAGCCACAGTCGAAGAGCTTGCAGCATCACGAGTGAGCTCAAATTTGCGTGACTCTGGGAGGGTGAGGCGCTGGTAGAGAGTACCAAAGGCTGGGATGAGCGAGAGGCCGATGAGGATACGCCAGGCCTTGTCAACGTCGTGGGTGTGGCCGCTCTTGAGACGGTGCTTGAATCCGGAGATGGTAACAATCGTGACGAGTGAGCCGACAAAGGATCCCCAACCTTGGTTGGCAAAGATGAAGCACAGGAGGGTGCCTCGGCGGTGAATGTTTGCACGGTCAGAGACGACAGTAGCAGACATTGGGTAGTCACCACCAATACCAATACCAAGGAAGACACGGCAGATGGTGATCCAGGTCAAGACGCGGTTGCCGTCCCAGTGAGAGGGTGCGGACATTTGGAAGATGGTGGCGACGATGATGAGGATAAGCTCTTTTCCATAGACAAACTTGCGACCGAAGGAATCACCGAGAACACCGAACATGACTTGACCAACGACGCAGCCTAGCGAGAGAGTCAGCAAACGAATACGAGTTGAAGGCAAGGTACGCACCAATATTGGCAGCTGCCTTCATCAAGTCCTGACGTTGGGCAGGGAGACCAGTCTTAGGGAAGTAAACCTGGGCGAGCATTGGTGCGACCTCTGTGCGAGAGTGAGATACAAAAGGGTGACAGTTGGTATTCAGCGACGTACGGTTAATGATGAACCTATGGCTCAATCAGTATGATGTAATCGACAAATTTAGAATCTACGCACAGGTCATAGGCGTCGAGGAAGAAACCGACACCGGCGAGGAGGACGAGTTTGATCTGAGGCCATGTGAGCATCCATGGCTTCTGATTTCGCTGAGCCTCTTCGTCGTGCTTGTAGTTTTTACCAAAATGGTCGAGATCAGCGAGCATGGTGACAACTAGTGGGGTGGTTGACGCCAGCTACTCTGTATGCTACTACTCGTTGCTGGATGAAGGTGTCGCGACGAGGAGACGAGGAGGAGTTGGTCCAGTAAGTGGCGAAGTCTCTTGAGATTGCACCCCAGGCGCATTTTAAACAGTTTTGGGTGGCTCCCTGGAATCGCACGTTTGTCCCCTCGTCGACCAACGTTTGCTACGCTCAGCCCTATTCACCGGCTCTATTTGCTGCCGCGTATCTTTATGAACATGGAACACTGTTCGTGCATGCGGTTCTGCAATGCACTTGACGATGAAGCACTCTATCTGACATTTCTAGGATGATCGAATTCCGGCCACAGCGCCCTATTACTTGTAACTACGTACATTTGACGCCGACACCGACGTCGTTGGAGCTTTCAGAGACCCACTTCTCCAACGGTCCCAACTGCATTTTCCATCACATTTACGCAACAGTAACACGTTTTTCGCCTGCTCGACGCCCCCTTTCCCGGTCGCGTGACAGTAATTTGCATCTAATATCACCGTTTGTGCGTCCCCCTTTCAGTTTTCGGAGAGGCGGTCAATGCAACTTTGGCTGGCCCTAGGGTGTCGATTACGAGAAGTCGACACCCGAACAGACGGTCGACACGAGAAGATGGGCTATCGCGCACCAGAACAGGGGCCGAAGATGGATAGATATGGGAAAGCTGGACACTCAAACGTGGCAATAGAACCTCGAAGGATGTCAGATAACGAGAACCCGGCGTCTATGCACCCATATACAACCTCCACAGACATAATGTATGCATTACTGGTATCAAGTCCATCGCCAATGCGCATAGTCGTCCGTAGTTGCTGTAGCTTGGATATTACGCCTGGCGTGTTTGCTATCAACCCCAGCGGTGCCGTAGAATTGAGACTGGCCGACGGATTTGTTGCTGCCAGAAGTTGTCAATGGAACTAAAAATAGATCTTCGAGCCAGGCACCCGTCAAACCGATAACCCAGCCGACGAACGTTCGACCTCGCCACCGCCGGAGTGCCGGCCTTCCATGTGTTAGATCATTCAATTGGTTCATTAGCTTTTATTCTCTGTTAGAAAACTGGGCCGTATGCAACAACGGATGCGACTAGCGAGGGTTAGGGCATTCATGAAAGACAATATCTCGTCACTTGGGGACATCAAGGCATAGCATACCTGATGCTCATCAAAGAGAGGGCGAGACGACGTGCGTGAGAGATCAACCACGAACGACCTACCTCGACCATGTGTCGGCCACTCGAGACGAATGGCTGGTCCAGAAAGGCAGTACATTCCCAATGTTTGATGGTTTATTGCCCTATTAGATTACCAATATTGATCCCTCGTGAGTTTCTTAATTCGCTTGCTGCCCAAGCGGACTTGCTCCTCTTTGAGTAGATATTTTTAGTTGCGCACGCGACTCAGAATCACGCGAGGGACCTAGATTCAACCTTCTCGTCTTTCTGGCCTTGGCGCCCTCCTCCGGCCAGGGCAGGGTCTCGACCGACACACTCAATCATCCGGTAAAGGGTTCGTTTACTCGAAGTTCGGCCGTATTGACACTTCTTCGCCCACTTTGTCCAGTCCTGGGCTCTCCAACTGCTCCGGAAAGTCATTCTTTGCTCAGTCTCACATCACCGACCGGCATCTTACTCAACATTCGAAACACAACCACGTATCAATCGATTCGAGGAGTGGATCATCGGTTGTTCTCATGGTCCACCTGAATCCTCATCCATCGATAATTCCTAACGTCCCATCGTTTCTAGTGCTCATCGAGCCTGCATGTCAAATTCCTTTTTAGGAAGTGAACGCTTTGTGAATTCGCGCAGAGAAGAGCTTGAAGAAAGTGGATTGCATAGATGTAAACTTGATGGCAGGGACGCCTTATGGGCTTCACATTCATTCAATTTGATCCCACTCGTGCATTACTAGTATTCTGAAGTTGGAGAAAGCGGTGATTTGGAGACACCCTGGTACACCTAGGCTGTATTGTGGCGGAGAATAACCGGTTATCACAGTAGAGCGGTGGTCTTCTCAAAGGCATTCTGTATTTCCAACTCGACGTGAGAAGAGGATGAGTTGTGGCCATTGTCCAGATGGGCGGATGAAAGTTAACAGCCAGCTGTATAGCCCGCGCACTATACCGGCCGAGGTAAATTAAACTTAGCTACAAAAGTCCTAGAAACCGACCATATTACCCAATTTCCATTCAAAACGGTAATAGTGCTCGGGCCCCCTCTATTGTAGAAAGGTGGCGATGAAGGATGTAGCCGAGTATCATGAATAAAATCGCATGTGGAATCCAATGTAAAGCTTTACTGAGAAGGGTAGCTCGTCCTTGGTTGTCGAATGGCAGGGACGCGTCGACTAGGCGCAGCCCAGACGCCTCTTTGGATTTCTGTCATCAAAGTTAGGACACAAGGTGATTCTAACCGATGACTCACTGTGTACGGTGGATACCGAACCGACAAGAATGGCTCCACCCTGTTTTCGTCAGAGTCGGGAAAAGAATTTGGTGAGGAGACTGACCAGCTGGGTGTCTCCATGCTACTTCTGAAATGAGTAAAGGTATCAAAGCCGTATTTTCCTTTGTACGATCCATCTTTTCGATTCATAAGCCGCTGCGTTTGCGTCAAGCTAGGACTTACATCCAGATGCACCTGAACCACCAAAAGGCAGCCCTCGCATTCCCGTCTGCATGACTACGTCATTAAATGCGATCGCACCCGAGCGCGTAGATCGCGTGACTATTAAAGTATAAGCCGAGTTCGTCCCCTGACTAGTACTCACCTCGTTCCTTGAAGGCGTCGTCATGCGAGAAAACGTAGATGGCTAAAGCCTGAGGCCTATAACAAACGTTAATAGTCGGAAGGAAAATGGATGGAGATTCCTGACCGCTTATTTATAAAGGCGATTGCCTCGTCCAGGTCTTCCACGGGCACGATGGACAAAAGTGGCCCGAAGATTTCGTCCTGCATGACCACATCGTCTCCGCCGACTCCGCACAAAACTGTCGGCGCAATGAATTTGTCTGCTATGTCAACCTTTCCACCAGCCACAATCTCTCCTTGCGTACGCTCCAAATATCCTGCGACTCGCTTCGTCGCATCTCCGCTTACCATGTGTGGCAATGCGTTTTCTTCGGGAAAGAATGTCGCATAGACCTCTTTGAGTGCTTTGGCTAGATCGCTTTGTGCGTGACGCGGGATGAGGATGTATTCCGGAGCGGTGCACGTTTGACCTGCATTCGATGTGCGACCCCAAAGGATGCGTTTCGCAATAATTTTATAGTTTGCGTTTGCTGGATCAACGATGACGGGGCATTTCCCGCCTAGCTCAAGTGTGAGTGGCGTATTGAACTTGGCCGCTGCAGCGGACACGATGTGGCCGACTCTGGCCGATCCCGTAAAAAGAACTATAAACGATGAGTAGTAGTCAAGGCGGCTTGAGCGACATACTATGATCCCACTTGAGTTGGAGAAGCTATCGAAAGTCAATAGGAGAGAGGAGAGGAATCGAGGTCTACCTTTGTCGTCTCTTGAACACTGCCCACGACAACTCTCACCACATTTGGGTCCAAATACTTTCGAACAAGTTCCTCCATCAACGGTGTAGTCTTCTCCAATGTCTCAGGAACTTTCAGTACCACAGTGTTCCCTGCAGCAATCGCACCAATGAGGGGCACGAACGTCAACAGCCATGGATAGTTGAAAGGCGAGATGATCAGCACGACGCCCTTTGGTGTAGGCTTGATACGGGGACGCATAGGTTTGAAGGTAAGGAGTGTGGATGGTATGATGTCTTTGGACCATGTGGAAACTTTGGAGTAGGCGAGTGCGGCTTCCCCGACGACAAGACTCGTCTCGTTCAAAACCGTCTCCGTTGGCGGCCGGTTCATGTCCACGCGCAGTGCGTCACAGATTGCCGGTACGTTTTCCTTGTGCGCTTTGTCAATGCTTCTGTTCATGACCTCGGTTGGCGGATTGATCCTTGTTCGTGATTCCGATTCTCGCAGAGTTTCGGTGCACGGAAACAAGAATAACTACGACTTACTTTAATCATATATGCAAGTCGCGCTAACTGGTGCTTTCTGGCGGGTATATCCCCATCCTTCCGGAAAGAAATGACGCTTCGAGCGTGTCGTGGATCTGATTACGCGTTAAAGCGAGTTATACCAACACGATACACTAACCTTTTGAATCTCATCTAGTGATGTGTACTTTACGGACGACATACTGCGTCACGAACGATGGCAAGAGCAAAGGAGTGTCTTGGTGACGGGCAAGCTTGGAAGCCGGTGCCGAGCTCAACGTCGCTCCCTCTGAATATTAGACTGAATTACAGTAAGACTACGTACCCTAATACAAACAAGTCTACCCGAGAACAAACGCGCCCCGTTGTTCGATACTGAACAAGACCCTGCTCTCTATGCCTGGTTGCTCGCCGCGCGTACCCTCGGCAAACATTTCGATCCCAGCACTCTGCACCGAGTGAGAGCAATTTTCTTCTGTTGAACGTCTACGACGCTCAAGTGCTTCATAGACGAGCGCACAGCTGCTCGTGAGTCGTTCCGCAGCGAGCTGCGCAATGTTGATCCACTCCCCATCTTTCCTATTCTTCTCCTCACTCTTTACCTTGCCCTTACTGCGTGCTTTATCAACTTTTGGCTTCCACAATGCCGTCTTGCTGACGCCCATCGCCAATCCACCCTGAAGGAGGGCAAAAAGACCGAACAAGATCAGGAGACCTGAGTAGACGAGTAGCCCAGGGGTGGGTATAATAGCGCCTTCGACGATAGCAGTCACGGATGTCGAGGTTGCCGGAATGACTTCGAATGCACTGTGTGCAAACGGCAAATATGTGCGTGCGTACTCGCGCTCGAATGCACGTACAAACTCGGTTGCGTTAAGAGTAACGGCAAGGGGTTGTAGCACGTCGTAGAGTGTGTTGACAGGAGAAAAGGGCATGTCGAGGACGGCTGTCACTGCGCGCGTCGTTGCGTTGGAAGTCGTCGGGGTATATGAGAGAACTGTGAATCCGTGGCTCTCGTCGAATGTCGTATTGTTTGAGCTGGTAATAGTAGAGAGGGAAGGGTCGACATATTGGACCTTCATGTCTGCCACCGTCACGGAACAAATGAGTAGAATCGTCGCATACGGCGATTCATTTCCATGACCCCAAACATTATTATTCTCCATGCCATTTTGGCTGGTATCGGCGTCTATGTCAAAGGCTGCACCGTAGTGAAATGTGTAATTATTGAACAAGGTTCCGTTCCACTGATTCGGAACCCATTTATTTGTTGATGGGTTATAAGTGTAGAGACTCTGCTCGGCTATCACGGTATATGCATTCGTGGCTGGGTAACCCGGGGGTTGACAGGAGACGGAGATACAACCCACACCCCTGCAATTCGTATTGAATACGCAGCTGTTTGTGACGACTTGGCAGGTAGCGTACATACCCACTGTATCCGCCTCAAAGGTTGCACCGGGAGTGATACTTGTACGCGCTGGGACAAGCGCGGCAGCGTATTGCGCATTGTTGTCAGGCAGTGGCGCAGTGGCGACAGCGTGGTACATCGAATCTCCATTTCCTATATGGAGTGCTTCAGGATACGCTGTAATGGTGACTTGGTCCATGTGACTCATCGGGCGGAATTCGTACTGGATTGTACAGGGTGTATTCGACGCTTCGTTGACGGTGAGACACTCGGATTTGAGTCGTCGGCCGTACTGGAATCGGTTTCGGTCGTTGAAGGTGGGCGATTGACGAACAAGGGTGGCGGTCGAAAAGTGATGGAGGATAAAGTCAAGTGAAATGATTGTATAAGTGAGGATGAGGGTGATCCAGAGGGTAATGAAGGATGTTTGCAGAATATGTGAGACAGCATGCGAGCTCCCGTCGCCTCGGCGTCGTTGCATGATATACTTCAGTGATGTCCAGGCCGCAAAGACGTTTCCACTAGTGAATATGTTGAGAAGGAGCCTGTACTCGTATGGGCTTGGCGACTCGTCAGCAGCTGGGTCTGTCGTCCCTTGCTGAGATTGGTGAAGCCACGTATCTGCAGTATGAAACGCGGCAGCGGACATGACCAGTGGTATGCATATAAGTGCGGCTTTACTGGCGACGCTGAACAAAAGCAGGACCGTGCCGAGAGGGATGCTGGTCTGCACGGTGCCATCATCCGCGGAAGAGCGGTTAAGATATATGTACGCAAATGTTCCAATGGCGAGTGAAATGCTGAAAAGGCCGACCAAAAGGGTCTTCCAGAGTACACGGACGAGTCCAGAGTACGAATGGGTAATATTTACTGCTTGTGAAGGCACTGAAATAGTAGAATCGGTAGGGACAGACTGATAAGTTGGCGTAGATGTTGGTTATTAGTTGTAAAGACTGCTGGAGGAGTATACGACGCCCGTTGGAGTCGGCCGTCGTGGAAATTGGCCATAGCGGAGGACACGGAAGAGATCAAAGGTAAGATTAGGACTTATGAAACATTTCTTGATTTCCGAATTGGCAGTTGACAGGTAAAAGTTGAATAAGCTGTTTGCCAGGACGGCGCCGTCGACTCTCGGAGTTTGAGTTTGTTTTTGCGCTCCTTGAACTCTACGGCGATAATCAGCATGAATTCAGGAAGCTATTCTCCTCCAAATAACTCCAGAAATTCTGTCCATCCCGAAGCCTATCGCCACTCTTCTGTCACCTTTCCCCCACAGCTCATCACCACCTCAAATTCGTCAAACATTGCCGGACGCATCGTCAAACTTGCAGTCGCTGTGCTTGTTCTCACCCTTGGAATAGGACTGGCGCTCCTCGCCTATGTCCTTACTTCAAAGGTTTCATGGACGAGTTCAGAGGTCATAACGGCGGTTCCGCAAGGAAATGTACTGCTAATCACAGCAACAGCCAGCAAGTTTATTCTGACTTGCGTCCCTCTTATCATGGGCCTTGCTGCTTATAGCGTCGCGCATGTCTGGCTCGATGCGTCAAATCGTAGACAGAAACTCGGGGTACCAACTCCGTATCAGTATGTGCTCCTTCTTGGGCTCTTTCAGGGGGCGAGTCCGATCGAACTCTGGCGCACGCTCCGCTACCTTGTCAGGGGAACCGGGAGAAGAAGTAGAGCTTCATACCCACTCATTTATACCTTCATAATTCTCTTCATAGCCCTCGTCTTGGCATACCTCCTGGTTGGTCTTGACTTTGCGCTACATTCCCTATCGACGACGCGACTTGTTAGTGCCATTGGAGCCCAAATAGATGTATCGACACTTGCTACGTCAGATCTACATGGCATGGAGTTCAAGTCGGACTGCAACGCACTCGACGGCAACAGCAATGCCTGCACTATCCAGCTCATCTCCGGTTCCCGTCAACCGGCCGAATTCCGAGAAGGTTCACGGATTCTGGCGGGTTTGTCGTCAAATCACCGCATTTCATATACTTCTCCATCTCTTGGCCAAGATACGAGGGTAGCTATACTCACACCAGCACTTCAACCTACGGACAAGTCTTTCAGCGCACGGACAACAGCGGTGTCTACAATATGTAGCCCAATTTCTTCGTCTTGTGATCTCCAGACACCTTGCGATGCATCATACCACTACCCGCTTACCAACCTCCCCTTGGGTATAGGAAACGCGTCGGCAGAGCTCTGGTGGTCGACTTGCTCGGCATTTGCATGTGCGCCACCTTCCTGGCCGAAATATTGGCTGCGTTTCCGCAACGATACCGTCGTGGTGTTCAGCGAACCTCTCGAGCAGCGTGGTGAGAACGAAATGGTAGATCAGCAAGCAGCGATGGACCCAGCATTTGCTAGCGTCAATCCCTTTCGAATTATTGTCAACGTTGCCTCCTACCTCGATGCTAGCATCCTCGACGACGTCTGCGCTCAGAAAACAGAGGATGGAAAGGAGTGCATCAAAGGAAAAGATGAAGGGTATTTATACTCTGGTGGTGCAAACCCAAGAATGGGGAGGTCACCTAGCGTACGATACACGCTCCTTGGGTGCACCATGTCGATCTTGGACGTCGACTATACGTATCTCAATCGCACCTACACTATCAACTCGTCCAATTTATCCACCCAAGCCACTACCCAAGCATTGAGTAGTGTGCTCTACACCGAGAACGGGCTGAGGGGTGGGCGAGGTCGACAGATGTCAAACTGGCTTATGACGTTTGCGGCTTCGGGTGCATCGTCGAAAGAGTTGGCAGGTAAACTCAGCGAGGAAATAGGGCGTAGTATGCTTGGATTAGGTCACGCGGCATTCGATTCCTCGTTACCGGTAACAAGAGCTACTACTGCGCACGAGGTGTTGGCGACCGTCATCCCGACATGGACCTTGGGAGCATTCATTGCGGGTCTAGGAGTGTTTGCACTTCTTGGGATCGTGCTGGCTGGATTGGCGATGACAGCGGATAAAACTGCCATTGTGGTTAAAAGATCTGGTCCCCCGGGGAGTACAGGGGTTGGAGAAGATCCGGTTGCCAACGTCATTGACATTGCACGGCGAAGGTTATGTGAACCTACTGGCCTCGTTTACGAGTTATTTGAGAAAGATGCGGATACGGCTGGAATAAGATGGATGGCGGATGGAGAAAAGATGTTCGATGAGAGCCCTATAGCAGTGGGTAGTGGGCCTGAGCAGATAAAGAGACGTACTGTGAGGGTGGGTCTGCTAGACGATGGGTTTGGTTTCCATAAGTAGTCCTATACCATAGCGAGTCATAATATATACAAAGGGTTACTTGACCGAGTCAAAGTATGTTCTCACAGCAGGACCGTATACTTTATTCAGGCACTTCCGGGTGCACATCTATAAAGGCTGCTGCTGTAATGAGAAAGGTAGGTACGATATGCACCGTGGGCTTATACATCTGAAGCTAAAATCTCATTACCCTCTTGATAAAGGCGATGAGGGCTGTCTCCTTTTTCAAGTCAATTGCGCCGAACGGTTTTCTTAAGGATATGCCATCGAGGTGACACAAAGTTTGAAACCAAGTTAGGAGTACGGTGCCAGACTTGAAGTCGCCCCATTCTGACCTCTGAGTATTGGAATGAATTACAGTAGGGCCTGGGGCTCTATTCAAGAACAAACATGCCTCGTCGTTCAACACTGAAGAGTACCCTCTTCTCGATACCATGTTCCTTGCCATGCGCACCCTCGGTGAACATTTCGATCCCTGTACTTTGCACCGACTGGTAGCAATTATCTTCTTTTGAAAGCCTACGACGCTCAAATGCTTCATAGACGAGTGCGCAGCTGCTTGTCAGTCGCTCCGCAGCGAGTTGTGCAATGTTCGTCCACTCTCCGTCCTTCCTATTCATCTCCTGGCACTTTTCGTTACTACTTGCTCCATCAACTTTTGGCTTCCACACTGCCGCCTTGCTGACGCCTACAGCCAATCCGCCTTGGAGGAGGGCAAACAGGCCGAAGAGGATCAAAAGGCAGGAGTAGACGAGTAACCCGGTGATGGGGATTGTAGACCCCTCAACTATAGTTGTAATGGATATCGAGGTTGCAGGGATGGCTTCGAATGCGCTGTGTGCAAACGGCAAATATATCCGTGCATACTCGCGCTCAAACGCGCGTACAAATTCAGTCGCGTTGAGCGTAAGTGCAAGAGGTTGCAGTACTCTATAGAGTGTGGATATCGGAGAAAGGGGCGTGTCCAGGACGGCTGTCACGGCAAGCGTCGTTTCATTGGAAGTCGTCGGTGTATATGAGAGGATTGTGAAGCCATGTCCTTCGTTGGATGACACATTGTTGAAGTTTGGGATTGTAGAGGAGAGGGAAGGGTCGACGTATTTGACTTTCAGGTCTACTACTGTCACGGAACAGATGAGTAGAATTGCCCCATATGGAGATTGATTTCCGTGTCCCCAAACGTTGTTACTCTCTATGCCAACTTGGTTTGTATCGGCATTTGTATAAAACCCCGCGGCATATTTGAACGTGTAATTATTAAAAGATGTGCCGTTATATATCCCCTGATTCGTATTCCATTGATGCGTCAAGGGCTGATAAGTTTCGATTTGGGAGCCCCTTATATGCATATCCAGAAACCCCGTTTCTGGGTACCCATGGGGAAAACATGGGACATAGAAGCATGTATCGGAACAATTCATTAAGCAAGTACTTGTCATAGCTTGACAGGCAGCGTACATGCCGACTGTATCCGCCTCGAACACTGCGCCAGGGGCAATACTTGCACCTTCTGGAACAAGAACGGCAGCGTACTGTGCCGTATCGTCCGGAAGTGAAACAGCGATAACTGCATTCCGCGTCGACTCATCATTTGTAATCCGGAGTGCTTCTGGGTACGCGGCAAGGGAGATGCCATAATAGCCCATCGGTTCGTACTGAATCGTACAGGGTGCATTCGACCCGTCATTAATGGTGAGGCAGTCGGAGTTGAGTCGTCGGCCGTATTGGAATTGATTTCGGTCGCTGAAGGTGGGAGGGTACTGGACAAGAGTAGCGGTCGAAAAATGATGGAGGATAAAGTCGAGTGTAATGATGGCGTAAGTAAGAATGAGGATGGTGCAGAGGGTAATAAAGGATATTTGGAGAATCTGTGATATAGCGTGTCGCCCTCGGCGACGGGTGATATACTTGATTGACGTCCAGGCTACAAAGATATTTGCACTGGTGAATATATTGAGAAGAAGACTGTACTCGTATGGGGTCGGCAACTTGCTCGCAACTGGAGCTGCCAACCCATGCTGAGATTGCTGGAACCATGTGTGCGCAATATGGAAGGCGGCAGCGGACATAATTAGTGGCACGCATACAAGTGTAGTTTTACTGGCGATACTGAACAAGAGCAGGACTGTGCTTAGAGGGATCCCCGTCTGCACAGTGTTATTGTCCGCGGAAGAGCGGTTAGAGTAGATGTACATAAATGTTCCGATAGCGAGTGAAATGCTGAGTAGACCAACGAAAATGGTCTTCCAGAGCACACGGACAAGTCCAGAGTACGAATGACCTATGTTTGCTGCATGTAATGGTGCGGAAATAGTAGTATTGGTAGGGACAGGTTGATAAGCTGGCGTAGATGTCGGTATGTTTACTGTAAAGACTGCCGGAGGAACATAGGACGCCCATTGGAGTTGGCCATCGTGGATGTTGGCCATAGCAAAGGATACTGAAGAGACCAAAGGTTGAAATAACATTAATGAAACACTTATTGAATTTCGCATTGACAGTTGACAGGCAAAAGTTGAATGGGCTGTTTGCCAGCATTGTCGAAAAGACGGAGCTTGACTTTACCTTCCTCTCCTTGAACTCGACGGTGACATGGATCCAGGGAATTCCTTTCTCCCAAACAACCCCAGATATTCTGGTCACCCGGAAGCGTATAGTCACCTGTATGCTGCTGTTCCGTCCTCGAGCACATTTTCCCAGCAAACCACCCATCCGAGTCTCAGCTCCCAGCCCACTACTACTTCAGCATCGCTTAGAATTGCAGCACGCATCGTCAAACTTGCAGTCACTGTGTTTGTTCTCACACTTGGAATTGGACTTGGACTGCTCGCCTATATCCTGAATTCCAGGATTTCATGGACAAGCACAGAAGTGATAACAGCCGTTCCGCAAGGAAATGTGCTTTTAATCACCGCGACAGCTAGCAAGTTTGTCCTCACTTGCGTACCCCTCGTCATGGGCCTTGCAGCGTATACAATCGCTCACGGTTGGCTTGGTGCATCAACTCGGAAGCAAGCAGACGGGATGCCAACTCCGTATCAGTATACCCTTCTCCTTGGTCTCTTTCAGGGGGCAAATCCGGTCGACCTCTGGCGCACGCTGCGCTACCTTGTCCGGGGGACCGGACGAAGAAGCAGCACCTCATACCTACTGATTTACGCCTTCATAATTCTCTTCATAACCCTCGTCCTTTCATACCTCCTCGTTGGTCTCGACTTTGCGCTACATTCCCTCTCGACGACCCGTCATGTTAGTGTCATCGGAGCTCAAATAGATACATCTATACTCAGTACCACAGATCTCTACGGTGCGACACTTAGATCAGACTGCAACTCACCCGACAAGGATGGCAATGCTTGTACAATCAAGCCAATAGGTGCTCTTGGTCCTCGTCAATCAGCTGAATTCCAAGAAGGAATTCGGCTTATCGCAGACTCATCTTCGAAAAACCGGATCTCGTATACCTCTCCATCACCTGGAAAGGAAGAGACGATAGCCATCTTCACACCAGCGCTCCAACCAGACGACAAAACTTTTCGCACGCGAACAACAGCTGTATCAACGTCATGCACCCCATTTTCTTCTGCTTGTGATCTCCAGACGGCATGCGACGCAACATATCACTATCCTCTCGCCTATGTTCCACCTGAGGTGTCTGTAGATCAATGGTGGCCACTCTGCACGGCATTTGCGTGTGAACCACCGACTTGGCCAAAATATTGGTCGAACTTTCGAAATGACACCGCCGTGATGCTCAGTGAGCCTCTCGAGCAGCGCGGTGAGGACGAATTGGTAGAGGTAGATGCAGAGATGCAAATGACAAAGCCCACGCTTGTCAGTGCCAATCCTTTTCGTGTCATTGTCAACGTCGCATCCTACTTAGATACGAGCATACTCGACGAGGTCTGCGCGCAGAAAACAGACGATGGGAACGAGTGCATCAAAGGGAAGGATGATGGGTATCTGTACTCTGGCGGTGCGAATCCGAAAATGGGGAGATCAGCAAGAATTCGGTACACACTCCTCGGGTGTACTGTGTCGATCTTAGACGTCATTTACACATATCTAAACCGCACCTACACTATCGAATCTTCCAGTCTATCCGACCAAGCCACTACACAAGCATTGAGTACCGTGCTGTATGCAAGTAACTCGCCTTTGCTTGTCAGAGATCTGTCGAATTCCCTCACGCTGCTTGCCACTTCGGGTGCTTCATCAAAGGAGGTGGGAAGGAAGGTCAGTGAGGAAATAGGACGCACTATGCTTGGCTTGGGTCATGGGGCATTCGATTCCTCTTTACCGGTGGAAAGATTAGCTACTGTGCACGAGGTGTTGGCGACAATCATCCCAACATGGACCCTGGTGGCGTTTATTGTGAGTCTGGGAATGTTTGCGCTTCTTGGGATCGTATTAGCTGGGTTGGCAACGATGGTGGATAACACTGCCTTTGTGATTCCAAAATCTGGCCCTCCAGGACGAAGAGGAAATGGAGAAGATCAAGTCGTCAACGTGATCGACATTGCGCGGCGAAGGTTATGCGAACCTACTGGCCTCGTTTATGAGGCATTTGAAAAAGATGCCGATACAAGTGAAACCCGATGGATGCTAGAAGGCGAGGAGATGTTCGATGAGAGTCCTTTATCGGCTGGTAGCTGGCCTGAGCTGCGTCAGAGAAGACGCACTGTGAGGGTGGGTTTGCAAGACGATGGTTTTGGTTTCCACAAATAGCTCCCTCCGATATTAGGCATAGATAACTCGCTTATGAGGTCTTTATAAGACTAATCATTGTCTTTGAGTTGTACAGTAAGGGTGGTATGCTTGCCTACTGCTGCGCGCGAGCCATCGTGAAGGGTCAACTCAATTAATGCAATCTTCAATATACTTATTTGGTTCTTATTTCAATATACATAATTCTGGGCCATCTTTGCTGAATTCTTGAACGACACCTGAGCCCGGCCACAATGCAAACGTTGCTTAACCTTCACCGTAACTAGCCATGGACATCGACTCGTCGCCAGGAATCCTGCCACCCTCAAGTAATCCAATGGGGGTCTACTCGTCACAATCACGCACGCCGACACAGACGCGTCGCACAACAACGGCAGCGTCGCGTTCTCGCGGTGCGCGGACGACGACAAACGCGCTTTCTCTAGGCGATGAGGAAGATGGAATGGATCATGATGTCGAAGATGATGGAGATACGCGTCCACAAGCGGAGGAAGCCGGCATGAATAACATTGGTGCGCAACGCCAGAAAGGAAGGAGAGCACGGATGAACTTGGATGTCCCGCCTGTAAGAGATGCGACCGGGGAAAAAGTCATGGAGAGTTTGAGCTCTTTCTCAAATCGTCAGTTCACCCTTCTCCATCTTCGTTCCCTGCCACTGTCGCGGCTTTAAACTTTCTGATTGCTTCCTAATACAAAAAATAGATATACGGAAAATGTGACACTCCCATCGACACCGACGCCTGACGGATACGGCGGCGCAGGCGAAAACGAGTATGTTTACATCGATCAAATCAAGGCCATGCGTGATGCCGAGATCACGACACTCTATGTCGATTTTTCGCATCTCCTCAACCGAGACGACGTTCTGGCGAGAGCTATCAGCGACCAATACTACAGGTGCGTCGTGATCTTTTCTTTCGATGGCTAGCGTTGACTATCTTCAGATTCTTACCCTACTTGCGACGCGCACTTCTCAATCTTGTGCGCGAGTACGATCCAGTGTATCTCTATATAAACGCCACTGCCAACGCTACACCCTCAGCCGGTCTGCAAACCCGCGAGTTTCATATCGCATTCTACCATTTACCTCTCATTTCCCCTATTCGTTCGCTCCGAACTGACCGAATCGGCACATTGCTCTCCATCTCCGGCACTGTCACGCGTACTTCAGAAGTTCGACCAGAGCTACTCTTCGGCACCTTTACGTGTGTACTATGTCAAGGTGTTGTGAACGATGTCGAGCAACAATTCAAGTATACAGAACCCTCGCTCTGTCCAAACCCGCTTTGCAATAATCGTTACGATTGGGAATTGGATCTCGAGAACAGTACTTTCACTGACTGGCAGAAGATTCGCGTACAGGAGAGTAGTAATGAAATTCCGACAGGTAGCATGCCAAGGAGTTTGGATGTCATCGTTCGAGGAGAGATGGTAGAGCGCGCAAAGGCAGGAGACAAGTGCACCTTTACCGGGACTTTTGTCGTCGTACCAGACGTGAGCCAGATGGGTATGCCAGGCGTCAGTGCAGAGATGCAACGGGAGGCTCGGGGAGGCGGAAACGCGACAGCCGGAACTGTTCAAGGCGTGACCGGTCTAAAGAGTTTGGGTGTGCGGGATCTTCTTTACAAGACGGCGTTCCTAGCATGCATGGTCAACGACGCAGATGGAAGGGTACGTCTGATATACAAGTTATGAGGCACTGTTCTCACAGAGGATGCAGGCTGGCGCAACAAACATTCGGGGAGAGGATTTCGAAGACGAGACAGAAGATCCGACCGCTGCATTCGCGGCTTCGCTGACGGAACAAGAACTCGATGAGCTCAAGGCGATGGTGGGCTCTGACTATATCTACTCGCGCCTTGTGGAATCCATTGCCCCCACCGTTTATGGACATGAAATTGTCAAGAAGGGGCTACTATTGCAACTCATGGGTGGCGTCCACAAGCGAACAAAGGAGGGTATGCATCTCAGAGGCGACATCAATATTTGCATTGTCGGTGACCCCAGTACAAGCAAGAGTCAATTCTTAAAGTATGTCCTTGTGGCCCTACTATCAAAAATAAGCGACTGACGTGAGCAGATACATCTGTTCCTTTTTACCACGCTCAGTTTATACATCTGGCAAGGCCTCCTCTGCGGCTGGTTTAACCGCCGCTGTTGTCAAGGATGAAGAGACGGGCGAGTTTACCATCGAAGCTGGCGCCCTCATGCTTGCGGATAATGGCATTTGCGCCATTGACGAGTTTGACAAAATGGACATTTCGGATCAGGTCGCCATCCACGAAGCAATGGAACAGCAAACCATTTCCATCGCGAAAGCTGGTATTCATGCCACGCTTAATGCACGCACCTCAATTCTTGCTGCAGCCAATCCTGTTGGCGGACGATATGATCGCAAGAGGACCCTTCGCGCAAACGTTGCTATGAGCGCGCCAATCATGTCGCGTTTCGATTTATTCTTCGTTGTGCTGGATGAAGTAGGTGAGGAAAGGGACAAGAGACTGGCTCGTCATATTGTCGATGTACATCGACTGAGAGACGAGGCGATCAAACCCGAGTTCACGACTGAGCAACTTCAGAGATACATCCGGTTTGCAAGAACATTTAATCCCAAGGTGCATCTTTTCTCTATCCTAAGAATATTGCTGAATCTTCATAGTTCACCCCTGAGGCTGCGGATGTTCTGGTCCAAAAGTATCGCACTTTACGCCAGGACGACGCCACTGGTACTGGAAAGAACTCGTATCGAATCACTGTGCGTCAATTAGAGAGCATGATCCGCCTCAGTGAGGCAATTGCGAGAGCCAACTGTACAGCAGAGATTACCCCTGCATTTGTGCGCGAAGCGTACAGTCTTCTTCGGCAGTCAATCATACACGTCGAGAAGGATGATATAAACCTTGAAGAGGACGAGGAAGAGCAGGGAAGAGGTCAGGGAGCGCCCGGTGCCACGGTCGAATCCCAAGGAGATATGGACATGGACATGGACGCCGCCGGAACTAGCGCAGCGAACCTTACATCTCCTTCTCGTGGAGCCGGTACATCATATATCTCGCCAACATCTCCTGGAACACCTTCACGCTCTGCCGCAGGAGGGCAGTATCAGCCGCTTCAACTGGCGACACCCCAAGCACCTCCTGCGCCTCCGAAGAGGAAGCTAAAGATTACTCACGACAAGTATATGACGATGCAATCCCTTGTCGTCCTTCATCTCAGCGAAATTGAGAAGGCTGGAGGGGGCGGCGTCGAGCGCGAAGCGCTCATCGATTGGTATCTGGAAAAGAAGGAAGAAGAGGGTGCTATCAACAATTTGGAAGAACTAGAGTATGAGAAAGAGCTTTTCACCAAAGTACTTGCCAAGCTCGTCAAGGTGTGCTATGATTTATTCCATCGGATGATCTAGCTCATATTGTATAGGACCATTTCCTGATCGTGTTCAACCCAGATGTTTTGGAAAGTTTGCCGTCTGACTCGCAAGACGAGTCGGCAGAGAGTGCAGCGGCCAGCACCAGCCTGGGTACTTCCGGAGCGCGGAGGGTGGTATATATGGTGCATCCTTCTGTTGATGCCGACACGTCATCCTACTAGTTCAAGAATATTGCCGAGTTGTAAGGGTGTAGCCGCGGCGAATAGACTACAGAGCACTGTAACTTGTAGGTTTGGATAAAGGATCTTTCAAACTCCCAAAGCATCAATGGATCCCAAAGGCTCGAACGTTGGTCCATCAACTCGGACCTGACCTTATGAACTTGGACCTGATCTTATTTAGGCAAACGTGGAACCAATTTCACCGGCTGCCGGATCATTGGAGTGCCTCAGAATGACAGGAGCGAGTCTATTGCCTTTTGGGATAGTATGAGCCCCCAATGCCGCGCCAAACAGGCGTTCTACCCCTTTCCTCCTTGTTCATTGCACCGTTTGACGCCCCGTCCGTCGGGAAAAACATAGTAATGACTTCGGAGACACCAGCAACGACAATTCTCCTCGCCACAACGCTTGCTACCTCCCTCGTTGCTGGCGGGACATTGTATTTTGTAAAGCAAAGGCTATCGAGGCCATACGTCCACGTCGTAGATGACAAGAACACCTCGCCTCCGGGACCTCCACGTGCGCTACTTGGCGGAAATGTGAAGAATTTCCCAAAGGATCGATGGACGGAGACTTTCACTGCGTGGACGAAGACTTATGGTAAGTATGCCTCATACTAAGGCACCTTGGAATCTAACATTGCCTTTAGGAGACGTAATTTATATCCAACTTCCAAAGCGACCGATTTTGATCCTCAACTCGCTGAGTGACGCAGATGATATGCTCAACAAGCGTGCTGGAATCTATTCAGGTCGACCAGATAACTTTATGGTCAATGTCTTGTGCGACTTTTCCTCGTATATAACTGACGTTGCGGCTGACTTGGTTACAAAAAAGGATGGATTTCTCGTGGAGTATTTCTCAAGCACAGCCAGGTCCAAAACACAACGAAGCGCGCAAAGTGTTTAGAAAGTCCATCGGTCCGAGAGCAGTGGCAGACTTTGACACTCTTCTTGAAGCCGATGCCGAGAAGCTCGTCGCCGCATTCACTGGGTTCTCCGGAGATCCCCGCGAGATTATTGTAGAGTAAGCCTACAATTTTGTTTTTGAATCAACTCAACAACCGTAGCACCGTCTCGGGCTCGGTCCTGAAGCTCGCTTATGGGGAAAAGGTTGCAAAGAAGCATGGCAGTCAACTAGTCCAGCTCAATGAGCAAGCCATCACGATCATCACGAGCAGCAGCACTTCCGTATGGCTCCCAACATCATTCCAATCGGTTGGTTGTTCATTTCTTTCTTCACTCCTTGCTTATCAACGTAATAGCGCGATACCTTCCAAAGTGGCTGCCCGGACTTTCCTTCCACGAGTTTGCCGACAAGTCGAAATATATCTTAAGTCAATTGCGGAGCGTAGCGTACGACGAGGTGAAGCTGGCAGCGGTATGGTTGTCTTTGGCATAAAGTTCTCGGCTCATATCTTGTCGTAGGATCAAGGAAAAGGAGACTTGTCCATCGTATCCCGGTACTTGAACGAAACAGAGTTCACCAAGGAGGATCTCCGAGACGCGGTGGCAATGCTTTACATCGGTATGCGTTTGGATATCACTTAGACACCATTCTGACCAGTTTTCAGGCGGAGTAGATACAGTCCGTGTCAAAAATGTACCTATGAGATGCACGAGACTGATGTGTTATTAGACATCCATCGCTCTGCTCAACTTTGTTGGCCAGATGGTCATTCATCCGGATATCCTTCGCAAGATCCAGACTGAACTCGACGACAAGATTGGACGTGGACGGGTCCCGCGTGCCTCGGAGATGGACAGTTTGACCTATCTTCGAGCAGTGTGGAGAATCGATACGATTCCATGCACCTGTGTCCGTTTGTCCGTTCTTTATTCACTCGCTGAACTGTTGCTGATAGATAAGATAGCGATCCCCCACTGCTCGCTGCAGGATGACGTCTGGAAGGGGTACTTTATCCCGAAAGGCACGGTAATCATCCCAAACATTGAGTAAGTTGAGAACGGCCTGCTATGGGTCTAGACTAAACACTGTCAGATTCATGCTGCGTGACCCGAGATTCTGGGGAAAGGATGCCGATGTTTTCAATCCCGACCGGTTCCTGGTTCAGCGAGAACTTGGTCAACCCGATGTGGACTCGATACCGTTCGGGTTTGGGCGAAGGTCAGTCTCTTTATTCGTTTCTATAATATGACCATATCGAACATATGAGTTATAGAATATGCCCAGGGCGGTTCCTTAGCGCCCGTAATGGTATGCTTTACGCCGCTGCTCTCCTTGCGACATATGATGTGCTCCCGCTGGAAGGCGACAAGGCACCAACGGGTCTTACGCACAGCGAGGGGAAATTCAAGTGGGTATCGACCTTGACTTGTGTACCACGCTGACTTTGAATCTAGGTTCCCAACCAACGTCAAATGCCGCTTTGTTGCACGTCAGTAGTGATAGTGATCTTTCGATTGGGTGGTTCATGAGATCTCGATGTTGGTTGATACTTGAATCCAATCTACGTTGCCTTTTTCCTCGACTATACCTGTGAATGCCACAGCAGCACATGATTTCCATCTTTTTATTCGGTGGCTCGGCTGGATAAAAAAGTGGATAAGATAAAGGAGAGACGTGATCCAAACCGGTGGAAGACAACGATGGCCGGTTCTGGTTGATCCGGGGGAGGAATTTAGTGGTCACACGACACGAAAATCGAAGGGGGTTCTCGTTCGATCCGTTGGGCGGCATGGCAAAGCGGAACAAGCGACAAACGTTCGTTGGAAAAACGATACGCAAACGGTCATGGCCGCGCGGCCTGGACCAGCGCTGGACCCGTCTCAATCTCAATCATCTGTCGTGCGTCTGAGCGTCCTATCAAGCTCGTCAATGCCGTGATTGGCAGCAAAATACGCCGCTGGTCGAGTCGTAGATAACGGCATGTCGACTTCAGCCCAAAGGGGCAGGAGAGGCACAGACGAAACAAAAGCTAATGAGCGAGCACCAAACGGCAATCAGATGGCCGAGGGTGTCGAACAGCGCGGGGCTCTCGTACGCGACGAACGTGCGCAGTGTTTACTGGAGCTTTCATCCGTAGAGCGCCAGCACCAGCCGCGTCCATAAATGAGACTCGAATTCTTGCTCGTGTGACCAGGTTTTCGCCCATCCCCCTTCTCTCCTCGCCGCCTAAGACGACTTTGAAAGCATGTTGGCCGATCTCGATCACTTTGGTAAAAACTACGAGCACAACCAAGAGTCCCAAAAGGCGAAAAAGCCATGGATGCTCTCCTGGCCACAGGTCAAGCTCGTAGGTCTCGCCGGGACAGGCTTCTTCGTCGATGCCTATGACCTGTACGTACTCTTTGTACTATACTAAACTACATACTGACGCATCTTAGGTTCATCATCAACCGTACGTTTATGCCACCAAGCTCGAACCGTTACTGACGTCTGCCAATAGAGGTCGCGCCGATGCTCGCTGCGGTCTACTTCCCTCACACCGGTCTCCCAGCAAAGCAACAAGACCTCATGAAAGCCGCTGCCAATATTGGTACGTGCCTAGCTGAGCTACCGCCGGCTGGTTCGACTCACCTCGCTTCCCTCCTCATCCAGGCTGCGTCGTCGGCCAAGTTCTCTTCGGCCTCCTCGCAGACGCCTTTGGTCGAAAAGCCATCTATGGCAAGGAGCTCATGGTCATCATCATCGCCACCATCTTCCAAATGTCCTCCCCGGCCTGGTTCAGTGACGGCCACCGTGTCTTGACCTGGATCACCATCTGCCGCATCTTCCTCGGTATTGGAATTGGCGGTGACTACCCAATGTCTGCCACCGTCGTCTCTGATCGCGCAAACATTCACCGACGCGGTACACTCCTCACTTTCATCTTTGCCAACCAAGGCTGGGGATCCTTTGTTGGCTCACTGGTGACCATTGTCACCCTCGAGGGCTTCAAAGGCCGTCTGAAGAGCGGACATACGCAAGATGTCGACAAGATCTGGCGTATCCTCATCGGTCTCTCACTCATCCCAGCCTTTGGCACGCTCTACCAGCGTCTCACTCTCCCGGAATCCCGAAAGTTCGAGTTGACAAAGGCGCGAGAAGGCGCTGCGGAGACTGGGACCGTCACAGAGCTGCCACCAGTTACGGAGAAGAAACAAGATGCCAACGCCAATGCTCAGGTCGCCGAAGCCGACTCGGAAAAGTCGAGCCTCAAGGTCCCCCCATCCCCCTCCGACACCAAAGACGAGACCCATGGCGTGATTGCCGATAAAAAGGCGCATTGGAGGGAGTTTGTTGAATTCTTCTCGACGTGGAACCATCTCCGCCTCTTGCTCGGTTCCATGTTCAGTTGGTTCTTGGTCGATATCGCTTTTTACGGTATCAACGTACGTGCCTTTTCACAGTTTGAAACCTCGTGCTCATGTCTCTATAGCTCAATCAAAGCGTCGTGCTCGCCCAGATTGGCTACGACGGCAAAAAGGGAGACGTCTATGACAAGCTCTTCTCGCTCGCCACTGGAAACATCATCGTCACCTCGCTTGGTTTCCTGCCAGGCTACTACTTTACCCTCTTCCTCATCGACATTGTCGGCCGCAAAAAGCTACAGTACATGGGTTTTGCCATGTCGGGCCTCTTCCTCGCCATTCTCGCGGGCGAAATCAACCACCTCGGAAAGGCACCTCTCCTCGTCTGCTTCACGTTCATGCAATTCTTCTTCAACTTTGGCGCCAACACCACTACGTTTATCGTCGCAGCTGAACTCTTCCCTACCCGTATCCGTGCCTCTGCGCACGGTATCTCTGCTGCGGCTGGCAAGTGCGGCGCCATCTTATCCTCTCTCGTGTTCAATCAGCTCAAGGCGAAGATTGGTACTAGTGCCGTCCTATGGATCTTCTTTGCGACTTGCATTGCAGGGTTGGTGTCGACGTACCTGATTGACGAGACGATGGGTGTTGACCCAGACGAAAAGGATGCGCGCGAGCGTGGTGTCGAATACTCTGTCCAGTAGACGGACTTTACGAAATAGAGATAGAATGTATTTCTAATCGCATGGAATAGGATTTGTAGCCCTGGACACTAGACTTTATTGCCTTATCAGCCCAAGTACCACATACCTAGATTCATGGGAACGAATGGAAACCAAAAAGATTTGTAACGAGAGTCGAGAAGAGTCCCTTGGATGTCTACATGATGCTCCGGGAACACAGGCCGTCTGGATCTCGGAAGCAACCCGCGCCAGGTGGTGATATCACGGCAATATACCCGCGCTTTGCACCTCTTTCGATCTCTTTGATGTCATTGAGTATTCCCTGCCAGTTTTCTTTCTCTGTTTCCGAGATTGAGGACGACCAACGCCCTAGTACAACCAGTTAGAATGCGGATGAGTGCATGCATGCAACTTACCGTATACCTCCATACTCTTCTGTATCATACTGTGAATTCCTTCACGAATCTTGACGGTGTCAGATTCAATGTCATCCTCCCAAATGGGCACATCAACATGCTGCAAACGTAGTCCTAGACTAATTCAGTCAAATCTTCGACTTCCGTTCGGATTTACTTAGTGAATGGAATGGGCCACCAATAATATCCAAGGACTCGGTGGACAGCCTTAGATCGGTCGGAGTCTCAGCCGTGCGTCCGGGCATAATGACACATCTAGGTCTTGCCCCTTTGACGATATCCGGCTCGAGTGGTATGTACGCCAGCCCGATATACCAATGAAGAGTCTTCAGGTCCGGAGATTCCTGTATACAGTGTTGTAAAAGCCGGAAGAGGGGAGTAAAGGCCCCCATCCTGCTCAGGGTGATAATGTACCGCTCTAACCTTGCATCCTTTAGTCTACTTGTCAGCGCTGGAGAGTTTTTGAGACAGCACAAGATATCGGAGAGTATCGCGGGGCGTATCTCAAGGCGTTTTTCCCATGTTTCAGTGAATACATCGCACGAAAGCATGCGAGGGTGGCATATAAACTCCACAATCATCTCTGTCTGGATATTACATTAGCTCGACACTCAAATTTCTATCAGGAAAACTCACCTCCGGTGCCGTGTAGCGGATTATGTCCAATAAAGGAAGCATAAGGCTCCCAAAAAGTTGATGTGGACCATACGCAAGCGTTTGAACTATCATTTTATGGGTTTCCTGCTTTAGGATACCTTGTTCCAAGTGTCTAAAATCACGGAACCATATCTTGACAGCTTGAATCCACGTAGGATCCTTCCATAAGATGTCAGACACATCCTCCAGCTCTTCCCACAGGTTAAAATTCGAATATAGTCCAAATATTGAGCAAATGAGAGCCAGCGTTCTGTCTTTGAAGGTATGGGGAGCCAAATGGATAGTGCGGTCCTGGACATATACGCTACCAGAAAGAAATTGTATGATTAGTGCTACTAAATCATTTCTATAGTATATCCCAGGACTAGACGAGACCACTTTGTCGGCTGCTTCCATCACGTCGGCCCACAGCTTGGAAATGCCCTTTGTCATATCAGACTGATGATGTAAGCCCAGAGTCATAGGTATGACTTGGAGTGCGTCTTTGCATTGAAGATCGTTTTGGATTAGTGTCCCATATATGTGTCGTCTCTGGGATACAGCCAATTCTGGATAGATCTGAAAGAGTTTTATAACCTTTTCGATTTTTGTGATTGTTATTCCCAATAATTCCCTCCCTACAAGGTACTGTAATGCGATTACGATGCAAATAGTTGAATGCACCGCTGAATAAGGCATGCCCGCTAGCGAATACGCAATATCCATTAGTGCATTTAAAATATTGATGTCTTCAACCAATAGCCAGTCCTTTTTATGCTTGCCACGCAGGTCGAATGGCTCTAGAAGTCGACAGAGACCAGAAATAGTGGATATTTTCTCTAATTCTAGGCATTGAAGAAACCTAACAGTGACAAGCCGGTCGAGATCAAATATAATAGACACTTCGACTTCTTCGGCATACTCAACGATCTCAGGTAAATCTGGAGTCTGGGGTTCTGAGGGGACTGCCGAGCTTCTAATCATGATCAGAATTTTGATGAGAAGCCCGAGCAGTGACTTCTGAGATTCATTGAGCATAGAAACCACAGCATATGCCAAATGAGTGTCATGGAACACGCTTGGTGGGAGGCGGATTAGAGCCCTAGTCACAGCCAATAAAGTCGATGTATCCTCATCGTTGAGATCGCTGGAGTCGTCGAGGCCAAAATATGGGGCAACAATCCTATTGAAAACCATTCTCCACTGATTGCTTGAGAGGAGTACGGGCCTGGGCATTAGCAACCAAGAGCCAGTGCCGCCTAGAGACTCTTCGACTACGGCCAAAAACTGTGAATGAGACGAGGGGACGTCTTCTGTCTGCTCAACTAGCCATAGAATACTATTCTGATAGGCATGTTCGTGCTGTCTCTGAACTTCATTCCGTTCGCGTTCCCTGAATGTCAGTGGTTCCGGGACGTACTTCCCACGGAGAATAAATCTTCGGGCCAGGTTTTGTCCCGTCATCGTGAAGTATGCGAGCAATTGAGACAGTGGTGTGCGAAATGGCGAGAAAACGTCGAAATATTCGACGATTGTTGTGATAGCGAAGAGTATCGTAGCAACTGATAAACCAGAAATGACGATTGTAGCAACACTGCGATTAATGTGCCACAGCCATTCTGCCAATCCGACAAGGAACATCAGCAAGGCAACGTAGAGAAGGACCGGGAAGGCGGAGATGATCTCTCTCATCTTCCAATTAGATATACCTTCCCACCGCAACTGCCTCTGCATAGCACGATCCTCGGCCGAAGTTGCGTTTAACCCAACATCGTAGGAGCCAATCCACTGTAAAGCGAGGACGGCACCGAGGGCCGCGACGAGACTGCAGGAAATGCTCGCAAAGAAATACGAGTTGACGCGTACTGCAAACGCCGGCGGTGTGAATTCCTTCGTAGCTGAGCTCGAATAAGCCGGCAAAGAGTTGTTTGCAAGCTGGCGGCTAAGGGTAAGGAGAATGTCGCGCGATGTTTCGGCGGGGTCTTCCTCCAATAGCTTCATACTCTCGACTATGAATGCGGTGAGAATGGCAGAGAAAAGCGCCGCCTTTGTACCACCAGATTTTCATTAAGCGCCGCATCACAGAAACGACAAAATCACTCACGAAGATAAGCAGAGTGTTGAGACTATCATTGCTGTCTCTAACTAGTTCTCGGTCGACTGTCTCTGCTCGCTCGTTGTAGTGCTCCCAAACGCTCTTCTTGCCTGTCTCGGTCTTGATTGGTGTTGCTAAATGGTCTCGTTTTGGTTTCCTAAAAAGGCCTCTTTTTCTTTGTGTGCTCATCTCTTGAGAGTCCGTGGTCCTGGTTCCTATAAGGTTGTAGTCGGGAGTAGGTTTGGCCAACTTGCCTATTTACCTCGGCAGAGGTGCGAATCCAGAAACCAGGGAGCCAGTTACTTACTCTCTCAGAAGCTCTCTGACCTGATTGGGGACCTGAAAGTGTGCCCATAAACTGAACTGTAGGTTCTCCCATTCACAAAGATATGAGCCTACTGCTTCGAAAAGGGCAGAATTCTCAACGTTTCCAGGCCGAGTAACGTTGCCACGGACGTCTGACATGGTTGCGCCTACTACCCGATTGCGCTGGGACTTTGCGCTGTGGAATGACACTACACAGACAATGACGGTTGATTGGCAAACGAGCGGGGCCGTCCGGTCATTGAGGTAGCCGTCTGCGGCCGCCTTCCGGTGACCTTCGTCGTGATCGCATGGTGACGAGAGTAAGCAAACCCTGGTCCGCTCCTCTTCACGTAGCGCATTTAAGCTTATTCCAAATAGCAAGAAACATACAAAATGGTCAAGCAGCTTGTTTATACGCCCTTGAGCGAAATTCCAAAGGCAAGTTTCTCAGCCAAAATGCTGCGGGGTGTCAACCAACTCGCATACAGATTCATGACGCACTTCTCTCGTCTTTCAAAGCCGGAAAGACACAAAGTATTGCATTCAGAAAAAAGCAGATTGCCAGACTTGGATACATGGTTCGAGTACGCACTTCTTCCCCCACCTCTTTTACCCAACAACGTCGTAACACTCAGTCTAGGAGAACGAAGAAGCGTTCCACACTGCTCTTTATGAAGATTTGCATCGTTCACGGGTCGAAACCGTGCTCGGCGAGTTTAGCCCCATCCTTCACGAAGTCGTCGAAACGTACAACCACATCGACGAATGGACAAAGGACATCAAGCCTCCTACAACAGCAACGTACCAAGTAATGCGACCACGTATCAAACCGTCGCCCAAGGGCATTGTCCTCATCATCGCACCCTTCAATTACCCACTCAACCTCTCCCTCACGCCACTCATTAGTGCAATTGCCGCTGGCAACACGGTCGTCATCAAGTTTTCAGAAAGTCTTCCGACAGTGTCACCCCTGGTGGAAGAGCTCATTGCGAAATATCTAGATCCAGATGTCGTGAGGGTTGTTCAGGGAGCCGTCGACGAGGTCAACGAACTTCTCAAGCTGGAGTGGAATCACAGTGCGTGTAATTAGCTTCCTTACCTCTCTTTCCTCACCTCGGGTAGTCTTCTTCACTGGCAGTACCAAGGTCGGCAAGATTATTGCGACAGCTGCCGCCAAGTTTATCACACCAGTCACTCTTGAGCTCGGAGGAAAGTGTCCTATTATCGTCGACCCTCGCAAAGCAGACTTCAAAGTCATTGCCCGGCGCATCCTTTGGGGTCGAACAAGCAACAGCGGCCAAGTATGTCTCTCCTCCGACCCCCTGAGAATCTAAGAATTAACCGGCTTGTCATAGGTTTGCGTATGTCCAGACTACGTCCTAATTCCTCGCACACACCAGAGGCAACTCGTCGATGCGCTCAAGGAGGTTTACGTCGAGTTCTACCCAGGTGGACCACAGACATCCGACTCATTCGGTCGCTTGGTAAACTCGGGCTCGGTGAAGCGTATTACCGGTTACCTCGAGGGCTCCAAAGGTGACGTCGTTTTGGGTGGGTTGACCAATGCGAGCAAGGACGGTGATCCCAAGTATTTGCCACCTACTGTAGTAGCAAACGTATTAGGAGACGACGCGACGATGCAAGAGGAAATGTTTGGGCCGGTCATTAGCATCGTTCCTATCGATAGTCTAGACGACGCTATCAAGTTTATTAACGACAGGTAATGCCCTCAAGATACCATTCAAACTCTGCTGACTCGCAACTAGGCCTCAGCCACTTGCACTCTATGTCTTCTCGCACGACTCCGAGTTCAAGAAAAAGGGTGGGTTCTGTAGTGTACTTGGTCACATTTCTCATTCTTCCACAGTTACAAGAAGCACACGCTCCGGTGCTATTGATTTCAACGACACCATGACCCACGCAATCGCTGCTGGCCTGGCATTCGGAGGCTCTGGCAATTCTGGGTGTAAGTAACAACCGAGCCGGTAAATGCGACGAGATAATGGTTGCGCAGATGGACAATACCACGGCAAATACGGATTCGATACTTTCACCCACTACCGATCCAGTCTTGAGACGCCAACCTGGTAATTATCACTTCACCTCACAACTCTCGTCTAATTCGAATTGCTTATAGGGCCGAGGCAGTCTTATCCTTCCGTTACCCGCCTTTCCCAGTAAGTAGTTAAACCCGCTACTGTACTATGACCTAACTTGTGGTCTAGAGCTGGAAGTTAAAGATGGCAGAGATATCTTTGTTGCCTTCCCGCTTTCCTTTCGACAAAAACGGAAAGAAAACGCTTTTGTCCAGGATTCAATCGTTCCTGCCAATGTTCCTGGTCATTGTTCTGGCCTACTATTATCGACGGGACATACGAGCTCGTTCTCCCATCAAATTCTAAAAGCCTTATACTTCGTTCAGCCCACTGTTGACTCTGTCATGCGCCAGATATCAATACACTCCACGCCTACAAAGATCTACGAGATGGACTAAGAATAAGACGCATCATGAAAGAATCGATCCGTGACTAAAATTATGACGGGACAGTTGGCGAGTTTTGTGGTCGCTGTCCACGTCCTCCACCCCGTCCACCTCGTCCGCGCTGCTCGCCTCGGCCGTTGAATCCTCCTCGGCCCCTCTGGCGTTGTGGGCCATCTTCCTGCACGAGGCGAACTTGAACCTGGGCAGGTGCAGATTGAGCCGCTGGTGAAGGCTGGTTTTGCTGAGCTTGGTTCTGCGGCGGAGTTGGCAATGGTCGTTGAAGCACGGAAATGGCTTGATGCGGTCCACCACGACCACCACGTGGAATAACCGGTCCACGACCTCGTAAGCCCCGTCCTCTTGCTGCGTGGAACAAGTTGACCGCTGGCGGATCGTCTTGCATTGGAACTCGAGATTCCGAGGATGTCTGTTGATGATTTGTCGGTGCAAGACCTCCAGAATACCCATTAGTCCCTCGTTGTGGTTTCGAGTTAGGCGTCCCATTAGTCGGTGTTCCACGTCCACTATTGTGATTAGACATGATCCGCATTGGCGGCGTCCCACGACCTCGTCCATTGGTGGGTGTTGGAGAAGATGTGACGATTCCGTACGCATTTTCGAGGTGAACGGGCACCGATCGCGCTTGTTGTGTTGGTGTGGTGGCCACAATGAATTGCTGATTCGTGAGGTTGAGGCAAGAGTTGATCGTGCATGTCGAACCACGATACTCGGAACACCTTAATTCGAGTGAGAATAAGATGGCTGAATTTAATTATGACGTACCGTCCACCAAGCGTTGACCCGCCGATGAATGCGTTGTCCCATACAACGTCAATCATCTTGTCAACGATACCGACGACGATTCCCTTGTTGCACAATGGCACTCCACCAGAGTCTTGGACCATGATGACTCTGTCTCCCAACTTGAATACTTGATCCTTCAAGCGGGAATGGACTTGGATGGGCTTCAGGACCGCCTGGCGCGGAATGCCTTGGACCTTTGCCTTCTTGATTCCTGTCGCCGTTCGGCTGGCAGCAATCTGAGCCGCTGCAGCCTCAATTTGAGAGATTGTTTCCTATACATTGTAAGCTTGGAAAACACAAGCTGATCTGACAGACCTTTTCAAGGGTCTCGGTACTGAGTGGTACAGGTTCCAAGTCTTTGATACCGCGCTCGGCGAGCCATGCTTTGGCGGCCTTGACTTGCGCATCAGGATCTTTGCCAATAAAGACCTCGGAAGCCTTGAGCATGGCTATCATGCTTTAGTACTCTGATCCTAAGCAATGTTTACGCGTACCATCTCCTCGGTTATCCAGCTTGCTGAACAGCTGAGGGAACGCTGCCTTGTAATCACGTAGCAATTCGACCGCTTTGGCACTGAACTCCCAGCCATTTCCCTCCATCCTTGTATATGTGAGTACCTTCAAGCCTTTGCCTTGGAACTTGAGGCTCAGGCCGAGATTGGTCTTTGATCCATCGGAGCTAATGACCATGAGACTCGAAGTGATCTTGGAAACCGCCAGGCCAGTCATGCGGAGCATGTTAGCGACATTGTAGGCTGTATAGTAGTCCGGCTGTGCCGCACTCAAAGCGATATTCGTGAGCTGCTCGTTCTCTGCCTTTTCTTTCGGGAAAAACTAAGGAAAGGTGAGCACGTCGTCCGTCTGGTGGGTGCTTACTTACGGCAAGAGTGACTGTGAGCGCATTTTTTTCGACGCCTTCGACTTGAGCAACCACACCGTAGGCATGCTCACCAAGGAAAAAGACCTTGCTTCCTTGCGGAAACTCGTCCACAAGTGAGGGAGCTGCCTGTTCCATGAAGCGCTCGTCTTCAAAGTTGACCTCCTGGACAAGCATTTGCAGCGGAAGATCTGTCTCCTTGTCGGCATCGTCCCAGTCTTTGACAAGCGATCCATCATCCTTGCTCCTGAGCCCTATAATACGAATTAGCACGCGAACTTTCCAATAATGTGAACCTCACCTTTCAGAGGTCGAACGTGTACCAGGATATCAACGTCTCCCGTGATCACACCAAATCGCTTCGAGTACCTTGATTCATAGCCCTCGGCTTTTCTCGCCCAATTGCTCAACCCAGGAGCGCTGTGCTGACTACCCGCAACCTTGACGCCATTTCCATAACGTTGATACTCATAACGGAAATGAGAGTCGGAAAGAGCAACGACCATGCCCTCTTGCAAGAATGGCCAGTTGTAAAAGACTCGCTTTCCAATGAGCTTTTCAGCCGCCTTGAGGGTATTGCTACCTTCCCAGAGGTTCTTGATGTATAAGACGACGGATTGGTTTCGGCTGTCAGCCTGGAAGACATTGACCGAGTGATGTATCAGCTGCGCCGTGTGAGGGAGCGTGTCTAAAGATGGGAAGCCAGCCATGGCATGTACACCCAGACCAACGCCTTCAAGTAGACCTTTGACGAGGTGCAAACCATCGAGCGTCGGTAGGTTAAACGGCTTGGTGATGCAATGGCAATGATGAATGTCAGGGAAGAAGCCAGGGAGGGATGAGGGATAAACGATGTCTTGATTGGGGGAGTAGGTAAAGGTGAGGCTTGTTCCAACGGTGTTCCGCTCCTTCTCCTCTTTCGTCAGCCGATGTTCTCGAGAGGCCATGGCCTGTAGTAGACGTTGTTCGTTGATAAATGGAATCTTGACAATCGCCTCCCATTCCTGCTTCTTTCCATTGAGATCACTCTCAAAGTCTGTCGGGTAAAAGTCGAGAATCGGAGACGTCGGGTCGTACATGAGATCCTGTACCAAACGTTAAGCAGGCACCGGAAACGAAGGCGCTACTAACCCTGTAGGCCTGCGGGATATGCTCTTGACTCGCAGCAGGTAGCACGCCCATAAGCTGTTCGTAGGGTCGGAACGGGATGCCAAGTTTGAAGTCAAACTTCATCTTATCGACACCCTTTAAGTCTGAAATCGGTCAGCGAGCCTCGTCTCACTGACAATCATGCACAAACCGGATATTCTAGGAGCATAGTGATAGTCGTAGAACCATCCCCAGGATGCGACTCCGCTGTAGTAATAATGCATAACCCACTGAAGGCCCTCAATGTAGCGATACACGAGCTTATCCATGGCCTCCTTGTCGTCGTATTTAATCTCGAGTTTCTCCTGAGATGACATTAGAGAGCACCGGTTTAAGGAAATGTTTCTCGTACCTGATAGTACTGTCGCTTCCAATTGTCCATTCTGGCTTTGAGAGTGGTTTCGTATCGCTCGTCAAACGTTCCCTCATCTTCAAGAATCTTAGCTCGAGCATACTTCTTGAGCACCCGGTCGACAGCTCGTCGCCCTTCCTCGTCTTCGTCACTATCCTCATCCTCATTCGCTGCGGAGGGGAGTCGAAGAACGGCGAGATTCTGATCCTCATCATTATACTCGTCCCATGTCAGGGAGAGATGCAAGTCCTTTGCAACTTGTGAGAGGAAAGCCCTATCCCGTGCTGCAAATGTGTTGACAAAGGAGAGCTTGGTCACTCCTTCAACTTCCTGATCGACTTGTTGTGGCTGCCTTTTGCCACGTGCTTGTAAAACGAATGCTTCGATAGTCTTGAACATTTGCTGCTGATCACGTGTGATCGCTACGAGGGTTGTAAGCCACTGTTTAGTACCCAATAGACAACGTACTTGAGCCGCCTGTTCCGCCTCGCTCGACAAGCGTATCCAATTGCTTGGGCCGTTGCTTGCTTTTGAACCAGTTCATGTCAGAGTGTTCCTTCTCAAACGCCTGCTGTTCAAAAGTTGCCAAAGCATCAAGTACCATCTGCAGTCGTTCGGTGTTGATGACTCCACTCTCGTTGAGGTAGCCACCAGCCTTTGGAAGAGTTTCCCGATACTTTTCGAAGAGCACTTCCAAGGCGTTGTCGTGGATGTGAAGGTCGGGTAGGTGGGGAAGGAAATCGTTACCAACGAACACTGCTAGCAGAATAAAGTCGTCGATGATGCGCTCCAGGGAGTATTCGAACGGTAGGATTGGCTTGGAGCTGGCTGAGGGATCCGCGATATTGATGGCTTTAGGGTCCCATAGTGGCTGGAATTCGAGGTTGAGATACTCCCGGAAGAGGCATAGGTGCAAAAGGAAGAAGGATTGGGTCTCCAAGCTGAATTAGCTCAGGTCAGGGGATAGTCAAAAGGTGGCAGAAACGACATACGTCCCGCTCTTCTTTTTGGCTTGAGGTCCAAACTTGACTTCTTCTCGCAATAGAGCAAAGTGCGGGTCGTGACTTAGGAGGCCCAGCATGATGAGATCCGCATCCAAACCGTAGAGACAGTGCCTTGAAGAGGTCAGACGATTCACGCTATCACACAGCACCGTCCTTACCGAGTGTTTGGATTATAGTCCTTCTGAGCTTTACTGAGCCTGATGTATTCCATAATCTTGTGTTCACCCTCGCCAGGCACCTCGTGACCGGACAGAATTACTTGTACATCTCGCCAATTGGAGTCTTCCGTAATCTTTTTGTTTACAAAGTACTGTAGTTGCAACGATAGTCGAGCCATAAAAGGTGTTCCTGTACACCGGGGTCAGACTTCATCTTTCGAGCAGCAATAGCCCGCACCTGGTGTGATACAATTACTGTCAAATGCCTTCTCGTCTGGTAGTTTCTCTCCCTTCCTGAGGGCTTTCTCGACGAGGTCCTTTGTCTCCTTCGCCGTCCTAAATCGTCTGGATCGTTGCTGGTTCATTTTGGCTCTCGGAGCGACACCATCTATGGCCATAAAGAATACTTTGCGCGGTTTAATCTTTGTGAACAGGTGTTCCACGTAGGCAAATATCGAGGTGAATATTTGTTCCTCAGATAATCGAAAGTGTACATCCCCGTCATTGGGATGTGAACCTATGGAGTATGGACATTCAGTATACCGCAGCTGTGTGTAGAGAGACCCGACAGACAGTTGTGGATGATGCCGTTGAAGTCAACATAGAGGTTATCTAAGATGGGGTTTTGTTTAGTCCCTCATCATCTATAAGAGGTGAGCGCGTTCATACCGAACTCTGGAATGTTGTTCTCTTGGATGAGTTGTGATGTGAGCGGGTAACGCTCACTGTTTGATACAGCCGAGTGGATTAGCGACAAACCGCGGATGAGAGGAGCAACATGGAAGGTAATTGTGTCAATGAATTGACGGGTAGAAGGATAAAGAATGGTCAGCGATCCGTGTACCTCATGGCCAAGACAAGACGCTGAGCCAGACTCACGAGATCCATCTGAAAAACTGCATATTTGGTGTTAATTTAGAGAGCACATGGAATACGCTTGTAACGCGTTGCGCGTACCTTTGGAATCCCTGGGTTCAGCCGCACATTAGCTCAGCTATGCTCATGCAGTAGGAAGAGGAATTGTTGTGCGTACCCATGAATGATTTAAATGCGTTGTAAAGTGGAAATGCTAGTTGGAGCGGATGCTCGCTGCTCGCTGTGGTCGTCGGAAACCAAGGTTAATCCTCCTTTTGGCTCAACGCCGACCGAGTCAGTGAGCCCACAAGACAAATGCCCAGCCACGAATATGTATAATATGCGATATAATACTCTATTCCATCGTCGGACGTCTCCAATTTATTTATTGGAAGGACTATCTCATACAGCCACTCAGCGACCAGAGGGTATCAGGTGTAGCAATACACTGAGCTTGCTGAATTGTCTACGCTTGAGCTCCTGTGCATCTATGCTGAACAGTACGTAGATGAGCCATGCGCAACCCGACTCGGTGCAAACTCCCTCAAGGCCCAAGCAATGGTAAGGATCGCTCTCGTCCCCAAGCTGAGATATTGAACAGATTTACAACCTTAGAAGTCGATATAGACCTCTAAATCCCTCTCCCACGTTCCAGCTCGTGGCGACCTCTCACCCTTCGCGCGTCAACTCAGAAGAGACCGTGGTCGAGGGAAGAAGGAAGAATAAAAAGTTCAAGGGCGACAAGTCCTGTTTCCTTTGGGAAATTGCTAGGGCCATTGGGATGAACCTAGGAGCATGTGTCCTCTATTCGAGGTTTTAAGCTAGACCTTATGTGACACTCGACGCGCTGACAATCACGTCACGTCCGTTTGCTCGAACTGATTTGCGATGAGGATCCCTCGAGAGCGGCTTCCGCATATCTGCCAGGTGGTGAACCTGTGAGACTCGCGCGGATGGTTGAGACGACATACCATACGCATCCTCTGCCGCCGAACCTTCGCTCCCCGGACCTAGATTCCCATAGTACTCTTTGACGGTGCGGTAGACGCTATAGCCCATCTTTTCGTACATTTCCGTCGCAATTGCATTCGACGGCCGGACGTAGAGATCAACAAAGAATCCATGGTAGACGCCGTCAGATATTTCCTCGAGCAGCTTGGTCAGCCGCTTCGCGAGCCCGAGTTTGCGATACTCTGGTGCGATGGAAAGCGCGGTGATGTGGCCGTGAAAGTTTGTGCCTTGTCCTTCGGCCTTTCCTATTACTTTTCTCGTCCTCTTAGAAAATTTCGGCTATATGAGGGCTGAGGACGCACTGTATCCCATCATTCGTCCAGACGGAGACTCTTCAACGCAGCAAAGGTCCGGCCACCGTGCTAGATAGTTGAGATAAAATGCAGTTCCGTACTGTTTCTCTGCATCAAACCCCGTAATTAGATGTAGTCGACGAGTTACTTGCCGTTTCGGTCCAAACGTCCATGTTACTGTGGGAGGAAAAGGAGAAATTAGGTCTCGACAATCCTACCAGACATTTAGGCATACACGTTGTTGAATTTTAGCATGTCTGTTGCTCGAAACGGCCGTAGGGTACTCATGGTGTGCAGAGGGAGGGGCCAAGATGTACCAGCCACAAAGTTCCGAAGCATAAACGAAAAGACTAGCAGGTGATACAGATTATGTTTCCGAGCATCCTAGTGAACATAGACAACAACTGGTACACGACTCAAACCATCGGTTGTTGACGGGTAAACGCCATAGGAGAGTGCCATTGACCCTTTTGTTTGGCTCTTGCCGGATCCTCGGGAAGGTCCGGATACCCAGGAGCGTTCTTGAGTCTATATTGGAATCTATTCCATAGACTTTGTGGTGGAGAGCTGATCAGGGGGTTAACAGTATCCCTCTTCACATTCGCAGCAAGCCGTCGTTGCCTTCTTCGGCGCAGGTACCAAATGAAGAACGTGAGAACTAGAGTATCGTTATTCCTTGCACATAGAGTCTCAAGTGGAAGACGTACTTATGATCAATGCGACCCCGAGACAACAAGCAAGAATGATTGTGCCAGTGCGCGAAATCCTTATGCGATCCGTGTGATAATAGATAACACGCTTCACGAGGGACAAATGGTAAGGCATGGTTTACTGTAGTGACTTCCGCCCGTCTAGTCTCTTTATCTTACTAGTGGACTAGTGGTACTGACACAATTCCGATGACAGCTGGAGAAACGGTCAAGAATTGTCGGTGAAACATTTCACTAGTCAACCTCTATTCTAAGTCCCTAGATGGTCAAGATTCTTCGGCGAACTTGACTAGTCTCCCCGGAGAAGAATCGCGTTTCCTCTATCCTCGCGGCGGATGCAAGAAGGATGGTTTTCCTATCCCTTTATTTCCGCAAACATTCTCATGAACGACACTTGAGCTTTCTTTCATGTCGACGGAGAGTCATGGAAGCGGCGATTTGTAAATTGCACTCGAGATAGTTGGATTCCAACGCCCAAGATACAATAATCAATTATGAGGCCAATTAATGCGATCTAGTCTTGGAGTAAGCGAAGTCCCGACTGCACGCTGGGAATCCAGCACGAAGCGGCGGAGCAGATTAGAGCCATACAAACTTGACCGCAAGTATGAGGCAGCGACAAGTGATGGCGAGTCGTGGACTTAAGTTTCGCCTCACAGAACACGGATGACAGGATCTAGGAGGCCCACCATCCCTCGGTTATTCACACACGCCTTGCAAATTAATCTCGTGTATAGGATGGCTGCGTTGGCAGGGACTCTGCGGGAAATACATTGAACAGTTATATGATTATTATTTAATGGTTTGCAATCTTCAGCTTAAAATGCCCAAGGGGAGTGAGGCGTTAGTTTCCCGGCTCTCGCTGGGTCTCTAGGAAGTTCTGGATACCCAGGAGCGTTCGTGAGCCTATGCTTGAACCTCTTCCATAGACTTGGTGGTGGAGGGCTGACTAAAGAGTCGGCAGTATTCTTCTCTGAGTCGGCAGCAAGCCGTCGCTGCTTTCTTCGGCGAAGGTACCAAATGAAGAATGCAAGAACTGGAGGAGATCGTTACAAATCGTACATGATGTACAAGGCGAAGACGTACCAATGATGAAAACAAGCCCGAGGCAACAAGCAAGAATGATTGTGCCGGTGCGTGAGATCCGCTCTGGGCGGTTACTGTAGCGAAGACGTTTTTCAAGAAAAGGACTGTGATCCATAGTTTACTATAACAATGAGCTTCGTTGGTTGTCTCTCTTTTATCATCCTGACTTCTCCGGTGCAAATCCGATAACGGCTGTAGAATCCCCTTAACGCCGTCGACCCATTATGCCAACCTATGACCAGTCAGATTCCGCATTATGATTCTAGATGGTCAAGATTCGTTTTGGGCTTTGATTGGTTTGGCATTGATCCCTCCTTCCCTACCGCGTCGGCTACGTCGGCAGACGGAAGAAGACTGGTTTCTTGCTTACATGTCATTAGCAACGAGTTTTGTGTCGATGGAGGTTTGGAATGGGGGTAGTTTGTGAACTTTGCCTGAGGACGAGGTCGATGTTGGCATAATAGGGATATTCGCTATTGGTGGTGGTGGATGCTTGTGCACCGACACATACCGCTCAGTCGCTGGCTGGACTGGTACCTGTCGCTTACTTTGCATTCGAATCGGGTCTGGAGGAGCCGCAGGAGGTGGAGCACATGGCAAAGGCAGGGTATTGCCGCCAGGGAAAGGGGAAATAGCAGTGATGTGAGGCAGACGCGCAACACCGGAGCTCAATGAAGCCGCGGTTCGAGAGGGGACATTATCTAGTGGTATTGACGCTCCTCCAAAAGGGACAATAGTGTTCGCCTCGGCGACTTGTCTCCCCCTTGAGCGCATGTTGATCGCTTCTCGTAGCCGTGATAGGCGGAGTAGAGTAGACAACTGGCAGAACCAGTGATTGTACAATGCCCGCGAATATTTTCCAGTGCCCCAAAAGATGAGAAGGTGAATTGCTGGAAGCGGAATGAAGTTGTTTGCAGTCATGAGTACGCTCTGTCTGTCTGGCAAGGCCATGTTTGTCGGGATATGTTTGTAGGCGTCGAGGCCATTTTGAGACCATCCGTATATAACAAGCTGATTCTTGGGAACGATTGGAGAAGGAGTGGTTCGGAATGCTTCAAGATCGTTCACGAGGTACCACAAGGTCGACCAGAGTGAAAAGAGAGGTCTGATGAGGACGATTAAGAGAAGCGTCGAAATGGCGAGGCCACGTTTCAATACTTGAGCTAGGCTAAGTGAATGGGGCTGAGAACGGTTTTCAGGCGAGGGTGCGATCCATTCGTTTGAGTGGCGAAACCTCCAGAGATTGACCAGAGCCATTCCACCGTAACCAGCATATGAAAAGAGCGGAATCCAGTGAATTGGGATGCTATGCAAGAGCGCACGGACTCGATTCTCCGCACCGGTTGTAATTGGACCTATGCCTTCGAAAATGAGTATACTACGCACTCCAACGGCACCTACTACCAGTCAGTGATGTCCCGCATTCGCTGGTATCGCACCGTAGAGAATGATCGATCCTGCTCCGGCTCCGACTATCAATTTGTCGATCAGATTAATATAATTCCTCTGTAATCGAATGAGGTACGACGAAAAGCTTGGATTGAAGCTCACCTTGTCGTAGATGTACAGGCTCCCAGTAGGCTTCGAGCGAATCCACAGAAATTTGAACAAGCAAATATAGTTGACCCGAAGCACCCCCAGACAGAGAATGCTGATTGCGGCACCTAGAAAATGAGGATGAGTAAAGGTCATGAGCAATAAAGAGCATGTACAGACCCAGCTCGGTGTAAATAGGTATGTATTGAGCATGACCACTCCAAACACACCCATTTATCATCATTTGAGTACAATGTAAGAGTACGATAATGATATGGCATCTCAGTGCGAAGATCTGGGTTGCCCAAAACTGCGGTAAAACGGGGAGGCAGCATAACATGCCAACGGTAGACCAGATGAAGAGTGCAGGAACTATGTGTGATGTGATCACTGTGTTCTCTGGATCCTGGTAGACTGGAGCGACAGGCATTGTGGTCAGCGACAATCAAGTTGGGGAGTTTCACGACGCCCATGCATGCCAGGCAATTCGAAATTGGGCGCGGGAAGCAGAGGAGCGATACAGCTGCCGTCGCTAACGTTTGAAGAACAATCTCACGCTGAGAATACAACTTAAACTCGAATTTTGTAATCTATATACAGATGAAGCGAAGGTGAGGTTTGGACTAGGTCGACGATACAGTATGTAGTTCGTGTTATATCATGAGATTTCGTATGTAGCTCTATCGAGTCTCGATGAGCGATTTGAGATGCTGCCAGCTGAGGACTGCTGTACCAATGGGTACCAGCTCCGGCTTCGTGACCAGCACGCCATCCTCGAGAAGGGTTACACCGGCCTGTGCATTCCCATTATCCGCACTAGAATCCGTCTCCGAAGATTGATCTGATATGTCCGGTCCCCCCGTACGCGGACTCGAGGGTGCAGGACAGTACGGTGGGGGAACGCCTCGGGTCGTATCGACACGCAGCTCGCCATCTCGATCGAATATTTGAGAATAAGCTGGTAATACCAAAGGGTCCAATTCATTCGTGGGTACTCCAGATGTGCCCACAGATGGCATGCGCATCGCATACGATGCATATGGATTCACGTTGGTCCGAATTGTGGATGAAGATGTAGTGAGAGTGCTCTGTCGGGTAGTTTCGCTGGATGGTGTACTTGGTGGACGCACGACGAAATGGAGTGGAAGTTCGAATTGGACCGTATCCTTCATCCGCTCGTCAATGGTACCATCTGCTCTCCTATATCCAACATGTGCCGATATACGTAACAAGTGGGCTACGCGGGCGTATGGACCATGGTAAGAAGGCGCAATCGTCCGCTGAGGGCTCGAGCCCGAGGAGTAGTCGACCGAGATTCCTCCCTCTGATTTGCTAGTGGTGGAATTCGAGTTAATCAACTTGAGATTGAGGCGAATCGTCGACCACGAGCCGTCTTGACCGAGCGCATGAGCGTGCTTGACGGGAACTTCATCATCATCGTCGCTGGAATCTGGCGTCTCGTTCTCGTCGAGCCAAAATGATGAAGCGGCATCCTCGTGTAAAAGAGATCTTGCGACACGCCACTTTGCTTCCTCGACGGTGTGGCTGCTAATACTGGTTGACCGTCGATGCTCAGATGGCTGACTATAGGGGGGTGCAAAGTCCGATGCAGCGACAAGCCGTGAAGAGAAAGAAGATGAGAGGGCTCGCAATGCCGAGCTCCACCATCGGCTATTGTTCTGTCTAGGAGAATCTGTCGAGGTGGATTCGAGGACAACGGGTTCAGACGTCATTCTGGCACCGCCAGACTCGCGTGAACAGGTCACGAATATCTCTTCTGGACGAGTACGAAACGCCGCGTGTTCCTCAATGTCGATATCGACATGAGAGACGGTGAGCGTTCCCGCATCCGCCGATTCTCCTTCTTGCGGCTTGAGCCTCATCTTTACGACAAAACCAAGACTGTCTTCCGATGTACTGAGGAAAGAGGGAGTAGAAACAACCAGTTGCAGTCGGGAACAGAGCTCGTCTGGAATGGGTGAAGATGGTGTCGAGTGTGCAGTGATGGTGTATTTGGTAGTTGGTGGTGGAGGTTGGTGAATTTGGCGGGGTCCTGGAGATGAAAGGAGTGAAGAGGGAACGAGAAGGCGCGTAACTGTAATAGGTACAACGTCGGTAGCCGCACAAGTCGGAAGTGAAGCCACAATATCCATATCCTGCGTGTTTACTGCGTTGTATGCTGGACCTGGTCCATAAGAACGGCTGCTAGAGCTGAGCGCGGTAGACAAACTTGATAGAGGGTTGCACGCATTCAATAGACATGCAAGCCCCTCTGAATCTGTGGCATTGTCGGCTTGGAGCAGACCGTCACTATGTGCGGCCTCGATAACCTTGTAGGTCGCGTGTACTGTAAGACTATATGTCGTCTCGGAACACGCCAAGATATCGCTGAGCTCGTCGTCATTCGCGATTGCGTGTTTGGCGACGGCCGAAGGGGGAAGCCATCCGGGAATAGAATGGAGGTCAAAGAGAACGCTATAGCGTGCGGCGTCCCCTGAATACGAGGTGTTGGTAAAGTCGAGCATTGTCGGTTCGTCGACGAGCTCCCGAGTGACGGAACAAAGTGTGAGGCGGTCTTTACCATGGAGAGGGGAAAATATTGCATCCTTGTCATGTTGGGTATGCTGCGATCGACCGACAAATTTGACAACGAGAGAGGTCAGAAGGAGTGAGGCAGAAGTGGCTGCGGACGAATCGAGAGACAGCTCGACCGTTCCAGAAAGAGAGTAAAAAGTGCTACGGCAACATCAGTTTCCAAGCGCATAGGAGATGGACTGGGCGTACGCAGCGTCTGGGGTGCCATGGAGATAAAGGGTACGAGAAAGTGGTCGAACGGATACACAAAGGGACATGATTGACGAGCGTGAAATGTGGGGTGTAGGGAACGGAGTCGGTGAGCGAGAGGGAGGTGAAGGGAACGACGGGCTGGAGAGGGAAGATGGCGGTCAATCAGAGGTGTAGTGCGTGTATATATCTTGCTCAATGAAGAAAAGACAATCCACGTAAGGTTGTCTCCCAATCAGGCAAAGGCGACCTGCCAGGCGCAATTAGTGGACTGTCGACCAGCGGACAAGGCTTGCCTTTTTATCGTGTATGGGCTCCATAGTGGCACGAAGGACGGGCTGCGTCGTAGGCGTTCTTGTCATTAAGAATAATTGCAACTTGGGACAAGGCGGGATCAATCCGCCCTCCAAATCGAGTCCGCTTCCCATGTTTGGGTGTTGCGCAACAAGGGTCATGCGTCTGGACGCCCTCGCCGGTTTCGGCTAGAAGATTGCGATTGCTAAAAGGACGTCGAGTATATTTCGGCACCGTAGCCACTACGCGTGGAGCATCAGGCTTCTAGTGCGCGGAGGTCGAAAGTGGGTTTGGGAGGGTGAATACTATTATGAGATATCAGTCATTTGCAACGAATGAACTGGAAACATCCAAGAGATGTGCCTCTGGGATAACAGTCGGGAAGCAGTCACTCGGTAGCGCAGAGTTTGAAAGCCTAGCTCTTCTAGCTTGACTTAGATTTCTTCAACGAGTATCTAACGACTACCCTGAGTTTGAAGTAGACGGAGATTGCTGGCGGATATCCTCAGTCACTTCAATGTCTAGCTGGCATCATACTCATTTTGAATTGAATAATAGAGACATTCCTCAACACGGAGATTCGTTTTGAAAACTTTGGTAATAATGATGAGTTCATGCTCGCCATGGATGTACGTCACATTTGTTTGGCCCAAACGTTTACATTGACCGCGTTTGGGATTTTGGAATCATTCTGGTCTCAAAATTCCAACTATCTAACAAACTGGACGAGAGTAACAGAAACGAATTCTCCCAACGTCCGCCGGTCCGCTACGCTTTCACACAGCAAGCGCTACGGCAACCAAACGCTTAATATCTTGCGCAAGCTTCCGTTTCTTTGGTAGATAAAATGTGTATAACACGCTGTTTCACTGCTTCTGGCATATCGCCGCCGCCGCAATGACTGCCAGCCGCATTCAAGTTCTGCCAGCGGGAGGCCCAGAACTAACTGTATCATATCAACCAGTCGATTGAAATTACAATTTTCACAGCGCTCACCTCACGAGATGGTATCGCACTCTCCCTCGAGGTCACTGCGAGGCAGAAGCTTGACCCATCAACGCGACGCATCAAAGATCCGTTCTCTCCCCAGAAATAACCATCAGATGACCAAAATTCTAACCACAGGCGCTTCATCCTCGGAGCTCCAGACTATGCAACAGTTCCGCATCTCGAGGCGTCGGATACACTCATTTTCCAAATAGCAAGCGGATAACAGGGTCCCTCTCTCGGCCGATTGTACAGAATCCTCTGAATATCATGGAGGGAGTACGGTTGTAGATCCGGGTCCAGTACCGGTTCGATTCATTCCAGCTCGATGACAGTATGGGGCAAGCGTGGAGGACGACAGCCGCACCGTCTGCACGTTGGTCGAAAGGCTGTGGAATAGTCTCTTCCAGGGTTGGCGGTGGCTGGCCAGTATGCCAAACTCTTGAGTTTGACGATCCAGACAGGCACATACGCACAATGCGGACATTACCGAGATTTCACAGCGGTTCGACAAGAAAGGAATCAATACACGGCATTCTGGATGTAGACACGAGGTACATTCGCGAAGTCATGATGTGGGTTCGATAGAGGTGTACACGATGATGGAAGCAGCGTTTGCTGAATAGAATACGGTCCAGTATGCAAGAGTTCGTGTGGTTGTGAGACAACGATCAGAACAAAAGCACCCCACGGAAAAGTGGAAACACACAATGAAACAGCTATGCAAGCATAGCGAGAGAGGAAATTAGGAAAGAGGTGTGTACGGGTATAGCAGTCACGGTAACGAAGGAAGAGAGTCCAAAGGAAAGTGCCCTCGCCTCGTACTTGCGTACGGTGCAAAGGAATCAGAATTGTAGTTGCGCCAAACCGTCAAAAGTCGTAAGAATCAAAAGTCGTGTTGTCGTTCGTGGAAAGCAATAATAGACGGTTCCGTCTTTATTTTTGGGCCGAGTCGTCACGTCACTTGAAGAATCGAAAAACGTCATGTCTCCCCTGGTCCGGGAACGACCAGCTCAATCCACTCTTTGCCAGGGCTGCCAGAATGTCCGCCAAGGCGCACGTAGCCCATTTGCTCCGCCATGCCTACGTAGTCTTTGAAGCCGCTGACGCCTGCGCGTTGGTATACCATTCGATCGCGTTGAACGAGTTCAGAGCCAATCTTTGATCTGTATGGTCGAGGCTTGCCCTCGTTTCTGAACTCGGTCAGAATATTGAGCAGCAGTCCAAAGTGACGTGGAGATATAGGTCGCGCTGGCGGCTGCATACCGCCTGCGGCCCCATACTGATGAAGACCATGCCCGAACGGCATATCACGATTGGCAGGCGTATGCATCTGGGCGTGATGGGGAAGCATCGCTTGCTGCTGTTGGAATATGAATTGCTCGCTCGAGATACCTCGTCGTGGGATCGGATGATGCTGCTGTGGTGGTGCGTACAGTGCCTGTTGCATTTGTTGCGCCGCCGCCATTTGTTGTTGCTGCTGCTGTTGGGCGTTCTGGAAACGACCAATAGACCCCTGATGTTGGTGCTGCTGGCGTTGCGGGACAAAGGTGAGCATGGGAGGCGGCGACATGTAACGGGGTGATTGTATACCCTGGCCATGCGAATGACTCAAGCTCGCTGGGACACCAGCATTGTCTCTCGTGTTGGCTGGAGATGTACCCATTCCAAACCCTGTATTAGAGCCACGGGCAGGGTTGGTAAATGGTGCATTTGGAATGGGCTGTGGTTGAGTAGGATATTGCGGCTGCTGATATTGAGAAGAACGTCGGGCAAGAGGCTCGGTCGGTGATGTCGACACGGTCGAGGACGCTCGCATCCTTTCACCTATACCTGAAGCACTTAGCGGACTGAAGACGCTCGTGTGCTGCGGTGTCGGGAGCGGCACAGGTAACGGAGGACTCTGTGTCCAGTTGGAGCTCGGGGTAGGCGACGCAAGAGAAGACAGGGTCGAGGTTGACGAGGGGGGTCCAGCCTCAGCACCCACATTGGTGTTCAAGGCCGTCAAAGCACCGCTGGGGGTGTCTGTGGCAGCTCTCGTCGCAGAGGGACCACTGGTGTTAGCGGTGGCATTCGCGTTTCCGGACGAGAGCCTACGGACAGGGAAAAGAGGCGAGCCCAAACCTGGTCCAGTAGTGCCCGAGGACGTGGTAGGAAAGTGACCCCAGACGCGAGAGAGGCTCCCAGGTTGGTGAGTTGAGCGGGAAGCAAGCCCACCAAGCCCGGTAGAGTGGGCACGAAAGGGCTGAAAGGGTGCAGCTTGTGTGTTCAAGGTAGATGCCCCCGTCGTCCCATGCGCCGCATAGTTTTCAGACGCGCGCTCATCTGCTCCCTCGTTGTCGTCGTGGTTGTCAGGATCCCTAGCCGTGTTCTGTGCGGAGCTCGCTGGGAACAATGGGTTCGGATTCACCAGCGCGGATGAGGAGAGGTGCCGGCTGGTCGGGCGAGACGAGATGGAGGAGTTTGAACCAGGCTTGGTAACACCAGGCAACAGCGGACGTGACCCAGATTGACCACGATCCGCCCCAGCGCCTCCAAAAAAAGGAGACCCACTGACAAGGCTAGTTTGAGTGTCCTGCGTCGTGACCATGCCTGCAGTGGACACGTCCCCTTGTGAGAGACTATCACCGGGGGCATCAACGACGGTCCCTCCACTACTCACTGTCCCGGCTGGAGTCATGTGGCGGGTGGTTGGCGATGTCGCCAACGGGTGAAGAATAGCACTGAAAGCACTCGGAGAGGTCGTCATGACCCCAGTTAGCGTATTCGTGTTACCGTTGTCTCCCGTTGGTGTTGCGTTGTCCGGGTCCACATCGCCGCTGATGTCCGTTTGTTCATTCTCTCGACGGCCGGTTCCTTCAACGGCTGTTGGAGTTGCAGTACCCTGTGCAGTGCCGAGGCCTGCAGTTATTGAGCCGGTGGACGCTCCACGCATAACGGCTGCCCAGTCCAACACGAAATTAGCCTGAGCGGCCATACTCGCACGCAGAGGCAGCCCGTCTGTCGCGCTTTTTGGCGTGATTAAAACTATGGTATAATGCCGTTGACGGAGGGCGGAGAGGGCGTGTGGTGACAGCTCCTCGGCCGTTATCAGAACGATAACGGTATTGGGTGCAGGATGATCCAACGCGAATAGGAGCATATCCACTAGGAGTTGGGAGGATGATATACCGCTCTGCACGGAGGGAGAGAGAGAAGAGGTCGGCCCTACCCCGCCGCTGACGCCGGTTGTTGAGGGATAAGAGGATCGGCTGGTAGAGTATGGAATCGGTGAGGAGCGGTGAGGACTTGTGTAATAGCTGAGAGAGACTCCAAAGTTTTGGAGTTGATCCCGGAGCGATGGCTGGTGAAAAGATGGTTGTGATTGGGGATGACTATGATGATGAGTCAATGGTGGACGATAGGGGGAGCTATCATGGCGTTCGATATATGCTTTGAAGAGAGTGATAGAGCCGTATCCCAAGCAGGCGTCGCGAATGTTGTCAACAATCGTATACGCTGGCATGAGTCCTGCAGGACGACATGACTATGGACCAGAATATTAGTATATGCCAAAGGGACGGAGAAAGAGTCGTCAGGATCCGTTACACGCTGGAGAGAGGAGGGCGGGGGACGGGGCGCCGACTGACCTCATAATCCCAGAATATTGCAACTTGACAAAGTGGACGAGTAGCATCGTGATGAAGTTGTACATGGTGTGGCTGCATCATGAGCAGCGATGAGTTGTGGCTAGAGGTACGTGAGGGATGGCCAGGAGGGTGTGGATAGTATTCGCTGTTGCTGATGTGGTTGAAATGAAGATGCTGAGCCGAAAGTGGCTTAGCTGAGTGAGTGAACGACATGGACATGGCGGGCATTCGAAAGAAGCGCTTTGGGCAGTGGTTGGCTGAACTTGAATAAAAAGGGGGCGTTGCTATAATGCTATAGCTGGGTATTTAGCTCTTAAGCTAATGTCCGCTGGTGCGCCTGCCAGGATACTTTAGACTTCTGTCGATCGCCGGTTTGACTAGAGGACCGCGGGCACCGTCGAGGGGAGCGACGGCGGGCGGTGGGGCAGAGATGGGAAACGGATTATATATCTGGTGAATCGGCCTCTCAGCTGCAGACAGGCGTATGTCGCTGACGCTGAATGTGGGATCCCGAATAGAGGGGGAAGAACAGGAGACTGAATATGACCAGGCGGGTTTATAAATCGAGAGACAAAGCGAGTTGGAGCGAGGAATCTCTTGGTCAATTTCGCTCTTCAAAGCCCTGCACCGCGCGTCGTGCAGGCCTTGCAGTTCGTCCGAGTTGAGCCTCGTGGCGACCGCGCCGTAGCCACCAATGATCCCCAAAAATCGGTAAACCCTAACCCGACAGATGAGATTGAGGAATCTGTTATCATTCAGACTTTCGGCGGGCTTGCCGCACTCATTGATCGACCTCGTTTTCGTCCACAGCAGCGAGCGCGATGCTCCAAGTTGGACAAAGAGGCAGTTCATCTACGGGCGTTTGCGCCATTGGAGCCCGCCTCGGGCACCGGAGAGCCGCCTGCAACGCCGTTTAAGCGTGTACAGTTGTCGTGGAGAGGGCTCAAAGTCGCTTGACCTGGCCGCGTTGCCCAACCCTGCCCCATGCGAGTGAATGATCAACTCAAAGAAATGAGCCAGAAGCTCACCAATGATGAATCCGATGGCATCATAATCACCACCGTTGTGGTCGAGGTTTGTCCAGGTATCAACAAGACAAGACACCGAGCACGCTCAGACGTTCGGAAACCGGCGATGAGGTCACGCCCAAAAGTCTAACTGCATTTGTCGAATCCGCCGAAGTCCTAACGGGGCTACGGCCGAACCAGTAAAAAGCGACCGGAATAGATGTGAACTGTATCTGCAGATGAAAGATCCCAATAGACGATATTGATAGTCCACACCTCATTTCTGCAACTCAGTCGCTCCCGAAGCTCCACATACCGTTACGTCGAATAACCCCAATGGTATAATACACTTGTCTCTGGATTTCCAAATCCAAGTCGACTCGTGTGCGGCTGACTACCGTGAACTCCGGTCTAGGCCGCTCCGGTGCTATCTGGATCGCTTTCTTGATCAAAACAGACTCCGGTGGGTCCGGAATGACTTAGAATGGCGACACTGCTTTGCCCAAACGGCGGGATTTGTCCAACCCGAGATCGCCACTTGTCAGCCCTGAACTATCAAGATCTGAAGCGCAACGGCGATTCTAACCATGTTGAAAGGCTCTATTTGAGCTAGTATTCGTTTGTTTACTCCGTCTTCTCGTCGTGGCCTGGTCCAACTAGGGGCTGACTACCTTGGTCCCGCCCGTCTATTCCAAGTTGACAAAGACAAGTTGCTACTGGACTCGAATAGCCAAATATACGTCATCCTTTTGTCGACTGTCCTTTTTTTTTATTGCATCCATCTACTGCGAGATTCAAATTCGAAAGCCCGCTTAGAAACGACTCTGGTTGAGTAATGAGCACGATAGCAGGAGATCATGGAGTCAAAGATTGGGTTTTGCAGCCACAGTCAGAATACCGCTTTGAAGTGGACGCAAAACGACCGATTGGGATCAAGGTCTATCCTCTTTTGAAGCTAGAGACCCGATCTGATCTTCTTTCTAGGTCTTGACGGGAAATGCAGAAGTCTTTGGTTCTGAAATGGCTCCTGGGAGGCTCTATCTCTTTGCTTATGAGTGCAAGGCCGCACTCATGACTTGGCAAGGCTGCACGATACAGATGAGTAGTCCATTCGCACGCAATTCGGTTTGTTCTGAATTTGTTTTACGTCACAGGCAGGCCTGCTACGGAGTATGTATCCGACGAGACCACCATGGCATCTTATGCCAATCTCCATCTGGCCTTTGAGCAAATGCGGATCCGTGCGCGTCGCGACGAACGTCGGGCAATTGATGGTGGGCCCGAAATGAACGAGGATGAGGACGACAATGATCCTCCTCGCGTCTTAATTATTGGACCAGAGAACTCTGGAAAGACGACGGCATGCAAGATTCTTCTCAACTATGCAGTCAGAGGGATGGCGACATGTACTCCGTTATTCGTTAATCTCGATCCGAGCGAGGTATGGCACATCGTTTGACGCGCTGTTAATGATGCTCATAGGATATAGGGAGCCGTGACCGCCCCAGGTACTCTATCGGCCTGCATCGTAGACTCTCCTCTCCCGACCTCTTCCCCGGCGAATCCACTCGGTATCTCTGCAACATCGGCCCCCACGGCTTTAACGTCCTCCAAGCTGATCCCACTCGTCCATTGGTATGGCCATACGGACATCCGTAAAAACCCTCGACTCGTCGAGCACCTTATTCGAGTTCTCAACGAGGAATGTCAGGAGCGCTTGGAGTTGGACGTACTGGGCAAGTTTTCTCCTTTATTCCAGGTCTATAGCTCATCACCACCAGCCCGCACATCCGGCCTCTTCATTGATACACCAGCAAATTTCACCTCCATACCCGGAGAAGACAAGTATTCTCTCGTCAAGACAACCGTCCACGCCTTTAAAGGCGAGCCTGTCCTTATCTTTCAACTGTTTCTTCTAACCACTGATTTAGTAAACACTATCCTCGTGCTAGGCAACGAAAAGCTCACCTTTGAGATGCAAAACCTATTCAACACCGATGTCTCTCCTCACGCCAGCCCCATCAATGTGGTCAAAATACCGCGATCTGCCGGTGTCGCCGAGCTCGATAGTAGTTACAGAGAACGCGTGCAGGCATATCAGGTCAAGAATTACTTTTACGGTGCCCCTATTCAACTCCCACTCGAACTTGCCAACGCCAATTCGAATGCATTTGGCGATGGTCAAGGTCCCAATCTTGCGGGTCTCAAGCTCGGTGGTGAAGCGGCGATTATGGATCTGGTCCTCTCGCCGCACTCATCTGTCATTGCCTTTGACGACATTTCCATCTATCGTATTGGCCAAGGTCCGTGAATCAACCGATACCTCTGGGCGTTCTGTGGCTCACATCATCGACATAGATTCCTTTGCACCTTCTTCTGCTCTCCCTATTGGCGCTTCGCGAGCGTTGAGCGAGATGCAACCCGTCAAAATTGACCCTTCGCAGCCTGGGTCGGGTATCGTCAATACGATGCTAGCGCTCCTTTCCTTGACAGCACCAGACGATCCTACGGCATCAATCGACGAAGAAATTATCGATTCGGATGTAATTGGCTTCATTGTCATGTAAGCACATCCATTTCCCTTGTGGACATAACCCTAAGAACTCTATAGCACATCTATGGATATGGAGAATAGAAAAATGACGGTTCTGGCACCATCTGCCGCAAATCTTACGGGCAAAATAGCGTTGACAGGTTCAATACAGTGGCCAGACGTGTAAACAAGCAAGCGATTGAAGAAAGTAAACATGAACATATGTATTCGAGACGAGAAATGTCCATAGTACGCGATTTGGTATTCAAAAGATCACGCGCAAACTTTTAAATGTTTGAGAGATCTCGCCCCCATATTCCCCTGTCATATGTCAGTATCTTGTCTATACAAAACCTTAACCAACGTACCGAATGACCCAGTCGAACATGAGTAGAGCGCGAGTTCTTGACGAGACTTGTTCGCTCCAATAGATACTTCGCCACGCATACATCGCAGCCTTGAACCTGTTCAGAGGAATCCGTATTATCAAAGAACTTACTCACCAGTCCTCCCATCAGGGATAACCCTTGATAATCGAATACTGCCGCATTCCCAATGTACGCTAGACTGCCCAGGTGGCGATAGTGAAACGGCTTTGACACGACGTCGTCTCCCACGTCGGAACTGATCCCATTGGCAGCAAGAATGGCCTCTTTACGTGCAATCTTCGATAGCTTGTGGCCCAGGTATTTCCCTTGTTGCGATGCCACTTGCGCAGTCTAGCTAGGGCGTGAACAGGAGTGCAAGGGGAGTAGATATAACGTACAGCGGGTAAGCTCGTTATCTTGTTTCCCAATTCAGCAAGCAAGGTGGCCACCTCGTTGATCGTGAGGCTGTCGTCGTGGTCGATATCATAGCGTTCAAAAAGATCGCGAACTTTTTCCAAATGTGGGCCGGCCATTGGAATCTTCTTCTTAATCCGAGCGACTTTTCGAGGCGTTAGGCGAGAAAGGAAGAATATCATGAAGAAAAATTGTACCCATTATCTGCCATTCATTGTAGTCAATCCTTCCATCTTTATCCTTGTCAGCTTCGTCGACTAGTTCGAGAATGTGGGAGACGACGGATGTTTCAATCTTTGGATGGTGTTAGTAAATGCGCTATATCGTGCTCCTGCGTACCGTAGCCGCATCTCCGAGTGCATAAACAGTGCCGAGCGGAGCCCCGACAACTCGTAGATGAGCGTCCACTTCAATAGCCTAGTGAGTATTTAGTATGTGTTTGTAGCCAATCGTTGGACTGACCTTCTTGTGAACTTGGTTTGGCAATAGGTCGGATACTCTTCTTGTGAACGGATTCATAGCAATACCGGTGGACCTTTCCAGAGTTAACATCAGACAAAGTAGAGATATCAACACGTACCAAAGAACAAAGTTGCTCGGAACTGACACTTCCTTGTTGACCTTGACCACTTTTCCGTCCTTGTCCTTTTCCTCTGCGCGGATAGTATAGACGACTTTGTCTTTCCAAACCTCCTTGACACGAGCGTTTGTGATCACGCTTATACCATCACGATTGAACCGTTGTTCTGCATACTTGGATATGCTTTCCGAATAAGTGTTCAGAATGTGATCCCGAGACTGGATGACGTAGATCTCGACCTCCTTTCGACAGATCTTGGGGAACTGGATACTATGAGGAAACACCAATAAAAGATCGATTATACGCACGTAGTTGACAATGTCTTCCTGGCACAAATCATAGATTTCCTTTGTGCATGTCAGAGCACAATCGTATAATTCAAGATGCTGCATACCGCCGCTGTCTCTACACCAGTTGGGCCACCACCGCAGATTACAAACGTGAGGAGACGCTTTCGCTCCTCAGGGGTAGTCGTTGGCAGTGATGCAGTCTCAAAGTTGTCTAATGTATGGTTAGAGTGGGTTGCCGCATTGTCGAACAAACAACGCACCAAAGAGGCGTCGCTTGATATTCCGAGCGTCATTGATAGTCTTGAGTTGGAAGCAGTGTTCTAATCCAGGGACACCATGAGTTGAAGACACGCTGCCGACCTATGAAATGGTCAACAGCTTTCTGAATCAGGAGGCACCACCCTACCGCGATAACGAGCTTGTCGTATGGAACATAGAGACGCTTCTTCATCCCATCGGAGGCTACAGTCTCCACCTCAACCAATTGTTCGCTCATGACCAGGTCGACAGCATATCCGTTGAGGAAGTGACCACGAACGCGCGCAATAATCTTTCGTATCGGCTCGATCAGAGAGCGAACCTATTCGAAGTGAATATTCAATTCATTGTGACTCGCGATGCGCACCTGAACCGTCGAAACTGCGGCAGAGGGGAGCAAAGGTGTGAATGTCGTAAAGGTTTCTAGGAACCCAGTGAGGTTTGGCTTTGACTTATAAGTCATCTACATACCTGGAGCAATGACTGTAACATGATAATCCCCTGGGTTGAGTGTCTTAAGTAAACCAATGGCCTGAAACCAGTCGTTTAACAAACACAAGCGTAATGTCTTAGGACAGCAAACGTACTCCCCAGCCACCTCCAATGATGACCAATCGTGGTTTACCGGCAATCTTGATACTCTCTACGTAATGCAGGGGTTAATATTAGCAGGAGGCCCCTCACTGCACGCCCACCTTCGTTTTCTTCGTCTTCCAAAGTGACTTCTGCAATCGGTAGGTTCTTGGGACCTCCACGTTTTGGGTTTAACGCGAGTGGAGACACAGGGACTCTGTCCAAATGTCGTTCTGAATAGGTGAAAGCGTCATGGACGAAGACCTGGCATAATCGGAATGTCACGAGGTGAGCATCTATAGTAGTTCCAGAGTTGCAATGGCTGCTTACTCCGGCACCAATGAGCAACACGCCAACTGCCGCACTGCCAATCAGAAACCCTGTATATTTTGCGACAAGGAGCGTGATGCGCAATCCAGACCATCGTCTCTTTGTCTGTGTACTCTGATTTGGCTCCGTGTTGACCGCTGATGCTGTCGGTGTCGTTGGAGTTGCGGAGCTTGGCGTCCGTGGGCCCTGTGTTGTCGAGTTGTAGCGAGCAATAGCTGGCCATGTACGATATAAAGATGGTCTAAGTGCCTGTGAGGGCCGTATAGACCGCTGGGCGAGCGTCCTTACGACGCCTTGCATGACGGTCGAGGACAAGCTACAAGCTCGGAAACAAAGCAACAAGTCCGAGTCAATCGATCCTTGGATCTTTCCCTATTCCTGCAATTTTCCTAAGGACAATAATGGAACGCAAAGACGTATTAAATCTGGGAGCTGGACCGTCTGCATTGCCAGAGCATGTCCTCCAAGAGGCAGCGAGGGGCCTTTTGAACTACAATGGCACAGGAATGGGCATTACAGAAATATCACATCGCTCAAAAGAGTTTCAACAACTCACAAACGATCTCTCGGCCACTCTGCGCTCCTTACTCAACGTCCCACAGACGCACGAGATCCTCTTTGCCCAGGGTGGCGCATCCCTCGTCTTTTCCTCGATTGTCCTCAACTTGCTGTCGAGGTTCAAACTCCTCCATCCCGAAATCCCTGCATCAGAGACGTACATTGACTATGTCGTGACAGGGACTTGGAGCAAAAAGGCGTCGGAAGAGGGCAAGCGACTGGCTGGCTCTGTTGGTGTCAACGTCAACATTGCAGCAGACTCGAGAGCATATTCAAAAGATGGAAAGTCGTTTGAATGTGTACCACCGCTAGACGCCTATAAGTGGTCCCCACCCGCCCAAACCGCCTTTGTCTACTACTGCGAAAATGAGACCGTCAACGGCGTCCAATTCGCCTCTTCCCAAGCAGTCTCGACAGCATTCCCACTCAACCAGTTCCAGGACAACATTGATCCTCCTATCATCGCCGACTTTTCCTCTTCTTTCCTCTCAAGACCGATACCCAACATCAGTTCGTATGGGATGATCTACGGAGGGGCACAGAAGAATGTTGGTCCAGCCGGCCTAACGATCCTCATCGTCCGCAAAGATCTTCTGGTCGATGTCGACGCCGCACACAAACTCGGCGCACCGGTCGTTCCTCTCACATTATCCTACAAGACCTTGGCCGACAACGGAAGCCTGTACAATACACCACCCATGTTTTCCATGTATGTCTCTCTCCTAGTGGCCAAGGACATTGCTGCCAAAGGTGGCCTGGTCCCACTCGAGGAGCGAAACTACCAGAAACAAGAGACAATCTACGGCGCGTTGGAAAAGCTCCAAGAAAAGGGACTGATACGAATCAACGTTCTCCCGGGTAGTAGGAGCTGGATGAATGTCACATTCGTCTTCCTCCAACCGGACAAGGAAAAGGCATTTCTAGAGGCAACAGAGGCAAAGGGTCTACGGGGAGTCAAGGGACATAGGTATGCGTTTGACCATTCTATTCCACAAACTGACGCGGCCTAGATCTGTAGGAGGCTTCCGAATCTCGCTCTACAACGCCATCACCCAAGAAAATGCAGATACAGTCGCGACTGTTTTGACAAACTTTCTAAACTCTTCTACATAGAAAAGCTAGTACTGCCAAGAAATAAAGATCGTCTACCGTTTCTGACGCTTCGTCTGCTGAGCATGCACATCCTCCGTCACCTCGAGAAGTCTCTTGCCGTGCTTCTTTGCAACGGGTTGCTCGTCGTCACTCGGTTCCATTTCATCATAGAGCTCATCAGCCGCCTCTTCCACCATCGGTTCGTCCTCTTCCTCGGATTCAATCACGATGGCGCTTGCAACTGACGTGCCTCTAGAGGATCCAGCCTGGGTGCTCGTATCTTGCACAGATTGACTTCTTCTCGAAGCAACGGATGCTGCAACAGAGCTTGCACGCGATAGACTCTTGCTCTGACGGCGAGTGCGAGCTTTTTCGTTCTTCTCTTCTTTCTTGGTGATCCGCCTCTTCTTATCCTGCAACTCTTCGACGTGACAAAGCTCAACTTGAGCACCGGCAGACAACAGGGTATCGATCCAAATCTGAAATGGGTAAGACTCATATTCTTGGCCTGAAAATGTGACCTTGCCTTTTGTGTCTCCATAAGCTTGTCATTTGGACTCTTGACTTCGACGAACCGAGCATCTCGCTTCTTGTAATTCCAGATTATCAGGTCCGGCACGCCGCCTCCGGAACCCTCAAAGTCATGTACTTGCTGTAAACAAATGGAATGGAGAACGCTGGGTTCCAAACACTACAATGGTGAATACCCAAGGCTGATACTTGACAGACCAGGCACACCTCGATAATCTCCAAGATTTCCTCGCGTTTGAATTTATCCCACCGCGAGCCAACGTAAAACGTCTGCTTTTCTCTGTTTTCCTCGTCAATAAATGTGGCAATGTTCAATGCATCTCCGTTCAGAATTTGATTGAGCCTCGCGTCGATGGCCTCCTTCCTGGCACTATAAAAGACGTCGAGGGCGAGATCCAGAGGTCCAGTCTGGTATGGAGTCTCAAATGCTCCATTGACTGGCATGAACAAGATGTCGTGAAAGAGGAGAGCAAAGATGAATCGGACAATGCTGCCTTCGCAATGTAACCTGAAGTACGTGAGCAATAATGAAAGTCTAATAATAGCAACAGACCCCTTGAATCCTTTGCCCTCATAGTATTGAATCGCAAAATCTTCAACAGTGGTCGGGACCTCGTCTCGTCCAAGCCAGGCAGTTCTTCCGCTCGAGCGTTTCTATGAACAGTCAGCGACTTTCGAGCAAAATTTTATCTTCATCTACTTTAAGCTGCGGCCTTACGAGTCCGAAAGGATTGTCGACCTCGGGCTCCTCTGGACGAACACATTCGCCGGTGATATAAGCGCTCCTTGCATTTCTGAAGAGTGGTATCACAAGAGTGCGTCTGATCCTCTTCGACTTCGAGTTGCCGTTCCACGCGTGCAAGGCGGCGGACAAGCTTTGGTCGGTATCCTGAGCAATGTTCAAAGGCACATCAGGAGTAGCAAAGAAACGTACGTAATCTCGTTTCAACATCAATCAACGCAGTTGTTATGATTCCATAAGCCTTCTCTAACCCCGTTTGCGTAGTTGGTTTCTTCATGAAGATACAAGCGAGTCGATCATACCAACTTCTGAAGGATTGTTAGGTTGTGAATACACAGAGTGTCTTCTGTACCCTCGCTTCCCAAGTAGCCAACGATCTTGAGCAAGTAACTTCTCTAGGATCCGGATTTCCGTGTCCACTTCATCTAATTGACCAACTATCGTCGCTAGGTGGTGCAAGGTTCGAACGTAGACGTAGCCTTTTATCAGGTCATTAGATATTCCATTGAATATAAGGGATGCTTACCAGCCTCGAATCTTTCCAAACCCGTCCTTTCCCTGTACACCCTCTCTACGGCACCCTCAAACAAGCCCATGACTTCATTATAAGCCCGAATGAGCCATATTTCGGTTTCCTGCTTTTCCATTTCGCTCGATCGACTATTTGAGTAGCACGCCGTCAGATCCTCCACCTTGCGTTCTAGGGCAAGGGCCGCCTCGTACTCAAGCAAAGCGTCTCGCGAAGGAAATATGTTAGAGCTGCGTTTTGTTTCGTAGGGAGCATATTGGCGCTTCTTGCTGGCTACTAGGATGGCTGGAACGAGCAGTTTCTCCTCAAATGCAGTTGTTCGGAAATACACAAGATTGAGTCTACGAATGAGCGCAATAACTCGTTCGTTAATTTTTATGCACTTGCCTATAGCGACGAAAAGTATCAATCATAGTTCAGTCTCTATCTAGGTGCGTACCAAGGGACTTCATAGCCAGCTCTCGAAGCCGATTTCCTATTGACCCTTTTGGATACTTTGTTTTGAGACCGTTGGCTTGTTGAAGAGGCTTTGGTTGAAAGTAGGAGATAATGCCTTGAGAGCTCGTCTGCTTTAAGAGTGCGGCCACCAAATCTCCTCGCTTCTAGGGTTAAAATAAATTATTCTGGATAGTGAAGCTCACCTTTTGGCCTTGTATCTTCAACTTGAACGATTTTGCCAACTTGTCCAACTCGTCCTTGAGTAGCAATTGAAGTAATTCAGAGAGATCGGCAAATTCGTGGCATGAAGCGTGAAAAGTGAACAAAGAATCGTCCGTTGTGTCTGACCTTGGGTCATTCTTCTGTCCCTCGTTTGGTTTCTCTTCAGCCGCCTGCGGTTCGTCCTCATCATCCGAGTCGAGAGTGAGGTCAATTGGCGTATCGCGAGAGATCCATTTCTTGATTGGTGGTCCTCGGTTTCGTTCGTATCTGCTCGTCGGCACAGTATTTCGTAGGCCATGTCTAGTTGGCGTGCGTCGTCAAACGCCTCGCGATAGCTAGCAAAATCAGAGAGTCGAAACCATCCTGGCTTCCGCAAAGATAGCCGTATTAAGAGATATAATGCGTTGACTGCTGGCGTTGGAAGTCAAGAAGATCCAAGGGCTATTCGACGTACGGGGCAACGACTCGAGCTCTCGTAGATAAATTTTCTCGGATTCGGAGAATAGGAAACTCTCATGCTCCAATACAGTCGTCATAGCATCTAGTTTGGTGTCAAACACGGGTGGCAAATCGAATGACTTGAGGGACGTGCGCAACGGGAATGCACTGACCTTTGAATACCTTGATATACATGTTCTCCTCTAGGGGCCATTTCGGCAGCTCAACATCAATTTCTTCGGAAGGCAGCTCGTTCAGCGCAAGAGCAGGAGACCCATCTCCGAAGGAGATAACTGTTGACTCCTTGGAGAACGACATCCCAAGGGTAGTTCAATTAGGATGCACGCGCGCGAAAGAATGCGCCCCAGCTCGTGTCAAACGAAGAGCGGAGATCAAGTGTGTATGCACCTTGCTTGGTCCCGTTCACATTGCCCTATTTATCACGTAATAATGGAAAGCAGAGAAAATGTCGAAGGATCCGTCACTGGAACATCTTCTACAATGCTTGCTCTCAAAGCAATGGTGGCCGAACGACGAGCGGCCGGGGCGACACAAGAAAAGAAGCAGCCCAGGAAGGTATGTATCAACTTGGACGAAATAAATGATATCTGATCCTTCCAGAAAGATAATCTCTGGACACGGCCCAACAAAGGTGTCGCGGCTCGTCAGGCGAAAGACGACGCAGCGTGGGCAAAGTTGAACGCACGAACAGCAGAGTCTGTGGAGGAGAGACTCAAGAAGAAAGCAGAGATCTACAATAAGCTACAACGTGGAAGGACTGGCGGCATGACGAGCGCTCAACTGGACAATCTTTTGGTTGACGTAAGTGCCGGTGCTGGACCAAAATAGACCCTGACTGTTGACAGTTCGATTCTCAAAATACTGTCGGATATGAATCTGATGAGGAGTCGACAGTGCCGTCAGATGTGGATGCCCAACCGTCAACATATGATCCTCTGGTGGAGATTACAGACGAGTTCGGCCGTAGCAGACAAGTACGACGAAGTGAGGTCCCGAGAGAATATCTGGCTCGAGCTGGCCAGGAGACTTTGCCTGGAGATGATGAGTAAGTCTATACCCTGCTCGAGAAAGGCGTGCTTACTTTTGAAAGTCCGACGGTCATCCGTGGGCATCACATCTCAAATTTTCCTGTTTATGAACCAACAGCTGAGCGAGTCGCTAAAATCATGGAGGACACAGCAGAAGATCCTCTGAATAAACATTACGACGCGACGAACGAGAACCGGGCAAAGGGTGCTGCCTTCTATCAGTTCTCAGGAGATGCGGAAACTCGTCAGAGACAGATGGACGAACTACTTGGACGACGAGACGAGACCATCAAAACTCGGGAGGCGAGAGGAGCCCGAGACGAGGTACAGGAGGGTTCAGAGAATGAAATACAGGTAGTCAGCAAAGCAATTTCGAAGCGAAAGAGGGGGCTAGAAGAACGAAGAGCACTGCTTAATGCAAAGAGACAGAAAAAGAGCGAGCCCGAGGTTTCGACATCTTCAGCTAGCCCTGCACCGAAGCCAAAGGTCCAGGAAGGCTCGCTAGATGCAATGGACTTTCTAGCTAAAATGTCGAGAGAGCTGGGTGGTGCTGGGTAGCTGATGATCTTACGATGAAGATCCGACTTTTGACCTCTCCACGACCGAGCGCTGAACTCCATAAGTCTGTAAAAAATATTACAACGCTATGAATGCCCCTTATTAATGAGATTTATACAGCAAAAAACTCGTGATTTATGCTCAGTCGTGCCGTGTCAGCTCCTGCGAACCATGCTTACGCCCGGGGGATCCTGCGATATGACGAGGAGCCAATGCCGGCGCTGAGCGGCGTCAAATTTGCACCTCTTCCAGAAACGGAGATGTGGGCTAAGAGGGAGAAGTTTCACAATCGTCTGGGTGTCGCCGCCCGCCAAAATATCATCAACCGACAACGGCAGCGACCGGGGGGCACAAACTACACCCTGAGTTCTGCAAGAATCCTAGAAGAGAGACTTGCTGCAAAGAGTGCCGACAACAAAAGCGAAGCACCCCTCGGTTCGAATACGGCCACGTCGAGCTCGCCGTCAGACTCCCTGACGGTCCCGAAAGAGGACCTGGAACTCCGCCGGTCTGCCTCAGAAGACGGAACTGTGAACACTCAGGCGGCGCACAAGCGTGCCAGAGTCGGCTCACTCAAGTTTTGGAAGAAGCCGAGCAAACGGCCAGTCCTTTCGACAGTCCCGTCCCAAGCAGAAATATATAAGACAGAGTCCCGTATGGAGACAGAGGAGTCTAGTCCAAACGTTACTCGTCCAGAGATGTCGAATACCGACGCCGTAACAGCCACCGAAGCGGGGCAGCCGCCGGCAACTCGCGGGGCGGCATCGGAGACTCCCGTAGATCTCAAATATAGTGAAGAAGGCACCGAGCCTTCAGTTGCTGCTCCTCCCACGCCGTCCGAAGAACAGGAGAATACGCCCAGCATAGTCGTCGTACCAGCGTCAATTCCATCAACACCGCGGATGCATGCCCAATTCATTGAATCAGGAGCGGAGGAAGAGAATGAGGTTGCGAAGAACAAATCGACCGCGAGTCTCGTTCAAAACACGACCCCCATCGACAGTGTTTCCTTGTGCCAAAACCAACCTAGTACCGAACGCATGCCCGAAAGCTAGAAGCAAGCTTACACAACCCAATGGAAGGACGGTTCTCTCTGCCCACGCACATTAGGGCTATCTTTATTTGTCACTCTATATCTTGATTCGTACCAACATGGAATCTAAGACTATTTGTTTGAACTATTAGCTACTGCGAACTTCCCGCATCCACACACGGGTCCTTCTTGACCCAGCCTTCTGCGACGCTCTCTTGAAAATTGGCCACAATATCACGGTCTTGTAGTTCCCAGTTATGAAGTCTATCGATTTGCTTAGGGTCTAAATCGATGGCGGTGATGCTGTTTGGAACATCGGAACCGACACGCAGGATCACTGAGCAATCTTTGAATGTCGTACTCATGAGGTACGACATAATAAAGAATCTCATTTGCTCGCTACTCATGGATTCCAGTGGTACCGCGGAATAATCCCTCCCTTGATTGGTAGCGATATATTCCTTGACAAACGCGACCCACTCCTCCATACTTGGATTCGTCAGGCCTGTGCCGAGAGGCGATTCTCCTCCTTGCCTGATTTTCCAGAGCCGGGAGAGCCCTTCGAGGTCAAGCGCATCCAACGTCCGCTGAAGTCCAGCCATGATCGATAAGAGCTTCGTTTGGGTCAATAGTGGGAGCAGCTTCTGATTAAAGGCTGGAAACAGGGCGTTGATATCGGTTGCATCGGGCTGCCCAAGGAGAGGGGCTAATTGCCTTAGAGCCTGTATTGAGGTCAGGACAAGGAGAATGTGACTTAAGAATCGCGCACTTGTTCGGGTTTTATCAGTGATCCGCCAACAAATATCTTGAGATTGTTAATGTTACCATCCTTCTCAACCCAGGACCTCCACAAGCAGAGTAGAGCTTTTGATACACGCCCCTCTTCTCCGGAGAAAAGGTCTAGAGGACAATAGCCAACGGCAGCGGTTTCACCTCCTGCAGTCTTGTGGATAGAGTGCATACAGAAGCGACAGTTATTCATCTTGCTTTCCCTTGTTTCGGATGACAGATATGCAGGATTGGGCAAGAAGGCCCATTTTGGCTATGGGCTCAATTCAGAACGCGTATAATCAATGTGCGGACATGAAAGACCTTGATTTCTACAGCCCATCCTTTACCTCCTACCAAGTCGGTTGCAATGACCGCCTTGCGCCTACTTAGGTCAATATCATCGGCTGCCTTTCTCAGCTCGGGTCGCTTCGACTGTGCGGAGATCGAGAGCTCGTTCAACCACTCGCGGGTCACGTGGACTGACTCGAGACGCGGGAGATGGATCGCGGGGATGAGCAGTGCTGTAACCTCGTTCTGAAAGGCAATCGATGGATCATCAGGCTCTTCTTCATCGATATCGTTAATCAAATCGCGTTTGTTGAGCGGCGCCTTGCGCACACGGATTACGCTATGACTGAAGACGGGATGTGGGGCGCCGACATAGGAGAAGACCATCGTCGCGCCACCCTCGGAGACATAAGACCAGTCGGAGATCTCCGTTTTGGTTGGGTCATGGCTGGTTCCTTCGAGCGACATAATACGCAGTTGTGGTCGGGGTCTTAGATGCAAAACTGGACGACTTTCGTAGGTGCGTCAGTAGAAAGGGAGAGTTCCATCATAAAGAGTTTCTTGTTTCATAAGATTCTCCGTGAGACTGGTATTCTTACCATCCAGACAACCTGAATGATGAAGAAGAAATGTTCCAGTGGTCGGTGTCTTCAGAAGCCCATGAGTTACCTGATTCCCACTCTTCTGTATCGGATATACGCTGGCTTCGAGGCTTCCCGCACCCCAAAACCTCTCCCTCTGAGAGTTCGCCATGAGTCCAGGACGGTATGTGATCCGACTTGGACTCCCACAGACTCTCTTCCCGTCTTGGAGTGTATTTGTTCCATCTTATGCGCCTCGCCCATCTCGCCCGCAGTTCTGGTTGCACCCAGCTCCAATTGGTGTTCATTTCAGGTGCTTCAGCGATTCCATCCGCTATGAGGGCATCATATAGATTCTCTAGTCTGCCTCCACATGCAGTCGAAACCTCGTCGTAATTCCACAGCTCGTGGATATCTCCCTCAGCTTGCCATAGAGAGTCGGCCAGTGCGGTTTGAACAGCAGATCTTATCTCCTCGTGAGTGAACGATTGTGTGTCGAAGGCGCTAGGATAAACCTTGTGTATGTGCCGAGCGAATAGCTCGTGTGGTGATGTGGATAGACCAAGTCTAGCAATCAAAGTATACGCATCCTCTTGCAGGGTTGCTCGCTCAGCAACACTGGTCTGCTCTTTTCGGCGAAATATTGCTCCCTGTGTGGCATAATAAGGACCTCCTTCTTCATCTCGGCGCCAAGGGTCGGCTATAGTGCTTTGGCCAATACCAGAGACACAAACGTCGTAACCCCAACGACGTGCATTTGCCTCGCACCAGAGTTGAAATTCGTCTCTAGTCCATTCAAATTTGTGGTCGTGGTGGCGAAAGACGCGAGATGTGCGACCACTAGGATCCAGATAGCCTCCGCGTATGGGCTCTATCTCGTTTAGCGCTGTAGTTGGAGCAGAGAACAATGCGTTAAAATCGTAGTTGGGAGTGGTGATAACAAGGACTTTCGGCGCGTATATTCCAAGTACCATGGGACAAAAGCACTCTAGAATTTCATCGGCAAGATGCTCAATCCTAGCGATTCTTGAGTCTGCATGGAAGGAATTATGGAGTTTCACGTACACTTCTGTTGCCGTAATGACGTCAAGGCCTCTGAATTCGTCATTGAATGATTGTAATCCGCCTTTCCATAGCGAGACTGTGGTTTCTATCCATCGTGGACGGGGGCGCGTCCATGTGGGCCTCTCTGATTCATCTTTGTGCAAATGAATCGTGTATTCATAAAATCATAGAGCAATACCATACCATTTGGTGGCTTGATCATATCGTTTGCCAGTGCTAGACACTTCTCACTGATGTCAAGTCCGTGAATGCAGTTTATGTTTATTGCTGGATACTTGTCTGCTACTGAAAGGACAGGAGCGCTTGGATTTATCCCATATTTCTCGTTGAAATCTGGTCGACAAGAAAGTGCCAAGCCAGGTTGGCACATCGCAGCGAGTAGTGATCCTTCGCCGCAACCGAGATCCAGAACGCGCTGTGGATCCTCGTCGCGTAGGACATTGAGGAGGAAGATTTGACGCTGTTCTTGCAAAGGTGGGATGAACCGCACCAAAGGTTTCGGGACTTCGTGATGCTGGAGCATTATGACTTGAAAACTATTCTCCAAAAGGAGAAGTTTGAAGTGTCTTGGTGAGATAATAAGGCCTTACAGCAGAGAGCCTGATACTGATTGCAACGAGGTGGAGATCAAGCTGGAATAACGAACGTTTCTACGTGCTTCTGTCTCAAAATTACATAAAGAAACAGTGGAAATCATATGTCCTATGAGCCCCTGACAAAAACAGCCATGCCTTGCACCCTATTCCCATCAACGGTAATTCCTTTGGATTTGAGGGCAGACTCAAATTTAAGTGTCTGTATGGGTCTAGCGTTGGCTGGCGCGTTCAAAGCGAGGACGTCGATTGACTTTGCGGACGCAGAAAGGACGTAGAGAAAGCTGACAGCGGGATGAATATTTGGAATGGACAAACTGCTTTGCTCACTCATTTGAAGATAATGATGCAATCGCAACATCAATAGTTGACGAGTTGGCGGCCAACGGGTATTGTTTGACTACGGCTCCTTTGAGGTTCCCGTCGACGCTTGCTTCGGTAACCGTCGAAGTGCCAATGTCTGTTACTAATTAGCCTCTGACACAACCAAAGGTTCGTATTGCATACCAGTGAGGTAGTAATTGCCCGTCTTGGGAGAGAAGGCGGACCAGCAAACAGCTTTCTGGCCCTGGACAGGAATGATACTAGACGAGGCCGGTTTATTCTGCTCCACACTGAGGCCAGAGAGGTCATAAACAGAGAATCCGGCACCCGGATCTGTAACGAGCAGGGCATTTTTGTCCTTGATCGGAGTGGCGGAGAAGGGCAGGAGCCCGCCCGTCGCAGGAGTTGAAGAAACAAAGTCCTTGGATAGAGAGCCATCGTTAGATATACTCCAGGCAGCTAGGAATCCCGGATTGGGTGGCGTTCCCTTGACAGTTGCGAGAAGTTTCGAGCTGTCGGCACTGAAGAGAATGTCGGACACTGTTCCTGCTGGCCCAGTCGGAGGAGTTGACTGAGAGATGTTTAATGAGCGCCTCGTTCCTTGGATGGGCAGAAGTCCGACTTGAGGATCAGGCTTGAAGCAGCTGGATAGGGAATTAGGCTTGATCATAAGGTAATGAAGCTGCGTACTTCACGCCATTGACCTCACCGCCGTTGAGGACACAGACCATATTCTTGGCTTCGGATACCGCGATAGAGACGGGAAAGTCGCCTCCCGAGGATACAGGGTTGCCCACCATGGTTAGACGAGTCGGATCATTAGGATCAATCCTAAACATGACCACAGTATTTGATCCAGCCTGTTGGCATTGTGAGGTGACTACTTTGCAAGCTAGCTAGGTACTGACATTCACAGTATATAGTTATTTCCAGACACCCTGACACTATCCTGCGTGAAGAGAGGATCAGCACCAGGGTTGGCAACAACTCCAGCTGATCCACGGCCCCTCGTCTTCGTAGTGCAGGCAATTGCCTATGGCGGGCTTAGCAAGCGTTCATTGTCAAGTCTCAAACCTACCAATTTCCCATCTGGAGATATTTTGTTGGACACCACGACATTGTCGTCAAGGTTTGTCATGACTAGAACAGGATCAGAGGCGACACTCGGATCACTCCTTGAGATACTCACAGTATGCGGCTCCTCCAGACGTAGGTCGATTGACTGGCGTCGAAGACACCAGAAATGGTGCAAGGATAAAAACGAGGGTGGATACAAGCATGCTCAAAAGGAATGTGGGATTTGCTGCGGGGGGATAGAGAGCTCCAGGCTTTCGACTGTATCCTCCAGACCCAATCTCTCTCGTCTCTTTTTATACACCAGCATTGCAGACTCTGAATCTCTCCTAGTTCTGTTTGTCGGGTTGGTAGAAACGGGACCTCTTGCGTTGACTAACTCGCACGAGACGGACTTAAGCAGGTTACGACCGAGGAGGTGAGCTCGGTGGTTCACAGGGACAACCCATACGCGGCGCCGTTGACTTGATCGCCATAGCGAAGGCATCGAAACCGGCAGGGTCAAGTTCCCACGACAAATGAGTGTCTACGTGTTCAACTAGTAAGGTATTCATGTCTCGAACTCCGTGGTGATAGGAACTCGTCAGCAACAGGCGATTGGTGACCGGTTTCTATAGTGAAGCGCAAGTATGGCCCGACATGCGTCCATACTGACTTTGGGCCGGACATCTGTTGTTCACCGAGTCGCTCAATCTCAAGGAATACGTTGTTGATTCCCTCAGTTACAAATTCGACTGCGTTTGTGAAGGCTCGTCGCACGACATTGTGGAATTCACTGGGCTGGGTCGTATGCTGATGGCAGAGCGGATCAATGTGACCATGTAATGCAATTCCTGGTCATAAATCCGACATTTTTCGTGGGGCAGAGCATGGGCGACGAACGTGGACAAGATGAAATTGCAAGTTGGAGCTGGACCCGCACTATAGCCGTCAACAACTCCGTGTACTTGAGAACTCTTTGGGTGCTATCCCACTACAGACTTGAAGTGTGGGTCTAATCTCAAGTGTAGCTATAGTAAGTCGATTCAATCCAAGGAGCAGAGTCATAAAGACTTTTTGTACAGAAGCAGACGGACATAACCACAAGTGATCTGTGTCATGGGATGCAAGAGGCCCCATTCTGAAATGGCCCTGGTTCTTGTCAGATTCAAATCGCGCCCACAGACGCTGAGTCGAGAAACGAGGCTGGAGGCTGAGGCTGACAAGTGGGAATCTCTTTCTTTCTCGCCACGATGCAGACGAGTCGCTCTGCTTGGTTGAGCGTGTCGCAGAACAACTTCGACAACTGTCCAGGGGTCCCACAGGTCACCAGGAGGCCGTTCGACAGATCCGTACGTACACGTTGCTCTCACACTATCGCCAAACTCTCTGATATTGACGTTGACAAACGTACTCCATTTCAGCGGGGTGACATTGCATTTCATGCCAGCACGCACTACAGTCCGGGCGAGATTCAAGGCCTACGCCAGTTGCCACGGGCTCTCGTCGAGACCATCTTCATTCTCGCGACCGCAGAGTCAAACTTTACTAGAAATGCCCTCATTGATGTCTGCACATCCTGGCGGGAAATAGCACTGGGGATTCCCGCTCTCTGGTCCAGGATTAAAATAGGGGTCCATGCCATGCTCCACGACAGCCTCCCTCTCTACATGCCAGAAGGAGTCGGAGAGCCAGTGGCTCCCGACGCCTTTCATATTCATCTTGCTTCCCCTGGACCAGGCCAACTGTTTGACCTTGTCCTGAAGGCGCCTCCCGAGTGTTGGGAGTCACTCCACATCACTCTGGGAGAAGAAGATCCTTCGCCTTCCTTCATTGAAGACATCTTTGTCGAACGGCAGTTCCCCAACCTCCGCGAGCTGGTGATCGATGAAGAGCCCCTGAACAACGAAGGAATGTACGATTTGAACATCAAACGGGACCCGTATACATCTTTATACCAATCCCTTTGCTTCACCACCACCCACCGCTTCAAAACCATCAACATCAACGCTGATATCAGAGGAGAAGCGTCAGCATATGGACTTTTTGGCCACGCAATGTCCAACGTGGGTGGATCTATTCCATTCATTCGAACTGCACTTCTCGCAGCGGCCGGCTCGTCGGAATGGAGAATGGCGTCGAGCCTCACGTCCAACATCTCAGTTCGTAAATACCACTACTCGCACATCGTCTCGCTTGATCTACACTCCTGGGACGCAGATGTCGTCGAGAAACTTTCCCTTCCCAATCTCCTCTATCTCCGCGTCGAGCATTGCCACCTAGAAAGGGATCAAACGTTTCGCAAGGTCGACGACTGCAGGCCGGCACTCCTGATGCCGACTGTCGTTCAACTTCGCCTCACCAGCCATTCTTTGACCATGCTCTCCCAGATTTGTGCCGGTAATCTGGAGCTGTTGATCATTGAAGACAAGAAGGGAATGGACAGATTCGATGGATGCTTACCGGCCTCAGTGCAGACTCAGCCCACTCCACCACTACCAACCATCCCCACCAGGGCAGGGCCACGTCCACGCCGGGTCACAGGTTGGAACCCGGTCGAGGGAGAAGGCACTTCTACTTTCACAGTACACTCTCAAGAGATGATTGGTTCGTCTCCAGCGGCACCGTGGCCCAATCTACCGAATTATCCAACACGGGACAGATTTCCCTATAGGGAACTTCAACCCAGGGGCAGTGGTATGACGCCAAATAGCGTGGTCGATGTGAGCAACTATTCTACCACGTCCAGACCGTACATCCCATTCGAGAAACTTGCTTCAAACACACATCTCGGTACCTTTCAGGTTGACAAGTGGAGCGTTCTCAACATCGAAACCGCGACGTTTCGTGTTCCACTAGAAATCCAAAGCCTTTTGGAGTTTCTGCGGAACGCACGTAGCTTGCGCCGGTTGACCGTCACGGTCCCTTCTTTTCTTCCGCCTGACGGGCTCAAGGAGTGGAAGCGGGAATTTGTGGAAAGAATGATGGACAGGCAGTATATATTCCCTCTTGGACAGCGATACCCTGATCGCCCACTCTTTTGTTGCCCTCAGCTCGAAGAACTGACGTTGCTGATTGACGGTGTTTGGATTGACGGCGAATGGACAACTGAACTGAAGAACCTCATGGCCGAACGTGGATATCACAACGCTGTCACGGGAGAAAACGAGAAACTAGGACGAGGAGAGGGCCACTTGAGAAGTATCGTCTGCCACTGGTCACAGGACCCTTGGCTCGTAAAGGCACACTTCCCTCCACCGACCTACTCAACGCATCAGGTGCAGTCCGAGGGCCCGCAAAGACGATCCTGCGCATCCGAAGAATCATCATACTACGAACAGAGCCGACATGCGGAGCAGCTTGAAGCATATGATGGCATTACTGATCTACAGCCAGTGGACAACTACATTCCGCCGGCTCTCCCTCTGTCACCAGATTGTCCTCCGTCCCTCCCTCTATCATCAGATAGTCCTCCTCCCCTCTCTCTGTCCTCGGGTGGCATAGAGACGGCAAGCGAGCACTCTCAAGAGATGCAAGATCTGCCAGAAATGGTCGTCTGGTCGTCTTCCGAATTTGAAGTTCTTTCGGATAGCGACTTTTCTCACGTAGGAGGGACGCTGTCAAGGGCCGAAATCACAGATGATTCAGAGGACTATGTCATGGCTAGAGAAGGCGAGGTCGACACGGATAGCGATGAGGACTGGCTCGAGCGGTAGAGGGAGAAATTCGTTCCAAATGATCTGAAGACTATGCCTAGATGTATATTCGAAAATGCTCCATAATATTGATCGTCTAATCTATGTGCTATCAAGCTGTTGGATAATGATTGGAACATGTCGTCGGCCTGATATAGTGAATGCTGTTATATATTAAATACAAGTCTTTGGTTCAAATGTTGCCCCCTTGGCTAAGTGGTTACGGCGTCGCACTTGTATAGACATGCGAAGATCACTCGTTCGACTCGGGTAGTGGGCATTCCTTTTGCTCAAATTTCTGTTTTGCCCGTTATACAGTCCGTTTTGGGTTCAGTTTGTTGAATAATCATGACTCGGTTTTGAATTTTTGCTTGAAATTGGAATCGAGGCGGGTGCGACGGGACGCGTTTGAAGCGAAAGCCACTCGCTTGGAGCCGACGACTTCCGTTAGATTAGACGACTGTGACAAACGTCGGCCGCTGATCAGCCATCACGGGACATTTACGTACGAAATAGAACCGTCTACAGATAGCTCACGCGATTCCACACATCGTACAGTTCCCCAAATCTCGCAAATCCGACTTGTCACCCATCCCCGATACCCTATTTCTCTCAAACTCGCTATTACACACACGAAATGGCATCCAGTCGTAATAGACAAATGCTACTGCAGTCACGAGGAACGCGTTCTGCGTTGGTCACCCACCCCGATCAGTTCTACTCGCGCCCAACGACGCATGAAAGCTCCAAGAAAGTCAGAACCAATTCCCAGGTCTGTAAATCTTTCGTTGATCACTCCAACCATCTGATCGTGAGCCAGAGTCAAGCCGACCCACTCACTTGGAAGAGCAATACGCTCGAGATGAATAAGAGGAAACGCCGAATGTCGCATGGTGTGTTATTCCGTTCTAATGTTCCTCTGATCTAACTGTATCAGATCCTCAATCGCGGAACAGCCGCCGTTTCATCGTCGACGTGGACGAAACGCTTCGCATTGTCTTGCAACAGGAAGACACAGACGGAGACTTCCAGGTCAGTGGTATATACTCTTGAATGAGCCCAACTGACCGTTTGTAGATTAGCGTCACAGACTCTGGTCCCAAACTAATCACACTCGGCACGGCTACCAGTAATGGCTACAAGACATTCGATATCAGAGTGTGTATATCAAACGACTGAGGAAACTCTCTCCTAAGCATCGCATAGGGAAACTACATGTTGTCAAATCTAGTTCAGGAACTAGCTATCGCCCGTGATCACGGCAGAACGCGAATCGTTCTGGACGAAGAAAGACTCAGCGAGCCGCCAGTCGACCGACTTAGCCGCATGATTGCAACGTCTTTCTGGCGCTCTCTCACCCGACGCATCGATGGTGATGGTCTCGAGATTATCTGCGCCGACCCGAAGAACCGCACCGGACATCTCATTCCTCGCATCTATGTTCCCCATTCGGAGACAAAGATGTTTGAATACTACAAGGCTGTGGCCAAACAACGCTCACATCTCCGTTTGGAAGTTGTCCGTCTGCCGGAGAATTGCGACGATCCCATGTTTGTCAAGAGCCTCAATGACAAGCCCGGACTTCTCGCTTTGGCTATGGAAGAAGTCGATGACGATGCCGGCGGGAAGACGCTCCGAGGCATTCCCTTTATCGTCCCTGGAGCCCGATTCAACGAAGTAAGCTTGAGTTTCCACTGACGATAAGGCTGCTCACGATTATCAGCTGTACAATTGGGACTCTTATTTTATTGCACTGGGTTTGATTGTTGATGGACATATTGAAATGGCCAAAGGCATGGTCGAGCATTTCATCTTTGAGATAAAGCATTATAATAAGGTGCGTGTTGAGTTGATCTATGTCTGCTCCTGCTGATAGTGCTCATGAAGATTCTAAATGGTTCGCGCAGTTATGTACGAAATTACTTTTACTCAACGCGGTCACAGCTGATCAATTTTTAGTATCTCTGCCGGACGCAGCCGCCTTTCCTCACAGACATGACGCTGCAAATTTATAATCAGCTCAACAAGGTTACTCCGCAAGAGAGGGAATCCGCCAACAAATGGCTCAAGCGCGCCATGCAGGCGGCCATCAAAGAGTACCACACCATCTGGATGGTGCCCCCTCGCTTGGACCCTGTCACTGGACTCTCTCGCTATCACCCAGATGGTCTTGGTATTCCTCCCGAGACAGAAGCAAGCCATTTTACTCACATCCTCGAACCTTTTGCTGCCAAGCATGGTGTCTCTGTCCTCGAATTTACAGAGGCCTACAACGATGGTCGCATCCACGAACCAGACTTGGACGAATACTTTGTACATGATCGTGCAGTCCGTGAGTCTGGTCACGACACAACATATCGCTTCGAGAAGAAGTGCGCCCATCTGGCTACTATCGACCTCAACGCTCTCCTCTACAAGTACGAGGTGGACATTGCAACCGCGATAGAGATCCTCGGGGGTGAGCTCGAGCTGGAGGAAGACTTTGCGCTCTCGCCATTCCCGCCGTCCAAAGAGACGTTTGCGGCTGGAGCTAAGTTTGAACGTAGCCGCAGCAGGAAGCAGACAAAGGATGAATGGATGAAGCGCAGTCAATGGCGAGAAGAGAGAATCAACAAGTATTTGTGGAATGAGGGCAAGAAGCTCTACTTCGATTACGACACGGTGGCGGAAGCGCAAATCCCATACGAATCTGTGACGGCATTCTGGGCGTTGTGGGCAGGCTGTGCGTCTGAGCAACAGGCTATTGATGTCATGTACGTGGTTCTTGCTTGCGCGGGTCCAGCATCCTGAATGCTTCTTTTTTTTATAGGGCAACTGGCTTGGCCAAGTTTGAGGTCATTGGTGGATTGGTTTCGGGAACTGAAGAGTCTCGTGGGCCCATTTCATTGGATCGTCCTAATCGTCAATGGGATTTCCCGTGAGTCGGAACGGGTCGAAATGATACCAGCGACGGAATAACTTTGTTGACAGATATGCATGGCCTCCTCACCAAATTATGGCCTGGGTTGGGTTTGAGCGATATGGACGGCTTGAGGATGCACAGCGGCTTGCGTACCGCTGGTTATACATGATGACGACGGCGTTTGTGGATTTCAATGGAGTGGTGCCCGAAAAGGTGTGGTCTGCTTTCTTTTGCGATAAGGCTTTATCTCACCTGTCGCCCGCCTTAGTTTGACGCGGTCAAACTGTCTCATATGGTTGATGCCGAATACGGGAACCAGGGTGTCGACTTCAAAATGATACCTCGAGAAGGTTTTGGGTGGATGAACGGTGAATACGAAGTTTGAATTGACTGGGGATGCGACGCGTTTCTGATCTGCATTCTATACAGCTGCTTATCAGGTCGGACTGACCTTTATTACCGAGGCCATGCGACGGGCACTCAACTCGTGCGTGTCACCCGAAAAGTTTTTCGCCAAGGATCGCAAGGGGCTCGAGGCGACGATCCAAGTGCCCATCGGCGCTCCTGACGAAGAGGTGTTTGACCCGATTGACCTTGCGCTCGAGGCAATTATGGGAGTCTAGAAGAGCACTATGGGTGGTTTTTCTTGTATGGGTAGCTATTGACTACAAGATCTCTGGGATACGCCGAAAGAGAAGGCGTTGTCGAAGGGCTGATGGGTAATTCAAATGCATGATACAAGATTGTCCAATGCAACTTCTCGACGAGGGCATGATTGAGTCTGTAATCATTGGCGTCGCGCCCACTTGGGTGAGCTGGGCTGGGCTAGCTGGGCCAAGCAGAAACGAAAGGATTATTGCTGTAAAAATAATCCCATAATTTTGCGCGCGGAAATCTTGAGATTGGCAGCGGGCAGCGGGCAACGGGCAGCCATTGGGACTCCCAAGCTTGGACCGAACTCCAGCATGCCGCCTTCACCGCCCACGACGCCGCCATCGCCAGAGTCGTTGAAGCAATGGTGGAAGCGGTTTAAGATTGTTCAAGCATGGCGCACGACACCGCCCGCGACATCGTCACCTGGCAAGTCTCCACTCCGCCTTGGTTGGCTTGTGACTGCGAGAAAGCTCACTTATCGTCCCTCTTTTCACGCGAATTGACGGCTTATTCTTCATTAATCGGCATATTTACATCATTTAGGGGGCGTATTTGGCGTCCCTCTTCGCCAGAGCTTGCGCTATGCAAGCGTCCAGATCTCCACTGCCAACCAGAACAAGTAGGCTATCCACTGAAACCACTGAACAGCTCAGGATGCTAATGCGATGCCACGTAGTGAGCTCTACGTCTGGGGTTATATCCCCGTCGTGGTCGCGAAATGGTCAGTGGCGGTCTTGGTCTCCGTCCGTGGCATAACCCACGAGGAGCGGAGTCATTTATCAGAATGTTGACATGTTCGCTCTATAGCGGCTTGTTTCTAAAGCAAAAAGGCGAGTCGCTTCTCGTCAAAACCGAAGGTATGGCTGACCCTTCGCCTGCTCACAGGCACCGAAATCGAGGGCATCTTTCGAATAAACGGCTCAAATAGACGGATGCGCGAACTGCAAATCATATTCGAGACACCGCCCAGATACGGCAAAAACATCCAATGGGACGACTATTCGTTTACACCACACGACGTAGCGTCCATCTTTCGACGATTCCTGACGCAAATGCCGGTGAGTATACGTCCCGCCCTTTTTTTCAGGGCTTGTCAGTTGGCTTTTCCTTTGGTGTGTGCCTGCAACCGTGTCAACAACGGAGCGGGGCGCTCGAGGGGCCGTAGTTCCGTATCGAGATTAAAGCTAACGCATGTTGGTCTACAGGAGCCGATCGTTCCTCATTCACTCTATAACGACGTCAGTGGCTGCCCTGTTTGACTCTTGTTTAAATGTCACTAACCCCATCTTTGCTCCGTCTTGTAGTTTCGAAACGCATATTGTGAGTTGGCGTCAAATGGACGCATGTCGAGGGATGTCGGGACTGACGTTTGCCTCGTGTTCGCATCGGCAGCCAAAAAACCATTCAACAAAGAGGAGCTGATTGGCACATACAAGCGGTTAATTGGTCGGCTACCGTTGGCGAACCAGTACCTATTATTGTATGTGTTGGATCTGCTGACCGTGTTTGCGAGACGGTCAGACGTGAACAAGATGACAGCGACAAGTATGTAGTTCAGAGCTCTCGGGTGGAGGACCGCTGGTTGACACACGCTTGATTTAGATTTGGCTGTCATCTTTCGACCCGCCGTGCTCAACCACCCGGATTATGAAATGTCACCAGAGCACCATAAACAGAGTCAAGAGGTACTCGAGTTTTTAATTGAGAACCAAGACTGGTTCATGCTCGACATTCCGCCTCCACCACGAAAAGACTCGATATTGGTGACCAAGACGGAGAAGAATGGGCTGTCATCACGAGCCAGGAATCCGTTTAGCTCGCTCCTGAATCAAAGCACACTACCGACGGCGGAACCAGAAGATTTGGGCCTGTACGTCGGACCAGTATCGGACGAAGAGGACGAAGGCGGCTGGAAGTTTGCTGGATCACTCAATGGAGCGAGTGTTGGGCGAAGACGAACGTTTTCAGAGCGGGGATCGCCACGACCAGGCATTGAAGCAGACGAACAAGGAGGGCGAGCCCGGACGGGAGCAGATGCACGACGGTCGGCGGAAAACATTTCGAGTTCAGCGCCAGTGGGAACGACGAGTGCCCTCAAGGCGGCGATAGGTCTTGGAGGGGCAGGAGGGGGACCTCCAGCATTGGCTCCAGTACGAGAAGCGAGTTCTGGAGAGGTGCCAACCGTGACCAAGGGCACAGGTGCGGCTGCGATGGGGACGGAGATGGCGGCGGTGGCTACTGCGGAAAACGGAACCGGGGAAGGGATTCCGAGTGGGGTGGGGGTGGGGGTTGGCAAGAGCGCATCTGGGAGCGTGGAAGGAAGCACCGAGGGTGGTGGATCTCAAGGACGACATGCAAAGTTTGACGATCAGCAGTTGGCCAAACACGAGGAGACGCGACGAGGCCGGAGTGCAAAGAGCGGGGGCATTTTTGGAGCCGTACGCCGGAGTCGGACAGCGGACGGGGGGCCTGGAGGAGGGCCTGGAGGTCTCGGAGGCAGACAACTTCTCAAGAAGCGCAATTCAAAGGGTGAAGTCGAGCGGGTAGACCGATGATACCCTATGGACTCTTCAGGGATTTCATGGACAGATGATTTCGATGATTTATGACATTTCCGAGCGACTAGGAGATTGCTAATGTGTACAAACACAACGATTTACCCGGCGAGACTGCGCAGAATGAATATTACCTAAGCCATCCGGGATTGCTAATTCCGATGGTCAGCGGCCAAGGCGGAAGCCCGAAAGGTATGGATCGGGTGTTTACCAAGATTGTTATAATTTTTTCCAACGACCATCGACGATGCTGACTGTGAAGGGCCGAGGTGGGCGCTGCCAACCCATTCTCGTAAAAGCGAGGCCAGTTCACCTAAGGCCCCATGTGTACCTAATTCCTATTTCGGGAATATTTGGCGACTCAACTACGTGTGGCGAGATGACTTTGCGCCAATTTGATCGACTGCGAGTCAGCGCTCTTCAATAATCCGGGCGGCTCATCGCGTGATACCGCCACCGCCATATATAATACGGGCGTCTGCGCGCTCTCTTGGGTTTCTGCAACTTGGATTCCCCCCCGACTACAATCTCCACAAACCCCCCTCCCCTTGTATAATGGCTGCCCTTCGCAAATTCAACACTCTTCCCGTTCTACTTGGCAACGGCGCTAGTAGCAGCAGCAGCCAGTCGCTCTTCTGCAAACCACCAGTGATGATCACAGACAGAGCATATGCAGCAACAGTAGGAGGATACGACTACGACGAAGAGATGAGCTCGGCCTCTGAGGATTCGGCCAGCGATTCAGGCGAGACACACGATCTTCAAGAGGAGAACAGAAGTAATACACCTGGTACATCACCTCAGGATGCCCAGTCACTCCACAAGAACACACTCCAGAGGATGCCTTCTCACCGAGATTTGTCACCACAGACACAGGCAGAAATCGACGAAGATAGGGCAGTCTTTGATGATGATGACAAGGTTGTAAATGCCAACCTCACAGAGTGGGAGTCGTCTGGTGGTCTCCACGGCATCACGGCCGCATTCGAGGGAACCCTCCTTCTCGACTCGTCTCTCAACGAGATTGCCGATTGGTGTGCGCCTATCGTATGGAAAATGTACCTCAGACAGGCAACGTGAGCCGTATTTTCCATTCTCTTTACAAAAACTAACCATTTGTACCAGTCAATGCACGTCCCAGCACCGGCACCAGTATCTTGTCCCGACAGACACGCCATGCCCACCCTTTTTTGCCAAGCTCCTTACCCGCGCAATGCCACGTTACAAGGGTGGCATGACCCGTGCAATCGCCGTTACCCATGCACTCCTCTACCTTCACCGCATCAAGACATGCTTTCACTGTACCACCGTCTCGTCTACACCATCATTCGCACCTCTCCTTCTCAAAGAGGGTCAGCAGGATAAAGATGGCAAAAAAATCTCGGCCGAGCACGTCCGTGCTGCTCTTACAAACGTCGCTGCGCAGTGCAGTCTCTTCTTTGCCGTCGGCATGCACTACGCGTCCCTCTGGCTGCTCGATTGCTGTCCATCAGAAAACACGTATTGGTGAGTCTGCTTTCTGACTGATGACCTGGCCTGACTCTGAATGCGTCTGATAGGAAACGCTATGTACACTGTGTTCAAGCTGCTCATGGTATTGCTTGGTCCCGCCTTGTATTGCAACATTGGAATTATCAAATCAACACATCGGTCGAGGAATGGCTGTCATTTTCCTCACAACTCCTCTCCAAATTTCCCTACATCGACGACGAAAAGCGTTCTCGTCTCGCGGCCTCAACGGCCTAGCCCAGGAGAGGGAATCGCCAGATCTGTATCAATGTCTCCTCGTTCGAACTCTTCTCCACTTCATCCACTGTATCACTGCTCTCTCTTCATCACAACCACAGGCACACGGCTGTTTTTATTATCGATATGTACCGGCCTCTCTCTTCCCAGTCTTCCCCCTTTCCTGGTCCGTCTTCTCTCTTCATCTCATATTACGGTAGACTTGTTTTGCAATAACGTCTTTCCCAGCTCGTACAATACAAGTTCGTCTTATGATAGACGCCCGCCTCGGAACTTAGCACGCCCATGTCAACCATCTGCTACAGACAGACAGACAGACAGCTGACAGTCCAAGAAAGCCAACGTGAACAACCTGATGGCGCTCATTCAAAATCGTCGTCCATGTCAAAGCCGAGCGCAAGGCTCTGCAGTTCCGAGCACGTCAGACACGGACGCAGCACCCATGCCAAGCGCGGATTCATGTACGAAATGCGATGCCCGAGAAATGAAAAAATGAAAGAAGTGAGCATTGAGAGCTGTTATTGACCAAAGCCGAGAACAGGCGCGCACCTTTATCAAACTCATCGTCTTGACCACCCACGCCTCGAGATGGAAAATCTTCTTTTGTCCTATACGCATTCGTACCTCCTACAGGGCCCAGGTAGGTCGAGCCGCGCGTCCGCCCACGTCAGTCAGACATTCGGTTGGCGCCAGTCACAGAGGCGGGGGAAATGAACAGCAATGGACATACATAGAATGCGGCCCAGTGCACGATATCCGCTTTGATCGATTCGTCCACCTTGTCAGTCACGCGCTCTGCAATCGTCTAGCCATGATCCGTCAGCTCTGGGCTTCGGAGCCGAGACTGGCGATGTGGCAAGACGTCCACCTCGGGCATGGCTCCGATAATGACGAGGACAGGGATACGAACAGCAATAGAAAAATCACGGACCTTGAGCACGACATGCGGTGGTATACAATGGCTCAACAGCTCGTACAGCTTGCCGCGGACGTCCATCACTCGTTTCGGCGTCTGTTCTTGAACGATCATGTCCGCAACGTGATGGCAATATGTCTCCCAGTCCGGTTTTGCTGGTTGGATCGACATGGTCGTCTCGGATAGATTGGGGCTGCCAATTATCTGGTCAGCATGTACAACCTGTACCGGTCAAACCAAACGTACTGTTGCATCTTCATTGCTTCGAGCATCAGAACAGCCTTGCGTGTGTTTCCGTCTGCATCGCGTGCAATATTGCTTGCCACTTCATCCGAAAGCGTGAAGCGCTCCTTTTTCGCCACATATTGCAGCACGCTTGTCATCTACAAGACATTGTCATCGTCTGCTGACTCAAATTCTCTCAATAATGCGCACCTCATCATCGGTAGGCGCACCCACACGAACGAGTAAGCATCTCGACTTGATTGGAGCGATGAGCTTGCTTGTGCTGTTCAAACTAGTCAAACCAGCTGAATCTACAGACATGTGATCATACCTGGTAGAACATAGAATAATACGCATGTTTGCCATGTACTTTTCCATCGTCCGCCTCAGTGCTGCTTGTGCGTCTCGAGTGAGCGAGTCGGCTTCATTGATTACGACGACTAAGAGATCCTGTCAGCTACATTCCTAGACATACTGTGGATTCGGACCCTTGAAACGCTGCTTTGCACCCAGGTCGACTTGTTGAGTTTGCGCAATCTCCTTCAAAATCTCTTGAATGACGACGCGGTCATATATCCCGACATCACTAGCGACGTGTAAGTAGTGTGTCGAGATAATCACCCCTCGGTGGTACCTAGGCGTGATCTCGATGTGATAGTTGCTCTGCACAATGTTCAAATCGAGCTTGCGTCTCGAAGGCGTCATGAAAACGCGTTGATCAATTTTGAGCTACAACGATAAGCAATGAGTTAAAGATACCCATCCCTTTTTGTAAGCACCTTTTCTGTTCCAGCACCAAAAAGTTCTCGGAGCGTCCCTGCTATGCGCGTCTTCTTTCCAGCTCCACTCGGTCCATAGAATAGCATATGTGGGAATTCACCAGAAGACGCCTAGGATGGCGCATCACGTCATGTACATGGGTAGACGTTGATCGTCGAAGGATGATGGTTTCAATGGTTATCCAGCACACAGGCAAAATATGAGTGATTTGGAGATGATAAATGTTGTACAAGTTCATACCAGAGACTTGAGGCGCGCAGAGAGCTCATGGTGATAGTGCAAATCTCCCAACGTGCGGGGTCGATACTAGAGACGCGTCCATTAGATGAAAACAGGTGCAAAATGTGTGAAAGATCAACCTTGTCCACCCAAAGAGACATTCGCGCGAGATCGACAAAGAACAGAGAAGTGGCCAAGATTCGGAGCCACTTGTACCCATTTCGTTTGTGCGATTCAAAATGAGTACCAGCTATGGCTGGCATCTTTAATATTATGAAGAACGAATGCGACGCTCAGCTAGCGTCTAGGTATCTACATTGCTCGATGAGGTGGTTCTATAGTCTGCCTCCAATCCTTGCGACGTCTCTTCTAGCCTTTTCTAAGTAGCAGAAAGTCCAAACAATCGTGTCTAGAATGCCTTGGCCAACGAGCTCAACTCGGAGATATGCTTTTATTCGCTAGGAAAAGCGTCAGTCGCTGATAGGACAAGACAGAAAGCGTCATACTCGACCAAATATATGATCCATCTTGACTTATGGTATCTCGCTAGTAGCGAGGGTGGATTGGTACCATCTGCGACACGGTAGAGCTACCTCTGCGTGAATAAAAGTTTGCCAATTTTGAGACGATACCCACCTGCAGCTTTCTATCAGAGTTGTTTCCGTGCCATCTATACTCGATTCCTTCTCCGTCTGAAAAGGATGCCGTGCTGGCGGGGCAACCTCATTAGGCCCTCCTGACAAGAGTAGGAATGCATGTACTCACTCGCTGAAGATGGGTCCGATGTGAAGAAACTTGCCGACCCGTTTTGGCGGACCTCCGGCTAGCGAAACACGATGGATGCCCAGCTTTGACCAGTGAAATGTGGCCACTGGCTCTCCATTGTCCCTCTCTATCCTTGTATATGTCGGGTCACGACGATCGTCACTCGTTATTCGGTACAACCGACGCCCTCCCGGGCCCCGGATCGTTGTATACGTTGGAGAATCATGAGACAGCACAAAATGAAGAGAATCGACAAGTGTATGGTCTGAACTTGCGTGGGAATAGATAGATGTCATTATGAGAGGACTTTGAGGGGTTCACGTCGTGTCCAACGGGAATGCCTTTATATCGCCCCCCGAGTCTTCGGCCCTTCTGAGCAGTCGAACGCCCTCCGCGATTCTTTCGTGGAGTATCTCTACCCGGCGGAGATTATAAGCACTGCGGTTGGCAAACTTCGGGTCTCTGACTAGAAGGGCTAAGCTCAAACAGAAAATGGTAACCAGCCAACCACGGGCTTCGCGTCGCATGTCTTAATAGAAGTCGTTGCAAAAAAGAAGGATCACTAGGATTAAAACAGCCGCCTAATAACAGAGAAGGAGATGTAGAAACGGACCGACGAGCCAAGGTATAGGGAAGCGATGGTTCACTCGAGTCGCACCCTTGGGCAAGGGCGCAAGGATTGTAGTGGGTAGAGAATGGACGCTCGAGAGTAGCACGAGGGAGAGAGGGAGATCACTGTTGTGATCGTGTTTTGTAAATCGTGCCTTATTGTGGGTTCTGGGCAGGTCGGCCCGCAGATGAGGCCTCCTTGAGGGCAAGGAGCTGCTTCGATCGGAAAGCCTCGTAGTGAATCTGGGCCGTCGTCTCGATGAGGTCTTGCAAGTGGGTCCTCAGCAAAAAGTCGCGGAGGTACACAAACTCGCAGTGACGCTCGTCCTCGACATTGACAACACCCCAGCGGTTCTTACGACCGCGAACGGGCTTGCCATCAATGATCACGTTGCGCTCCGAGCCAACGATTGCAAATGGAATCATGGAGCGAATGACCTCGTTGTGCTTGAGTTCGTCTTCGTCAAACTCCTCGGTGTCAAAGGGATAAAGACGAATGTTGTGGTAGACCAACTCTGCACGGATCTATTGAATAATGTATGAGTTTGATCGTTTAATCAGCGCCAAAGCACAGACCTTGTTCTTGAAATTGTCTCGTTCCTCAATGGTCAACGAGTCGCTCTTAGCAATGACAGGGACAACATTGACGACTTCGGAAAGCTTCTTCATCACGATGATATCGATGGGGCGGAGTGAGTGGCCGGTCGGGTTGATGAAGAAGAGGCAGCAGTGGATGCGAGTATCGACAATGTACTTGTCACGCATCGCGGTCAATTCCTTGCGGAGATACGCAGAGTGTTGGTCCTAAACATGAGGAGTTAGCCCCCCCCATCAACAATCTCCAACAAGGTTGCTCGCCTTGATGTACTTGACAATTGGGTCCCAGCTATAGATTCATGGCCATCTTGAGTCAGAAAAAGACAATATATGGACCAAGTGACCATCGTACCAGTTCTCATTGTTGATTTGGTCACCGTAGCCTGGTGTGTCAACAATGTTGAGACGGAGACGGACGCCATTTTCGGAGATGACTGTTGTCACGACGTGTATTAGCAGCAGAAGAGAATGGGTGGTCAATGCTGCGAAACTCACCGTGGGAGACGGGATGAATGTCCGTCGTCTGTCTGACGGGCTCATCCGCCTCAAGACGGCCCTTTGAATCAACAAGATGTGAAGCAAAGATGGTGTTGATGAGTGTCGACTTTCCGAGACCGGTCTGGCCTAGAGGGGTGTAAAAATGGCCAGCGGAGACGACGAATGGGAAAACGGGACGCGCGGAGAATGTGCAGAATATATCAGTAGATGATAATTTGGATGAATAGAGAGCTACTGACCAACGAGAATCACGTTAAACTGGAAACCGCGCTTGAGGAGCTTTTTCTCAATCTGGGACGTGATCGAGTCAAAGCCGACATAGGATGCGGCACGAATTTCTTCAGTAGCTGGCTGGGACATTTGCAGAGAGAGACGAGGGCTGAGCGGGAACTGGCAAGCAAGTCGTGGTCGAGGACGGACCTTGGAAGTATACAACGTTTCATTCCAATGGCCGCGTTTCGACTCGTCGCGGAGGCCACTAGAGCACAAACAAATACGCAAATTCAGCAAATTCATACATTTTCATCGCAAATCCGCACTTTTCAGTCGATTTCAAGGCCACCGCGCATGCACACACCACCAAGAACATGTAGACATTCGTTGTAAGTAACTAATAACAACAGTTTGGGCTACAACGCATGCTGCAGCCGTTGACAATCTCAATAACCCACAGCTAACCTTTTCATTTTTCGCCTCTTTGCCCTCGACCACCGTCTCCCCCCCATCCAATTCCACTCGAGAGTGCATTCCCCAGCCCTCTTTCGCAATATTTTCATACTACCACTGCACTCGCAAAAGCCAAAGCAAGAATGCCACCCAAGAAAGCCGCCGCTCCTGAAAAAAAGGCAATCCTAGGCCGCCCATCCAACAATCTCAAGATTGGTATCGTCGGACTTCCAAATGTTGGCAAATCCTCCTTCTTCAATGCGCTCTCAAAGACGGGTCAGTGGCCAATCGATGGATCGCACAATCTGATCCCCCTTCAGACCTAGGCAAAGCAGCAAACTTTCCGTATGCCACTATCAATCCCGAAGGCGAGCATTTCATCCTATAGTTTTCGCCCAACAGCCCTCTAAGCCGACGGTCCCATTAGAGGCTCGCATCATGGTCCCCGATGCACGCTTTGATTGGTTGTGTGAACTCTACAAACCTGCTTCCAAAGTTCCTGCTGCCTTGACGTGCATCGACATTGCCGGTCTGACTGCGGTGCGTCCAAATGAGAACCAATCAGCCCTACTTGATCTCAACGGCTGTTTCAAAAGGGCGCTTCCACCGGTGTCGGTCTTGGAAATGCTTTCCTCTCCCACGTTCGGGCCGTCGATGGCATCTTCCAAGTCATTCGTGCATTCGATGATGCAGAGGTCACCCACGTCGAGGGCGACGTGAACCCGATTCGTGACATGGAGATTATTCATACCGAACTCCGACTAAAGGACATTGAGTGGGTTGAAAAGGCGCTCGAAAATCTCAAAAAGAGCTCAAGAGCGCTCGGGAGCAATTCACTCGCCGACAAGGCCAAAAAAGAGGAAATCGCCATCACCGAAAGAATCTTGGCCGTCCTCAAGGAGGAAAACAGAGACGTCAGAAAGGCAGAATGGACGAACAAAGAGGCGAGTACCTTTAATCCCACCTCTTCTCATGACGACAAAGAGCGAAAGCTCGATTAACCCAGCTCGTCGAGGCGGGAGTAACGCCCCACTATGCCTTTGAGAACATTCACCATCTGAACTTGTTTGATTCGCCCAGCTGTCAGTAGGCTAACCCTGATGCCAGATTGATGTCGTAAACGGTCTGATGCTGCTCACTGCAAAGCCCGTCACCTATCTTGTCAACTTGTCGGAGAAGGATTACGTTCGCAAAAAGAACAAGTGGTATGTTGTTGACCCTAGTTTAGTTGGCTCTGATCTGATTCAGAGACATAGGCTGCCCAAGATCAAGGCCTGGATCGACGAGCATAACCCTGGGGACCTTCTCATCCCCTTTTCCGTTGCTCTGGAGGAGCGGTTGGCACCATTAGAGGGTCAAGAAAAGAAGGAGGAAGAGGAAAAGGCGGGTGCAGTCAGCGCTCTTCCCAAAATTATCACCGCCGGTTACGCGAGTCTTGATCTGATCCGCTACTTTACCTGTGGGCCAGACGAGGTACGAGCATGGACCATTCGCAATGGCACAAAGGCCCCACAGGCAGCAGGCGTGATCCAGTGCGTACTCTCCCTTCCCCCCTCTCTGACATAGTTTGACAACTACGTCCAGCTCCGACTTTGAGAACAAATTTGTGTGTGGTGAGATCATGTCATATGATGACCTCAAGGAACACGGCAGCGAGGCTGCTGTCAAAGCGGTGAGTGACTTTTGATCAAGCGAGAGAAATGGCACTGAAATGAGTGCTAGGCTGGCAAGGTCCGACAGCAGGGCAAACCGTATGTAATGGTCGACGGCGACATTGCCTACTGGAAAGCTGGCCAGTAACTGTATTTTCGCTCTTGTTTTGCTTGCTATGATACATATTTGGAGACCATCTGTGGCTCCTGTCGGAGTTTGAACCTGCTTGTTTGCCGCGTGAAGTGACACAGCCACCCGTACTCCCCTTCGCTTTCATCCACTCCTTGACGCCCATCCGACGCGTCGCTATTTTCCGAATTTTGGCATATACTATTTACTAACAGCTCAAATACACACCAGATGGCTTTTCAGCCTGTACGGGTACGTTGGGCGTCCCCCTTTGCCCGTCATCATTGCGCGCCTCGACGTTGACGAACACATTTAAAGGTCCCCCCGCGTCCCAAGCAATCTAAATTCAAAGTAGCAGTCGACGAAAATGCCGTTGTTGCTGCCCCGACGCGTTCAAAGCTCGTCAACACGGGATCGACCAAGGCCATCATCGAGAGAACGAAGGCTGGACTTCCCCCAGCGACGCGTCAAGTTTTAGCAGCTCGTTCTGCTCTAGGAGAGATTCATAACGTTCGCAAAAAGGTGAGCTCATGAAAATTTTTGTGCGATTCGACAGTTGTGATTTTACGAGGGGATCTCCCTGTCATTCACCTCCTCGTGTTCGGACATGCGGTTTCTGACCTTGAATTTAGACTCTCCCATCAAAAACTAAAGAGAATGTCGTTGCTACGAAGCCTGTCGACTCAAAGCAAGCTCCTGCAGGTCTCAAACGAAGACGATCCCCCTCCCTCCACGCCGCGACGTCGCGTCCGGTCCGACTTCCTCAACCACCAACAGCAGCAACAGCTGCGACTATTAGCAGTTCGAGAAAGGCTGTCGCAGTCGCGACAACAAAGGCGGCAACCACAACCACAGTTCGGTCCACGGGTGCAACAACAGACTCGGATGCACCTCCACGACGACTTGGTCGCATGCTCCAAGCCATGCAGTCGCGTCGTCAAAGTCAAGTCATTCCCTCATCCAGCCAATCCATTCCTTCCTCTTCCGGTGCGACAATTCCAAGCGATGGTGCATCCACCGTCGTCCTCTCTTCCCGTCCACCGTCCCCCGCCGCAACATCGGATGTCGTTGTTGCAGAGACAGACGATGAAGATGAGACAGCCAAGCTCCCTGCCGCCACTGTCGCCCCTACGCCTCCCAAGGCAACTCTGGCTACCTCTGAACCGTCACCGAAAGCCAGTCCCACACCGGAGTCGCCTCGACCAGAGAGCTTGTTCGAGCTCATGTCAGAAGGTGACTGGTTGTTCGTTCCGCCAGCCAAGCGTTTGGAGTATCAAAAAGAGTTGGAACGGGTGGCCAGTAGTTTTAAAGATGAAGCAGAGTTTGAGGATCCGACCATGGTGGCCGAATATGCGGATGAGATTTTCGAGTATATGTCGAAACTCGAGGTTGGTCAACCTGGCTTTGGGAGGTCATGATTGAGTTAATGCCTTCACAGGAGGAGTGCATGCCAATGCCAAAGTACATGGCCGGGCAACAGGAGATCACATGGGCTATGAGAGCAACGCTGGTTGACTGGCTACTCCAGGTCCATCTCCGATATCACATGTTGCCGGAGACGCTTTGGATCGCCGTCAACATCCTAGACCGCTTTCTCTCCAAGCGCGTCGTTTCTGTCATGAAGCTGCAGCTTGTGGGAGTGACCGCAATCTTCATTGCTGCCAAATATGAGGAGATTGTTGCCCCAGGGGTGGATGAGTATGTCAAGATGACAGAAGGCGGCTATAAGCGCGACGAAATCCTAAAGGGAGAAAAGATTATTCTCCAGACCATTGATTTCCGGGTCTCCACCTACTGTTCGCCATACTCGTGGGTCCGAAAGATTTCCAAGGCCGACGACTATAATCTTCAAACAAGAACGCTCTGCAAATTCTTGATGGAATTGACGCTACTCGATCATCGCTTCTTGCGAGTAAAGCCAAGTCTCATCGCGGCGATTGGAATGTACAGTGCGCGAAAGATGCTCGGAAACGACTGGGTAAGCGCCCACGCTTTGTCGATTTTTTTTCCAGAGTCGCCTAACCAGTTCTTTCTCTAGGACGATGCGTTTGTCTTCTACTCGGGGCGAGTGGAAGAAGAGTTAATGATGGGTCATGAGTTCATCGTAGAGGCTCTGGTGCAGCCCGACTTTCAAAGCCAGTACATTTACAAAAAGTACACCAGCCGACGGTTCCTTCAGGCGTCAGTGTACGCTTGCTCGTGGGCGCAAGAGAACTACAAACCAGCTCAGCGGAGTCGAGCACAAGACAAGAATCCAAGATTGGAGGCCCGATGACACCTAGTGTCGAATATAGGATCCTTGTCCCACCCTGTTTATTGTACCTCACTATAGAAACCATCCAGCTCGCCACCCCAAACCTCGACGCCGCTTGTCTCCCAGCAGTCCCCCTCCTTACTCGTATGCTCCGTGTCTTCGCATGCACTCCATCTCGTCAACAAACAGTTCTATCAAATCTAGCTACCTATGTATGTCTTGCTCAGACGAAATTGTGTATTTGAGCCGCTCGCCCCCCATTTAGCATAAAAAAGGTGGACATCTCTGTTACGGACATCTACTCTACAATCGCGGTTACCATCTTGCCCATCTGGAACGACGTGCATGGGAGCCCTCGTAAAGATAACTGATTTGATTCCAATAGACATAGATTCCTTCCTCTAGCTCGACGGTGTCGGTGGAAATGAATGGCGCAGGTCGGTCGGGGTGAAAGGCTATTACGTCTGCGCCTTCCCTTGGCGAGTCAGCATTGTGCGAGGGTGCAGTAGGCTCTGTCTGATCAGACTGGTCGCTTGAGGCAAGTTGCAAAGTTTCGTCGCCCGGCATACTGGACTTCCCTCGTGTGGAGACAAACGGACTCATGACATCTTGACCAGTGATTTGATAAAGAGCGTCGTATTGCTCCTCCCGGCGTCTATGCTGCGGCCCTTTCATTGCGTCCGGCTGTTCATAGAACCACCATGATTTAGTCTTGTAGGTAAACGTTCTCGACTTTCCGTCCTCTGATGATCGTGTTCCGAAAGATTCGAGATATTTGCGATACGTCGACTTGTTGTCGTCTCCATACACACTCAAAGCGCATGCAACCAAAGGCATGGCAGCCGCCTTTTCTTCTTGACCAGGATCCAGAGTGACAAGATAGTCGATTGCCGTCTTGATTGTCGCCTTGTAGCGCGTCTGCGTATGCCATCTATCCACCCCCAGATAGGAACCGAGTTTTGCGACCGTCTGAGCATCATAGTCACCTGGATGAGCATAAGGGATAGAAAGAAATAGCTCACAACCATTGCTTCAAGGTTGAATACCCTATAATGAAACGGCTTTACGCGCGTGGATTCAAACGGCTGCCTTTCTTGAGAAAGGTGAATGCAGACTTCAATAATGCAATACCTGTTCTCCACTTGACACGATTTGTTCTTGGAACGGGCCTCCAAAATAGGTCTGCACTGCGTTCAGAGCGCCGATCTCGTCGAGAGTTAGGATCCGAAGGGCAGCAACTTGACCGTAATAGAACGTGGAATGGTTGCTACAGATTGTGAGCGAATGTGCCCAAACTCTTTCCTTTAAACGTACTTTGCCGACCTCTTCGGACGTTTGCCCAACTCACTAGAGTCGAGCCAATCAAGATATGATTGTGCCCAGGTAATCATTCTAGCATCCCTGTCTTTGCTCCAGTAGGGCGAGCGCGACAGCCGCAGTATTTGTATGGCGTTGACTACTTTGATTAGAACGCGAAAGTCGAGAATGCCCATATAGCTGCCATGCTGAGATGGGCCACGAACGGTTTGTCCCCAATCCAATCTCGGATTCATAGCTGTGCTAGACTGTAAGAAGAAGACGTCGATGAACTGAGCGGCCTTGCTCGCCAGATTCTGATCGTGGTCAAGCAAAAAGGCAAGGGTATTGTCAATGGTGGCTTGAGCGAACGAGTTGAGCTGCGACAAGCCATGAAGCTGATTCCTGTCGGGGTTTACTTTCCCGTCTCTCGCCACATAGGGACAAGTCGTCCATGCTAAGCAGTGCTGTAAAGATTTGTCGTCTATAACAGTCGTACGACTTACTCGAGCTAGGTGCCATACTGGTTGTTGGAGAAGGTGCACACGATGCACTCTGTGTCCTAGATGGTCTCCGTCCATCAGCATTGAGTTCACTATCCTCCACATTAAGGGGCTCTGGTGGTGAAACGTGAGGCAACGAGGGAACGGCCGTGGTCGCCAGGGTTGAAGATGGTATGAAGAATTCATTTGGCGTATTTTCTTTTGTGGTTGGTGTGGTGCTGTCTATTTCGCTGGATTGGTCCGGAGAGGCTTCGATGGTCTCGTCTCCCAAGTCTTCCGCACGTTGATTTGTAGAATCCCGGGTTTTACACCATCCACAATTTGGCCAGTGGCTGGTAATTCATCAGCTCGATTCTGGGGAATGAGTCCACCAACTAAGGTGCCCAACTCAGGTAGTCGTGCTTTGTGCCACTCGGCGCGGTGATGTCTCCTTTCGTGATAGCTATTTAAATGCCGTTCAGATCTTGAAAGAGGTAACCACAATTAACTTTACTGAATGGACCCGCCTTTGCTGAAGCCCGGCCTCGAGAAATGATGGCGCGCGCAGAGGTAGCCAGATCCGGTCTAGGATGATATGGGTATGTTACTGCGTAGTGGGGATCTATCCAATTAACACCGTCTCCTGTGATCTGGTTAGAGTTTGCGCAAACCAGTGCAGCAGACAAGGGGCACTACCGAGAGCTGTAGGAAGAAGAAGAAGAAGAAACAAGTATCTGAGAGAGAAACCCATCGGAGATGCTGCCCACAGTATACTTGACGGTGGTGGTCGGGAGCAAGTTTTGCGCATCCTTGGACCGCCCCTCGACCGCACAAGCCATGGCTATTGAAGCGTTTCTGGGCACACGCCCTCAAAAGGCGTTTCTCTTCACTGTTATTCTACAAGCTGTCCTTGTACTTGCCGTCGTTGGCGTTATTTATGGCAAGGTGAGCCCGCAAACCCATTCTGGGCCGCTGATCAACGAGAATGCCAATCCAGGTCAGCGACAACATACCAGCTAAACAAGTTCCCGTGCGTTTCAGCCATAAGTTTATTATGCGGACTCTGTCTGACTCGTTGAAAGACAATCCCATGCTATCTTGCGCTCTTTGCACTCGCGGAGTTGGTATTCTCCCAAGAATGTTTATCTAGGCACCTCATATCCCTTCAGAGTATTTGAAACTATAATAACAGTCGATGCTCTAAAGCTTCGCAACACCATTCAGCTCATTGGAATCCTATGTAAGCCCTCCGCTAAGGCAAACTCGCTTATTAGCTCATTCGTCACAGTATTTCATTCTGCCATGATCATCATGTCAGCTCTTCAAATATACCAGACAAAAGAGGCTTTGGTAACTCAACCCGGGGCAGATTGCGCCACCAACTATGCTGTCAGTCCACTTATTGCTTGACACCGACAGTCCTGAAGGAGCATCGTACAGACATGTGATGGACCCGACTCACTTTGGGCCTTTGTGCTACGCCTGTTAATCGTCATTCCCATCATACTTGCACTAGCACTCATGGTGCTAATCTGGGTCACACGCGCGCTATTCCTGGAGTTTGGCTGGGCAGTCTTCCATGCAATTGGTGAGACACTGCGCTGTGAATCCCTGTGCATTTACTCACGTTTGGTAGGCGCTGATCCCAAGATGAAAGGTATTGCCTCTTCCTTTCTCTTTGACAAATGCTTACCCATGAAGTCATGTATCAATACTACCAGATCATGATATGTTTGCTCAAGTTTGATTTCTTTTGCTTTGTACGTTTTCGAGATTCCTGTCGCTTATCGCCTAATAACCATATATAGACTGGAGTGACTATGCAAGTGGGCCACCTTGTTCTCCACCAACCGTTACTCCACCTGACGTTTGATAGCTCTTGATCTTGGTGCTGACTAGCCACCGTGCGGAATTCGTTATTACCATTGTAGTAAGTGAAAGTGTTCAGAATGAATGTATTTGATGCTGAACATCTCCAAGGCGATTCCTGTAGTGCTCGTATTGTTGTTCATCTGTGGCCTAGCTCTACAACGGGAATGGACTTTGTGAGCTTTTCTTTCCGAGTGCTTCCTTGCTAATGCCGAAACAGCCTTATGGTCATCTCGCTCTGTCTCATGGTGGCTGCAGAGGTTTTTACCCAGCTTCGTCTTTAACACCCGCTCAATTCTGACAGACATACTTCATTTACAAAATTTGCCGAGTTTTCGAACCATCGACGGCATATCGTTATGTTGCAGTCCGTGGTTCATTAACGACATTCCGTAGGCATTACCACTACTTCCTGTGAAATTTTTAAAAAAATCCACCTCTAGTGATCGTCGCTGCGGTCCTTCTCCTTGCGACTTTTGCCGTGGGTATTCGATGCTTCGCAGACTTTGGGCGCGGGTTACGAAAGTCTAAGATGAAAGGTCTACCGCTCGATCCCTCCCGTGTGTATCATCTCTGACACGTGCACCTTAGATCCGGAACAACAACGTACACAGAAGCTCGGCGCCCCGGATGTAGGCACACCTGGCATGTCCGAACAAGGGGTTGGCACTGGAGGCCGAGTCCAGCGTACTTTCTCCATCGAGTAATTGCGGAGGTTTTGCCGTGAGATTGACCCCTTTGAGGTGCCGGTCTTTACCATGTCTTACGTGCTCAGGAGATCCAGCTTCCCCACGATGGCCTTGTTCGGTGCCCTCTCTGTTCGCGCCTAGGTAAATATACAATATTTATGCGCATAAATCATGAGAAATGCGGATTATTGTCGTGTATCAGCTGGCTGGCCAAGTCGGACCGAGAAGAGCATATCTGGTCCAAGAGATTTGGTCCCAAGATGTGATTCCTTGGCTAAATGACGTTTATGTGACCGTCTTCCTCACTATGCGTCTTGGGTTTATGAAACCGAGGCAAGTTCCCAGGAGGTCGGTCGAAGCGCGACGATTGTATGCCAAGCTCAAGAACCTCACGGTGCGACCTCTAACCTGTTCTTGAGTATTCAATTCGTCGACAGGGGTGCTTGGTTGTCTCCTCCGAGAATGGTTCGCGATTCCGACTACGGCCCGATGATTACTGCCGCAAGATTCGGTGAGCTGGGTGTCACACATACTTAAGACCCCATGGTTCTCATCTACTTTTCCTCGATCTGCCCTCCACAGTCGATCGCCCCGTCCCAACAAAAGGTTACCACCCAAGCTCATCATGAAGCACTTCCACTCGCTTTTGGCCTTTGTCACGGCCGTCTGCACTCTCGTTTCTGCATCTCCGACCCCCCCTGGGCCCCCTGGCCCTCCAAGCCCTCCAACGCCTCCTGGATCGTCCATTACAACCTCCAACCCATTCACTGGTCATGACTTGTGCGTATGATGTTACAATGCCACTGTGGTGCATTATTGACCCCGGACAAGCTTCGTGAGCCCCGTATACAGGAAAGAGGCTGGTGAAGCTGCTGTCACTCTTCTGAAGCAAGGGAAATTCGACCTTGCAAACCGTGCCAGCTATGTGGCTGCAAAGATCGGCACCTTCCTCTGGGTTTCTGATACCGCCACGGTCCCGAAGATTGGCGACTGGTTGAAGGAAGCCGCTCTCGTCCAGTCTCTGACCGGAAAAAAGCAAGGTAGGGGACTTCGCGTGCACGTATCTTAAACTGATATGACACCATTCTCTAGTCGTTGAAATTGAGGTCTACAATCTTCCGGACCGCGACTGCTCTGCCGCTGCCGTAGGTTACTTGGCATTGTTGATGATTGTCCTCATATCATGTACAGAGTGCTGGAGAACTTAGCTATGCCAACGATGGTGAGTATAGCGCTATATTTGAGTCTCGAAAGCATTCTCATTGTTCACGTAGGCGAGAAAAAGTACCAAGACTACATCAAAGCAGTGGCCGCTCAGATCAAGAAGTTCCCCCAACTCCGCGTTGTCATGTAGGCGGCAGCCTTCTGAGACAAAACCCTCGAAAGCTGACGTGTGTTTCAGCGGTCTAGAAACTGATTCGATTGGAAATCTTGTCACCAATCTGAGTGTACCGTAGGTACTTGATTGCCTGCCCTCCTCCTATTCTCAGAGGCATCTATAGGAAATGCGCCGCTGCTGCTGATGGTCAGAAACGCTCCCTGGCCTACGCAATTGCCAATCTTCAGCTTCCTAACGTCGCAATTTATGTTGATGGTGCTCACGCTGGCTGGCTCGGGTATGTCCATCCTTTTCTGTATTTTAATATTTACTGATGATCATCTTCTGTAGATGGCCATCAGTACGCCCTTTCGGTCTTAATTCTGAAAAGATACTAACCTCCTGCAGAACATTGGTCCCACCGCGGATATCATCGCAGAAATCGTGGCGGCGGCCAAGAAGCTCAATCCAAAGGCGGGTATTCGTGGTGTTGCTACCAATGTCAGCAACTACAACGGCTTCGGTAACCAGCCGCAAACGGGCTACGATGAGCTCGTCTACGTGAAGAACCTCCAACCTTTGTTGGCCGCAAAGGGCATCGATGCTCATTTCATTGTTGACCAGGGTCGCTCAGGTAACCAAAACAGTACCCGTGTCGGCGGTGACTGGTGCAACAACAAGGTTTGTCTATTTGCCCATTGCCACGTCTCAGAACCGGCCACTGACAACTTTGCAGTACGCTGGCTTTGGCCCTCTTCCGACCACCAACACTGGCGAGGCCATCGTTGACGCTCTTGTCTGGGTCAAGCCTGGTGGAGAGGCAGACGGTACATCCGACCCCACTGCTCCTCGCTATGATACCACCTGTGGCAACGAATATGCCCTTCAGCCCGCCCCAGAAGCAGGAACCTGGTTCCAGGCATACTTTGAGCAGCTTCTCAGGAACGCAAACCCAAAGGTAACTTGGTTGCTGGTCCTCTAGGTTGACTCATCCACTGACCATCTTTACAGATTCCGCGCCTGATTTAGAGCAGGATCGCGGTTGAGATTGAGTGTGCTTCTTCCTACTTTCGTAATCTGCGAATACAAGCCTATTCTGCTTCAAGGATATATATGTAATAAGTTGAGTTCGCTGAACCTCTGAGGGATGAATACACAAATCTTGTCATGTTTAGAAGTGAAAAGGCGTGGACATATGCTACACTGAAGGGGCAGACGCGGCGAGATTAGACCTGCCCAACTTCTTGTCGATATGACTACGGATCATTCCTTCCTCGTTTAGTTCGTATTCTCTCATGACAACGCGCTCTCCTTGATTATCCCCCTCTGTTATCTTCTCGATGAATGTGTTGGGCTGCCAGGCCGGATTAGTGTGATGATCAGAGACGTTATATGCGTCGTACCTGAACGAAAAGTTTTCTCGGCTTTCATGAATCAGATTTTGTATTTCAGTATCATATGTGGACTTACCAGCTTCTTGAACAAGACAAGCTGTCTCAATTCTTCATCCCAATCGACTCTTGGCGTAGTCAGCGCTTCGTAGAATCTCTTTGCACCTTTTGCATCAGCCGTGGACTTGTACACCTGCAACTTGACGAGGAGCTCCCCCATAACTTCTCGACCTTTGGAGAGAACAAGATCACGATCCACCTGCGAGTAATTGAGGATCCATGATCAAGTGAATGGGTTTATCTTCACCTTCACATAAGCACGCTTAAGAACACCGTTGTTATCCTGTTCTCGCTCAATTCTTGCAATGCCTGTATTCTCATTAGAGGCCAATGTTGTTACCAGCGTGTGATCTTGCCATGTTCTATCAAATGGTTGGTGATACCCATACTGAAGGATAAATGAGTTAGGTTTCTTGCCCAAGCATGGCATCCTACCGTGCTTGCATGTGGGCCTGCAAATGTTTCTTCGCTTTAGGGTCATAGAATTCGAGTGCCCGGAGACCTAATAGTGATAAGAGCTACGCCCATTTCATGTAATCGTCACTGACCAGCTCGACACATCAACAAGAATGTAATGTACTGAATCTCGTCAATATCCTCTGGTTCAGTATACTGTCGGATTTTAGACATGAAGGATATCAGTATAAGCAGACTCACGTTGAAGATAGAAAGTATATTCTTGTTGGATACAAGATACAGCGCTACGGCTTCAGCACGACATTCCTCCATAGACCTAACCTTTGATGAGAAACGACTGGGACAAGTACGGCCTACATACGACGACACCGTTCCCAGTACGGAGCTAGAAGTTTGTCCTGGTAGATACCAAGATTCGATGTGCTTATTGGTGAGCGGATTGATGACCTGGACCGTTTGTCAGAGATAAAAGATTGGATGGCCAGAGTGTACCTTGTCTTTGTCAAAGTTGAGGTTGCCATCTTTATCCTGCGTAAATAGTTTCCCGCTCCCTGGAAACGCAAATCAGTGTCGACGAGCGCAAAATTCGGTAGAGAACCAGACCATGTCCCAATAGTTCGTGATTGGCCACTTGAAGCTCAAAAGCTTTGGATTCCCACTTGTTGTATAACTGTAGATCTGCTTCTTCTATAAAGGTGACCTCCTCGTCCGGTGCTTTTGCTGCGAGGATGTTGGCCAGTGAGACGTTCTTGAAACCAACGTTCTCTCGAATTTCATAGTAACTAATTGAATGTGTTTAGCTCCCACCTCGTCGTCATGAGTGGCCGTACTTCTGTGTATTCATCAGTTTGAGTGGTTTCGAGGAGGGAACACGTACAGGGATATTGATTCCGGCAGGGATACCTATACAAGTATGTCAAACCTTGATCATCTTTACCCCAGTTCAGAAATGTACCCCCAGTCGCGAATGAAAGCACCTGGAGTGCAGTAAAATCAGGCTTGCGGAAGGTATCGACCTCAAAATCTGGTCCCCATGGAAGGTCCTTGATGAGCTCTGAAGCCCTGTCAAGGAGCTTCTCGTACTTGGCACTTAAGGCCTTATCCACAATAGCGCAGAAACCCTCCCACTCAGCGCGGGCCGCACTGACTGGGTCGACATACGTCTCCACAAACCCTATGTAGCTCTCCACCACTGGTCCGACATCACGCACCCAATGCGTTGATCCATCCTTGTGCGCCTGGATATCCCCTGTCTGGAAGCTGACAGAGGGGAATGAGTGATGCGCGGGTAGGGCAAATAATTTCGTACGATTCGATGTATTTGTCAATGGCGGACTTTTGGTGATCATTTGCAGCATATTCTCGTGCTTTGCGAAGGGCATCGATGGACTTTTGGAGGGCATCTTTGAAGTCCCCATATTTGATCTTGAGGGACCCTTTTTCTGTTGATCCAGCAATTTCGAGCGTCTCTTCTTGTTCTCGCTCGTCAACAGAAGCTACATGAAGTGTATAGGTGTTAGGACCATGTTTCTCGATTCGTGTATTCAGGACGTCGATCTTGAGAGCCTCTGCTTTGGTCTGGATGTTCGAAACTTCTTCGCTTGTGATAATTTCCTCGCCAAAGTAATAATTGGTTACATGCCCTTTACTGGGGTCACCGATGAGCATGGCTGACTCGGGCTCGACGGAGTAGATGTGGTCGACCAGCTAGGGGAGGTATTAGAATATACTGTATATATTAATAGGTCACATTTGCCTTGTTCCATTGATCAAGAGCGACCTGGCTATTGGGGGATGCAGCGACGATGCTCTTAAAGTCGTCTTGATGGATGCGGGGGATGAACTTTGTGAATCCAAAGGACTTGTAGTTGACGAGATTGCCGAATACTTGGGCTACATAGGTCGTAGCTTGTTTCCATTGTTCGTCCGAAACTCCAGAGTCAGTCTTGAGCTTTTCAAAGTCGACAGGAGAGCGATCGGGATTGCTAAAGACGAGGAGGAAAAGGTCATAGAGATCCATGGCCTGAGGGGTCCATTGTCCTTGGATGATCCGTGCTCCTGCCCACGATGCCTCGCTAATATAGTGAGCGTAGAGCTGCTCCTTTCGCTCAAGCTGATTGAATGCGCTTTTCACAGCGAAAGAGCAGAACGGTGGGTTCTGATCAGCTTGATAACGAACTGCGTGGGCCATGGTTTGGTGGTGGGGGACAAACTGCGCGCTGTGGGTAGCCATATGGACGCGCGCTCTACGCAGCCCGGTGCGCGTGATGCGTGACCAATGAGAATATGTCGTCCTGCGGAATGTTCAAGGCGGTTTGTGGTATCATTCGGCCCCACATTCTGGTTAAGTTTGGCAGACAATGTCTGATTGCAAAGGCAAATAGCAAACCAAAACAGCGACTGATAGCACCCAGTTGTGGTCAATTGGCACTGCTTTGCGCATCGACGCCGGTTGATCGCCAGCCGAGAACATCTTGGACCCTGCCTCCACAGCCGCTGCCCAACAGTGAATGAGTATGTATGCCCAAAAACTCCCTTTTGATATTAGATTTGTTTCTTGGGTGTTCTATCGCCTTTTTCATCCACGACTTAAAATAGCTGCCCCCCGAGGATTGTCGTCAGCGATCTCGACGGGTCCAGCGACGTCCTCAAACACCGACTATGAGGAAATTGCTTGACTCTCGTACCCTTTCTTAGCTAGATAGTGTCAGCTAAACGATCCGGATAGGCACACCCTTTGGAATTTCATCGTCTACAGCCAATGTGGATATAAATGTCATACAACACAACTTTCATGGATTATTTGCCACCAGCACCCAAGAGGAACCCGCAGACGAGCCCCAAGTCGTAGTCGGAAACAAGTTGAGGAGCCCTCGTTGACAGGCGATGGATTATCCACAAAAGTCAATACACCAACCACCCAAATTGCTTTTCAAGACGAAAAATTGGAGGACAGCGGGACGAAAGGTCTCTCTCGCCTTCGGGCTTTGTTCACCCCATCGAAGCCCATTGGTCCCGACCCGACGTATGGCCGCTCATTGATCAACATTATCAAGTTCTCGCCCCTCAATGTGTTGCTCGTCTTCTTCCCAATCTCGTGGGTTCTTCACACGACCAAACAGGCAGACTCGCTCGTCTTTGCTACGTCTGCCCTAGGTGTGCTACCATTAGCCGCTTTGCTCGGGTTCGGTACTGAGCAGGTTGCGATTCGTACTAGTTTGGCTCTCGCAGGACTTCTGAACGCGTCATTGGGAAACTTGACCGAGCTCATCATTGCTGGCGTTTGCTTATCACGCTGCCAACTCGGACTCGTCCAGAGTACACTGCTCGGTGGTCTCTTTAGCAACTTGCTGCTCGTCCTTGGCATGGTACTTCTCGTCGGTGGAATCAAGTTTCCCCAGCTCAGCTTTCGTCCAGCAGCCGCCCAGTTAAATGCTTCTCTTTTGACGGTTGGCGTCATCTCCATGCTTGTACCGACAGCCTTCGTTAGTCCTATTCTTATACCCGTCTTCCCCCATTCACTCTGCTTTAGCACAACTTTTTAGGAGGCTACTCCCCTGACGGTACCGTCGAGGGCCCAATGTTACTGAATCTGAGTCGCGGATTCTCAGTCGTCCTAATGGTTATGTAAGTCCAGTCATCCATTGTAAGATGTGATGATTGAAACTATTGTTCAAATATTTCTCGTACCTCGGCTTTCAGTTTTACACACACAGTCACCTCTTCCTTGACATGGACAAGGACTCTGATACGGACTCACAGCACGGTACTTGGGGAGGATCATCTTTGAGCAGTGGTATCAGCTCCTCTTCAAGCTCTGTCATCACAAATCCACGCTCCCGTCTTTCTTCGGCTGCTTTGACAGCAATCACATCAACAGTAGCTCCTTCCCGCTCGACGCTGGACCTAGGAGAAGCCGTTCCGCCGATGGGTTCACTGGCTCCAGCGACCTCTATCCTCGACGATCAATCCTCGGTCGAAAATATCCACCATTCTCTTGTCAATACTGCTTCTGTTCTCGTTCTCCTCGTCGCAATCACCGCAATCATGTATCCCACTGCAGAGAATCTGGTAGATTCGCTTACGGCACTCACCGACGCGAATCCAAGTGGAATTCCAAAGGAATTTTTATCGGTCATTGTACTTCCGGTGCTGTCCAATGGCGCAGAGCTTTCTACCGCAGTTTATGCCGGGTTCAAGGGTAAATTTGATCTCGTACTTGGTGTCGCAGTAGGAAGCTGCATCCAAATTACTCTGTTTGTGATACCATTATTGGTATGCGTGGCCTGGGGAATGGGAGAACCTTTGAGCTTGTTGTTTGACCCTCTCGAGACGACGGTGTGTCCATCCCCAGAGTACCGGATCTTATCTCATATGCACCTTAGTGCTTCTTCCTGACCGTTATATTGGTCAAAATTGTCATCGAGGATGGTCGCACGCATTGGCTCAACGGTCTAACGCTTGTTTGTCAGTCAATCCGCTATCACCCTGACGGGGCTCAAATTTTTTAGGTCCTGTTGGCGACAACATTTTGGCACTTTCCCACCAACCTCATGGGTCTCTTGGGTGGTAATCAGACGCTTTTTGTAGGTTCAACATATGGATCATGTTCGATAGCTGACCAACGAATAGGTTTGTAACTCCTAGATTTGAGCTGACTAAGCAAAGTTGTATGTCAATAGTTCGAGATACATCCAATGAGACTTCATGTGTCTACTCCGAGGGTTGCATGCCATCTCTGTCCTATCTCAACCAGAGTCCGCTTGACCTCCTGCTTTTCAGCCGTCAATATAATCTTCCGATCATCCAACGGCTTTCTCTTCGCAATTGCGCCGGGCTCTACAGAAAGCAGGCCAGCGTTGACCAACGCATCAAGGATTCCAGCCAGCTGCTCGTCCGTTGGCCGGAGCTGAGGAGCGTCCTCGTCAATGTTCAGCTGCAAGAGTAGACCTTGGTGCCGACTTCGTAGCTATGCTAAACGTTAGCACCCAACCTGGCTCGATGAATCTATGCCTACCTTCTCCCACGTAAACTCCTCAACCCCGGTCCAGCGAATCTCCATGAGGGCGGCAGCGAGCATCGTCTTTTCGTGAAAGCTGCACTGTGCAACATAGCTAGCAGTAGGCGTGTTCTGGGTAAGCGAGATGACATGCATCACATCGGCAATCGTTGCAGCACGCCCTTTTCCTCGAGTACGCTCAACCGTACGCCTATTGGGATTTAATGCACTCAGCCAAGGCTTTCCTTCCATTTATGCTTCCTACCTGCAAATATCAAGAACCCGTCTCGCATCACCGCTAATACCCCCGACTCTCGTCGCTGCATATTTGATCGCATCGTCCTTGATTACGGCCTGGATGTTCAGAGCTCCTTCTTGTGCACGTTTCAACCGCGACTCCACTATCTCTATAAGCTGTTGTTTGGTATACGGGGCAAAATTGATGCGAATCATGCCTGCGAGTCGATCAGTCGTTTATATGCGTCTACTTTCCACGTACCGAGTCTACTCCTCACCTTGGCGGAGAGGGCTCGTTCCGGCAAGTCATGTGTATTGGCTACGGCGAGAACAATCAGCTTCGAGCCCGACAGGTTCGGCCAGTTGAAGAAATTGTACACCACATCCTGCTTTGTCGTCACGAGTTGATCCAATTCGTCCATTAAGACAATACTTGCACCGTTCAGTCCTACAAGGGGCTCAAGACAACCACAACTCACCATGCTGGTCCCATGTTCTCAGAGGCGCCAACGCCGAAATGGAGTGTAAGTCGTCTCAGCGCTTCTCTGGGGCTAATCTTAAGATGGCCGAATGCGGCGGCGTCGTGTCCAACGATAGCCTCCCACAGGAGTGGATACGCTGCGTTTGGCTCTGGCACTCGCAGCCCGTTAATCTCGACAAAGGTGAAAGGGTTACATTCCTGTAGAAGGAGTCAGTCGTCAATTGCCCGTAGACTATGCGTGGCCCTTCACTCACATTGTTTGAGGCCATGATCTTGAGCTCCCTTATTATAGTGTGAATTGTTGCGGTCTTGCCCGTACCCGGAGTTCCAGATATATCTATGGCAGCGATTGATCAGCATGAATTCATGCACAACATGTACTCGTACATATGCACCCTCCCGATGCCTCTTGTAGAAGTCCCAGGACGTTCTCGAATATGTTGACGTATTCGTCATCTCGGCATGGCAGGGTGTCCGGTCTTTCGCCGACATGTAGCGTATACATCGCCCGGAGAAAAGGATCATCTTCCATCGTGTACAGAGTCGTATTGTCCTGAGCTGTAACGGTGGGAGGTCGTATCTTGAATTTCCTTCGCGACTTGAGAGCCGCTTTAGAGTGAGGAGTAGGTAAGACAGCACGTCTCTTTCGACGTGGTGTTATGGCCATTAACTGTGAAGCCGCCCCGAGTTTTCGCTTCTTGCCTCGCTCGTTTTGAGAGTCCTCGGACATGGCTTCTCGTTCCATGTCATCATCCGCTTCTGGAACACCTCCAGAGTCATCACTCTCTTCTGGTTCGTCCAATGGTTCGACGGCATTATCCTCCGACTCTTCTTCCGAGCTCGATGGAGAGCCTAGACGCCCTAGTCGTTTCTTCTGTTGAGCCAGCGCTTTATAATCTAGGTGTATATCCCACTGGCTGATTCTGTCGGATTGTACTGTGGTCGTCTTATCGCGATGAAATTCAGCCCATTTGAGCGGAAAGTACATCCCAGTGACGGGGTCGTACGACGCCTCCGTTATGTAGCGCGATAGGGCACCAGTCGCGATAAAAGGTGCTCCATCTTCCTTTGGTACAATCTCACAGTGTCGCACAATGGAGGCGACGTCGGTTACCAATGCGTCTTTCACGAGATAATACACCTCATTCTACATCTAAAAGTCGGTTATTTGCTTCATTGTGCGAATTATGGCCTCACCTCGACATGCGGACGCGCAGTCCTGTTGACCCTCATCGATCCTGCGAGCTCGAAGCGATGGACGACCGCTTTGAGCGGCGAGAACTCGAAATCTTCTAATGTTTCGTCGATAGCTATTCCTTCTTTGAGTGAAATCTCGTGCACAGAGGTAACGACGGCGATGATTGGCAGCTTTGTGGACGACTTGACCTCTACCGTGTCGCCGACACGGAATGCCATCTTTGGGATGCTCTTCTGTCTCGATAATCGCTCGAACCCGGTACATATCGTGGTAACAAAGTTGGAGATGTCGACATTGTCTTCCTGCAGGCGAACGCGCTCTACTGGAAGCAAGTCTCGGTCTTCAGTAGTTCTCGAGTCCAGGTCCCCGAATCTATGATGAGTAGCATGCGCTGATATCTTAGAATCGACTTCTGTGGCCTGTTGGCTGCGCGTAAGCCGCATTTCGGGCGTGGTGGGTCGGGTCCAAGACTACTCTCTACAGGTTACCAACTATTTACAGCAAGCAACTGGCTGTGATAAACGCTGCCATTCTGTCTGCCATTCTTGCCGTCCATTCATGGCCGGCATCCTCGTCTACAAACGATTCCTTGCTGCCTCGTGATCCGACGTGTAATGAGTCGAAGAACGGTTTGGTAAACTTCCACGGGACGAGAGTATCCCTTCCGCCTGCGATGACCAGAATCTTTTTGTGGATGAAAGGATTGCTCCCGTCGGGTGCCGTGTACTGCGTCGCAGCCGGGTCGATCTTTTGCACCAGCTCTACCAATGAGGAGGGAAAATGATGAGAATCAGGGACGCTGTAACCGTATTGCGTGGCTCTATCTGTCATGAGCTGTAGATAATCCGGGCAGCCTAGATGCAAGGATGGGTCAGGAGATTCAAAAGTGAGTGATGAATACTCGCCAACTATAGGCACGCCAACGGTTAGTCTTGAGTCTACCAGAGATTAGATAAAGCAGTGGCAGAAGTTTGCCACATACCATTCTTCAGTGCTATCCAGGTTGAATGACCGCCGAGGCTGAAGCCGCTGATGGCCCATAAAGAAATGGGGCGCTCGTTGCTTGGGTATAGATAACTCGGAAGAAAATCTATCAGCAAGCTGACATCAGAGGCTGTACCAGCTGAGCAAAAAAGATCAGCCGTTCAGTCTTGGAACACGAGAGTAAGACTTGCATTGGATGGAATACATATCTAGCCTACAAACGATAGGTTTAGAGTACGGAAGTGTGATCGTGAGTTGGACATACGCATGTCGATCATTGTGCCGACTACTATCGGCCAAATTCCATCCACAGTTTGCCTGACGGTCTACGAGACGAGAGCCGTGGTTTCGGTGATCCTAAGATAGCTTTGAATATCGACATTGAGAGTCAGATATGCCCCTACAAAGGTCACAACGACCAGTTCCTTCGTCCACTGGTGATCTCGTGTTGGCTCGCTTTGGAGGGAGATCATGCGCTCCGCAATTTTTTCTACACCCTTTCTAGAATTAAAGCGGCCATGGAGAATGAAAAGAACTGCGACCGGGAGCTCCGAGAGATGAGTGGCCGACGATTCCCAGACATCGACCTCGATCCCGGCTAGAGATAGATGCGGAAAGGGGGGGCTAAGAAGGGCGTAAAGGTGATTGACGAGCGCGTACGGTACCTGCCAATATAGTTCTCACGGGCATGATGGAGGTAGACTCCAAGTGACAGTTGAATGGAGACGGAGCGTCGGTAGCAAGGGGACCAAATATAACGTGCTGCGAGAGCGGAATCGGATAGGAGAACAGTTTGGATTTCAAGTTCTGGACTTGATGTTACATCAGAAGCGCATAGAAGCACACTGTCCGTGAGGGGTGAGACCTATAGACCTGAAGTCGGCACAAGCGCCGCTGTTTCCGGGATGCTCACGGGCTCTGTCGGCGACAGACTGTATGTGTGAGAGGAAGCGCGTAAGCATGGGCGCCCATCAAAGACGACGACGGGAACGGGAACTGACCGATTGTTTCCAAGAGATTAAGAAAAATTACAGAGCGGACGCAAAGTCGTGACAAGTGGGCGAGTTTGGCTTTGCACAGAGGACGCTGAGGTCGATAGACATTGGACGCGAGTCGACCTCTCGGGCCGGGTGGCGGGGTGGGCCAATGTTCATCTTGAGACTGTCGTTTACGTCTGCAAAGGAATTGAGGGACTTTGCCCTCGAATGACCTCTGTGAGAGCGCGTGGGTTGCATCGTGTTGGGTTGCGCAAACGGTGTCGAAGTCCTGGCCCAGTTGAAGACGCGCCGGGTCGACGCCAAGTCGGCAGGAGGACGCGAGAGGGTCGGAGACGTTGGACTCGTCGTCACAGACTCTGCACAGTTGAGTCTGAAGCTGCCAATCCTCAGGCCGCGCTGAGCGAGCGACCTGCGCGAGGGACAATCGGCGGGGCGAGGTGGAACGACGAGACGAGGACCATGGACGATGAGCGAGACGGTATTCGTGCCAACAGGAGAATCCTGGCTGCTTGTGCTATCGGGAGCGAGTGTAACGCTGATTTCTGGGATAGAGAGGAGACCCATCGAGCTGGGGGAGCGCAGTGCCGTGCGGGCGTGAACAAGCGAGGGGTTTTGAAAGCCCAGGGAGAGATTGTACAAATTGTTATCCGTGTCGATAACAACGACTTGGACGCTCGGAGTGCGCACCACAAGGGCGTGGTCCAAGAACAGAGTTGCTTGTTTATTTGGGTCGCTGTCCCACTGCCATCTGCCACTAATTAGAAAAATAGAATAAAGTCAGGAGAGATGCAGAGACCAACTCAGCGTCGAGACGAGTTCCAGACGGATGCTCTCCGACCAGGCGCACTCCCAAGTGCGTCGCTCCGAGTGCGCGCGGGCGAGGAGCAGACAATCGAACAATCGTCTGACGAATACTTGGATAACATGTACGAGGATTGGAACAAAAAAGTCGACCAGGAAATCGACACGCTCGTCGAGGGAATGACCGAGCTCGTCAAGATTGCGGCCGTTTGTCAAGTTTCCTGTGAATGAAAGAGTGGCATTAACTTTGACGTCTAGATCGGAAACAAGGACAAGTTTCGTGTCGCTCAAGAGGCATTTGAAGCTCAATGTCGCACAGAGTCGATGGTAAAGTTGTCCCCATTTGATTCATCTCCGACGGGCTCAAGTAAGCAGGTCCGGGCAGCGACAAGTCTGCTGTCGATTACACACTCACTCAAGCTTCTTCTCTTACTCTCGGATGAATCTGAGATTGCTAGCAGACGGGACCGGGCAGTCACCGACTTTGAAAGGACGGCAGACAACTCGCGCGTCAGGGCGGCTGGCGCACTCGACGCCGTGTTAAACAGTGATCTATAGAGCTTGTTCTATTTTCCTTTTGAATTTCCAACGCCATTTTCTGGCCTGGCCTAGAGCGCGGGCCGAGACCAACATCGACCAGACCTTGGAACCCGCAAGCTGAGCCGCGCAGGATATAATGGACGGCTATGGACTCGGCTCATCAACGAATCTTGACGATTTCGACTCCTTTCACCACTTGAACCCCTTCCACGTCCCGTCCATCGTCCCCGACGGCCTCGAGCAACCAATGAGTAGAAACCACCCAGAACTCCGGCCGCGATATCCTCAGCAGTCCTCCCTCGATTCATCCAATGACCACAACTCGCAGCTCCTCGCCGGCGATACCGAAGACGGCATGCCAGGTGCCTCTGACTTTGTCAGAAAACTCTTTCGGTCCGTCTGATCCTCGTCATTGATCATCACTCATCTCCATCTAGCATGCTCGAAGACCCTGCGTTTGCAAACATTGTCTGCTGGGGTGCCCAACGCGATTGCTTCATCGTAAAGGACATGACCGAGTTTACAAAAATTATCCTCCCCCGCCTCTTCAAGCACTCTAATTTTGCCAGCTTTGTCCGCCAGCTCAACAAGTACGACTTTCACAAGGCGAGTGGTCTGCCTCCCTCTTCCTTGGCGTTGCTCATTACACCCACAGGTCAAGAATACCGACGAAAACGCATATGGGGAACATTGTTGGACGTTTCGTCACCCAAAATTCCGCGCCGATCATCTCGAGGGCCTCGAAGACATTAAGAGAAAGTCTGCCCCCGCCAGGAGATCCAGTGGCAGGCATGCTGCACGCTCAAAGTCTCCATCGGATTCTCCGACCATCAAAGACTCGTCAGAAGTCGCTCTCGTCTCCAATCTGCAAAACCAGATTGACCAGCTCTTGCAAACCCAGCACGACCTAAAGTCGCACATTGTCACCCTGGAATCAAACTATCGGGGCGTCTTGGATGAGATGGCCTCTTTCCAACGCAGCATGGCATCCCAGGATGCTCTGATCCAAAACCTCCTCCAACACCTCGTCAATGTCGAGAATCGTAGGTCTTTATCCTTCCAAGTCCTCACGACTTCGTTTATGCTGATAGGGTCGCGTCCCTTTGACAGCAGCGAGATCCACCGACCCATCCAAACCGCTCGGCTCACTGGATTCTAACTTTATCTCCGAGGAGGCACAGAGACTCGTGGCTACATCAAGCTACAACCCAGAAGACGTGGCGCGAGCGTCTCTTCAGCAACTGACCGAACTTTCCCGACGTGCAAACAAAGTCGCGCTACCTCCCACATTGACTGCTCCCCAGACGAATCCCCCACCAAATTCCATTTCCAATCAGCCTTCTCTACACACTCTCGACTCATTACCTCGTCTTCAAACCGACACTGGCATCTCTACTTCTGCTCCCCCAACGAATTCCCAAATGGGTTCACCGCCTCAGTCCATCCCTGTCGATTGGTCAAATCACAAGGGTCTCCAAGTCCTGACTGTCGGTCATCTTCTTCCCCGGTCCTCCCAAACGTCTACCGCAGACGACACGGAGCTCGAGGAACAAGTCATGCCTTCGACTTCGTACCCTGGCGCACCTGCAACACCGAGCACACGACTTCGAGTGAGACGCAAAACATATGTACCTGGCTGGGCGGTACCCCCAAGAGTGCTCCTTGTCGAGGACGACGCCGTTTCCCGCAAGCTCTCCAGCAAGTTTCTCCAAGTCTTGGGTGTCACTGCCGACGTTGCCGTCGACGGAGACGCTGCTGTAAAGCAAATGTGTCTGGAACGTTACGACTTGGTCTTGATGGTGCGCATCTCCGTTATCCTCAATACCATTCATTCTTGACATCATTCAAAGGACATTGTTATGCCGCGACTAGACGGTGTCGCAGCAACTAGTCTCATTCGGCAATTCGATCATCGCACGCCAATCATCTCGATGACCAGCAACTCGTGTCCGCAGGATATTCTCAACTATTACTCACATGGCATGAATGATATCCTCCCGAAACCCTTCACAAGGGACGGTCTATTCAGCATGCTAGAGGTAAGCATCTTTCCCCTTATCTGAGAGAATCCAAGCGTTGACATCGCAATCCTTAGAAACACCTCAACCACCTCAAAGCCATTTCGCAATTGTCCCAGGTTCCTCGCCCTCTTGAGGATACGACCGACAGGATCAAAGAAGTCGACACCACCGCAGGATACAACAAGGCAGAGGATGCCAACCGATCGTCCCAGTACACATCCCCCTCCAGTGCCCCATATTCCTCCATCAACCCGTTCATGCCTACATCTGGCTTCCCGCAAATCAACCCTATTGCTGGCCTGGGCGTCACAGACGATCAGCAGTATGCCAACATGCTTGCTACAATGACTGGAGATCTTTTTGCCGAACAAGGGCCTCGATCTCTGGGGATCAAGCGTCCAGCATCCACCGATGGGGATGAAATTGGAGATCATCCTTCCAAGCGGGGCCGGTTCGAGACAGTAGAGTAGTTCCCTCTCATGCAATCATGCTTTAGTCCGTGTATTGATACTTTTAATCATGTAAACTAGAATGTGATTGGCTATACAATGTGCCCCGGCGTAATCACCACCTGCCACCATCGAAGTTCAGTACAGACATGCCACCATGGTAGCATGTACAGTATGTGATCCAGAGTTAAGTGTCCAGAGAGCTTCAGTACTTTAGCTAGGCCAATACAGTTGTACATATATGTTTCTTCGAAGTAATTTTCTGAAAATTTCCTTATGGACCATTCATCAACTTTTTCCCTATAAATTCCTCTAAGATACTCCATGTTCCGAGACTATTACTAAATTCCTTCGAACTTTCTGTTTTGACTATTAGGCTGGTAGCGCGCGGTGTCAAAAACCCTCACTGGTTTGCTTGCTAATTTTCTGCCTCCAGTAACTAGAAGCTTCACTTCAAAGTATATCCGATGTACGGAAATTAGGCGGTTCAGGTGCGAATCCAAGCTGTCTACTTTCGGTAATGTTTTCTTTATTCGACCTCTAACTTTCCTGTACAAAATATCTCTATATCGTATTGTTCATTGTACAAATAAAATCATCTTGGCAACTGGCAGCTACGAGTTCACGTCAGTGTCAATATCTTTGAGTCTTATAGCAATGAGCGAGGAAGCGGGGAGAATAGTTCAGGTTGTACGCAATTGAATCTCTGATATTTCACTGCGTGTGAGGAGTGATTGCTAAGTGACGAGCTACCGAAGGGCTACCGTGTGCCTTCGTTGTCAGTTATGCACTTTAAGATACTCGCTCGGGATCATAATTTGATCAATATCTCAATTGGTAGCCAGGGAAGGTGGGTTAGGAATGAAGCTCCTCCATCATATGCCGTCAGAATGTGAAGCCTGTCAATGTGGCGGTATATGAAGTTTAGGTGACTCAGGTGCGGGAACTAGGTCGCCTATTTGCGATACTCCTCTATTTACTAGTCCTTCACGTTACTTGTATATGTATCCCCACTGCTTACCGTACAATATACCTTTTTGACACAACTCAATTTTTTTGTCAGTATTAACCCAAAAAGATGTTAGTTGTGCTGTAAATCAATACAGCATAGAGCTATTTAGTACAGTAGGACCAGAGTACGAGTAAGAAAAAACATTACTGAAAGTAGAAGCTGTGAATCCACATCTGAGTTGTCTAATTTTTGTACAGCGTCAGCTCCATTTCTGTTCATTGTACCAAGATATATGGGATGGAAGTCAATACTACCCATTCTCAATAGCAAGTACTTTATGTTCATTGGAGTTGAACTATGAAAACATGTTTCTGATGAATCCTCTCGGTGAACAGCTAAGGGTGGCCGCAAACGTTGAATTCCAGGCTGATCAGGGATTCAAGGGAATAATATAACTACGAGTAAGTGGGCAATTTTACGAATTCTAAACAGCCAGTGATTTACTAACTAATAATGTCGCACACAGCTGTACTGTACTGAAAATCATTGTTGTAGTTGACAGCAATGGGTGATAACAACAACAGGGGCTGCAAGCGCCAAGCTTGAGACTAATGATGGCTTTAGTGACTACTATAACTGGGCTGAGCAGGGCGCATACCTGGCTACGAACAGATATTCTGGTAATGCTATCCGGCCAAGTGGATATCCTAAAGCACACAACGGATAACACAATACTGAAGTGTTGATACTGACAAAAGATCGCAATTGTCAGTATCCAAAAGGAGAAAAATTTTATAGCAAATGATACAGCGTAAAAATATCTGAGCTGCCCACATTCTGTCGTGTTGATGTGTGATGCTGACAATGGCCTAAAGTCCTGGGGGAGATTATGACTTGAAGAAACAAATATGCACAAATGTATCGAGCTAGCTAGAGCATTTATTCTGCCGAAACAACGAGCCTGGGTCCGTTGGCTCCCCCTCAATATATGCTATATTGGCAACATGACAATGTTCTATCCGCCATGCAAAGTGTAGTAATGTATCCAGGAAGTCCATAACAATTGCATTTGGTTGGATCCTTTAATGGCTTGCCCCAGGCAAAGTCACGCTCAACTCGTTGCGAGCAAATCGCGCTGGGTTTGTGCGTTTATGTTGAAGTGATTGATCCTGTCATAACTGATGGGAAGTGCCTTGATGATGTCCAATAACGGTGAGCTTGATTGCGCAAGTAGAACGGTGCAAATGGCACCGAAAGGCGAGTTGAGATTGTTTAAGAGCAGGTCTCCAATTTTCTCTGCTGTAGGGCCATGCTGAAAGCCTCTAGAGAAAGCGTACAGCGTCAGTGACCCCGCCAATGAAGACCCTAATTGGCTGGCTGGAATCATGATGTAACGAAGCGGTGCGATAATATCATAAACAAGCTGTAACTAATCTTCTGCATAGGATAGTGCGCAACTGACAACGTAAACGCAGTGAGCAGTAGCAAAGATGATGTTCCTTGTAAATAAAACAGTATTGAGATATCGATTACAGTAGAGCCAGAGGACGAGTAAAGGAAAACAACAGTAGACAATGTGATTTCACACCTGAGCCGCATAACTTCCGTACACCGCAAAGCGTCAAACTCGAGGGAAATGAATGGCTTCGGGGAGGATCTTATAATACTGTGTGAGCAGTGCGCATACCTGGCTACGAATAAAGATGTGAATCAAATTATGGTGAAGAGCGAATATTCTAGAGTGGACAACAGACCATGAAGGTACTCGGCACCTCTTCGATAGTGGTTTAGCAATTTCTCCTCATGCACCGTAAAGTATCGACGATTCAATTGCGGACCACAAAAGACTAATTCTCACATTCTCGCTCAATACTATACGATTCAAAGACGCTGACAAGAACTCGTAGCTGTCAGTAGCCAAGAAGTATTATTTGTATAGCCAACAGTACGGATATTAGGATGCCTCGTGGGCAAAGCCAAAGGATGAGTGGAGAAAAACATTACCAAAAGTAGACGATGTGAATCCGCACCTGAGCCATCTCTATTTGTACATCGAAAGTAGACGACATGAATCTGCACCTGAGCTACCTGAGTTTCGTACACACAAGCGTCAACTTCACTCAATTGTGCGTTTAATCAAGACGACGTTTCTAAGCAAGCATCTTAGACCTCACAATGAATGAAAGCACACTTATGCCCTTTAGTAGCTCGCTTAGCAATTACCACCTAGTATGACATCTATTGCTATTTGCGCGCCAATATATTGGGCACTTTAGCACGTGAAAGAGTGTGTGCTTTTTCATAATGGACAATCTTCATATTCGAAGTGCAGCCTGTGGCAGTTGGTACAACTGGAGTTGAAGAGAAGCTTCTTGTTACTGTAGGCAGAAAAGCTAGTGAGCAAACCAGCGAAGCACCACCCGCCACCTGTCTAATCACCAAAAACGTGTAGGGAAATGCAGGGAAATTGAGGAATGGTCTTGGAACATAATGGGGTATTTTAGAGGAATTTATATGAAGAAATGGAGGAGAAATAATCATAGGAAAAGTCAGAATGATACTTCAGCAACTGGTCTAGCCTTAAATTTTGTTGAAAAATTGGAGATGGAACAATTTACTTGTTATGAGGTTCTATCTACCATGGCGCAGCTTCGAGTTGTGTGCAATCACGGATCAATGTCTCCCAGGTCTCTCCTATTTGGTTTGCAATGCCCTGCTGCCTATCGAAGCTGAGCTTTTTGAATCCTACCAATAAACCAAAGTCAAGCATTCGCCTAGACATTGTCCTTGTCGTGGAGCTCCCTTGGACCGCGCTGGATGGAAAATAAGTACACAATAGTCCAACCTCAGAAACCTACCGATATGCTTTTGGGTTTAGTGCTGCAATGTGGTGGGTATGTCGAACGAGTTGGGCCTGAAGGAGGTACAGTCTCTTAAAGATGTCCATGTCGAGAGGAGAGAGAGAGGCAAGCGACCCATCCACTCGAGGAATGAGCAAGCGCGATGCGTCTGACGCTGAGTCTGAGCTTGGTTGCTCCATTGCCACTCGCACAATCGTCACTGGCTCAACATGCGTCTGAAACTCTACGGAGCACAGAAGTCGAGCGCCTTCTTCCGTGTCGACATCTGTTACGGAACGTTAGCAAGAGTTGAGGAAGAAGCTCAAAGCACTACGGGTTGGATCATATGAATGAAGTCGCAAAACGCCTCTGAGGTCGATAGTGAGAAGCTCCATGTCATTATGGGCGAAGAAGAAGTCGCCTTGTGGTATTGACGTTGGTCGCACTTCTTTGGAGAGAATGACGAGTTTGAAAGGGTCTTCCTACAATATGCTAAGTGCCAGTTTGATACCAAATGAGAAAGCCAACCTGAAACGCGACAAACCAAACACCTTTGATTGCATCTGTGATGACCAGCAAATTTTTGAGGCAGCGAATGCTCGTGACGTACACTCCCGCATCGAGGAATGCGACTCCGACCAAGCGTTCGTCGAGGTCAAAAGCTCGCACGAATATCTAGATAGACATCAGCCTCTATGAACAGGGATCTTGTCGATCATCACCTTCTGACCCATGGAAGAAACTAGATAGCCATTCATGCCACACACCGCTGTGACAGGACCTTTGGCCTCGTCTTTGCACAGTAGTTTTAGCCGATGTCGTCTACGACCTCGTTCTTCGGTGTCCTGGATGACTTCTGCGATCTCAAAAATGTATGTCTGCGAAAATCTTGAGATTGATGGACTTCGTATGTATGTGAGTGAGCTCACCCCCCCTCGGACTGCTAAATCCTCGCCTCGATGAATACTTGTCCCCACTGCAATGAACTCCTTATTCCCGGTTTGTGTACTAAGAGTTTCAAGCTTGACTGATTCGACAATGTTCACGACTTCATTAGCCGCAAACTCGTATCTACTATGGTGTAAGCAACTAGAGCATTTCAATAGTGTCTTACCCATCGATAGTGACCCATGTTTCGGGATCAAGCAACTCCAGTGCAGATGCCCCAAGTTTTGGCAAAGAGACATTGACACCTGACATACGTCGGTAAGATCGTACGATAGTTCGGATATTTTACCATCAGGTTCCCAAGAGTTCGTTCCTTCTTCATCGAAGAGCAAAAAGTCGCGGTCATTACTTGATGCGGCCACCAGAAGACCAGTGGTGTTGCTGTAGGCAATGTTCGTCTGTGTGCGTCCCTTTCTTGTCTTACTGCAGGGATATTGACCATGGAAGGTTATCCCAGGGGTCCATTGAACGAGGCAAGACCCCTAAATGCATGAGTGATCCGCAGAATAGCACTCAGATTATGATACTCACCTCTTCTGTGCTCATCAAGAAGGTTGGAGAAAAGTCCCACATTGAACACGGAGTAAAAGAATGGACTGCCTCATATCCGCATGGCAGATGAAGAAGGCCGGAGTGATTTTTAGACAAAATCCAAGCCGGGTTGTCACCAGTAACAAATGCTCCATAGATCGAGTTCCCTTCCCAGTCAAGGACGGAGAAGGGGACGATTGTTTTCGGCAACCGCTTCTCATTTGAGCCGCCAGATGTTTGATTTTCGTCAGGAGTGGGATTTGCGAGATGGTGAACCATTCTTTTAACGAACGAGATCCGAAGCGATGGGACGGATCGACGGTCAAGTTGGGGAAGCCCTGCCTTGTCAGGCTCGAGTGGAACCATTTGGTAGACAATGAGCAAATTGGAATCGTATAAAACCTATGCATCCCTCTTATCAGAATTATATCCCACAATCAGGTGTACTCACGATGAGATGTGGACTAGGCTCGATCTCACCCAGGTCTGTGATGATGACCTGTTGTAGTGTAGTTGCACCTACGGGTAGCTCTGTCTTTGTCGCACTGTCAACTTCCTTTTTTTGGTCATGCTTTAAGACACTGGGGCCTAATGAGATACTTGACACGAAGACTAGAGCTAATTTCGGGAGTGACCAGATCTAGTCCTGTCAGTACCTTGCCGATAATGGATGGGTATAAATCACCTCTAGAGTTCCAGTGGATCGACAGAGAGCTAGCCATTTCTCTCCTCTGTTTCCAACTGCCTTAGTTTCACGCATGAGATCTTCGTCGATCTTAAGGCGACCAGTGAGGTCGTCATAGAAAGTGGCTGCCCAGTAACAAAGTTTCTACGAGCAACTTAGAAGGTACAGAATTTCGAATGAATGTCGTACCTTATCACCAAGAGGGGACATGTCTTTTCTCCTCAGCTTGCCCCTAGTGGGTTCACCAACGAAGAGTCCAAGAGTGTCATCTTCACGAAGAATGAGGACGTATGGGTCACAAATCGCTGCGTGCCGTATACGTGCTCTTGCGGTACTATTATCGCGGTCGGGAATGACCTGCTTCTCTGATCCATCTTTGTCGGGTTAATAAAACAGCCTGCGCCTGTTGATGGAATTGCTCACCTGTAGTGAGCAGGCGAAGGGAGTTAGATGTGACTTGTAAAAGATGAGTTCCGTCAAAAAATGGGGCGACAGCGATCGTGAGCATAGGTATTCGTGTTGTAATATTGATGTCTAGACGCGCTTGAGACTTTGTGGCTATCTTTTCCGACGTGAACGAGGTGTACGAGAGAGATCCTCATCAACATACCCTAGATGCTCCTGGTGTAGGCGTTGCATCCGTACTCAGTAGCGTGTTGTGGCCCAAAGGGAGCTCTATTCCGTTGCCCTGATGAACTCGCATAGACCATATGCCTTGACGGCCTGCTATTGCAGGTAATTTTTTTCGTAACCGTAGCGGCATAGTTTTCTGTGATTTGTAAGGTGGACGCCTCCAGATTCACGAGGGACACACATGAACTGTAGAGAAGCCGCCTAAGTCATCAAGGCCATTAGCTGCAATCAACGCCGGCTCTTCGGATCCCTGCTCGAGGAGTGAGTACACCACATTTCACGAACCACATACAGCTCACGCGTAACCCAAAGAAAGACGCGGCCGTGTACGATCCTGAGTCCTGTAGGTTGTCCACTGGGAGCAGGCTGAAGCTCGTGGGAACTAAAAACTTGTCAGGTGATCACAGTTCCATTCGCTTGAATGAGGGTTGGCTGACTGGTCTCCGAGGCATTAGGGAGCATAAAATCCCTGTGACTGCTCAAGTCTTGTGCATATTCGAACAGTACAGAGTCCCCAGCTGTACTCCCAAGAAACACGAGTCCATCTTTGGCGATCAGAACAGATGGGGGTGACGAAATACCAAATGTATGTACGGCAGTCAATCCCCAAACAGTACGACCTTCATGATCGATACGGATGTGAAGGCATTTCCCATTAGAAAGAGAAAGAATGACCTGTGAGTCGCTGATGTATCCCATCCGACTGCCTTCCAAGTGAATATCGTCGACAGCGTCCTGAAAGCCGTGTGAAGTGTCAGAGACCCGCGCGGCCCAGCCGCTCATTGGGAGTGTAGTGATCTTTGAAGCTTGGTCGACATGTAAGATTGAATTGGCTGTGACAACCAATACCCCTCCGAGCTTTGCATGACACGGCGACATGTACAAGGAATCATATGGGAGTTTTTCGATGGTCGCAATGACTTGATATGACCGGGATACTAGGTCCAGTGATATGAAGAAAAGTGATGTGTTATCCTTGTTTTCTTTGAGCCGCCTATAAGATATTGAGTGCGAGAGCCCCGGTAATCATAAAATGGCGTACCCAGTCCACGTTCGTTGCTCTTGGAAGAGAATTGCGATAGTCGGTACGTTAAAGCCCGGGAGAAAAACAAGGTCAAGTATATTTCTGATACGTTCGTCCATGGCAGAGACGTTGGTAACGTAGCTAGGGGAGTAGGGTAATTCTCTGGAAGCGGTAAGCTAAGACAACAACTGGAGGATACAACTTACTCTGCGATGCTTTGGATACCATCTTGTACGTCTAGCTCCGTCTGGGGTTGATACCATGGTAGTAGTGCAATGTTATCCCTCGGCATCACGAGCGCGGCACATCGGTTGGCAGGATCTGTCCGGAGGTAGGCGCGACATTCCGTAAAATCGGAGTTTAGCAGAAGCGGGCTTCGCTCATATGAATGTATTGACACCGTAGAGATATCATACAGAGTATTTGACCACTCCATAAGGGCGAGCTGAATAATGTCAGCCAATAAGAAGTTGGTCGAAAACTGGACGCACACCTTCGAATCCTGGAATGATACCAGAAGTCTATCTGGACTCCCTAACCCTGGGTTTGCAGTTCGTACCGCGGCAAGCCCGATGATGATCCCATGGAGGAGATGCTCCCTCACAAGGCAGAGACGATGACTGTGACGCGAGGGACCAGAGGACTTCAGATCACTTTCTACATGTGTTTCCTCGGTATAAATGGTCCTTCGAACGTCGTAAATACGCAAGCGGTTGTTTCGTCCGACCACCAGATTGGTGACTGAAGCACTGGTGGATGGACCAAATACAGACAAGCAATTCAGCCTTAGAAAGACTGCAAACTCTACACCACTTGAAGGCAAAACGTCGCGATAGATGCCTAACATGATGGTGAGGAGCAAGTCGGGTTTTTGTCTTTCCACCTGACTCTGATCATGGCTTCATGCGAGATACCTGTTGGTGGCGAAGAAAGGATGCAAAAGAGAAGAAAAGGGCTGGGGAAGACATGCATCAAGTGTAAACGAGACGCGGGGGCGCTTGTTCTCCGGGGGCTCGTCTACTGTCGACCGTGCACAGAGGCACTCGTCGTACAGAGATTCAGAAAGGTTATAGATGACCACATACCTCCGAATAGTGCCTCTTCCTCGATTCTTGCCATCGCATATTCTGGAGGACTGGGCTCTACGCTCCTCCTGGAGCTGGTGGCAAATATATTGGGCTCGTCTTCGACACGCTCTAGAAAGCACAGATGGGATCATATTGACGTCATCTACGTCGATCAAAGCGCTATCGAAGACCTGAGTGGTTATCAAGGGCCAAGCTCAGCAGAAGTACAACGGATTGTCACGTCTTACCCCGATTTCCGTCTAACTCAAGTGCCTCTTGAAGCGTGTTTTGACGAGGGTAGCGACGGTTCGTCCACACCACTAGTGTATTGACTCGTCTCAATGGAAATAGTACAACCATCCAGATTACTGCGCTCTCACATACAAAGTATACCGACTCGTACAGGCATGGTGGACAGTATCAACCTACTGACGCGGAGATTGCTCGAACGCACAGCCAAATCTCTGGGTGCCACTCATCTCATACTCGGTCGAAACATGTCTAGTCTCTCCATAGCTCTCCTTTCGAACATTTGCTCAGGGCGAGGTGCTTCAATATCGGACGAGACAGTGGCATCTTGGAATGGCCTTCTCAGCTTCAATCCATTGCGAGATCTGGGATCCAAGGAGTGCGCCAGCTATGTATACTGGAAGAATCTCAAAGTGATCTCGAGGGTAAATAGCTTGGAAGATTGGAGTGGGACCTCGGCGAGTATCTCCCATTTGACAAGAGGTGCGCCATACTCAGGTGAAAACGTGCTCGCTAACGCCAATCAGAATTCATCACCGGCCTCGAAAGGGATTATCCGTCCACGGTCTCGACTATCACAAAGACATGCGCTAAAGTCAGCCCCAGAGGCGACCGCCCGAGCCAATGTTCGCTATGTTATAGGTGAGTCGCCAGTCTGATTGTTGCCAATTTACCTAGTTCTATACATAGACCGATGAAGTCTGCCACCGACGAAGATAGTCAACAACATGCAGTTGCAATACTCGCCTCGAGCCCCAGGGATGCTCCCGGTACCTTGTGCTATGCATGTAACGTTCTCTTCACAAGCTCCAACAGCAAATCTTTATTCTCAGGTGGACTGGAAGTTCCCATGCCGATATGGAGCTCGCGTCCAGCGGACCTGGAGTGACGTTTACTGTTATTCGCACCTGTATTTCACGCTCGTGAAATATTTCCTCTTGTAATGAAAACACGTGAGGTGTAATGTGACCCGGGTAGCATCATAGCCGTACGCATAACCGGACCTAGTCCAACATCTTGGACTCCTCCAAACCATCGTAGAAATGTCGCCGTTAAGTTTTGAGAAGCATACCGTTGTTATCACTGGAGCTGGAGGCGGACTTGGCAAAGCGTACGCAATCTGCTCTTGCAACCGAAGGAGAACTGAGCCCCTGGTCATAGCTATTCGCTCTTTTTCGCCTCTAGAGGCGCAAATGTGGTGGTAAACGATGTTAGCAAGGATGCTGCCGACCGAGTCGTTGCAGAAATCACCAAAGGTCTGGTAGCTGTGCCCGTCGTCGATCAACCGCCCGACTGAGACTCCTTTCGTACAAAGCTGGTGGAAAGGCCATTGCGAACACTTCTTCTGTAGCGGACGGTGCTGCTGTCATCAAGTCTGCTGTCGATGCATTTGGTGGTATCACCATTCTCATCAACAACGCCGGAATTCTCAGGTGAGTATTCAGGGTCTTGAGACATCTACTCTGTATAAATGACGTTCGACCAGAGACAAAGGGTACGCGCTTACTTTCGTCGTTCCAGCTGGGTGCCTGACTTGCAGCTATAAGATTCAAGAACATGTCTGATCAGGTACGACACTACATTATATAAAGGCTTGAACCTTGACGAGAGAACTGTAGGAATGGGATGCTATTCAGCTCGTCCATTTGAAGGGTGCCTTTGCATGCACCAAAGCCGCTTGGCCAATCTTCCGAAAGCAGAAGTTTGGCAGAATCATCAACACAGCAAGCGCGGCAGGGATATATGGCAACTTTGGCCAGGCTAATTACAGTGCAGCGAAGATGGGTCTAATTGGCTTCACCAAGACGCTTGCGCGAGAGGGAGCAAAATACAATATCAAATCGACCGCTATCGCACCAGTACGTTCGATACCATAGGCCTCATCTGTCTGACTGTTGGGTGTAGATTGCAGCTTCTCCAATGACAGAGACTGTCATGCCACCTGAAATGCTCGCTGGGCTTAAGGTTTGTTAAGTTTACTTGCACTAGCCACGTGTCACTTATCTTCTAATGATCAGCCCGAATTTGTCGTTCCATTGGTTGCAGCATTGACCCATCCGAATGGCCCAGACGCAAGCGGCAAAGTTTTTGAAGTAGGGGCAGGATTCGTTGCAGAAATTCGTTGGGAAAGGAGCAAAGGTGCCATTTTCAAAACAGATTACACCTTTACTCCTTCCGCGGTTAGGGAACGATGGGCAGAAGTGACTGATTTCTCCAACGCTACCCATCCAAATGGTATGGGCGATACGAATCTCCAGGTAGGTCTAGATGGTCATTTGACTTCTTGCTCAATTCTTTGTACAGGCCCTGCTTGAGGAATCCAAGCAACTCCCTGAGAATAAACAATCGTCTCCCGCCGTTCGCTTCGATAACCAGACCGTTATTGTCACCGGTGCAGGTGCAGGTCTTGGGCGCGTCTATTCGCTGATGTTTGCCTCCCTCGGTGCCAACGTTGTCGTCAACGACGTTAGCGAAAAGGGTGCCAATGCCGTTGTTGACGATATCGTCAAAGGTGCGCCGACGTCTTCCACCTGGACAAATCAATGCTCAGACACCCCTCAGCCGGCGGAAAGGCCGTCGCAGTCGTTTGTTCCGCCGAAAATGGAGAGGCTTTGGTAAAGGGTGCTCTCGATGCGTTCAAAGGCGTGCATGTTCTTGTCGCAAACGCTGGTATCCTTAGGGACAAGTCATTCACCGCGATGTCGGAAAAGGAATGGGACGATGTCATTCAAGTTCATCTTAGGTGCGCACTCTTATTCATCAACAAAACAACCAACTCACCTTCCACAGGGGTACTTATAAGGTAGCATACTCACAAATACCCGGCATTCCTCGATTTATCATTATTTTCAGGGTGCAAAAGCCGTGTGGCCCATTTTTCAGCAACAGAAGTACGGTCGGATACTCACCACAGCGTCCTCGGTTGGGATTTGTAGGTCTATCGTTACCTCTTCTGACATCTATACTCAAGATGATTGTAGATGGCAATTTTGGACAGGCCAACGTGAGCATTGACGAAAGTTATGAGTATTCTCCTAAGCCACTGAACAGTATTCCACCGCAAAAGCTGCAATCATAGGCTTCACCAAGAGCTTGGCTATCGAAGGGCGCAAATATGGCATCTTTGCGAACGTTCTTGCGCCTTCTGCTGGAACTGCAATGACTCAAACAATTTGGTAAGGCACCAAAAATCACAAATGACCCATGACTGAGTCCACATAAGGCCACAAGAGATGGTAGAAATGTTCAAACCAGAGTTTGTTGCCCCAATTGTGGGATATTTGACCAGCCAAGGTGTGTCTAATCTCTTTGCATCACGATTCCCTCTCGCTCAAAGTACATGTAGCAAATGAGAGCACCACTGGGCGTCTATTTGAGGTTACTGGCGGCTGGGCAGCCGAGACTCGCTGGCAACGATCCGGCGGGTATGGATTCCCCCATAACAAAGAATTGACCCCGGAGGCAGTTGTCTCAAAATGGGAGATCATTACAAGATTCGGTATGTGAGAAATTTGTGTGGTATAGTCGGTCTGAACGTGTATAGATGATCGTGCGACCCATCCCACGTCTACCCAGGAAGCCCTCCAACAGGTATGTCTGCTGGAATCGAGATCTCCGTGCCGTCTAAATATTTGAAGATTGTCGAAAACTTTGGTAACAACGCCACTACCTCTGACGACGACCATGAAAGCTTTATTGATCCAGAGGACCCTCCCGTCGTCGTCGAAGCCAAGAAGCGGAAGATCGAGCCTAGCGAGTTTACGTACACGGAGAAGGATGTTATTCTGTACAATCTCGGGATAGGAGCCACAGAGAAGGATCTACAGTGGGTGTTTGAAAACGACGACAACTTCCAGGCTCTCCCGACTTTCGGTGTGATTCCACAGTTCCCGGCCAGTGCAGGTTTGGGATTCGATTGGGTTCCGAATTTCAATCCTGTGCGTTTATCCAGTCACCGTCAGTCCTGTCATGTGGAATGTCACTAACGATGCATACAGGCCAAGCTACTTCACGGGGAACAGTATCTCGAGATCAAAGGTGCTATTCCCACGAGCGGAACGCTCATAAACGAAGTCAAGTCGGTGCACATATCTTGGATGGCAGGTCGAGACTTAACTCTTCGTACAGGTTGCTTGAGGTCCTCGACAAGGGGAAACAAACGGCCGTTACAGCCATTGTATACACCAAGGATAAAGCATCAGGCAAGCTCGTTTTCGAGAATCAGTCCACGGTCGTCCTGCGCGGATCTGGAGGTTTTGGGGGGAAGAAGACTGGGAAAGGTGAGCTGATTTGACTTCTAAGGACGTGGAAAAAGCTCATGTATGATATAGATCGTGGTGCTGCTAGCGCCGCCAACGTTCCACCGAAGCGCGCACCAGACGCTGTGGTGGAAGAACGAACATTGTCATCACAAGCGGCTTTGTATCGGCTAAGTGGAGATGCCAACCCATTGCATGTGAGTGCGCGCATGATGGCTAAACCTCCTGCCGCTCATGCCGCCCTCTAGATTCAACCAGAGTTTGCGGCTATTGGAGGGTTTGACAGACCTATTCTGTGAGTCTGGCTCAATGCTGTCAAATGAGCATACTGACGCTATGAAGGCATGGTCTTGCATTCTTTGGTTTTGCGGGCAAGCATGTTCTCCAGACCTATGGCGAATTCAAGGATATCAAGGCCAGGTTCTCCGGTTCTGTCTATCCTGGTGAGACCCTTGTCACTGAGATGTGGAAGGAAGGGGACAAAGTCATCTTTGGTGAGTAGCCTAAAGTGAACGACCTGTGCGTCACTAAATCCTTCACTTAGTCACCAAGGTCAAGGAGAGGGGTACAATTTGTCTATCTGCTGCGGCTGCCACACTCAAAGAGGGTCGATCGAAGATCTAGGCGCGTGGTTATTGTCGGATCCCTTTTTGTATTCTTCCATATTGCTCTCCTGTTTGCAAGCTATCCCTCTGCGTGAACACTATGGTCTGCTTATCAGTCAAAATACGAAAGAAGACGATTGATGGTCGATTCAGAGTTCACGGGTCGAAATTCTTAATGCGGGTGGTTACCGATCCGATGGACGGACGCAGTACGAGTTGAGGTCATTAGAGATTATCCTTGGAGACTCCTCTCGGCCCAGGACAATAAATTTGCATGACTCGGCCTCGAATCCGCATCCAAACGCTCCAGACGGCTCTGCTATCGTCGGCCATGGCCTGACCGTAGTGTCAGCTCGAGTCTTTGGCCCAAGAGAGCCGCTGTTGAGAAGGGAGGCAATCCACGACCGTGCAAAACTCAGCGTTCAAGTCGCCATGCTCCCTTTTTCTGGTGGCATGGCAGGACGACGGCGAGGTCGAGGTGACAAGTGCGTTACCTGCATATCTTTTAGGCCTTTATCATTGTATATCTGACACCTCTTTAGGCGGCTCTTGGAACTCGGGGCTGCCATCGAGTCTACGTTCGAATCTGTCGTCCAGACTGGACTTTATCCACGATCACAGATTGATATTGTCGTTGAAATACATCAACAAGATGGAGGGACACTTCAGGCAGCAATCAACTCGGTCACACTCGCCCTTACAGACGCCGGAGTCGCCATGTATGACCAGGTTGTTGCAGTATCCGCTGGGCTACATTCGACGGCAGTTCTTCTCGACCTCACTCACCACGAAGAAAACGACATGCCTCATCTCACCGTTGCGGTCATGCCTCGCTCCGGCAAAGTCACCCTACTAAACATGGAGGCCAGGCTTCATGTCACTCGATTCGAGGCCGTCTTCAAAATTGCCTGTGAAGCGGTAACCGTAATTCGAGACGAGATGAACAGTGTCATCTCCAAACGCACGACCTCTCTGGTCGCCTCCATTTCCGACAGCGCCGGCCCGCGTAATCTAAGAGCTGGGAATGAAATGGACGAATAAAGGATTGAGAAGGGGATTCCCGAAAAAGTATCGATGAACCTGTATATACGGTTACACTGTGTCTATCCTTGGCGCCTAGTCGAACAAAGCGCGACGCAGGGAGAATAATCCATCCAAAAGAGAGTGTTAAAAGACAGGATGTCCAACGAACGATGGGATTGTCCAGATATGTGCAAGAGTGAAAGAGACGAAATGGAGAAAATGCTCATTCCGCACGGCCTCTGTTGGCTATTTGGCGGAATCGGTCCTTTTCTGATTCCAAGTGCTGCACGATCATGCCGTCAAACTTTCGAGCCTCTTCCTGCTGAGCCTGGGTATCCCGCCATTGCTCAACGGCCGTTATTCCTTCGGCTCGACGAGTCGCTGCATCCACGGGTGTCGGACTCTCATTCGTGGGTTCGACATCAACTGTCACGGAAAGGGGCTGTGGTACAGTCTTGGGCGATCGAAAGGCAAAGAAACGAGGTGAGGAGGGGCTAATGGGTGGGCAATTGGTGATCCCTCGCCTAGGATCGAGCGTTGGCACAGGCGAATTATCGACTGGGGTGTGATGTTTAGCCGTGCTAGGAGTGGTGGGCCCGAGGGCGCTGTTAGAGAGCGCCCCTGTCGGGTGTACATAGATGATAGTTGAATGGCCTTCCGTATCAGAAGATGGGAGCGGTGGAACTGGAGGAGGAGGTGCTTGTTGTGTCGTTGAAGAAGATGTCCGCCTGGATGGCGAGAGAGACCTCGAGCGGGACCGACACCGCAGGTAAGCAAGACTTGAATTGCTTGAGCCTTGATCGTTTGAAGCGCGAGACTTTGGCTCTCTCCGACGTTCACCAAACGTGGCAGAGTAGTGAGAAACGCGAGATTCCGAAATGGAAGGTCGAGGAGCAGAGTGGATCGACGAAGCAGACATCGAAGGCCGGGAAGGGGTGTTTCTCCCAGCTTCCTGGTCGTCGTAGTGTGACTGAGTAAATTCAGTGGCCGCAGAATATCGCGGCTGCTCTGTCGAGAGCCCAAAGGGGCTGGCACCATATGGCATGGATTGCGAAAGGGAAGGACGGGGTGACTGAGTAAAGGACGGCCGGATGAACATGCTTGTGCGCTCAGAATCCACAGAATGTTCCTGAAGATGTTGAACGATAGATTTTGGGCTGTGTTCGAGTTCGGCGGGCGGAGAGCTTCTTTGCACGGGCGACTCGTCGGCACTTCGTGTTCGATCACGGCGTGGTCTCGGAGGCGGATTGAGAGTGGAACTATTGGGCTCTTGCAGTCGAAGGGGCCTGGCATCGCCAGAAGCGGCAGTCAAGGTCGGCAGCGACGTGATGGGTTGGCCATATGACGACGACGATGGATTTTGCTCCGAGGGCAGGGATTGCTTTCGGACGGGTGGAGAGACGAGGCTCAATCCTACTGCTTGTTGCAATAGATCCTTTCGCCAATCTCCGGTCGGTTGCTGGGGCGAAACAACGACCTGGCGGGGTGGTGCGACATACTGGACGGCATCCACGGCCGTAGTAGGGTCTACAAAGTCATAAAAAGTATTATTTGCATCGTCGGACTGAGGGAGCGGCTCTGGAGATAGGTCCTGGAGCTGCTCGCGAATGACGACGACTCTATTCTGCGGACGGGTATTCCGGGGCTTGGAAATTGCGGGAGCAGGTATCTGTGGTGTAGACGGCGAGGACTTGGGAGATTTATTGGGTCGGAAGAGGGTGCGGAGGGTCGGAGGCTTGTGCGGGGTAGGCGGTGTCGATGAGAGCTGCGTCGGCTTTACATGGGGCGGGGGTAAAAAGTAATTGTTTTTGACGAGGAGCTTGAGGCGATAGGAAACGTCGTCTGCGTCGAGCAGCGGCAGTTCAACAGAATGCTCTGGAGGCGTTTCGGGACCAGAAAACGCAGAACTGGTGACGGTGGACGGAGGATAGAGGGACGATTGCTGGCTGAGTATAGACTCTCTCTGTCTCCGGCTTGTACTTGCATATGCGCTCGGCGGGGCTGCAAACGGCGGCGGCGAGGGGGTTGATACCGCTCTTGCTCGTGGGACGCTCCTGGCCCGCACTCTGTTCACAGAAACATTCTGAAAGTGTATGTGAGCCAATTAAGCACCATTCTAAGCCGCGCCGCCTTACCTGTCGCGGTCGCTCGTCGTCGGTACGGGCGCGGTCTGGTGAACGCAATGGACGCGGCGGCGGCGGTGAGGCAACTGGGACGATGATCGGGCGTGAATAGTTGAGAAATCCAAGCCCGTCGACGTTTGCGGCCATCGTGGTCGGGGTCAAAAGACGCTGCGACGCCGTCAAACTCCGCGCGCCATATGCAAAGCCGCTTGCTGGCTTCGATCAAACCCGGCCGTAGTCAATGATGGACCTTCCGTCGCCGACGCACTAGTAACATTCATCAATTAAATAAATATCTCCGACATGCTGTTTCAGTATGCTGCACTCGCTCCAGCAGGCCCAACCAGCTTTCGTAGCTTCTCCTCTTGGAACGCCGGGAGCTTCATCATGTCTAGCGCGAGCGTCGTAATCTTGTTCGAAAACTCGAGCGATCTGCCCGTCCCACCACTCCTGTTGCTCGTCCCTCGCACCCGTCCATCTGCGCCAACCCAGCCAACGCCCCTCTCGAGCAATTTCTGCACCCTGCTTATGCGGGGTTCGGGAAGGGATTTGCCTCGTGCCACATAGGCAATGGCGCGCTCGTCATCTTCCTCACGAAGCTTTCGTACCTCTCGCCCAATCGACGCAAGCTCGGTTGCACACGTACGATACGCTCCAGGTAGGTCTGTCAGTCGTACATTCCTAGACATGACTCGGATCAAATTTGGTGTGTCTCCAGAGCCTTGTTGTAGAGTCGGGGATACGTTGAGGATCGCAAGGCCCATCGCAGAGTAATACGCCCGCTTTTCGTCTTTGGCAAGAACAGGTCGGAGGACAGACGAGCCCAGGCATTCTGCAATTGCGGCATACACCGTCTCCACGATTGCATCTACATCTGGGTTTTTGACATCTTCACGCGGTCGATTCGCTTCCGCCTTTGGTGCATTGTCCAAGAGCGTCGGTGCATACTCTGAACGCCGGCTCCCAGACGGACCTGCGCCATGGTAAGAACTCGCTGCAACTGGATTTGCTTGAAACGCGTTCGCATAGCCGGGTGAAATCTGAGGCGACGCAGGTCTCGGTGATGGGGAATGGCCGTTTGACAGAGGATGTGGGTGAGGAGGTATGGGACCATAAGAGTGTACCATATTCGCAGGTGGCATATGTGGGAGCGGAGAGTTTGATCTACCCCGGTAATATGCTGAGGCATCTTGCGGCGTGATCGCAACGCTGCTTGGATGGAGACGCGAGTCAGATGAGTTGCGATCCGAAGACTGCGAGGACTTTTCTTGATTACCGCGCTAGCAGATAGTAAATATCAGGGCGATCTCCGTTAAGATGCAGAGGACCTACTAGGAAAGTTTTCACGCTGTCGAAGAACCCTTCCTTCTTCGGCTCTGGTTCACTCGATACAACTTGCGGGACTGGATTCCCAGTGGGGCCTGGATACCAGGTTGGGTAGTTGGGGTCTGATCCCCAATTGGGAATGAGAGGATTGCTGGACCCATTATTGACGAAACCATCGCTGCGAAGTGGTCCCTGACTAGGCTCTGCAGAAGGGTACATGATCCTTCCGACCCGTCGTGATCGTACCGATTCGTGGTCAGAGTGCGCTAAACTAGAGTTGGAACCCATCGCATATTGATCTCGAACCTTTTGGAGGTCATAGGCAGACGATGAAGAGACTTCTGAGATGGAGGGTACAAAGAAAACCTGGCTAGACACCGGTGCCATATTGACCAGGGTGGGTGGAGGGGGAGGGATTGTGAAAGGTGCAGGAGCGGGAGCATTTTGGTCTGGTACTGCAGACATTGATGGTACCTCAAACATGTTGACAAGGGGTTGTTGAGGTGGCTGGGGAGATGGAGAGGGTCTTGGCGGTAGTGGTCGTGGCCCTCGTTGGCGAACAGGAGGGGTGTCAGACGGCATGGGTTGTAGATGAACAACACCGATCGGGTTATTGGGCGGTGGGCCCGGTAAAGTCGTTCCTCGAGAAGCCTTGTGCATGTCCTCAAGATGGGTAGAGGCCAAGAGGTTGGATAGGTCGGCCTGTCCGGGAGTAAAAGCTGGAATTGTGATAGGTGCAACTCCGCTGTATATATCCGTTGATTGGTTTCGTGATGAAGGGCGCTCTGGGTATGAGCCCGGCTGTGCGCGCAGGGGGCGCGGGGATGAGGCGGTTAACGCCGGGTGATGATGGGGATTCATCTAGCGTGGTCATATTAGTCCCAACAATATGGCCGTGGATAAATATCCCGTTGACGCACCTCCGATCCGGTGGCTGTCCCATCATTATCGCCGTATTCTCCATCCAACAACGGCATGTTGTCTGCTCCCAGCCTTAGGGACTGAGTGCTACTCTTGGGCTTCAAAGATTGTCCCCGTTCTCCGTTCATGTCAGAGTAGCCCTTGTCACCTCGCCGCGAGCTTGATCGTGAGTGGGATCGTGACCCACGTCGCGACGAGCGGGACGAAGACCGTGAGCTATTCTGAGAAGAGGTCGGCTCTGAACCTTCTCCGACAGTTGGGAGCTGCATGATATTCATCGTGCCTTTGCGAATGGGCATCATTGACACCCTGGCAGACTCCTTGAGCGCATTCATCATGGCTTCGTCAAGCTGATCCAGGAACGATCTACTTTGATTGATCTCCTTGGCCAACTTTCGTAAATCAGTGGCTAGTTGATTCACCTAGAAAAACGAAATCAATCGCATATGCAAAAACGTCAAACCACTCACCAAGGGATGCATGACACTCTCCGTCAAATCCAAGTCACAGATAATCCTCGCAATCGTAGACTGTCTCGGAGGATCGAGTTGCTGAACTCGCTGAGCAACATTTTGCCAAGCAGCAAAAAAGGGCTTAAGCGCATCTGGGCTGTTGCTGCTGGTGACTGGTACCGTATTCTCCGCATATGGCTTTCCGTTTGCATCCATCTTTACGAGTGGCAGCTCGCAAATCGGTGGGTCGCCGTCAGCGAGAACCGCAGATGCCAGCAAGTCCAGGGCGGTGCCTATTCCGAGGCATCAGACACATAAAAGACGCATAATTGACTATCTCCTACCGCAAATGCTCATGTCTTGCCGTGCCGCAACGACCATCTCGGGCTCTATGAGAGGGAAGGAAGCCCCCATATCTAGAAACTGTTCCAATCTCCAGCTGAGTCCCTTGAGCACATCTTTTACATCAAGCAACGGCGTATTCTGCTGCACCGTGGACGACTCTGCCCAGTGGGGGTGTCTGATGAGGATTGTCTTGGAGGGTGGTTGGCGAGAACCTGGTACTTTCGTGCGCTGATTACTTCCAGTTGTCACAAACATGCGTGAAGCAGGCGAAGTCGCCCTAGGCGTGGTGACATGCGGCCGGATGGTTGCATTTGAGGACGTCGAAGACGATGTGGAGACGGTAGATGGTGCACCAGGTCTCTGAGCTGTTCTCTGAGTAGTTATGGTCATTGTTGGTCGCGATGCCATGGCTGGTTTGGTACAGTAACGTTTGTTCGCCTTGCGGACTCGCTGGTTGTGCCGATAGTTGAGGTTCCAGCGATAACAGGTGATTTAGAAATATTTGGGTTGATTTAAACTTGCGAATGGACCGGACACAGGAAGAGGAAGTTACGAGGGAGGGTCAAAAGACGCGGATCCCACCAAGACACTTAGTCTAACCTCGATATCCGATTTCAATTTGAAATAAATGAACATGGTTGCGCTATGGTGTCTTTGCTGTGAACTAAGCAATGTACAAGTATCTGCGCTGCCACCAGGGCAGTGGCTACCGTTCACGGGGCGCTCGAAACTAGACTGGCTATGAAAACAGTTTCAAGTTGAGTAATCTACAGCAAAAGTAATGGACACGGCGAAACACAGGCACTACACTTTACTGATCGTTCTTCTTTTTGTCCTTCTCCGTTGGTTCGGGCGCATGCTTGATCAAAACGAACACATCGGCATTTGTTTCCTCCCCACTCACACCACCGACTTCACCGGGTGCTACAGGCTTGTTCATCTCCTCCTTGACACGTCTTTCACGGGCTTGACGGAGAGCATGCAGCTCGCGAAGTGTCGCAGAATGAGACTGAGTCGGTCCAAAGTAGGAAGTTCCTGCAAGAGTACCGATAATGCAAGTGCCGACGAGGATGGAGAGGTAGAAGCGATACTGAGAATACCAGACTGGGGCTGAAAGCAGAGTCAGATATATAGGAGATGCAAGTCCAGGGGTACTTACTCCACCCGGCTGCAGTTGCTCGCATATCGGCGAGCCAAAGCCCAGTAAAGCCAGCCCACTGTGCAACCAGAGCGAGTCCAGGATCGAGACCAAGCGTTGCCCACCCAACTATTGTTGGCGCAATGCCGAGTAGTAGTCTCGGGGCACCTTTGGAGCCATTGAACTGGGCAAATTCGAGACCCCAGTGAATAGCACCCAGGAAACCCAACATGACCGCGCCGTAAGTAACCTGAACGTTCATGGCTTGATCGAGAAGACTCATAGCAAGGCCAGGATCTATCTTGGACGCTATGCCTGAAGCAGCCTGACCGGCCTGATTTGCGAGGTAGACGGAATAAATAGACGTCCCAAGGTATGGTAGACTCCCAGCGAGACCAAATACCATTACAGGGCTGCAAACTTGTTAGATATACAATCAATTCAAGGTCATACGTACGTCGGAACAGCCGACGCAATAGCGCTCGTAATGCCCACAAAGCCGCTGTTGAGCGGAGAGTCCTGGGCTGTCGAGCCGAACGGCTGTGGAGCTGCCGCGATCTTTTGCGCGACGTCTTCAATTGCGTGTCCAGCCTCCTCGCGAATATTTTGAACGGCATGAGGGATCGACTGTGACCCAGGGCGATTGGAGACTTGGCTTGCTGCGAGTCGAATACCTCCTAGAGTCGCAAGGGGCAGTTTTGACGGTTTATAGTTGACGAGCGGCCGCTGGGAGTGTGTCGAGAGATAGCGGGGGGTGGTGGTCGAAAGACGGAGCAAGAGCGATGAACGGGAGGAGAGGCCTGTTCGTGCTATGATCATGTTTTCTGCAAGCAGAAAGATGTGGAAGAGTCCAAGATTGAGGCCCAAACAAGGCGGAGCTACGATCGACGTCATGCATTATGACCCAATCCCATCGAGACAAGTCCAAAAAGCTTTGATTGGTCAGGAATCCTACAATCGATTATAATCCTCAGGCTACAGTCGGGATATTTGCTTTATCCAAGTCGACACTTTTGTTATAGTTGTGGCCCATCCGCTTGGTGCCTTCCTTCTTGACTCGCCTCAGCAGCTTCTCCATCGCATCCAAACCCATGTCAAGATCCTAACATCAAATTGAACAGACGTTTCGGGCTCAATGCTCTGCGTACCTTGAGCGGCGGGCCAAAGCTCAGGCGGACAAAGTGATGGCACGGTGACCTGAACAAATCGCGCCGATGAGACGGGTTGATCTCAAAGAAAATGCCTGGAACGACAATAGTTTTCTCCCTCAGCAGCTCTTCAAAAAATGTCAACCCACTGTAACTGTATCAGTGAGATCCCAGGATCCTAACAGTGCACACACTTGTTTAATGGTTCCGGTAGGGCAGATAGGTCAAGCCATACGTAAAAGGTGGCTTGTGGGACGACAATAACCTTGAGACCCATGCGCTCCAAGCGCGAGAGGACATGGTCACGCTTCCGTTTAAAGTGCATTTGCAAAGCAACCTATCATTGTCAGCACCATAATATGTCTAGAGTTTCAGTACACACCTTTTCTTGCTTGATATGATCTGGTTGTAGGAGGGGAATAGCGGCGACTTGGAGACTAATCATGATCAGCCTTAGCAGCAGGAGGGATACAATACAACATACGGGTGATTAGCTCCGCCATCAAGGAAGGAGCCTGATTGCGATAGTGCAGAGATCAGGTTCTTGGGGCCGACCACCCAGCACACTCTCCAGCCTGGAAGTCGCCAGTTCTGCAAGAATGAACAGATGCTCTAGGAGAAAAAAAAAGTTTCGCACCTTGGTCAAGCCGTCGATCAGTACTACAGGGTCCTGTTATTTGGTAAGACGTATCCCCTTGGATATGTGTACGCTAACCTCGTTGACATCTGAAATGGATTAGTCAGGTAGGTCCAAGCAGAAACCAGGAGCGCACCATCGATATATGAAGCTCCGGATATCGAGGTTCCAATGTCCTCATTATTCTCGTGATAGATGTACCAAGAGTAAAACTAGGGTCTATCAGACAAGCAATGGGAAATCTCTGAGGCTCACCTCGTCAAGAATAATAGTCGTCTTCTGCTTCGAGAGCTCGACGAGCTCCTTGAGTTCATCACCCCTTTTCACGTTTAGCGCCACCAATGTGAGCGATTCTTGAATCAGACTTACTTGATCATTTGACCAGTTGGATTGCGAGGATTAGATGCAAGTAGAACGGAAAGACCCTGGTTTTCAATGTCTCGCTTGACTTGCTTGATGTCCAGCTTGTAATGCTTCTCCGCCTCGAGAGCGGTCGGAATCGGAACCAGGCGTCGAAAGACTTCCAAGGATTGTGCATAGGCGGTATAATCAGGGACCTGGAAGCCGAGATAGCTATACCGGGAGATTAGCATATCCAAACTTGGTGAGTGATGGCTCGTACGCACACATCGCCGACAACAGCTGCCACACGAGAGAGGCCGGCACGACCTCCTGGGACTATACACACGTTTTCGTATGTGTATTGGGATTTCATCCCATTGCGGTAAGTGTTGTTGTACATGTTGGCGACGGCCTCTCGGAGGGCTACGGAACGGGGATCAACGACCAGATGGGTCGAGAAGATGACGACATTACCTTTGACGCCTGTGGTGGGCGCATACTCGAGCTCGTCTACGTGCATAGTAATAGAGGTCGGGCGAGGAGGAGCGTCTGGAATGGGGCCGACCTCGGGTGCACCCTGGCCCATGTTGCTCCACGAGTGCGAGTCGGCATATGAGAATCCGTTTGCGATTGCTCTATCAGTGCAGTAGATGACGCCTGTACTCCCTGGATGGACGATGCCGGGCATCATGTCCTCTTCATCCGGATTGACTGTACTGGGCTGTCCTTTTACAGAATGACCAATATAGCTGCGATAAATCTATACCATTATCATCAGTCAGCAACCCACTAGGGGCTCGTCGGTGAGCAGACCTGATGAGCCTCGGAGTCGCCCTCATGCTTCTGTTGCTCAATGACCGTGTTCACAGCTGTTCATATCGATGTTTAGTATTTTGTTCGTAGCGTCGGACGAGACGAGCTCACCCTCTCTGAAGAAGCTGAGCACGCTCTCAGCGCGGTGGGGGGAACCAGGTCGACTGGAAAAAGGAGAACCGCGAGACGAATTTGTTGTGAGAATCCTTGGATTGCTCTTGTTGAATCTGTCCGTCCGATCCATGGGTTTCAAGGCGTGGTGCAATGCGTACAACTAGTGGTGGGGAGAGTCAAGATGTATTATTTCTTTTGGGGCATTTGGTCGTAAACGGAGTTGGGAATTACCCGTGCGCGCGTGCGTCACTGCTATTCTCAGATACCGCCGGCTATTACGCCCATATTTGTCCAAGTAGGCAACTCTCTACAGCACAGTGTGGAAATATACACAAAGTACACGAAAAGATGTTTATTAGAATTATGCCCAGTTGTCGATCAGTGCGTCCCGCATCTCGCCGATCACCCGAGACGAGTCGTAGCCTTGCAGTTCTGAACTCGCCGTCAGCACAAACCATGTCAGGGAAAAAATACAAGAGAGAAATACGCACTGAATGCGGCTTCTATTACGCTGACCTCGGCCGCAGTCGTGTCCATACCGGTAAACGCGCACCAGTCGTTGACGACAAGGCCAGCACCAATCACATCTGATCCACGGTTTACCGTCCCAGCCTAGTATATAGTTTGAATATCGAGTCAACGTGATCAAGCGGCGAACCCACCACGAGCGGTACCTGGAGCAGACTCGACAGCTCGTCCTGGCTCTGTATGCTCGTCTTTGGATGTACGAGACCACCTTGGTTGCTGAGTGCGCAGTAACTGCCCACAAGGACATTATCTGCGACAGTCTGGCGGAATACTTCAACCTTGAGAACGTCGGCGATAATCTCCTCTGTCTCTCGATCAACATCTGGATGGACAAGTGCGACATGATCGTTGCATGCAATCACATTTCCTAGCGCAGACAATCGCTCCTCGATTCGCTGCAGGGCAACTGTGTCTGGCAGCGAATTTCGGAGATGCTGCAGCTCCTGGTCTGTTGTACCTGCTGGTACAAGCAGTCCATGTCTGTTTCCAGCCGTTAGACGGCCAATTATACGCGTGCCGGCGATGGAGGCGTGTACGATGGGGATGACATCTCCGAGTTCGCTCTCGAATGCCGACTGGAGAAAACAGAGTAAGAATAAGCATTTTATTGGAGAATATACACACATAAAAGTTGGTTGAGCCTCCGATGGCGGTCAGGCAATAGCTGATGGCAGACGATTGAGTGATATGAAACGTTGAGCTGTTAGAAGAGTACAGACGTATTTGTGAGCTTGGAAAAGACTCCAATGTCGCTGCTATTCTCGTATTGAAGACCTAACGATCCGTCTTCGTCAGCGCTTGTGCGTGGTATTTGATCCAAAGGTTCACGTACGGACTGCCATGGCAAAGTAATGCGCAAAGGAAATGCTGGTGTAGACGCGAGGAAAAGGCCAGCGGCAGTGGCTGGGTTTATGTGCCAAACCCAACTCGGACTCGGCACCGTCGACGGTTTGACTCGTCCAGGCGCTGACTCGCCGTTATGAATCGCGTTTTCAGAAAATTCCATCTCAATAGTCTACGCGCTCAGCAAATACGTCGGCATTCGACAGCGAGCACACCGTTGGAGCGCCTTCTCTTGCAGAACATAAAGGCATAGCGCATTCCTTGGATCAGAAAATGGAGCTAATATAGAATAGGCTACAGGTCCCATCAATGTCGCAAGCTACATGCAGTTCTGCCTGGCTCATCCAACCCATGGTTATTACATGAAGCAAGATCCCTTTGGTGTCGCCGGAGACTTTATTACCAGTCCAGAGATTACACAAATGTTCGGCGAGGTGCTTTTTTGTCACTCGACGACGGCCTTCACTAACATGTCAAAGGGCAGCTCATCGCCATCTGGTTCATGTCCGCACTAGAAACCGCGTTTCACGGCAACTCTCAGAAACTAAACTTACGACTTGTGGAGCTAGGCCCGGGAGAGGGACGCTAACGGCCGACATCCTTCGTGTATGGTCTCATTTGTACCCTTTTGACACGTATTTACCGGTACTTAGACAATGACTGGGCCGTTGGCAAAGCGAACCGGCTTGGGACCGTTGACATCGGTGCATTTGGTCGAAACGAGCAAGGCTTTGCAAGAGAAGCAGCAGGCTACTCTGGCCGACTACTCGCAATCTCCAATCTCCATCTCCTGGCATGCAGACATTGACGATGTCCCACGCCAGGTATGACATCCTCGGGTCTCGCCGACGCTAAACTAATACCCTACTTTCTCGCGTGGATGTTTCCGTCGTCGGCATTCTTCTCACTCGATAGACAGGTGAACGGACATTGATCATTGCCAACGAGTTTTTCGACGCCCTACCTATTCACGTCTTCGAGGTGAGGAGCACATCCGTGATTCAACGCTTGCTCATAAAGGTAGAAAGAGAATGATGGTTGGCATGAAATATTCGTAGACGCAGCTCCACCGAATGGAGTTACGCTTCATCCTCAGCCTCATGATGGTGAGGGCATTGTGCTCCTGAACCAACCGTCAGAACTGACCGGCTATTGGAGGCCTCGCTCCTACCCAGACCCTACGCTTCGCCAAGGGTCGTCAAGTTACTCCTGTACCATTCATCACATCGAACCCACGTTTCTCATCACTCCCGCTTGGTAGTCGTATCGAATACTCGAGAGCAAGCGTCGGCGTCATGAGGTCGATCGCAGAACTCATGGCAGATGGAGGATTGGGTCTAGTGATAGATTATGGCGCCGAGCACGCGTTCTCGAGCTCGTTACGGGTATGAGGACGAGGCCTATATGAAATGAGCTGCCTGACATGGTTGCACCAGGGGGTACGAAGACATGCGATCGTAGAGCCGTTTACTACGCCCGGTGACTGCGATTTGACGGCAAATGTCGACTTTGCTACACTGAGAGATGCTATTCGCGACATTCCTGGAGGTTTGTCTGTTTGTTTGGACAACGGGGTAAGTATTGACCATGAGAGCAGTCCAGGTCCTCGGACCTGTATCTCAACAGACGTTCCTACTCAAGATGGGATTAGAGACACGTATTTCGGGGCTCATGCGTTCAGCACCGAACGACGACCGAAGACGCGCGATCCGGCAAGCTGGACTGCGCCTCATTGACGGAAGTTCACAAGGAATGGGGAAGACGTTTCAAGTGATGGGCCTAAACGTCTCTTCTGACAGCCACAACGAGGTAATTTACCCCTTTCAATAGGGTTTTCAAGCAGTTGTAGCTAGCTCAGGAGCAATTCAAACTTCTATTGGGAGCCAATCGGGAACCGCCCCGCCTCTATATCCCCGTCGGAGTTTGTGGACGGGAGTTGCACAAGATCCTGGGACCTGGCTCAAATGCGCTGGGCCGGTGGCTTGGTTGAATTTAATACCCGAGCGGTGCCTAGCAGCGACCGCTATAAGGGCATTTTGAAGCGGCTGAATATCTTGCCTTCCCCGCGATTTGGACGCTCACAAAATATGGAGTCTGCAGGAGGTGACTTACAGAGGCTACTGGTGGCAATACAGGGGTCAGACCACGAATACCATACGCTCACGGCCATTCGCTGACCATCTATCCCGTTTACAGGCCTTCGTATTCTCAACTGCTACATTGCCCTCATAATTCTCGCCAGTGTTATCAACGGCTATGACTCTTCTGTTCTTAATGGTATGATTCACCATGGCGTCTCGGTTCTGAAGGTCGAGCGATCATTCGCTTGGTTCCACATAGGTCTTCAAATGCTCCCCGAGTTTAAGAAACATTTCAACTCACCCGATGGGTCCACGCTTGGCTTCATGAGCGCTGCGCAAAACTTTGGAGGCCTCGTTGTAGGTCGATATGCGTAACATTGCCGTAGTTCCTCACGAGATATTAGATGCTCCCATTTGCGCCCCACATTAGCGATGGGATTGGTCGTCGCAAGGCATTATCCATCGGCTGCTTTATCGTTGTGGGGGGCGTCGTGCTCCAAGTGCTGGCTGCCAATGTCGGCCACTTTATCGCGTCGCGCTGCATCAGTACGTCATTCCCACTTCCCACATATAACTCGGCTGTCCCGTTCTTTTGACACCTCGACAGTCGGTGTAGGGATCTGCATGATCGTCAACGCGGCACCTGTCTTGATCACCGAGCTGAGCTATCCAACCCAACGCGGTGCGCTCACAGCTCTCTTCAACACAGTCTGGTACTTTGGCTCCATCTTTTCCGCGTGGGTGTGTTACGCCACTCTCCGAACGCTTACAGGCAGCATCTGGGAATGGCGGTCCGTCATTTTGAACCTTTGATTATCTTTCATCTCATTCTACCTGTAGAGTTCCTAGCATGCTCCAAGCCGTCTTCGCGATGATCCTGGGTACATTCGTTCTCTTTATTCCAGAGAGCCCCAGGCGAGTCCTATCCTACCACGTGCTCCCCATATGACAAACTAACCTTTACTCTTTGGTAGGTGGCTTGTCGCCAAAGGCCGGGTAAGTTCCCTCGATCCCTGTGACACTGGCTGGGTGAGTGCTGATATTCGACTGCAGGACCAAGAGGCGATTGCTGTCTTGAAGAATTATCATGCAGAAGGAAGAGAACGTGATCCCCTCGTCTACTTTACATATGGACAGATCCGGGAAGCTTTGGCCATTGAACGCGAGATTAACCAGACGACCACCTACTTGACGTTGTTCAAGACCCCCGGGAATCTACGAAGAATGCGGATAGTTTTTGCACTTGGCTTCTTCTCTCAATGGTCGGGTAACGGACTCGTCAGCTATTATGTGCGGATTTCTCTCATAGCGTCCATGGCCAGCAGGCTGATACTGCATAGCTGGACCAGGTACTTGAAAACGTCGGGGTAGCAGTGGCCAGTACACGGTCTTTGATCAATGGAGGCATCCAGATCTGGTGTTTATTCGTCGCCGTCAGTACGTACCGTGGTTCCCAGGTGCCGAAATCCTGATGCAAACCTGCACGCCGCATTTGAAACCTTTATTATTGCTGTGAACGGGTGCTTTCCAGCGGTCTTCTTTCTCACAATGAGGTCCTTCATTGGCGAGCAGAAGGCCGAGGAGTGCCGGTTGCACAACTCCGGCGTCGCAATTTCCCACGTCTCCCCTATGTCGCGCTTAAGAGTTTTATTTCTGACACATGCACGCTTCTCGTGCCAATATTGACAGCCGCCGCGCTCTTGGTGGACAAAGTCGGACGTCGGCCGCTATTCCTCATGTCCAACGCGGGAATGGTCGTCGTTTTTATTTGCTGGACAATTACAACGGCACTATGGACGACGCAAGAGAACCGACCGGCGGCCAATGCGAGCATTGCAATGATTCCCATCTATTTTTTGACCTACAGCATTGGTATGTCTTTTGTGAATACTAAAGATGACACACTTACACCATGGAAGCATATACACCGATGCTCATCTCATATACTGTCGAAATTCTTCCCTATTGCATCCGGGCTCGTGGCTTTGCAGCAATGGTGTGGGGAAGAGCAAATGATTCTAAATTGACACTGACATGAACGGCTAGAATTTGACAATGGGCATCGGCATCACGACGAATCAGTTTGTGAACCCTGTCGCGCTCAAAGCACTCAAGTGGAAGTTGGTGAGTGGCTTGATTGACGGAAACGATCCCCGACTAAGATACTGCATTTCAGTACATCGTGTATTGTTCCTGGCTGTTTTTCGAGTTTGTCTACATTGTTTTGTTCCTGGTCGAGACCAAGGGCAAGACGCTCGAGGAGACGGCGGCCTTGTTCGATGGTACAGAGGTTGTGCAGAATATCCACAACGTCGGGAACGAAGCTGCCCACCAGAGTCGACGTCGTCATCAGGTGTTTGCAAGGCGAACCAAGCCAGACGAGGTGGAACTAGAGCTGTCGCGCAGGGACTCGAGACGGTCTGCGGCACTGACAATAGGTTCCGAGGAGAATATGGTGGGTGGGTTTGGTTCGAGGGATATGACAAGCAAAGCGGGTAGGACGTCTACAACGCCAACGAGCAGTATACAAAAGCCTTTGTAAAAATCATCTTCCACATGTACATGCAGCAGGATTTGAATCTCGAGGACGACTTTCCAGGCACTGACAGAGGGCGCCGCGGGCGGCATGACTATTAAGCGTTTAGCGTATCAGCCAGGTGAATTCTGTTTCCCAGCTATTTCAACTTTCGAGGGCCTGTCAAATGTCGGGTTTGTGATGGCCATCCTCGGTGGTTTCCTCGAAGCCTTCAAACGCCGGAATGCTCGGCCACGGTCAATCTCGTGTAAATTCGCTGGAAATCGTTGGAGAATGTTTATAGGAGCAAAAGGTGCGTTATCAGGTTCCAGAAGGCGTCCCAGGGCGCGCCCTGAGCTCCCGAGGCTTGGTCGGGGGGACCATCATTGCACCATGGCAGGTGGTGGACATACACCTTGGTCACCGTAGTTTGTGCCTGAGGCGGCCTCGTCATTCTCCAAGGGATGTAAAAAGGACAGTCCAATCGGTGACCATGCCCCAGCTCCCTCTGTTCCCCTCTTTCCCCCCGCACTCTCCTCTTTCATGGAGAACATTGCAGAAGTCGTCCATAAAGGTCCCTGGTGGACAAATAGAGGTAATTGAATCTCTAATATCCGTTCACAGCCCTCTTACCATCTCCAATCCAGGTATCCGCAACCTCAACTTCTGCCTTGCGCTCGTCATCCTTGCAAGCGCTGTAAATGGTTACGATTCCTCTGTTCTCAACGGTGAGCTGCTCCTTGTGCTACTGGTCGACGTCTGCTGACGGCCCCTCCTAAGGCCTCCAAATCCTTCCCGAGTTTAAGAAACACTTCAATTCTCCGGATGGCTCGACTCTCGGTTTCATGAGTGCTGCTCAGAACTTTGGAGGTCTCATCGTACGTCTATCCCATAGCCTCTTGTCTAGTACTCACCAGTTTGCAGATGCTCCCCATCGCGCCCTATGTCAGCGATGGTATTGGCCGTCGCAAAACCCTCTCCATCGGTGCTTTTATCATTGCTGGTGGTGCTATTCTGCAGGCTCTATCCGCCAACGTCGGTCATTTTATTGCCTCTCGTGGTCTCAGTGCGTGTCGCTTGCTGTGCTGCCTCTGTTTTTGAACTCACCTGTCAACAGTTGGACTCGGAATTACTCTTATCACGAACGCCGCGCCCGTCCTGACCACAGAACTAGCGTATCCTACACAACGTGGATCTATTACTGCCCTCTACAATACCGTGTGGTATTTTGGATCTATCATCTCCGCTTGGGTGTGCTATGCGACCCTCCGGACGTTGACTGGCTCAATCTGGATGTGGCGATTACCCTGTCTCTTCCAATCCGTCCCTGCCGTCTTCATGGGAATCGCTGTTCTATTCATCCCAGAGAGTCCAAGGTACGTGTGTTTATTTACTCTGTCTCATCTTGAATGGGATGCTAATAAGCTGTATCATCAGATGGCTCACCGCCAAAGGCCGGGTGAGACACTTCTCCGACTTCGAAGCATCACACACTGAGCAGCCTCTAGGACCAAGAAGCGATCGCCATTCTGGCAAAGTACCACGCCAACGGTCGAGAGCGGGATCCTTTGGTCTATTTCACATATGGCCAAATTCGTGAAGCTTTGGCCATCGAACGCCAGATCAATCAGACAACGAGCTACCTGACTCTCTTCAAGTCGGCAGGTAACTTGCGCCGTATGCGTATCGTCCTCGCCCTTGGCTTCTTCTCCCAGTGGTCTGGCAACGGCCTTGTCAGTTACTACGTACGTCCATCCCCTCTGAATATATCGGTGTTTCATCTCACATGCCCTGATTCCATTAGCTTGATCCTGTCCTCGAAAACGTGGGCGTGTCAGTGGCTTCTACCAGAGCACTGATCAATGGGGGTATTCAAATCTGGTGCCTCTTTGTCGCAGTCAGTGAGTGCCCGCTGCTTTGGTACCCAAGTCTTGTACTCATGCACAAACAGCGGCTGCTATGCTCGTGGACAAGGTCGGGCGTCGACCGCTATTCCTCATGTCCAACGCTGGCATGGTCGTCGTCTTCATCTGCTGGACAATCACCACTGCGCTCTGGACGACTCAGGAGAACCGCCCCGCGGCAAACGCGAGCATTGCCATGATCCCTATCTACTTCCTCACGTATAGCATTGGTGAGTTTACCCTCTGTCGCTTTCTACCGAACGTGCAGCTGATGGGCCGTCTAAGCCTATACTCCCATGCTCGTCTCGTATACCGTCGAGATTCTTCCGTATAGTATTCGTGCTCGTGGATTCGCCATGATGGTTCGTGTTTGCATTCTTAACTGGGGGGGCTTGCTCGATGCTCACGGCGTGCTCAGAACTTGACGGTCGGAATTGGCATCACGACGAACCAATTCGTCAACCCAATTGCGCTCAAGGCACTTGGCTGGAAGTTGGACATTGTCTACTGCTGCTGGCTCTTTTTCGAACTCGTCTACATCTTCCTCTTCCTCGTCGAGACCAAAGGAAAGACACTGGAAGAGACGGCTGCATTGTTCGATGGCAAAGAGGTCGTACAGAACATTGAAAACGTTGGAAATGAAGCGGCTCACCAACGCGGCCATCGATACCGCCCAATGGAAAAGACGACCATTGTCGCCGACGGCGGCATGGAGCTCGCAATGTCACGCCGTGACTCAAATACACGCACAGCCGGCTCAGAGGAGAATGCGATTGGAGGCGGTGGAGTTTATGGAGCGCGCGCAGAATCGCGCAACAGTACCAATGCCAGCATCACAAAGACTTTCGAGGCGTCTACACCCTCAAGTCCGGTTCCTCTCAAGTCTTGGAGATGAAAACATTGCTGGATTCACTGCCTATCATATGTAAGGGTCATCTGTACCAGTTGTACTCACTCCCCTCCCCCTCGTTCGAGGGGATCGGGATCTGTTGACAATAATCTATATCTGTTCGTAACTATCTACTTGCCTTTCTTCTCCGGAATGACGGGATTCTCCGTCTGTTCGTTTTTGTATATCGCAAGGTGACTTACGAGGGCATCTTGCGCCTGTTATTTGGGGATCTGTGATTTAAATCTAATAGCATGATTGTAAACCTGTCGAATTTGTGTGAAAGATCGTCGACTGGACGACGGGTGTGATGGCAGGTCATGAACTAAGAGGCGCTGCGAGGATTTCCCAGAACTTGGCTCCCCCTGAGACTGGGTGTGCCTGGACGTGTGGGTGATTGATTCCCCAGTAGGAGAGGAGGTCGCCGAGGTTAGTTGCCTTCTGCACGCCAATGTACCATTATTTGACTAAGAGGAGAATGTCAAGCCCACCTTTTACGGTGGGTTTCACAGTTCAAAATACGTCAGTCCAAGAAAACTTCACAGAGAACGTCGGTGGCAATCGACAGGTCCGGGGCGGGGCGTAAAACGTGGCGTTGCGAGGTGCCGAGACCGATATAAGTGCCGATGGGCAGCAGCTGATAATTGGATATAGCACCCCCTGGCCAATCGTGTTCAATGGCAACTGCCTAACAGGGCCAATTCGGCCCATAATTGGATGGCCACAAGGTCAGAGACAGGCTCCTTTTCGGACGATGGGGGGGGGCTAGTCCTCCCCGTGGTCAATACGAATTCGGAAAATGTTCTATGAGCCATTCGGAGCGATCTGTTCAGCTTCTGGTCATAGAGGACGGCAATCTCCGGGGGGTACCAAGAGGATGCCTTCTGCCCCTCCGAGCTCTCTCTAAGCTAACGTGCACTTGCGACATGAGATGAAACCATCCGCGCACCTGTGAGGCTTATTCGTTTGCACCCTTGAGTATCACCCTCGAGTCCCCAACGGATAAACTGGCGAGGGAGCGGCGATGTCTCGGAGGTCAGTTTCTCCGCGCATTGGCTCGTGCATCTGGGCCGAAATGTCTCGGTATCTCAGCGCACTTTATGCATCACGGTAATTTGCAGTGGATGATGTGGGACGTGTGAGCCGTGCCAGGCTGACAATCAAGTGTGTCCTTCGGTGCACAATCTCCAGCCCGGTGTGATCTCGGACGCCAGAAAAGGTGTGCCTGGCATGTGTAGTACAACTTTATACTTAAGTTGGCGCGCCTCCAGACGCTCATCCTGTCCCCTCTTCTTCCCTCTGTGTCTCCCCCCCGCATTCCGCCCGCTTGTTAGCTCCCAGCGAGCTTCTTATAAACCACCGTTATCTTTGAGTGTCTGTAGATCATGGAGAATATTGCCGATGTCGTATGGACTGGGCCCTGGTGGAAGAATAGGGGTCAGCACTTTGACCGTCCTTAAAAAATCTTGCTCATATTTTTCTTGGTCCACAGGTATCAGGAAACTCAATATTTGTATTGCTCTTGTCCTCCTCACCAGGTATGCTTGCTTGATTTTTGGACCTCGTCCTCGCTCACCTCGGCTCCAGTGCTATCAATGGCTACGATAGCTCTGTTCTCAATGGTCAACACTCCTCAAAATAATTTTAAAATACGTATGCTCATGACCGAACAGGCATCCAGATCATGCCCGAATGGGACCGCGACTTCCACAAGCCCTCGGAGGAAACCAGAGGCATGATGGTCGCTGCTCAGACCTTTGGAGCTCTCATCGTGCGTATCACTGGTCAAAATATCCCTCACGTCTCATTCTCTTCTCCAGGGCTTGCCGTTTGCCCCGTGGCTCAGTGATGGTCTTGGACGACGACGGACACTTTGCCTAGGATCTGCTATTATGTGTGGAGGTGTCATCCTACAAGCACTAGCTTCCGGTACAGTGCACTTTGTCGCTTCGCGTATGCTCGGTCAGTTGCACTCGGTCCAGATGCCCTCGCCACTGACTCTTTATCCATAGTCGGTGTTGGTCTGTGTCTAGCGACCAATTCTGCACCTCTTTTGGTGACAGAGCTCGCGTATCCGACCCAGCGTGCCCCGAGTAAGATTCATCCCCCCACGTCTCCACACTGCACGCGAGCTGACCTCGGCGACAGTCACCGCCATGTACAACAGTAGCTGGTATATCGGCTCGATCATCTCAGCCTGGGTGACTTATGCGACCCTCAAGACACTCACTGGTTCCACGTGGGCATGGAGGTCAGTCTCAGCTTGTCCAATATTCAACCCCGGCCCTTTCATTAACGCAATTTTGGTAGAATCCCGTCTATTCTCCAAGCTGCTCCGTCTTTCCTCCAGGCAATCCTCATCTGGTTTATCCCGGAGTCTCCTCGGTACGTCCTTCACTGCCCTCCACCTCTTCACCTCGACGACCACGATCGAATCTCCAATACGTCTCGGACCGCTGGCTGACATTATTGCGATAGCTGGCTCGTCGCCAAAGGTCGCGATGGAGAGGCTATTGCCATCTTGGCGAAATATCATGCCAACAACCGCGAACGTGATCCCCTCGTCTACTTTACCTATGGTCAGATCCGTGAAGCTCTCAGCATCGAACGCGACGTCTCCAAGTCGAGCTCCTACCTCCAGCTATTCAAAACGCCTGGTAATCGTCGTCGCATGCGCATCGTCCTTGCTATCGGCTTTTTCTCCCAATGGTCCGGCAACGGTCTCGTCAGCTACTATGTACGTCGTCTTTCTTACCCATACTCATCGCCTGAACCTCTCCAAGATCAAGGACGTATTCAAAGGCGTAGGCGTGGAAGATCCAGGGACCGTTAGCTTGATCAATGGCGCCCTTCAGATCTGGAACTTCTTCGTCGCCATTAGTGCGTTGTTTCTCGTGGCAAGACTTCTTTCCTAAAACTCTCGTAGCCGCCGCTCTTCTCGTCGATAAGATTGGACGTCGTCCGCTGTTCTTGACCTCAAATGCGGGCATGTTGGTAACATTCGGAATGTGGACCCTTGCCGCCGCTCTCTTCCAGACACGCGGCAATCGTGATGCTGCCAACGCGGTGATTGCCATGATTCCCCTATTCTATTTGACGTACAGTATCGGTGAGCAACACGCAGCGACTTTTCTTTGGATAGTAGCTGACCAAATACATAGCGTATACTCCCATGTTGGTCGCCTACACCGTCGAGATTCTGCCGTTTGGCATTCGAGCTCGAGGCTTTGCTCTTATGGTATATTGTTTCCTCTTTCATCCCCAAGTATGGTTGGCCAATAATTTTCAGAATTTTACTATCTGTATCGGTATCACAACCAACCAGTATGTCAACCCAACCGCCCTGAAGCGGCTCGGATGGAAATATGTATGTCCACCTTCCTCTTCTCTACGCTTTGCTCACGTTTTTTTCAGTACCTCGTTTATTGCGCGTTTCTTGCCTTTGAGTTGGCATACATCTTCCTCTTCCTCGTCGAGACCAAGGGCAAGACTCTGGAGGAGACTGCCGCCATCTTCGATGGCCAGCAACAGATTGACAATATTGCCAACGTTGGCCACGACGCCGTCACCCAGTCTCGTCATCACTATGGCGGATACCAGCCCAAGTCGGAAGACGTCGAGCTCTCACTCTCTCGCCACAACTCGATGGTCCCAACCATTGTCACAGAGCGAGACGACTCTGACTGGCGGCCCATGTCGGCGGATACAAACTATTCAATACAGCAAAAGGAGGTCCTTAAGTATCGCAGAAACGACTCACCCGATCGTCCTTGGTGAAGAACCGAGGCCATAACACTTTGTGCACCAGATCTGCTGTTGCACCGTCCCGTAACCTTGTGCTACACACGGGGAGCTAGGTGTATTTTGCGAATCGCCATAAAGCGCAGGTCCCCTCGAAGAAGCGGTAGCCATTACAATATCCAGATACGTCGATTACGTATCAAAATCTATTTCGCCTGTTGTGACCGCGCTGTCTTGGCTCTTGCTCGTAGCTAGCGCGGCAAGAGTTGGGGAGCGGCCTGGGTCGTATTCCCTTGTCCCTCGTGTGCTACCACCGGAACTGTCATTTCTCAATCTTTATCCATCTCTCTTGGTCGATCCTTCTACCCTCTGGTCGTGTAATAGGCTACGACAAACAACTTTCCCGTTTCTAGTCTGATTGTCGACCTTTCCCAAACGTGTAATTGTGAAATAAATAACTTTCAATGGTATAGGTTTACAAGGTTACACCTGACGTGCAAGCTTAAACTCGGTCACCACTTGGCGATTTGCAGCAGGGATGGATGACGAAGACTCTTTCGTTGTAAGGTCGCCCTCTCAGAGATATTTATCATCTTCTAAACTCTATAGTCACGCAAGCGGACGCGTCGCAGGGCCGTGGATCCCAGTTTAGGTTACTATCATCCCACGGGTGGCATGGAAGAGACGATTGCGCAGGATAATAAAACATTTTATGGTGATGGCAAGTCTTCAACTCGTCGCAATACTTGCGAAGAATTCACAGGCAATGTGGCAAACAACCCTGTCCTACCTACCTCGACCACTCAATTTTCAGCGGTTGTTCGGGGTGTTTCCCATGAATATGAGTTAGAAGAAAGAGAGGTTACCGTCGATCAATTCCTAAAGACTCCCAGTGTGAACGACAAAGCTATACGCAAGCGGCCACATCGTGTACGAGGTCAGAAGTCGAACAAAGAGGACGCAAAAGATCTGCAAAAGGAGAGAATCCAACGTCGGATTCAGCATATCCGCACCATTGGCAGTCCCAGCATCGATACCTCTGAAACTGTCGTCCCATCTCTGCATGCACGTTGGAAGCCCACAAGTAGTCATGGGACCATGAATGCAATGGAAAGTGACGCAAAGCCTAGTCCAGTCAAGCGGCGATCCAATGGGAAGCTCCGGCATGTTAAATTTCTTCCACGCGAATGGAGTCAGCAACCTCTAGACGATACTATTGCGACCAAGAAGGGGAAACGATCACTGCAAAATCCTCAACGGAAGATAAAGCATCTTCCCTCCCTTATGCCGCCACTCTCTTTCGAGTCTTTTGTGGAACACGAAGCAAAACTAAAGACCTGGTTTCGCCCTAGGTGAGCAAATTTGTTTTCAGCAATGATTATACTCATTTCTCCAATAGTGTTCAACGTTGTGGGACAATGCTGCAATTGTAAGGGGATGAGCATCGCATAAGCAATGCGTCTGATTCATGTTTTCAGGACCTGAGAAGAATCCATCCGAGCTTCAAAGGTATCTTCGACAACACAATCTGAGAACTGATTGGACGTTGAATGTGCAAATGTCTTCGGGAAATCCGTGCCCCCTGGTGCAGAGATCGTTCCCACAGGCCCATCCAAAGACAGATGTGACGGAGACTGTCAGCATATACCTCATACAGAACCAATGAATGCCAATGAGACAAATTTGCCAGAACAACGCGCCGATCACCGGACAATGTAGACTCCAGCTTTGACCCTGGGCAATCTGTCACGCGACACATGGGTAAACAACGGATTGCTCTCTGCATCTCAACTACAAAGGTGGTTCGCAAGAATCATCAGTTGCCATATTCCTCAGTTGGGCCATATCTGAACAAGTGGCTGTTGCTAAAGTGTTGCCAACGACGCCGAATACTGTTAAATGTGTAACATCGCTTGTTAGACCGTGTTCATACAGAAGTCTCATGCGTCCACGTTCATCTCTTCCATCTGTTCTTGCATCTTCTCCTCCAGTCGCGCGATATTGGACACGAGACGATCGCGCTCTTCCAAAAGTTCCTTGTATCTTCCCTGCTGAGCTCCCTCTCTCCTCTCGAGACGACCGACTTCGGCGACGAGTCCCTCTAATCGCCGGGGCCCCGCAGCGCTTTCCACCACTTTGAGCTCCTCGAAGCTCTGGAGATCGCTTTCGAGAGAGATAATGGTAGAAAAGCCCTCTTCCAACTTCTTGCGAAGTCCATCAGCCCGGGTCTGGTATCCTCCGAGAACAAGACCCAGCTTGCGCTCAACTTTTGCCGCGCGAGCCGCTTCTTTTGCCATCGTGTCACGCGCCGTAGTCAATTGATGGGAAAGTCCAGCGATGATCTGGGAATCACCCATCGAAGCCGTTTCTGTCCACGTTCGCATGGACGGGTCGTACGAAAGAGAGTCGCGCAGAGCAGCCCAGGAAGAAAAGGCTTCTGATTCTTCTTCCTCCGGCTCTTGATCCTTTGCAAGGAGCATCAGTCCCTCCCGCACCTTTTCCTTGGACGCATGTGGGTATCCAAGAGCTGTGGCCACCTCTTGTTCAATCATCGTCTTTGCATTTGCCACAAAATGATCCTCAGGAGGAACGTAATGACTGACGGTGCTTCCAGTATTGGCAGTTCCTGGTAATGGGAATGCGATCGCATCGTGTGCAGCCAATCGCGCGAGTTCATCATTGATCATCGCCTGCGCCTCAGATAGATTTTCATCCATGAGAGATACGCGGCTTAGGCGAGATCTCAGGCTGTTGACGTCTACGTTGGCCGGGCGAGGGTAGCCTCTCTGAACAGGCAGGCTGCGTCTGTTGAATTCACGAGCCTTTCTCTCTTCCTCCTCGCGCTTCAGCCGTTTATCCCGTTCAGCCGCATCTTCAACAACGCCGGGAACAGCCTCGTCACCGTCTTCACCTTCCTCTTCGGGGAGCATAATCTCGAATCTGTTCTCCGGTTGGGGAAGAGATCGGAACGCATTGGCAAGGGCCTGTTTCTCAGCCTGTGCTGCCATTTTGGCATTCCGAACTGGGGTCTGGTCGAAGGAAGTACCACCAGTCATTGGTGTATTGATACCCAGATTATCTGGAAGTCGCAAGGGCGTAGATCCCGTCATATCATTGCCGCTTGTTCGTGGTGTGGCGAGTGGATTTGGGGTAAATGGCACTTGGGCACGAGGCGTGACTCCTTGAAATCCGGTGCCTTCTGGAAGGTGCAGTGGTGTATTTTCTTCACCTAGCAGTGGAGTTTGCGTGGCTGTGAGAGTTCGGAGGTTGCGAGCCTCAGCCAAGACCATGTCCTCTATCCAAGAAATCAGCAATAGAGAAACACGCTATTGTAAGACGAACCTTGTGGCCCAGTTCTGGGAGTTCTGGCCATCCTCGCATCCTTCAGACCATCATATTCTCCAAGCAGTCCACCGGTCATCTCGTTTATGCCTCCCTCCTCCACGATGGCTCTGTCCAAGGTGAGTATCGAACCATATACATACTTTGCAGCAGCATACCTGGCATCGCGCCCACCCATCCCAATCTTGACGATTTCCTCCAGCTCCTTTTCACCCACTTGAGCCTGCGGCAATACAAGTTTGCGACGTCTAGATATTTGTTCGGCTTCTTTGAGCTTCTGGATTTGTGCGTCTCTGGCAGGAAGAAACTTTGTCTGCACGTATCGATCAGCTGTGTTGCATCGGGTTGAGGACGCGTACCTCATGTTGAGTTCCTTTTTTCCCTTCTTCCAGTTTCTTTTGTCTCTTCTTTCTTTCTGCCTCCTCTTCCTCAGGCTTTCGTTTGTTCTCCAGTCGCCTTAGCGTTTGGCCGACGGGAGCAGAGTTGGACTTTGCTTGCTCTTCAGAGGTGTCGTAGAATCCAAGTGCGGGTCGATGCTCAAAGGGAATGTCGGCATTGTAGTCCATTCCCTTTCGCTTCACTTTGAATCGTGAACTAAGGGGAGTGAGCAGTGCACAGAGGGCTGGACTTTTAAAGTACGAACACGATACCAGCAGCTTTTAATTCCCTCTTCTTTTGCAAAACGGCAAGTCGTCTTGCCTCTTCCAGCTGCCTTTCACGAGCTTTTCGCTTCGCTTTCTTGCCTTGAGTGTTGGCGAGACGAGCACGAGCCTCGGAAAGCATCTCCTTTTCTACAAAGGAGATGAGTTTGAGGGAAGGTGAGACGCGGTCACTCACCATCCTCGTCCATGTCAATAGGATCTGGTCGTGCAGGTTTCGTCTCCGGGTCTGGGTCAATTTCTCCAGGCCGCAACCTTCGAATGTCCTCTGCGGATGGACCCGCCTCTCCTCCTATTGGCATATCAGTGAGTATGTCAGGTGAGCACGTAAGTTGCGCACCTGGCCCAGCAAGCCCGAGTTCTTCATTCTCCTTTTGTTCAGCTTCGTCAAGGAGCTTTTGATACCTCTCCAGGCACTGTGTCGCCGTTCGTCCTACTATTGGCGCTATGGTTCGCCATTGTGTCGGCATCAGTTTTGCAAGATGGAGCAACTTCTCGTCCTCGGCCTGATCAGGTTGGTTAGCAAGAAATACAAAATCGAGCTGGTCTAACATACTTTACTCCACTCTGTCTTTTTGATACTTGGATCCAGCCATTCGTACCAGCGTGCCTTGCATTGTTTGGGAGTCTTCCGAACGAGCAGGGAGGATATACGAGCCCATTGGTTCTTGCCATATTTTGCAATGGCTGCTTTTAGGACCTCATCCTCGGTATTCTTCCAGACACCTGCGCACCCAAGACGACTTGTTAGCAGGAAACAGCAAATTGCAACGGACGCTTGCCTCCTGTATCCAATTGTATAATGAGCAATCATCTACATAGGAAAAGATGGAGTAGACGGACCTTTGATGATTATGCGAACCATTACGATGTCTTTAATGCTACCAATACTAGGCTACTAATGTTCTGCGACCTGCTTGTGAATATAGACAGCCAATCTCCCAAGCTCTGAGCCCTTGAGTGATTGTTGGCCCTCGTCGACAATGAAATGTTGGCGTTGGTCAAGGCCAAGTTGCTTGTACCCACCCACATACTCCGCCCACAGACAATTGTACGGCATTAGGCTTTCCAAGTTATCTAAGAGCGCGACGAATGGCGACAAGTCTTGTTCCACCTGGCTTTAGCGCGTCTAGCCCTCAGTCGCCTGTCGCAGAGACATCCCCGGCCACATCCTTGGCGAATGTCTCCTCATCTCAGATTCTCCTCGAGCGGTCAGACATAGACAAGTCGTTAAAGGCTCTCGAGGGCCTCGTCTCGCTGTTGTACGACTATACACAACTCTGGCAAGGCCTCGTCTCATTGGATAAGAAATTGGTCCGTAATGGCCCACCATTTGTGGATCCATCCACTCATGAACGGTATCTCTCAGGTTAAAGCATTCAGAGACGCAGGCGGTCTTAAGCGTAACGGCAGTCCGGAGAGCGTTGAGTGGCCCAGTAAGGACAGTGGCCTTGTGCTGCAATGGGTGCTGATAGTCGTTCCAGGCACCGTATTCATTACCTCGTCGCTTATATTTGACTCTGTCCAAGATGTCGACTCCAAGTTTTCCAAGTTGGTCGAACGAGAATATGAAACTTGCACGCAGGAGTTGAAGAAATGGATTAAGAAGCTAAAGGTACACTATCAATTTGCTATGGGACAACTTGTTGACGACTTATTCAGAAGGAAGACAAAGCCCTTGACGAATACACCGCCGCCGCAAACGCGAAGATCAAAGCCGCAGGTTCGCATTCTTTTCCCTCGATATTTCGTATTTTGATGTAGTTACAAAGGGCAAGCATACGAGAAGAAGGCGAGAAAAGGTGTCGCGTCAAGCCCTTCTGGTCCTTCACTTGATTCCTACTCAGCACTATTGTCGACCGTCTCCGCCTCAGTCAACAGTGCAAAGCACCAGCACGCGTTGTTTACGTCCAGTCGTCACGTCACTGCACTCTATACTATGTCGGGTAGTGTGGGACGCATCGCAGATGCTCAGTGGATGAAGACTTGCGATTTGCTGCGCCGTTGCGCGGGTAACATAGGAGCGTTGGGCGAGAGTAGAAGCTATGTGGAAGCTGGCTGGAGGGGTGGAGCTGTCGTTGAATTACCTCTCAGCTTGCCAATCCAGGAGACTAGCCCGGCAGGACACCCTGTGATTCCGCCTGCAACAAGTCCTATCGAAGCACCTCAATCCCCTTATGCAACTACTAGAACCCAAAGCTCAGAACCACTCACATCTGCTACCGGAGAGACAGGCTTACCGACAAACACTAGGCAAGACTCTGCAAAAGCCCCCCTTTCGAAACCTGTAACGAATTCCCACGATGTTTTAGAGACGATTGCAAAAGAACTAAGGTCTTCTGCTGACGACACGACACGACACCCGCAAGATGGAGCCCAGAAGCCTGACACCATTGTTGAGCCAACGAAACCAAAGATGCCAGAGCCAAAACCTGCTGGCGCCAATAAGGACGGTACGAAGCCACCGCTAGGGACGGAGACGAAGGCTGCTTCCGATGATAAACATGATACTGTAAAGGCCACCAAGAGCAGCGGGACGACAAGGACCACAGCAACCACAGACACAACGAAGACAGATACTACTCATTCCTCGAACGGGACGTCCGCCAAAGACACGGTGTCTGGTGATTCTGATTTCAAAGAGCCGAACTTGCAGACTACCTCACCCACCGCACGAGACCCAACAAGTAGCTCACACCCAGCTGGAGAATCTCTAGCCTCCAATGCTCCAAAGCCGGATCTCGTCCAGACGAGCATAAGGCCAATATCTCCAACGAAGACGCGAGGAGAGCTTGGTGCCTACTTTCCAGCTGCCGGCAAACCCACACCTCAATCGCCAGTCGAGATCGCATCCCCTACACCGATATTTGCGGCACATTCAACTACCCAACAAGGTACTCCACCCATGCCACAAGCGCACCCGAACCTGCCACACGCCCCTACATCTTATGCTGGTCGAGCGATGGGTCGTACGAGGAGTATAGACTCGACGGCCAGTAGTGGTAGCTTGGTAGCTGCTATGCGCGATCGATATAATGCCGCGTCGCCACCTCCTACTATGCCTCCGAGCGCTCGAAGAGAGACGTTCTCTGGTCGGGATAGAGAGGGAGGGAAAGTATCGGATATGGCAAGCCGATTCACCCCAATTGAGGGCCCACTCGAGTACGATTCACGTTATCCGCGTCCTGGATTTCCCATTAGCCCACCTCCACTTGGGAGAGGGCTGACCGACAACTCGAGTCGTAACGGCGATAATCTACCATTACGGACGCCGTTGACTCGCAACTCTGTCGACGAGTTTGGATCATCTTTCGCTGCTGCGACCCCTGGGAGAAAGCCCACGGATATGATGGATCGACGCCAGTATCCTTCCATGCCGTCTCATATGGGGGCAGGGCCATCTTACGACGTGCGAATGTCCGAGCTGGAGCTACAAGAACGTGAGCTCGAGTTGAAGCGAAGGGAACTGCAGCTAGCTCGGGAAAGAGAGGCCCTCAAGGCCCGGGAGCGTGGTCACGATTTTCACGAGGACAGTGAGAGAGAGGGCTCTGGTTATGGCGATTGGAGACGGCGAAGGGACGAAGATGAGAGGTATCGACCGGGGGATACCGGGTATGAAAGTGCATCCAGCAGGGACATTCGTCCAGGACTGTACGGTCGAACGAGTTCTCGGAGGGAGGACGAAAGATATGGATATGACGCTGGGACACCGCGGATGAATGCAGCCAACTCTTCCGGTGCTTATCGAGAGCAAGGGTTCACCATGGGCTCGAGAAATCCGGGCTCCAACGTGCCGTATCACGACCTTTCGACTGGGCTGGGCGTAATGGGCCTGGGTCTACCGCCAGGTGCTGGACCATCAGGCATGCACTCTCGCGAAAGTCTGCCGCTTGCAGCCGAGCCCGCTTCCTACCTAGGGCCACCCAAGAGCAGCGCGCCATCGACGGCGTCGCGTTCAAGAGATCCCTCGCCAAGACGATCAGCTGAAGTGCCAAATACCCAGTTACCATCCACGGCACGACAGAATGAGAAGGAAAAAGGCGGGACGTGGCTCGGCAAAGGCCTGAAGAGATTCAGTATGCCGCTTGGCGCTGGATCCAACAGCTGAGTAGACAGGTGTCCTGTGTATATTGGATAAATACGTTGGTTCAATGGTTCATGGACTTTAACGGATATCCGTCGTCTCTTGATATTAAGCGCGCATTTGCGGACATGGACCATCACCTCGGGTTCATTGAATGCATGTATTGATTACAAGAAGAAAAATAGTTAGCAAACACACGAGTAATCAACCATCTACCGGCAAATTGAGGTGTAGTAAGCCATGATGAGGAAACCATTTGATGCGAGCTGATGACACGACGATGCAAGACGAGAGAGAGCGGCAATATAAAGGAAAGACCGAAGGCGCGAAGCGGATTGGGGGCGAGGTCGGGGAGAGATGGATCAACGACGGCACTATTTGCGGCGCGGATCGGAGAATTTGGATTCATGCTTTGGGAGTCGGTTGTTGTAGTGGCATAGGGTAGTTATCCTGACGGAATGGGAAACCCGACGAACGGTTGTCAATCGCCGCACTAACACATGGCATACCCGAAAGTAGGGGCGCGGCGGGGGAGGCGAGTGTGTGGCTCACCTGACGTGGTCGTTTCATTGGTCGCTGAGAAAGGGAAGGATCAACTTCTTGTTTGACACTGATGGACTGCTTCAAGGGTGGCGGTCCGCCAGGAGTGGGTAGATGCGCCGGCGTTGGGGCAATCGACGCGGCTGCCTGTTGCTCTTGCTCCCTCTTTCGCTTTTTCTGACAAAGGATAAGCTGTACAATTTCGCAGAATGAATAAATGAAAACCAACCTTTCGCTTCTTGTTCTCCTCTTCCTCGTTCACAGGCTACGGAGCATGAGAAAGGGGCCCAGAGCCTAGTGAGTAAATGTGCGATACGGACCTGAGGAATGTCAAAGATGGTGAATGCTGCTTCCGCCAACGCATCGTCCAGGAGCATGATCCTGCCCTCTTTTGGCGGCTGCAAGGTGAGTTCAGACAGGTAACGGTCGCGCTTTGTATCCTGTTTTCCAGGCAAGTTGTTGAAAAGAGTCTTGTAGAGATCCTTTTCCCTCTTCTTTTCCTTCTTGGCTGCTCCTATGGTATCGTCCGGGGCCGTGGTGCCAGTAACGCCCGAGCCGCTCGCCGTTGGGCCCGGGTGACCAGACGACGGGTGTGCAGAGGAGCCCGGTCGTGTTTGCTGCAACAGAGAGGCCTGCTGCTGTTGCTGCTGTTGCTGGTGCTTGTGATGGCCGACTACTTGTCGCTGAAAGGCATCAAAGAGACCGAAGCGGGTGACCAAATCTTGCGTGAGATTAATGGGAGCTGGTCTTCTGTAGTTTGGATCTGATGAAATAATCCCACATTAGCATTCTCAGAGTCTAGCACGCGGAATAACAAGGACCATCGGGGACATTGAGAACTGGGAGCATAAATGGGTGTTGAACAGCTTGATGGTGAATATTTGGGAATTTTTGAGTGGCCGTGGAGGTGGAAGCCATTGCATGACTGGCCATGGCAAGCTCCAAAAGACAAGCGACCCACTGACCGACGCGGCTGCCAGCCTTTTGGGATTAGGTAAGAAATTCACCAGCCACAGCACACGCGGAGGGTTATGCTCCCGTCCGGCCACTTGGACCTGACCACCATAGACATGGACTCTGGCAGCCACAAGCACACCCTTCTCACCGGAAATCTCAACAAACGCTACCAGAACAGACGCCAACTGTCTGAAATCCTCCACAAGGGAAGAACCGACCGTGGCCATTTCGCCGGCAAGCTCGTAGCCCTCGAAAGGGACAATAGTACACGCAAGATAGTCATAGTCGTCAAGGAGAATCAAGGAAAACGCATCAAATGTTCCCTGCCGCCGTCCAAAAACCTGTACCACAATCTCACCGCAGGCATCACAAAGGATATCCAAGTTGCCATGTCAAACCCAGCCGTAGTGGTTTTGGATGTAGATAAAAGCGTATACTACGACTATCAGCTGGAATATGACCAGTATCAATTCATCCTTGGCCAGGAGCTCTTTTCGACCATTCCAGGTATCACGGCTTATCATCTCCCTTGTCGACATCCCCTAAACTATCCAATTAGATGCTTGGAGGGGTTCATCTGATGAAGAGGAAATTCCCACACAATCCCATGAACGAGTCACATTGCCCGACGCCCAAGAGTCCCAGTCGACGCACCAACAAAGTAAACACACGGCTGCTCCGAATGCAAAGCTTGGGGGCAAAATGGTGAGACGAGTCGATTGATAAGCTCGAGGTGACTAAACCTAGAAAAGCCCCCCGACTGGACACCAATCCTGAATGTCAACAGCTATTTGGGGAATCGGGTAGAGAAGATTGCAGGCATTGTTCATCGCGCTGATCCAATACGAACAACAAAATGGGAGGTGAGATTGTAGCCAAGACTGGCTTCATGCTTTCTAACGGAGATAGACTGGGCTATGGAGCTCGACATCGTAGACGAAACGTCCATACAACCGTTGGAGATAAAACTCTACGCGTCTGAAAAAGTACACCTACCTCCCGAAGGCATCATCGATAAAGCCATCATGTTTACCAAGCTGAGGGTAGGTCTGATCTGCTGGCGATGCTTTTTGCTGATCAAGAGTAAGATACTACAACGAAAAGGCGCTTACAATTACGCTCAAGGTGATAAGAATGTGTTCCAATATACATGCTACGAAAACAACGACATCTTCCACGACGTGGGCTTCGTCCGCCTAGATGATGACGCAAACCCACGACCAGAACGAATTCACTGGCTCACAAGCATGGACCGTGAAGGTCTTCAACGTCTCCTGCGCTGGAGCCGGAACGAGCTGCGACCCGTCGAACAGATTCCAAAACCCAATGGAAGGTCCAGTCTGACCCACAAGCTCCTAAAGGATATCGCCCACAACGAGTCAATCACATGTACCGTAGAGGTACGCAGATCTTTGTACACCCTACTCATCCCAACATCCCCAGATCTTGGACATTTGGACAGAGAGCCATGAAGTGGATCTGAAAGTAACTGATTACACTGCAAGTCCACATCTTTTCGAACCGAACAGTACAAGGTGGTCTCATCCACCGGGAAGACGAACAATGAGGGTTCGCCTCCGGGATGATGCTGCTGGACAGGCCCAGAATCTTGTCGTTGGAAACATTTACCGGATAAAAAATATTCGCATCAAAGATGATCGTGGTTTGTTCTATGCAAATGGTGGCAAAGGTCCTAGTGGTTCCCAAGGGACTTTGATCTCATCTGTAGATCCGTCTGACACCTATTACAAAGAACTTCTGGCGTAAGTAATATGAAGGTTGGTTGGGGGCTATCTCACGTGCCCCAGTCGTAAGCGTCGGCTCGAGGGCGGCGGATCCCTCACATCATCGCCGACTAATCCACCAGACCCTTTGCCGGTCCTAAAATCTCCGACTAAAGCCACACTAGTCCAGCCAACTTCTGTAGAAGCGGGTCCACCATCCGCCAGTATCGACGAGACTGAGCAGCCAATACAACAGCAAAGCGCATCCATTGCCGAACCCTCAGTGACAAACAAGAAGGGCAAAGTCTCTGTCGAAAACCGTGATCTGCCAGTGTTACGAGAAAGCTACCCAGAATTTCCTCGATTCATGGGAGAAGTCGAGATTGCAAGTACAGTAGAATGCGCAAATGCACCTCGACATCCACATTTGACTCTTAAAGACATCAGATATACGCCACAGGTCCCGCGAATGTTCTACTTTTATGCTCGCATAGTGGATATTATCCCGTCTGGTGTCGCAGATGCAGTTCATTCTTCTTGCACCAAATGCGGACCAATGTAGGTTGATTCATACACTATTTGGCATAGTTTGACGTCGGATACCAGTGACAAAAGAGAAGATACGCACGCATGTCCAAGATGCAAACGCTCTAATACCGTGCAGCACAGCATCCGGTTCCACTTTGTCTTGCAAGATTCAGAACGCGAGCTCCCTGTAGAGGTGTTCGACGAAGCCGCGGTAGGCAAACTGTCGATCCCATATGCTTATCCTGACCTCTTCTCAGGACATTTTCTTCTGTATATCGGACAAATCCAAGCGTGATCGGAATTTGCTCATCCCACAGGTAGCGCGACGACTACACCATCTCATGGGCACCACGGGTGGAAGCAACTCTCTCCAAGTGGGTGGGATCAGCGAAATATTTGGGTTTGTCGGCAAAGTTTACATGACGCTGGAAAACGATGACCCCTGCTCTGGACAGTGGTTGCGCCGCTACGCACTAAGCGGTTGTCGAATTAGAGGCCCTAATGCACGATGAGTCCGGCCATGACCGCACCACCGTATCATTTCTTGCTATCAAAATGTGTATCATAGTCTGTATGAAGGCCATTCCCTCTACAAGTTGTTGTCTGTGTGTAGCAGCTCTATCACAGAGGATGGGATCCACACATTGGCAGAAAAGGGAGGACAGTTGAATTCTCCTTCCCCGTTATTGTCCGTCTGCACGTGATGATTCGGATGGATAATGTTGGTGTATTCGACATTGGCATTGCCCTTCAAAAGGTGAGGACTCCTGCATATCGGTAATGTCTAGGAGCTCACCTTGATACCTCGCATACGGAGAGTGGTGGCCCTACTAGCCATGAGTGATATGACATACGTTCAGGAATGACAATTACCGAGAACTGTTATTCAATGCGACGACGCAGCCGGTCTCTGATTGATCGTTCCCATCTCTTACCCAACCAATGCAATTCTTCTGGAGGAAGTAATCCCTCGTAGGACCATAAGCGACCTTGTAGCGCGCTTTCATGAGCCTGCGAAGGCCAGTCGCAATTTCGGAAGTGTCTGGCTTGTAGAGGTCATTATGAAAGACACATCTGAATGAATAGGTGAGGACAAGTTTAGAATCTGCAAGTCACCCACGGATATCCTTCTGGTCTCAAGAGGATGATAGCATATGCCGATAGTTTGAACTTTGCGTCAACCCAACTTTCTAGTGTCTGCCCAATGACGGTACTGAGAAAATTTCAGAGACATCCTACTTCAGAGATGAGGAAGGTTTACTCATGGTTGTCCACAAATGTCACTGCATCCTCGGGACAGAGTCGCATCAAACTGTTCTTCATAATCGTCCGCAGGTCAAACTCCTCGCCCATCTTGGATGCAGTGTGAAAGGTGTGGTGAAGGGGCACGTCAAAGAAGGCGAGCTAGCGACAAATTTCAGCCGTCGATTGTTATCTCAATTTGTACATACCTCGCCGTCGAATCTCGACATTCTACGGCGTAGAATCCGTGCACTTGGAAGAGTGTGTGAGCCGGCGCGCTAATGGCCATGATGAGACTTACTCAGATACCCAATATTCTCCCACTGCAAATAGGCTCGGAGAGCTTATCGCCTCTCGAGTATGTCGAAGCTGTAGAAATCAGCTGACTGATAAGAATGGTAATGCTTCACTTACAAAGTCGACCAGAAATTGAAAGTCCATGTGTTTGATGGCGTCGAGTCGGAATCCCCCGGTAGCACCAGTTTCCTAAGCTCTTCATGAGTCATCGCAAGCGAATTGTAGCTATGCGTACTTGAATTACCCATGAACCCCAAGCCTCGAGGTCCTTTTGTACATCCGGATGACGATGGTCTACGAATAGTCACAGGGGGACTCGAGGCGACGCCGTTATTCATACCTATATCGGCGCCTACATCGCATGAGCCAAGTGTACCATATGATCCTGTGGCATACCGAGAAGATAATCGTAGTTTCCAAGCTCATCGTCCACGCGTTGGCTCCAGCCTTGGTGATGACCTGGACCAGTAATCCTGAAGACACCACTCTTCTTCCCGCGAGAGTCCCAGTCAATACCTACCCTAGAATTAGTTATACGCCTGCAATCCTTGGAATATAGCGTCGCTACCAGTAAAATGATCGGATTTCCATGTCATTGGACTGTACTTGGGAAGGGTGAGCAGATAGCTTGCTACAGCGCAGGATGCACACACTTGACCCTTTCGCCCAGTGAAATTGTACCTTGTCCAAGCCTGGCGCATCGACTCAGTCTAGGGAGCCAGATGATACTTTAACGTACCTCTATGGTCTTTACTCCAGAAAGAGATCGTTTCCTATTCCTTGGGTCAACCTCAACCGCTTGAATTGTTTCCTTGGCGTCTGCTCCAAGCTTATGCTGTAGTGGAGGCTCAGTATAAACGAATGAATGAATAGAAAGATGTAGTAAGCTCACATTCAGAACAGCATCAATAATTACTTCGATGCCAACGTCCTTTGCTGCGGCAATGGCGGCCAGGAGTTGAGATTTAGTCCCCCATCGAGTGGCAATGGTCTTCTTCTGATCAAACTCGCCAAGATCCCACTGGGAGCCGTAAGTTGCGGGAATTTAAGTAATGATAGGATATCACCAAATCATATGCGTCGTATCCACGTCCGTCCTTCAAAAGTTGTAAATCTAGTTTGACTCCGTGGATTTACCTACAGGTACCATAGCCTTGTTGGGCGCTGAAATACGTTATTGTTCGCAATTTCAGACGGCAGAGATTTTCAACATACGCGGAAGCCAGACTTGAGTACATCCAACCGAGTGTAGGTCAGGAAGCGCTTTTTCAAATATCTCCCACCAGGATAGATTCTCGGATCCGAGAGAGTCCCACTCGAAGTACTGAACCTATTTCAGGGTGCCACGAGGACCATGGAAAGGACAGTTGCGATAGTGAAAGTGCAAGTAAGGGGTCAGGATATGATCCAAAGTTTACCAAGAACTTGTACCATGAGCGGATTAATGCCAGGCGGGCCAATCCTAAAGCGCCGTAGAGTCGCTGGTGCCGGGGCTAGAAACCAGTCTCCAACTCTCTGGGCTTGCAGATAACAACGCGAGAGAAACTGGCCCATTCTTCAGAGCCTGCTCAACTCAACGAGTGACAAACAAGCTAGACGTGGAGGAGTTCAAGCTGGATTGAATACCGCCACTCGGTCACGCAATGTGTCACACATACAGGGAAAGTCCAACAAACCAGTCAAACTCTTTACTCATCTGTTACATACATACGTTTAAAGATGCCTCATTGGGACATGCGCCACCTGGCTGCAGGGCGATTTTGAATTGGCTGCCTAGCTAGGCTTCAGGTGCCTGTTCTGTTGTAGGCTTGCTCGCAGGGCCCGCGGACGACTTGGAGGCTCCCCCACCAGCTGCGTTTGCAAAACTAAAGCTAGGTCGCACGATGGACTGCTTTCGTTCGACAAGTGGTCCAGTTGGCGTCGGTGGTGCCTCGCTGTTCGTCTGTGATGAGGAGAGTCCAGGTCCTGTCGAATCTCGTCTCCACTCACCAGCGGAGCTCGGTCCGCGCTTGGGGCTCATAGTAACACTAGGAGCCCTTCCATGACCTCCTGGGCGTCCCATAGGAGCATTTCCGGACGAACGAGGAAGTATTTTTGGTGCATTCGGAGTTGAAGGGTTGTTCATACCACCCAAACCTAGGCCTGAGCTTCGGGGTGATCGGGTAGGTGAACCTTGTCGGGAACCTGCTCTAGAACCCTGCCGCGAAGTGGGTCGAGATCCCAAGGTGGCGTTAGATTGCAGAGGTGTGGATGTTAGCTTGGCTCGCTCCATCTTCTCTGTGATTTCGCGCTCGCGAGCGGCGGCATCCACAGGTCTAATAGTCGTATGAGCCAGTCAACCAAACCATCTCCGTGATCGCTCACCTAGCTCCACCAAAGGGATTAGGTTTTGTGGCTGTCGCGGAGGCTGGTGTTGCTTCACCAGACTTTGGGCTTGCCAATGGACTCATCGTATCACCACCGGTCCTCGGCAAAAGCTCGAGCTTTCGCCTGGCTGGAGGTGCGGCGGAACCTGTGAAACTGGTCAGCCTGCGAACACCGGGCCGCAATCATTTTACTTGGTCCTCTATCCATTGAGCCTCTTCCAGGAGGTCCTGACGGTGGAGGGCCAGAAACAATCTTTCGTGGCGCACTCCTCCAGTCTTGGACTTCATCTGACGCATCCGGTTGAGGCTCGGGCCTGGTGGCGTTACTAAACTTGCGAGTAAAGGAAGGCGCACCACCTTCGCGCTCTGGAGAAGGCTGCGATGGCTTGAAGCGACTACCAATCGTCCACTTCTCCTCCAGATCAGCCGGACCAAGTTTCGGAGAGTCGTAGCCTCTGGGGCCGCCAGCTCCAGAGCCTCGACGCCTCGCTCCGTCGGCACCGAAGTGGTCTCCCATTCTGCTCCCTCTATCCTGTTGTGGCGGTGGTGCAGGAGCTTTCATGGTGCTTCTCCAGTCGCTTGTCTCTTCTGCAATGGAGGGAGGCGCAGGTTCTCGTGACTGAAATTTCGATCCGAATCCCATACGTTCTCCTCGATCCTTGTCACCTTCACCACTGTCTCCAAACCGGTTGCCACCACTGCGGTCGAACCCTCTGCTACCACCGAATCCACCTCTTCTATCCTCAGCTGGGGGTAACGGTCCCTCCCGACGCCATTGGCGATCGTCATCAAAGGCTCCAGATGAGCCTCGGTCCCCGAACGGTCTACCCTCCCTTTCCTTAGCTGCAAGTCTCAGTTAGTCAACCAGAAAATATCACCCTAACCACACTCACGTGGATCTGCTACGCTTACCCTGATCATGCGACCGGCCAAATTGCTTTGCGACTTTTCGAGGGCACTCTTGAGTCCATCCAGAGTCTCAAACTCTACGTAGCCAAAGCCTTTTGGTTTGTCTTCTCTGTCCTTTATGATTTTCACAGATTTAATCTGTAAACCCAACTCTATTAGTACTGGTTCAAGATTGACAGGTCGCCGACTTGCCTCGCTAGGACTGAAATGGTCACCGAGTTGTCTTTCGGTCATATCAAAGGTAAGATTGCCAACAAATGCGGTATATGGTGGTTGGGTCGGAAGAGGAAGTTCTTCTCTTGCTGGGTAAGATCGCTCGGCACGATCTACGGTTATCAGGTCAGCGATTGGATGGCAAGTCCAACGTCTACTCACCAGGCGCACGACTAAGCGCTGTACCCCTCGATTCTTCGCCACCAGCTCTGTGAGCGGCTGCATTACGTTGATTGAGCAATCCGTATGACATGCGTCTATGCGGCTTAGGGTAAGCACTCACGAGCAGTGGGAAAATCCTCCATTTCGTCTGCCCAGGAACCAAATGCTGCGGTACAGAATAAATAAGTGCGATAGTCGGAAGATAATCAAACGTACTGGCATCCCCTAAAAATTCGTTTAGGGACATCTTTTGCTGTTTTTTAGGCGCTGCGAGCCCGGTAAGCCGCAATGAGGTGGGATGCATTGCAAATTTTGGTCATGATAGATTTTAGAATGCCACATCCGTTTGCACACAAGCGTGTAGTGACCGTGATGCCATCGAGCAGCATATCAAGGATGCAAATAAGGCAGAAAACGGAGTCCAGGACATGAGGATTCGAGGGATCAGTTGTTTTATTTATTTAGAGAATCGTTTTGTGCAAATGAAGGGCAAAAACAATGGTATATCAGCCACTTTGCAGACTATGGGTGGCTGGATCTACTGACGCATGATGGATGGCTTTTAATTTCGTCAAAGAGACAATTTCTTTTTCTTTTTGTATGCTGAAGCAAATTTGAGGACAAGGTCCCAGATTGTGGTCGAGGTCAAGCTTCAATCTTGCCGCTGCCTGAGACTGCTCCGTACGCCCGTCAGTTCCCAGGAGCATAGGAGTGCACAATTATCAGCAAAGAAATTCAAGAAATAACGGTAAGTCTCCTCTCTGTAGATGTGGATAGCAAATGCTGACAGCGCCGACCTACGTGATCCTCAATATTCAGGATACTCGAACGTTTATAGTGTAGCCATCTGATTAAACAAGATGGGTGCGCTGATTTCGTTGCCATTCTTTGGCTCTATGGGTGCCGTGGCCACGAGTGCCCTCGCAGGCTGCGCGTTCTGCTTTACCAGTAAAGCAGCGAGCTTGGCTTTCAAGAGCTGCAACTGCAACTCGTCTATTGCGACTCGTGTCGGGTTTGCAGTGAGTATACGTCTGTAGAGTGGGCACATCCGCCGCTGAATGACGCTCGCAGCTCATCTTCTCCCTCAACTCGTTGCTCGCATGGTTGATGAAGACGCCATGGGCTGTAGAACAGATCAAGGTACGGCATATCTACATTATAGTCGACTTCACTCTCACACAACACTTGCAGAAACTCACTCTGAACTATATATCCCTGTGTGAGACGGGTAAATGTCATGGTACATTGGCCATCCATCGTATTTGCTTTGCCCTATCACTCTTTCATTTTATATTGTCCGCATCACTCATCAACGTACGCTCGACTCGTACTCGCCGCGCCGAGATCCAAAACGGTTGGTGGGGACCAAAGGTGCTTGTATGGCTGCTGCTACTCGTGCTCTCTTTCCTCATCCCAGACGGATTCTTTGTCTTCTGGGGTAACTGGGTCGCCCTCGCAGGCGCGACAATCTTCATCCTGATTGGTCTCGTCTTGCTTGTCGACTTTGCGCATTCCTTCACCGAGATGTGCCTGGAGAAGTGGGAGAGTTCTTCCTCCAACCTATGGCAGTATGTTCTCGTGGGGTCAACCTTTGGTCTTTATGCCGCGACCATTGCGCTCACGGGAATCATGTATGCCTACTTTGCGGGCAGCGGCTGTACCTTAAATCGGTATGAACAAGCTCCACCTCGACCATATTCACTCACTGTGATTTAGATTCTTCATAACGTTTAACCTGATTCTCGCCATTCTCATCACAATCTTGTGCGTTTCTCCCGCCGTCCAAGAGGCAAATCCAAAGTCCGGATTGGCACAAGCGAGTATGGTGGCAGCATACTGTACATACCTCGTCCTCAGTGCCGTCGGAAATCACACTCATGCCACCTGCAATCCTCTCCACAAGAGCGCCGGCGCCACGCAGACCACCACCGTGATCATTGGAGGTTTGTGATCTCGAGGAATTTACGCTAGTTATAACACCCTCCAGGTGTCTTCACTTTTGTGGCTATTGCATATTCCACGACCCGAGCCGCTACACAGTCCAAAGCCTTTTCTGCAGTTGGAAAGAAGAACGGCGCGATTGCCCTGGATGGAAACGATTCTGGGGAGCTTGGAATGACCTCTGGCCCGGCCGTCATAACTACACAGCCGGCGCCAAAGAACACGCCACGTTATCAAGCTCTTGTCGCCGCTGTTGAGGCAGGGGCCATCCCGGCATCGGCCCTCAACGACAGGTCTTTATACGCAGATGGTGATGCCGACAGCGACGATGAAGTAGACGTTGCTGTCGGAGAAGAAAGGGACGATGAAAAGGTTGCGGTTCGATATAACGTGGGTGCATCCGCTATTTCTGCTGCACGGCTTACTCATGTACTGGGGCAGTATTCATGGTTCCATATCATCTTTGCGATGGCGTCGATGTATGTTGCTATGCTGCTCACTGATTGGCACATCATCAAACACACCACCGCCGACGATCCAAAGGATGGCGATTCAACGATCTACGTGCGTCCATTTAACATATATCACGATGAAAAACTCAACCGCTTTTACTAGATTGGCCGTTCCGATGTTGCCATGTGGATGAGGATCATATCCAGTTGGATCAGCGTCTTGCTCTACTCTTGGAGCTTGTTGGCACCCGTGTTGATGCCAGATAGGTAAGAAGTCGCCTTTTCCAGAGGACGGGATTGACAAAGTTTTAGATTCGGCGATTGGGACTAAATCTAACGTCTCCATGTTTATCACCCATATGTACATCGGACAGTTACTACTCAATTTCCTGAGCAAACGTCGCTGCTACGAGTAAAGGAAAGACCAGAGTAGCATCCGCATACACCTTGAGATGGTCAGCATCCCCGATTCTCGGTTGTGTTTAGCTACCTTTACTGTCTGTGAGCCTGCTTTGATTTTGCCCCATGATACAGCCTCGTCCGGTCGTGCTCCTGAATCTGATCCGTCAAATTCTTGTCCGGTGTTGATGTAGACTGCATAGTCTGCTCCATTCCTCTGAATAGTTTGGTTTGAAATGATGTAGGAATCAAAAGGATGGTACTCACAAATAACATTGCATTGGCAATCTGGTGCTTGCAGACGCCGCCGCCCAGGATGATCATGCCGGCCTTTTTCGCTTTGAGTGAGAGGTCATTCAGTCTTCGAATGTCTTGTACAATGTCGATGATGAGACCCGGAGACTTGTACGAATGGAAGTAGATCATGTCCCCGAGAGAACCGTCTGTCAATGCTGGACAAAAGACTGGGATATCGTTCTGGATTCCACGTTTCAATTATAGCCAGTCGGTTCAGAGTGGGCACCATGCCTTGTATGCCCAATAGTATACCGACTCCTCGTGATTGATCTCTTTGCCGAGTCGGTGAATGACCTTGCTGGGGGTCCACACCTCTCCCGATGCTTTCTGCTCCTCGAGCATTTTGTCGAGGATGGGAATGACCCAGTCCTCAAACTTGCAATAGTTGTCGTTGGGTACGACCAGATTACCGATGCGATTGAGGCCCTTTTTGCGGAGATCTGCGCCATCTAGAGAAAAGTCTGCTATGTATGTCTTTCCGAGACACTTGATAAAGTCCTCTTCGATCCCTCCGGCGGTGGTCACAATGGCCGAAATGTGTTTGTGCTGCACGAGAAAGCGGATGATTTCGCGTAGACCAGATGACATGAGATTGGACGTGAAACCAAGAAATATGGTGCATTTTGTGGCAGCTCTAGCCGCATGGTCAATTTCTTCAAGGGGTTCATCTGGGAGTGGCTCGTCGGAGAGTCGCCATCTTCGCTATCCGATCTGAGTGTCTATACGTTTCTAGGAGTGTACATACCATGTTTTGGACGATATCGACGGCGTTGGATAGCGACGTCGCCTGGAATCCGATGCGCTGGTATGCGGCAAGCAACGACTTTACATCCGCGACCTTTGAGAGATCTGGGCCGGTGACAGAGACTGCATCTGGAGCTATTGGCGCCGAATGAACGAGGACGGCTGCTTTTGCGTCGACTGGAGCTCGTGTGGTCATGGTCCAAGTTTGCTCGATAAATTTGTGACGCTGACCTCGTCGACGGAATGAGTGCTCCTGGCGAGACTGAGGGCGCGTTGGAGGAGATTTCTCTTTCAGAACCAAACCAAGATGAGAAATTGGCGTCAGCTGGCCTCGCCAATGGCCACCACGACGCTTCTCCTGTCGAGCTTGCGGTCCAGGCTGCTGCGCCGACGCCAGCAGAGACGACGCCGACGATTCCACAAAATACACCAAATCCAGCGCCTGTGCGTGTCATGTCGACGAGCATCACGTCGGGCCAGGGCCAGACATTGTCCACGGTGCTCGTCACGTCGGCACTCAAGACCATTGCCGCCTCCAAGGAAGCAAAGCGCTCCCAACAGCTCAGAGAGGCTGTAGATCACGCGTTGGACATGCTCAACGAGGGCAAAGGCGGCGACAAGCCCAGGGAAATCTTCGAGCCGTTGCGCTTAGCGTGTGAGACGCACAACGAAAAGCTGCTCGTCGCAAGTTTGGATTGCATCTCAAAGCTGATATCATATGCATTCTTCGTCGAGAATGCCTCGCCCCAGAACTACACGTCGCCTCCAGGATCCCCCACTGCATCCGCGGCTGGCCTTCCAACGAGCTTGGCCGATCTGGTCACGCATACTATCACATCCTGCTACACAGAATCAACATCAGATGCAGTATCCCTTCAGATTGTCAAGGCACTCCTCCAAATCGTCCTCTCCCCTCACATACTTGTCCATCATTCCTCCCTGCTCAAGGCCGTCAGGACCGTCTACAACATCTTTTTACTCAGTCAGAGCCCGATGAACCAGAACGTAGCCCAGGGAGGCCTCACTCAAATGGTCCATCACATCTTTGCGCGAACGCAGATTTCTACCCAAGGACAGGGATCTGTCGCCATGGATCAACCTCCGAGTGCAACACAATCCACCTTTTCTCTTTCTACACCCACAGTGGCTGAGAACCAGCCAGTGACACCCGTCTCGGCACAAGAGGAACCAAAGGACGACGTAGAAAGAGCCGCCGGGATTCCACTTCCTCCGGAAGAGGATGAAGAGCATGAAGAGGGATCCGTCAGGTGTGTCTACTTACTCGCACCACTTCCTCAAGGTCTAACAATAGCCAGAGTCGAAACCCCTCGAACAGGACGCATGTCTCACACATTCACGACGCGGGATTTGTTCATCAAGGACGCCTTTCTGGTCTTTAGAGCCCTCTGCAAGCTGACCATGAAGCCACTTCCTCCAGAAAGGTACGTACTCTCCGATTAGCTTTCTAAATCTCATTACGTGTCAAGTGAGCGTGATCTCAAGTCGCATCCAATGCGATCCAAGCTTCTCTCGCTTCACCTTGTTCGCACAATCCTCGACTCGCATATGCTCGTTTTCGTGTCACCGTCCTCTGTCATCCTCTCTGCATCCACCAACGAAGCCACCATCTTTGTGCAAGCCATCAAGCAATACCTCTGCTTGAGTTTGAGCAGAAACGCCGTTAGTTTCGTTCCACAAGTATTCGAGGCGAGCGTCGAGATTTTCTGGCTCGTCCTCACAGGCATGCGCTCGAAACTCAAAGTGCGTCCAATAGTTGACATCTTTGACATTGTCTGACTGTCTGTCAGCGTGAAATTGAAGTCTTGTTCAACGAGATTTTCATTCCGATTCTGGAAATGCGGACCTCTTCTGTCCAGCAGAAGATTGTGTTGGTCAACATGATCCAGCGCCTCTGTCAGGATCCACAAGCGCTCGTAGAAATTTACCTCAACTATGACTGTGATCTCAATGCCGTGGAAAACATTTACGAACGGCTTATGAGTATCATTTCCAAACAGTCTACCGCGCATTATGGCCCTACCCTTAGCAAGGGAAGTGCTCGCTCCGCTCAATCCCCGACGGACCCTGGGTCTGCCAAGCCAACTTCCTCTCAACACACTCTGCCACCTTCGTTGACTACGACAGCGCTTTCTGAGACAACCGCTAACGCTGACGTAGCCGCATTGGAGCGCAAGCTCCACCAGCAAAGTCTCGAGTCTCTCGTTTTTGTCCTGAAGTCGCTCGTCGCGTGGAAAGATGCAGCAGGACGACCCACGTCTACTGCAAGGACAGGTACACCCAACGGCCTCTCTTCAGACCAGGCGACGATTGTATCTAGATCTAGCTTGACAGATGAGACGGCAGCGGACAGTGGATCCGAATCTGTCAACCCTCGCCGGAATTCGAGCGTATCTGGTGTGGGATCCGTGGACTTGCGCGTCTCGACACCCACTGTCGAGGGAATGGCGTTGGAAGACGATCCAAGCCGATTCGAGAGCGAGAAGATGCGCAAGGTGACACTAACAGAAGGCATCAAGTTGTTCAATTCCAAGCCGAAGAGGGTATGTACAGGGTCCTAAAAATCGATGGTCTAACACTTGCACAAGGGCATCACCTATCTCTTGGACAAAGGATTTATCCGTAGCAAATCCCCCAATGACGTTGCTGCATTCTTGTTGCACGCCGACGGCCTTAGCAAGGCTTCGATTGGAGAATATCTTGGAGAAGGGTATGTCGTCCTGGTGATAGAGTGATTTTAATTGACCGGCACGTAGCGAGGAAGAAAATATTGCGACAATGCATGCTTTCGTGGACATGATGGATCTGACCAATCTCTCATTCACGAGCGCCCTGCGCACTTTCCTTCAAGCTTTCCGTCTTCCAGGCGAGGCTCAGAAGATAGATCGCTATATGCTCAAGTTTGCGGATCGTTACATGGCTGGCAACACTGATACGCCATTCGCGAATGCCAGTGCGTATTGCCCACACTGGGTTCACTATTCTGACATTTCCCAGCGGCTGCATATGTTCTCGCGTATTCGACAATCCTGTTGAATACGGACGCACATAATCCTCAAGTCAAGAAGCGAATGACCAAACAGGACTTTATTAAGAATAATCGCGGTATCAACGACGACGCCGATCTGCCAGAGGATTTCTTGGGTGCAATCTACGACGATATCCAGACAAACGAAATCCGGATGAAAGATGAAGTCGAGGCGCAACTGGGTGTCGTACAACCTACTGCTGGCCTCGCAAATGCACTCGCCAACGTTGGTCGAGACTATCAAAAGGAAGCGTATCTGGCTCAGTCGAACGGCATGGCGAATCGCACAGAAGTAGGTTAGGATACTAAGGCGGAATGCTCTTGCTTATAGGCTTGCAGGCTCTATTCAGGACCATGATGCGTGCTCAGCGTCGAGGCAAGGCGAGCGAGCACTTTTTCAGCGCATCGCATTTTGTTCATGTCAAGCCCATGTTCGAGGTAGCTTGGATGTCCTTCCTTGCAGGCATCTCGGGTCCATTGCAAGGAACGGATAATATGGAGGTTGTAGAACTCTGTCTGGACGGATTCAAGTACTCTATTCGGATAGCCGCTTTCTTCGATATGGAGCTGGAACGCAACGCATTTGTTACCACGCTCGCCAAATTCACCTTCCTCAATAATCTTGGAGAGATGAAAACGAAGAATATGGAAGCGATCAAAGCTCTATTGGATGTTGCGCTCAGCGAGGGTGATCACCTCAAAGGGTCGTGGAGAGATGTCCTGATGTGTGTCAGTCAATTGGAACACATGCAATTGATTGGTAGTGCTCCGGACGAAGGAAAGAAAGGGTACGTGTCAAATTTGTGCGTAAATCTCCCTTGTTTACGCCACTTTCAGTCGATCGAAGCGACTACCTGCTGAAGAACTGGCCAACGAAAGCCGGTCTACACATATCACGGTCTCGGCAGACATGGTTTTCTCCCTTAGCAATCAACTCTCAGGGGTAAGATGGACCTACAATCCGCTCAATTGTTGAAATCCTATAGGCCGCAATTGTGGACTTTGTTCAAGCGCTGAGCGATGTCTCTTGGGAGGAAATCCAGTCTTCTGGATTATCTGACACTCCCAGACTGTTCTCCATCAGAAAACTGGTCGAGATTTGCTATTACAACATGAACCGTATTCGATTGGAATGGGTGAACATGTGGGCGATTCTGGGAGAACACTTCAATCAGGTGCGTCAATGTAGCCATGTATCAGCAAGTCTCTCACCTTCCTCAGGTCTGTTGTCACAGTAATGTCCATGTCAGTAACTTTGCCCTCGACTCGTTGCGACAACTTGCAATGCGATTCTTGGAAAAGGAAGAACTACCAGCTTCCGATTCCAAAAGGACTTCCTCAAGCCTTTCCAGTACACCATGATTCACAACAACAACCCCGAATCACGGGACATGGTGAGCTGCGTTTCGTGCCATTTGCATCATCTGACAGGCTTCTAGGTTTTGCAATGCCTGCAACAAATGATACAGGCGCGAACTCACAACCTCCGCTCTGGTTGGCAGACCATGTTCGCTGTGTTCTCGGCAGCGTCCAAAGTGTTCAATGGTCAGACTTGTCAAAACTCGGTGACTCTTTAGCTGACCTTTACTCAGAGGCGATTGCGAATTATGCATGGGACGTGGTGACTATGGTCAATCGTGATCACTTTTCGGCCGTGGTCTCCTATGGATCCTTTGCCGATCTCACCGTTTGCATTGCAGACTTTTGCAAACTTAGCAAATTCCAGAGAATCAGTCTGGTGGCCACGTCAACGCTGCGCGAACTAGTTCCCAAGATGCTAAAATGCCCTCATTGTGGCTTCGAAAATCCGCCCAGCAGGCAAGACGGTGTCCTGAAGTCGGACGATCCTATGCTCCGATTCTGGTTCCCTATGCTTTTTAGCTTCGTGGACATCATTCTCAACGGGGAGGACCTCGAAGTTCGAAGATTGTGAGCACAAATGCTATTGCTAGTAATGGTGTTAAACTCCCTCGCAGAGCTCTCGAGAGCTTCTTCGGAAACCTTAAGACCCATGGCAAAGAATTTCCTCCGGAATTTTGGGACATTGTCACGAAAGAGCTGATTTTCCCTATATTTGTCGTGCTCAAACTGGGTCCACAAGATTTGTCCCGTTTCAATAGCCAAGAAGACATGAGTGTGTGGATATCGACGACGATGATCCAAGCGCTCCGAGACACTATCGACCTGTGGACTTTCCACTTTACTCTTCTTGAGCGCTTCTTTGACGGGTTGCTCGACTTACTGCGCACATTCATTTGCCAAGGTGTGTTCTGCTACCATCTTGGTGTTAAATGACACTTATTCTGGATAGAAAATGATACTTTGGCCCGTATTGGCACATCATGCCTACAGCAACTCTTGGAGAACAACGCCTCGAAGCTGTCTCCTCAGCTGTGGCAGAAAGTGATGACGACCTTTGTCTGGTTATTCAAAACGACCACACCATACCAGCTGCTTGACGAACGTTTACGAACAGAGGTTGAAGAGACTCCCGATGCGTCATCCGCAGACAATGGTGTGTTGACAGTATTTAGTCTGAAGTCCCAACTCACTAAGCACCACAGGTCCTCAAAAAGGGACACTCTTACCGGCCCCATTGTCCCCCCCAATCACGGATGGACAGGAGGAGAACCTTGCTAACCCTGCCACGCGAAAACGCATCTTTGCTCTCATCATCACCAAATGCGTTCTTCAACTACTTCTGATAGAGACTACGCACGAGTTACTACAAAGCAACGAAGTCTATGAGAACATTCCGACGGAGCATCTCTTGCGCCTGATGGCGGTTCTCGACGACAGTTACCAATTTGCTCGTGGATTCAATGCGAACAAAGAGGTTCGCAACGGGCTATGGAGAGTCGGTAGGTTTCTCCTTTGGTTCTGGCGACATTGGTATTCAATCTCGTCTAGGGTTCATGCGCCACCCACCGAACCTTTTAAAACAAGAGTCGAGTAGTGCAGCAACTCTGGTCAATGTTCTGCTACGGATCGCGTCTGATAAACGGCCCGAGCATACCAAAAACCGTGAGGAGGCGTCCAATCGTCTAATCTTGTCGGTCTGGCCTCTATTTCACTGAAACGCTTGCTAATATGGTCCACAGACTCGGAATGACGATCATAGGTGACTTTAATCAGCTCAAACCAGAGGTACAAAGTCGAAATATCTCGGCGTGGTCGCCCGTCGTGGCGGAAGTTCTCGAGGGCTTCAGCATCTTTGAGGATCATATCGTGAGTACATTGCGTCTTTGTTGAACAGAGCATAATTCATTCGTCTTTCCAGTTCCATATGTATCTCCCAGTCCTCTACCCACGAGCAGTGGACTTGTTGAGCAAGGATATCTCTCCCGAAATCCGCATCGCTCTTCGATCCGTACTGTTGCGCATCTCACCGGGACAATAGATATTCTTCCTGTTCTTCTCACCAGCATCATGCAAACTAGTGTTTGATGTCATGCACATAGTTTATCATATGTAATCCTAGTCCTGGATAAAGCGCTTTATCGACAAAAAGCATCATAACTCTGAGAAAGCGGTCCTCTCGGTCATCGATATTGAAAGTTTGGCTGTTGCATTCCTGGAATCCAGCCTGTTGGTTGAGGTGCCATAGGACTCACTAAGAATGGGTCAACATCAATCCGGAAGTTTCATGGTGTAACTTACTTCCTGGGTTTGCTCGCATGGCGTCGTAATTGGCTAGAAGGCGTGAGCCATGATAAATGACGTTCAGGGTGTACTTACGAGCTGCAGGAGCAGCATGTTCGCTGCCACCAAAAGTGCCAGACTTCATTGAGGCAAATACGTTTGCTGGAGTGTGGTTTGCTGGGGGAGGCGAGGCGGATGGTGGGCCCAAGTTCAGAGAGCTCAATGGTTGCGTCGTAATTGGGGTTTGGTTGAATGACGGCTGGTTAAACAACGACGGTGCAGCTTTGAATATGTGAGATAGGAGAAATATACAGCAGATTGATAATCTTACCAGGGCTGAACTGTGAAGGAATGGCTGGTACCGGCGGAATCGGGGACGGCGTAGTCCTCATTCCTAGAGGTATACCACTCTGCTGTGTCATCAATGGAGACAATCCGCCAGCTATACCCGTTGGCTGAGCGAAGAGACTGGGCTGGGGCTGGAAACCCGTCATTTGTGGTTGGAAGGCTGTCGCCTGTGGCTGGAATCCTGTTGGCTGTGGTTGGAATCCAGTTGGCTGCGGCTGGAACGGATTGATGGCCTGAATGCCTGTTGGCTGTGGTTGGAATCCAGTCGCCTGTGCGAGCATGGGCCGGGGTGGAATCGGGCTGCTCGCAGGCCGCGTGGGGACAAAGCCAATCATTCCCGTATTTGTTGGGATTAGTGGCTTCAGGAGTACACCTTCATTTCCCGGCACTGGAGCAAATGGCCCTCTCACACCGTTGGGATTAAGTGCACCCCCAGCTAAGAAGCCAGTTGGCTGAGCTTGCAATGTCGCAAGAGATGGCACAGGAGGTACCGATGTCAGCGAAGGCGATGGAGCGGGTGGTGGAGCGGGGGCTTGCAGCCCAGTGACCGGGGCAGAGGGTGGCCTCGGTTGTCTCAGCTTCTCAATCTTCTCTAAGAGTTCCAGCTCCTTTGTCAGTGCTTCGATCGCCGGTGAAGTCACTGTTGGGGACGCCGGCAGATTGAGAGGCCGGAGGTGCTAGTTGTGCCGAAGTCGCTGCTGGCGCTGCGGGCTGTACGGGCGCTGGAGGTGCTGGGGGAGCTGGTGCAGGAGGAGCCGATGCCGACGCAATAGGAGGGGTGATTGCAACACTCGGCGATGTGGGCTTCGCCGAACTTGGTCTGATCTCCCATGCGTTGTCTTCAAATCCGGCCTTTGCATTGGATGTCGAGGCAGCAGCGGCAGTGGTGCTTGTTGCTCCAGCATCAATGAGATTTGGCGAGGGAGTGCGGTTGGCAGTAGTCGGTGTAAGCGGAGAACCCAACTGCGACGAGGCTGAAGCTAGCGCCTCTTCGTCGACAGAGAGCGCCATCGTACGAGAATTGGAAGGAGTCGGCCTTCCACGTCGCGTATTGTTCTTCAGCACACCGTTCTTCTCCGAGAAAATGTGAGGAGCTGGATTGACAGGGGCACGAGATGGGATTGGGCCGGGGGGAGGTGGTGGTGTCTTGCCCATGAGGATAGCCTGTTGTACCTCCTGGGCATACCTCTCGTCGGCTTCAATCTGTGCTCGAATGCGAGGATTGTTAGCGTCGATCGCAGACTTCCAAGTCTTCTTCTCGATAGCCTTGACGACGCGAATAATGTCGCCCTCGCGGAATCCAAGTGCACGCAGTGTCTCGCTCTTCATGTCTGGCAGAATTGTCTCGTCAATCTTGTCACGTTCGAATGCCTGCGCATAGCGCGTGCAATCGTCCATATCACAACCAGCTTCCAGGAAGAATTTGAACCAGTCGACATTGCTAGAGGAGCCAGGCGGCTTTGAAGTCGAAGATCTCGGGGCCGACGGAGTTGCAGGGGCAGAGGCCTGTTGGCGAGCCAGCGTGGCAAGTGGGACGTTGTCCGGGTCCTGTGACGACGACTTGGATACGTGGGCACCCGTATCCTTTCCAGTTATTCTTGCAATATAGCGCATATCCTCTTCAGACATCTTCGACGATGGAACTTCGATCGTGACTCCATTAAGCTTGTGAAGTCTAATCTTGCCATTCTCGTAGCCCTTGAATTCGGCCTCGACACGGAACTGGCCAGTACGATCATGCCAGACACGCGTCTTGCCAGTAGGTGGGGGTCCATGGCGAGGTGTCAACGGATTGGTAGCCCGCCCTTGGCCTTGTCGTTCCATGTCCTTTTCAATTTGCTTCTGCAAGGCCAAACGCCGTGCCTGCGCTGCTGGATCATCATCATCTATTGATGCAGCATCGCTCGAATCCATAGACCGTTTGCTAGCACGAGCGTATGTCAGACTTGTATAAAAGCCAGAGTGGTGTGTCCTCACCTGTTGCTCTTGTTTCTCTGTGCCTCCTTTTCTTGCTTCTGTAACCTTGCCTGTTTAGCAGCACGATCCTTCTTCTCCTGTGCTCGCTTCCGCTCCTCAGCAATTCGTACCCGCTCCGCCTCTTTCGCTTCACGCTCGGCAGCCAACTGGGCCTCTCGTTCCTGTTGCTTTCGCCGTTCCTCTCGCTCGCGACGTTCTTGCTCTTTGCGCTCCTTTTCCTCACGTTCGCGTTCTCTCACGCGCTCATCTTCCGAATCTTCATGGTCGCTTGACTCGGGTGAAGGAGGCTTGACTCGCGCGGCGGCTGCCGCAGCGGCACTCGCAGCAGCAACCGCATGTGGCGCCTGAGTGGGTGTCTCCTGTGGCTGCTCCGCAATCTCGAGGTCGACGTATTGAGCTGGGACGACACCCTCTTGTCCAGTGTGGTTACGACACTTCCACCAGTCGTCATTTGTTCTATCGAGAACGACCAATGTCTCCCCTTCCTTGATCGAGAGTTCATCACTCGCATCACCTGTAAAGTCGTACAATGCGACAGCAGTCTCTCCTTCTGCGTCAGCGTCGGGGTCGGCATTTCCGTTGACCTCGGGACCTTCGTCAGATGGTGTGTCCGGTCTGGGCGGAATTTCCGAGGTGCTTGGTGCAAAGTGAACAGATTTGGGAGCAGACACGGCATCCACTGCCCTTGGTGCATAGGGGCTCGTGATGACACGACTGTCAATCGACATACGTTCGTTATCCATATGGCTGGCTGACAAGCCATTGGCGAGAGAGCGGCTGCTTTCAATCTTTTTGTAGACAGCATCCGCAGAGTCTTTGCAGATAAACTTTAGAGACTCTCCAGAAGAGAGTTCGACGTCGATTTGTTTAGCTTTGTGATCCAATGAGACATCATTGACGTCGGAGGCTTTCCATTGCTGAACGGGTGTCTGAACGAATGGTAAGTAGGACCGATTTGATGGACGGATACGCTCACTTTGTCGCTCTCGCTCGCAAAGAAGAGGGTGCCGTTGCCAACGCCGAGAGTACCCTTTTTCTTCTTTCCCTTCTTATCAATCATAGAAAGAGGCCAAGTCTCGACGGGGTCATTCTTCGTCTTGTCCAGAGAAGCAGCCCTGTCGTGTGTCAACTCCTCAGGAGTCTTGAACGAAGGGCGTGGTGGCTAGGTCATATGGTCAATCAGAGCCGTGTTGATGCACTGGCATACCCACCGAGTCGGGGATGACAATTGCAGACGCCGAAGGTACAGCAGGAGCACTGGACGACTCTTCCGTCCCGTCGGTCTATTCAGGACAAGTGATCAGCGCCCGACGTGGATAGAATGATCATATTTTCCGCTCACATCTTCCACATAGTTGGCGGGAACATACCCGACCTTGCATTTACCGCCCTTCAGTTGGGATTCGACCAAGATCCAGTCCTCGTCTCGCTCAAAGACTTGAAGAGTTTCGCCGTCGACAATACTTAGTTCACCCGGAGCACTTGCATCATAATCATACTGAGCCTTGACGGTCCCAAGCGGGGTTGCCTGAGGGTTTACGATCCAATGCCACATATTTCGAGTGCATAGAGGCGTGGTCGAGTAGTTTGATGTACAGAGGAGACAAGTCAGCTTATATCCTTGCGTGCAGACGGACACTGCGGCACAGACAGCTGTCGCGCAGACGAGACGCAAGTCGGCGCCAAAGAGGGTGCAAGTAACGAGCAAGGGGTCTAAGAACGAATTACTACAAACCTTTTCAATGTACGCAGCCGGGACAAGGCCTTCTGGGCCTTCGAGGTCCTGCTGCGAGGGCTGCTTGAGGCGCACTTTTGACCAGCTGCGATGGAAATAAGACGGTGATAGTGAGCATAGACGCCTAAGAATGCGCCGACGAGGGCTGGTGGACAACTCACTCATCGTCCGACTTGTCCAGCAAGAGAACAAGCTGGTCCTCTTGCATCGTCACTTCGTCGTCACCCTGGGATTCATACGCATAGAGCGCCTTGTAGAGGCCAAAGCATTCTCCGCTCGTCGCCGCGGCCATCGTCCAGCGTCTGCTTGCTCTGGGCTCGTTTGTGGTGTGTGCTGAGAGTTGGAATATCCGTTGTTAATATGATAATAACCTCGAGGGTCGCCCAAAGCTGTTGCAGTCTGGCAAGCACCGCAGAGTCGGATTCCAACTTGGTTCACGCCACTATGTCAGCGACGCCGACACAGATTAACGTTCATCCAATACAGCAATCTCCGCACAAACTCACTCCAACAACCACCAAATTTGTGTTTGCATACGCCCCGAGCAGCGACGGCGTCGATGAGAATCTGCTGATCCTATTTCATGGGTTTGGTAAGAACAATGCTAAAAGCCAGTTGGGAACTGAGAATATACAGGAGATACACACGTTCCCTTTGCCAGACTCGGTGCCTCTCTCAAACTGCCACAGACGGCCACTTTGGCCATCCGAGCACCCCAGCTGTAAGTGCATAGGGCTCTAATTCAGTCTACAAATCGACAATTTAGCATTCCATTCCTGTTTCCTGAGGATCCAGAGGGGTTCCAATGGTATCCCACATACTCGGATCTCGGAGAGCTCCTCACCAAACCTGATCCTACACCCGTCCTTCAAGACCTCCTAGAGTTGCTGGATCACCTCGTGAACGACTGCCACTGGCAGGCCTCGAATATTCACCTCTTTGGATTTGCCCAGGGTGGGAGTGTTGCAGCTGAGCTTGCACTCAGGTACTGGAAACATCCCGGAAGCGGCTCCAGAGACAGCGGAGATGCTGCCAATCTTCGCTCTCGGCACGTCACATTAGGGAGTATAGTCACCATTAGCGGTCCACTCCTTTCCTATCCAACAAACATCGCATGTCCAACGCCAATCCTCATTGTTCATCGACCCAACAGTGAAGATTCGGCCCTCACCAACGCCGCCATCGCTGCGTTCAAAAAGGGATTTACCGGAAGAGTAGTCGAAGAGCGACTGGATGGACCTCCGACTCGAGAAGGAATGCCAAGTTCGCGAGCAGAATGGGAGCCTATCATGCGTTTCTGGTCCGACGTGCTCTCCCGGAGGATAGGCGGGACCGCGGGAGACGGAGTGTTTCGAATAGGATGAATGAGACATTAGACATGCAATTAAACGTTTCTTGGATATTTTTGTTGCTTTCTCTTATAGCGTGTGTTTGCCCAGCCTACAACTCGAAAGTTGGCTGCTAACTTCTTCGACCCTTTGAACGAGGCCGCGATGGACGCGGCCAAGCGACTCGTTCGACGGCCCCTTGAATCGCAAAAGGGGATCGATGATGACCAGCAAGACTTTTACTGGACTCAGCGAGGAATCACAGCGCACGAAGGCAGTCGCCGCAAGACGAGATGGTTCTACGGTCCCTTTGTGCTCATTCCGGACAAATACACGCACTATATGGATCCTGGAGTCCTTCATGTTCCCCAATCTATTTCCAGCATGAGCAGGACCAATCCCTTCGCCGCCTCGATGTCCTACCGGCCGCTGCCTCTGCGATATATAGGCATAAACGATCAAAATACAGCAGATACAAACAAACACAACAGCAATTCTCCAGCTCATTCCTTTCCCTCTGAGGCCTTGAAAAACCTGTACCGTCTTGTCGAGCAAGTCTATGTACGTCACGGTGACAAGCACATACATGTGAATACTACAATCAATGGATCTCATCTCGAATCTCGCCAAAGGGAACGCGCCGCAGAGTCTCGCCCGCACTCGACCTTCAACACGACACTCAATGTTGGTTGGCCGTCGACTCCCGGCGGCGAGAGCAGCCGTGGCTCTGCCTCGTATTCGCAACATGCCGTAAGTTTTTCTCTGCAATTTTTTATCTACGTGTCCACAAAGGTCCTGACAACACGTGCCCAGCCCTCTATTCGGCAGCCCTACGCACCAAGGACCGAATCGAATAATGGTGACGCCATGAGTGATTCCGTGTCTTCTCTCTACACGATGGGGGCCAGTACACTCATCGGCGAGGATGGCGGGCAACATGCCGCCGAACTCGACGATATCAAATCCACCATCCACAAGTTTGCAGCGTCGGTTGAAGCCTGGACTCGTCCTCTTGACAGCTCTGCCGAAAGGAATGGATACCACTCGACTCCCAAGAATGCGAGCTCGGAGCTCGACAGCTCGCATTTCAATCCTATCATCGTCCGAAAGGACGACGGTCCTTGGAAGCACCAACTCCTTCACGTCCTCAACGCGTACCGGGATGCCGTTGAATCCAATACCGCCGTGAGTTTGACTGTGACCATTGATACCGAATCTCACCCAATTTTCTAGTTGCACAGCGACATGTCCAAGTTGCGAGAGGATGTTGAGAGTGCTCGCACCCAGGTGGACCAGCTCCGCAACGATCTCTACGTCTCGTCGGTAAAGCATTCGGAAGCGCTCTCGGATCTCTACTCCAGGCAAGAGGCGCTCCATGCGCAGAATGAGCAACTTGCGAGAGAAGTAGCCATCGAATGCCGCGCAAAGGAAGTTGCAGAGGCACGGTTGGCCGAGCAGCAAGCTCTTGTAGAGTCACTGAGAACTCAACTGCACCATCTGGAGACAAATGTCCATTATACCGTCAGGCATGAAGAGAAGATAGAAGCTAGGGAGAGCGCGCTCCAGGCACGCTATGACAATCTCGCGGAGTCGATCATTATTGCCCTTCGTGAGCAGATGGCAGAAGTTCCTGTCTGGCTGCAAGAGTTGAGGTCGGATATCCAGAACGAATTTGCTGGACTTCACTCTGCTCAAAAGGTAGGCCAAACGAGCCAGTTGTGTGTGTGATATTGACCGCATTTGCAGCATCAACGAGAAGAGCTAGCCCAGCTTACCGAACGGACTTCGCGTGTCGCCATTGCCCAAGAGAACCTGATCGCAAGCTCTCAAAAGGACAGCCCACTATTGGAGAATGTGCAAACCGGTCATCAAGAAGTCATGAGTGCGCTAGGGACGACAACGTCCTGTCTCCAATCAGTTCAGTCCAATGTTCGTACCGTCGAATCTAAAGTGGACCACGCAGTTTCAAGCCTGAATCAGTTGGACGCCATCATGACCAATCTCAAGGCGTTGGAATCTGCCGTGCAAAATGTCGCTGGCTTGAACGACACATTACCCCGTTTGATTGGTACCAAGGCTTCCGAGTCCACGAGTGTCGTCACCTCATCTATCACTGCTCTCGAGCCCAAACTCGATTTGCATACGGTCGCCTTGCGTCGAGAGCTCGAGAATGTGCAATCTGTGGGTGGAAATTGAAACCTTAGCAAACAATCGCTGAACATTTACCATAGATGCTAAACGAGCGCACCGAAAAGACTCTCCATAACCAGGCTCAGATTACTTCCACTCTCTCTGAGAATGTATCGCGACTTCATACTCTTCAAGACAGCGTCCATGCTCTAGGCGATAAGCTACAACGGCACATCTCATCTTCGGCTGACATTGCATATGCAAATATTTCTGTGCCAAAGAAATCCTCGGACGATGAAGAGGAGCATTCTTCGGCTACAGCTGCTGCTATCGATGCCTTACGAGTCGTCTGCACAAGCTCGCTAGAGAGGATCAAAGATGTGAGTAACTCTGACTTGGAGGAACTAGTCTCACAAGTTTTAGACTGTCGAGAAGCAGAATCACGATGTTCAACGACTTATATCTCAGGCGTCGGCTCAAGATGATCGTCAAATTTCGTCGCTCAAGGCTACCACAGAGGCTTTACTAACCAGGCTGAACCAGGTTGATGACTCGCTGAAACACCATGGGGAACACGGGCGTTCAGAAATCAAGGCCCTGTTGACGAGACTTGAAGGCACAATCGCGACCTTGGCAACGCTATCGGCTGTGGAACAAACTCTGGAGGATACGAAACAGTCTCACAAAGACGATTTCCGGGATGTTATTCAAGTGCGTGATGACGAGTGTATCGAACCGCCCAGTCTGACAATGCATAGGTCGTCAACCATGTCTCTGCTCAAATCGATAAGCTCAGCACCCGTCAATCCAACGAAACCTCTACGTCGTTCTCAGATATCTCCGCACAGCTCAGTGATATCAACTCTCGTCTCGTCGATATCGAGTCGACGGTTCAAGGTGTTGCTACGACAGCCGAAATTGTGGAAGAGATTGCTACTATCAGGACTTCCCAAAGTCACGAACATCAGGCCAGTACAGCATCTGTCGCTCGAGTTCAAACGGTGGTCGAGTCCTTGGAAGAATATACCAAGAGCGCTTTGGACCAAGTCAACGTTGTGCGTATCATCTCACTTGAGGCTCGTTGTCATATCTCATGCTTTGTTAGGCCTTGGATGAACAGCAGTCTCGCCTCGTCTCCATCCAAACGCACTGTCGACAGCACTCGGAAGACTTCAAGGCCATTTCCTCGACAATTTCAACCAATACAGATACCCTTCAGCATGTTTCATCACATATGGATCGTGTGTCTCGTTTGGACGAATTCATGTCTGCGCAGGAGGCGGTTTCAACGAAACTCGAGGATGTACGTGCAATGTTGGTAGCACTTCAAGAATCAGAGGGTGCACGTATCCAAACGCTGCAAGACGCATCGTCTCAGTCGACCGGAGAACTGCGCAAGGCGCTTGAGGTACGGTATTCCAATTCGATGGACTCGTTCCTTAACTGACTATATATCTGTATAGATGCTTGAACAGCAAGCTCAGCTACTCCAGAGTCTCTCTCAGCAAGTACACGATGACTCGGGGAAGAAGGACGACTTAGCAGTCACACATAAAGCCGAGGTCGTTGCTCTGCTGACGGCGCTGCTTTCTACTGTGGAGATTACCAGCAAGGAGACCACATCACTGAGGGAGGTTGTCACGACGATGAACTCGGAGCTCTCGAGCAAGGAAACTAACACTACTGAGAAATCAGAAGCGTCGAGCACAGCATTTGTGTCCATCTCAGAGGTAAAGTCTCGTCTATCTTCCTAGCACTCTTACTTACCTATGATAGTCCCTCACATCGCTAAGGACAGAGATTCTCAACTTGCGTGAGCAACTTGTCGAGTTGACCACTTCCTTCAAAGACGACTCCCAGTCATCACAAGAGCATGTGGGATCCCTTCTTGCAACCTTGGCGCCCAGATTTGAGGCTATTTTGTCCGAACTGTCCAGCGCAAAGGAAGATCTCAGTAAAGATATTGTTGTCACAAGGGAAGGCTCAGCCCAAAGCAGTGATGCCATTTTGGCCCGTGTGCAGAATCTCCGTGACTCTTTGAAGGCACCTCGAGAGCCAGATTTGGATCTCCTGGCGATTCGTGCGGTAGGCCTACTTTATTGCCTCCGGTAGATATCTAAATCATCGTTTCCACAGATGGTCGAAAAGCAAGAATCAGGCCTATTGTCTATGCAAAGTCAAATTGCGGATGTGCACTCACGCAGCTTCGAGGACGCCAAAGAGGAAATCGCTCAGATTAGGGTGCTCTTGGAACAAATGACCATCAAAGATGTTCAAGAAAGCATCAAAGAACTTGGTATCACGATAAACGACATCAAAGCTCTTGTTTCGAATGAAAGCACCAGCGCGACAACCTCGATCACCCTCTTATCCGAAGTTCGCGACGTGGGTCTAAGATTTGTCCCGCTCTCGAAGCTCATATCCGTCTAGTCCCTCCAAGCATATAGTGCTTCATTGACGCAGATCACTGAGGCTCGCGCAGGTGACGGGGAAAAGCACTTGGGTCTTGTGGAACTTCTTGATCGCAATCATTCCCAGGTGGTTGAAGTCCGGGGCTCCCTGGAGAGGAATCATTCTCAACTTGTTGGCATTATTGAGAATAGCAAGGCCGCATATGCTTCTCAGCTCGAAGAGGTTCTCACCAACTTCAAATCGTCTTGGGCAAGCAATTCGGATACCCTTCAACAATCGATTACGGTATGTATCGAAAGCAGGAAAGTTTTAATCGTATTTATCTGTCAATTTAGCTTCTGCAGACTTTGCAGACAAATGTTGCTCAATATCAAGAACGGGACGCCACCAGTGCAGCAGATGTCACAAATCAGCTCGCTAGCCTCTCACAAATCCTTTCCGACCTTCGCGTAAACGTTGAATTCAACAGCACAAACTCGCAAACAGTGCTCGCCAACATATCCAAATGGGAGAGCAGTCAAACCTCATTCAATGCGACTGTAGACCAACAGTACAGTCAGGTTCTAGAGGTTCTTAACACTGGTATAACATCACTGCGTGCGGGTATCACCGATGTAGGTGTCCCTTTTGAACTGATATTCATGGAATTGACGCACATTAGGGTCCCTCACAACTTAATGCTCTTCTTGTGGAGATCCAAACACATATAAGTAGTCTCCAACAGTCTCTGGAAGTCCGCCAGCAGTCCTGGGAGCAGACCCTCAGGAGTGAGATCTCAGTGCTCCGTCAAGAGATTGCCCCTCTCAATACGGCTGTCGGAAAGCTCGCAGACTCACAAAGTCACACCCGTGAGGTAGAGAAGGTCACTATTCATGAGCAAGGTCACGCAGACGCCTTGGGTAGCGAGATCAACCGAATGGAGAAATTGCGAGTGTCAATCGAGGGACTCGTCTCCGGTCATCACTGCAACGGATGCAACTGCAAGGGCTACGATTCGACTATGCCCTCACCTTACCGACAGAAGGGAACACTGTCAACAATGGGAAGCGACGCCGCTGGTCTATCGCCGCAACCGTACTCAGAGCAGACATTTGACGTGCCGTCCCCATCTGCTTTAAAGCGTGATTTCTCTGAAGGGTCACCATCAACCCCTGCAAAGCCTTATTCGATAGATCTGGCGTCTCCAGATGACCATCATGGTGTACGATCATCCTCCGGAGATGGAGGCGGGGTAGATAAAATTGAAGAGGTAATGCGAAATGTGGATCTCGACACATATGCTGATAGTCTGCAGTTGACGTTTCCACGCCCGAAGAGCCCCGGCAGTAGCGTCGGCGGAAGCCGTCGTGGCAGTATCGGAAGTGCCCGCCATACAAGTCACCAATCTGTCACAATTGAACACAGTCATCACGAGCATAGCCACCGAGAAGTCTCGAATCCGTTCGAGCTCTTCTCCAGACGACGGAAGACGTCGCACGTCGAAGAGGGGCAGGAATCGACGGATCGCCCACGCGTCAAGTCAAGCACGAGTACTCCAGGACGCACTTCTATTGGACACGGGAAGAGTCAACGAGTCAGCCTTTTGGGCTCAGCCTTACTGAGCACCGTGAGCGACAATACCGTGCCGCAAGTCTCGAGAAGTCGAACGACTTCAGGTGGTCTTCATCGACTATCGTCCATCTTTGGAAAGCACCATCATCATCACCATGACGAAGAAACCACAAAGGATGCTTCTAAAGAAGCGTCGACAAGCGGAGAGGGTGGCAAGCTGCAAGAACCGACGGTCAAGAAGGGTGCGGAAATTATCGAAGAGCAGCCGGAGGACGCAAAGAAGGAATAGATGAACGGAAAGCTTCTGATTATGGACTATCGATATGATCGAGTCTTTCGCGTTTTAAGCTTCTACTTTAAGTATCACACTCGTTTATAGACCTTTCGTAATGTAGTCGATCTGGATAACCCCACGTGTCCTTTTGTTTACAAACCTTTTGAACTGCTCCACACGCATCCGAAAGGGAGCCTGGCGTCGAACGCAAGATTAGGCACTCCAAAGGGATCCAACCTGAAACTCACCTGTAATGAGCGAAAGCACTGAACCTGAATTGAACCCCCAATTCGTCCTGGGTCTGTATAAGCAATGCTGGGACAATTTTATCAATGGGAGCCTGGGTATTGCCAGCTAGAACTTCAGAAGTTGAGTCCCTCTGTTCGAAGCTCTGGCCCTCAGGCAAGTTTGTGGGACGATCTTGATGACTGGGAAACCAAGTCTGAGGCGGAGGATGTTGCGAAGGATGCAGAAGCATTCTCCAGCATCATTGTTCAAAACGAGTCTCCTCTGCAAATAGCAAAGCTGCGAGCGCCGCTGGTCACACTAAAGCTCGACTTTGCACCATTGCCGCCGTACGAATACTGTAGAAGAATACACCACTACTTGCCGTCATACGAAGAAAAGGAGATGCATATCGAGAACGCGTTGGATGGAGAAGATTCGCAGTTATTGTGGCTTACATTTTGTCCACTCGTCGACGAGGATGAACGGTTGCCTGAGCATCACTTGCGAACGTTCCTTGAAGACTCTATAATTGGCTGGGAGACACAAAGTGTCCATGATAATGACAGTAAGCAGCGATTCATCCTGTGATAGACTGGAGTGACTACCCAGCGAACCAGTCGATATAATCGAGATAGAGGTCGTCGCACGCTTACTTGGAATGGAGTTGAAGCCTGAGCAGGTCGACGAGCTATTCCTTTTACCACGATGTATCCTGGGTACAGATGATCCTGGTATTGTAACTGTGTGGAACCGCCGGTACGCTACCATATGAAAAGGCCAGTATAGTTTATGATTCCCTTAGAGAGCATATTTTTCCTCCCCATTGGACGATCGCACATCCATTGATCATGGGAAACGAAAACAAGCTGCACCGATTGGTGGATCATTTCCACGCATGGTGCAGCCTGTGTGCGGAATATGAGTGCCATTTTCACCGTAAGTCAACATATTAAAACGATTTGGCACCTAATTCACAGTTCGTAGCCTTCTCGCCAGCCGTCACACAAAAAACGATCACTCGAACGACCAAACTCCCAAATATGATTGGGCTCCCAGAAACGGCATGCCATCAAACAGACTGTGTAGTTTCTCATTCGAGCACGGTATGCATTCCTGGAATAATGATGTCCTTGCGCAACTCAGTGTAGGCTGTAGGAAACCTTTCAGGACGCTGAGGATGTCCGAAATATGATCACTACATTCTTCGTCACATACAGCGTACTAAAATGGACGACTTCCTGTGAGATTGCTGCTATACTTGCTGAACCTTGCTGGAAGGTAGCAGGGTTGGTCTCTGCATAGGGTCGCATGTTCATCCACTTTAGGTGCATAAAATAATCAACGAGGTACTCGAGTCATCCAAGAGTACTGCCACGATCGACAAAGTCCATTCATCAAGACCTGGCAGCCGGATACAACCTCGTACGCTGTCTTAGTTGCATAATTCTACGAGATCTCACTAATTAAAGCGAATTTTCTAAACTGGAAACCGTGCGTTGTCAACAAGCAATTGTGGCAAATCTAACGATGCATAGAGTCGGACCATGTTATCACGAAGGACCGTGTACACAGACAGAATGTCCATGCGTCGAAATAGGCAACTGGTGCAGTAGTATGTGTCAATGCTCGCTCAATTGTAAGCCCAATCTGATCGAGGCGAGGCCCACGAGCTGACTCGACCCACATTGAGGTCCTCGACGCCCGGTCGGCTGCAAGTGCAAAGGAAAGTGTGACATCATCGACCAATGCGTCTGTAGAAGGGAGGACAGAGAGTGCGATCCTGATATCTGTCTTACCTGCAGACCACTCGCAGTTAAAACAGTATGCGTCAACAACAACATTCAACGTCGACGCAACGCAAGAACAGAAATACGACGTGCAGAGCATGGATGGGGTCTTTTTGCGCTCGAGAATATCCCACGCTTTGGTTGGATTGCACCCTATCTTGGGGAACTACACTCGAGCTGTACTGCCAACGTAAGGGAGATTGTGGCAAGACATTGCGGCCGCAACTACAACTTCACCATGACGTCGGAGATGCATATAGATGGTACTTCATGTGGAAACGAAACTCGCTTCATCAACGATCCCCGTCGGGCTGAGCGGGTTAATTGCGTGATTCGAAGTGAGCTTCCCATTACCTATTGAAGTTCTACTGACTGTGACTGTTCAGGGATCTGGGTGGACGGCCACTTATATTTTGGGATCGAAGCAAGTGAGTTCTCATATTATACGTAAATTGGGTGATCTCACCAACAATAGGCAAGCGCATCAAGCGTGGCCACGAGCTGTATCTCAGTTACGGCAACGACTTTTGGTCATAAGTGCTAATGAGAGCTTGATCAGCTGAATGAGGGTTGGTTGAAAGGATGTTTGCATACATTTACACGTACGTGCGAATATATCTACTATGGACACAAGAAGTGTTCCGTAAGGCAGGAAAAGAAACACAAGAAACATATGCACATGATGATTATAGACTAGTCACGCCAGCTATCTGGGTTATAGGCTCTTGGAGCAAAGTCTGCCGGTGGCTCATTTGAAAATGGAGCGGCGTTTGACTTCTGTGTGCGTCTCGCCAAGGAAGTAGCGCCAATGAACATATAATACAGAGGCTTTCCAGCCGAATTGACAAGAATTGGGGTTCTTGTCGCGCTGGTGACATTGCTGGGCTGCTGAGAAACTGAAGATGTGGACGGGTTCCGAGAGTGTGATCGGCGGCGGGAGCCGTGGTCAACTTCTGAGGGTGATCCTACAGATGGAGACTGCCTTGGGGTGAGACTTTGAATGGGTGGCAATGGGGATCCTGAGCCGGTCGGAGATGAGGAGCACAAAATGTGGTTGATCGAAGGGAGGCGCGGGGAAGGCGTTGGTTGGTCCGAATAAGGAGAGGCTACCGGCGAGTCATGAGAAGGCGGTCGTCGAATCAGAGCGACATTGGTGTCGATACGTGGAGGTGCCTGCTCTGTCCTAGAGCTGGATGTAGGCACAGAAATCGAGAGACCCGAGCTTGAGGCGGAGGTTGCAGAACGGCCGAGGGGAGGGAAGGGAAAGGATGTCGAAGAACGGACTCCGGATGAATGAGACTGGACGTGGGAGCGAGTTGATTCCCGCTCGTCTTCGCTGACATCCATTCTGGAGAAACTAGCCCGTCTCGTGGACCTACTGGCGGTATCTTCCGATTGAGACATATCATCGTCGCTCTCATTTTGAGCCCCTCTTTTGGCGCTCCCCGCACCAGGTGCTGACATTGGGAATTGAACTTTCCGCAAAGATTGACCTCCCTTCTCTAGTTGCCCAAGCACCCCGGAATCTGGAGGCTGAAAGGCACTCCGTGTAGGTGCTAAACTATGTTGACCAAAAGCGACGGCTCCAGTCTGGATAGACCACGAAGTGCGCTTCTCATGCGAGAAAGGAATTGCAGGTGCAGCAGGAGTCGCAAAAGAGCGACTTGTCGAGTCCGTTGTGAATCCAAATGCTCTTTTCTGAGGTTTACTCGTCTCTTGGGCCCGCGCAGAGGGAGGTGCCATGCGTGGCTTTGAGTCGATCTGGAACATTGGATTTATGGTATTGGCGACTTTGCGAGACTGACCCTTTTCCCCTATTTTCCTGAATTTATGCTGTGAGCTCTCAACGGTGACTCGCGATTTTTCGTGGCTAGGAGAAGAGGGGACAATCTTCCTCTTTCGAGTATCCGGTGGCTGAGCCCATGGGCTGTCGCTCTTCTCCTTTCCACTCGGGTTTCCGCTAATAGACATCGATCTTGGGGGCGGCGTGTCTTGTTTGGGAGCGATAGGTCGCAGACTTGTCCGAGGAATGTCTGCAGATACAGCCATGGAAATCTTTCGTGGCACTGAAACTGGAGGTTTCGGAGTATGTATGAAGGAAGTACGAAGTGAGGGATGGAGAAGACTATTATCGCGACTCATGGCCGAGGGCGGGTTTGCGTTCGATAGGGCGCTATCGGTCGAAGTCTGCGGTTTTGCAGATTCATTAACCGATTTATGTTCTTCGCTTGTGGACGGATGACGCAGCGGTTGGTTCTCACTTGCAGCCTCGGTCTCTGTGTCCATAGGCGTCGCAGGCTGCTCGGAGGCTCTAGCTTGTCTCTGACGGGGGTTTGCACCCGAGGCCCTATCCAGCATCTCGACGTCAGAAGTCGCTGTTCCAGTCACTGCGTCACGCATATCCTCGTCCGGATGCCCGGGGTCAAGAGGTTCATCGAAGGCATCGATATCAATGTCATCATCCTCTTCCTCTTCATCTTGGCCACTACCAATACCTGGTTCAGAGTCATCACCGCCTGGAGTGAGCCAAGGAGGTGCGGGTGTATTCGCATCGCCTTGTTTACGTGAGGGCGGCTGGCGCATAGCGACGACCATTCTTTTGTTAATCTGCGATGGCTTGCCGCCACCGTGCCGTGGACGTGAATAAGCGGGCAAAGATTGACGGTTCGAACCCGGCTGGGCATGACGAGGGCCATTCATGAAGACGGGTGTGGTCGAGGAGGTTCCTCCCAACGATGCTTGTGCAAAGGCGGAGCCCACTGGTGTTGTAGCAAAAGGCGAACTCGCGACCCCTGACCCACGAGCCAAACTCAAAGGAGCATCTTCCCCGTTTGTAGACGATCTGCGCGTGTGGCTCGTCGGAGGTGCGTCAGTGGGGGAGGTCAAAGTTGGAACAGCAACTCCGGGCGGTGCAGAGCCAGTAGGTGAAGGAGGTTTTCCACTTTCTCGGGTTGTTTCCGCCAATCGTTCTGCGGAAGCTGGCGACATTGATCTGGGTCGCGAGAGAGGCAGAGGGACATTCGTAAAGAGGTTCTGGTATGGGCGCTTGGAATATGCCCGTGCAGCGGACAGAGGGAAGGATGATGGTCCAGCTTGCTCGCCGCCACTCCCTCCTGATGAGATGCGTCGCTTGCTGTCAAAAGCGAGCAACATTGATCCGTCACTGTTCTCTGCTATGATACGGGTCGGTGGTGGAGAGTCTGTCGAAGAATCGTCTTCCTCTTCATCGTTTCCACCATTCTTGCCACGACCCTTTCTGGGACGTTTCGGGCCTGATGAATGGTTTGTCTTTGGCCGCACAAGAACGGAGAAAACCCACCTCCCACACTCTTCTCGTCAACTTGCCAAAGATTTCCAAGTCCAGGCTGATGGAGTGCTCGCTTTGTTTTCATGAACCAATTGTTGCTGCTCAGATTGTATCGTATCGAGTCCCTCCACTTGTCGTCCTTGGTGTACCACGGATATTTGGCTTCCAGCATAGTGTAGATTTCGGCAAGACTGAGAGCTTTGAAAGGGGAACCGAGAATCGCCATCCGCGTTATCAAGGCGTATGAATATGTCGGTTTCTGATCCACTCCACAGTCCTTGAGGAGGTGAAGACCTTCATGGAGAGTTTCTGCATCGTTTCTGTCCGGCAATCTGCCATTTACAGAGACTTTCGACGCTGCGGCCCCAATGATCACAATTTTCCGGCCGGATTTGCCTCCTGAGGAAGAATGAGTGATCTCCTTCGCCTAAATGAAGACCGTCAACTGACCTGCATCGGTTACCCCATCCCACGCGATCGGGTGCCTTGTGAGATGCATCCATGGCAAGGGCGTAAAGTCACTTGGCAGAATTTGTGCCAAGCTGACCTCCATTTGTGGCGGAGCCAGGGTCCAATCCGTGTCCGCAGTCGTGATCCAAGTTTCGACAGAGGCCTTGACAGAATTCTCGCCTCTTGTTTCTTCCTCCTTTTGATCTTCATTCCCCTGCGAAGTAGCCGATGCAGAGTTGCGCGTGGCCCTTCGAGGTGCGTCAGGCGGTGGGTAGCGCTTGGGCACATAAACTGAACTCGAAGCAAGGGGAACACTGTTTTGCCTTTTCGGTTGTTGATGCGGGGTGCCATTCTTGCTCGTAGTGCCTTCGCTCGCCGATGGGGTGGACCCCTGAGCGTTGACTGGCTCCACCTCCACGGTTGTTCTCTCTTGTACTGGCTCAGAGGAAGAGCGAGCCGTATCTGGCAGTAATAAAAGATCCTGGCGCGGTGTCTGCATATTTGAAGGGGTAGAGGCCATAAATTCCATCGGAGTGGCTGGCGGCTGGGGAAGTGGTGTGTCCTCTGTGGCAGGTGTGGGCATCTGCGCGAAATCTATGGACGCTCCCTGCATTTCGGGGCTTGGTAAGGGCATTGGAATGGGTATTTCGGGTGATGAATCCCCATCAGGATTCATGTCAGGCGATGAGGGTGTGATAGTTACTGCTCTGTTCCAAGCGTAATCTGGAGGGAGTTCGCTGACAAGTCTTTGCGGTGTTCGAGGCTGCTGCGTCCTCGAAGAGCCTCGAACTGCATACGCTGATATGAGTTCTGCGTCATCATCTTCGACACCAGATCCACGTCGCTTGCGTCTGTGAGAACGCGCACGGGGGGTTCTAGCTCGCAAATCTCGACTGGTTGCTTGCGGCGTTGCTGAGCGGCGCGAACTACTTGGATCCGCATCCATATATGAATATGGTGCGGAGATTGGCTAGGTTTACAGCGATTATTACGAGCGTTGAAAGGGACAAATAGGCGAGCTTAGATGGGTATAAGGTGAGGTTAGCGTGAGCGATGCGAATAAATTGATGATAAAACGGCAACTACTGGGAGCGTCAGCGCTGGGGCCTATAGTTTTGCCCGCCACAAAGAGGGTGCAAGGGCGAGTTGGACGAGAGGGGCACTCACAGTGCGTTAGATACGTACAGGACAGATCGTGAGGACGTTTATGAGTCGCGGTGGGAGACTCGGGACATCAAACGGGGACCGAGATTCACGCTGAAAGGACGAGACGAATAAGGCAAACGAATAGAGGATCGAAAAAGGGAGTTTGCAGTCTACATTTGGCGACAAAATGGTCAGCGTTTCAGTCACATCCACGGCCAGCCCACCGACGGCATCTCAGGCAGGAATGGCAGGCCTTGTACACGCGCCGCCACGGAACCGGGCTCAAAAAATGCCAGATTTGGGAGCAACTCCGCGTATAAAGTGCAAAAAGCAAGGAAAAGGGCAAGAGAAGACTCACCTTTGCGCTCTCGCTCGCGTCCGTCTCTGTTATGCTTGTCGAGGTTGTCTGCGCAGATGTCCACACCGCGCGTAGATATCGACAAGGAAAAACGATACGATGCAGGATCTCAAAACCAACAGGGCAGATGACAGCCGCTCGTGGTTGGGAGCAAGCAAACGGGAATCATAACACGTCAAAACATGCACATGCTTAGTGTCTGCAGTCAGATAAAGAGTGGCTTGGTTATGCAAAAACGATGAAAATACAGCATTAGTATTGTCAGCATGCTTTTAAAGATGACTCAGCGCGGTGTGGGGACTCTGGCCGGGGAGCGAGGATATATGTCTATGATCCGACATGAAGATACGCTGTAAACTATGAATCAGACTGTACAGTCTCTCCCAGGTGCGATTTCGTCTCCTCTTGCGCAAGCCACATCTGGTGATACAGCCCACCCTTGGCCAGCAGCTCCTCATGAGTTCCCTGCTCGGCGACATCGCCATCTTTCAGGACAATAATCAGATCTAAAGGGTATAAGAACATATCCAGCTCCCAACCAAACTTGACTCACCAGCGCCGACGACGGTTCGCAGCCGATGTGCTATGAATATACTTGTACGCTTCTTACTCAGGAGCGTGCTATTGATATTTCGCATGAGCTCTGCCTCTGTTTGGCTGTCAAGTGCCGATGTCTGCAAGAGCCTTTGTCAGTACAATCAGGCATGAACAACACCTCACTGACCGCTTCGTCGAAGAAGACAATCGGAGGGTCCTTGAGAAGCACTCTCGCAATAGCTAGTCGTTGTTTCTCTCCACCGGAGATCATAAGACCTCGTTCTCCGACCGTGGTGTGGTACGTTTTGGGCAGGCGTTGGACCGCATCGTGCACTCGAGCCATTTTGGCCACCTCGATAACCTGTTCATCACTGGCCGACAAGTTCCCGTAGCGAATATTATGCATGACATCTGCATGAAAGAGTGGTGTGTCCTGGGGTACGACACCAATCTGGGAGCGTAAAGAGGTTAATTGGACAGAAGAAATCTCTTGACCATCGATGAGGATCGAGCCAGATTGAGGCGGATAGAAGCGGAAGAGGAGTCGGAGTACAGTCGACTTTCCGGACCCCGAAGACCCCACGAGAGCCACCTTTTTGCCAGCTGGGATCGTAAACGAGATGTTATTGAGGATAGGCCGCGTTGGGTAGTAGCTGAAAGAAACATTCTTGAACTCGATATTTCCACCCTGACTCAACACCAGAGGTTTGGCATTCGGAGAATCCTGACACATAATCAACCGACAAAGAGAAAAATGGACCGGATTTTACCTCGATGATTCTCTTCTCGCCTTGGAGATTGTACAGTACCTCCATGTCCAAGAGACTTTGTCGCAATTCTCGGTAGATGGTGCCAAGAAAGTTGAGCGGCAACGATAGCTGGAAGACTAGCTGGTTGATCATGACCAGGTCACCCACAGTCATGGTTCCAGCGATCACCCCTTGCGCGGCCAAGACCATCATTGCAGTCAGGGCAGATGAAAAGATGACATTCTGGCCCGAGTTGAGATATGCTAGAGATGTTGCAATCTTGATAGACGCGTCCTCGTATTTGGCCAAACTCTTGTCGTATTGATCAGCTTCAAACTTTTCGTTGTTGAAATGCTAGAAAGTTCGAATAAGCTTGACTTCTTAATGAAGGTGGCAAACACACCTTGACAGCTTCGTAGTTGATGAGGGAATCGACAGCGGTTGTTGCCGCTTTATTATCCGCTTCATTTGCTTCTCGCCGGAAGCGAGTCCTGTGAAATTGTGAGCGGTATAAGAGCGGCGGAGTCGACGGCTCACCTCCACGATGTGGTACGAATGGTGAACCAAGAATAGCCCGCCATTGTTAGTAGGGTAATATAGGCAAAATTGGCACCAAAGTTATAAGTCTACCAGTCTCCGTGAGATTTGCTCACAGGTAAATTCAGCAGACTGACCAAGATGCCACAAACCATGCTGATCTCTAACGCAGTCGGCACGATATGAAAAATAATCGAAGTGAGAAGAAACGTGATGCCCCTAAAGACGTTGTCAGTAGAAGGCTACACTGGTTAGATCACTAACTTTGTTCCTCGGTTGATTGCCCGTGTGAGTCCTCCAGTTTGGCGAGTGAGATGAAACCTTAGATCCAAGTCGAGCAAATGTTCGAATGTCTTTCGGGCGACAGAACGAACGGCGTGCTGGCCTACTTTGGCGAATACAGCATTTCTCATTTCCGAAAACAGCGTAGCGAATATTCGCGCAGCGCCGTCTACACTATGTCAGCACATGCGTTTTCAGAGCATATGCTTACAGCTGAGGATTACACTTCCTGCAATGACCCACACCGACGAGTCGGGAGTGAACGGTACGTTGAGTACATCTACAATCTGCTTGAAGAACATTGGAACTTGTACATTGAGGATCTATAACACTATGAGTGCGATATAATCGATCAAAAATACTTACTTTTCCACCAGCTAACAATCCGAGCGCCAGGATAATTCGTCCTTTGGTACTCCGTGCATCTGGTCCCCATCCGGCAGGCCACAGATTCGATGCCAAGTTTCTTACTATCCTCCAATCCGCACTACGTTGTTCTGCTGCTGATTTGTGTACAGTGGCACCGCCCAGGTCAACAGCCGTTTTCTCGCCAGCAGTGCTGGGCGCTTTAGATGACGGATCAGAAGCGGTTTTCAGGGTCACTTCTTCTTTTGGGGTCGCAGAATTTGTGCCCAAGTCCTTCTTTGGTAGACTGTCTTCTGTCCCGGTCGAGGGAGGCCGCGTTGCGACCTGTTTCTGTGATTCAGATGGCGTCTGAGACATACTCTGATAACCTCGGTGGTGTAGCGACGCATTGAGACTCCGTCGAGGAGTCGACGTCTGCTGAATAAGGCCTGTCGAAGGCCGAATTACAACCCTGGTCACATAGGTTCTATCACATCTTCCAAAAGAGTAGATTGCGAGTCCAGAGCGGCATGTCGGGGGCCAACAGGATGCCACGGTGCGTCGTGCGCAATGTGTCAACGCAAGCATTGCGTTCCAAACAGCTCTTCCAGAGCCTTATCCACTCTTGTTTTGCTCAAGGACTTGTACACTTGCGGAATACAAACTCCGAAATCTGAGCGGCGATGGCGGAATCGGACGAAATTTGGACCTCGCTGCTTCCAAAAGGAAACTTTAGATACACTCCTTGCATGATGAAGGATCAAATTCTATGGTACCCGTTTTATTACAAGCTGTATCCGTATCTCACTTACCTGTGGATCTAGAGCTAGGGCAGTGACCAGAGCCTACCTAGAATAAAAGAGCGGATTCACACACGTTACTTATCATAAATTCATTGATATGTGAATTTGCGCAGACAGAAGGCAAAATCGAACGAGCTTTGGGCCAGAGTGCATCCAAACACGAGAGTTGGACTGAGTGAAATGCGACCATGTCTGTAGTCAAGTCTAATGATCAAAGTATACAAAACCCTGGGTGATGATGGCACCCGTTTTCAAAGAAAGCTGTTGTGTCACTGCCAATTAGTCGAAGTGGTAATGTTATCGAAATGTCGTGAACGAGAAAACGTAGACGATTGCCGAATCCTTATTTCCTCCTCATGCGAGACGGTCTACTTGGGGTATCCTCTGGTCTTCCTGGCCCTCCTGATCGCACGCTATGGCCAACGATCACACCTCCTGCACCAGATCCCAAGCCGTGACTAGAGGAGACGGACGAGGCTGAGCTAGAGCCGCCACTCCAGTGTCCAATAGGTGGCGGGATACCGTGTCGTGGTGGCCCCGTCGGTGTCACATTGAGATTGAGTCCTCCAAGCGATGAAACAGCTCCTGTCGACACTGGTGCAGATCCATTCGACGGGGACACCCCGCCCTCTCCACTTGGACTTGAGCGCGCCGCTGCTCTCGAAGAACCGCCACCAGAGGCAAAGATGGACGAGGTGGCCGGCCCTGCTCCAGCAGGTGATACAGAGCCAAAGGCGAGTGGACCAGCTGCGAATGCCGATGTTGGTGTCGTCGCAAACGATCCAGAACTGGCAGCCAGATTCGGGTTGGAGGCAAAACCAGACCCAAAGCCAAGTGGTCCTGTGCTAGGACCAGGGAACCCGTGATACGACGGCGAGAATAGGGCTCCACCGGGCGAGAGTCCGGCTGCAAACTCTCTCGGTGTTCCCCCACTCAAACTGCCGCTTGCAGTGGCCGCAGTTGCACCTTCTCCAAACTCCCAATCAGCCACGTCTCCTTCATGCCTTGAAGCTGACGCGCCGCTAGAACTAGAGGCAACAACCTCTTTCAATTTAGATCTTGAGGAGGTGCCCTCTCGCGATGGATTCCGTCTAGTTGGGGATGGAGAGTATTCCATGACTGGAGCAGGATACCCAGGAGGCGGCGGCGAGGTGAACTGAGCCTTGCGGTGGCTCTGGATGGAAATTTCGTGGTCGACGTCGTGGTGATCATCCTCATCGTCCTCTTGGTCATCATGGTCCATCATATCTTCATCTCCATCTGCTGGTCGTGGACTTGAGTCCCTTCCGTTATCGCTGCTATCCACAATGTGCTCATGATCGTCGTCGTCGTCTTCATCGTCATTGTCGTCCTGATCCATCGCAGTATTGTCTCGCGCATAGGTCGGTACGACATCAACGTCTTCCTCGGCCTCACTATCTCCCTCTTCTCCATCCACACTGCCCTCGCCGACCCATTCCTCTTCTCCGTCTCCCACAACACCTTCGCCAAAATCCCAGACGTCGAGGTAGGTTGCATCGTGACGATTCGAAGCTGCAACGCACCAGCGTCCATCAAAGACGACTTGCCAGACACCAGTGATACCCGTCAATAGATCGCGCACATTGGTCCCGTCGCGAATATCCCACATCTTGAGAGTTCCATCGGATCCACTGAGGATCTTAAATTCGTCGTGCTGGAAGCAGGTGATTGCACCGGTATGAGCAGCCAGAGTATGGAGGAGATCACCTGTCGATGGATCCCACACCCTAAGAGTCGAATCGGCGGCGGCTGAGACGAGGAACGAATGGGATAATCCGAGCAGTCCAACTAGAGACGTGTGGCCAGTAAGTACATGGACACATTGCCCTGTAGCAGGCTCCAGATGCGAACGGAACTGTCCATCGATCCAGAACAGGCTTGATTCCGCGCGTGGTCTAGGACAATGCTGTACACTGGATGATAGATAAGCATCTACCAAGTCGTTGGAAACATAAACTTACCCTTTTGCGTGTGTCCTGAAAGAACCCATTTGCAGACACCGGTAATGATATCCCAAACCCGGACGGTGTGGTCATAACTTCCAGAGACAAGCGTCCGCCCCCTGGCAGCGAGGGCTCTCACCGCACTTCCATGTCCACTAAGCAATCGAACATGATATGGATTATTATCCGCAACCTTGGAACACGTCAGACGATGTACCAATGAGAGCGTACGACATACCTCCACCTGGTCCGGACCCTCTTCCTCTTGCATAAAGAAGAAGGGAGGCTCATGCGCCTTTGGCAACTTCCAAACACGAAGAGTGTGATCTCGGCTCCCAGTGACGATCAGAGTCCTCTTCGGCCATCTCTCCCGCCTCACAACGTTGTTCTCCTCATCCGCATCATTGGTGCCATTGTCCTCCGTCATGTCGAGTAGCTCTGGTTTGACGATAGCCAGACACCGTACCGTGCTCTTGTGGCCACCAAACACGTGCGTGCATCTGCCCTTTTCCAAGTCCCAGATCCGCACAGTGCGATCCGTTGAGCCGCTCACGAGCGTATCCTTGGTCGCAGCCAGAGCCCAAACGCCTCCACCATGCCCTTCGAGAGACTTGACGAGTTGCCCGGTAAGGGGGTTGTAGACGTGGATAGAATGGTCGTCAGAAGCCGAAATGATACGATTATGCGAGAATAATAGGCAGGTAACCACCGAAGAACCATGTGCAGCAAAGGAAACATGTTTCGGATGTTGGTTCTGGGCCCATTGTGTCCGAGTGAGCTGACGAGATTTGAATAGAATCTTGTATGGATGAGGAAGCTCGAGGCTGGGTGATGGCGTGATGGCTGGTGTGTTTGAAATAGTAGAGCTGCTGGCGGAAGATGCTGAAGGGGAGGACAAAAGTTGACGTCTATGGCCGTGCGCATAGTTTGGTCTGACTCCACTCCTTACGGACCGGCGGTTCATTAGAGTGCGGGCAAATGCTCGCTCTGGTCCGCCGCCAAACCAACTCCCGCTCGATCTCAGCAATTCACGCCATAGAATGGGATCCGAGTCGATGATTGACATCCACGCCTTTGATACCCGCGTGCACCGCGCCAATGTTCGCCCAGGAAGGAAACTGAGGATGATAGAGACCAGTTCAGCAGGAAGTTGAGTAAGAAAGTCGCGGGACATGGCAGGCGAGAGCACCGAATGAATGTTTCGGAGAACAGGGAGCGGAGCCTGTCGCATGAGCGTAAGGAGAACGTGTGACTGCAGATTAGGTGGAAGGAGCGTAAAATGCGTAAGGAGAGATGGCAGCGTGAGGAGGGTCGTAAGTTGGATATCGGGCTGGAGTGGCGCGGCATCTGTATTCGTTGTGGATATCATTGACGACGTTCTCGAGTCCAATACCGAGGCAGAATGCGTCGATGGGGGTGGGCTCGAGTAGTGATCGACGGCTGGGTTCAAAGGCGCGCTCGCTGGCGTCGGGAGATGATGTGAGGCATATTGAGGACGAGGACTGGAAAATGACAATGGTGCAGGAGAGCCTGTTGGGGATGGTAAGGGTGAAGGCGGGGCAGCTGCACTAGTCGTCGATCCAGACGGACCACGCATATTAACAAAGTCTGGATTTATTTGAGCTCGCAGCCCATTCTGTACCCTTTTATCAGTACCGTGACCTCCTGGCGCCGCGACTGCTACGCCTGTAGCTGGATGATGGCGAGAGGGCGTCGTGGCCAACTCTACGCCATCCATCGCGTCGTCTCGTTTGCGCAGGCGATTAAAACGTTCGACGGCAGTGAGAATATCGACCTCCTCGCCAGGAGGTATCTCGTCCTTTCTCAGCATCTTCCAGCCACTTCCCGCTACAGGCTCTTCAGACTCCTGGCCATGATCGGCATCGGCGTCATCACGACTTGGACTGTCTCCGCTTGCATCTTTTCCGTGTGACGCCAGGCTGGGGATGACTGGAGCGTTGCGAAACGTCGCTTGAGCACCATCCGGGAAAACGAGGCTAAATTCTTGCAGACGCCGGGGAAGGCGCGCAGTAAGAAGCGGATACTGCTTGGGATCTGCTGGTACTGGAGGAGGTGGCAAAGCAGGAAGTGTAATGGGAGCATATGTCGTAGTCGTGACGGTCGTCGTGGTCACCCTGCAAGGAAATTGTGAGCCTGGCATATCAACAATCTTATGCATAAACAATACCCACACTTCTGTGCGGACCGACGGTGCCAGGAGCAGCGATGGGCCTTCTAATCCTGTGTTGGCCGACATGGTTGGTGTCCAACAGGCGTGCGGTAGCAAGCAACCGGCTGGAACCCCAGCTTGCGGTCAAACTCCAGTTACTAATTGTTAAACAAGCTCAGTATTCATTTCCTTTTGCTTGTTTGACCTCGACTCAGTTGCGACCCCCTTTCGCCCCCTTTACGCGTTATCTCCCTCTGCTGTGCATGTCGATCGATAAAGACCCTGAATAACCAAATCTATCATCTATTCCTTATCCTCCGGGGACCCTCGTTGTATCTCGTCTTGAGCCCCAGGTAAAGACGGTTCTCCAGACTTCTTTCCCGCCTCCCATGCAGATCTGCGCAGTGCCTTCTCCGCATTTCGTTGCGCAAGGGTCTTGCCTTGACTGCCACTTGAAGTTGCACTGGCTGTCGGTGTCGATGTCCCAGGAGTGGACACAGTTTCCCTCGAGTCTAGCGTAAATGTGACTGGACCTTCGTTGACGATACCAACGCTCATCATTGCACCGAATTGGCCGTCTGTCGTCGGTCAGCAACTGGAGGACCCACCTAAACAGGTTCACCTTTGATCTTTGACGGATCGTAAAGTGCGCCCATACGCTCCAGGAACGTAGCGTACATTGACTTTGACGATTCGGCAGCCTACAAGCTTGAGTAGTTGGAAAGAAGAAGACAAAAAACGAGCCTACCATGGCTTTATGAAAGTCTGGTTTGTTCTTCACAATCTTGGCAAATAAAGTAAATTGCGACACGGAGAGAATCTCCCCTCCTCGATCTTTGACGCTGGCTTTCCATGCGCCACCACTTTTCGGATCCGGGAACGCTTTGAGATTGAGTCTGTACAAGTATGAGGTTGTGTATCTCCAAATCAATTTCTGTGAGACTCACATCTTGTTCGCGATCGTCTCTATATCGTCCTGCGTATCATCTACACTGCCAATATCGATCAACGAGACGGGTGGAAGAGGCCAAATAAAGCCACCGAACCAGTTCCTAGACCCACGAGAACCATTAATCCTTCGCCGATACTCGAGATCACCTCCGAGTTGACTGCGATAGATAAGAACATACAATTTCCATTACAAACTAGTAGCTGACCTGTAACAGAGGCCGAAGAAACCCGCTGGATGATGGCACGCATTCTTCGTGGGCGAGTTCAACCTTGGTACCCCCTTTGACCTCCCATCTGACATGGTTCGACGTTAAATCTCAACATCTTCCTCTATAGATGATGGAGTGATAGAGAAATGCTGTGTTCAACGCTCTCAGACTCGTCCACATGGTCTACCCATTTGATGACTTGGAAATGCTTGGCTGGAAGGCCGTCGATGGGCAGCCTGGAACGGTGACAAGGTAAACTATCTCATTTTTAAACACGTATCTTACGCTTCTGGATGTCCAGGCCTCTAGCAGGAGCGGAGCTAGTTCTTGACCAAGTCAGGAGGTTGAACGACGGGCACGTGAAAAAACCAACTATTGTTCATTTACTGATTTTCATATAGGCTAAACGACCTGTCGAGTGGTGTGCTTATTGACCATGGATTGCCCTTGGCCGAACTACTCGATCGAATCTCGGAGAGCTGGCTCCGCCTTCGCTTTCACAGTCCTCTCATCGGCGCTAAAGTTTATCATGATTCAGATCCAGAGACTTTGGGATCATGGGTGTACACTGCGGTCACACTCGAACAGGCCAAAGCATGGCTCCAACAGTCGCTCCACTTTCACTTCTACCCGAATGGTCAACTTACAAGTGAAGCTGTCGAAGAGTTCGTTTCTGCGCAGATAAAAACAGCCTTGCCGTTCGACGGCAAAGGAGATGTGCTCGTTCATGGACATATTTTGGTAGAGCGTTCATCAGGCAGAATGGCAATCGTGATTCATGGAACGCACGTCATCTTTGATGGGCCAGGTACGCAATTCAACCATACTCTACCCGCATTGACGTATCGATAGCCTTGCTGGACTTTCTGTATCTCTTTCTGGAGCATATTACATCTCCACATAGTTCTACCCCTAGCACCGAGCTAGACTGGGGAACAGAGATGTCAAACCTTCCTCCACATCCAGTTCATCTTGTCGGAGGTGCCCAAGATGGGTGGGAAGCTGAAGGCATTGCCATGCTCAAAGAAATGGATCTCATCCTCGGCGACGAGAGGGTATTTCGTTAGTAGACCTTTTCTCCACGACGACTAACACTCGACTAGGGCTCGCATACTCTTCGTCCTAGTCGTCTCCAAGTCGCAGCGGTGGGGACAGTCCAAAAGGTATACCATTCTTTTGACCACGAAGAAACGTCTAGTACGTCAACTGGTACAAAATACCGACGCTAATGATCACATAGAGATTCTATCGAGCATCAAAACTCTGCAAAGTACGGTCACAGTTGCATTAGAGGCAGCCCACGTCCTCGCCACTCTCAACCTTCACGCCCCGACTCATTACCAAGGGCGTACAGTTCTTTTTCCGTCCATGTACGTTACCACCTGACAGCTCTGTCGATCCAATTCATCCTCTATTCAGCGTCGCACTTCGGCACAAGTTCTGCGTACCATGGAATAAGCGCAGTACCGTAGTAGGCACAGGGAGTGCCGTCCCGATCACCGTCACGCACAATCTACTCCAACATGGTACCGAGCGCGAAAAGTTGCTCAACGCAATGATAGATATCAAGAAGCAGTACACAAAGTGGCTGAGCAATCCGCATCATCCGTTGATTGTTCCCGCGCAGCAAGCTATGAATCCTATCCGACAGAAGACCACGAAACCGGATGCCGAGATTACGAGTCTAGGTGTCCTAGATAGAAAGTTGCCAATCGTCTGGAAAGGAGAGGATGGAAAGGATGTTTTGGTGATCAAGGACTTTTCCTTGTCATTGCGCAGGACGACCCCGGTATTGTATGTACAAGCTCACCAATTGCGGAAAACAAGGGTGCTGATGCTACGTAGGATGACACACAGTTGGACACTGAATGGGTCTCTGAGGATTCAATGCCAGGGTAGTGACGTCTGGGATATTGAACAGATGCAACGGTTCCTCGATGAAATTGTCCGCCTCGTCAGGGTACTCACATTCACGTCTGTATCGTAGGAGTACAACTCGAATGTCAATATTGAAACTTAATGTTACAGTTTTCGAGACATGAAGACGTTGAGCACGACCACCTGGCCGACAATAAGCTCAGAGTGAGCTCTTGATCCATTTGCCACCATCCAGAGCTTCGAGATATGGCATGAGATCCGACGTCAAAAAGTCACTTGCGCGGTCAGCCTTGACTTGGGAGATCATGTACTCGACTGCTATGGCAATCTGCTTGTCTTGTACACCAGCGACGAGCGATTTGACGTTGGAGGCTACCTCGCGCAACACGCCCTCAACATAGGATGCCGTGATAGGGTGTCCAGTATCCTGTAGCAAGCCGAGGTGAGCGAGCGGGTGAGAGAGAAAACCATGGACATACGAGACGAGCTTTGTGATAGACCCATTGCCAGAGTTGCACGCGCGCAATCTCCGCTGTCGCAGCGTCTTCCATCAAAAAGTTGAGTGGGATACAGCCGTTTCCAGAGATCCACGCAGCACAGTAAGCCAACGCCCTATATTGCTCGTCAGTCCTGATACGGTCCAATCACCAAATATACATACGCAGATGCGTTGCTCTTGACACCGTCATGGGTGATCTTGCCGGGGACAGATGAATTGAGGAGGTCCTTTGGTGTGACGACGACCTCTTCGCGGCGGACGTGGTACTGATTAGGACCGAGCATGTGCTCGTTGAAGACATCCATGGCAATCTTGTTGATAAGCGGGTGTGCAATCCAGGTACCGTCGTGGCCGGCCGTCACTTCGCGCAACTTGTCCGCACGAACTTTGGCCATGGCCACCTCGTTGGCCTTTGCGTCACCCTTGATCGGGATTTGAGCTGACATGCCACCCATAGCAGCCACACGGCGTCTACGCATCAACGTCAATAAGGATTGGACAAGAGAGAGGGAGGAGCGTACTTGTGGCATGTCTGGATGAGAAGACGAACGTATGCGTCCATGAATCCAGATTCCATTGTCACGTCCTTTCGATCAGGAAGGACGGCCGTCTTATCGAGCCTACGCTTTTTGATAAAGCTAAAGATGTAATCCCATCGTCCGCAATTGAGTCCACTAGAATGATGTCTCAACTCGAAGAGAATTTCTTCCATGTGGAATGCGGCCGGGAGCGTCTCGATGAGCACAGTGGCGCGAATGGTGCCCAGGGGGATTCCTAGATAGGCTTGGGAAAAGTTGAAAATGTCGTTCCAGAGACGAGCTTCGCGGTAGTGCTCCATTTTTGGGAGATAAAAGTATGGCCCAGATCCTCGTGCGATGAGTTCCTTGGCGTTGTGGAAAAAGTAGAGAGCAAAATCAAAGATGGAGCCGCTCATGGGCTGGTGGTCGACGGTGATGCGTGGCTCGTCCAAATGCCATCCTCGTGGTCTATACAGTATAGGTGAATACGCGAGAAGCTAGATACTAGATGCGCGTACCGGACGATAAGGGTGGCCGGCTTTTCCGTGAGCTTGTACTGCTTGCCGCCTTGCTCAAAGTCAATCTGGCGACGAATGGCGTCACGGAGGTTGACTTGTCCATTGAGCATATTCTGAAACGAAGGCGAGTTGGAGTCTGTAGGGGGTTGCATGTGAATATGGGCGTGCAAAGTACGGGGTAAGTCATGACGCGAACCTTCGAAATCGGCCATGAATGTCTTTGCTCCACTGTTGAGGGCATTGATGACCATCTTGCGGTCCGTGGGTCCGGTGATTTCCACCCGTCTATCTTCGAGTCCTGGGGCTGGGGGAGCGCATACCCACGAAGGGTCGGCACGAATGTGGGCAGTCTCCGAGGGGAAATCGAGCTGTTCACCACCGTCTAGTCGCTGCTGAACGACGTCTCGTGCATCGAGGAGCTAGCCGGGGGGGATGAGTAACAAACTACGAAGGGTAAAGGAGACGTACAGCAAGCCGTGTTGGGTTGAATGTCCTATGAAGTGCAACGAGAAATGCAAGTGCAGGTTCTGAGAGAATATCCGACTGTGCACCTTGGACGCGGGCTGGCTCTTGTCGTCAGTTGGTTCATCATCGCAGCTTTTGGTGGGTAAATGACAGACCGTGGATCTGGACGCCTTGGGGCATGGTAAAGGATGATAGAGGCAGAAAGTAGAGGCAAAAACTGGAACCAGATTCTGCCGTCTTTTATGGGCCTTTGCCATTTTCATGCGGGCTTCCGCACCGGGTTCGACCGCCACTCCGCATAACAGACGGCGTGATTTCGTGACCGGATCATCGACAAGAAGCACGGAGAGCCAGGGATGTTCGTGGTGGCAAAGAGGACGAAGGAAGATGTTGTGTAAACGGGTCTAGGGTCAAGTATTGATTAAGTAAGTCGACCGTCACCCCAAGTGTTGACCAATGATCAGAGAACAATAGTAAATGATCAGATGGATTAGATGAACACGATGTATACCCACTATTTCCATCCTAAACAGCCATTATAGTCCTTCCGCCTCCTGCCTGGCACGCGTCCGACGCGCGGCCGCCGTTGATTGGTCTACCCCAGAAATCGACTGACCCCAGCTCCCGTTTGTGTCTCTTGGACTCCTACCACGTCCTCAAAACACGCTCGTACTCGTTCAGATCATCACGAGCAGCTCCCTTTTCCCCCTACATAGAGCTCGTACGTTTCTAGTTGCCAAATGACCGTCCACAACGGTTCCTCGCTCTGCGCAGGCGAGCTCGACTCGCTCGCAGTCAGACCACTCGCAATCGCCCATGGATCCCTCAGGGTACGTCTAGATTCGTTTTTGACGCGTCCAATCCGCCCTAATCACCCTCCAGGTCGCTGTTCCCGTATCCACCTCTAATGGCGACTGGGTCGCCGCAGAAATCGTCCGAGAAGAGTTTTTACATTCAATTAGTACTCTAGAGCCCCCGACACTCGCCCACGACGCGTCCCACCAAGATCTCGTCGAAGCAGAGGCAAAACTTCTCGCAGATTTTTTGTCCTTTGTCGCCCACTACGACCAGTCGCGTCTTTGCACGGACAACCTGCTGCTTGCATCCTTGCAGCACTTTACAAGCACGTATCTCGCTTCGACCGACGTCCATTCGTTTGTCGCAGCCTTTGAGGCCGATACACGCAAGTCTGTCCTCACCTCGTACTTTTTCGCGCTTGCGAAACTCGAGGCAAACCCAAAGCTTCCCGCGCAAGACGTGCCTCGTGCCCCTGCATCCGCCCTTCTCTCTGCCGCGACAGAGGGATCCGCCAACATCTACGGCTTGTTCGGCGGCCAGGGCACCAACGAGGTCTATTTCGATGAACTCCGCTCGCTCTACGAGATTTACAAGCCATATGTCGGCGCACTAATCGCCAACGTGTCTGCCAAAGTCCTCGTACCACTCGCGACAAAGGCCGAACTTGACGGCCATTCATTCTACTCGTACGGCCTCGATGTCGTGGCATGGCTCGATGGCTCTGCCCCAGTCCCGCCTGTCGATTACCTCGCATCGATCCCCATCTCCTTCCCTCTGATCGGCCTCACCCAGCTCGTCCAATACCTCGCGTCGTGCCGTGTCTCCAATCTTCTCCCAGGGGATATGCGCAAAATTCTCAAAGGAACGACCGGACACTCGCAAGGCATCGTCTCTGCTGTGTGCATCGCTGCCTCTCAGTGCCTCGATTCGTTTGAGACAAACACTGAAAAGGCACTTACGTGGCTGTTCTACAGTGGTCTCCGTGGCCAAGAGGCCTTCCCAGTGCTGGCTATTGACCCAGCGCTGGTCAAGGACTCTGTCGAAGGAGGAGAAGGCGTGCCTTCGCCCATGCTTGGTGTGACTGGGCTCGCCCTCGATGTCCTAGAAAAGCACATTAGTGGTACCAACAAGTATTTGCCAACCAACGCCCGCATGGCCATTTCGCTCTACAACGGTCCACGAGCATTTGTCGTTACCGGCCCAGCCCGCTCGTTGTACGGACTCGTCACTAGCCTGCGCAAAATTCGTGCACCGTCGGGTCTAGACCAGAGCAAGATTCCATTCTCGCAGCGCAAGGCCGTCTTTTCGGTCCGCTTCCTCACTGTTGGCGTGCCATACCACAGCTCGTACCTCGACGGCGTCACAGAAAAGGTCTTTGAAACCGATCTTCAAGGACAGGAACTTTGGACTCCGGCAGATCTCGCAATTCCAGTCTACCACACTGAAGATGGTACATTTCCTTTTTCTCCTTTGCTCAACTGTACTCACTCTCCCCAGGCTCTGATCTGCGTAGTCTGTCCACGTCGCTCACCAAGTCGCTTTGCGACCAAATCTTTACGATGCCCATCCACTGGGCCAAGGCTACTGGGTTCCCAGAGACAGCCACGCATGCCGTCGACTTTGGACCAGGTGGTCTGAGCGGCATTGGTGGCCTGACTGCGCGCAACCTGGATGGTCGTGGTGTACGCGTCATCATTATTGGTGAAAAGGGCAAGGGAAGCTCCGAGCTCTACTCTACGAGCGCTCCCAAGTACGAGGTCTGGTGGAGCAAGAAGTATGCACCACAGCTCGTCAAGACTGCGTGCGTACCTTTATATGGGATTATCAGTGAGAAACTTACCTGAATTTGTAGAGATGGTGTGATTCACATTGACACACCCTTCTCTCGTCTCCTCGGCAAGCCGCCGATCATGGTTGCGGGTATGACCCCTACGACGGTCAAGGCCGGCTTCGTGAGCGCCGTCCTCAGCGCAGGCTTCCATGTTGAGCTTGCCGGAGGTGGACACTACAATGCCAAGGCACTCCGCGCAAAGGTTGCAGAGATTCAGTCCAAGATCCCACCAGGCGTTGGTCTTACTCTCAACTCGCTCTACATTAACCCGCGCCAGTTTGGCTTCCAGCTCCCGCTTTGGCAAGAGCTCCGAAGGGAAGGTGTCCCCATCGAAGGCTTCTGTGTTGCTGCCGGTATCCCGAGTACGGAAAAGGCTGCAGAGATCATCTCCGGTCTCAAAGCGGCTGGTATCAAGCACGTCTCGTTCAAGCCCGGATCAGTTGAAGGCATTCGACAAGTCGTCAACATTGCCTCTGCCAACCCCGACTTCCCCATCATCCTCCAGTGGACTGGTGGTCGTGCCGGTGGACATCACTCGTGCGAAGACTTCCACCAACCGGTTCTCCAGACGTATGCCTCTATTCGCCAACAGGCCAACATCTCGCTCGTCGCAGGTTCAGGATTCGGTGGTGCAGATGATGTCTGGCCGTACCTCACTGGACAATGGTCTTCAGAGCTCTTTGGTGTGCAGCCAATGCCCTTTGACGGCTTCCTTTTCGCATCGCGCGTCATGGTCGCTAAAGAGGCACACACGTCGGAGTCTGTCAAGCAACTCATCGTCGCCGCGTCTGGTGTCGACGACAAGGACTGGGAGGGTACCTACACACGTGAGACTGGTGGTGTGCTCACCGTCAACTCTGAACTCGGCGAGCCGATTCACAAGATTGCAACACGAGGTGTCAAGCTATGGAAGGAATTCGACGATACAGTCTTCAAGCTCCCCAAGGACAAGCGCGCGGCATGGCTCGCGCAGAACAAGCAATCCGTCATCGAAAAGCTCAACCGCGACTTCGCAAAGCCGTGGTTTGCACAGAAAAAGGACGGCACAGTTGTCGAGGCCATTGGCGAAATGACCTATGAAGAAGTCGTCTTGCGGATGGTCCGGCTCATGTACGTCTCTCATGAGAACCGATGGGTCGACATCAGTCTCCGTAATCTTACGGGCGATTTCTGTCGTCGTGTTGAGGAGCGCTTCTCCCGTGAGGCGCGACCGTCCATCTTGCAGTCCTACCTCGAACTCGACCAACCACACGAGTTCCTTGCCAAGTTCTTCAAGACGTACCCGGCTGCGAGTGAGCAGCTCGTTGCAAGCGAAGATGCAGCCTACTTCCTTGCCATCTCTCAGCGCCCTGGACAAAAGCCAGTTCCTTTCATCCCGGTTCTCGATGCCGATTTTGGTGTCTGGTTCAAGAAGGTTGGTAAATTTGACTGTCAAGGGAGACATTCTGACCACGGCTTTTAGGATTCGCTTTGGGCTGCGGAAGATATCGAGGCCGTGTTCGACCAGGACCCACAACGTGTTTGCATCCTCCAAGGACCCGTGGCGGTTAAACACTGTGTCAAGGCCAACGAGCCCATCAAGGAACTCCTCGGCAACATTGATGAATCGCTCAAGTCCAAGCTACTTGCTCAGTACTATGGTGGAGACGAATCCAATGTCCCCGTCGTCGACTATCTTGGTAGCAGCATCCCGACACCCCCAGCCACTCAGGGTATTACCAAAAGCTCGAGCGAAGGCGTAACAGAGTACACCGTTGGTAAGAGCGTCCCGTCGCTCGATGCTTGGCTCGAGACACTCTCGGGACCGACGGTGGGCTGGCTCCGCGCTCTTCTTACCTCGTCCACAATTGTCCAAGGCAAAGCATACATCGACAACCCGCTTCGCCGTCTCTTCGCCCCACGTGAAGGCCAACGCGTTGTCATCGAAGGTGGTGACAAGCCGACCTCTATCACACTCTACGGAGCCGGCCGTTCGTTCGGACCTCACCCAGCCGATTTCGAAGCCGTTCGCGCCGTCTTTGATGCCTCGTCTTCGAAAATTGCTCTCACGATGAACGAGGAGCGTAATGGTGTCTCTGTCCCGCTCGAGCTCGAGTTCCAGTACCGACCAGATCAAGGCTTTGCACCCATTCACGAAATTGCCGAAGGAAGGAACAAGCGTATCAAGGACTTTTACTGGAGGCTGTGGTTTGGAGATGATCTTGCAATGCCCGCTCTCGAGTCACGCCAAGTGTTCGAGGGTCCCGAGACTCGTGTCGAGGCTGCGGAGGTTGAGCGTTTCTGCGCCGTCGTGAGGAACGAGGGTGAAGCGTTCAAGACTGCTCGTAATGGCACTGTACAGGCACCTCTTGACTTTGCCATCGTCACTGGCTGGCAGGTTTGTATCATCTTTACTCTCTCAACTTACTCTGACAATGTTACATAGGCGATCATCCAAGCCATATTCCCCGAGTCGATTGATGGCGACCTTCTCAAACTCGTCCATCTCTCCAACGAGTTCAAGATGGTTCCGGGCGCCACCCCCCTGCTCGCAGGCGACGTCTGCAAGTCCCAGGCCCGCATTTCGTCAGTTTCGAACACGGATGCCGGCAAGTCGGTCAAGGTCACCGGTTTTGTCATGCGAGATGGCAAACCCGTGATTGAGGTCACGTCTGCGTTCCTCTACCGTGGACGCTTCACCGACTACGCCCAAACCTTTGACATTGTCGCCGAGGACGACTATGTTGTCGAAGTCGAGACCCATGCCGACGTTGCAGTCCTCCAGAACAAGGATTGGTTCCATTGGGATGACGACACCAAACCGCTCCAGGCTGGTACCCGTCTCATCTTCCGCGTTGTTTCGGACTCTGTCTACCATGACAAGACTTCGTTCACGTCCGTCGAGGTCAAGGGTCATGCGTATGTGCGCAATCAACTCAAGGAACTCATCCAAGTCGCCACGATCGAGTACTCGGCCGGACGTACCTTTGGTAATCCCGTCGTCGCATACCTACAGCGTCACGGTAAAGCGCAAGGACAGCCTGTGCTATTCGAGAATGGAGGATACACGCTCACGAGCAGTGCAACGCCTTCGACGTTCCGTGCTCCCTCGACCAACGAACCATACTCCAAGATTTCGCGCGACTTTAATCCCATTCACGTCAACCCGTACTTCTCCGACTTTGCGAATCTTCCTGCGACGATTACGCACGGGATGTGGTCTAGCGCTGCGACGAGGAAGTTTGTCGAGACAGTCGCTGCCAAGGGTCATCCTGAGCGTGTATCGGGGTAAGTCTAGCTTTGAACCTGTCTTCGCTCTGACACTCGTTATAGCTACAATGTCAACTTTGTCGGGATGGTCATTCCGGGAGACGAGTTGACGGTCAATCTCAAGCATGTTGGCATGAAGAACGGCAAGATGATTCTCAAGGTGACGACTACGAACCAGCGCGGCGAAAAGGTTCTTGAAGGAGGCGCTGAAGTTGCTCAGCCGGCGACTGTCTACGCATTCACCGGCCAAGGTTCGCAAGAGCCTGGTATGGGTATGGAGCTCTACGCATCGTCGCCTGCCGCTCGCGCCGTCTGGGACACTGCTGACGAGCATCTCCTCGCCGTCTACGGCTTTTCCATCATCGACATTGTCAAGAACAACCCAAAGACGAAGACGATTCACTTTGGTGGGTTCAAGGGCCAGGCCATCCGCGAACGATACATGACGATGAGCTACGATGCGCTTGACAAGGACGGAAACGTCAAGACGCTCCCTCTATTCGCCGATATCGACATCCGCACGCCACTCTATACCTTTAGCCATCCCAATGGTCTGCTATTTGCCACTCAATTTGCGCAGATTGCACTCGTGGTAACGGAGAAGGCCGCATTTGAGGATATGCGCTCAAAGGGTCTCATCCAAGAAGGATGTGCCTTTGCTGGTCACTCGCTCGGAGAGTACTCTGCGCTCGCGTCTATTGCCGACGTCCTCGCCATCCCAGCTTTGGTCGATGTCGTCTTCTATCGAGGTATCACAATGCAACGTGCCGTCGAGCGCGACTCGCAGAACAGGTCCAATTACGCAATGTGCGCCGTCAATCCAAGCCGCATTGGCAAGAGCTTTGACGATGCTGCGCTTCGAGAGGTTGTTGATGGCATCTCCGCAAAGACGGGCCTCCTCCTTCAGATTGTCAACTTCAACGTCGAGGTTCGCCAATCTCAATTATTCATCTTTCTTGTGCTAATAGGAACCATAGGGTCAGCAATACGTCTGCGCGGGAGAACTCCTCGCTCTCCAGACACTGACAAATGTTCTCAACTACCTGAAGATTGAAAAGGTCGACATTGCCAAGGTACGTGCTCTGCAGCTTGGTATTCGTCTCCTGATCTCCTTTAGCTCATCGCCAAGTTCTCGCTGGACAAGGTCAAGGAAATGTTGGGCGATATCACACAAGCGAGCTACGAAAAGGCACTCGAGAAGCAGAAAGAAGAGGGATTCATCAAGCTCGAGCGAGGATTCGCTACTATCCCGCTTCCTGGCATCGACGTGCCGTTCCACTCTCGCTACCTTTGGGCTGGAGTTATGCCTTTCCGAGCGTGTACGTCTCGTTCGATTCCATGTAATACGTCTAACGCATCTATTAGATTTGTCAAAGAAGATCAATGCTTCGCAGCTCAACCCCGACATGCTTGTCGGTCAATACGTCCCCAACCTCATCGCCGAACCGTTCCAAGTCACCCTCGAGTATGCGCAAAAGATCTATGACCAGACGTCTTCCCCGACTCTGGAGAAGATTATCAACAACTGGGAGTCGGAGCAGTGGGGAGCAGTTCACCAACGTCAAAATCTGGCCTATGCCATCCTCGTCGAGCTTCTTGCCTACCAATTTGCGTCGCCTGTCAAATGGATTCAGACGCAGGACATCTTCTTCACCCAATACCACTTTGAACGTTTTGTCGAAATCGGTCCCAGCCCGACGCTGACTGGCATGGCGACTCGCACCCTCAAGGCCAAGTACGAGGCTGGTGACAACTCGGTCTCGCGCACACGTGCCATTTACTGCCACGCAAAGAACGCCAAGGAGATCTACTACCAATTCGAAGACGAGCCCGAAGCGGCTGCTGAAGAAACGACTGCCGCCGAGTCTGCAGCTCCTGCAGTAGCTGCAGTCGCGGCGGCCCCAGTCGCAGTTGCCGCACCTGCCAGCAGTGGTCCTGTCGCCCAAATTCCTGACGAACCAATCAAGGCGGTCGACATCCTTCTCGTCATTATTGCACAGAAGTTGAAGAAGAAGGTCGAGGAGATCCCAGTGACCAAGGCTATCAAGGACCTTGTTGGTGGTAAATCTACGCTGCAAAACGAGATTCTGGGTGACCTCCAAGCCGAGTTTTCGGCCGCGCCAGAAAAGGGTGAGGAACTCCCTCTGGACGAGCTTGGTGCTGCGCTCTCAGCGGGTCACTCTGGAAACCTTGGCAAGTACTCGACGGGTATGATTTCGCGTCTCGTTGGCGGGAAAATGCCCGGAGGCTTCAACCTCTCTGCGATGAAGGCATATCTCGGCAAGCAGTGGGGTCTTGGAGCATCGCGCGCCGATGCTGCGATCCTCTTGGGTGTCACTCTCGAGCCTGCAAAGCGTCTGGGATCTGAGCCTGAAGCCAAAGCATGGCTCGATACCGTCGCGGCTGCGTATGCGAAGCAAGCCGGTATCTCGCTTTCGTCTGGCGGTGGAGGCAGCGGTGGTGCAGCTGGGGGAGGAGCTGTGATGAACAGCGAAGAGTTCCTCAAGTTCAAGGCGGAGCAAGAGGCTTTCGCCGCTCAGCATGTCGAGCTCTACATGCGTCATCTCGGACGCGACTCCCGTGCTGGTGGTCAATTGTATGACGAGGAGAAGGCAAACTCGGCCAAGCTTCAATCACGCCTCGACGAAATTGCTCGCGAACACGGCGACACGTACATCTCTGGTGTCCTCCCTGTCTTTGATCCTCTGAAGGCTCGCCACTTTGATTCGGCATGGAACTGGGTGCGACAAGATGCCCTTCTGATGTTCTATGATATCATCTTCGGTCGTCTCACGACCGTCGATCGTGAGATCACGGCTCGTTGCATTGCAATCATGAACCGTGCCGACCCAGCGTTTATCACCTACATGCAGTACCATATTGGCAATTGTGATCCGACTCGTGGCGAGACATACAAACTTGCCAAAGAGTTCGGACAACGCTTGCTCGATAACTGCCGCGAGGCTGTCGGTCATCCACCACTCTACAAAGATGGTATGTAATAGCATTTTGGTCATTCACTCGTTTGACTCGTTCTAGTCAATTTCCCGACGGGTCCGTCCGTCGAGGTGACTCCTCAAGGCGACATCGTCTACAGTGAGGTTCCTCGTGAAGATTGTCGCAAGATGGAGCAATACGTCCAACAAATGTCCGGACCAAGCTCTACTGCACCATCCATCGACGTGAACAAGCTTTCCGCAAACCTCGCAAACCTGTGGAAACTTGTTCAAACGCAACCAGAGATCAGCGAGGAGCAACGCTCTAGGATCAAGAATCTTTACGACGGTGTCGTTCGTTCCCTCCACAAGGCAGCTCCGGATAGGCCCGCGCCACGTCCGGGCTCGCCACGCAGTCGCCGCTCATCGTCCCAGTTCCTTCGCCCTCAGATTCCTGTCCGTCCATCTGCAGTTCCAGAGGATCGTGTTCCTCTTCTCCATCTCAAGCGCAAGATTGGATCGCACTGGGAGTATTCCGGCAATCTCACGAGCCTGTATCTCGACGTCCTTACCGAAATTGCGACGTCTGGAACGACATTCAAGGACAAGAATGCTCTCCTTACTGGTGTGGGCAAGGGATCAATTGGAGTCGAGATCGTCAAAGGTCTGCTGTCTGGTGGTGCTCGCGTCGTGATCACCACATCGCGTTATAGCCGCTCGACCGTCGAGTTCTACCAGGATATCTATCACCGCTACGGCTCAGATGGATCCGCGCTCACTGTCGTACCGTTCAATCAGGGGTCACGTCAGGACGTCGAGGCTCTCGTCGACTACATCTATACTACGCTCGCCATGGATCTCGACTACATTCTTCCCTTCGCCGGTATTCCAGAGAACGGACGCGAAATCGATGGTCTCGATGACAAGTCTGAGCTCGCTCATCGCATCATGTTGACGAATCTCTACCGTCTCATGGGTGCCGTCAAGACGAAGAAGGCAAGTCGCAACTTTGTCACTCGTCCGACGCAAGTCGTGCTCCCTCTCTCGCCGAACCACGGTCTTTTCGGCAATGACGGTCTCTATCCCGAATCCAAGATTGCTTTGGAGAACCTCTTCGCTCGTTGGTCATCTGAGAGCTGGGGCGAATATCTTTGCTTGGCAGGTGCCGTCATTGGGTAGGTCTGACGCTTTTTTGCGATGATAAGAGACTTATAATTTGTGCAGCTGGACACGTGGAACTGGTCTTATGGGCCCGACAAACACTGTCGCTCAGCAACTAGAGACATATGGCGTTCGCACCTTCTCGACCAAGGAAATGGCGTTCAACATTCTCGGATTGATGCACCCACTTCTTTTCAGTATCACTCAAGTCGAGCCCATCTGGGCCGACCTCAGCGGTGCAATGGATCGACCCGACCTTGCCGAACTCACTACTCGTATTCGCAAGGGGTTGATGGCCGAGGGTGAGAAGCGTAAAGCTATCTCTCGTGATACTGCAGCCGACTACAAGGTCGTTCATGGTCAAGAGGCCGAACGAGTCCTCCAGACCGTCCAAGTTGCTCCTCGTGCCAATGTCAAGTACGACTTCCCACCACTTGAACCGGCATCATCACTCGAGGATCTCAAGCACCTCCGCGGTCTCATTGACCTCGACAAGGTCGTTGTTGTCACCGGTTTTGCAGAAGTCGGCCCATGGGGAGGTTCTCGGACCCGTTGGGAGATGGAGGCTCGTGGCGAGTTCACCATCGAAGGCTGCATTGAAATGGCTTGGATGATGGGTTACATTAAGCACCATAACGGTCGCCTCAAGAACGGTGAACTCTACGTCGGATGGGTCGACTTCAAGACTGGCGAGCCCGTCAGCGATGGAGAAGTCAAGAAGCGATATGAGAAGGACATTCTTGCTCATAGTGGCATTCGTCTCATCGGTACGCCGTGCTTTTTTCTCATGAACCCGACTAACTCTGAGCTCAGAACCTGAGCTATTCAATGGCTACGACCCGAAGAAGAAGACGTTCTACCAGGAGATCCAGCTCAACCACGACCTTGAGCCACTCGAAGTCTCCGAGGTCGAGGCCCGCAAGTTCAAGCTTCAGCACGAGGATAAATGCGACATCTGGACGTCACCTTCTGGCGAGTGGTTTGTCAAGCTCAAGAAGGGCGCAAGGATCATTGTCCCGAAGTCGTTCAGCTTCGATCGCCTCGTCGCTGGACAGATCCCGACGGGATGGTCTGCCGGCCGCTACGGTCTTCCCGATGATATTATCGCCCAAGTCGACCGCACTGCGCTCTGGGCACTCGTCTGCACCGCCGAGGCACTCACCATGTCTGGTGTCAGTGACCCATACGAGCTCTACAAGTATGTTCATCCCTCGGAGGTCGGATCAAGCTTGGGTAGCGGCATGGGAGGAACCCAGAGTATCGCGGCGATGTTCAAGGACAGACGCGAGGAAAAGGATGTACAGATGGATATCTTCCAAGAGACGTAAGTATCATCCCTCTCGCTTTGATTCACATCTCACTCGACAATAGCTATATCAATACCGTTGCCGGATGGGTTAACCTCCTTCTCATGTCTTCGAGTGGACCCATCAAGATTCCAGTCGGTGCCTGGTAAGCCACAAGTATCTCAGACTTATGCAGTCTCTAATCTTTCCCAGCGCCACTGCCCTCCAATCTGTTGAGATTGCCTGCGACACCTTGCTCTCGGGCAAGGCCAAGGTGATGATCGCTGGAGGCTTCGACGACTTCAGCGAGGAAGGTTCGTACGAGTTTGCAAACATGAAAGCTACTAGCAACTCTACGACCGAATTTGCAATGGGTCGCGAGCCGAACGAATTCTCGCGACCGACTACCAGCACTCGTGCTGGGTTCATGGAAGCTCAGGGTACTGGTGTCCAGATTCTCATGACGGCGTCGACTGCCATCAAGATGGGCGCAGCAATCCGTGGTATTGTGGCATTCACCTCGACCTCGACGTAAGCCTGCTTCCTATCCACAGATTCTTGTTGCTTACTTTCTGCAGTGACAAGGCTGGCCGATCTATTCCTGCTCCTGGACGTGGTGTTCTTACTATCGCTCGGGAGCTTACCCCATCTACTCCGCTTCCCCTCCTCGACGTCAAGTACCGAACCCGTCAGCTCGCTTTCCGCCGTAAACAGATCGCCCAATGGGCCGAAAATGAGCGCCTCATCCTTGAAGAGGAAGCCGAAACGTGCAAGTCGGAGGCTACTAAGGAGTTCATCGCAGCCCGCCTCGCGAATATCGAAGAGGAAGCCAAGCGTCAAGAGAAAGAGGCACTCGCTACGTATGGTATGCTTCAAGGAGCTGATCCTCGCATCGCGCCCCTCCGCCGTGCGCTCGCCGTCTGGGGTCTCAATGCGGACGACATCGGTGTCATCTCCATTCACGGCACGAGCACTAAAGCGAATGACAAGAATGAAACTCATGTCTATAATGACATCTTCAAAACGCTCCAGCGCACTCCAGGCAATGCCGTTCCAGTCATTGCCCAGAAGAACTTGACGGGGCACCCGAAGGGAGGCGCCGCCGCCTGGATGTTCATTGGTGTCTGCCAGAGTATCGCCACTGGTGTCGTCCCTGGTAACAGGAATGCCGAGTATGTGTCTTCTTGGCTTTCGAACCTAATGCTGATCTTCTCCTAGTAACATTGACATTGCTCTTCGCCAGTTCGAGTATCTCATGTTCCCATCGAAGACCATCCACACAGATGGCATTCGTGCAGGCCTGATGGTTGGTCCTTGCTATCATGTTCCGATTAGAGACTAACCAGATCAAAAGACGTCGTTCGGTTTCGGTCAAGTTGGTGGTAGCGCTCTTATCCTTCACCCTCGCTATCTCCTGGGCTCTCTCGACCCCGCTCAATACGAGGCGTACCGTGTTGCCAACCGCGCTCGCTGCCTTGCATCTTACAAGGTCATGAGTGAGATGATGATCACAAACTCTCTCGTCAAGATTAAGGATCACCCACCCTTCACCCCAGAGCTCGAAGGCGCTGTCTTGCTCAATCCTCTCGCCCGTGTCACTCGTGATAAAGCTGGTGAACTTTCCTTCCCTCCAAAGCTCACCAAGGCTCCTTCTGTCGACCTTGCCAATGTCACAGTCCTCACCGAGTCTCTCAATAAGGCCGGTGACAGTGCTGGAGTTGGTGTTGACCACGGTAGATACTTTTCCAAAGTCATGGAAATGGCGCTGACTCTGGCTACAGAACTCATTTCGGCTGTTCCTTCCGACAGCGAGACATTTGTCGAGCGCAACTTTACGGATGACGAAATCAGGTACTGCAAGTCACAACCCAACCCAGCTGCGTCGTTCGCCGCGAGATGGGCGGGTAAAGAGGCCGTCTTCAAGTCCCTCGGCGTTGCTTCCAAGGGTGCTGGCGCTGCGATGAAGGATATTGAAATCCTTCCCGACGACTCTGGTGTTCCGCAGGTGCGCTTGCATGGCAGCGCTCAAGCAGCCGCCTCGAGCAAGAAGATTACTAAGGTGCAAATCTCGTTGAGTCACTCCGAGGTATGTTCACCTTTCTATCGCACGTTCTCGAAGCTAATTATGCCGTAGACAATGGCCATTGCGTTCGCCCAAGCTACCTTCTAAGGGGACCGTTCTCGATCTTCTCTCCGTCATGTCCTCTTCCCTCATCTCTCTGTGTTATCTCCCTGTCTCGGTCACTGTGTCAAATAGATGTTACTGCTAATGAACTGTGTTTTTGTCCCTCCAAGTCGGCCCGGGTGCAGGTGAATGGCGACCGGAATGCGTCCACAACGGATGTTGAGAAGCACGCATTACGTGTGGGGTTCTCCAAGTTTGGAGCGCTTTATAACCCTCTCATGTTCCTCTCTTCGCTCAGATCACATCTTTCTTCTACTCTCCCGAGCATACGCTTTGCAAGGCGGTCTTACGCTGCAATGACAAAGCCAATCATCGTCGTGTTCGCCGCAACTGGCAAATCTGGATGTCTGTATGGTCTTTGTCGTTTCCAATGGCGGCTTATGCTCTTCAGCTGGAATGATTGACGCAATTCTCGACGACAAAGACCAGCAGTTTGCGGCTCGGGCTGTTACGCGAAACCCCAACAGCGAGTCTGCTCAAGGTATGTCATCTGATCTTTAGAAGCTTTACTCAATATTGGGTCTAGCCCTCGCGGCTCGAGGAGTCGACGTCGTCCAGGCGGATCTCAATGATCCAGTGACGCTTGCCAAAGTGTGAGTACCCTTTTCTCGGATTCTTCATTTGTCTCATTACCCTTACAGCATGGATGGAGCCTACGGCGTCTTTGGAGTCACAGATTGTACGTTCTCTTCGCGGTCTTCCAATCGATCACTCGCCCTAATGTCTTCATTATGTTGAATAGTTTGGCAAGCTTTCATGGCGGAAGAGAAACAAGGTAAAGATATGGTCGACGCGGCGCAGGGGTCAAGGGTCAAGCACTTTGTGTGGACGACGCTCGACCATTCAAAGTGGGAGGTTCCCCATTTCGAGACCAAGGCACGAGTGGATGATTATCTAAAAGGGACGGGACTTCCTCGTACATCGTACGGTTTCCCCGTTCTCTTCGCCGTGTTGAACTCACAACGAGGGATAGGTTGTATTTGTCTTTCTTCATCGAAAACTTCCGAAGCGGGATTCGCAAGACTCATAGTGGCAAAGTCACATTTGAGTCTGCATTCCCCACTGATGGAAAGCTGCCCGTCATCTCCGCTTTTGACATTGGATATTGGGCACTTGCCGCGTTCAAGGACCCCGATAGATGGATTAGTGAGTACTATACATATCATTAGCGGCATATACTGACTCGACGCTGGTAGACCAGGACATGAAAGTTTGTACAGAAATTGTCACTCCTCGCCAAGTTGCCAAATATGTCGAAGAAGCTTCGGGACATAAGGTGCACATTCACGAAATTGGACAGGAGCAATGGAAAGAGAAGAATACGCCTCAGTTCTCAGAGCTCTGGAGGAATATTGACATGTTCAACCATCTCGCAGATACTCCTGGGTTCAGAGACATTGAGCTCTCGAACAAGCTGGTACCACACGCAAGAAAGACAAAGGAACTGATCACTACTTGGGTTCATCAACTGGAGTCATCTTGAAGTGTCCACTGCCGCTCATTGGTAACCATGCTTGATCTTGTATAAAGCCGTAAAATGAACACAGTGAGAATTATCTCGACTCATCTGGATTCTGGGGCAAGTAAGCGCCTTAGAGAACAGAGCTGACATCACTATGGGGTATGAGATCTTATAGCCGTCTAACGCGGCCTTCATATTGAGAGCTTGGTTTCCTTACGGTATTTCCTAAAGAAATGATAGTGTCCCAGATGAGGTGAGGGAGAACCGATCCAAAAACTGAGAGGGTGTCATCCCCACGCAGGACGAAGGCGACCTGGCACGAGTATACTCATCAGTCAGGCTTCTCTACTCAGCTCTCGAACAAAGTGGGTCTCAACCAGTTAATTCAGGGAGACGAACATTTTCAGACATATAATCGAGACATGAGACAAAATCAGAGGTATCCCTCCATTAGGAGGGAGAGACCACACGGTCTACTTTGAACGAAAACGATGAACGAGTAACCAATGCCAGTGACCATTTAAATCCAACTTGAAAAACTTGACGCCTCTCCTACACCCGCCAACCTTGCGATGGCTGGCGAGATGCAGAGGTCTACTTTGAACGAAAACGGTGAACAATTGACCAATACCAGTGACCAGTGACCAGTTAAATCCAACTTGAAAACTTGACGCCTTTCCCACACCTGCCAACCTTGCGATGGCTGGCGAGATGCAGGCCGCGATGATCCCTTCGGTTAGAAGAAGCCCGAGCGCAGAGGAGAGGGCTTGACCGGTGCGGTCGTCTTTCCAGGCATACCTACACCCGGCAGTCAGCTCGTTCAGATGGTGGAGGCCCCGCTACTTACCAGACTTTCCGGGGCGCCCGCCGCTCATAGCAGGCTTCGGGACCGTGATGTCGGGGACAAATGCAGGATAACGTCCCGTATCCTTCCAAGGCGCATATAGATCAAATGTTGCCATATCAAATCCGGGAATCGTTGGTGCCAGGGTGCTGGGCGTTGAAGCCACTGTCGTTTGGGATGCCGCAGACGGTGGGTACGTCAACGGACCACGCGGGGGAAGCGGGATGACAATATTGGGAGACCCGTTGGTTTTTCCAGTCGCCAACTCTTCGTCCGCCTTGAGGCTGCGGCGATAGCCCATGTACCATTTGACAGTGTAATATGCACAGAGGAGAACCAGGGCTGCACCCATAAATGTGACACCTACGATCGCTGGCATAGCATCTTTCCCATTATCCCATTCACTATCATCCTGCGAGGGTTGATGGTTTGCAGAGGCGGCCAAAGACGGGACGATGGTGGGAGCGGTAGATGAGATCGCAAAATCGACATGAGACGTGGGAGCGACAAGGGTTTGACCCACGAAGACAGCTGTGGGAGGGACTGGGTCCCACATCGGAGCCGTGGAGCTGATCACGTCAGCAACGGAAGCCGCGACGGAAGCCTGTTTGGTAGTTGTAAAGTTAGCCACCGGAGTAAGATCAACTGTGTTATTTCCATAGGCCGAAGTGGACTCAGACGGGGCGAATGCCACCAGTGTCTCACCGACGCTGGTCATGTCGAACGCGGAAGAGGTAGACTCGCTAATATCGCCAGTGAGACCTGTTGATAGAATTGGAGAGATTCATTCGAGATATCAACTACTGACCGGCAGAAAAGGAAAGAGCTATGTTCCGACCGTGATGGGCTCCACAAGAGGAATCGTAGACACTGCAGAACACGTGGAAAGCTTCTGAGACGAAAATGACGCGTGAGCGTTGACCCTCTCTCTGTATGGTCGCGAACACTGACCTGCATCTAATTCAGGAGTGTAGCGCGATACGACGGGAAGATGATGGGCTGCAAGCAGACCAGTATTCTCGAATGAGAGGAAAGATACAAATGAGATGGTGTGGCCGATTGGTATGGGCACAGCGGCGACTCCAGCGAGGTGCTGGAGCGCTGCAACCAAGGCGCACAAGAAGATTGCGCGAATAAAGAACATATTTAGATGCTAGCTGAGGGTAATAGAACCCACACAGCAGGAAATAATTTTACTTGTTTTTTTCCAGACGGCTACGTGTGTGGTCCGGGACAAGATGCGTTTGGTGTTTGCTCACCACCGTTTGTCGTTTACATAGATCCACACTGATCGCTTTGAGTCGTAAAGAGAGACAGAATGTACCGCTGAGATGATTCTGAAGGACCGCCCGATTTCCTCCATGTACTCGCCGCGCAGCGGTCTCATCGCGCGATCAGCAGCGATCGTCTGCCGTGAGAGAGGGCTCCTGAGATCACTTTCATAACCCGAGTTTTGCTCCAATATCTCGTCTATGCTCTAGCCACCCGTCGATAGCCCAAGTCCGACAAATGTCGTTTTATCACGTCGCTGACCGCAAAATATCCAAAAAAAAGTGATAAAAGACTGCTATACCATATTGATCGCTTTATCTTCATATCAAGAGCACCCCCCTTCCTTTCGACATTGAGCAAAAGTTGTGGCAAGGCCGATGAGGGTCCAGCCAGAAGACCAGTAGACCATATGAATGTATTCAAATCGTTGAGAATCGCCAACCTCGAGAGCCTCTGCAAATGCGCCCAGTTGAGTTCGTCGCAGATCCAATTCGTATCGTACAGGCTTCAAACCTGTCTGATCGCAATGAAAAGGACCGTAAGCCGCTCTTCGAATATAGTCGCTCATTTGGGCTGAATGTAAGAGACTTCGCGGGTCGAATGAATTGATCGACTTCTCGCATAGAGACGGGAATAAGCGGAGATAAGCACCCTTGAAATGCGTCCAAAGAATCGTCGAGCTTGTGCGTTCGTCCCAAGGTCGAGGGGCTGAGCTCTCCAGGAATTGTTGGGCGACTCTCCGTCGAGGACGGCTTGATCATCGAAAGGAGCCGCTACTTAAGACGTCCAATATCACTGTCGCCAAGGGTCATTTCGTACGTGGTACGCTTGGGTAAATGCGCTAACCCATGGGCGCACCAACATCATGGAAGCGTTGTCTACGACACCTGTGGGCTCCAAAAGCCAGCATGATCGCATCGTAGAGCAAGGGCCATGTCAGTGAACGGCAGCTGACCAAGGCAAACCTTATTACGCACAGGAGCAACGGCCGCGCCTTGGGATGTGAATGTGCAAAGTATTGGCGTATACCGGATATCGCTGTACTGCGCTGCCAACGCTCAGGTTGCCACGTTCGGGGGTGAAATCTCGTGCAATGGTCAAAATGTAGGAGCAGAGATTTAGCCCAGTGACTGCAATTTGGGTTCCTCTTTGACTTAAAAGTCTAGATCGCATCGTATATGCATGCGCTCGAAATACCAGACTGCCGTCGCGGCGTCCCACGTGAAGATGCGGACCGTTGGTACAATATTTAAGACAGGGAAGAGACAAAGAAGTTGGGCGATGATGACAGGCAGTGCCGGAATGGCGTGGAGGGAGCGAGGCGATGGGAGATCGACGTACCCCACAACCTGAATCGAGCGACGGGATGGTGACCTCGAAAAGCCCTGGCGTGGTGATAAGAAACGAAGAGAGAGCAAGAAATGAAGAGAAATTAGAGATGAAGTAAGTAGAGTATCATGAACGCTCGTAGGAACCATACACGACGGTTGAGATGGAGAGTAACGACGAGTGCCGCGATGTGAAGCTGGAATCAGCAATACTGTATCCAAATTTACTTATTGTACGAACATCAACTGCAAGTGCATCTCGGAGAGGCGTCGGTGCTGGTCGAAGTGAAGTGTGGGAGGCGTACGTAGTGAACTCGGCGACCTACAGTACTAGGACCTCGAATCAGAGATGTAGATTGCAGCCATTGTAGACCACTCACCAACGCGAATGTTGTTCGACAATTGGACCACTGCCATCGTTAGCCGAGCATAATCAGCTCGACGCAGAGCAAGTGAGGGTAGTATAAGGGCGTAAACATCCGTAAAATGGCGCTTTCATGACACCGAGACCATGAAATAGGTCGAGGAGTGAGTCTACCTGATAGCCAGTACGAACTGGGGGTTCCTTCTCCGGCCCATAGACAACGTACGCCAGCGGTCTAAGACTCGAGGCGATGAGTATCTCGTAGTACATGCAACAAGCGACACTCACAGCGCATGCACTGGTAATAGGATGACTAGCAGGCTCAAACATACTTGGGCATTCTTCGAGTACGTATTCGAGAAGTCTTCTTGATCTCGAACTCTCTACATTGGGTTGAAGAGGGCCAGCTAGTACGGCTTTCGATTGTCGCGGTTCCAGCATCACAGCAAGTAGAGCGAGAGAGGACAGTGTAGCCACAAGCAATACGTGGCTGAAGTTCCACGGCAACGGGCGTGCTCAGAGTTTGCGCTAGATCGCGTCCGAGCGTCCAGATCTGGTCTCTCAAATTGCTGACAATTGGAGGCGACAGAAGGGAGCCAGATTAGTGTTCTTATTGCCAATCCGCGGGACTCGAATGGAGCCGTGGTCGACAAACCGGGATCAAATGACAGCGTTGAACTCCAGATGCCACGGGAAAGCTCTAGATCTCGAAGGGTCTGGCCCTTGGTTCATGATTGTCGCGCGGGGCCGAAGGTGGTGCGTTATGGTCGAGGCCAAGCTGGACTTTGACTTATATATACACCTCGGATGACCGGTTTCCAGCATCCTGTAGAGAAGCAAGTCCTGTTAGTAACTTGAGCCATTGTGAAAAAATGTCAGGCATTCGCTCGCGTCTGAAGAATATCTTCCATCATTCCAATCAGTCTGAGCCAGCCGCCGGTTCAAACAGCAGCCCTCTGTCAATTTCAAAGCTCTCTCGAAGACAGATTCCTCTGGATTTCTGGAAATTGCCGCTGGAACTGATCCTATTGTCGAGTAAGCAGGAGCCTCAATATACGTGTTCAGCTCACATTTTGTCAGTATTGTCGCTATCCATGGCCTCCAAGGTCACAGAGAAAGCACTTGGACAACAGAAAAAGGAGTTTGTTGGCTACGCGACTTCTTACCTTTCGACTTGCCTAACGCCCGAGTCCTAACCTACGGATACGATGCTGACACTCGCAGTCGAGAATGCGTGTCCACTCAGACGATGCGTCGACACGCTGAGACCTTCGCCCAGGCACTTTTAAGGAACCGCAAGGAGGCTCCTCGAGTAAGTGAAAGAACACTGTTCGATACATCAGCTAAGAGTACTGGTAGCGACCAATCATCTTCATAGCTTACGATTTAGGAGGCATAATCCTCAAATGGGTTCGTAGCATTGAATTTTCGAACATTCTACTGACGATGCCGTAGGCCCTGGTAATCTGCCACAACCAGAGGTTGGATTCGAAATGCGATCTCCGGGATATTCTCATATCCACTCATGCAATCTTATTCTTTGGGACCCCACATTTCGGCATCGAGGACGCCGCCCTGCTCCAAGCAATCAATCGACTAGCTTCGTTGTACATGAAAACGACGAGTGACGTCCTCAAAGATCTGAAATCGCAGTCATTCGAACTGGAGAATGTTCAGAGTCTATATGTCGCCGCGAGCGAGAAGATCAACTGCATATTCTTCTGTGAAGAGTACGCGATGTCCGGGATACCGAATCCGGAGGCTTTGGTAAGCGCATTCAACCTCAAGAGAAGTTGCTGACCGTACGGTAGAATGTACAGTATCCTCACGCCACAATCCCCGGCGACCGCAACGCGAGAACGATCACCCTCAGTTCCAATCACGGTGAACTGGTCAAATTTCCAGTGAAATCCAACGTGAACTATGAGGCAGTTGTGTACTATTTGAAAGACAATGTCACCACTGCATCCGCCGGAGTGAAGGAGAAGTGGGTGATAGAAGACGGCTGTCGAAGTTTGTAACTCTTTCTTTCCTTTGCGTAGCTAATCAATAAGCAGGCGCTGCCAAGGGAGAACTCATTTCCCATGCGATCATGCTGCCAAAACGACGGCCACCGGTCTCAAAGTACTATGTCGAAAGAGTTGAAATCGAAGCTCTTATGACGGAAAAGCTACTCCCGGGTGGTCCTGTGCAGCATCAACCAAGATGCATATTGCACGGACCACAAGGAGCCGGGAAAACTCAGCTTGCAGCGAAATGGACAAGAGACCACGAGAAAAGGTGCGGCAATATTCACAACCGGAAATGCCTAACTCCCCCTCAGCTTCACCCGAGTGATTGTCGTCGATGCCTCCAGTCAAGTGCAGCTGGAAGCTGACCTGGAACGTTCGATTCGTTCGTTGGGTCCTGAATTTAGCAAGATGACCTGGGAAGATGCAGTTGCATACCTGGATGATAATGAGAAAGGATGGCTGCTCTTCATTGACAATGCAGACTCGCCAGACCTCAAGCTTGATCCCTACCTTCCAAATTCTGTTCATGGGACAATGATCATTGCGACTCGAAACCGTGGATATATCGTCCACGCACCAAACGGCTTAGTCTCTGTTGGTGGCCTCGAGGAGGGTGAAGCCGTGAAACTCCTGCACGCAATCGCCAATATTGCGCCTAAGTCCGACGCCCAATCTCTGGAAATTGTGAGAGAACTGGGAATGCTGGTGTTGGCGATCACTCAAGCTGGAGCATGTATCCGAATTACACAGCGTCTAGACACTTACTTAGACGCCTTTCACAAACAAAGGGCGCACATCACGGGCGTCGAGTCTGCTGTTGACACAGATTGTGCATTCTCGACACGTACCGCGTTCGACCTGTCCTTCCAGCACCTACCGACGAAGACACAGGAATTCATGAAATTATGCGCATTCCTCAACCCCTCCCACATTCCATTCGCTCTCTTTGAGCAGTCTAGTAGCTCTCATTTTACCGCAAAAACGGTCTTGGAGAGTTATCCCCCTCAGCAGAGCGACAGAATCTTTATATCAGATCTGGAGGAGATTCTAGGGCGGACATGGGACGAGATTGCGTTCCGTATGATCGTAGAATCGGCCTCCCGGGCGTCGTTCATCAATGTGTCCACTGATGGCCTATTCTACACTATCCACCCGGCGATTCAGGGTTATATCAAGGACAGTTTTGGAGAGGAGGAAATAATGAAGTATACACGTGCTGCAGCACAACTTCTACTTGGCGCAATGCGGTCGTTTGAGAGTACTACTGCGCAGCGATGGCAACTACTCCCGCATATTAACTGCATCCCTCGATCCGTGCAGTCGGAGAATGTTGCCCACGCGTTGGCGTTCCATGACTTCTACGACTCCTTGGGAGATTGGAAGGCGTGCCAAGATTTATTGAGGCCAGTGTTTTCCAAAGTTCTAGGGACTCGAGGCCAAAGGAACGAAATCTCAATATGGTTAATGGAGAATCTGGCCCATACACTATCCAAGCTTGGCTATTTGCACGAGGCGGAGAATATGCAGCGAGATGTATTCTCTCTACGGCTTCAAATGCGTGGAATACAGGATCCAGATACCGCAAAAGCAATGAATAACCTCGCAGATACTCTGCATCAGCTTGGGCAGTTAGAAGAAGCGGAGAAGATGAAGCGCGATGTACTCGCTCTACGGCTCAAGGTCCTCGGACCGAGGCATCTTGATACTATTACCACAATGGATAGTCTCGCAAGTACATTAGACAAGTGTGGCCGGTTGCAGGAGGCGGAAGAAATGAGGCATGCTGTACTCGCTCTACGAGTTGAAATTCTTGAC